TGCCTGACAAATTCCTGCTGGAAGAGGATTCCACAGCATGGGACTGGCACTCCATCTCCAACTTCAAGTTGAGGCCAATGAGGCCTCTGTAACATGTCCCCCCCCCCAAATTAGAACAAATTGTGGGGCGCAAACAATGAACAGCCCCAAAAGATGCAATGACACTGAATGCCGACTGAGGGAGGGACCAAGTAGAAGGGAGAAAAGAATGGAGTGGCTGGGAAGAAAGGAAGGAAGCAGGGATACATAGATGGCAAAAGTATAGAATGTATAGAAAATTCCTGCTTCAAACGGAGAAGCTACCATAAAATGTTCTTCACAGTAGAAGACAGAGCTGATCATAAATATCAATGGGAAAATTAAATGTTTTACTCTACCTGGGATTAGGCACAAGTATGTCCAGCCCATCTCCACCCCCAGAAAAACAAAACAAAATGGTGACCTATCCCTACCAAAAAAAGTCCACTAAGGACTAGGCATGTTCAGTAGGCGTTATATGTTTGCCGACTGTTATGCTGGCTAGGGAGGAAGGAAAATGGAGTGGATGGAACCCTGAACAGAACTACCCAGCACTGCAACACTTTGTTGCATACACTCACTTGTAAACTTATGATCCCAGTTATCCAATCTTCTTCCCCACCCCATTCCCAACCTCAAACATAGTGGGACTTACTAAAGACAGGGGCATTCCATTAGCACTTTTAACTTTTTTTCTCTCTTTTAGGTCCAATATGAAAAAATTTCAAGTTTTAATTAGCAGTTCTGAAAAAACTTACAACACTTTTCGTAAGCTTAAAAAGATCTAGTATACAATCCTGAAAGGTGTTTTTTTTTAAGGTGGTCGGCCTCCATACATTGGCGCTATGTATGCCACATCGTGTCCTCCCCACTGCCAGTCTTTCTTACTCACTTTTTTTTTTTTTTTTGTAGAACTATTTCCTAATATTTTTGGAAAGTTTTTCTTCTTTGGGTGGGGCCCTCCAGACTCATTTCCTTCTCCAGTGATCACTACCATGCATGGGTTGAAAATGAACTCTGCCTGCCAAGTCATCTTTGCTTTGTTTTTTTCTTCATTACATGTGGGAAAGATCAAACTATGTCTTCCTTACTTTGGAGAGGCTCACTGTGGCAATAATTGCCTGCCTCATGCTCAATACATACAGGGAAGAGGTTCTTAAAAGGAAGTAAGAAAGAGATATTTTCACAGGCCAACTAACAGTACCGGCTTAGCAGCAGACACAGAATCTAGGAATCACGATTTGAGGAGTACAGGAGCAGGACAAGAAGTTCAGAACTGGTCAGAAGCAACGAAGATGTCCCAAGAGTTTCCACATCCTGCCTGTCAAGCCTTTTAAAAAACAGAGTGTTACACTCTCACTCATGAGATTTGCTTGCTTTGCGGGTTTGCAGATGTACACTCCTCTGGGGTGGGTGGGTCTGCTCAGGTCTGCAGGATTGGTGCTTGGTTCTAGGGGAAAATACTGCACTCTCCTATTCAGGCTCCTGATCAGATACTACTGCCTCCTGAATTGCCTTCCCCCACAGCTGCCCACAGCCCAGCGCAGCCTCGAGTAAGGCTCTCCACTCAGCCAGGAGATCAGAGTATGGAACTGGCATCCTTGCCTCCACTTCCAAAGTGGCTGAAGTTGTGGAAGACACAAGATCTACCCACCTTGGAAGAATGGCAGATGAAGGTGATGGACTATATGGAATTGGCGGAAATGACTGGCAGAATCCGAGACCAGGGAGAAGAGTCGATGGAAGAAGATTGGGAAAAGTTTAAAGACTATTTACAGAAATATTGCAAAATTAATGAATGCTAGAACGATGTTCGATTGAAACTAAGTGGTCTTTAGCTGAAATGTTATAAGGCAATATGAAAAAATGGATTATAAATAGGTAAAAATTTAAAATTATAATACTTTACGATTAACGACTAGGATATACAAAGAGGGGAGGGATTTGCTGAACTAACAAACTGAACTGGAATACAAAAAAGGGAGGCGTGAGGAGGTCCGGGAAATAAGCAAATGAAGGATAAGTAATGGAAAGAATGAAGTGTTTTTAACTATTTTTATTTTGCATTTTTCTTTTTTCTTTTTCTATATTGTAATATTTTGAAAACCTTAATAAATATCTTATAAAAAAAACAAAGTGGCTGAAGTTGAGTCCCCTTCCCTAATCCTTGCTCTCACCAATCAGCTGCCCCCACCCCACTGGTTGGTCGTTTCTTCCTCCTCCTTCGTTGGGGCCTGTCAACCCAAACCTAATCCTGATATTACTGTGAGGTGTACTACAGGTGTCACAACACTTATGGATTTCGAAAGCATGAAGCACAACTTCTCAGGAAGGTATGGCCATTTTGCCATTTTATTTATTTGGGCAGTATATTTATTTGGATAAGTGTATCCTGCTGTTCAATGAAAAAGCATTTCACAAGCAACAGTATAGCTATGCTAATTTAGAAACAATAAACAATTAAATTTTAGAAGCCAAAGAATTTCCCCGAAGCTCTCTCTTGATTTCCCCAGATAGGGACTCAGGGCTGTTTAAAGCAAAGGACAAGACTATTCTCCTCCCAGACCATTTACCTCTTATGTTGTGTCTTTTCCGATTGTAAGCCTGATGGAAGGGTCTTTTATTTTTTAGCAATCTGTAAACTTCTCTGGGATCCTTTTTTGGCTTAAGAGCAGGGTGATCTTTTAAATATTTATATAATTGGCAGTTGAATCTCAACTTGGGTCCTGGGACAGCATCCTCCGCTGTACATTGCCATAGCAGGGTAGCTTTGTAGGGGACTTGGGGGGAATGGTGGTGTTGGGGCTGCCTCCAGTGGCTGCCTCCTTCTGCCTAGTGGGGCCAGCACTAGATAGATCCTGGAGTCCGCCTGCAACTACCAATTAGTGCAACACACCCTTTTGTTTCACCCTTATCCTGAATGTTATCACGCATAATGGGGCAACATTTTAGTTTTCACAGCCAGTTTGTGTTCCAAATTGTTTCACGAGGCTCTTCTCCCAGGTGCTATAAAGACTTCTGTGGGTCCATGTGATCTTGCTCCCATCCTTTACCTGCTGATGAAATCCAGATGTTCTGTTATATCAAAAAGAAACCCTAGTGGCTTAGACGTGTCCTGTCTAGACATAAAGCAAGCCTTCACCGTTCTCTTGGGGGTTTTAGTGTAGTATTAATGGATTATAGCTAAGGGTACAATAGCTATTTATGAATGGATTGACATGACCACTTTCTCCTGGCTATGAACAGAACGCTCCATGTGTTTTGTGGAGATACATGTGAAGATCAGCCCTGTGATTGTGAATGGATCAAATGTGCATGTACTACAAAACTTGGGAAGCGTATCTTAGGGACGGACTCCTTCCTTTGGGAGTAATGCAGCTGAAGTTCTTCAGCAAATTAATTCTTGGGCCAGCACTGAACTAGCCTTGGAGGCTTAGAAGGTATACTGGCTGGGTGTATCCTGACATGATGAAAGTGCTCAGGTCACTGTGCCATCCAGATGCTTTGGACTACAGCTCTCACCAGACCCAGCCAGCATGGATGCATGGCTGGCTGAGAAGGATGGGAGCTGCAGTCCTAAACAGCTGGAGAGCACCAGGCTGGAGAAGGCTGCTGTCGAGCCATCCATGCATACTCTAGTTTAGTCAAGCATACAATCTCTTCTCTACAGGATAGTATAGACATACAGTGGTACCTCGGGTTACAGATGCTTCAGGTTACATATGCTTCAGGTTACAGACTCCACTAACCCAGAAATAGTGCTTCAGGTTAAGAACTTTGCTTCAGGATGAGAACAGAAATCGTGCTCCGGCGGCACGGCAGCAGCAGGAAGCCCCATTAGCTAAAGTGGTGCTTCAGGTTAAGAACAATTTCAGGTTAAGTACGGACCTCTGGAAGGAATTAAGTACATAACCAGAGGTATCACTGTACCTTGGACATATTGTGGGTTTGGTTCCAGACCACCATGATAAAGCAAATATCACAATAAAGGGAGTCACACATCTCTCCCCCCCCCCCCCCCCCGTTTCCCAGTGTGCATAAAAGTTATGTTTACACTATACTATAATCCAGTGGTTTTCAACCGATGCGCCACAGCACCCTGGGGTGCCTTGAATGATGGTCAGGTTTTTCCCAGGTATCACACAGGAGAGCTGCAGAAAGAATATAGTCAAGGGAGCCATGGACTCAAAAAGCTTGTAAACCTCTGCTGTAGTCTAGTAAGCCAGCACCCGCCACTGGCTGCAGGGGCAGGAGGGGGCAAGCCCAGCACCAGCTCTAGCCAGCTCCACTCCCCGGGCCAGAAGAGGGGTGGCAGGGGGCTTCCTTCCCCGGAAAGTGGCCGGGCTGCCTGCAGCTGTACCCACATTATTGTAAGGAGCAGTATCTGTAAAGAGCAATAAAGCAAAGATCAATAAAATGAGGTATGTCTGTATTTTGCTAGTAGCCAGTTGTGCACAGTGCTGATGGGATAGCCTTTGTGGCAGCATTAAACCTCTCCTCTTCCTCTCTTCAGAAAGTTTTTCAAGCTTTTTATTTTTTAAAAAACCCGATTTTCAAATAGGCACAATACAAGCCTTTGATCAAAAATTGCACAAGGGAAGGGAAGAGAAAATCAGCTTGTATTCAGAGGCAAGTTTGTCTTTTGAGGAGCTAGGCAGATGAAGCCTGTGAGAAGGAGCCAATAGGATTCTCAATGTGGCAGCCCCCTGGGGGGAGCCAATAACAGATTCTGGCTGGAAGATGGGGGCGTTGCCTGAGGTAGACTGGCAGGAGAACCTTCCTATAGGCCGCTCCAAGGGTATAAATTGCAAGTACAACCATAGCAATTTCCTCACCTACAAACCCACCAGAGAAGACACAACTGCTGGCAATCAAACATTTGCGCAAAACCATAATAGCTCAGAAACAGAGCCCACCTCAATCCTAGGTTCTCTTGTTTTGTTTTCATTAATTGAACAAAACATTCAAAACAAATAGCTTTTAAAATAAAATTATATTTATGGTAACTATGGCACCTAGATACACTTAACACTGTCAATAATTTAGTACATCTTAAGCTGTTATTTTACTACGAGCAATAGAGAACAGCGTGAATTAGAAGCAGAATAATACAACAGTTTGAACGTTAACATGAAAAAGATGGATATTTAATAAAGATATGAAGCTGAAATAAAATATACATTGAAAGAAATAGGTTTGTCTGCAGTTCTCTAAATCCATGTATAATGCTTACAATTTAAAACAAATTCAACATTTATTTATTTATTTATTGGTAAATATACAGTTTTAAGAATTATGAAATGTTGCTCATAACTATTTGTGTTAAACTAGTTAGTTTAAACACTGTGGGTAGAATTAAACATGCTCTTCCAGTCATTCCATCTGTACAAGCCTTCTGGCTACCAGATGGAATGATACCCCTCTCCCTTTCTCCATGTGCTGTTCTGGGGGTTCTTCTGACACCCCCTCCCCAGTCAATGTTTTGGATCATGGGAGTAGGAGATGAGGCAATGCTCCATTGCAGACATGGGGCTGGCTAATGGGGTTCGTTATGTGAATCTTGTCCACTGTTTTGTAGAGATATCCTAAAGCACATATGAAAGTTATATATATGATGATGAAAACAGAGGATTAATCCTGCAAAGATGGATTATTATTGTTCAGGCTTCGAAACAGTGCCAGAAGGAGAAAGCGAAAATGTACAGAAGCAACTTGCACTGAATTTGCCAGTGTCCTTAGGAATTCAAAAAACTGTGTCATGTGAAAATTAAATGTCCTTTGCAGAAGGTTTTCATAGGAAAGTTGTTACTCTGGGTGAGCCTGTCAACTCTAGGCCTGCCCTACTGTATGTCAAAGTGAATCAAGCTGCTTCAGGCAGAGGAATTTAGGTGGATAGATGAAGGCAGGAACTGACTTTCAGAAGTGTTGGCTCTAGTATCTGGAGCACCATTTGGCCCTCTGCTCCAGAGAGCAAAATGTCTTGATCTAGAACAGAGTCTGGAAGTAATAAATTAGTGTTGGAATGAGTCCAAAAGGTAGATACAAAAACAATTACATTTCAGTAGATTTTTCGTGTCACTTCTTCTATAAATCTATTCTAGCTATTAGAAAACATACAGCCTGGTCCTATGAGTTGTGTCACTAGTACAAACGTTTAAGGTGCAGTGCAACAGATGCTGCACTGATGCAACAACATTGTCTATGGCTTGGCACCATGAGCTGATCCAAGGTTTTAATGGCTACATCAGCATATTTCAAGCTGCTGTGTTGGCAGCTGTGAGCCTCTCCAAATGTGGCACAACAGCACTGCATACAATTGCTAATTAGTGTTGAACAGGACAGACAAGAAGCATGATGGAGGCATGGTTGATGTATGGCAGGGAACAACTGAAAAATGTAGCACCACAAACAGAATTTCAGCCACCATAGGGTATGCAGTATTACACAGTCCTCCATGCCACTGAGCTTTGGTAGTAGCTTGTAGAGGCAACTGAGAGGCAGCAGAGCAAAATAGGCTTGCATTAATTGCCAACCAATGCATTGCTTGTGACAGATGCCACAACAGCTATCGACCAGCGCAAACCACTCTGAGTGATATCACAGTGCTGATCTGTGTCAGTTCATTTTTGTCAGCTGCTAGGAAAGGCTTTGCAGTTAGTACTGTGAGAGATTGCACTGCTGCTACCTGCAGCCGCAGGACTCCACTACCATGTCTTCATATTGTTTGTAGACTACATTATTAGCAGAGTCAATAAACAGGATGCTAATAGGACTCAGTCTTGTCGGAACACAACAAGTTGGAGGTGTCGACTCTGGGTCCATAGAGTTCATTAATGTTTGGATAACAGCATGATTGGTGGGTTCCAGATGGGACCGAAGAGGAAATTCGCAAAGTCCTTCACAATGATAAGCTTCATATTCAAGAGGGGCTATTATCCAGTCATCCCAGCCCATATCCTTAAAATTCACATGAAGTGCTTTTTTGCTGCATCTTGTCTTCAGATTCTTGTTGGGCCTCTTTCCTTGCCGAGTTGCTAGAGGAGCCCTTCTCTTTCTTCTCTGATTGAATAGGTATTCATAAACAGTTTTGTCATCCTGGCCAGATCTGGCTTTTATTTCATTGAAGAACAAGTCTCTTTTCTTTGTCCTACCAAATACTAAGAAGAGAGCTTTTTCATTGACTTGCCTCCCTGTTCTGTTAAATCCCACAGTCCTTAAATCAACAGGCCTTCCCCTTTCAAAAGCCTCCAGTTCAAAACACAAGTTAGCAGAGTTTTTAAAATTCCTAAAAAGCTTCCAAATGTCAAAGACTTCCCATTTTGCGGTATCTAAGATGTTGACTGTCCGAGAGTCCAAGAGGATGGATGCTTGCCTGCTTATGGAGCAACTGAATAGTTTCATTTGACATGTTTTCCCATGAGAAGTAGGCTTCCAGTTGTCAGAAGGTTTTTTCCTTAAAATACGCAGTTCTGCCCCCAGTAAGCCATCCTTTTCTAATGCACTGATATCAAAAATGTATTTCTGCTTTTTAACAGCTGGAGCACGGTCATCTAAAGAGAGAAAGAGGGAGAGATGTATGTATATTGAACAGAAATTTGTTCAAAATTTCAATTTCTCTTAATAACATACAATGACCTTCACTATTAGTTTGCAGCCTTGGGAATTATAAAACATTGCTATGGAAATGCTACAAGTTCATACTCCATGGAGGTTTACTAAAACAACACTTCCAATTCAGACATAGAAATATTTCTGCATTATTTTAGTCTGCGTTCTTGTCCCCCAAAGTTAATCTGACAGTGCATTAAGGTTAATCAATAGGACTTAGTTTCCATCTGACTGCATTTGGTATTAAGATTCCAGACGGCAAATTTAATACATTTTGTTTTATTGTAATTTTGGTAACTTATGTCCTGTCACTTGATTTAGCGTTTGAAGGCATACATTCTCTTTTATATACTATCTACCTATTGAGATACATAGAGAAAGTGTGAGAGAGTCTTTGTTGTCCATTAGCATGACACTTCCTTTAGTCTAAATAAAGTTGGGTTGCATCTCTTCCGAATCACTCTACACTTCTTTATATGACTTCAAAACTCTCAACATAAAATTGTATGATCCATTGACTGATCCAAGCTAAATTTACCAAGCATGGTTGCACAAATCATTCATTCCAATGGTGCTTGTGTCAGAGACCTGTGCACCCAACAGCACTGTCACTTGATCCATCCAGCATTCACAGGTTGCTGTGGGGCCCTGTGAGGGTCTAAGGAAGAATGTGGATGGACTCCTGATGAGGTCTTGGAGACATCACCGAAATATTAAATCTCCTGCTTATTTCTTATAACAAGGTACATCTAAATTTGTTTGATTCATAACAACAGACAAACAACACAATCTGAAAGGACTGACTGACTGACTGAAAATCAGAAAGACTCGAGAGTCTTCTTCTCCCCAAGTCTAACCCTTTAAATTGGTATTTTAGGTGAATTGGATTAATTGGGTATTGTTTGCTGCAGCAGATATACTGCCATCATACACTTTTAGTAGCATGTTCTGCAGGAATAAAAGCATTTTATTTCACTGTAAAACAACAACAACAACATAATCCTAAAATTACTAATATCACTGAGATAAAAGCATGACCGTTTTGTTTGGTCATTGTAAGCATACCAAAAAGCTGATGTGAAAAATACTCTTTAAATCTATATTGCAAGGATGAAAATGCCTGGAGTCTGCCAAGCTTTTTGGAAATACAGATCCCCTCTGCCCTTTAACTTCTGACATGGATTTCATACACTTGAAAGATAGGCAAACATTCTATTTTCTTACCTTGCCCCTTGTCTATGAAGCTTGTAATTGTATTGGCAAGCCCAGTCTCCAGTTTTACGCTTCCATTAACACCTTTCCGTTCTGCATCAGAGAGAGTCCTGTACAGGGAGAGCATGTATTCATGTGGGGTGATCGCAGGATGCCTGAATGCCTCCTTAGATTCCCTTTGGGCAATAGCTTCTTTAGTCTTTTTGGTTTTGTAGGAGCTGGCATCTGAATTGCTGGTGCCAGTTTTCTTCAGTGGGGCCTTGGGGCCAAAGTTCTGTAGCTTCGGGGTCACCGTCCTTATTCCCGATTGTCTGTTTGAAGATTGAACTCCTACCTTTTTGTCTGTGCTCCCTGCTTTAGAGAGAGTCTTCTTTGAGTCATCAGTCTTTGCCAAGAGAAGTCCGGCTTGCGCATTATTATTTTTTGCCCTAGACTTTGAATTCCCAGCACTATATCCATGGTTCCCTGTTCTAAATGTACCTGCCCTTGGCAAGGGGTTTCTCTCCTTTCCATCTGTGTTTGACAATCCTAATTTGGATCCTGGATTGCCTTGACTTGCTTCAGCAGGACTCAGCGCTAAGGAAATGAAAACGAGGTAAAACCAGCTAAAGTGCCAAAGCAGTAGAGTAAGAAAGTGCAGGATTTTCATCCTCTGGTCTTCCTTTGAATGCCACCAAAGAAAAAATCAGAAAAGGTTCCTCCAGTTTGGCATAAGAAAACATGAAAAAAATTAAGAACCAAAGTCAGCAGAAAGCGTTTTATTTTAAGCTTAAAGCACTTTAAATCTACTTGTTTAATATTTGTATCCAGTCCCATAGTGGAAATGCTAATTTAGTCAATTTGGTCTTCTCCTGGTTTCTGCTAGCAGCTTGTTCTTGAAAAGAGAAAGTTTACCACCCCCCTTTCTTCTGTAAAAGTGACTAAAAACTTGAAGGACTCTTGTTTAAATCGGAGAGGGTTTTTTTTCCAAGAAGGAAGAATGGCGTAATGCTGCCTCTGTATTAAAAGGTTTTTTAAAAAGTTTTGAATCCCTTCCAGTGAAAATATTTCACACACAGAAACCTGCAGGTGCTCAGAAATCTTTTACAAACCTGAACTCAGGAATTGGAAGCGGAATTCCAACAAAAACCTATTTAATTACTCTCTGATGTCATGCTGTCTAAACTAATTTAAGTGTGATATATTTCTTTTAAAAAGTCTTCTTTGCCCTTTCCATTAGCATGAGTCATACTCTGCTTCATGTAAAACAACTCTGTAGGACCCAAACTCTATAGAATATGCACTTTAAAGTAGCAACTTGTTGCCTCTTTTAGCCTTAAATGAACTTCTCATTTTAAACAAGACAAAGCCGTATAAGAGAAAAAGTAGAAGCCTTTAACAAAATCATTTGGAATAAATGCATTAAAGCATGCTCTAATTCACAGAGATGTTTTATAAAGTTCTTCTGAACATAGACGCTGACCTTTATTAGCAGCAATTTCCTTCTGTCACTGGGTGATGAAAGGATGAGAGTTAACAAGAGTATTAACAAAATAAACTCTTCTTTAATAAGCACGTTAAAACATTTATTATGACATATTTTTAAAAGTCTTTAAGAAATTAAGCAAAATCTCATGTGATGCCTAGCTAAGGGAATATTTGCTAGCGCTGCATAAAGCTTTTTAGAGTCTTTTATTTAACTGGTTCTCTTTACCAGGATTAGTCAATGTTTGAGCAGCAGTGTCCCCTGCAGGAACCTAGAGCTCCTGTGAAAGAAAAGACAGCTTGTTTAAATAGTTTAGTATAAATGTGATATTTTACAGAAAAATTAAAAATTGCTGTTACAAAACAGACTGCTGGAACTGTAAAGGTACTATATATCATAAATACCTTTATATGTGGAATGAAGCTTTCTTGCAGCATTGATTCCACAAAACAGGATATAAACTTTGGGAAAGCAGACCGTGAATTAGGCAAATAATGTCTTCTAGATTGTAAGAAAAACAGGTGAGCTTCGCTGAGCAATGTCTTCTGCGTGAAGAAGAGCATCCCAAATCTTTAATTTTGTACATGTTGCTCAATAAAATTTGGCCCCAAGATGAATTCTGCTGCATAGGGAATGTTTCAGGGGCTTCTTGTCCACCTGTGCACCACAACCTACATCACCTGCTGAAATATGCCCAGAAGTTATGACTGCTTTGTCCAATGCTTATTTTTGTTTTTATTTATTTATTTACTTTAGATGGAGGAAATGTCTGATTGGGGCTGTGTGCACCTTAGGCATTCATATGCACCTGGGTCACTGTTTCCCTGTGTATATTTTCTGTGCATCCAAATGTGAGCGCTTTTAGTTTTAAGCCTCTGAAATCTCTCATGTGTTTCCCAGCCACATCAGTTGGTGGTGTTTGATGGGATTTATTCACACAGTGTGTTGCTGTCTCCTCCTCTTGATTAGGACTCCCCCACCCATCATCTTTTCCAGGAACTTGTGGTCCACTGTAGGCATGTGCACAGATATTATTTATCTTAATTTAAGATAAAATTATAGGTTTTTTGAGTTACCAAATTTGTGCAAAAGAGCAGGCAAGTAAAAAAAAAAGTGTGTGTTGCTCCAAAATGAAAACAAAATGGAAGAAGTGTGGCAATAGATGGCACACAGTGAAACATCGCCGTGTATGTAAACAAACTTGCCCATGCAATGTGCACAATGTGCTTCAATGCCTTCACAGTTAGGCCACATGTGATTTTATATTGGATCTTATTCCCTTATCAGATGATTGGCATATCAGGAAAATCTGAAAATCTGAATGGGGGGCAGGGAGGAGTGCAGGGTACCATTTGAATGAGGAGGATGTCATTTGTCAGACAAAAATACAGAGGCACGAACAGCTTCAAATCCACATTAAATTTCAGTGTGTTAACAATTACAATCCCATATATACTTATCTAATGCATATTTACTATGAATGGAAACTGTATACTTCATGATGAATCACCCTGTATATATATTATTGTTAACTCTTGTAATAATATAGTAGACCTTTTTCTTTTTTCACTTTTTCTTTTTATGTTGTTAAATTAAAACTGTTCTTTAAAAATATTGTTTAAAAAAATTAAACTGCAGTGTAAATAAGTCCTGGGTCTTCCATTAACCTTAAGGCACAAAACAAAACAAAAAATGTGTGTGTCGCTCCAAGTCAGGCAAAAAACAAAACAAAATTCAAAGCAGAGCTGGTGGATTACTGATTTGATTGGGGAAGCAGGATGGAGAGAGTTAACCCTTCTCTACTATGCCATCCCAACTCCAAACAAAATTGCCCTCTAAAGCTGTTATTAGGATGGCAAAAGGTACTGATGCACCTTGGCCCTACAGACTTTGCTGTTAAGTCTCCCAGTTGCTGCAGGAACACCACAGCTTTGTCACATGTAGTCAAGTTTTTAAATTCAGAATAATTACAGGATTTCTCCTGTATATGTCAGAAAAGTGACTTGTTTCTATTAGAAAAAGGAATGAGCCCCACCAGCTCAGAGAAAATAAAAAATAAAGGAGGTGTTAATTGGGGTTGAGGGTGTCATTTGATCCTTAAACCATTTTTTTCCTGCCAACAGTTGGTTTTGACCATGACCAGAAGCAGAAATGTTTAAAGAAAGTACTACTTCAAACATTAATTTTCTTACTAACTGTGCTCTAATAGCCTGAGCAAGCGGCATGATCTCCATTGTACAAATAGAGATTGCCGTCCTCAAACCACTAATGAGCGCTATAGTTTTTTATGCTGACGCAGCTGTTTGGGGACTGAGCAGTTCTTTAGAAGTTAAAGCACAGGGAATTTCAGCAGTTTGACAAAGAACACGTGAGGTGCAGTGTTAGAAACTCAGATATATAAGCTAGGCACCAAATAGCTCCTTAAACCTGGGTTACAGTCGCCAAAACGGAATGCCTAGTTGCCATTTTTATGCCAGAAGGCTCAAAAGTTGTCTTTTTCAATGACTTTTTGGTTCCTGACATTCATTCTGATTGTGCAAATAAAATATAAAGAATAGAACATACAGGATATGTTGCTAGTGTGTGAAAACAGTCAAGATCCAAGAATCCCCAGGCATGCACTTCCAGATGGTGGAGACGTCAGGCACCATTTTGGCACCCGGGCATCTTCACTTGGTCACAAGTAGCTGATAGCTAGCTGCAAAATGTGTCTAGTGCCTGGCGAATTTTGAGCGCTGGTGATGGGAAAGAAAAGCCTGAAGTCGGGTATATATAGTTATCCTGGCTCCCCAAGGCAAGGCATTTCCCAATCTCCTCATTTTACCAGATTTTAATATGAAAACTTACTATATTTTCAGCTGAACAATGTAGACTTGCTTGAGCTCTAGAGACTTTAAAGTCAGACACAGGCAGAGGGTACAGAGGAAGGAGAGGAAGATGGAGACAAGGGTAATGGGAAGTATGTGCACTTAGGATTGGTTTAAGTGGAACAGGAATGGAAAACCTGTGGCCTCCAGATCTTGTTGGACTCCATCAGCCAATGGTCAGGAATGGTAGGGGTTGTAGTTCGGCAACCTTTCGAGGGCTGCAGGTTCCCCACCTGTAGAGGATGAGGCCTAAGGGATTCTACTATTATATGAGGACATACCCCTCATCCTAGTGTTGGCCTGGACCCTGGACCCTGCCCCCTTTAAATGCAGAGCTTTTTAATACTTGGAAAGTTTGAAATGGCCAGGATAAAAAACATTTAAAGTGGCAAAACATTGGGGTGGGGATGTCTCCATATTAATGGGGAGACAGGCTGGTGCAAATCCACATATTGCTTCAGTGTGGATAAGCTCTTCAGTCTAATCTCCTCCAGTTAAGACTTTTGGACTGCTTGCTAGAGGCCATCCCAAACCCTAGGATCTCTCATGAGTACTTTACAATTGTCAACCCAGTTGTTAGTTTCCCAGCATTCAGTCTGCTGGATTTTTGCCATTCTCACTCCAGCACACCAACTATCCTCCTCATTCTGCTGAGGGAATTGACTATGTATGTTTCCAGTCGGGGTCTTAATCTGCAAATGGGTTGTTGAGATGTTGTAAACAGGCAACAAATTTGTCTTGACTGGATTTTCTGTGGGAAGAGTAAATCTAGAGGGGAAAATATGGGCTGGTGTTTTGATGCCAATGATGTGGCTACTGCAAAAACAAACAAACAAACATACAAAAAAACCCCACAAAACTTGCATGCATGAGGTGCACTGATCCCACAATAAATGTGTCTGGAAGCATTCTATGGTAGCATAACAAATTCTTATTATATATCCATGGTATTACTGGTAGGTACCTCGCTCATTTTTTCCACCTACCTAGCTGTGCAATTTGAAACAATTTCCATGCTCTGTTTCCCCCTTCTTCGTTTCAGAGGCTGTGTGCTTTCCGATCCAGTGCTTGGGTACAAAACTGTAGCCATTAAATTCCCCCCCGGCTATCTCCAGCACAAAAGCTTGTTCCTGGGCAACCAGGCCAATTCCACCCATTAAGTGGGAATAAGTCTCATTAGAGCTGTTTAGTGCTGTTACAGCAAAACCTTCAGTTTCATTAGCTATACGGACAGAAACTCTTCATGATAGGAGCTGTCCATAAATTGTACAAGCAGAAAGTGGAGGCCGAGGGACTGCCTAGATGTATGCCAAATATATGCCACAGCAGGCTATGGCGCCCAAGAATGATTGCAAACTTTTAGAATGTCTCACTATATGGAATATCCTGGCGTAACCTTAGCTATGGCAGGGCTTGAGCTTCACTAAAGTAAACAGAAAAGTGAAGAAAGAATAGTGTGTTTCAGTGTCAAGAGGCTTAGCAAATATATGCAGGCAATGTACTCAGACTGCAACAGTACTCCGGAGGGAGCAGTTTTAAAAATGGTTCCTATCTACAAATCACTGCTCTTCAGACCTTATGTTTAGCTAGTTTCAGAGAGAAAAATCCCTTTGCTAACCTAGGAAGCCACCATATGATATAGTTTAAGCCGTCACAAAAAGACATATGGCCAACCATCTTCTTTGGAAGGAAATAATAAGTTGTACAGCACTAGAACGTCACACTCTCTGCTTTGTAATAAAGCTAAGAAAAAGTTCTCTGCAGGATTCTAAAGAACTACAACTTGGGTTTCATGCTCCCCAGCTACTGGGAACACCTGCTGAAGTAGCCACTGATGTGAGTTCTATGCCATAGTTGAGAGGTAGCCCTTTATGACCAAGGAACCAAAAGGCTGCAAATACATTTTCTAAAATGTGCTCTCGTAGTGGAGGCCCCTCAAGGGTACAGTATGGATACTGACAGCTTCTGTGAGTTGTTACAAGAGACCTGAGGAAGAAAGGGGCCTCTAAGGGGCATGGATACTGTGGGCTTCTTTGGCATTCACAAAAAAGGTTACCAATAATTTCTGTCCCTTTAAATAATAGAAACCAGATGTTGCTGTTGGCAGTGTCTAACAAATGACATTTCTAATAATTGGAAAGCAGAGTCCAAGGTCTCCAGCTTCTTGGGCTTATAAATCAATAACATTAGTGTCTTAATGCAAACAGAAGCATAAGAATCTGAAGAAGCAAGTGGCTGAGTACAATAATCCAAGGCATGGAAACTTGGAGACAGAATCATGTGATTTGCTTGTCTGCAGCAGCGCCAGAACGTTATAGAAACAAGCTGCAACCAGTCTACAGAAATCATGAGTGTATCCAACAGAATTTATGCTAGATCTGAAGCACATGCAACAATCTTCTACATCTTTGAGCCAAAGTTAACATTATCCGAATATTTTCCTGATCAGTTCCATGTGGTTTTTCTTCTGAAATCAGTACTAACTTGAGAAATTATATTTTATTAATAGGTTTTTTTAAATGCTTCATATGAAAAAACAAGAGTTCCATAAAAAATCTAAAGGAATGGATTCATAATTTCAGCAGGGCAAAACACAGATAGTACTTATGTAGTAGGACAGATGTGTGGCAGAAGAAATTTTACATTTTTAAGGAAGACTTTTCAGGAAAAATAATACAGTAGTATCTTGGTTTGCAACCGCTTTGGATTACAACCATTTTGGATTACAACCACGTCAGACCCGGAAGTGCGTGTCCCCTTTTTTTTATTACAACCCTTTTTTTTTATTACAACCAATTTTTTGGGGGAGGCCCCATTGGCAAAAGTATGCCTTGGGTTACAACCTGTTTTGGTTTACAACCAGACGTCCGGAATGGATTATGGTTGTAAACCAAGGTACCACTGTATGATGGAAGGAGTCTTTGGAGCCTGACAGAAACTATTTGCAGTGAATGGGAGGCTGATACCACTACTGTATTTATTTGGAAAGAAGTTCAGTTGAAATAAAGTTGTCTGCTGGTCAACAGGTTTAGGCTTTGCCATGTCTGAAGTCTGGTCAACTGTAGAGGAACTAAGACGGCAATTATGGATGCTGAAAGGCAAGGCCTGTTGGTCAAGTAAAGAACTGCTCAGCTTTGAAATTTCAACAGTGTTCATACATTTTGAACCTTTGGCACAATCAAGTTTTTAACGGTACTTCTTTAAAACAAACCATGAAACTGGAGATTCTCAGGTGCTGAATTCTTTATATATACCAAATTCTGTGCTTAAGTAGTATGATTCACAAGAGGGGTTCATATGAACACCCGTGTGCTGACAGAGCAAGCAGTTGTTCAGCCAGTGTGAAAGGCCCTACAGGCATACCTTCATATACATAGAATGCTTCTAGTATAACTTCCCATTTCATATCTGTTAATTAACTTGGAATAACTACCCCAGTTCTGTTTTCACAGCCCCTAAAGAGATTAGAATTAGTACTCGTAAAAGTAGTTTATATTATTATTATTCATTGTACACGTTAATTACATGCTCTCAGGGCAGGTTACAAAAAACGATCAGAACTGCAAATGCTACCAAAATACACATTTACAGCAACCAATTCACAGGAGATAATTTACAACTCAGCCATCAGGTCAATTCCAACAGAGGTACTGAGAGCAACTAACATGTTATTGGGCACAGCTTGAATCTGGGCACTGAAATTTCTGCGTTCTTACACCTGACACCATAATCCTAACCAACTTCTTTTGGAAATGTGTCCTATTACTTTTCATTGAGACTTACTTCTAAGCAAGCATGTAACCTGATTCAAAGGCCTAAAGTGGCAATTCTAATCCCATTTACCTAAGAGCAAGCCTCATTAACATGCAATAAAACATAATTTCTGGGGTGTTAGGATTGCATTGTTCCTCTCCAGTTAAGACTGCTGCCTCATTCAGCCGATCCAGTTAAGACTGATTCAGCCGATTGAAAGCAGAGAGACATCCTACCATGGTACTTGAAATAAACCCCATTTCATGACTCAGATTTTGGCAACCTTAAAGGTATTATCTGGGAGCGTATGTGATTGTTTTACATGTTTTAAATATGTTAAATTGTTTTAACTGCCTCATGTTGGGGGAAAGGTGGGACATAAATAAATATATCCTAACAATAGTAATTCGGTAAATAAGTAAACAACGTGAAAGAGAACCCCTCTGTATTTTGAGCACAGGCTTGCAGCCTATCCTATGGAGAGCTTCTGTGGGCTTAAGAGCCTAACTCCGCATAGGAGTGAGCTGTCCCTCGGGACGCACCAAACGCTTATGTACCCCAAATTGCGAACGGCGGGGTCAGCACTTGCCCAGACTTCCCGACGCGGCCTGGACGGCCTTCGGGGCGCTGTGTACGTGAATAGGCGGCGGCGAGAAGCCGAGCTCTGAGGGCCCAAACGGCAAGCGCTCCACAACCGCCAAGGGTGCTTGCGTTTCGCTGGAGGGGTTGCCGTGAGAGGCCTAGCCTCGTCGCTCAGGAAATAATCGCGGAGCTCGAACTTCCGAAAAGCCACTGCTATTGCCTCGCGCTATGCCGCTCCCCCTCCCCCGCCGCGCCGCCTTTCCTGCCGGCGGCATTGGCTACTGGGAGTCGGAGCTTCCCACTAGGCCTGTCCTGCCTGTGGGGATAATGTACCAGGCCTAGACAGTCCCCTTGTTCCCCGGCTCACAAGGGGAACGTGCGCCCTCATACGCCCGGCCAGCCAAGAGTCTCTTAACAGTGGAAAAGCGGGGCGGCACAAACCAGTCGCTTGGCCGCTGCCACTAAGCGAGCGAGCAGGCGAGTTTCCGTTGCCGGAGCGGAGAGAAGAAATGTAATAGGACTCCGGCGGCCCCCTTTCCCCGCCCACGAAAGCCTGCAGGCGGCAGCGGAAAGGAAGTTTCACCATCTCTGGGGAGGTGAGCATCCCAGGTGCACGTTGAGGCGTGTTCAGGTGAGGGCGGGGAGGCTTGCTTGCTGTTATATACTAGGCAGGGCAGAACAGGTGAGGGATAACGTGCTGCTATTGACAATTATAACGGAGTGCCATCACCTCGCTCCGCCTCCGCGCCCAACCCGTTTGCAGAAAGGGAAGCTGCAGCTTGCGATCTTCCCGGACTCTGGATTGGAAGAATCTGCCATTAATAGAGGAACCCCCCCCCCAACAACCGCCTCAAACTCGTGCAGATATATGTGGCTGCTTACTGTCGTTGCAAACTCAAAAGTCCTCAGGTTAAAATCCTAAGCACTTGCAAGTAAGCCCCATTGGATTCAACGGAACTTGTTTTTGAGTAAGCAGGCAGGAGATAGTGCCAATCTGCATTACAAGATTGTTGCAAATAGACTTGAGATGCATTAGGTTAGGGAAAGTACCAGGGATGCATTTCTAATGCAATTCCCAGCAAGTAAAATGCATGGAAATCCATTACACTTTAGAATAAATGTACAGAGGACTAGGCTATGGACTCTGCGCCATGAAAGCTTGGGTCTTGATAAGTTTGTAAGTGCCACAAGACTCCTAGTTGTTTTTTGCTTCCACAGACTAACATGGCTAGGATGTATAATGTTGTTCACTGTAAAGCTGAGATGGGATAGTTATCTTGTCAAGGACAAGTGTTGAGAAAAGAGAATTAATATTTATTTGTGCTTTTCACACGTGGAATTCTTGCATAGATTTAGTTCTGTGTTGGAATTCATACTTATTCCACGTGTTGGAATTCATACTTATTCTACCCTAGGTAGAAGCTGGATTATCATTCATCAATGACCCTCTGTCCTATGGGCGGCGGCCTTTTCTCTGGTAGATTGTTCCAGGTCGGTTAAGTAAATAGACCAACCAAATTGAAAGATTATAAATATAAATATAACCTCGGAGGGATAGTCAGGACAGGGAGAAAGGTAATAATAACCAGAAGCAGATAAATTAATAATCTCAGTACTTAAAACTTGGCAGAGGTAATAAAATAATAATAATAAAACATAATGATAATAATCATAAGATCCTAGGCGAGGAATCCGGGTGACGACACAGATGTCATTCAGATAGCAGCTCTCAGTTTCATTGCTCTCTCGATAAATTTGGCAACCTTCTCTGTTGTCAAGCTGTTCTGGTTGGCTAGGAGTGAGAACAATTTGGCTTCACAAGAGCGGCCCGGGATGGCAGATAGGAGCGGCGTGATGGTCTCGTCCCTGAGAACATGTTATATTGAAATTCCAATTTCTAAAAATGCAGACTGATGCATTTACTTGAGAATAAGCAGCATAGCAGGAATTGTTTTTCAAAACAAACAAACAAACAAACATAGGATCACACTTCCTTTGTAAGAAAAAGGTATTGGATCAGTTGGTGCCAGGAAGATTTCCATTTGAAACGTATTAGGCACATTTTTGCTTTTACTCAGTCATATTAAAACTTTTTAAAATGTCAGCTTGAGGTTGGTCTCTCGCATCTCCACCTGCTTTTTCTTGACTCTGTAACACACTGCTTTATGGTTTGTTTGTGTGTTTTTGGTAATATCCCCATTCTCATAAAATATGACTCAAAAATGACTGACCAAAATGTGCTAGATGAAATATATATATCTAAATTTACAAGAATTGTCATTCGCTGCGTCCATAAGGATTAGGAGTGCTGAATTGTCACCTTTGTTTCATGTGTGTAACTCTGCATTCTTGTCTGGAAATACAAAGAACCATTTCTCAACTGGTTAGGATTCCAGAGAAACCTTTTCTTTTTCCTTTTTGCCAGAATTTAGGCTTGACAAATGTCATAACTAATGCTTTTTCATTCTTTATACAGAATGGAAGCCTGCAACAAGACTGTTGAAATGGCTTTCCAGCTAACAACATTTTTTTTCCTTCTGTTGGAAACAAAGCAAATTATTTCCCATCTTTGTGCATTTTTCCTTTTGAGAAAGTAGAGCCATCAGGGCCATCTTGTCTGCTAGATTAATTAAACCAGTCTTGCTTCTTTCTGCTTTGACCTTTAGATGGAAGGAGACCAAGCAGCAAGCAGTATGAAAACACAGACAGTTCACTTACTTCCAGAAGAGCAACTAGTGGCACTACATCACCAGATGGTGGAAAATCAGGCATCCTATCAACACAGACTACAGAATTCCCAGGAGGCACAGCATAGGCAGGCAGTACTTGTACAAAAGTTACAGGCAAAGGTAAAACCATTACATTTCTAGTGATATCTCAAACAAGGAGATGATGAATTTTGAGTAGAGAGCTCTTGGTGGATGGAAGAAGGGTACATGAAGAATAAAGTGCTTGCTTGAAAACAAGTTTCCTTCTGCTGTTCTTCTAAATATGCATTTTGGGCATAGAACCTTTTTCCTGACTTGGCGAATTGCTCAGTTCTAAACTTGCGATATCCCCCGTTTTTCTGTCTTTCTGAAAACCTGTACCCCCTCCTCCCCGAAGCAATGAGCTGCTGTGCCAGTTGGTAAATATTAGCATCATTGTACTACTTCAAAGGCACTCTGCTGTGCTTGCTGGAAGTTAAGCTGATGCATCAATAACCAGCTAATTTGCCATTTGATATAAATGGTGATATAAATGCTGGCCACATGACCTGGAAGCTGTACGCTGGCTCCCTCGGCCAATAAAACGAGATGAGCGCCGCAACCCCAGAGTCGGTCACGACTGGACATAATGGTCAGGGGTCCCTTTACCTTTACTTATGTATGTGAAATGTACAAAATCATCCCTAAACAACTTGGAACAAACTCAGAACTCTTAGAATTTCATGAAGGGTGTTGCTGCATACACACTCTAAGAGGTAATAATAATAATATACCAACTTTTCCTGTTTTATTGCAGGTGCTGCAATATCGTAATTGGTGCAAGGAGTTAGAAATGCGTCTGGAAGCAAATAGGGTAAGTTTTAAAGTATGTGAGTACCATTTTTTTTGTGGTTTTGCTATTGGTAACAAAGTGTTGGAGAAATTGGTGCCCTTGTCCTGGCAAGTGATCACTGCTAAAAGAAATTAGCATAGTTCAATATATGCTGTAATGTCACAAACAATGGGCATGCTTATTTACATGGAAACTAGCAAGGAAATCAAATTATGACATAGCTTTGACTAATCTTCTATTATGAACAGCAGGTGTGTGTGGAGGGGTGGATTCTCACTGGGATAATAGTGGGGCCAAGTGATTATAGTTCCATTTTCTCCAGTTATTTTCAAAAATAAGCCACACAAGGACTAAAGTTGTGAATGACACTGTGTCTTGTTTGGCCCTTAAGCATCTTTCATTAAGCAAGAAAAACCCTAAAAATGCAAGCAAATGCACTTCAAGTTGTGCTCATCTCAGCTGTTCACTGGCTTATTGATTCATGGGACGTTAACAAGGAGATCCTGAAGTGAGGAAATAGACTTAATATGGATGTTGTTTTGATTAAATTGTCTGCCTTTTTTGCAAAGGGGTCCCATCCACACCAGTGGGATCGTAAAGAGGACCGTAGTCTAGAGAAAGCGCTGATCCAGTTGGAAGAAGAGCAGCAGAGGTGAGTGAGCTTTTGCAGAAGCTTTATCTTAGCTGGTTTTTGGGGAAAGCAGTGCAACAGCTGCAGCACCATCATTTCATCTTATTGGGACCTTTACAATAGAGATTTGCTAATCCATTGCCTTTCTCCTACGCTTCAGATGTGAGAATTTAGCTGGGGTGAACAACTTGCTCCGTGAGCACTTGGACAAAGCCAATGAGGTGAATGGGGCTCTCCGAGAGGATGTCAGCAAGCTGATAGCTGACTGGACAAGGGCCAGAGATGAGCTAGAGCACAAGGAGAGCGAATGGCATAAAGAGCGGGAGGTAGGAATGTGTCACTAATAAGATACTGGGTAGGGAAGGTGGATTTCCTTATTGATTAACCTTATATTCTAGGCACAAATACTCATTTCTGGTTTGGCAGGCATTGGCTGGGATTAAGAAAACAGTAGAATATTAATTCAGGGTGCGTACAGATGTACATTGTTCTAGAAGTCAAGACGCTGTGGAAATTGTTTCATATTTAATATACGTAACTTATACTGTAAGTTATAGACATGCAGTTCCCAGTGAATGATTTTCAGAGGTAGTGTTGTGAAGAAAAATAACTCCTGTATTCAGTATAGATCTGAACATACCTTTAATTGATGTGGAAAATGCTGTGTATTATGAGATTATCCTATACGATCCATGCATTCTAGGTTAGAAAAGTATTTCTCAACCATTTGACTTCTTTCCAGACTTCTCAATAATTGGTCAGTCCTAAACAGTATAATAAAAGCTTTTTCAAATTTCAGAGAAATGTATTTTTTAACAGTTTAAACAGACTCAGTTTTGTCGGTTCTGAAAATCTTTAACATGATTCTGAATGCTGCTGGCAATAATTAAATATGCATTTTTGAAAGAAAGCAGTTTTTGTTTTAGGCTGGGAAAATAAAGCTGTGACTTGCTGTTGTCTTTACATATATAGTTCTTTGAGAGTTATATGCGGACTGAACATGATCGTCTCTTTGGCATATGGCGGCAAGTAGTGACCTTGCACCGTTATTTTGTGGAAATGAAGACAGCAACTGACAGGTGAGGTTTTTCTGTCAGTTGAATGTGAAATCATTTGCTGAACTAAAATAGCTGATTAACAGGGGGGGAAACTGACTCTAGCTTTTCACGTCTTTAAATCTGTAATTTAATTTTTTTTGTCCAGTATAGTATTATTTGTTTCTGTTTCAGGGATCTGTCTGAACTAAAGGCTGAGCAAGCAAGACTTTCTGGCTGTATACTTGTCAGTTGCTTACACTTAAGTTCTGGCACACAGCTCTTGGATACCAATAGTTTTGAAAAACTTACCCTGAGGGGACAGGCCCAACAGCAGCAACTTCATATCAGGCCCAAGAAGTTGGATATGGAAAAGGAAATATACCAGCAAGCACAAACAATTGTGAGTTTGCATGTCAAAGGAGAATTAGCAAAGGAGGATCTTCATAACAGGTAAAGTACCTCCTTAAAAGGCCCCACTAGCTGCTGTCCTCATTTACTGTAGATTTTTTAAAGAGTCAGATGGGACATAATAACATAACAGTGCTGCTGAATCAGACCAAAGGCCTATTGAATCTAGTATTCTCTTAAAGTGGCCACCTAGAAGCTCCTGCAGCCAATCGGAAGCTACACCTTGGTTTTTGAATGGTTCCGGGAGTTCAACAGACTCCTGGAACGGATTAAGTTCAACAGCCAAGGTACCACTGTACTAGAATCTCAGAGATCAGTCACTGATCCAGAGAAGGGATTCAACCCAGTGTGGTTTTGTCTCTAAAAAAAATACTGACCGGTGATTCTTGAGCTGGGGGTGAGGGGGGGTGAGGAAGAGGATAAAAAAGACAAAGGCTATATTTTAAGCTAGTATAGTTGATGTCAAATGAGTTGTGAAGTATAGACTAAGTGGTTTGGTGTCTGCAACTTTGGGCATGTGAAGTTGGATAGGAGTATGTGTTGCTGCACAATTTGCTTCATAACTTTTTTCCTAAGGTGGTTGGAGATTTGCATTTTTTTTAAAAAATGAAAGCTCAAATCTGTGGGCCCTGCCTAGGGTCACCAGTGAAGACTTTCACAGGTGCAGGATTGACAACCCCTGTGCTAATGTGTTAGCCGCCCTGAGCCCGGCTTCGGCTGGGGAGGGTGGGATATAAATAAAAAAATATTATTATTAGTGAAAAGCCTAGTGTGCTGTAAATGCTTCTCTTCTTTTTCCAAGGGTGATAGAGTTGACTGCCTTGCTTGAACAGTCACAAAAACAGAATGAGGAGAAGGAAATGTCAATGAAGACTCTCAGAGACACTGTGGAGATTCTGGTATGTTTGCAACTGTTTGAAAAATAATCCAGTGGCTGTTGTGGAGAAACGTTCCTTTGTCCTATTGTAAACATGAAGAGGAACTGCTCATTCCGTATATATATCTAATAGTAGAGACTGTCAGCACTTAGAATAGAGGTGTCTAAGAGCGAGTTGTTGTGAAGGGTTGCAATTCTCAAGTGATTCTATAGTATAGAATGCAACAACTGGAAAAAGGTTATCTGAAGTTTCTGAGGAAATCTGCTTTGCTTCTTTCTTCTGGACTTGCCTATAGACAGACTTTTTTAAAACGTATTTTCTTTGGCATCTTAGTTCTGGTTAGTGACGTAGCAGGCATTTGGAGACACTCCACTGATATGATGCTGTCATTCAGTACTCTTCTTAAACCTGTGCTCTAAAATATGAGCTATATCTGAGGGAATTGCACCTCTAGAAGAAGGTGTAAAGGTAAAGGGACCCCTGACCATTAGGTCCAGTCGCGGACGACTCTGGGGTTGCGGCGCTCATCTCGCTTTATTGGCCGAGGGAGCCGGCATACAGCTTCCGGGTCATGTGGCCAGCATGACTAAGCCGCTTCTGGCGAACCAGAGCAGCGCGCAGAAACACCGTTTACCTTCCCGCCAGAGCGGTACCTATTTATCTACTTGCACTTTGACATGCTTTCGAACTGCTAGGTGGGCAGTAGCTCCCTCTTAATCTCCCTTATTCTTTTTCTAGGAGGCTGATCGCTTGCGGAAAGAATATGAACAATCACTGAGCAATAATACACATGAAGAGATACTTTCACTTCAGCATGTGATAAAAGAAATAACTGAGGTAGACCTAACTGGAATCTGTCTTCATGGTTGCTTCTGTAGAATTTCCCATGTCTGTATTTAAAAACAAAATTAATGAAAGCAGATGTGGTATAAACATATGATCTAAACTTTAAACACAGGTTTTGCATATTTTGCACCTGCTCGGGGCACTTCCATTTGTTCATGTATTTCAGTGTTTAAAAACTGATTTCAAAACTTTTGTGAGGACTAAGCTTGACACAAATTAAGCCCTGGTACTACTACTACTACTACTACTATTATTATTATTAGTTGATTTCCCTTGGCTGATTATGTAATCCTAGATTTTGCTGCCGCCATTTTGCTGGGTTGTATTTTGCCCCATCATCATAATTTCCCATCCTTGAAAATGCAATGGATCACTATTTTCCAGCAGAAGTGAAAGACAAATAGGTAGCGAGGTGCAGTGTTTTGATTGTACAGAACTGAGAAAGTAACGTTGGTCTTGGATTTCAGGCAGTAATCAATGAGAGTGATGCAACAATTGGCACCCCACAGGATGAGAACTATGCTGAGCCTTGTAGCTTCTTGCAGTTGAACCCTGGTGACCCAGAGAGGGCTGTCCTGCTGGTGCGTGAGGTGCTGACTAGGAGAAGCAATGAAGTGCAGGTGAGAGAATTTCAGAGGTTCCCTTGCCAGTAAGACTATCACATCACCAGTAGTAAAACTCCACACCTCGTATAGCACTTTTCTCTGCCTTTGATGCTCTGCCTTATAAATTTCAACCTCTTCCTCTTCCTGCTAATAAGTATTCCTAGTTCCGTCAAGCTGGTTTTGACAGTCATTTCTTTCCCAGACAGGTCTTGCATTGGTGATTTGTTCTTTCCACTTTTCTAATCTAATCCCTTTCCCCATGAGCATTCTGTTTATGTCCAATCTTACAACTTTCTCTTTTTATTTTTTTATTATAATTTTAATTAAGTTTTCAGTTTTACATTTCAAAATAAGCATTTTGCAAACTTTAAAATACCCAATGATTTCCCTCCTTCTCCTTCCATGGTTCATTTTACATGTCATACATTCCTGCATATTTTACCATAACCATTCAGATCAGTTTTCTTCTTTTACATCAATCAAATATTATTTACACTGTTGAATTTATCTTAATGATGCCAGGTTTTTCAGCTGTGTACAGTTATTTTCCATTTATTCAATAAATGTTTTCTACTCTTATTTAAATATATGTTCTTCTTGCTCTCTTATTCTATATGTTAAATCTGCAAATTCTGCATATTCAATCAACTAAAGTTGCCAATCCTCTTTTGTTGGGATCTTGCTCAGTTACCATTTTTGGGCTAACAGAACATGGGCCACAGTTGTTGCATACATAAATAACCTTTTATGACACCTTGGAATTTCTGTCTGGGTTATTCCCAATAAAAAGGACTCTCTTTTTTGGGGCGGAAATAATGTTAAACATTTTTTTCAACTCATTATAAATCATTTCCCAATAAACCTTTTACCTTTTTACATGTCTACCACATATGAAAAAAGGTTCCCTCCACTTCTTTACTTTTCCAATACGTATCTGATCTTGGCCAACCTATCTGGAGTTAAACACTATCTATGGATCATTTATAAATACTTCTGTTTTAGTGAGTAACATGCAATAAATTTCAGATCATTTTCCAAATCTATATTGTGTCCTATATCTATTGCCCATTGTGTCATTGAAATTTTAATAAGCTCGTCTTTTGTTTCCCATTCTAATAAAAATTACACATTTTAGACAGACGTTTACCCTTGTAAAAGTTCTTTTTCAGATTGTGAGCTTTGGTCCAGAAATCCATTCTTTTAATCTAATTTAAACATATTGTGTGTCTGTTGATATTGTAGCCAATCCGTAACCTGGCTCCTTAAGTTTTCCATTGGTTTCAGTTTGGGTTCCCTCCCTGTAAAATCCAGCAGTTCCCTGTAAGTCGCCCATTGTCTATCCATATTAACTCTCTTAATTGTAATTGCTTCGATGGGAGTTAGCTATAAAGGATTTTTTATTTCCAGCAGATTTTTGTATTTCTCCCAGACTCTATACAGATTCTTTCTAAGAATGTGGTTCATGAAACTCTTATAAATTTTAGCCTTCCCATACCAGATATGCATGTCAGCTAAATTTTAATCATGGCCTACTAAATCTAAAATGTCTGCATTGCCCAATACAATTCATTCTTTTAACCAATTCAAACAAGCTGCCTCATAATACAATTGCAGGTCTGGCAGGGCAAAGCTTCCTCTTTCTTTTGCATCTATCAGAATTTTTTGTTTAATTCTTGGCTTTTCTCCCTGTCATATGAATTTAGAAATATCTGTTTTTCCATTCTTTGAAGAAGCCTGGATTATTTACAATCAGATTAGATCAGAATAAAAACAGGATCCTAGGGAATATATTCATTTTAATGGGTGAAATTCTACCTAACATGGGGGAGAATGAAACTTTCCCTATCTCCAACTCTTTCTTAACCTCTTTCCACAATTTAAATATAATTACTTTCAAATAGGTTGAATTTGGGAATTTGTCAGCCAGATTTCCAAACACTTAATTTTTTTGCTTATTTTTAAACCAGACATCCTTTCTAAAAAATTTATCGACTGCTCATCCATGTTTTTGACCAACATTTTGGTTTTATATGGGTTTATCTTGAAACCCACCACTTCTCCAAACCTTTTATTTTCTTCCAATGTTTTGGGAACACTCTCCAAAGGTTGTTCTTGTGTCAACTGCACATCGTCAGCAAATGCCCTTAATTTACAGTCTCTACATCCCACCTCAATACTTTTAATTTCTCTATTTCTCCTTACATTCTGAAGCAATATTTCTAATGTCATAATAAACAACAGTGGAAATAGGGGACAGCCTTGTTTCGTTTCTTTTTCTATTTGGCATTTATCTGAAAGAATATTGTTTACTAATATATTTGCAGATTGATCAGTATAGATTGCTTTAATTCCTGCTAGGAAAGAATTACCTATTTCTATTTTCTCCAGAACCTTAATCACAAAAGACCATGAAATATTGTCAAAAGCTTTCTCCACATCTAGAAAGATTAGGGCAGCCTGTTTTTCATTTCTTACTTCCAGGTAAATTGATTGCATTTCTTATATTGTCTTTCATTTGTCGGCCTGGTCTCTGTGAACTGACTCAGTGTCCTTTTCAATCTACTAGCCAAGATTGTAGCAAATAGTTTATAATCACAGTTGAAGAATGAAATTGGTCTGTAAATTTTAGTCTTTGTTAAGTCACTGTCTTGGTTTGGGATCTGGGTAATGAATGTGTGTTTCCATGAAGCTGGAACTACTGCTGTCACCAGAATTCTGTTTATGGTGACCTCAACCTTACAACTTTCTCTGCCTGTACATAACATTCCTTCAGTCTTCAGCTGCTGCTTCTCTGTGGACTAATGCTTAACCACCTCTGTCTGTATATAATACCCCTTCAGTCTCTCACTTTCCCCCTAATCATTATATTTTGCCGCCTTCTGCAGCACCTGAGACAGCAGCTCTTGTCTAGTCAAAATTCTGTCAGCTCCCTGGAGAAGCAACAAGAGCAGCAGAAAGACCACTGTAAGTTCCTAAGCCAAAAACTTGAGCAGCTAGAAGGAGAGCAAGACACACTCATTAGCCAACTTCAGCATCTGCAGTCCATGGTGGAGACTTACCGCAGGTCAGACATGTAATGCTTTCCCCATCTTTAAAGACTTGTATTGTAAAATAGATCCATATGCTTCTCTTGGCTTGCAGTGTTCTTTCCTCTTGTCAAGTCAGTAGGTTGTCTCCAGTGCTAGTCCTACTCAGAGTAGACCCATTGTAATTAATGGGGGAAAGTGGCTTTTCCAGTGGGTCTACTCTGAGTAGCAGTTAGCTGGATTCAGCCCAATATCTCTCTGGATTTGAAGCACCTATTTAAGTTGTGAATAAACCTTCATATGTGGACTGTGCTCTTCAAAGTTTGCCTGGGGCAGTTTGCATCCACAGGTTGGAGAGAGACAGTACTCAAGAAGTCACTCTGCCTTTCAGATGTGATGGTGTCCTCATTTCCCTGTATTCTCCAGTAGCCCAGATAGGAAAAGGAGGATGCTCAGTCAGTAGTAGCTAAACAAGTGCAATGAAACTTTGCAGTGTATCTCTGTTTTTTGTTTTTCTCTAACTGAAGACTTTTTCTTCTCAGTGACCATGTCACCCTGGATAAATCCAAGATAGAATTACAGCAACAGCTGGAAGTCTTGGAACAGGAAGTCCAGCACTTGCGCCGAAGCAATACTGAGCTGCAGCTGAAAGGAGACATGGTGGATGGCCAAAAAGAAGAACAGCAGCATCAATTGGAAAGGATGCTGCGGGAGAGAGAATATATGTGAGCCTTTTGTCTTTCCCCCCCAAAGGGCAGTAAGTTTGTTGCTAGGGAAATACAGGAAAAAGAGAAGCTGGCAAGAGCATTCACAAACCCAGTTCTTACAACAATCCCTCTCCATTTTATGAAGGTTGTGGAAATTTGGAATCTTTGCACTTTCTTCACCCTCTTGTCAGGATTGTGTATGGGCTCTGCCATTTCACTTTTAAAAATGAGCCCCTCTGGATAGCATTTGTGAAATTTGCAAAAAAAATAATAATATGGTGCTGTATGAGGATTTTTATGTTAGAAAATGAAATTTGCAGCCCCGGTTAAGCTTTGGAGCTCTCATGTACTTCACTACTTAAAATAAACAAGTGTATGTGTTCATTCAGTCAGGAAGACCGAAATGCTCTTGAAGAAAAGCATTCATTGTTGAAGAGTGAGTTGGTAGCCATGAAAGAAGCACTGGAAAAATCTCACCTTGATGGAGAACTGGTGAAACAAGAAAAACATGAACTTGCTACAGCGCTGGAGCAGGTACAGTTATTTTCTTTGCCTAGTAATAGCCAAACACACTCTTGAATTTAAACAGGAAACTACATAGACACTCACTGTAGACAGACACTGGCATGTTCATTAAACTGCTGTAAAGTGGTGGTCAGTGAGCATAACAGTAGAGTTTACAAAAAAAAATCAAAATTCTGGTATTGTCCTGTTCTGGGCAAGAGGCTGAGCTGCAAATCCAGTTCCCACAGCAAGTTTCCATGTTTCCTGGCCACCACATGCTCCCATCTCTTTCCCCATGGTTTAGTAAAGCCTGTGAAGGACAGTTATGGAGAAACAACATTGTAGCAGCATTTGACATTAGTGCATGTATATTGGCTATATGGCTTAAATTTATGCATCTGGGGCAATTCTTTATAACTTACCTTTGATTAATTTTGGGAGGCTAAAAACAGGAACAGCTGCAACTTTCCTTCTTCTCTCCTGCCTGGCTCCATTGCAGCCATTCTTCCACTGAAAGTCAGAACTTCTTGGACTGCATTTGATTTTGAAAAGAAAAGAAAAAAGGAGGAAGTTCAACAAATAATGTGTAATGTCTAGTTCCAGTCTAAGTAAAATGGTGCTAAAGATTTCTACTCAGAAGTGTTCTGGTTGTACTAAAAAAAGAAAAATATATATATCTGGCAATTGGAACGTGTTTCTGACACAAGCATTTGATCCTTGTGACTGGCTCAGAGATTTTTTTAAAAAAACATAAACATACATATTTGGATTGGTTTTTTCATGATCAATCAGAATAGTGGTTTTTTCATGGCATTTAAGCTACATACTCATACATTAGTAAAGTCGTTGGGTTTCTATTTAAGGAAGAAAAGGAGACAAACTGATGGAAAACCAGTGACATAATTGAAGATTAAGAGGGTATATTCTAAATAATCCAACAGATATTAATCTAGTCTTTTCCCCATTAGAACCCTCAGTGAAGGTTCCATGCCACAGGGAGGCATTGAGGATAGAAGTTATCTTAAAAAATATGTATGTATCTTAAGTTTTACTCGAGTGCTGCCATTGAAATTAATTGTTCTAAGTTAGCTATGTCCATTAATTTCAAAGGCTGTATTCTAACTGTGACTAATACAAGACACAACACATTGCCTTGAATGGCTTCAGAGAGTGAATCATTGATCTTTGGTGAGTGGGAGGCATTTGACTTTCCTCAATGGGGAATCTGAAATATCCAGCTGTAAGCCCTGCATACTGTTCGGGGGGAGGTGTCTCCTCACCTTCAGGGACAACCTTTTAGGGAGTGCAAGAGGTTGCTGCAGGAAAGTCCATTTGGACAGCATGATAAAATATGGTTTATTGTAAGTTAACAAAGTTAGGGGCAAGTCTTATTCTGCTTTTATTGACTGGTACTTCTTTGTTTTGTGTTTTTGGGTCCACAAGGCTGAGCAGTCCTTTGCAAAGTTAACTGGTGCACACAATAAGCTAAAAGCAGAAACTGCTCACCTTCATGATGCAGTTGCAAAGATGAGTGCCCTTAATGAAGCTCTAGCATTGGACAAAGTGAGTTTGAATCAACTTCTCTTGAAGGTAAGAAGACTGTTGCAGCTGAACTATTCTTATTCTGTGCAGCCTACAAAATATATGTAAGTAATTTGCTAATATGTAGGTTGCATTTTTAGCAGTTCGAAAGCACATCAAAGTGCAAGTAGATAAATAGGTACCGCTCCAGTGGGAAGGTAAACGGCGTTTCTGTGCGCTGTTCTGGTTCGCCAGAAGCGGCTTAGTCATGCTGGCCACATGACCCGGAAGCTGTCTGTGGACAAACGCCAGCTCCCTCGGCCAATAAAGCGAGATGACTGGACTTACGACTGGACTTAATGGTCAGGGGTCCCTTTACCTTTACCTAGGTTGCATTTTATTCAGAACGGGGGAAAGGAAGGCTGCTGTTTAAAAAAAAAAATTAATAAATTTTGAATATAGAAACAATCATACAATCAATTACAGTTCCCCCCATAACAACCCCAACTATGTCCAGCTTTATTAGTAGTAATAAACTGAAACATAAATTCAATAGCTGTCAATTTAAAAAATGTTGTTCCACAAGTTCCCATGGCCTATACACATGTTTTTTCTTCATTGCAAATGAAGTAAAAGTGGACCACATTTTGTAAAACTTTTGTAGATTCTTGTGTTGTCTTCTTTCTTGTACTTTATCTCTCAACCTTCCCATCAAGATAAAGGCCCAAACAATAAGCATACCAAATTTCATATGTTTGCATTCCATATCCTCCAGTGCCTTGCAAGAGCAAGAAGTGCTGCAGTTATAATATGCATAATTAAGTCTCTGTATCAAATATAATTTGCTTCAGCTGCAGATATTGAAATAGTGCCATTTTCACATCTAATCAATTTAAAAGTAATTTGTTCCATTTCCTAAAATACCCTTAACTAGAAGTTTTTAATCTGTGGCATTTTCACCACATGTGTATAAATGTTCCTTTATCCCCACAGTTTCTCCAACATTGTAGAAAGGTATTTTTGCATATTTTACTTAGTAACGTGGAGTGCTGGTACCATCTGTGGGTTAGCTTTAAGATGTTTTCTCGTACACGAGCAGAATTAGCTCAAAAAGGAAATATTTTCTCACATTCTTTCCCATAAAACATAATAAATTTCTTTTAAGTCTTTCCTATCTAGTCTTCAAATTGGAAGATTTTGATGTTTAAAAATTAACGATAGATTTATAAGCTATAAAACATTTTAAAACAAGGTTAATGAATTTGTCCCTTGTTTGCAAATTTCTGTGATACTGATGAAGTGAATGACTTGAGCGTTTACCATCCAATTGTGGGAGAAGTTTGTTGTATAGCTTTTCCAGATAAAGGGGTACCTCTGGTCTTTAAGCCAGAATATGCCCATTGAAGGCTGCTCTTTTATCAGTTGCTTCCATTTCCTTAAATGTAGATGGAGCAGGAAAAACAGGCACTTTTGGACAAAGTTGATCACCTGGAAAGACTAAGGACCTCTTCACAGAAACAGCTCAACCAGATGGCAAGAACAAATGAGGAACTAAGTGCAGACAAGACTCGGTTACAGCAGTTGCTACACAAGGCTGAGGGAATGCAGGAAAGTTTACAGGAAGAGTTAAAAGTACTGAGAGATGAACAGAAAGAGACTTGTGAGAAGCTGAGCCAGGTGAGTGTTAGCAGCAGACTTGAGTTATCCTGCATGGACATTGGGCAGCAGCAGTGTTGTGCTTCTGAAGTTGGGTTCAGTTAGATTATGGAATTCTGCTTGAACAGTGAATAGCTCAGTTTGTTTGAAGGTGGTGCTGATAACACCAAGGTTGCAGGTTTAATCTCCATATGTGACAGCTGCATATTCCTGCATTGCAGGGGGTTGGACTAGATGATTCCAACTCTACAATTCTATGATTCTAGGAATCTTTTCAGTAGCTAGTGCTGCTCATCACAAAGTTCATTTTACTGTTCTTGCATAAGACAATCTTTTCAATCTTATTTGTACTCCATAAGTGTTTCTGGGTAAAGTATGTTTTGCAGCCATTGTAACACTCATCTAGATTTTCTTCTTTTCCAATACACATTCTTTCTAAAATCTGGCCACCGGTGAAGTGTCACAGTAAAACATTAAGTGCGGTGGCCTTCAGGCAATTATATATTTTGTACTTTGGTTCTCTCCTGTGTATAGATAATCAAACTTCTCCATAGCAGTCCATCTGTAACAGATCCATTTTTCTTTGTAATGTGCAGTTAGGCAGGTCCATCTCTTCTGTGAGAACAATTTTCTATCCTTCAAAAGAAGCTATAGATCTATTTCTTTTTACAGTGCATTATTGCTTAAAGTGACAGAGCTTTGCCTTTTGCTATAAATTGATTTTCTTTCTCCTTCATAGGCTCACCACCAGCATGAGACATCTAGTACTGATTTGGAGCATGCACATCAGGAGTCAAGTCGTCTTGGAGAGGTGCTGGCCAAGACGTCCAAAGAAAAGGAATCATTAATGCGTGAGAAAGCCGCATTGGAAGTACGACTAGGGGCTGTTGAACGAGAGAGGTGGAGTTTTTCAGAGCAAGTGGCAGAGTACAGGTAAGAGGCTGACGAATGGAAGAACCTTGCCTATTTGAATAATTATTTAATGCAATCATTGTAGCTCTGGATTCTGAGAGATGACTTTCCATCAGAGGACTATGCAGCTTTTTGTGTCTTGGCTGTTCAACCATGTGGCAGAAGTAGTTCCACATCTGCAGAAAGAAATTCAACAAATGCACAACAGGAAAAATGTTTAAGTCAAGCCCAAGTTTGAAATCCCGTACACAGTTTGACAGGTCTGTTTTCCATAAAGCTGCAAAACTTACACTTAATAGTATTTCTGTTCTTCCAGACATTGTTTCTTGTATCAGCATGACAAATGGCCTGTGATTGTTGTCCTTATTGTCTGTATATTTAGAGGCCGACTGGTGCACTGCTACAAATGAATGACCTCCTTTTGTTCATAGTGTTTCCAGGGTACTCAAACTGGCTTTGCTGGGATTACATTTATCATGTCATGAGCAAGAGATTAAAGTCCCACAAATTCTGTATATGTAATTTGTAGATCAACAAAGGATCTTCTGGAATCAAGCCTCCTTCAAGCTCAGCTGCAGGTGTCTGACCTGGAAGTTACCAAGGGTCAACTGGAAATGAAAATCCAGGCAATCAACCAGGCCAAAGAAGTGATACAGGGTAAGATGTTTTCAAAGGCTTCCAGCAAAAGGTAGTATCAACAGAGCACCCTCCCTTCATGTGATAAAAGGCCAGTGGTCAAACAAGCTGTTATGCCTCATACATTCTGACTCCTGCTCTTTGTTTATTCTTACAGGAGAGGTGAGATGCCTTTGCACTGAACTGGAAGCTGAAAAGTCAAAATTTAAGCAAGAAAAGGAAGAAAAAGCACAACAGCTCTTGCAGGCCGAGCAGAAGTACCAAGAAATGCTTGACCACTGTCAAATTGTACATAAGGAGGAAGTTAATACACTACGTCAAGAGTTGGTAAGCAACCATATGGTCACCTCTTTAATTCATGATATATATATTTTTTGGGGGGTGGGAAATTGATCAGAAGATAGAATTAATAAAGTGGCTCAAAATGCCAGATGATTACCAAGACTTACTTTTCCATTCAACTGTTATGCCTTGTACTAATTAAACTATTAGTCTTTTAAACTACCTTGCTTCGGATGGGTTGTTTTCAGCATAATGCTAAGGTGAATTGTTTGTCAGCTCAAGGATTTCTCTGTGCACAATCAAGTGCTCCCCCCTCTCCTCCCCCTGTGCACTCTCTAAATCTGTTCTGCGAACCCCCAACACTCTGGAGTAGAATTGGTGTGGGACAGATGCAGGGGGAGGAAAGGTGGGGAAGCCAGGTTTTGATGGACACAGAAATAAGAATCTTACCTTAGATTGCCAGGAATTTCCCGTTGCAGCAAACCTTAGCAGAGGGTGCAGAGAGGTGTTTTGTACACATAATGGTCCAGTGTCTTGATCTCTAAACTCTGGTTCTCTTATACATCTGCATCAGGATGCTCTCTCTGCCTTAGCTGATAAAATATTAGTGATATAATGCTATTAAAGTGTGTGAAGAGCTCTGAATACCTGACATGCACATAGGCCATGTTGTAGTGAATGGAGGGGTGGGGTGGATAGCTTCCTTATACTATCCACTACATCGTAGTTAGTGTTATGGCTATAATAGTATGCTGCCTTGTTAAATGGATCTGGAGTAGTTGTGAGTGTGCATTTGTGCCTCCAGTTGCATGATATATCTCGTCTAAACCGTTGCCCAAAATTTTTACTCTTTGTTGTTGTTGTTGTTGTTTTTTACTTCTAGTGCGTTTTTCAATATAAAACAAATTCATGAGGTGCTTGTATTATTGTTGCATATAATTTTTACTTTAGTCTCTTCTGGCATTGATCAGTTTAGGAAAAATCTGTGCCTGGCAACCTTGTGGTACAACTAATTTGGCTTCCGCTACATCCAACCTTACACAGGCGCCTAGCTATTTTGTATTCTAGCTTTCCTCAACACCAAACATATAATAGCAGCAGAAAATGGAGAAAATATTCTGTTGCAACAAAGTCCCTAACATATCTCCACACCCATCTATTGCAATGTTACTCATGACTCTTTCATATTAGCTAGGCTTGGAAAGCACCAAGTAACATTTGGAAACTGGAAAAAGCATGATATTACTTAATCCATTCCATGTTCCCCACCTCATACACACACATAAAAGGCACAAAATGCTGCCAAGAAGAGCTCACAGTGCCTCTGGCATAGCTTATGCCACATCCAGTGGTTAGGAGAACAGCAGCTGATGTCTGCAGCCACAAGCACCCAATTTCCCAGTCTTTGAAACCCCTAGGAGCTCAAGCAGATCCTGTTTGTAAACAGTCACCCTTTTGGCATGGCCGCACAGAGAAAGGAGGACTGGCATTCCAGTTGAACAGTCTGCCAGTTCCATAGGCCAGTGACTAATAGGAAACCTTCATTTAGTACCCATAGGTGATAATTATTACTCTCAGAGCAAAGTGTGATAAATATCCTTCCCAGAAGCAAAACTCATAACACTATACACAGCATCTGCTAAGGTAAGTAGTAAACGTTACATCAGTGGCTAGAAGCGAGACTGTTTTTTCCTTTCTTTTTGTTCATTTATTGGAATTGGTTGAAATGCTTCCAGGAAGGTGAACGAGAACGCCACCGTTTAGAACTGGAGCAGGTGTTGGAGCGCATAGTCAAGGAAAAGGAAGAGAGTGAAAGTGTCTATGAGAGGAAGCTGCTGGAACTACAACAGGAGGTCGTTGCTGTAAAAACACATATGGAAGACGAGCTCATTAAGGCTGAAAATGCCAAGCAAGAGGTAAAGTTTGATAGGTGCTTTTGACCTAGAGACATCCCCCCACTCCTGCCTTTCTCTTTTGGAACCTTGTGATGGAATGGTATCTGCAGGAAGCTGTCTCCCGCAGAGCATAGTGATTGGATTTTGTATATAAGGGATGAGACGATCTTTTAGGTATCCTAAAAGCATGGGTGTCGTCAGGTTTTATGTTGGGGAGGCAGGCTTTATGTTGGGGGATAACCTCAGATAGTTAAGTATTTTTTATTGATTTACTTGTTAGAGGGAGGCAACTGCTCCCCTTAGCTGTGTCCATGCCTAAATGTATTATATGAGGATTGCTTAGGTGTTGTATGAGAAATGATGTATTTTAGGTATTATGTGAGAAGGAAAAAAGCTTTTCTCTATCCACTTATACTGCACCATGCATAAATTTATGCATCTATAGCATGTCATCATTATTCACCTTTTCTCTAACTAAAAAGCCCCCATTTTCTGTAATCTTTCCTCCCAGGGGACCTGCTCCAATCTTTTGATCAGTTAGGAGTTCAGCTGGAATGTTTTAAATTCTCTGCTTGCTAATATCTAGGTGCTGCTAGAAAAAGAGAATGAGAAGAAATCATTACAAGAGCTTCACCTCCAAACAAAACAGGAACTCACTAGTACTTGCCAGCAGCTAGATTATCTCCGTCAGGAAATAAAGAAGAACCAAGAGAGGGAGCAGGTAGGAGTAGACCAGAGCAGAAAAGCTTATGACATCTACCAAGAATCCAGCAGAAAGCTATGACGCAAATATGAAATAAAGCATATTAACATGATAGAAAGTTGGCTCAATGAATGGATAGTTTAGACCAATTACATGGTGTGTGAAAGGTTTTCCTAGGACTATGTGCATAGAATTGATTTCAGAACTCTTGCCCAACCCAACCACATTTGATAATGCTTCATTTTTGAAGAACTGCTTGTTGAATGCCTGTTAATTAAGGTTCAGACTGTTCCTGCATTTTTCCAAAGTTGTGACATGTGATAGAACCAAAAGCAAGGAGATGGGTTCTAATTCTAATGCAAAATTGCATCTTATTAGCACCTATCAAATTTTGGCTTACGTTTGGTAACTAAGGCATTTATGAAATCCTTACACAAAAGTTTATCCAAATGGTTTTAGACAAAACCATAAATGAAGCTACTTGCAGCTTTTTCTTGTTCTGCCCTCCATTTTTCCAGTATAATTTGAATAAGATATATCCAAAATCCGCCACCTTGTTCTTTTTTTAGAGTTCATTTTGATGTCAGTGCAAAGATTTTATCTTTCATTGCATGCTCCTCATGAACCCCATTTCTCTTTGTAGAGTATAATCCTTAATTATGCCCTACATTTCCCCTAGATACTTGGTATGATTGTTAATATGCTATATTGAAATTTGCATTTTATGTCTGCTTCATAATTGTTCATCTTCTTACTGTCATTTATTGATTTTTGACTGAAGTATTAAGTCTTCATCCCACAAGATTTGTGGCCTGACTGTTGTGAGATGTAGATCATTTTATCTTGTGCAGCAGTTGCTGTACATGTATTATAATTGCACATTATAAAATAGTTCTCAAACCTGAACCTTGGAAAATAACTCAACTTTTTTGGCCGGGTGGGGAGTGCAGGATACTTTGCAAGGTTTGGAAGCTAAGCTGAAGGAGGCCCAAAGTACTATAGAAGCACTAGAAAAGAAGTACAAGGAGGAGCTCAAGTCTCTCAAAGAAGAAATCAACTTTCTCCATAAACAACGAGACTCTTTGCAAAGTCAGGTGATTTTACTTAAAACTATGTTCTAAGCATTTCGTTCAGTGCCAAATATGTGGTTTTTCACAAGCTGCTTCAACAAGTAGAAATGGAAATCTCTTTGTGGGGTAAAACTAAGTTATGGGAACCTTTCCCAAACCATCGTGGAAAATTACTTGAAGTACTAGGGAAACCAAAAAGCCATTATTTGAAACAGTTTTGGAAAAATTTTGATGCAATACTCCAAGAAAAGCTATGTGTTTGGTTCTGTATAAGAATTCATAGGCATGCTAAAAATGTATTCTGTTTCTTTCATGTTACTCAAATGGGGCAATGTCTCTATCATGCTTGTAAAAAAGTCTGGCTTGGTTTATGAAGCAAATAAAAAACTGCATTCTGTTAAAGTGGATGTTTGAATTGACATGAAACTCTGTTTCTTGAAATAAGATGCTTGTATCTATATTATCTCCTCATGTATACTAAAATAAGTGGATACTGTAACTGCTGCATCTTTGCTGTTCTCCTGTCTATTTCTAGGTACAAGAGTTGCAGTCACAACTACTGACAGAAAAAGATTCTTGCCATTTGATTAGCCAGGAGGCTCAGCAGCATTTAAGTGACATACAAGAGTTGTCCAGACAGAAAGCATTGGAAGTTGCACACCTCCAGAAGATGATGGAAGCAGAAAGAAAACTTCGAGAAGAGAGAGAACATCAAAACATGGAGTTGCAGAATCAGAAAGAAGAGATGGAGCACAGAAACACAGAACTGCATAATATGCTGCAAAGTCAATGGGAGGAAGAACAGCATCTGAACAGAGAGCTGCAAAGCAAGCAGGAAGAAATTGAGCACCAACGTGCCACAGTTCAGGCCCTGGAAAGGGAGCAGAGCCAGTGGGAGAAGGCAAAGCGCCAGAGTTCAGAGCAGCATTCTGCACTCCAGAGGCAGTGGGAGGAGGCAAAATGTCAAAATAAGCAACTGCAAAATCAGAACATAGAGCTGCGGCACCAAAAAGAGGAGGTAGAACGTCAGAATGCACAGCTGAAGGCTGTGATCCAGAGACAGCAGGAGGAAGCGGAACATGAGAGTGTGGTGCGTCAAAACCGTTGGGAGGAGGCAGAACAACGTTATTTAGAGTTGCAGAGTTGGAAAGAGAAAGTTGAACATCAGAATTCAGATTTGCAGGCCCTTCTCCATACCCAGCAAGAGGAGTTGCAATGTCGGACCATGGAGCTGCAGGCAAAGCAGGAGGAGATGGAACAGCAGAGCACTGCTCTACAGAAGATGAAGAAGGAACGGACTCAGTGGGAGGAAATTGAACGTCAGAATTCAGATCTTAAAGTAGCATTGCATGCTTTGGAGCAGAAACACACCAGGTGAGCCCAACTTTCATAATTTATGGGTGGACTAATTGTCTCAAATAGCTATCTCACCTCCACACACCCGGTGTCTAAACAGTTAGGTATGTATACATAAATTTTCAGAAACTGCACTTTTCAAAGCTTCTCTTGGAGAAATACTGGGCATTAATTGTCTACTCACTTCAGATTGCCTGATCTGGAACTTTTGGCAAAAAGGGGTCCTCCTAAAATCCCAGCCTTGGCTGGGATCAAATAGTGCACGGCGGTTGTGTCTTTCTCACACCGCCCTGCCAGCTCTGAGCTGCATTGCGATGCAGGGATCTGATCTGAATGGTTTGCCTGGTGAATCATATCCTAGCCTCACAAAGGAGTGCAGGGCTGACAGGGCGGTGTGAGCAGCACCCCCCAGAAAAATGCACCCAGGGCCATTGTCCCCAGCCCCCCCAACACTGTGCCCCAGCTCTCCACCCCATTTATGAAGATTGTAACTGGAATGCCTCCTTTTCACTTAAATCCCTCTTTTTGTCCCATTACATAGAAATTATACATACAAGATATATAGTTTGCACTTGAGATTATCATTTATTTATTTTTTAATAATTGCAGTGTCTTGTGCACATATGTTGGCACACTGTTTGTTTGCCATAGCCAAGTCTTTCATAAGTGTGTCGTGTAAGAGAACCAAGGTGAAAAGCCAAGTCTTGTAGTTGCTTGCATCGGGTTGTTGTTTTTTCCCATTCTGTAATAGAAGTCCTGCTTTTTTCCGGTTTCAGTTTGGCTGCATCCTTGGAGGAGAAGGAACTCAGACTCAAGAGACTGCAAGACAGTGATAGTGCTCACCAGGGTGAAGTCACCAAATTAAATACTGCACTACAGCAAGCAGAGCAGCTGCTTGCTGAGCATAGCCGAGAAGAGCAGGAGCTCACTAGACAGGTATTACCTGGAAAAAACTCAATACAGGGTGCAATGCTGCTTTTTATTTTTCTGCCCTACTGCCAGCCCCCATCTGCTTCACATGGTGTTTCTGTTATATAGCCCCCCTCCCAAACATGGCTTCTTTTCCATAACACACTGGCTTCCAAATATACGTGTGTGTGTGTGTGTGTGTGTGTGTATAGAACTCATATTAATACCTGATGCCTGGTCCTTTTCACAAGCAAATTATATCCTTATCTCCTTTCTATGCAAATTATATCCAGCTTCTCTTCTTTGTTTGGTTGATTATTCACCCGGTGCTAACTTCTTTGCATTCTAGTCCACCATTCCAAAATCATTGCAAGCTGTGTTGCTTTCCCCCAGATACAATCCTTCAGGGAAATTGTGCTAGAGAAGGAGGCTGCCTTGGTAGCTCATAAGGAGCAGCTTGCCCGGAACCTGGAAGAGTCCCGTGCTAGTGAGCAGTCTTTGAAGGACTCCATGAAAATGCTGGAAGGTGAAGTATCTCAGCTCCGCCTGAGCCTGAGCAGCACAGAGAGTCGGGCAGTGGCATTGGCATCGGAATGTCAGCGTGCTTGTTCTGCCCGTTGGGAGGCACAGTCTCACTTGACTAAGCTACACTCGGTTCTGCAGTACATGCTGTGCAAAAGTCCCGAGGCAAAGCTGGAGCATGGAGGGAGAGGAGACAAAGCTATTCAAAGCTCATTGTTCAGTGCAAGAGGTGAGTCTAATAAGTCGACTAGTATTATGTCCTTTGCAAGTAAATTGTTGAACATGTGACAGAGCCAGAACTCTGCAATAGGGGAAGGTACCTTTTTGTGTGTGCTTTGGTGCTTATTACTTATTTTCTAATATGATGTCTTGAAATGGCACACCTTTTCACGTTGATTCAACTTCAAATGGAGTGGCAAAGTGCCCTAATGTTGCCATCTTTGCCTAAAGCTAAGATAGTGAGTGACACCTTGCTCCTTTCAATAGCAGTGGTATAAATTGCTTATTTAAGCAGCCCCTGCCAGCATGTGGCACATGTCAAGCCATTGGCTGTCTCAGGTATACAGGATGGAATTGATCTTTCCTGAGATTAGTTGGGATAGCCCAGAGGAAAGAACAGGCTGCTGTTGGAGGCAGAGGTGACTGATAGCACCAAAAGTCTTGAGGCCACTTCCTTGTAGGGATGGTACAAGGTTTTGTGTAGAAGGAAAACTCAACTGTGCCAAACAGTTAAGAACCATCAAATGACAGAGCAGTGTCAACTGTGTCCTGAGAGTTGAATCAGACGCAGAAGATTGGGGTGGTGAGACTGGCCAAGGTGTGTAGATTAGATGGAATGGGAACACTATCATTTTTCTGTGGAATATTGCTGAAAATAAGTCATAGTGACAAGTCTTGGGCCTAGCTACAAATTACACTGATACCTTGGATTCTTGTTTGTGTGACAGCCCTGACATCTTGTGGATTGTGTAGATAATGCACTGGGTATGATAGTTACCCTGTGAGGTCAAACTTTTCAAGAGCTGTGAAGCTGTTGCTTTGTGGGTACTTCCACATGGAACCCCTCTGCTGATTTCTTTCCCTTCTCATTCCACTTTTGTCAGAATACAGGGTAGCGTGGCACCATCCCCACCTTTCCAAAGTTTTTGTTTTTACACCTATGGTATTCCATCCGCATCAGTAGGTGGTGCATATCTGAAAGTGCCTATCTTGTTCTTGGTGATCCTTGCCCACTATTGCACATCACTGAGCATGCACAGAAAGTATGAAGCAGGGTCTGATTTTTGTAATTGTCCAGCCGCAGGAAATGTTTGACATACAGTTGTACAATTGCCCGTACATTTCGTAGTACATCTCTCTTGCTGCACCTGCAGAGTTGGGTTGTTTTTTTATAATAATAACTGGATGGGACTTGCACCTTGTCAACAAGCCCAGCTTATGCACAGCAGAATTGCCATCTCTTTCTCCTTCCTTTCAAAGTAAAAGCAACAGATGTGGCTATTCTGGAAATAAAATGGTTCAGATGAGCCAAACTGGAACCAGGCAGAAGTGGCTATAGAGCTCACCTCAATAAATGCCATATGATGTGTCAGAAACTACATTCAAAAATGGAATAGCTTTGCTCTGAAACAGCCGCATCTTCAGAGTTTTCGCATTTATACTGGACTTAACAGTAATACTTAGATTCTTCCAGGGAGAAACTGCTTTAACAAGGGTGGCAGGGTAGGGGGCAGATGTACTGGAATGCATACAATTCAAGCACACGGTCGTAGATCTCCCCACCCCAGAAGTGTGCTCGGGGACACTACAAATATGCAGTAAATAGTAATCCTCTGTGTCTTTTTGCTATATTTTTCTTGGAATAAGCAGTGTCATGCATTATTGGTACTATGTCATGCATCTCTTCCATCTCCCCACCCTTATCTTGCACTGAAGAGTTCTTGCATTACAAGAAAAAGTGGACAGTAGCAGCAGCTCCATATCTCTTGCAGCATCTAGTTCTGCCTTCAATGAAAAATAATCCTAGAATTTTCTATATCTTGTCTAACAACCCTTCAGCTAGACGCTGTTACAGAGGAGGTTTATTTCTTCAGAACAGGATAATGGGACGGGACTGTCTTTATCTCAGCTGAAGGACCTTTCTGCTGAGCTTACAGTGGAGAGAGTGGCAGAAGCTATTCAGGACCTGCGGCAAGAACTCTGGCAGACTCGCCTAGAGCGGGTAATTGTTTCACTTTCTTGAAAAATAATAATCATATCACTGTCCTTGATTGGCATCCAAGCTTAAATGATATAGTAAACTTTTGAAGCATAAATACATTTCCCATGGATTAAAATAAAAATAAAAAGCATGTTGTTTCAGCCTTATTATTAATCCTCCATGTGGTGCCTAGTATACATTAAGTCAGCCTTGGTCAATCTGGTGCTCTCCAGATGTTTTGGTTACAACTCCCATCAGTCTCAACCAGCTGATGGTTGTCATCCAAAACATATGGAGAACACTAGGTTACCCAAGGCTGCATTAAGCACTATAGTAATACAGTGGTGCCTCGCAAGGCGAAATTAATCCGTTCCGCGAGTATCTTCGTCTAGCGGTTTTTTCGTCTTGCGAAGCAACCCTATTAGCAGATTAGCGCTATTAGCGGTTTAGCGGCTATTAAAGGCTTAGCGGCTTAGCTGCTAAAAGGCTATTAAAGGCTTAGCGGCTTAGAAAAAGGGGGGGGGAGCGAAAAAAAATCTCAAGACTCGCAAGACATTTTCGTCTTGCGAAGCAAGCCCATAGGGAAATTCATCCTGCGAAGCGCATTGAAAAACGGAAAACCCTTTCGTCTAGCGGGTTTTCCGTCTTGCGAGGCATTCGTCTTGTGGGGCACCACTGTAATTATCAGGATGTACCATTGTATTGAATTTATTTTTTCGCTTGTTGTGTTTACAAATGAATCTCCAGCTTGCTTAATATAATAATATATGCCATATCTGTTCTCTGTCATACTAATGGTTCTATGTGGCTCACTAGGAATGGAGATAAATATTTGCCTTAAAAATATTATAGTTGGTTCTGTCCATCTGAATTTTCCGCTGCTGCTTCTACTAAAAAATTCTGAGCTTAGCAAAACTTGTTGCTCCGTGATTCAGCTAACATCTGTCCTTTCGATAAACTTTGCTTTTTTTAGTACAACTAGTTAACGGCTGGATATGCAGGAACTCACAATGCATTTTCCTATCAAATTGGCAAAACTGTGTCCAACAAAAACTGATGACTCTGTCTTCTAAAGCAACTAAGGCAACTGCCTAGGCCTCAGTGTGTTGGGATTTGCCATAGTGTCATTTGCTGTGGAGAGAAGATAATTTTAGGAACAGAGGAAGCTGTCATATGTGGAGTCAGACCATAGGTCTATCCATTTCAGTATTGTCTACATTGACTATCATGAGCTCTCCAGGGTTTCAGATGGAAAAAAATCCAAGTTCTATACAACTTTTTACTGTTGACTTGGCCCTAAGATGCTACTGGAGACCAAACTATATGATACACAGTTTTATGTAACTCTCCCCTGATGCTTTTTATGTTTAATTTTTTAAGAAAAGTAGTTGGTGGACCCCGTATCTAGAGTAGAAATTTGGTGGGTAGGGAGGTAGAATAGTGTTTTTCTTAGTAGGCAGTTTTCATCTCAAAATTTCTTCCTACAGGAGAAAAAGATTTTGGAACCTCTACCTTTTCCTGCAAAAGAAAAAGTGGTTCAAATGGGGCAATTTTTGAGATAAAAACTAGTTGGCGAAGAAAAGGTTTACAGTATACTTTATACAGAACTCTGTGTGACATATAGTTTGGCCCTGAAAAGGGGATTTTGTTCATTGTCTTTGGGGGTTCCTGGTCTTTCTCCTTATTTTACTGTTCTCTTCATTGGACATGCATAGCATACATTGTACCCCTTTCTTTTCTTGCAGGATGAGATGAGAAAGAATTCAGAAAAGCTGAAGCAAGACCTCAGTGAAAAGGAAGCAGAAAGAGACCGCGTCAGTGCCAAAGCTGAAGAGCTTCAAAAGTGGCTAGATCAAAGCCAAGAAGGTATAGACTCCTCATTTTCACTATGGTGCCTCAGAAGTGTCATAAATCTCCCAGAAGTAGAGATGTCTGCTCAAAAAGTGGAAGCTGGGGGAAATCCACAATATGAAAAACATTAGATGTCAATAAAACGTGCTGCGTCATGCATAGCAGGGGTTGGAGACAAAAAGATGCCCTTTTTATGCAGAAAGTTTTGGGTGAAATATAAGAAGGAATAAAGGAAGGTATCTAGCAGCTGTGGGACATTAAGTTTTCCAGATCAGACATCTACAGTGGTTTTTTTTAGAGAAACGGTTCCAAAATAGTTTCCCTTGCAGGGGGCGGGGTCACTGTTCAAAATAGCTGCAGCTTGTTATGTTTTTTTGTCTAGTTATGCCATTTCTATCCCACACTTCATTGCCAGGTGCTTTCAGGGTGCATTACATAGTAAAATGCAGATGTACACAATAAAATTGAACCAATAAAACATTAAGCAGCATTAAAAGTATTCAAGTATGCTCACTTTAATCTATTCATTGTCATACAAGAACATGTAAGTCTCAAAATACTGACCTCAATCTTCACCAAAAGTCTGGAGGAAGAGGTAGATCTTTCACTGGTGCCAAAAACAAAAAAATTGCTCTTCTTCTTACATTCTCCATTTCAGAAAAAAATGTGAAAGAAGGCAGACGAGGCTCCCTAGAGTCTGCCTTGAAGGCAGAGGTCATTGCTTTCAAAGAAGAGAATGTGACTTTGCATGGGAAGGTGACTGCTTTGGAGAAGACTCTTGAGAGTACAGAGAAGCAAAGAAAGGATGTAATGGTAAGGCTAGCAGGTGGTCTGCAGAGGTCCAGTTATGAAATTGGACAGGCTCATGAATATCTGATGGGGAGTGTTACTATTCTTGATGTGAGACAGCATCTATTAGGGATTTACTTTCCTTCTCTTACAGCTTTTGCAGAACCATGCCCACTGAACCTACAGCATCCTCTACTTTTTGATAATGCTATACTTATCTCCCACAGCCTGTTTAATGCTTCCAACTAATTCTTTTGCATTTAACTGCAGGGACTGAACAGTTTTTGATAAGCAACTATCACTAACACAAATGAAGAAAACCCAGAAGAAATAATAATAAAAATAATGAAATTCAGTGAAGTGTCATAGTGCTGTAGTCTTCTATTATTCAGAGCCTGATTTTTAATTAGTTGTTTGCTCCTTGTGTTATTCTGTTATGGCTTAAAGATTCTCTCCATCTGGAAGAAATATTGCATGCCCTCTTGTGAACATTTCAGAAAGTTATTCTGAACTTGTCTATTATGTGAAGTGATGCCACTTCAGCAGACATTTGGTTAAAAAGAGAGGTAATCAGTTCAGTTTTTATGTAAAGCTTATGTTGAAAACCATCCTATTTCCTGTTAATATATAGTTAACAATAAAAGTAGGGTGGTTCAGCTAACATCATAGCCAGCTTAGCACTCTGCATAAAGAGAGCAAAGAGTTGCAGTTTGCTTCTGCATTTTGAGTAATTATATTTCTGTTTCAGAATGAACGAGACTTGTTACAAATGGCCAAGGAAAAGCTGACATGGGAACTGGATCTTCTTCGGGAATCTGTCACAGCCTGTGAAATTCGAGCAAATGCCATGGAGAAGATGAATCAGTCCCTAGAACAAGAGCTTCAGGCAACTCTCTCCACTCTCAAAATTAAACAGGAGGAAGCAGAGACTCAACAAAAGAGATTTAAGACTTTGCAGCAAGATGCAGAAGTGCGAAAAGGTTTGCAAGAAAATCTGGATTACCTAACTGTTACTCTAGGAAAAAGAGATGAAGAAATAAAATCCCTGCTACAACAAAACAGAGAACTGGAGAGGCACAGAGAAATGCAAAAATCTGCTGTGGAACATCTCACTAAAGATCTAGAAAAGAGAGAGCAAGAAATTGAATCTCAAAACAAACAGATTAAAGACTTGGGAAAGCAGAATAAAACACAGGAGGCTGCTCTAGAGAGACTGAATATAGATTTAGAAGAGACACTCCAGAATGTGAAATCTCAACAGGACAAGATCCAAATACTAGAAGACCTGTTACAAAACCAAAGCACTATAATGGAAAGCCTGAATTTGAATCTGGAGCAAAAAGTCAAAGAAATGACAATCATGGAGGAAAAAATCCACATTGCTGAAGAGAATGAGTCAGCACAAATTGGTGCTCTGCTGAAAGAGTTGGGTGACTTGAAAATAAGGTTGAGTGAAAAAGATTGGGAACTCGCATCTCAAAAGCAGCTACTTCAAGAACGGGAAGAACAGGGGGGGAAGCGGGAAAAGTCTCTTCACACCAGCCTAGAACACATGAAGGCCATTCTCAGGAACAAAGAAAGGGAGGTAGAATCCCAGAGGGGACAGATAACAAGATTCCAGCAGTGCGAGGCTCAGCGTGAGAACCATCTCCATGAACTGCAAGAGAAAGTAAAACAGATGACATTCATGTTGACCCAGAAAGATCAAGAGCTTGAGTCACAAAAGCAGCAGATAAAAGAGCTGGAAGGAGAAATGGAAACAGAACTAAAGGCTCTTCGTGAACTTTTGGGTAAGACAGAGGCATCCTTGAAGGAAAAGAACACGGAGTTGGTGTTTCAAATGAAACATGAAGAAGAACTGAAAAGGCAGTTAGGAGTTCTGCTTGGAGATGTCCAGCACAGGGCAGCAGTATTAAAGGAGAGAGATGGTAGTGCAGAGTTTCAGAAAGAGCAAATGCAGCAGCTGAAGCAAGAAGAGCTGCAAGAAACAGCTATTGATTTGTTGGAGCAACTCAGGGTGTTGCTAAAGGAGAGAATGCAAGAAATTGAGTCCCTGAAAGAGCAGCAAGAAGAACACAAGGAGGAGAAAGAAAGGCTTGTGAGAGAAATGCAGACAAATCTTGAATTAGCAGAGCATGCTCAGAGAAATGGTGAGAGGCAACTGGAGTCCTTCAAGGAGGAGAATTGCCAGCTTAAGCAACAAGCGCAAAAAGCAGCAGCACACACTAAATCTCTATTGGAGAAACTGGAGTTGAACAGATCTTCTCTTCAAGACAGAGACAAGGAGATAGAATCTTTACAAGGGCACATAAAGGAACTCTTGAGGCAGAAAGAATTGGAACAGAAAAGTATAGCGAGCCTAAAGCAGGAGCTAGATAAAATGAAGCAATTAATGTCAGAAAAGGAAGATGAGCTTCACAAGCAGGCTGAGCAAATTAGCACATACCAGGTTAAAGTAGACGTCACTCTTGCAGAATTACAGGTATGCCAGAATCGGGCAAGTCATCTGGAGGAAGTAATTAAACAGAGAGAAGAAGAATGTGAGAGAGGCCACCAAAAGCTTCAGCACCAACACAAGCAGTTAAAAGAGGATGAAAAAGAAGACTTTTTAGAAGAAGGGGAGAAAGAGAAGAGAACTCAAGATGAGAGAGTGCAAAGGCTAATGAAAGATGAGATGAAGGAACTTCTTGAGAACATACAGCATCTTCAACATGCACTGAAGAAAAAAGATGAGGAAGCTGAGTGGCAGAGAGAGAATATTAAGCGGCTGGAAGAGAGAGTTAGTGTTAAAGAGAAGGAATTGTTAACCTGCAGTGAACAGCTGAAGGAAATTGTTTCTCCTCTGAAATCAGAAGAGAAGGGAGACTGCAATTTACAGAGCTATATCCAAAAAATTCTTATGTGGAAGGAGGAGGAGGCAGCCAAGAACAAGTCTCTTCAGGAAAAGGAGCAGCAGTTGCAACGGCAAAATGAAAAAATTCAACACTTGGAAGACGAGAAAAGAGTAAAGAGACAGGAATTTGATCGTCTGACCGCTATTCTGAAACAGACAGAAAGTGAAGAGATAGAATGGCGAGAGAGAGCACAGAAGCTGGGTTTGTCCCTGGCCCAGAGTGAAGAGGCCTTGAGAGCCCTGAGAGAAGAAATGGCTATTGTACAGAGCATGGTTTCGGAAAGGGATAAGGACAGGCTTCATCTTCAAGTAAGGATTTTAGTGGTGCTATTTAAAAACTCTGCAAGTTGATCTGTTATAACAAAGGGGATTAGACAAATTCACAGAGGATAAGGCTGTGAATGACTACTGGAATGATGGCTATGTTCTAGCCCCACTAATGGAGGCAGCACATCCCTGAATAGCATGAAATCACAAGTAGAGAGGGTATGGTTGCACTTGTGTCCTGTTTGTGAACTTCCCACAGACATCTGTTTGGCTGCTATGACAGCAGAATGCTGGAGTAGATGAACCTTGGGCCTCATTCAACAGGGCTCTTCTTACACACTCTATAAAAATAAAGTAAGATTATATTTCGTGGTATGGTTGTATCTGTCCTTCAGTTCATTTTGTACTTTGTAGTAGGAGACTGTCTTGGCTAGATAGCATTATAAAAATGGGATTTTAGTGAGGTACCTCCGTGTTGCTCTCCAGATTTGCTGGACTACAACTCCCATCAGGCCTAGTTATTACAGCTAGTGGCCGGGGGTGATGGGAGTTGTAGTCCCGCAACAATGGGTGGGCACCACCTTAGTTACCCCTGCTCTGGGGTGTAATTAGCAGGATGTGAGTAACTCATAAGATGAAGTAGGAGAGAGAAAGAACCCAAGTAGCTGTGGGTTGAACCCTGACAGACACATCCGCATTTAGATACAGTTCACTTGTGCATAATACTCTAGGGACACAGTAATAACATGTTTAAAAAGTCTGTGTAACTACTTGGGTACTTAGGTAAGTGAATAATATGGTTTGTTCCGCAGGAGCAGTTAGATACAGCTTTCAGAGCTCTGGAGGAAGAGAAACTAGTTACTAAAGCTCTGGCAGGAGATGCAAGTCTGCTACTCAAAGAAAATGACATGCCAGAAGTAAGGCAAAAGGAGGTTGGAAAGGTAAGATAAAGGAACAGGTGGGAAGGATACCAAAATAGAGAAGAACACTTGAATTCTGATGTAGAAGGGGCAGTTGTTGAGTTTCCCAATTTATGGCACATGTCTAGTTTAAGGGGCTAATTGCCTGATTTTAAAATTTCCAGTAACAACAGTGCTGAGACGGGGTTCTTTCCAAGAGAAGGAAAAGACTGTGCCCTATCCATGGAGTAAAGTGTCTGTTCTGCATATATATCAATTCCAGTATCTTTTATGGTCCCTTCTTTACCCCACCCTGTTTTCTTCATCATGCAGGATGTGAGAAAGGAGGGAGAGCTGACATGGATAGCTGAAAGGAGACTCTTATGCAAACGCCTGCAGCTTCTGCAGCAAGCTGTTGCCAGGCTGGAGAATGATAAACATGGCCTAAAGCAGCATAATATGCAGCTTAGAGGTGCACTAGAGCAGGTGAGATTACAAAAAGAAGAAGAATCAGACTTAGTTCATGTGCCTCCTCCCCATTTCCCGGTGAAATTTAAACCTACCTTATCACTCATTGCCCGCCCCTTAAGATACTGTAACGGTGCCTGCTCCTGATTTTTCCAGTGCAGACTTGTACTGATTTAATGGGCCGGTGATCTTTTTGTTATTTTCTCTCATACTCTGTGTTCAGAGATTCGGTGCTTTCTAGAATACCAATGTCCTGTGCGACCTAGCCTGCTCAGCTCCCGTGCTTGGGGTCGTCCATTTTCACAACCTTCTTCTGCTTATCCCTGTTTGTCCTGATGATCATTGTCATAATCTCTTTTGTGAATGCCCTTGCCTGCTTTTTCTCTTGTCTTCAGGTAGAACGTGAACGTAGGAGACTGAAAAGAAGTCATGGAGACCTTTCTCTGAGCTCTGGCCTCTCCCAGGCTGATTCTGGCACCCAAAAGGTTCCATCTCTAGCAAAGGTCTGAATACTTGCATCCCATCCATTATTTTTGTTCTGTAATATCCTGTAATATCTTTTCTTCTGGATATTAGCATGCTGGTCTCTAAACTCTTTTTCAGTGCTATTGTTGTCTTCAGTTGTCCTTGGATAAATGGAAGAAAAAAATAAATTTCCTCTTTAGTACTTTTCTCCCATGTTGTAGGCGTCTTGAAAATAAGCAAGTGGCTGAATCTTGTCACTTTTCTCTCTCTAGGAAGAAATTCAGGTTCTCCATAAGCAACTGGAAGAGTTACAAAAGCAGGTGAGCAGTTCATTTCTATAGCACCCTGAGGCTTTCAGAACGGTGTGCCTCTTTCTCTACCTCTTCTTCCGTTTTGCATCTCCACTGTAGATGAGCCCCTATAGTAGAGATGGCTAACCTGTAGCATCTGCCCCTACAAGCCGTCCTTTAAAGGTAATAATAATTGGAGCTAATGGAGATTCATTGAAGCACTTTACCATCAGTGGCATCTGGACAAATCTTTTAAGGGAGAGAGGATGTATGCTTCCTCCCCACCTTAATCTGTTGAAATCTTAGTCCCTCCTTTAACATAGCTGTTTATTACCGATCATGTCACTTTGCTCTTGTTCTTGTATAAAATGTTTACTTACACAGCTTACTATGCAAACACTGAAAAATGTTAGAAATGATTAATAATAATAAACCTGGATGATAAAAAATGGGACTGAAGGTGTTCCTTGCTGAGATGCAGAACTGTTGAAAGCAAGATACTCAGAATCAAACCATCTAGTAGTTCCTGATACTATCTTTTTCGTTTTTAGGTTTCTGTTCTACAAAAGCAGCTGTCATTGGAGCGGAAGCAGAAGCAGGATTATGTTGACTGCTGTGCCAAAACAAGCCAGGAGCTTTCCTGCCTACACCAAGAGCTTTCTGATTCTTTAGCTGCTGTGGCTAAGGAGCCCGAGGCTGCTGTCCTGGAACTGGAGACTCGCAAGTTGGATGAAACCCTGAACCACAGCTTGGCAGTAGGCTGGGATGGTTTCTTTTCTGGAAAACAACCAATAAACTCAACACCCAAAACAGTCCAGAAGACCTCAAGATAGCATGAAGGAAATGGCAGGAGTCAGAAGCTCTGCAGAAGTGCCTCCATCAGAACAATCTGGAAAGACTCTTTCATCAACATGAACTTCAACCCATATTGAACTGCATATAATCATTAATATGCAGGGGGCTTCACCTCACTCAACTAGGCCTTGGCCCCAGGACCCATGCTGGCAATTTGTTCATTGTTTGGAGTCAATCATGTTAAAACAAGCTGTGAAATAACAAGAATAGCTGGTGGGCTGCAAAATAAGTAGCTGAAGATATGTATTGTGGAGATTGTGTCATAGAACAGAACTCTGAGCTAAGGATGAGAATCAAACAAAAAAAGAGAACTGAATTTCTGGTGGGGAGAGTAGAAGTGAATTGCTGAAATTGAGTCCTGAGGGAGATGGGAGTTCACTAAAAAAAGTTCCAGCCAGATTTTACACTGAAGTGAGGTCAGAACTGTATGTTCGGGAGGGATTCTAACCAAAGCAGCATTATCTGAATTCCTTAATAATTTTATTGGGTAATGAGATTTTTTTCAGAATTGATGTCTTACCCTGTTCTGAATGCAGCAGCTCATTGTAAAATATCGTTAAAGTTGTTCAATATTTTTGTACTAAATATTTTCTTACTATTTATAAATATATTCACTTTAACTTTTTTAACTCAAATACCCTTCCACATTAAATATGTCTACTTTACTTGATCACTTCAGTTCCTATCATGTTTGTTTCTGTTTGTTAGGAAGCTGTACTTCCTATGCTGATTTTAGCCCTTAATGTCAGTACAGTGGTGCCCCGCAAGACGAACGCCTCGCAAGACGAAAAACCCGCTAGACGAAAGGGTTTTCCGTTTTGGAGGCGCTTCATAAACGAATTTCCTATGGGCTTGCTTCGCAAGACGAAAGCCCATAGGGAAATCTCCGGTCCGCTGAAGCCTGGGCGCGCTGATCTCAGCGCGCGCAGGCTCGGCATGCCGGCAACTCTCCGCGAGCAGCGGCAGCGCTGCCGCTGCTCGCGGAGAGGTCCGCGAGCCTGGGCGCGCTGATCTCAGCGCGCGCAGGCTTCGGCATGCCGGCAACTCTCCGCGAGCAGCGGCAGCGCTGCCGCTGCTCGCGGAGAGGTCCGCGGAGCCTGGGCGCGCTGATCTCAGCGCGCGCAGGCTTCGGCATGCCGGCAACTCTCCGCGAGCAGCGGCAGCGCTGCCGCTGCTCGCGGAGAGGTCCGCGGAGCCTGGGCGCGCTGATCTCAGCGCGCGCAGGCTTCGGCATGCCGGCAACTCTCCGCGAGCAGCGGCAGCGCTGCCGCTGCTCGCGGAGAGGTCCGCGAAGCCTGGGCGCGCTGATCTCAGCGCGCGCAGGCTTCGGCATGCCGGCAACTCTCCGCGAGCAGCGGCAGCGCTGCCGCTGCTCGCGGAGAGGTCCGCGAGCCTGGGCGCGCTGATCTCAGCGCGCAGGCTTCGGCATGCCGGCAACTCTCCGCGAGCAGCGGCAGCGCTGCCGCTGCTCGCGGAGAGGTCCGCGAGCCTGGGCGCGCTGATCTCAGCGCGCGCAGGCTTCGGCATGCCGGCAACTCTCCGCAAGCAGCGGCAGCGCTGCCGCTGCTCGCGGAGAGGTCCGCGAAGCCTGGGCGCGCTGATCTCAGCGCGCGCAGGCTTCGGCATGCCGGCAACTCTCCGCAAGCAGCGGCAGTGCTGCCGCTGCTTGCGGAGAGGTCCGCGAAGCCTTGGCTGGACAGCTTTTGAAGGCAGGTGGGGGACAAGACTTCGCCCCGCCAACCTTCAGAAGAGGTCCAGGACCTCTTCTGAAGGCTGGCGGGGGCGAAAGTCTTTGTCCCCCTGCCTGCCTTCCCAGGGGCTTTAATTGCCCCGGACAGCGGAGAAGTCCTCCGCTGTCCCGGGGCAATTTTAAATGCCGCCCGCCAGCATTTTAAGATCGCCCGGACAGCGGAGAAGCCCTCCGCTGTCCCGGGTTTTTAAAATGCTGGGGGTGGGAAGAAAGCCCTTGTCCCCCCCCCCCAGCCTTCAGAAGAGGTCGGGGGACAGACTGTCCCCGGACCTGGTCTGAAGTCGGCTTCCTAGGAACGCATTAATTGATTTTCAATGCATTCCTATGGGAAACCGTGCATCGCAAGACGAAAAACTCGCAAGAAGAAAAAACTTGCGGAACGAATTAATTTCGTCTTGCGAGGCACCACTGTATAATGGTATAAGCTTGTGCTGCTGGACCTGCAACTGCAAAAAGAAACACACTCATACCTCTGAAATAAGTATGTGCTTGTCTCATACACTCCTTTTTTGAGATTTTCCCTCAGATCCTGTCACTGGTTGTTTTTGTAATGCACAGTGTCCTTTCTTCACAGCTTCATCAGCATGGCAAGAACTCCTAGGTAAGCTGAGTTAAAATTGCACTCTTATTTTATGTGAAACTTCTCTTTTTAAGTTTGCAAATTCCAGTAACTGCCCATGATCCCCATTTTGCTGGCTGGGAGAGCAGAGTTTGGTAGAAAGTTGCTTTTACAGTCTATTTTCGGGTTACACAGTCTGAAGCCAGGTACCATATCATCTGAAACATACTCCTGTTTATCTATAAAAAATTAACTTGCCCTATATCAAATTGATCTCAGGCTAGGGTTCATTTAAGACAAGTAATCCATCAAGAAAGAGATAATTTCTCCAATTTATTGTTTTATCTTAAATACAGGGTGACTAGTTCCTCTAGCACAGGGGTGGGGAACCTTTATTCTCCTGTAGTTGTCCTGGTACCACTTTTCCTACTCAGGCAAGAAAGAGAAAAACAAAACTGGATATCACTAGCATGTTTAATGAGAGGTGCGGGCTAAAGCTGGTCTGGGTGTCCAGCCAAAAACCTCTCCTACAAAATGTTCGGGTTGCCAACAAAAGTAGTCTTCTTCAATTGATCCCCCAAAGCCCTTTCCATTCCGCAGAATACAGAATATATACACACACACCCCTCGCAAAATCACTGCATTCATTCCTCTCTACATGGAAACAAGCCCCTTTCTTTCAATGGGACTTCCATTTTCAGTTGTCTCTTTAGGATTGCGGTTCACAACCCGAGTTGGGGTGAGGGGAGAGGAAAAAACCCCGTTGCTACTTTTAAATTCGTTGATGAGGAGGGAAATACGCTGTCCGGCCAGGGCTGCACTAAAAATCCTAACCGTCTAAAAAAAGCGGGACCGCGTGTCTTCTTAGGGGGGTTGTATGGCATCCCACTCCTCTCTATCGTGGCTGCCGTAGCAACGGGGGGCGGAGCGGCAGAGCCCCCAACCGGAAGCAGGTTGTTTTTCCGGGTCACGGGGAGGGCGGGGTGGGAGTGCCCGTCATGGAGTCGCTCGGGAGGCTGAAGCGGTTCGATGCGTTTCCCAAGACGCTGGAGGATTTTCGGGTTAAGACCTGCGGCGGGGCGCTCGGTGAGAGGCGTCGCTTGCGGGGGGCGGCCTAAATTGTGCTCTGGCGAGGAGCGCCTTCCTTGCGGCGGGAGCGGTCTTGCGGCTCGCGGGATTCAGACGCGACTTACTCACGATGTGCTGCTTTCATTTGCGTGTCCCGTGTGCGAGTCTGTTACGTGCAGTCGCGTGTTCGCGCGTTCAGGTGACGGGCTTGGTTCTCACGTGATGTTTCATCACTTTAGCGACTTGCAGCTGAGCTTTCCTTCCCGGAAAGCCTCTCGTGGTTGAGATGTGGCCCTTCTGTCTACGGTGTTTTTAATCCGCGCTGGTTTACTCGCACGTGTAAGTCTCCTCGATGGCAGCGGCAGCAGCATCAGGAAGGCTGGGCATGTGGGTGCGAATGAACCAGCTCTGGAAGAGATGCAAAACATATAGGAAGCGGCGTCCTTTTACTGTACTGCTCCGAGCGGCATAGCAGGTGTGTGGTCGGTTTGGTTGTGGTGCAGAGCCTCTTCATGATCAGGCAGGAGTGGGAAGAGGACTAATTCTCAAGAGATGCCCTTAGTCAACTCAAGACAGCGACTGGTTTAAAGAGATTTTAGTTTTTAATCAGGAAATGTCTTGGGTAACACTCCTTCAGTTTAGTAAACTTACTCTCCAGCAGATGTATTTTGCTAGCCTGGCTTGCTAAGAGTCTCCAATATTTCCATGCTGGCTGCAGAGGATGGGAATCTCCCATTTTTGTGTGCCCATTATGAAGACGCAAGAGACTAGTCTCTTAGCAACTAGTTAGAAATCTGTCAAGTGTGCTGGCAGAGGAAGAAAAGAGCTTAAGGGAACCATCTTCCCTTTCTGCTCATCCAACATAAAAACCAAGCAGAGAAATCCATTGCTTCTCTGCTAGCCCACTATGCTCTCCCCCTACCTCACTTTCTCTTATTAATAAAACCTTAGTTCTGTAAACACCTACAGGGAAAGGAGTAAGAGGGTAAATCAAACCCCTAGCAAGTCTTGATGGAGCAGTATAGCTACCATTGCTACCACAGTACCACAGCTTGTGCTGGGGAAGCCCCTTTCCTGTTCAGTGGTACCTCGAGTTAAGAACTTAATTTGTTCCGGAGGTCCGTTCTTAAGCTGAAACTGTTCTTAACCTGAAGCACCACTTTAGCTAATGGAGCCTTGCGCTGCTGGAGCACAATTTCTGTTCTCATCCTGAAGCAAAGTTCTTAACCCGAGGTACTATTTCTGGGTTAGCAGAGTCTGTAACCTGAAGCGTCTGTAACCTGAAGCATATGTAACCTGAGGTAGCACTGTACTATCTCTTGTGGCACAAGGCTAGCTCAGAATCCAGTGGGTCTTTTGCCAGCCTAGTTTCAGCCCTCGAATGCTCTGTTTCATGGGTTTCCCCCTGGCTACTACCTTCAATAATATCCATCTGCCATTTGAGGTGGAGTCACAGATAGAGTCAGGCAGGCTGGGTAGAGGGACAGTTGGCCCTATTCACACCCCTATTCAACACTGCAGATTGAGGAGTTGGATTACTCTCTAAACTCCACTGGACAGTGTGGGGCTAACTTCTGAGTAAATATGCATAGGATTTCCCTGCAAGGCTGGATTTTCCATCTATTTTTGCTATTTTCCTGGTAGATACCAACACTGAACCAGCATAGTTTATATTTATAAATAAGCACATGGGAAGCTTTATACAACACTTTTTGTAGTATTTCTTTGCATGTTCATATGGCTATACCAGGGGTTTTCAGCCAGTGTGCCATGGTGCCATGGGTTGCCTTGAATGGTGGTCAGGGGTGTTGCAGGCAACACTGGCCTCTGCCCTTCTTTCCTTCCCTCCCTCCTCTGATGCCCTCTCACGTCTTTGCCCCCCCAAGGCTTACACAGCTGTTTGTTGCAGCAGCCCTGGCTTCAAGCTCCCCAGGCAAATTGTGCCTCTGGAGAGGAGAGGAGAAGAGGCTGAGGGAACACTCCAGAAAGGCGGGTGTTCAAAAAGGGCTGAGGGGCTGCTGGCTCTGCAGGCAAAAGTCGACATAACTGGGATCCTAAGTCCCACAGGGGTGCTACAGAAAGGATGTAGTTGGGTCAAGGGAGCCGTGGACTTGAAAAGGTTGAAAACCTCTGTGCTATACTATTCAGAAAAGCCTATTGCATGTATCTTCCTTTATAAGAAAGTTACTGTATTTTTCGCTCTATAGGACACACTTTTTCCCCTCCAAAAATGAAGGGGAAATGTGTGTGCGTCCTATGGAGCGAATGCAGGCTTTTGCTGAAGCCTGGAGAGTGAGAGGGGTCGGTGCGCTCCAGGCTTCAGGAAGCTATCCGCAAGCCTTGGGAGCCCAGCGGGAACTCCCGCCGGGCTCCCAAGGCTTGCGGATAGCAGCCTGTTCTGGGGGCTGGGGGGAATAAGAATTTTTTTCTTTATTCCCCCCCCCAAAAAAACCTAGGTGCGCCCTATGGGCCAGTGCGCCCTATAGAGCGAAAAATACGGTAATGCCCTATAGATGAGGGTAAATAACTCATAAGACCTAGTATGCCTTTGACTTAAATTAAACTGTTGGATTAGCACCCATCTTCTAATAGTAACAGAACTGGAACCCTTGCCTGGCACCTTCACTCCATATCTTTAAACACCAAGTGAAAACATTTCTCTTTAAACAGGCCTTGAGCTAATTAACATTCTATGTCCCTTTAAATGTGTTAGGGGTGTTATTGGTTTGCTTTTGTTTTTGTTTTATTATTTATTTTGTGTTCTTATTCATTTTTGTTGTTGTAAACCACCCTGGGATCTTCAGACTAAGGGCAGTATACAAATTGAATAAATAAGAACAATAACAATAGTGAAGCCGCAACTTCCAACCAAAGGACAAAATACTTACTGTGTATTTTTTAAAAAATCCACCCCTGTTTAGTATGTCATCAGTTTGTTCCAGGAAACAATGCCTAAGCCAACAAACTGCTTGCTGTGCTTTCTAGCGGCTTTCTACTGCACAGTAGATTATTTTTGGAGAGAACCTTGGGGCTTATTTGCCAAGTGTTGTATTCTAATTGGTGCTTGTTTTGAGAGCACACCTCTTTTACTGAACACAGGAAACAAGTAGGATTTTCTTCCTACTATTTTTTACTTTGGAGTAATTCCAGTTCCTTGGAAGTAGTTAAGCAGGAAAAGAATTAAAACTGATTCTACCAAGATGCTTCATTCTGTTCTTAATGGTTTTTGTTTTATTGTATTCATATTATTGTACACTGCCCTGATATTTTATGAGAGGGCAGTATACAAATACTTTTACAAATACAAGTATACAAATACTTTTACAAATACAAATGAAGTGGGTGGATTGAAGACGTAATGACCACTAAAGTAGAAAGTGATCACTTAATCTAACCTAGGCCACTCAAGTACATATCTGTTAAGCCTGGGTGATATCTGGTTTTCAGCATCATGATCTATCAACAGCTAAATATAGCTGTCTGAAAAGTATCTCGGCTGCGTCTTCCTCCCCACCTTTCTGTGCTGGAGAAGAGTGCAGCATTTTGCAAAGGGTTCAGGGATATTTTTCAGCATGCTGAACAATTCATGTGGGGGTGCTGACCAGGTCTGTTGAGCCTTGCAATCAAACTAAATGTACTGAGAGTGTACCTGCAAAAGAACACATGCAGAGCTCTCTTGTTTGCTGTGTGTTTCATGGAAAGATTAGAGGTGATGGGCATCAGATTTTTGAGAAAGCTTATCTGACTGTTGATCTTCATGAGTTCATTATTTAGAAGATATCAGATCAGTTCCGACTATCTCCAGGAAAAGACCCATTTGGAACCCAGGAGAGCCACTGTCATTCAGTAAAGACAATATCAAGCTAGAGGAACCAATAGTGTGACTTGGTATAAGTCAGCTTCCTATGTTCCCTAAAATATTGATAAGATCATGTGTAGTAGAAGTTGCAAGATATGACAATATGTTACTTGTGTTTTCCTTTTTCTCTCTCTGCAGTAACTGTAGTCAGTGGACTTGTCATGCTCTTACTGTTCTTCTCGGAGCTCCAGTACTATCTCACAAAGGAGGTAAATAAGTCTGTTTTTCTCATCCCCTGTGCACACACTCCCAAATACAGATTTTGCTTTGTCTTTGTTTTTTTATGCTAGAGATTTAGATAATTGTGGATAGTGTGCTAGACTAAGGCTGAAGCGATCCAGCCATGATGCTCATGGAGTTATTTGGAACATAGGAAGCTGCTTTCTACCAAGTCAGGTCATTGATGGGCCAGCCACCATCTTTTAGCCAAATTTACTTACCTCACAGAATGGTTGGGAAGATAAAGGGGAATCCAGCAAAGTCGTTGGGTGAGCAGAGCAGCTTCCATTCACGCAATGGAAGTTCACCTTCCCCTCCTCCCCCTGCACCCGTGCCATCTGCTCCAGAGGGTTGGAAGAACCTCAAGCAGATTGAAGGAAGAGATGGAGAAGTTTCATTGCATGAATGAAAGTTGCTTTGCTTGTGCAATTACTTCGTTAGATGTGTCCTTGAATTACTTGAGGACAGGGTAGAATAATAGTCAAACACTAGCCACAGCTTTAGTGTACAGTTTATGTAAAAATCAACCAGAATTTTCATTCATGCTTTAGCTTAGGTTTCCTATTTTTGAATAGACTTTTATTCTATAATGGGATAAAATAGACTTAGAAAATCTCCTGCCTCAGCCTGCATGCTTAGTGTCAAAGCTTTGGTGTTGTTTTCATAGATTAATGCAATTGGAATTGTAAGATGCTATTCTGTCCCTCTGAAGCTCAACATCAAAAAAACTAAGATCATGGCCACTGGTCCCATCACCTCCTGGCAAATAGAAGGGGAAGAAATGGAGGCAGTGAGAGATTTTACTTTCTTGGGCTCCATGATCACTGCAGATGGTGACAGCAGCCACGAAATTAAAAGACGCCTGCTCCTTGGGAGAAAGGCGATGGCAAACCTAGACAGGATCATTAAAAGCAGAGACATCACCTTACCAACAAAGGTCCGTGTAGTTAAAGCCATGGTTTTCCCAGTAGTGATGTATGGAAGTGAGAGCTGGACCATAAAGAAGGCTGATCGCCGAAGAATTGATGCTTTTGAATTATGGTGCTGGAGGAGACTCTTGAGAGTCCTATGGACTGCAAGAAGAACAAACCTCTCCATTCTTAAGGAAATCAGCCCTGAGGGCTCACTGGAAGGACAGATCGTGAAGCTGAGGCTCCAATACTTTGGCCACCTCATGAGAAGAGAAGACTCCCTAGAAAAGCCCCTGATGTTGGGAAAGATTGAGGGCACAAGGAGAAGGGGACGGCAGAGGACGAGATGGTTGGACAGTGTTCTCGAAGCTACAAACATGAGTCTGACCAAACTGCGGGAGGTAGTGGAAGATAGGAGTGCCTGGCGTGCTCTGGTCCATGGGGTCACGAAGAGTCAGACACGAGTAAACAAACAATTCTGTCCCTATACACACAATCTTTTACTTGCTTGCTCATTTAAGAGCCTCCATCTAGGCGTCTTTCACACTTGCTTAACCAAAGGAGGAAATCAATACTGTTATTCTTTTTTCCACTCTGACGGCGTCCTACCAATGATTGTTGTGCCTCAAGGGGATTTTCTCTTTCTTCGCTACATACAGTTTCAGAAAGAGGAGCAAGACAGAAATCTAGCCCATGTTCTGGGATTTGGTCATGATTGTGCCTTAAACTAAGGTCTATAATTCTGTTAGCCTGGTTATTCTAATTCTTATTCATGTCGACCTCTGACACTGTTTCTCTTAACGTTCCTGGAAATTTCCCTCCCTTTTTAGTTCTCTGAATGTGGAATGCTTATAAAACAAACATTTACAAATCTGGACAGATGAGAATAAAACTGATTTTTTTTATTTTTTTTATTTTTTTTTTGCAATTAGGTGATTTTTCATTTTCTTCATTTTTAGATTCACCCAGAATTATATGTTGACAAATCAAGGGGAGACAAACTACGGATAAACATAGATGTTTCCTTTCCACATATGCCATGTGCTTGTGAGTATATTCTATTTGCTTTTAATTATATTAAACCATGACAATATGGTATGGCTTGGCATCTCATAGCACATTATATAACTTACGTGAACTTCCCTGGAGTCAGTCATAAACGTCTCCACAGAGAAAATGAATGAGAGACCAGGGGTTGAACCTCGTCCCTTACACAGGATGGCATTTTCTGTTCCTCTAGTGCAGGCCCTCCAAATGTTTTTGGCCTACAACTCCCATGATCCCTAGCTAGCAGGACCAGTGGTCAGGGGTGATAGGAATTGTAGTCTCAAAACATCTGGAGGGCCGAGGTTGAGGAAGCCTGCTCTAGTGAATTATTGGTCCTTCCCTATGCTCAGCTAATGTGGATATAAGGGGTCTACATTGCTGTTTCTGGACACTAAGTCCTCTCATCAAATCCCATGAATCGGCCTAATTCTTAGAAAGGTCCTCTCAGAAAACCTTTGTGTTTTGTACCATTTTGATATTTGATAGCTCAGTGGGTATATCACAGTGGTGGGGGACTTTGGCCCACAGGCCTGATTAGGCTTACTTGGCCTCCTCATTTGGCCTGCAAGGCCATTTTGGCCAAGCAATGCCCACTTGCCATCGCTTATGGTATCAGGTGTGGTGCAAGGAAAGATGTGGCTGAACTGAAGGGATGTTTGCAGGCACTGACAATCAGCTGATTGACGGTGTCACAAAAGCCCTGTGAACAGTGCTTTCCAAGTGCTGCTGATTAGCAGTGCCTGCTGTGCTTTTACCTGCATGGTACAATTTCAAACCATGTGGTTTGACAGGTGAATGGCAGGTGGGTGTCCCCCCGCACCTGTTGCCCTTGGCTCTTGGAAGTGGGGAAGAGAAGGATGTGGCTTTTCTCCCAGAGCCAGATCTGCACCCCTGGTTTATCATGAAGTAAAGGAATCATCTGATGTCTCAAGAAATCTGCCTTCGCCTGTCCATTGTTGTTTTTCAGATTTGAGCATTGACGCAATGGACGTAGCTGGAGAGCAACAGCTAGACGTTGAACACAACCTCTACAAGCAGCGCTTGGATAAAGATGGCAAGCATGTGACTCCAGAGGCAGAAAGACATGGTAGAATACACTGCTCCCCCCGTGTGGGAACAGTATTGCAGTCAAGATGCTAACACTGTGGCATCTGATTTAAAGGCAGCTAAAGTGACAAGCTCACACTCTTGTCTACTGTAGGGCCAGACATTTGCTGCTTCTCATGGAGGTGCACCACTGTTAACAATGGTTGGGTGTGCTGGGAATCTGGGGGTTGCTAGTACAAGGACCTTGTCTGTCTTTGTTTCAGAGTTGGGAAAAGAAGAGGAAATACTATTTGATCCAAACTCTTTAGACCCTGATCGATGTGAAAGTTGTTACGGGGCAGAATCTGAGGACATCAGGTATGCCTTAATTCCCTCACTATTACCTAGAGGCAAAGAGATGAAGTTGGAAGGGAGCTGCATAATCATAGCATTTCCTGAACCTTCTAGGAAGGAGTGGGTTCCAGAATGCTTTTAGTCAAACACCAAGTGCTCGCCTATTCTGCTTACTCTGGAGGTCAGGTTGAGGATGATACTGGTTTCCTCATAGTTAATTGGAAGAGAGGATAAATAGGCAATGCGTGGATTTCATTAACCTTCTGTCTTTCAGATAACAACGGGCCGGCTGCATTTAATATTTATTTTAAATTGTTGTAACCCATCCTGGGATCTTAGGTTGAAGGGTGGGTAAAAAATTAAAATAAATACAAAATCATCATAAGATGGTGATGATGGTGATTTCTTATTATTATTCTGTGTACATAGCTCTGCAATGGTTCGGGTTGCCTGTTTCACCAATTAGAAAGGTCCTGCAGGTTGCTTCTGAGAGTGAAGCCATAGAATGATGAAGAGGTTACCACTTGTCTGTCATCCATGTGCTAGTAATCTGGGAACAGCTCAGCATGCTGCATCTGAGATAGGGAGATACATTTTTTCCACATTATTTACTTATGGGAAGACCTATAGGGCACATCTTTTTGTGTCCCTGCTGGTGGCTATTTCTTGCTCAGCAACCTTCGCCCTCTCCCAGCTGTGAGTTTTCTGAAGCTCCATGAAGCACACAGGAAGCAACTGGCAGGGCTTACACAGCTTAGCACATTTCAGATGGAAGTATAGACTTTTATGCAGAACCCCATTTTCTTACTATGTGCTTCATAGGTGACCATTTTTGCTGATTTACATGCTTATTCTTTTTCACAGATGCTGTAATACTTGTGACGATGTGAGAGAAGCATACAGGCGGCGTGGCTGGGCTTTCAAGAATCCAGACACAATAGAACAATGCAAGAGAGAAGGTTTTAGCCAGAAAATGCAAGAGCAGAAAAATGAGGGCTGCAAAGTATATGGCTTCTTAGAAGTCAACAAAGTAAGTGAGTCAATTTTTATCACCTTACTCCAAAAGGTCTATTGAAATCCCAGTGACACAAGTGACCAAGAAGCAAGGGAAACTAGAAAAATGGGATCCACACTCTGGTGTTGCCATAGTTTGAGTGTCAGTCTCTAAATTTTTGCAGGCGTGCATATTACTGTTGAGCAACATACAAGATAGATACCACGTAGAATAGAAATTAATATAGTGATTAGCAAACGTTCACCGACAGTTTTTAGAGCCAGAACATAAACTCTTTATTTAACCCCGTGGAGAATACGGGTTGCATGTGGAGTATGCTTTTATATGCTTTGGTCTACCACAAGTTTTTGGCAGCTTAAGTCTTTTCTGTACTTTGTTTAATCTTACAAAGAGGAATGCCAGTGTCTCCCTCTAAGCTCTCTTCCAGATTCCTTATAAGTTAGATAGTTCCTAATGAAACTGCTTATTCCTTCCGCATTTGGCACTAGCTTCTCTCCTGTAACTAACACCTCTGTAGCAGGAAGTGACTTTTTCAGACCAAATTTACATATGTAGACTACTAAATGCTAGGTTGTATCACTAAATGATAGCTTGTACCACTTCAGACTTCTGGGTGAAGGGTACTTCATTTCTGAATATAAAAAAGAAAGGGTGAGGACCACCCAACATACACAGTGGGGAGACCAGGCTAGAATCTTTCCTTTTATTTGGGATAGTGCCCAGACCAGTTTTATTCATCATATAAGGGGGAATGGATCTAGCCCTGTTTGCTTTCTTCTGTGCTAATCTACTTTCAAATAGTGTGGTTTTGATGGAGGGAAAGATTCAAAAATGTGGTTCACCATTTGCAGACTGAAGTGGTAAAAGCCATGCTGGATTTTGTGGGTTTTGCGTTTTGTTTTGATTTTACATAATATTACATATCTTTGGCAAAGATTGAGATTGTGCCATAAAAACATTACTTCTGATCCAGAGGACCTGATTACCGTATTTTTCGCTCGATAACACGCACCGGACCATAACACGCACGTAGTTTTTAGAGGAGGAAAACAAGAAAAAAAATATTCTGGGAGGGAGGGAGGGAAGGAAGGAAGAGAGGGGGAGAGCTTACATTTGTGCAGCTGCCTTGCCTCGAACCGGAGCAAAAAGAGGAGGAGGAGACGCAGGGACACGAACCTTGTAAGCCGCTTTGTTTGAATTTACCGGTGAGGTGCTGGGGGAGGGATGGAAGGGGATGCCCTCTTTGTCCCTCCTTCCGGCTCATTGTAAAGAAAGCAGAGTAAGAGCTGCTTACATGTGTGTAAGCAGCTCTCCCTTTGCTTGAATTACAGTCAGCCCATCAGACTATAAAGTCACCTCGCCAAAAAACAATAGAGCAGGCAGACACGGAGAAAGAGAAGCTCTCCCTTCTCCCACCTTGGCTTTTACACGCTGCACTCAGCTTTTGCCGGCTGCAGGCAGACACGGAGAAAGAGAGGCACCTCTCTGAAAAGCCTGCAAGAGCGGCTCCTCCCACCTGCATTCACTCCATAACGCGCACACACATTTCCCTTTACCTTTTTTGGGGGGGGGACTGAGTGTTACGATGCAAAAAGTACGGTAGTTTATGAACATGTGAGCTAATTTACTTCCATGAAGGAAATGTATGTGAAGTCCAAAAGCAGTAAGCCTGGAATGGGGAAAGGGAGCTACTTCTGATGAGAGGTGCTGTTCTTCCCCCAAAGGCTTCCATGAGTCCAGAGTATGTGGTGATGCATAGTTGGGGCTGTGTCTGTTCAAGTTGAGCATTCTTATCTCTTCAATAGTCAGTGTAGCAAGCAATCTGCATTTGCAGTTTGGAGGAGGGGCTCAAAGCCTTGGATATCATTTTTGTATCTTTCTCAATTTGGTGTCTCTTGACTTTAAAATATCAACTGTATGTTCATATAGTAATTCTCATAATTCTGACTGTTTTCAATTTGCAGAGAAAGGCAATAAGATTTGTACATTGCTGTGCTTTGGACATTAGCAACTCCTGCTTGGATCTAGTTTGGGTGAAAGTGTATTGAAGTACAGTATATAGGTTAAACACTTCACCTTCACATTCCTTGTGGAGTGCCCTTTTTAAGCTTTACAGCTTCACTTTTTAAAGTTGTTACAATCTTCTATGGAGAGCTGGGCAGTTTAATGAAATGTAGCTGTCTTTTACAGGTAGCTGGCAATTTTCACTTTGCACCAGGAAAAAGCTTTCAGCAATCTCATGTTCATGGTAAAGTAGTTTGCATTCTTCTGAGTGGGTTTTTTGTAATGTTCCCTTTTTACTAAATATCAGGAAATAATTGTAACTCATGCACTAAAGTAGGTATATAGAATATACTGTTAAGGAGGAACTTTCTGAAGGAATGTTCTGAGAAGTGTGTTGGAAAACTGTGATGTTTCTATTCACATGAGAAAGAAAGTTGTAACATTAGATCCTTTGAGGCAGTGCCTTTCTTCTATAAATGGGTTTTTATCAATAGCCACTTCTGTCCTGGCAGTGGTAAGACTAGCATTTCAAAGCAGTTCAAATCCTGTTAATAATCTGCTGCCTTATATACAGGGTTATTTGACAACATAAATGTTTTAAGTAATGAAATAAAAAAATATTGTTATCCTCAGAGCCACGCCGGTCAGGTTGGCTTACAAAATTAAACCAAAAATAAGCACGAGTATACTTACCATGCACAGCACACATTATATTTCAAAACAAATAAATAGGATATTTTAAGACCAAGATTGAAATTGCATGCGGTAGTTTGATGCATCAAAATTTTTAAGCATACATTTTATGGCAGGCTGTAGCATAGTTCTGTGAGCATGCTGAGCTTATTCCATTGCCATACAAGACGAGCGGAAATTCGGCTTGAATGTGCGCTTCCAGTATATTAAGATTTTGATACAAATGTTAGACTAGATCGACTAACACAATTCAGGAAAAAAGTACTTTGGCATCTGCAGCTATTTCGAAATTCAGAATGCACATAATGTATGTATGTGATAGTGAATATACTGTCTGCAATTACTGTCTGAAGGTTTCCTCTTCAATTTTGTACTGAATATTCTCCATTTCTGGTTTTCACTCCTGGAACATAGAAATGGTTCCTGCCAAAGTTTCTGTGTGACAGTGCTATAGAACAGTGGAGTGTGGGGAACCTTTGGCCTGGCATGGGTCCCAATTTTAGACTGTAAAACTGTTTTCCTCAGAACATACCCACCTGCGTTATGTGATCTCAGGTGTGCGCAGGTAGAAATGTGGCTGGATCAGCTGCACAACTGAGTTTCCAGAGAGAACTCAATTGTGCAGCCAATCCCTGCAGGAAGCATCTTTGCCAGCCCTGTGATTGGCACTTGGGAAGCACTGAGCACAGGGTTTGCAAAGCACTTTATGCAGTGCTATCCGAAGGTCCAACTGCTAACTAGTTGTCAGGTACTTGCCAAGTGCTGAGCACAGGGCTAGCAAAGCCTCTTGCACTGCACTTTCCAATTGCCCAACAACCCTTTGACTTTCAGACACTTGTGAAATGCTGCGCAATAAACTTTGATAGGTGGGTAGGACAACCCAACTGTAAATTGTCTGACATAATAATGGTAGTCCCACCTACTTGTCAGAGTTGGCCAGAGGGGTGGTGGTGACAGATAAAACACTGGCCCACTGGGCCAAAATGGTTCCCCACCTCTGCTATAGAATATTACTCCTTATTGCTTCTGTTAACTTGTTGAATGTTTTCTGCTCTAGCACTTAATCAAAGGAAGATAAGCTTTATTATTTTCTGTTCCTCCCTCTCCTCTCAAATGGGAACTTTGTCAGGGAATTTCCCCTTCTCCTTTTCTGTCTTGACATCTTAGTCTTTTACCAAAAGTTTAACAAATGGCACTTTATTACTGATGAGTTCTTATACATCTGACTCGAAAAGTCTCTGCTGCTAAAAGGAAGTCAATGCTGAAATTCTCATCTTTTTCTGGAATCTTGTTTTAGATATCCTGCCAGTAGTTTAAGATCAACATGATTGTGTTTCTTTTACAAACCATCCAGCTTCTTCCTCCTGTTTGCATGGAAGAATAGTCTAGTCTAGTCCAGAACAGCATAACATGGGACACAATAAAAAAATATTGATATTGAACAACTGTACTCTTGCCTTCATGTTCCCCTTAAACCATAGCCTGTGCTAGAGGAAGCTTTGGGGAAAAAAGAGTATCTAACGTTGAGAGGCTGCTGCTTTTGCAATAACGTATATTATCTCTGCTTTAGATCCTTCTGGAACAGTTGAGAGCAACCACCACTTATTGATAATACTGATTTGTTTAGTTAAATTTTAATTGTAGCTTCATAGGGTTTGGACTCTTCTTTTCAGAATATGAGCATTGCTCTACAGCTAGTATTTTATCAGCTGAACTACATAGGTCAACCAACTGTCATTTAAAAAACTATTAATCTTCTATCTTTTTTAAGTTGGGAAAATATGAAGGTATAAATAATACTATGGGCCAAAGCATTCTGTTTCTTTTCTGTGCACTGTCTTTTTAATTTTTCCTGTAATAATTGATTCAGTTTAAACATGATTACACTGGTCCAAGCTCGTCACTTCCCTGCATAAACCTTGTTCTACCTGTTTCAGTTGCATGAGCTCCCTTCTGAAGGAAATAGGTTTCGGAATCTAGCAATCCGCATGACCTCAGTTGTAGTTCATGGTGCTGATCTTTGCTTTTCAGCATCTCCACCATCTGTTAAGGATAATGGATGTCATAATTCTGGTCCATTATTAGGCTGTTAAATATCACTTATATTAGATGGAACTTCTGTAGCTTAAGTTTGTGAAGGACTGTAGCCATGTGCATTAACCCTTGTGGCTGTAGAGAGAAGATGTACAGTATAGGTGTTTTCCAGTGATTAGGGTACAGAGGTTGTGCATGGTGCTCAGCTCCCTGGCTCACAGTCTCATCATCCCAAATAGTTGATCCTTTGCTTATTACGGTTTCCTTGCATTACTAGCTGACAAAATCAGTCATGGAAGAAAGATGAGTTGTTAGGGAGGTTTAACCAAATTCTGATGTGGATGATTTGCATCACTTATTCTGGCTGCTCAGTGGTGTAAGACTTGAGATTTCTCCCAAATATGTGATACTAGGACAGCTAAAGCCATGCCCATTTTTCTTTCACAGTTGAGAGGCAGTTGGCCAGAGGCAAAATAATTCCTTGGTAGAATTCCTGTGCTGTAAGTGTCAAGATCCAACTTGCTAATTGTGTTGCTTGTGAAAGGCCTTTGCCAGTGCAAAATGTTTCACTATGCACAGAAGCATTGGCCGGGCAAAAGATGGAGATTGGTTGAGATTTGTTTGAAACTAGTGATCAGTGCCAATTCGTAATGTTTTCCATCCTCTAATCTTTGCTGCAAGACTTATAGACTTATGTGTTCCACAAGGCCATTCTTTCCCCAGCCCCTAAAAGACCTAGAGCAGGGACAGCTTAGCCTTGGGAGGGCTGTATAAACACATGCATTCAGATCATCATATAGCATCCTGGTTTCCTCTGTGGGCCTGTAGTTGGTGCCCTGCAGCAACTGAAAGGGCAGCCAATGCTGTATCTTTAGGAAGCAACACAGTGTTCCTTTTTAGTCCTCAGGCCATAGGTATATGTGAAGGTTCACATGCGCGATTCAGTGCTGCTTTGTGTCCCTTCACAAATTGCTCCAAGCCCAGAGTTTTGTTGGCAGAGTAGCCAGTGCTGCTTCAAAGCAAAACTAATGTCAAGTATTGCCTTTGTTTTTACATCCTTGCTTTTCAGTATGGAGCTCTGAATGTTTCTCTCTTTCTTTTCTTAACCCTGCTCATTTTTGCAGTTCACGCTGTTGAGAGTAAGTGTTGCTGACTTATTTTCTTTACTATTTCTGTACTGTCTGTAATTAAACCAGTTAATTTCTCCAATTCAACCTTGGTGCTCCCTAAAGATTTGACAGAATTAAAGTATCAGTAGACACCGCATGTTTTCTGTCAAGGAACTGCAAATTGTTTTCACGTGGCTTTAGAAGGTCTCTTTTGTATAAAAAATGTCAGGTCATTTCCGTTCTTATCTTCAAAATAATGTTCGTTGAACATATGGAAGAGAGTGCAGGATTAAGCCCTCTGCCCAGCCAATTGGATCTCACAGCATGTAGGAAAAAAGAGGACAGCATATAATAGTTTAAAAAGTCAGAAACAAAATTTAGCTTAGCTTTATATTGCGCTCATCTTAATAATGAAAGAAATGTCTCCATACCCTATAAAGACATTATGCCTAAACAGGGAAAACCTAATGCGTGCAAGGACCTTGGGACGTATATCAGGCTATACATGTTCAGCCACGCACAGAGCCCCTTGGAGACTTTCTTCTGCAACTGGGGGGTGGAGCAGGTTTGCGGTGCAGGGTACATTGAAGGCAGGGCCAGTGCAATTTGTCCTGAGGACTATATCCGTGTTGCCATAATGCTTGAACAGCACATTTCTTTTTTCCCATTAAAGTGTGAATGTGCCTTCTGAAACTGCTCTATAGATACATATTTTACTTTAGTTTGCAAATGCGAAGACCTAGGCAGACTGACTGGTTTGGGAAGCTTTGCAGACAATTGAAGGCAGCTTCACACATTTTAAAAATGCAAACCTAAAGACCTTGCATGGCATATTTAAAAAAGAACTTGACAAATTGTGTTTTTCAGCTAAACCTCTGATAGGAATACATACTCCAGACATCAGGGATTGGTCTTAGCCGCCACATCTACACCCAGTAGAACATACATATACACACAGATACCCCTTAGTTGTAAGCCTGAGAGTGGAACATCTAGTATCTCTGTCCTAAATTCTCAAAATGTTAGTAGCTTCATTCCCAGTTGGATCTGACACTTACTGCTGAATTGCCTTGCTGAAATCCCTATCTTATATTACAGTCATCTTAATATTGTATTACTATTATAGATTTGGTTGATAATTTGCAGTGGATTTCACTTACTTAGATTTCCAAATGTTAGCTTGCATAGAGCTAAATAGCATAAAAAAGCGGGAAGTATTCTATTTATTTAGAAGAACCTATTTAAAGGGATTAACAACTTGCTATCTGAAAACTCCTAAAGTGGAATTACAACTAAACTGGGATAATTTAGCAAAGTTAAAAGCCTGCTCTGAATGCATTCAGAAATTAACATAAGCTGTATTTGCAGGTTGGGAAAGAATAAAGAGCTGCAACCTTGAAAACACAGTTGAGAATTATGGTGGGCAGTATCTGGTGATGGAACAAATAGGTGTATTCTAATCCTTGTGCATATGCTTAGAATGTGGCATATGAGTTGAGAAGTTGTAAACTGTTCTGAGGTTTTGTTTACAATTAAGGTATACATATTTTGTTCAACAAATAAAATATCTTCCAGTTGCGCAAGGAAGTTTGTCGTGTCCTTTACTTGGAAACATGCTAGGATTGTGAAAATTTGCAGATTTTTCTCTTTCTTTCAAAAAAGAACAGAGCAGTTAAATAACTTTAGGAAGTCTTTTCCTTTATGTAACATTTTGTTGTCTTGCTTCTCTTACAGTTCATGATCTGCAGAGCTTTGGACTTGACAATGTAAGTATCTGGGAAAGACATATTGAGTTTGAGATATTGATTCACATCTGCAGAGAAGGGAGTAAAGTGTCAGTGCAGATTATTTCCCCTTGTGCTTACTGGTGTGGCACCTCTAGCTTTGGCAGCAGCTGTGTAAATGATAGGCAAAAAGAACAAAAAGCAACATTTAGAACAAAACTGTTTCCCCCCAAAAGGTGACCACATAATTCATTGTATACTGGTGCTTTCAGAATCCAGTGAGTCACTAAGCATCTATCCTGAGCTCCTTGCCTTATTTTATTCTCACCCTGCATGCCACTGTGACTGCAGTTCCCAGAGGAGAAGAGGTGTGTAATTACAGGGAGAGGAGCGTATTTCTAGCAGGGCTTCTACCCTAAGGTGGTAAATGCATGAAAATTGCGCAGAAGAGAAAACATCATTAGCTGTGCTCAACTTGCATAAGCAGGCACAGGTGCTAAAATCCTGCTGCTCTTATTGGAGAGAGTTGGTGAAAAACACCTACCTACCTTTTGATCATAGGCTTAGTACTCTGCCTGCTCTGCCCTTTGCTGGTTCTGTTTGAACATGTTTCCCTTTTTTTGTTTCAGATAAACATGACCCATTTTATCAAGCACCTTTCATTTGGGAGGGATTATCCTGGCATTGTGAACCCACTTGATGGGACAGTTGTCACAGCACACCAAGGTACTGGTCTGAAAATAAGTTTTGTTATAGTTTGCTTATATACAGCTTTTGCCCCCAAAGTGATGAATACTGTACAGTGGTACATTGGGTTACATATGCTTCAGGTTACATACGCTTCAGGTTACAGACTCCGCTAACCTAGAAATAGTACCTCGGGTTAAGAACTTTGCTTCAGGATGAGAACAGAAATCGTGCAGCAGTGGCGCAGCGGCAGCAGGAGACCCCATTAGCTAAAGCGGTGCTTCAGGTTAAGAACGGCCCTCCGGAACGAATTAAGTGCTTAACCCGAGGTACCACTGTATTAATAAAAAGAAGGTGCAGTAAAATACAGTAAGTCAGCTGTAAAAGCAATATAAGATAGCTAATAATAATAATACCATACTTTTCTGTGTATAATACTACAGTGGTACCTTGGGTTAAGTACTTAATTCGTTCTGGAGGTCCGTACTTAACCTGAAACTGTTCTTAACCTGAAGCACCACTTTAGCTAATGGGGTCTCTTGCTGCTGCCGCGCCGCCAGAGCACGATTTTTGTTCTCATCCTGAAGCAAAGTTCTTAACCTGAAGCACTATTTCTGGGTTAGCGGAGTCTGTAACCTGAAGCGTATGTAACCCGAGGTACCGCTGTTTTTTTGTTTAAAAATCATGCTAAAAAGTGGAGGTCTTCTTATACATGGATGGTGCATAGGGTGGACGTTTGATTGATTGCTTCTGCAGCTGTCAGCGGCTATTGTGTGTGTTATTGGTTGCTGTGTCAATGGATGGTGTTGATTGGCTGGCGCTGGGGAAGTTGGGCGGGCAATTGGCAGCTCCTGCCATTGACGGGACAGCCGTGAGGTGGAGTTTGTGACGTGTGCGGGTGAGTGATTCTTGGCAATCCCCCCCTTAAAAAAGCTCAACCACCCTGGGCAATCCTTCGCAACAGAAGCTCAATAACTCTGTGCCATCTCCCCTCATTTTCTTAAATTTGAGTCCCCCCAAATACGGGGCGTCTTATAGACAAAAAAGTACGGTAGTAGTAATAATAATTCCCTTCCCTTATAATAGAACCTAAACAATGAACTGGCCAAAATATGATGGCTACTGTCTAACTTAGGACTGTCTCACTTAATCCAGTCACCATCTTTTAGCTCTTTTTAGTTTCTATCTCCCTCTCACTACATCAGGGTAAGCAAGCAGACCCTCATGTTTAGTTCATCAACCTACTTGCTGGTCCAGTGTGCAGGATCCTGGTAATCTATTTTCTAAACAATAGGCCATAGGAGATTTAAAATAATAAAAAATTAAAAACAAAAATGCATGCCTCTAATGCCACCCACAAATCATACTGAACATTGCTTCTTGGGCTGTAGTCGTGCTCTCACCACAGACACAGCGCTTGGGTGTTTCTACCCACATGCACTGAAGGGTTAACAGCCTATGTTATAAATAATAATTGTAATAAATAAAATATTTTAGTTAACAATATTAAATTTAGGTTTGCATGAGAAGGGAATAAAACCTTGTAAGTGAAGACTATCACATTTGTGGTAATGCCACACAAGTTATGTATATATGCATTTATTTTAATATAAATTTGGGCAACTAACTGGCTAGCTTCTGGCTCAGTAAAATGGGAAAGATGCCAGCAAGCTTCTCTTCCTCCTGGCTGACAGTAAGTTACAGGCAGGGGTGCATGCATGAAAGAATTGTCTTTGCTCTTTTCTCCATCCCCCCCCTTTCTTTACTTTCTAAGCCATTCCCAGCTCAGAAAGATGGAGTTATAGGGACAGAGACTCTTCTCCCCACACCCCACAGCAAAATAAATCTGGATAGGGAGAGGGAACTAGCCTTGCCTTTCTTCCCTGGGAATGAAATCTCGAGTTTCTTTTCTCTCCCTCCCTCACCTGCTCTTTCATAAGACCCTGCTGGTAAGATTGTAGACTAAAGTCATTATAGCAGATATTATTACTATGTAGCTTGGACCTCAATAGAATTCTAACTTCCCACTTCAAAGTTATTGCTGCTTACTAATTATCTATTCAAATTCCTTCTTCCCCCATATCAATTTTGTTAAGTTCTGTATAAGGGGACTCCCCCTCCCCAATGGCTCCTATTAACACCGTATTTTGCACTTAGCATCCATGATGTTCCAGTACTTCGTAAAAGTGGTCCCCACAGTGTATATGAAGGTCGATGGTGAGGTAAGATCCCCACATTTTCTTTTAAAAACAAACAAACACACCAAAACCTAGCATTATATTTTAATATAGAACAGTGCTGTCCAGGTTATTGCAGTGTAATTACGGGTTGGGACATGAGGAAATGAAATTGCAAAGAGTTTTGTATATCTTATTACCAATAAGCCTCTGAACAATCAAAGCTCCAGATTTGCAAAAGTGTGGATGACAACCACATGGGGATTTCTGAAAGAGAGAAGTCTTTATTGCTGTGGACCCAGTTTCCTCAGGCTAGAGAATGTAGTGTGACGACAGGACAGTTATGAGTCATGGGGGGAATTATCTTGAGTGTATTGTAGGACTTGGGTAGGTGGTTTATTTGTGTTGGGCAGAGGGGGGTGGAGAGAGAGGCCAAACTAAGGTATACTTAATGCTTCCTGCTGGGGAAGAAGCATTGTGGCAAAATTCAACCCAGCTCCAAATCCTATATAGGCAATTGTGTGTCTTAACTTGTTTAATTAGAAAGAGTAACATTATGTTCTACTTATGTTCTACTAGGTGGTGAGATCAAATCAGTTTTCAGTAACACGACATGAGAAAGTAGCTAACGGGCTAATTGGAGACCAGGGTCTCCCTGGAGTATTTGTGCTCTATGAGCTTTCTCCCATGATGGTGAAACTAACAGAGAAACACAGGTGAGAAGTTTTCACATGAACCCATTTTACAACTTGCTTATAAAATTACGTTTCATTTATTCATCACGTGATGCATACAAATAGGTTGTAGAGGTAGTTGCAAAAAGCTTCCATTTGAGGCAGTTAACATTTTGACTGCCTTCTGAACCTAAGTGTTCATTGGACATGGTCAAGTGGGATTGAATTACTGTATTTACTCGAGTCTAATGCACCACTGAATCCATTGTGCACCTTAATTTTTGCAACGTGATTTGGCCAAAAAAGGTGAGCATTAGATTAAATACAGTAATCCATGGGTTTCATCCCCCCCCCCCCAAGTTTTAACTTGTTCATTCATAATGTACACATTACATGGTAATCACGTTTTTTCCCCCCCTCACCCCATATAGGTCCTTTACACATTTTCTCACAGGAGTCTGTGCCATCATTGGAGGGGTATTTACAGGTATTTGAATATTTTAATTGTTCTCCTCATCCATCTTGGCTTAGCTTGCAAATGTTTTGATCAATACATCCTAGGCATTTTCAAAACTTGTTTTTACAAAGATGGCAGAATCGTCACTAGTAGTACAATGATTGTTGAAATATTATAGTACATCTGTTTTCTATACATATAAAATGAGCCAAAATGCAACTGAGTGGTGCTTATCAAAAAGTGTCTCCTACTAGTATTTAGTGAGCAGCGTATTTTGGTTGTGTGATATGGCTCTTTGGGCAGTGAGCTATTTCCTCACTGCTTTGACAAATTTAGGAATCCCACCCCCCGAACACCTAAAAGCAACTTTTTGGAAGAAAGAGGGGGGTTTCTTTTTTAATTTATGGAACATATATAACCTGACCTTCCTTTTCCTCCTTCTTCCAGTGGCAGGACTCATTGATTCTTTGATCTATCATTCAGCTCGGGTCATTCAAAAGAAAATAGAACTTGGAAAAACAACATAGATTATCAGGTGCAATCCCCTCTGAAGAACTTGAAGGAATTAAAAACAAATGGTCAGTGGTCATTTTGAGGGTGCCAAGAAGATCCCTGGACTTGTACCAAGACTGGAACTATCATCCGTCTCTCTTCACAAGTAAAATGGGGGATTAATTTAAACATCCATCTTTTGTGGCAGTGCTGTATACCCTAGATTTCAGTACTTGTCTTATATGTTGGCCTATCTGTCAACTTCTAGATCATGAAATGAAGAATATGGAACACAAGACCTTTTACATGTGTAAAACAAATATTTTCTATTTAATTTGTACACAGTGCTACCCTTAGGATGTTTGTTTGGACCAAATTCTCAGGAAAAAGTTTTAATAAAGTCGTGTAATATTTGCTTTCTTTTTACTTACATTTCAACACTCTGTATCAAATAGCATTACAGCCAAGAATATTGCTCAGTAGTCTGTGCTTGCTTCCCTGCTCCTCTGATACCTTATACTTAGCATTTCTTAACCACTTAAATAACAGTGGCTTTAGCACAAATGTAGGCCTGGGAGGTACTGTCAATATCAGCTTTTTGAAATCTCTGTCCAAGGATAGAGCATCCTACATTGTCCATAAAATGCAATGAAAGAGAAGCACAAAGTCAGCTATCGGGGATAGCCTCTGTTTTCCAAATTTAAAGAAAAAACATTTCAAGTTTTTCTTGCTAAGAAAGTATTCTGTTCAGAAGTGGTGTTACATGTGTATGTTTGTGTATATACATACATACCTGCGCCGGGTGCAGTAGCGCTGGGCTGCTGAACTGTGCTTCGATCTCTGATCCATCCACCTTGTTTCTCTTGTGGCTCAAAAGACCATCATTGGTCCTAGGTTCCTCTTTCTTGGACTAGTGACTTTGAAGTCTGTGGGGCACTGGAGCAAGCTATTTATAAAATGATATTCTGCCTTCAACTGCTAGTCTCTCAATGAGTGCCAGTTCAAAAGTGGCATTGTGGACTCCAGTCCTGCGGAAAGCTCCAGCGTACCGATTCTTTTCCCAGTAGTGGTGCCAGTTCCCTCTGCTGTCTGCGCCGAAACCAAATGCAGAGACCTGCCACACAAAACATTATGGGGAAGGAAATGAGACTATGAGGCCTATGTAGCCCAAAAGCTGCTACCTAATCTAGCATTCTGTTTCTCAGAAGTCTGCAGGCAGGGCACAAGGGCAACAGACCTTTCCCAGTGAGTGGTGGTCAGCTACATGCAGCCATCGATAATAAAAATTATTTAAAACAAAAAAAAAATACGTTTTAAAAAAATTGTTCATCACAATAACATTGTTGCAATAAAAAAAGATAAATACAGTTCCCCCACCCTGCTCCCCATGACTTTCCTCAACTCCCTCTTTTGGTTCATAACATATTAACTTCTCCTACTTGTTTTGTTATCTCTCAATAAAGCTGTCGTAAATTTAATAATCGATAATCTAACCCTGCAAGGAGTGGCCACATTTTACGGAAGCAGACTCCATTATAGAAAGATAGCAGTGACGAGGTTAATTTCGGCAAAGATTTTTAAATGTGAAACATACCCTACTACATTAACAAGCAGAATTTACTGTAATAGCTGCTTAATAGATACCCTTCCTCCAGTGTCACTCCTAATTTAATTTGGGGCTTTGTGGAATTTTGGTAGGTTTAGTTAGTTCATTCTTTAAGAGATGGATTTTTATGCAAAGACAATGAAACAAAAATGGAAAGTCACACTGCCAGCTTGTAGCATATTCAGCTTATTATCAGGGCCTGCTTGTTTCTGTATAATTTGAGTAATTTTTAGGGTGTTTTTTTTTAAAAAAAAATTCTTATTATATTGCAACTTAGTGATCAAGACATAAGACATTCAGCACAGTTTCAATACCAGCCACATGCAATCTCTTCAGTCAGCTTTAGTGTTTCAAAACATGGGAGAGGACTATCTTGTTTTCTGAAGGACTCTGCCCATGTACTTTTTGAACTACCATTCTGTTACCAAATCAGTTGTGAGAAAAGTTGCTTTTTTAAACATGGCCCAAAGAGGCAAGTTGCCTCACAACCAAATGCACTACACCCCAATAGCAACAGCAGCCTGTATCTGTAGACATCTGGAGATCACTGTACATACCTGTTTGCAAGTATGGATAGCAAAAAGCAGTGCAGCGAATCCAGTGGATGGATACCTTCCAAAGCGCTTCATCCATTTATCGTGAATATATTTTAGGAAGGCAGGGTTCAGTATTAAGACCTGAGGAGAAGAAAAACATTTGGACTGAGAAGCTCTCGCCTGTTGTCATAGCCTCTTCTTCCTCAAATTGCCCCACCTGCCATAAGCATAGCTAATGAGAATGAGATGGTTTGTGACTCTTATGTTCAACATATTAAAAGCAAAGGTGTTGGTCTTTACTTAAAGCAAATTCATGCTGCTTGATAAAATTAAATCTCCCAAGAAGTTCACATAAACACATGAAACATCAGTTCATATAAAAGTACGAAATATTTTGTATTACAATAAATATTTCCTTAAAACTTAAGTAAAAGCAATCACAAAGGGCCCTTGCCTTTTTAAACATTATTCGCTCCAGTCAAGAATAACCTAAGCCCAATTTGTATTAGTTTTTCATTTCTGAACTTGTGCTATAGGGCTTAGGAGTGTTGAACTAGGACCTGGGAGAACAGGGTTCAAATCCTCACAGTGTCGAGAATCTCTGTCAGAGATCAGTCACACCATCTCTCAGCCTAACCCACCTCACAGAGGTCATGTGATGACAATGTGAGGAGCAGGGGAACCATGTATGCCACCTGGAGCTCCTTGGAGGGAGGAAAGGATGTAAATAATAATACAAATACAAGTTTTCCAGTACAGTGTTTCATTAGACTCAAAGGCCTAATGCAGTGGTTTTCAAGCAGTGTGCCGTGGCAGCCTGGGGTGCCTTGAATGATGGTCAGTGGTGTCGTGGGCAACACTGCCCTCTGCCCCTCTTTCCTTCCCTCCTTCGTCTGATGCCTTCTCTCGTCTCTGCCTCCCAAAGGCTTGCACAGCTGTTTGTTGCAGCAACCCTGGCTATGAGTTCCTCAGGCAAATGGTGCCTCTGGGGCTGGCCAGGGGGTACTTCCCAGGCCCCTGTGGGGCAGTGGGAGGAGGCACCGGTCTCTGTGGGGTGCAGCTCAGAGACCGGGGGGGGGGGGGAAGCTGCAGCTGCTCAGAGGACTCCCAAGGAGAAGAGAGGAAGCTGAGAGAACACTCCACAAGGGAGGGTGTTCAAAAAAGGGTGAGGAGCTGCCAGCTATGTAGGCAAGGGGTGACATAACTGGGCCTCTGAGCCCCATGGGGTGCCGCAGAAAGAATGCAGTTGGTCAAGGGAGCCATGGACCCAAAAAGGTTGAAAACCTCTGGCCTAACAATTTATTTCAGAAGGTAAAACAGAATTTTACTCTTGGATTGTTGAAATTAATGAAGCTGTTCATTTTCTGACAGAAACCTCAAGACTTCCGTTGTTCTACTCCATAACCTTTTCCTCGCCCCTAAAAGCTGGCCCATTAAAATTACATTTTATGTAAGCTCTGTAGTTGTGCTTTTAAGTGCCAATGTGGTTTTTTTTGTCTTCTTTTGTTTACAGAAATTGCCAGTGTGGGGCCCCCAGTCTGGATCAGGATTCTAGCATAGGGGTTGGATGGCTTTATACCCACTACCCATCCTCACTTGAGGATGAAAAGGCCTCCGTTCAATTTGCACTGCAGTGAAATCTTCCATTTCCTTCAATGCTATCCCTTCCACCCCCCATAAAATTGCAGGGGAGGATATGGATTGGGAGCATAGTTGGGGCAGGAGGAGATTAAAGCTCCTCTACCTCCATTCTAGGGTCCTGGAATAAGACTGGGGGGTCCACACTGACAATTTTTGTAAAAACAACCAAAACACTGCAGTTGCACATATCAGTCCTTAAATTCACAGAATAAAGAAGCAATGTCAGATCTGAATCAATGTATTGCCTGCATTCACAGCTTACCTTACTTTTGTCAGCTTCAATGAAGGGCTTGACTCTTTGGTATGTACTATAAAAGAAATGGAAGAATAGCATTCATAATTTTATTACTTTTACCATCAAACTTTCTATTTTTTCCCCTCCAGTGTTCAGTATACATAAAACCCATTCCTGGAGAGTCACGCAACTCCCTGAATAATGAATGACCGGGTGCGCTCCTGTTATTACAAGCATATTTCCATACATTTGCAGCACTGACCTAAGCCCATAGTGGACAAATTTGGAGTCTCAATGAAGCTTTTAAGGGTCATTTCAAGATTTCCCTACTGACTGAATGTAAAGGCGCAAAGAAACCAACTCTGCTCTTAGCAAGGGATGTTTATCGTGAGGAATGAAATCCTCATCATGCACTGTTTGGAGAAGTACTTCATTTTGTCTGTCCTGAAACTCCCACCATTTCGCTTCATTGGTGACCCCAGATTCTAATACCATGGGAGAGGAAGAAATAAAGCTCTCTCTCTCTACTTCATCTATATTTTATCTATGATGTCTCCCTTATAAATCCCTTCTAAACTAAAAAACACCAACCCCACAAACATTGTAACATTTACTCACATAGGACATGCTCCAGCCCCTTGATATTCTGATTTCTCTTTTCTGCACCTTTTCCAGCTCCATGCTGTCTTTTTAAGGGGTTCAAGCAGACCTGTACAGAATATCCTCTCACAGTGCAGAAGTTGTGCCCAAAGGAACCTGCCCCATAAATGAATGCTTAAGGTTTTGTTCCTGCTGTAGTACTTGCCTAGCTTTTTGTACTCCAATTAGACAAAGTGCTCACCGCTTAATTTCTCCTGAGGAAAAAGCACTAGCTAGCCATTTGAGATCCAGAGGTTTGAAGGGGACGAGCACAAGATGGACACCAGCATGCAGGTTCACAGCACTCTCTGGGTACATGAAATGGTGCGTGGTTCTTGTACCAACATCTTCCTCAAAGCCTGCAGTTTGTGCTGTGTTCATCCTCAAAGGACATAAGAAACATGATCAGATGCTTCACAAAATATCCAGTCCAGAAACATGGGGACGGTCAAAGTCTGAATCTGACACTTGATGGGCTGAGGCCTAGGGACATCAATCAGATGCCATTCTTCAGGACTGTAGGTTACCAGATTTTATTTTCAAATCTGGAGTTGGGATTGTTATTCCCAGCAACTATTCGCATATGCAACTTTTGTCACACACATCCCAACTTCTCTAGCTGCTTCTGCCTTTGCATCTCCCCACCATTTCAAAATTTAGACTGTAATCCCCATTCTGGCACAAGGAACTGTTCTTCTTTGCTTATGGTAATGCCTTATGCCAGGGGTAGGCAACCTAAGGCCCAGGGGCCGGATGCAGCCCAATCACCTTCTCAATCCAGCCTGTGGATGGTCCAGGAATCAGCGTGTTTTTACATGAGTAGAATGTGTCCTTTTATTTAAAATGCATCTCTGGGTTATTTGTGGGGCATAGGAATTCATTCATTATTTTTTTCCAAAACATAGTCCAGCCCACCACATGGTCTGAGGGACGGTGGACCGGCTGACCCCTGCCTTATGCACTCGAAGGGTCTAAATGATGCTGATGATTAGAATAGCAGCAACCATAGCAATCCTTCTGAATTACAATTACTGCTCAACAATATTTTGTTGGGTAATAATCCTATTAACCCTATTGGAAGGTGATGGCTTCATTATTTTTTAAAAAAATACAAACTGAGAAGCATTAATTAGTTAATGATAAATGGTCCCTTCCAACTATGATTCTGTGGCTGAGACTTCAGTGTTAACCATCAGAGAGAGATTTAAAGTATCAAGAGGTCATATCCCCAACAATTATCTCTCATCAGCCCATCATTCTGACCTATTAACAAATAATCTCCCTAACAAAGGAATGGTTTCTCATCAGCCATAATACTACATTATAGCAGCCACACAAAAATACTTTTCAGCATTATTCACACTAATTTTATGAAGCCCAAGGTAGGGCGTATATACTTTACTCCACTTACCTCAGCACAAAGTGGTGAGAGTCAATCTTTTTTCCATATTTAGAGCCCTTCAGCCTCCCTGAATTGCCCACCACAGCACATGTTCCACACTGGCTAAAATCCTGGGCTGTAACAGGAGGGGAGTGAAGGATGTCAAACAAGTGCTTTATTATCTTCTGGAGTTGGCTTCCATCCTGATATCCTTGCAGCCTCTAATGAAACAAAGTATGCTTTTTGTTGTTGTTGTTGTTGTTGTTGTTGTTGTTGTAATTTCCCCCCAGTAATTTCCCCCCAGAGATGCGGGTGGTGCTTTGGGTTAAACCACAGAGCCTAGGGCTTGCTGATCAGAAGATTGGTGGTTCGAATCCCTGCGACGGGGTGAGCTCCCGTTGCTAGGTCCCAGCTTCTGCCAACCTAGCAGTTCGAAAACTATTCTGAATAGAGATACAGAACAAAGGCAAATATCTCTAGCGAGAATGCATCATGCAAAGGTGGCTCCTGTGCTGTCAATCAGGAAAGCATTGTTCATGTTCTGTTGCTGCTGCTTTTTTTATCTCAGAAATGGAAGACGTTTCTGCTGGGTGGCTTCTCCCTGCCATGCAACTATGAAAGCACAGGAGCTCTCGTTGGGTAAAGCAGTTGGCCTCTGTACATCTCCCACCCAGTGGCTTTCCTGGTGCTGCAGCCAGGACTCTTTCCTCATTATTGAGAGACTCCTGGGTATATGTACAAGAGAGAGTTAATGGAGCTGGAAGGACTGCTTAAGATTGGTCAAACCAGCTGGCCAGATCGTCCTTTTGTTAGGGAAATTATGACCATGGGCTAAATGATGAGTAATGGCTGCTTTAATAAATAGTTATAAAGCAATAAATAGTGACTATATTTATTGAATTTATATCCGTGCCTTCCTCCCAGAGTTGCTCAGGGAGACAGTTTGCTCGGCTAAATATTAGCAAATATCATAGCAGTGTACAACACTGCAATAAATAAAAATGGTTTCCCAGAAAAACTGACCCATGAGTCAACTTATCCTTCTAAGGTAAAGGGGAAAGGGAAAGGACCCCTGGACGGTTAAGTCCAGTCAAAGGCAACTGTGGGGTTGTGGTGCTCATCTCACTTTCAGGCCAAGGGAGCTGGTGTTTGTCCACAGACAGCTGTCCAGGTCATGTGGCCTGCATGACTAAACCGCTTTTGTCACAACAGAACACCATGACGGAAACCAGAGTGCACGGAAACGCCATCTAAGAAAGCCTGTAGTAATAGGAGAGACTTTGGTATCTGATGGTTGGACTTCATTAATATTTTTTAATGTGATGCCCTGTGCGGGGCCAAAATTGGGCACCCCCAAATGGATCATCTCAGTTATGGATCTTCCCAATTTTGCGCCCCCTCAGCATAATGCCCTGTGGGGGGATACTGCCCACACCACCCAAAACCCAGTGCTGATCTGATGAAATGTAGATGTTGGAGCCTGCCTAATTTCAATGGGCTGGATCTCCAGCACAGACAGGTGAAGATTAGTGGCCTGAACAAATGCAGAGCAGGTAAAACATTTGCCAACTCTTCCTGCTCTGCATTTGGTGCTGCTATTCCTGTATGAGAGGGGAACTGCAGGACCATTTCTGGAGAAGGGACCCACCTCAAAGTAATTTACAGCAGCTGGCCTTGATGTTGGACCTCCTGGTCAAGTTGGGAGTTAAAAACAAAACAAACACCAAACAAAAAAAAAGGCATGCAGTGCACTGCTAGAACCTCTGAGCACTCAAAGAAGTAAGGAGATGCTCTGTGTTTCATTTTGCTCAATGGACACAGCAGAGAGGAGCCTTTCTGCGTGTTTGTCATTAATGTGGTGCAACACTCACCAGCCACCACTGCAGAACCTCCGAGGGGACCTCTGGATTTCTAAGAGTCAGCAGGCAGTTTACTGAGGCATCAAAGTGATCACAAAACCAGTCCAACTTGCTATGCTCTGTGCACCTGTTCTGGCTGCACATCTTTCCCTCCCAGGGAGACTCCATCAGCGGCCATTCTCCAGAGGAAGGCGAAGGGTCCATATACACAGCCTTGTAAACCTTCCAAAGGAAAAATGCAAGGCAGAGGGCCAGGATGCACCACAGCTTTTTCCTGAACTGCATCCTTCACTCAGTCAGCTGGATCTCATAGTTAAAAAACCTTCTATGAGGCAAAAGCATCATGCAGTGTGGTTTAATTTTATTGCCTATGTCAGACTTTTTGCTCTGCGAGTTTCCTGTTCACATATGATGGGCAGGTTGCTTCTTGAGTAGATACTGCTCCACACAGATGTGCAGCCCAGCAGCTAAAAACTCAGAAAAATCAAGGTCCGACTCCTTCTCCATTTATTCAGCCAGCCAGTGTTCTGTGGATGTGAACCAGTTAAAGCCTCACATCAAACGAATGCTGAAACACACAGGAAAAAGTGTGATATGACGTTAGTATGGACTACAAATGGCAGAGGGAAATGCTTGTGGCAAGATAAAGTTATTATTTTCAGACATCGTTCTGTACATTAATAAGTTTAATGGTGTAATATTTTCCTAAATGTCCATGCTGTTGGTCCCAAGCTTTCCTCCAGTTATGCTGCATGCAATTCATTAGCAGTTTACCAGATGGGGCAGAACTGCAACACTACCTTCCCAGCAGTAGCATTGCTGCCATTTACTGAAAGGGCTGAGTTGGTGAACAGGTCAAAGGTGCTCTACAGGACTCTACAGGCTTCAGAATCACATGGTTGTAGAGTTGGAAGGGACCACAAGGGTAATCTAGCCCAACCACTTGCAATGCAGGAATATTTCAGCCAACATGGGGCTCAAACCTATGACCCTGAGATTAAGAGTCTTATGCTCTACTGACTGAGCTATCCCTCAACTCCCAAAATCACTGGTGCATCTGCACAGCCCCAACCTCCCTCCTGCCTCCCCATCTATGTTCTGGTAAGCAGCAGCAAGACCATGGCCGGGAAACTAGAATTGTGGCTCTGGGTGAGCCACTTCGAGTGTGATTTGTACCCAACTGTAAAGCACTGTGTGCAACCCATCCAGTATCTATTTCTGGTCATATCCAAGATTTGTGTTAGTAATAAAGTTAGCATCTCATTAAACACATCCTGACATTTCCATAATTTGCTTCATACATTCTGTATTGTCCCATATCCCAGCCAGTAAAAAGACAGCTTGTTCACCCATTCCCATCAATACTTGTGTTTTCCTTTCCCTCTTACTGCAGGGTTTGTAGATTTTTATGATATTATACGGTCCTAGTTATTTTTAGATGGAGATTCCTCTCCTCTAGCACTCCAGTAAGCATATACACTGGCGTATCCACACTAAAAACCGAGATGACTCAAAATAACCTATTCCAAAGCAATAAAGCAAAAGACTTGTAAAGAGCATGTCATTTTGTGTTGGGGGGTTTTGGTTTCAAAACTAGACTCATCAAAAACTTGTTTTTTTGCTTTAGAAACTGCCACGTGTAAGTCGGTCAAATATTAGCAGAAAGCACAAGGGTCTGTTTTGTGCTGGAAGTCGTTCAAAGGAGGGTCAAATGTTTTTCCTTAAAGGAAGGTCAAAGGTTAATCCTTGTTCTTAACCAAGACTCTCCCCTTGTGCCTAGTTAAAAGGGTGGAAGGGGGAGTGAAAATATGGTCTGCAGGTCCAGCTAAAGAATATGGGAGTTCAACAAAAGGCTGTGGAGTCAGAAATGTAAAAAGCTGCAAGAGGAAAAAAGTGATTAAACCATTTCAGAGACCTGAAACAATGGGAAGTGTTAGGAAACCACAGTTAGGAACCACAGCAAAGGAGCCCAGAGAAAACTACAAAGGGATGCAGAAGCTGAACTGAGGATGCAAATTTTAAGTATTGGTTTGGTCAGAGAAGCAGACTGGTTTGTTTTTTGTTTGTTTGTTTGTTTTTAAAGTATTGTTTCAATAAAGTATTTAAAGATTAAAAAAAACAAAATAGATAAATCAACTACTCTTATGGGAAAACTGCTAAAAATGTAGACCATTTTCTCAAAAATGTGTTGCCTTGCTAAACCTGTAAGTAAATACACAATGTGTTTTGGGAAAGTTTGGTGTGAGGTCTTGTTATTCACTCCACACACAACTGCCATCACACACTACCCAGTATTGAGAGTAGGATGGGTCAGCTGAAGTCCAGGTGGTTAAATAGCTGGTAATGGGGGGGGGACGTTAGGGGAAATTGGGTGGGTGGGGAGATATTTTCACCTGGTGGCAACAGTGAAATTAGCAAGGAGGAGAGGTTGGTTTGCTTACAGGCTACAGCCTGTACTGTCAAAGGAGAAATCAAACTAAACTGGAAGAACATGAAAATCGAATGCTTTGGGTATGTTTGCACAAGCCTGGATTTTAACAGAAAGCCTTAGTAATGTGAAATGTTCTCATTTCAGGAAAGACTTCTAAATATTAAAATAGTGATGCAGAAAGGTTATCTAGAAATGTTCCTTTAAAATGCTCTGAGTAATATATGTGCTGTTATCAAGAAGATCGAAAGCTAACAAAAATCCCTGCAAGGCAAATACACACTGGTGCCACTAGATCATTTTGGACTCTGGACCTAATGATATTGAGAGAAGAGTTTCGGTGGTAAAGTTACTGCAAATGAGAAACACAAAATGCACCCATCACCTCCAAAGGTACACAATGCACTGTGCCACCTACACAGGGTTCTATGCAATGTTAGTCCTACTCAGATGCATTAAAAATAATGGTCATGGCTAACAGTGATTTCAGTAGGTCTGCTCTTGAGTATAACTTAATTGGACACAATTCACATGGTGTGAATCCTGTGCAAAATAAATCCCACTATGCTCAGTAGGGATTATTCCACAGTAAAAGTTTGTGTCAGGTTACAACAATTAAATCACAGCCTCATCGCACAAAGTGAAATGTTGAGCTGGGACACCAGAAAGAAACAAAACACACAATGCCAGGAAGAGGGGCATTTATCTTACCCACCCCTTTAACTCTATACTTTGCAACTACTGATATGTTGTTAGAGCAAAAGAAACAAAGAAGACAACTCTGAAGAATGAAAAAGAGAGAATGTGCAGAGCTTCACATTTTAAAATGGGACCCGTGTTTGTTGCTCTGATGCTAAGGATGCTAAAGTATAAAATGTTATAAATGAACATAAATGAACCAGGAAGACTTATGTACGCTAACTGGTTACAAATCAAGTGCATAAGTTTCCCTGGGTCAATAGTCAAGAACATTGTTGGATCTGAAATTAAATTATGCAGGACTGAAGGAAACACACTCTGTACATGTTTTGGGACTTTCATCTAATGACTTCACAATCCTAGGCACATTGCTTAGGAACGAGTCCTATGAAACTCAGCAATATATTCTTCTGAATAAAAGGTGCCTAGGATCTGGCTGTAACTGAAGGGGGGACGGGTGTGTGGAAGGAATTAAAAACACAAATTACAGCTGCAAACACACTACACCTTTAATGCACGTTTGAAGCACGTTTCCTACTCAAAGAATTCTGGGCATTGTAGTTTATCCATCACAAACAATTCCCAGCCACTCTGAACAAACTATTGTGCCCAAAATTATTTGAGGGGAGGAAATGTACTCGGAATGTGTTTTAAAGATATGCTAACCGGATGGCAGGAAGTGAATGAAGACCAGTTTGTGAGCAATGAACAAGCAAATAAGAGAGAGGAAGAAGGCAAGGGGGGATATTAACAAAAATGAAAGAAAGACACAACCCTCTGCACACTTACCCGGGAAGAGCAAGCCCCACTGAACGCATTGGGATTTACTTGTGAGAGTCAACACGCACAGGCACCGGTGGCTGCCCCAAACGGAAGTTTTGTTGCAAATTCAGCTGAGATAGTGGAGTTCCTCTATCGAGGGAGAAGCACTGGTTCCAGCAACGAGGGAATTGTTTCCCATTTCCTGCTAGTTTATCGCTGCAGCGTGGAAAGTTGCTGCAAGCACAACTATGACTCACTTGGAAAAGGAGGTTGCTGCGCTTGGCACCACTGCAAATAACAGCTTCCGAGGAGGGATCTTCTTCAGGACTTCAGCAGGAGATTGTCCCCTTCCCCACCTGGCTGAGATAATCACTAGGCCCCCCACCTTGCACTAAGGGTATTTGCATTTCAGAAACAAAAACTAATGCAGACACTTTCTGCTAAAGAAAAAAACTGGCTCTTTCCTCTCCTTTGTTAACCAGGCAAACTTTTTAGCATAATTGAGGTTATGTTTCAACAAGTTCAAGGACACCTCAGCAGACTCTACAGTGTTTTCAAAAAACAAGGACCTGCAGCGAAGACTGAAGAGGCTGTTGTTTCAAAGTCTGCAGCTACGTTCTCTCGTGTCCCTGAAGTCTCTTATCAAGTCAAGCGACATGTTGCTACTATCTTTCAAGCAAAAAACATAGCCATGAGAGTCAATTACTGCTCTCCAAGGCAGCTCTGCGTGACAGTCCTCAACTTCTGAGGGGAAAAACTAGGGAAGGAATTGTGTGGGAGGAGGAAATCCTGCTTGCACCCCGCCAACTACCGCAAGAGGTGATTCAGTGGAGGCAGGAGTTTGTTTTCCCACACGAAGCTTTCATTGTTTGATTAGTCTAAATCACTCTGTAAGGTAAGCATAAAACCTATAATGGCCAAGCACCCTATTATTTCACACAAATCAGAGTTAACATCTCCTATTTTTGTTTATTCACATTTACATGGATTTTTGCACATTTCATCAGAAAGCACTACAGCTAGCAAATGCACTGTGAAAAATGCTACAAGGCAAGTCATCTATCCTTTCTTAAAGGGTGGAGGATGCAAAAATGATCATCCTCTGAGACCCTTCTTTGTGTGCTTCCTCCATGAGAGATCTGGAGGGTGGCAACATGAGAATGGGGCTCGTCTGGAACCTCCATTACACATCTTTAGGCACCAGGTGAAAATGTTTTTCTATAGCCAGGCCTTTGGCTGATTAACATCCTATGGCCTTTTAAATGTGTTTGTGGGAGGGGAGTTATTGGTTTGCTTTATTGCATATTTTGTGCTCTCATTTTTCATTTCTTATGTTGTGAGCTGCCCTGTGAGCTTTGGATGAAGGCTGGTATACAAATTTAATTAATAATGATAATAATAATGCTGACAGTGAAAAGAGAGGTTCGTGCTGGTTGTCAAGACAAGCTTTTATTCATTATTTCCAAGCACTGTGGAAATATGGGCTACAGATAAGCAACTTCTACTAAAAATAATTTAAGGCATTAGGCAGAGTACATGTTAGATTACTGGTACATGGTTATGTATTTATTTTATTAATTTCATAAAATTTATACACTGCCTGATTGTGTGTGGGGTTTTTTAAACCACCCTCAAAGCATTTTACAAATACTGCAAAGGAACATTTGCTCTTCTTATGCAAATACTTTTAGTTTACAAACTGCCAGAATGTCCCATTGATTTTAAAGGGATATTTCCTGCATTAGCAACATTTATGTGTGTCCAAATGCTAGTTTAATAGGGCCTCTCCCTTCTGTGCAGTGTCAAAGCAGCATTGCTTTGGAGTATAATTTGACATTTTACAGCAGCTTGTGAAGCAGAGCACAATTACTCCTGAAACACATATTCACAGAGATACATGCACTATGTCTGATGCTACTCATTGCACTGAATAGTGTCACAGACCCTACACTGAGAATCCTAACTGTAGCTGCTGAAAGATAGTTTGCTAGTGTTACCACCTGCTTACCTTAACCAAGTGTTGGAGATCACACAGCCCGGGCAAAGTGAATTATTCTTCTTCCTCTTCCTTGGTTGCACTCAGAATATTAATGAAGATTGAAGCCACTGCCCATGGCTGCATGCGGTAAGTGACTCATTTTGAAATAGTGCTTTTGAACAGGAACTATTGCAAAAATAGAAGGGGAAGTTAACAACCCAATGCCAACCACATCAGACTGAGGACACATGCTTTAAAAGCAAATGGTATTGTTTAAGCTGCAGGAAATGCTTCCTGCAGCATAGAGGAGGCCACTGTGTGGCTGGTCACACCTGCAGGCAGGCAGCCACTGTTGACTGCATTAGGCACATAGGAGGCTGCCTTATACTGAGTCAGATCATTGGTCCATCTACACTGACTGGCAGCTGCTCTCCAGGGTTTCAGGCCAGAGTGTTTGCCAGCTGTATCTGCTGATGCCGGAGACTGAACTACTAACTACTGAGCTACAATCCTTCCCCAAATCACTCTCTCCTCCTGCTGTTGCAAAATTGGCTCACACAGCTGTTCTGCTTAACCAATCAGAATTATCAACCAACTTTGGCAGCAATAGGCACCAACCCAACTCTCCCTATTTGTCTTCTGATAGTAGGTTATCTCATATATTTTCAAGCCCTGTTGGTGGGAAATATTGGAATTCCTTGAAAGTTTCAGGAGACTGCACAGTGAGAAGATCAGTAATGGTGGGCATTCACCACACCTTTCATCACTGCTAGGAAATCCATTGGAATTCACAACAGCTGGGGAGTGTTGGGTGTATTCTAGGTACACTCTCAGTTTGCCAGGGGAAATGGCTAATTCCAGCAGGCTTACCCAGCACCCTGTAAGAAAAGAGCATGTACCACAGAATACATACCAAAATCCTCTTTAACATACAGAGTTAAGAGGGTACTCCACAAGCAGGCTGCCACTACAGAAAAGACCTGTTCTCCATTCCCTAACTCAGTGGATCTTGGTAAGTGAAGGGAGCCCCCACCCCACCCCCAAGTGGCGTCTTACCAGATCTTAGGGCTTTGAGAGGCATGTATGCAAACAGGTGGTCCTAATAGCAATCTGCCAGCAAAAGCTTCCTGCAACATGAATCCTTTACCTCTCTAGCTGCTTGCTAGAGAGGTAGCTAAGTGAGTTTCCTTTATAAGACAGGAGGAGTCAAACAGAAATCCCTGATCCTTGTTCTTACAGGTTTCATTTGTGCAAAAGAAGGAACATGGTTAAACAGAGGTCAGATACTTTCACTTTCTCTTATAGGATTCCTATTTTAGGATAACAGTTTGAACAATAACATTTATTCGCCTGCAAGCTAGATTGCATTTCTGATTAAAAACTGAAGGTGGCATTTCAGCTGCCTGAATATACTTGTTTTAAATGTAATCTGTCGTCTGTGTGTGTGTGTTACACTCCAGACCAGGATGTTTAGTTTTAAAAGCCATTAATTTATGCAGACTTATATAGGCTGTATAAGTCTGACCAAACTGCAGGAGGCAGTGGAAGACAGAAGTGCCTGGCGTGCCTTAGTCCATGGGGTCACAAAGAGTCGGACACGACTAAGCAACATCATCATATAGGCTTTCCGTCATCAGCCAATTTATTAACCTAACCTGCTTTCCCCCCTCATTTTCCTAGAGTTTCTTCTCTTTTGTAGCAACACAATAACAGCAACACAATAACAGCAATGCTTTGGGTTTTCCAGAAAGTGGTGATGTCCATTGTATGAAAGGTGACTGTCAGACTTGGCCTCTGCAGGTGGGAAGAGATAAGGATCTGACCCACTGGCCAGATCCGAGTTTCTCACCATAGAGAGTGATATAATTTAGTAAGTTTAGTTTACTTGTATTTAGTAAACAAAGCTGAAAGCTCTAAAACTGCCAAACATGTCTAATATTTATTTGTAGTTGCCATTCATTCATTGTTACCAATGAACTTTGGAAATGGAAAAATAAAATGCTGAAAAAAATAGTCACTAATTAACATTCATGATACCATTCTTAACAAAGTTTGATTTATAAAAAGGTGTCACATTCCCCCTCACATAATAGGGGGGGAAACCGAATTTGATGAGGTTGTATATGTGAGTGTGGGAGTCCATAGTGGTTTGATGGTGATGGGCAAAGTATCTGATGAAGCTGGAACTTCAGACTACCTGGAACATCCACAGATGTGGAGGCCATCAGAACATGTAATTCTCTTTTGTCAGTTTTTCTTACTATGCTTTCAAGGAGAGGTCAGTAACTCTAGACTGTATTTTAGCTTTCAGGCATTTATCTATGTGTAAGTAAGTAAGTAAATGCATCATATGTAAGTATTGAAACTTAACCTTTATTCTTGTGTTTTTTTATATTGTATGTTTTGTTGTGAACTGCCCTGAGATCTATGGATGAAGATATACAAATTTAATAAAACAAACAGACAAACAAATAATGATTGATTGATTGTACCAGGTGCATGAATTGCCAGTTTATTTCCAGGTCCATTTTAAAGTACTGAGCTTATTCTTTAAAGGTTTGGGACCAGGTTACCTTAGAGTAGGGCTAGGAAACCCTTTTTAGCCTAAACTGCATGCCACTGGTGGGTAGGGTTAAAGATATAAAGTGGGTGGAGCAACAGATATGACTCTTACCTTTTGTACAGAAGGCTTCATTGCAGCTATGCAAAAGTCTCCATCCTTCATCCAGGCAAAAGCACTCGGAGAGTGTGCAGTAAGGCTGGTGGGAAGGGGGTATGGGTACTTGTGAGGGGGCTTATTCTTGGAGAGTCCCAAGGCCTAGAGGTTCACTCTTCCTGCCTTCACCTGTAGTCTGCTCACACTTTGAGATCAGCTTCAGAGACTCTGCTTGTGTGCCTGACTGTAAGAGCAATTAGGCTAATGGGAATTTGGGAGAGGGCCTTTTTGGCAGTGGCCCCATGCCTGTGGAACTCTGTTTCAGCTGAAATATATAAGGCTCCACTATTGTAGACCTTTAAGCAAGCCCCAAAAATCCTCCTATTTACAACTGACTCCTCTTAAATAGTAATTTTATTGAGTTGAACTATATATGGTGCAGGTGTACAAAGTTATTTAATATCTACATTTCTTTTTACTATTTGACACACAAAGCAGGTTTTCAACTTCCCTCAAAACCTTCCACTCAGAAGTAACACAGGAAAAGTGTGATTTCCAATCTCCCTTGGTAGTTTGACTAAGCAGCATGAGACGTAAGCAAAAGAAAATTTATTACAGGAGTGGTGGTGGTGATAAAACATGCATTCAGGTGTCCCAAAAATTTTAGGAAATAAAGAAACATGAGACAAAAATTAAATAGTATACAGTTTTGGACTGCAGTACATTTTCTTCTCAGGTGGAATCATATCATTTGAAAAGATAGATAGGAAAGAGCTCTGATGATTCAGGCAATCCGGATTACATCTATTAACGCAAGGCAGCTGTAAAGATGTCAACTGCAATTCTTGGATATTTCAGGTTGGGCAGTCTTAGTAAGAATAGATAAATAGGGTTACTGTTATGTAAAGAAATGGTAATACTTTATTTGCAATGAAGTGTTTAATGCTTGTGCTGTTCAATAAGGATATACAGGGTGAGTCTTTTAATAGAGGTTCCGTGGAACATGTGTACTCTGTATCCACAGGGCCTCTTTTAAAGGACTCACCCTGTAATTAGATCAGTTAGAACTATTATTTCTGAAATCACTGGTATGAATGGTAAAACTGTCCCGTTAAGATTGGAGTGGGATTAGAGATGGCTTGGAAAGCCTTCTAAGGAACAGGAACCAATGGCCCTCCAGAGGTTGCTGAACTCCAACTCCCATCAGCCATAGTCAGCAAGGGCAAGGATGCCGGGAGTTGAAATCCAACAACATCTGAAGGGCTAAAGATTCACCATCCTTGTGTTATATAAGCAGCAAAATCTGAATTTATTCACAGGGTGGGATACATTTGCAAAAACTGCAATATATTTTATATGAGGGTTTGTTTGTTTTTAAAGGAAGGTGGGGCTCCTTGCATCACTAGAAAAAGGTTGCTGCATGGGGTGCACATGGGATTGGAGACTTAGCTGATGGATTTTGCTTCATGGACTGGTTGATTGCTATGTTGAAATTCAAAAAGAATGTTTCCCATAGCTTGTGGAGGGCAATGAAAGGGGGCTATTATGATTTTGTCCCACTTGTTTCTGCCATCAGGAACTATAGGCTCAGCAAGTATCTTCTGCTGGTTAACATTTGGGTTGAGCTTCATAGCCTTTTAGTCCTTCAGGTTATATGCTTCTAACTCACAAAGGGAGCTCCACATTGTTGAAAATGCCTATTTTTCCATGCAGTGGAAGGGAGTAACAGTGAAGAGGTGGAGCTTTCCTAATAGAATACCTGGAACATATTGATCCCATTCACAGATACACAGTGTGGAAGCTGCTTTCCTATGGAACAACCGCTGCCCGAGTGTGCATGAATGAAGCAACCACCTAGAGAGGTAACCTAGAGGATCTTTCCCACCCAATTATTACCTAGCTGTGAGGTTTGAGAATGATTCAGTTGGAAAAGATGCATGGAGTTGGCTTCACTCTTGGATGTCTGGCATTCATAAAGTAAACCATAGCAATGACGGATTGAACCACCAAAAAAAGGGCTCCTGTGCCACTCTGAGTGTGTATGAAAGAGGCCAGTGAGTTTGTCAGATAATACAGCGTAGCTACAATTCTATTTAAATCAATGGACATTTTACCAGTGGCTTGAATGAGAAGTGGATTGCACTTTAGTCTATGATGACATTTCTGCATCAGTGAGCCTGATTCCTGGTCCAGCATGTCGTCCTACAGATTGGTGACCAAGTTAGTAAATGTGAGAGGAACGCTACTGAAGTCTTGGCATGCTGCCGTCAGAGGCCACTCTTAAAGCAGAGGATTATATTTTCAGTAAATAATACAGTGTTCTTTCATCAACCCATCCTTCTATTCATGCAGAATGTAAACAAAGGATGCTGGGAATAAACCTTTCCTGGAAGGCTGCCCTTCAATCCTGCCACACTGCAAAGAAAGAAAGAGCAGAAGGTGAGGCAGTTTTAACACAGAGAGAAAAACCTCAGTGCATTGTAATTACAAGTCTTACAACGACTGTATTTCTGAGACCATCATTCCCTATATTTATGGGATTGGGATGCGATGCAATATGATGACTGGAGGCAGCACCCGGGGTCATTGGGAAGCAATTGGAGCTCCAGAGCCCTGACCAGGGTCGTTGCCAATGCAGACCTGACTTTCTGAGCAGTACTGGGTCTACCTGCCATTTTAATATTCAATACACAATATTCCCTCATGCTCCAGGGCATTGTGGGAAATTAAAATTGTGTCTGGCAGCATTGTTGAAAATAAATGGTGGATAGATCCCCTGTCTGGTGCTGAAGCTGTTGCATGACACAGCCCATCAATGCTAACTCCTGCCAAGGCCCACTGACCACAGGGCACTTTGCTGAGGACCCCCTCAAACCTGGAGCTAGTCCCATGGGGTAGGGTAATGATCAGTGCCATGATAAGGAATCCCCAGCAATCACCCAGAAGAAACTGTCACATACCCACCAATTGGAGTCCTCCTGTCCTTCTACTACAATTATCTCTCCGGTCTGGAAGGTTAGCTCATCTTCATGGTCAGCCTGGCAGTCATAAAGAGCTCTGACCCGACACACACTGGAGTGTTTCTGAAAATGGACACCAGAAAGCAATGTCAAGCTTGCAGACACAGATAATGTAGTTCAGTGTTGGGGGAACTTGTGGCCTTCTAGATGTTTTTGGGACTCCTAGCTTCCATCAGCCCCAGCCAGCACAACCAATAGTCAGGAATGATGGGAGCTGTAGTCAAGTAACATCTGGAAGGCCACAGGTTCCCCCAACCCAGGTGTAGTTCATGTGGAAGGCCTCAGTCACTTACACATGAAGAAGCTTTATAGCAAGAAGAAAATGCTCAGAACGGAAGAAAGAAGAAGAAGAGGAGTTTGGATTTGATATCCCGCTTTATCACTACCCTAAGGAGTCTCAAAGCGGCTAACATTCTCCTTTCCCTTCCTCCCCCACAACAAACACTCTGTGAGGTGAGTGAGGCTGAGAGACTTCAGAGAAGTATGACTGGCCCAAGGTCACCCAGCAGCTGCATGCGGAGGAGCGGAGACGCGAACCCAGTTCACCAGATTACGAGTCCACCGCTCTTAACCATACTGGAGTCTTTGAATTGTTATTTTCGGCAACTTGTTGTGGATTCTTAGCAAGCAGGGCTGAACGGTACATTTACAAGCAACTGGCATCAATTTAGTGAGTGAAGTCTCTTCTCAGTTATATTGTGATGCAGACCTCATCACAATATGGCTAAGGAGAGGGGCCACCACCATGCAATTAATTTCTTCACCCCTGAATCCTGTTAGTGACAGACAGATTTCATTACCTCATCGCTTTGGCTCACTTGGTGATTCATAACATCCCTGGGGTTGACAATTTCACATTAAAAGTGGTGTACAGACTACCCCCCATTCTTCAGAAGCTTAATTCATACACACACACACACACACCCCTACAGTAGTCAGAGGCAGCTTAGGTCGGTGAAAGGCAACCATCCTTAGCTAATAGTACACTAAAATGAAGAGGGAAAATGAAAGCACTTAGTAAGAAAATGTATATTTAAATGAAGAACACACCAAACCCCCCCTTTTTGGCAGTGGTGGTGGGACATCATCTGATGAGTCAAAGGATGATTCCAGTGAGGGGGAGGAAGTCCACTGGCTTTTTCTTGCATGTTGATTTTGCTCACAAATTGTCCCCTCTTCGTTTAAGGCAGCTGCAACACAAAACACAGCCCTGTTGTGTTATTTCATGTTGGAAGTGCAACAGGGGTGATCATTCTGTGTGCAACTTGTAGGTGAATTCTTTCAGTGTTGAAGTCAACTAGCTAAGAGGAGGACAGGTTAAGGTGTTGCTTAGCAACCATGCAGAGTACCATGTTGTTTGCTGAGGTATAACATGCTCTTATTGAATGTGTAGTTCTGCAGGAGATTTCCTCTGTATGATTGGTTAAATGTCTCCCTGCTATGTGCAAGGCCTGAAGTATGAAAAACAAACCTCTCCATCCCTTTCTGCTCAAATTATGTTTTCTCTGTGGAATCTGGCACTAGAGTAAGGTTGCATTACATATACTACATATTTCAGTTTTTAAAAAAATGAAATTAGCAAGTGTTGTAGTTTACCCCTGCAGCCAGTCCACACACAGTTTAAAGACAAAAAGAAAATTGACACAGTACTAATAATTTACACCTGGTTTTTACCTTGCAAGTATAGCAGGATTTCTACACAGTTTCAGGAAAATCCAGAACAAGAGGGATGGCATTTTAAAACACCTAGTAGTGGAGGTGCAGTCAGGTAATAAATAGAGGCAAGGTTACACATCACCAACAAGCACCTCGGAACCAAGTGAGACAATGGTACTATACTGGTTCACATCTGAAAGGATTGAACTACAATTCAACAGAAGCTCCCCACAAAGTACTTGCAAACCAGAGCAATACCTTGGGCGAGGAAACACAGGGATGCAACAGTTAGGGGAACATATCACCTAAGGCACTTCCAGACTGTTGCTGTTTTGGGGTGGGATTACAAAACAGCAAATTTAGCTTGTGCAATCCTAGGTGACTGGAAGTTATGTGCAACAAACCTGGTTTCCCCCCAAGATTTGACTTTTTGCAGTAAGGAAAGTGATAGGAAAATGCACTTTAAAGTGTGGATAGCATTTGCTTTGATGCAATGTCATTTAACCTCCCCAAAAGCAAGTCAGGCTGAATGTTCATCAAAAGCCAATGCCCTGTCATCATACTGCAATCAGGAGGAATGCTCAATAAACAGGTCATTTGGAGGTGCCTCTAGATTTTGAAATGGTGTCAAAATGGAAGAACAAGGCTGATGTAGGAACACCTTGTGCAATTGAATACAAGAAAATAAAATTCACAAAACTTATGATATAGTAGAAGTCCATAAGTTCAAAAAGAAATCAACTTTAAAAGGAAAGAATATGTGAAATATTGTTGGAGAACTGTAGTGGAGAGAAGGAAGTAGCTCAGATGGTATTTGCTGGGGGGGGGGTTGGAGAGAGAGAGAGAGAGAGAGAGAGAGAGAGAGAGAGTGTTTTACCTTGTCGCCAGGAATCCACCACCACTTCAGGGAGTTCAGAAGAATCAGAACTAAAGGAAATAAGGGGGGGGGGAGTGTTCATTCACCTTGAAGAATCCCTCATTTCCTAATCGATGTGCTTGAAAAACAGCAGCCACCTAGAAACTCATACCAACTGACAGGTGAGCAGAAGAAAGGCAGCTGTCTTGCAAATGAGGATTCTGACCAATATAAGTTTTATATTCACAATGCAAGTTAAAGTTGCTTCCATACTGTCACTATATTGCGGGTATGATTCCATCATATACCAGAAACTTCAGTTTGCACAATTAAAGTAAATTTGGTGCTCTTGCAGAACAAAACAAAAATTTTGGTGGTCAGGAAAGTATACTGGAAAGAATGGGATGACAGCAAAGTTGGGCAACATTACATAACCTCCGTGTAAATTCTGTGCAAATGAATCAGGATGAACAAACAGGAAATCTGGAAGAGCCCTAACTGAACTGCTTTAAAACCTCATTCTCTGCTCTTGAGCAGTATATACATAGACAGACAGATTGACAAAGACAAAGATTGCCCAACCACCCTATTTCAAAACACAGCTGGGGTGCACCAGGCAATCGGCTCTACATCATAGGGCCCCTCCACAACTGTGTTTTATCGCAGAGGCATTCTGCAACATGTTCTTGACACAACAGTAGTGGTGGATTTATTCTGCTTTAGTTTGTTCTGCAGTGCTGCCCCAATGCTACCACATTATTGCTGTCCAGGGGGGTGCGGCAGTGCAACAAAAGCAGGACAAAAATAAACCAGAACAATTGTAGTATGCAAAGTTGCTGAATTTCAGCAGTAAGTTACGATATATGAGCTGGCCAAAAATGAAGCCAGGAGACTGCTGCAAAACATTTGCAGCTGCAAACAGTATTGAAAGTGGGATCACATATGACAGCCCCAATAGCTTCATGAGCACAAATCATGAATGTGCAATAAAAAGGATGTCTGGAGGAGCCCCCAGACACCCATGGTTACCTCAACCTCCTAGATGAGGCTCCTTCTGGAGAATAACGTCTTGGAAGCGAGAAAGATCTAGGGTCTAAGACAGAGACAAAGGGACTTTTCTGTTTACAAGCCAGCATCAGGTCAGTTTACTATAGCATAAACTTATGAGCAAACAATCCTTGGATGACACAGTAAAACCAGTTGAGTCCCCCCCACCTTGTTTGCCGCGATGACTAATTTTGTGAATGTTCTGACCTGCCTCTGATATGCACATGCCCAAAACACATCTCACAATCTCTCAAAAATCCTTCAAAATGTGAATCCACCAAGAAGGCATTATAAAACCGTCTCCACATGTCAGAAGATTCACAAATCCTGTCACTGCAGCAAAAACCCAACAACCCCCAACTTGTGCACACTAAACAGCATCAATGACATGTCAAAATGGCTGTGAATTAGAGTGATGCATTCAGGATAGTTGTGGCCCATTCTCACTATCATGCCATGTCCCTGACTTTCATATAATCAACTTGAAGGTTATTTGCTATCTCAAGAGAATGCATTCATCCTCTCTCCATTCTGGATTGTTTGGGATGCTTCTGAAGTGATTCAGTATATGAATTGATGGGCATTTTTAAAGAAATAGCTAATGTGCTAAAATAAACCCAATTTGATTTTTAAAGGGAATTTTAGCCAGATGAACTGAATTTGTGAACCTGCCACATCTTGATTAAAATAATATTTTTTGCAGGTTTGCAAGATGTGGTGGCCCACATATTCAAAGTGTATAAGAGCATTCACAGATAATCAACATTCAGAAATGGTGCAGGAAGGCGTATGAAAAAAATCATCTGTGTTTCCTAACTTCATATACCTAGAGCTATGTTTCCAGATTTTAACACACTGGTGTCCTGTGGTAGTTTGTGAATAAGAAGAGTTAACGTCCCTAGTCAATGTCAGTAGTGGACCAACGATATACCTCAGCATAAAGCCTCCCCCCCCCATAGATCTAGATTTAGAAATATTCCTGCTCCTCATTTTTATAATCAATGCAGCAATCCTCAGCTGATTCAGTGAGCTCTCTTACCTGCAGTTGGGCTGGTAGGATTGAGTGGTGTGCTGGGAGAGGGCTCTGAGGAGGTTCGCTTATGTCGAATTGTCAGAGGTGGAGGCAGGATCTTTCTAGGTGCTGTGTCTGCAGGGAGGACTGACCAGCTGGATGGGGGCAGTGGAGGAGGGAAGCTGGGGGCTGACCAAAAAAAGAGAAAAAGTCAGTGATAACACTCTTGTTGAAGGTTGTTGGACTGCAGGTCCCATCAACCTCAGCCAACATGCCCAGTGGTGAGGCTTGATGGGACTTGTAGGTCAACAATGTCTGGACAGCCATGAGTTCTGCACCCATGCCCTAAAAATAAAGGAGCTGGCCATCCATCCATAGGTGCAAAATTTAAGATATATTGTATAGTTTGCATATAAATAGGAGATGCACGACACTGCTCACCATGGCAGTATTTACACTTGAAAGTAGCAATCAGATACATCTTCTTCACACCCACAGAGGTATGTGAAAGAAAAGATATCAACCTCTGCCTCCCTGTCTCCTAGGTCTCCAAAATCCCCATTAAAATACATTCTTGACCAGAGTGAAAATTGGATATGAATAATGCACCTTTGCCACCCCCCCCTGCAAAAAAGCTGTAGGGTACACTTTGCACATTGTGGAGAGACAGAAGCCAACATCTCTACCTAGGCAAAATGGGAGTACAGTAATTCACTGTGGGTTAAACCACAGAGCCTAAGACTTGCCGATCAGAAGGTCGGCGGTTCGAATCCCCACGATGGGGTGAGCTCCCGTTGTTCGGTCCCTGCTCCTGCCAACCTAGCAGTTCGAAAGCACATCAAAGTGCAAGTAGATAAATAGGTACCGCTCTGGCGGGAAGGTAAATGGCGTTTCCGTGTGCTGCTCTGGTTCGCCAGAAGCGGCTTAGTCATGCTGGCCACATGACCCGGAAGCTGTACGCCGGCTCCTTCGGCCAATAAAGCGAGATGAGCGCTGCAACCCCAGAGTCGGCCACGACTGGACCTAATGGTGAGGGGTTCCTTTACCTTTATGGTACATCAGGGAATTAGCCAACATAGGAATGGTGCAGTTATAGCACTATAATTCTGTAGCTATAAAGGCAGTGATGAAATAGGACATTATCGATGCTGTCTAACCTTTAGGTGCATTGCGCGGTGGCAGCGGTGGGCCTGTACAGGCAGGGGGCGATGTTGCCACAGTGGGTCTAGAGGCAGAAACATGTGGCACAGCGTATAGCTCACGGAGCTTCTCCGGGGATAGTGGACTGGCTCCCTTTGAGAAGTCAGCTGGATTTTTCCATGACTGAGAGGCTGTTCCAGGCAGATTGTAGCAGCTCTGAGGACGATGAAAGCGATCTTTTTTCGCTGGACTAAGCTGAAATGAATAAATGTTAATAGAGAGCAGAATAAAATACTAGAAACCTTACCCAAGAACAGCATCGCTAGATCAGCAGCCCAATTTAATTTAGTATTCTGCTTCCAAGAGCCTCCAGCCACCAGGACGCTTTCAAGAGGTCACAAAGGGCAACAGCAGTTCCCTGTTGTTTGGTATACTACTTCTGTACATGGAAGTTCCAGCTGACAGGATGCACACAATGCATGTAGAATAAATGGATGAAGGGCTTCTCCTTGAGACGTATTCATTTTTTACAATTCCGAGGTCCTTGTTCAAATAAGAACTAATAATTATAGTCAGTGCCTGATCCTGGAAACCAGATGCTTGTCTATTTTGGATCTAAGTTTGAAACACTTAAATTGTGTGATGGCCTTTTAAATGAACTTTTTCTCTTCAGGCAAGCGCCTCATGGTGAAGACTGAAGCCTTATTCATGTTTAATGCCTAGCATGTGTGCACAGGATTGCAGCCCTATTTTCTAATAATAATGATGATGATGATGATGATGAAGTAGCTCTCCTTTAAAAAAAAAGTAATAATTGCAGTCTTGAGCATGATAAAGAACTTTCCTCTGTGGTGAATCGCTCCCTGCAATCTTTGATTAAAACATGCAGGCCTGTATTCAACTAACTTGTTGCACAGAAGCAAGTGCAAGGATCCCCACTAATGCAACAGGATTCCAACCCCCCTCTCCTGCTCCCTCTCCTATGCCCTCCCCAAATCTGTTCCAGATGGTTTGGAGAATTCCTAGAACAGTGAGTGGGAGAGGAAAGGGGAGGTTGTTCCCTAGTGCAGGCAGAAATGCTTGTGTGAATGGAATGACCTCCTTAGCACTATGTTGACCACAACCCATGGGCTGCAACCTAGCACAAAACCAAGCATGCTTTAAATCTTCTGAAATCAATGGCTTTGAGTGGCCTTGGAATACATTGATTAAAATGATTCACATTAATAACCCCAGTAGTGGATCATTCTTGGGATCCTGCCAATTCTATAATTCAATGACTACAGAAATATCCATTCAGTTTTGGCTATTTTCACAAACTCCCTGCCAGAAGAGGCACGCATCTTTAAGCGACCAAATGTGTTTTAGGAAGCTGCTGAGAAATGGGAAGCAATGGACAGACTTCCAGGTCACAAAACAATTGATCAAAAGTGCTGGGACCTTACCTTCTCATCCAGATCATCATCGCTTTCGAACATGTCTTCTTGGCCCAGCCGCCACTCATATTCCACATGAGCTCGCATGTTGAACTGATCATTTTGAGCCTGCAATAGCTGCAAGAGAGATGACACTCACTCTAGTATCTCTTCACATTCTTTCTTATTATAGTTTGGAAAAGTTCCAAAGCAAACTTTAAGTTTGCTGGAGTCCTAGCTGGTCTCTTTTGTATTCCAGGGTTCTAGTGGGAAAGTGGAAAATAGTACTGCCGAAGGACAAAAGGTGCTTTCAGCTTAATAAGAAGGTTTAATATTGTAAACAGGCCACTGAGATATCACAAATGGGTCATTGTTTTCTTTTAGTTTATTAGATTTTCCCGGGAAAAGGTAAATCCAAATTAAAAGAGGGGCAGGTCAGGATGCAGGCTGCCATATTAATGCCAATGATGTTGTGTGGATGCTGCAATATTTTTTTAAAACTTGCAGGCATGATGAACAGGTATCCCACAATAAATAACCCAATCTGGAAGCACCCAGAAGAGAAGGGGTAGTGGGGGCTATAATCCCAACACCACAAATTGCCAATAAATTGTTGGCGAATTGGGGCTGTATTACTGTCACTTCCTTAACTACTCGCACAGAAGCATGTTTTTCACTAAAGCAGAAAAAGCTTTTACAAAATGCAAATGAAAAGAAGCCTTGCATATATATATATATATATATATATATATATATATATATATATATTTCTATACCAGCCTTTATCCGAACTATATAACATAGTAACAAAAACAAGACCCCCTTCCAGTTTAGAAGGCCATAGATTGTTTAATTGGCCAAAGGCCTGAGAGAAGAGGAATATGTCTAACTTGGTGGCTACCATCTCCCAACTTCTCTCATTTTCGTTTTTTTTAAATTTTTTAAAATTTTTAATTTTATCGTTAAAATAGTTCATCATTAATCCACATATATTACAGATATACAAGCATACAAACATACATTTCATACAATCCTTAAAAGTGTTCAAACATACTTACACTCAATCCCACAAATAATTCCTTTTCCCATCACCATCCACCACCCCTCACCCCACCTTTGTGTTAGACTTCCAATCTACTCAATTGCAATTTCTTTCCACTTCTATTACTTTCTTTCACACACCTTTAGCCTAATTTCATACTTCTTTTTCTATTACACATTGTTATCCATCTTATTCAGTATTTCAGTGTTTGAAACGGAACTTGTTTATTCTAATAGGAGTTCTGATTTTTCGATATGGTTTTGCAAGTATCTTTTAAACACCTTCCAGTCCCTACCTATCTTCTCTTTTGAGATCCTTCCAATTTCTCCCATTGTTTTGGATATATTGTAGTACTCCAATAATTTGGCAAGCCACTCTATTTTTGTTGGTACAATACTACTTTTCCAGTTTTTCGCTCTCTCATTTTCATCGGTGAATTCACACAACTGCACTACTTTTACAGGGTATAGTTTTAAAGTGCTAGGTAAGCCTGATAACCTTGTTTTCAGCAAAGACCAAGTGAGAGTGTGCACACAAAATAAGCACAGGAGCAATGGGCAATGATAGTTTCATAGTAATTTGAATCTCTTGAAAATACAGAGCACTAGATATTTAATTTTGCCAAGAGCTCAATATTTGGGTATGTCCAGATTCCAGACACAGGAACATAGGAAGCTGCCTTACACCAAGTCAGACCATTCGTACATCTGCCTCAGTATTGCCTACACTGACTGGTAGAGGCTCATCTGCATTTCAGACAGGGGCCTCATTCAGTCCAATATGGAGATGCCAGAGTCTGAACCTGGGACCTTCTGCATGCAAAAATGATGCTCTATCACTGAGCTATGGCCCTTTCTAAATACTTCTCAAGCTCATTACTTTCCTATAGCGGCCAAGCAGAGATAAACCTCCCATTTCTTACCAGATTTTCACACACATCGTGATTCATTTGCCTAGCAATATCGAGGGCTGTCTCTCCAGCTTCATTCGCTGTTAAGAAATATCAGATGACACCAAATGAGTAATAATGAGAGCAACAGACTAAGCTCTATTGATATCACCATAGTTTTAGGAACGGGGGAGAAATTTGATTCAGTTCACATTTAAAGGTGAATCTTTCAAATTGGTACTTTCCAAAAGAATATGGGAACTGAAACATGTCAAAATTTACATTTATCTGAATTTTTTGACTCGGTTCTCCAACCAAACAATGTTTACAAGAATGCATATATTAGGAGGAAATGTGCGCGGGGGGAAATGAGGGGAGCTTGCCACAGCAGGAGGGGGAGACACTGCATGACTCTTCACTATCCTGACTCATCTCTGCCTTGTGATCTCCCTTCTCCCACTCACCTTCTTTAGCTTCTGCCTCTGGTCCTTGATTCTCTCTGCCACAGACTCTCCTAACTCACTAAGCCCTGTTGCCCCTTCAACCTCTGACACCTCCTCCTCCCCGGGCTTCTCCCTCTGACCACTCAGTGTCATCCCACCACCAATCCCTGGGCTCTGAGCCTTCTTCCCTTGGTGGGTTCCCCAGCAGGTTCCCCCCACCATTCCTCTGCGTCCAACCAGTCTTTGACAAGTAAGCAGTTATTTCCCCTCCTAACTCAAACAGTAATTTTTGTGTGGTAACCACTTACTGATTGTGATGTTGGCTCTGGCCCGTAGAAGGAGTTTTATGCATTCAGGTTTATTGTGAAGGCTGCAGTAATGAAGTGGGGTGTTGCCTTTAGAGGTCTGCTTCACCAGGCTCCCACTGGATGAGAGACAATTATTAGCCAGGCAGACTGCTTCCCATTTATAGAATACTTCATTTCTTTGATGGCTTAATTAACCAAGGAGTGGAATCTCTGTCTACAAATAACTCCCCCTTACTAACATCCACACTCCAGATAAGTTTACATTTTTGACAATATATACAGTCAGTGAGTCTAGGAAATGCAATGGTAATGCAATGGAGTATGGCTTGAATATGAGGAACAAGTCTTGGGTTATGCAATTAAATACTGCTGAGAACTGGAAGAGGAAGAGGAAGAGATATACCTGGACCTTGCCATTACAGTGGTACCTCGGGTTACAAACACCTCGGGTTACAAACACTTTGGGTTACAGACTCCGCTAACTCGGAAGTAGTACCTCAGGTTAAGAACTTTACCTCAGGATGAGAACATAAATCGCACAGTGGCAGTGTGGTGGCAGCGGGAGGCCCCATTAGCTAAAGTGGTACCTCAAGTTAAGAACGGTTTCAGGTTAAGAACAGACCTCCAGAATGAATTAAGTTTGTAACCACAGGTACCACTGTACTGTAATAGCTTCAACAGCAGCAATTGACATCGCTTTGTTCTCTCCAACATTTCATTTCGTCATTAGCCGAGGGAGTTAGTGTTGCCATCACCACCCCTCCCCAGGTGTTGATAAGTGCCATTACACACACAATACACACACACACACACACACACACACACACACACAGCTGATCCAGCTCTCCAAGAATTAAATTCTGTTTTTGTCCAGGGACTCAATCTTCTAATTAACATGACCAAATTAAAATACATGCATATAATTGTCAGCATCATTTTCAGGACTGGAGACTCAGAAGATAGCACAACAGCATGTAACATATAGAGAATGCCTTTTGGCACACACCAGGCACAAATTCACACATGCATGCTCAGAACTGGATGACATGCTCAGCCTCATGATGATTTACATGAAGGAACATGCCAGTCTAGTTCAAACACCATAGAGAGAACTTTAACATCTTTTTCAACTCAATGGTGAGAGTGCTTTAAAAATAATAATAATGGGGCAGGGAGAGGGGGCTGAAGAAAACTTCAGAAGAGCCCAAACAGACAACACTTCTTCAAGTCCAAGTAGCTTCCCTTCCTCCCCAAACAATGCAGAAGCCTTTTTGCAAGGAAATAGAGCGTGTGTCTTCCTACTCTCATTCAGGACCTTTCTGTTGTTGTTGCAAATAATAATAACAACAACAACAACAACAACAACAACAATAATAATCCCAAAACAAAACCCCTCAATAGTAGGTCTTGCCTCAATTTATCATGAGGCCTAGGGAGTCAGCTTACCTATTCTGCACCAGAAAATCTACAATATGCAAAGATGTTCGGTCACATACTAGAACCGCCAAATGGAGAAGTGTCTCGCCTGGCTCCTTTAAACAAAGAAGAAGAAGAAGACAAAGTGATTGTGCAACTATCTTTTGCTGCTTTCTTTGCTTATTGAAAAGTCCTAGCCATTGCTCTTTAGCATCAAGGAAATCACTTCCTGATGGCATTCATATGGCTCTAAAAACTTCAGGGGAAGGCTTAGGCAGGCTCTTAATTGCATTTTGTAATCAGTTCCTGGCATAAACTTCAGGCTAAACTACATGCTATGTGTTAAAATGTTTATACGCTGCAAATTATGCAGGCAACTCAAGACAGTTCAACAGCAATATCCAAAAATATAATCTAAATAACCATTAAATAAATAAAGTACAGTGGATCTGCCATTATTTCTCCCTGACAGGGTTTTTTTTAAAAAAAGGGGAAGGGAGGCAATACTGTATATGAGATGCAAGAGGCAATAGAATACACAGAGGCAAAGGGGAATATGACCCTGGGTGCCAAATGCTGAGTCAAAAATAATGAAGAGGAAACAACTGTGTGCTTTATTATGCAAGCAAAAGGCCTTGGAGAAACAGCCAAATAACTAAAGCAATGCTATTCAGTGACTCAGAGTTTATGAATCCCCTTAGTGTATAGCCTAGGCGCAAATACCTTCTTACAGGGTTCAATAAAACCTGTTGTGGTTGGACTGTGTGTGCTGCTTTCCTCCTGCAACATTGGTGTTATCTCTGCTAAAGTGTAGGTGTGCTTGTCAGCTCTTTGGGGCTGCAGAAGCCTCACCTGCTTGTACTCCAGGAGGGCCTGATTTAAATCCACCTTTTCAGCATATGCCTGAAGCAAGATAAATATATCCTTGTCTTTGACAGCATCCTGCAGATCCTTGAGCCTGGCAGCTGGGCTCTCTGTGGTCCTCCGAGCAACATACTTCCTATCAACATACTTGGAGATGATAAAATCTTTCCGGAGAGCCCTGTAATGGTGCAAAGCACAAATTGGAAACCATGGCTCTAATGGGGCATTTTGATGCAAAGCCAGCAGAAAAGCCGATGTCAAGAATAGCCTCTAAGTCAACAAGCAGCAAAAGTTCAGAGCTTCAGTCTATGGGTAGAGACTATGGGCTTCACCAGATGACCTATTTACTGAGCATTCATCATGATTTGCTTACACAAAACCTACACGGTATTTAGGCTATGCCTGACCTCTATTGAGCATTTGTTCTGATTTGTTTGCAGGGTGGTTATACAACAATGCATTCATGTTGAATTTGTCCTGATTTGCTGACACGGCAGTTATAGATCTTCCTGTTTATAATTTGTTCATCCCACACATCTTAGTTCATTTCCCTGTCACTTTCCTAACTGCAAAAAATATGTTTTCTTGAACAAACAAAAAATAAATAAATGGAGTCATTGTGACAGACTGCTACGATCCACTTTAACTGTGCAAACCTATATTCCTGAAATGTGCTAGAATTCCTCCTCCAAAACATTGACAGTCTAGAGGCAACCTATTCTTTTCTTTCCCACTCCCTGTTCTGGCTCCCCATCACATTGCTTTTTGCCTCTAATCACAGCTTCGGGTGGGAAGAAGAAAGACATTTTCAGAATTTTTCTCTGTGGAGTGCCAAATGTCACACCTGCAGATCCATAGAGCTAGAGGATCAGAAGGTCATACAGACTGATGGCTATGGCTTTCTTATCTTAGAAATCTTCAACCCTGTTCTAGTACTCCAAAGTCAAGGTGCTCTTATCACTTGACAAAGCTTATCACTTGACAAAGGACCAGTTTAGGATATGCTTTATATTTTATGTAAAACATCTCACACCTTGCCCTTTCAGAAGCAGAAAATAAATCATTGTTTTAAAGTGTTCTCCGATAAGGGAATTAAGATCAACATATGAAACCTGGCTTCTTTTTCCTTAGCCTAATTATTATTGGCTTGCGGTAACACAGAGACAGGTTTTTTCACTAGTGTCATTGAGAACGCTGACCTTGCTGAAATACAAGAGAGGCCCATCAGTATTGGCATGCTGCCGGTTTTTGAAGTCACACTTGTTTAGACAAGCATTTGTTTGATCTTCTGCTTTAAACCTCCTGCTTTAATTGTTTTAATTGCTGTTTCAGCTCTTTTAATTGTGCTGTTTTAATAGTCTTGTCTTAGGGCTTATCTATACTTAACTGTCCTCTGTGCTTTCTCATCATGGTCCACACTTTAAAACTCTGTGTCTGAGCACTCTTTCTTTCTGCCCTGCGAAAACCTACGTACCCTTGAGTACCCCCCCAGAAAAAAGCATTTACTACTACTACAACTACACAACAGGGTTCCTATGTTTAACAGGGGCTGGGGGCAGGGTAGGCTAAAAAACTACCAGGATTTTACCAGGGATCTTCCTATATACCTGGCTCTCTACATCAAAACAGCAGTGCAGGAAAGTCTGTGTCCAGACAATCTCTAAAGCCCAAGTCCTCAAGTGTTAACCTCATATCCTTATTACACATTCACTCTCTACTAATTTAACCCACATCATTTGTAAGATATTCCTATAAATTAGTCAGGCAAAATTTACCTATAGTGACACCATGCTGCCTTATTGTCTATTTGCTATCTTCTCCTACATATCTAAGAATGCACTCTAATAACATTGACAGTAGGACCTTGCAAACAGAGAGGTAGGACTTTTGCCTTCGTTCCCTGCTTTTACATTTCTCAACTGGATTATGGACTTGATGAGTGATTGGGTCTGACCAAAGTATACCAACAAAGTATAAAATATCTATTTTAATAGATTCCATAGTTGCCATCTCTCACTTAATGCACTGGATGTAATAAACCCTCTTTGAAAGTTCTTGCCACAATCAATTATAGACAATAAATCAATGGGTGTCACCAAAATTTGTTTTGTTTTGACATTTGGCTTGCGGTGTAATGTCCGACATGTTTGTGCTTCTCCCGCTGCCCACTCCCCAACACTCTTTCCCACTCACCAGAATAAAAAAAGGGGAAAAAAACAGAATTAAGATTATTTACATTGCACTATCAGTAGAAGGCTTTAGAGATGCGCTGGGAAGATTGGCTTCAACAATGTCATTAAACTGTGTGTTTCCAATATTCTTTGCCAACTGCAAAACAAATAAGATGTAATTTAACACAAAACAGGAAATAAAAATATAGCTGCGTCAATGCCAAGCATGTGCTTGCCCACAAGCTGCATCCTGGATGGGTCTTATGACAGAGAAAATCAGGTTAGATTAGGAGAAATGTTGAACTATGGCAACATTTGAGTAGTACCTCTGTGTTATTTATGCCCTGCTTAGCTTAAATGTAAAGGAAGGAGTAAGGAGGAAAGTAACAACAGACACAGACACAGACTGTGTGTGTGTGTGTGTGTGTGTGTGTGCGTACACACTATGCATTTAAAGTACATTTAAACCCCATGATGCCCCCCAAAGAATCCTGAAACATGAAGTTTGTCAAGGCTGCTGGGAATTGTAGCTTTGTGAGTGGCAAACTACAGTTCCCAAGATTCTCTGAGGGGAAGCTATGTGCTTTAAATGTATGGTCTGGGTTAGCAGGCAAGGTGAAAACATGGTAACATCACAGAATGTGGCAGACTGCAAAATAATTGGGGTAGAGAGGAAAACAGCATAATCACCGAAGGAATGTTGGAACCAAAACAGAGCTTATTAAAGAGGTGAATCAGTTGTACTTGGAAGGGGAAATGCCATTATGAACTTTGAATGGAAGGTGGTTGTAGTAGTGCAGAACACAGTCAGAACACCCTTACCAGAAGCTCTGAGGTTGCCAATTTGTCCAAGGCTACTGACTGAATACGGGAATGATGGACACCCATCTCTCGGTGAATGCCAGAGCATTCAATGCAAATCAGGATTCCCAAATTAATGGAGAGCCAAGCTGGGTCTGTGCGGAGTAAGCAAGAACAAAACAGGTATTGTCACCTTGCTGAAGGTGATGGACAGTATGGTAAGATATCTTCACACTTTCACCTCATGGAATGTTCTCAACACCTCTGAGGGCCCTCAAAAATGTCAGTGGAAGGGGTGAACATTTGCTCAGTTCATTATAGAACAATTATCTTCAAAGCTTCAAACACATAAAAATGAAATGAAATAATAGGATGCTTAGTGAAAACTAATGACTTCCTAAAAATCACTGCAACCTCCCCATCCCCCGCCCACATGCCCTGGGTTGCTGTGCGAAAGAGAAACCTGGCGGACAAGCAGCGGCAAAAGAGACCCATCTGCCATGTCCAACAAAGTCTCTTGCCAGGACAATTCCTTCATCCACAATCACGTCATGGATGGCAGTGGTCTTATGAATCATTGACCTGGCATTGACTAGACCCTGAGGCAGGGATAGTCCTCAGACAATGACAGTCCTCAATAATGACATGATCTGGTCACAGCATAAGTCCTCCTTCTGCTCGTGATCACTGAGATTGGGTATCCCAATGCATCCCCCTTTGTAGAACCTGCCCCAGCCGTTCAGGGTCAAAATGGGAAGTAGTTCAGCTGTCTCCTTTTGCACCTGATGCTGAGCAGTCACAGCACATGCTGTTTCCTGGCATGCGCTTTATCTCCTTGATGATAGCTCCAGTCAGGTCGTCCATGCTGCACTCTTCCCTGCCTTGTGCTTGTTTGAATGCCACGTTGAGAGCCTCTTCTTTACTATTGCTGAGGACAGAGACCCATCTGCAAGGCAGAAGGAAACTGCTGTCAGATAAACTGAACTTCCTCACCCTTTCAGTCGGCCTAGGCCTCTGTACTGTGGACTGCATGCATGGCTGCAAGTGGAAGTAAATCGAAGCCACAATCTGTAAGGAATCCAAAGTAAATACCTTCCCCATGCATGCCACTTCCTTAAGCAAAGGGATGCAAGGCAACAGATGAGCTTGAAGATGGCACTTCAAACCACACTATGATGTTGTTAGGACACTTTGCTAAGATGGAAGATGCTGGACCCATAAGCAGAGGTCCCACCTGCACCTGGGCCACTATAGCAGGAGACTGCAGTTCCCATCATTCCTGACCACTGACTGTGCTGGATGGGGCTAATGGAAGTTGGTGTCCAACAACATCTGGAGGGCCACAGGGGCCCCATTCCTGCAGCTGGGGGATGCAGGCACACATATATCCTTGTGAGTTCTGTAGGTTTAATGTGACGGAGGTCAGCCTCCCCCTTCAAATTCAGTCTCAGTATATTTTGTTTTGTTTTTTTAAAAGTCTACAGGAAGAATAACAGAACCATGCATAATGTGTAGTTCTGCTCAAAGCCCTGTTAATAGATCAAAAATAAATGGTTGGGGCTTTCCCCTAACATGAGAAAACAATAAACATAGGAGAAGTGTCACCTGTTGCACTTTTTCAATCCACACAGGTCTTAAGGGCTCCATCCCTCCTCCCCAATACTTACATGGTACATTCCTGTTCGTCCTCTGCTAGAAAGTGGTATGTTCGGTTATCTGAAATAAACACACACACACACACACACACACAGAGAGAGAGAGAGAAAGAAAATTTGTTTTAGAAATATTATCAGAACACAAAATGATCCCACGGAATCTCCCAACAAACCATGGGCTGTAAACCAAGGTTTGTTTTTGATTTACCACTCATGGTTAATTAGGAGGTGATGAAACATGAGCCATGGCTTGGCCCTAGGTTGCACAACTGCAGCACAGCTGGGGAGGAGCAAAATGCTCTGGGGACCTGCATGTTTGCTTATTCTCACTAAACCATGAAGAAATATACTCAGAGTCGCAAAGTGATTTCATGCTCTTTATTCAGCTCATAGTGGTGAGGAGGAATGAATGAAAGTCCCCTCAAAGTATCTGCTTTATATACATTATTTACACAATGGGCTGCACATGATTGGCTAATTCTGGAATTCTACTGTAAGCCAATCAGGTTGTGGATTCACTTATATCTGGAGCATGATTGGGTGGTTCCTGTCAACCAATCATACTGCTGCACTGTTCTAGGACCAATCAGACTGCTGCATTCTGAATCCTATTGTTCTAGGACCATTCAGACTGCTGCAATTTGGATCCTATTGTTCTAGGACCAATCAGACTGCTGCAGTTTGGATCCTATTCAACTCAGTACCTAACACCTGATTAGGCTTACATTATGTGTAAATGAGGCCAATGGCTAGCCAAGGTCACCCAGTGAGAAAGGAATGAAATTCAAGGATAAGGTAAGGTTTAAGATGCATTCCCTCCCCAGACTCCTACCAAAAAACCCCTCTTCACCTGTACCTTTCCTATGAAGCACTATAGAAAAAGGGTGCTCTTTGAAATGCTTCCTCAGAAAATGAGGACTTACGTGAAATAAGATCAAAGCACTTCCTGTCATCCACGTTTGGCTTCACTTGGCAAGTGAGCAAATTCAGCTTGACTGGAGTGCGATTTAGCTAGGTGATGAAAAAGAAAAGAATACTGTAAGTCAGTTTCAACACTGTCCAGCTGCACAACCTGCATACAATATGGATTATGCACATACGAAACAGAAATCAGGTGGATCTCCACTACACACTCATCATTCTAATCACCACTAGACCAAACACTGGGGTATGAAGAGCAACAGCAAACATTGTCCAGAACCAGGAAAAACTCACTCCTGACCCCTGGGATAACAAGTACTTCTTTTAAAGGGATACTTCCTGTTTCACTTTTGTAGGGAAGGTGAGCTTTGGAAGTACCCTAATAAAGTTATTGTACGTAACTGGTTTCTGAAGAAGCTTATTCTCTAATCCATCTACACTGAACAGGTTCTAAGACGAAGCATAATGCCTACCGTGCTGTGTGAGATGGTCAGGTAGCCATACCTGACTGTGCATTTTCTCTTCTGCCAGACCTTTCTTAAGCTGAAAGTTAAAGGTAACATTACATTAAACAGAAAGTCTCAGGTGGGAGACCCAACCCGTCAAATACTACTTCCAACCACTTCACTAGGGTAAGTGCATCAAAGGGCATGATGGAAATAAACACGATGGCTGTCATCTTAAATTAATTTACAGAAGTTCATGGGAGGAGTGTCTACTGTTGTTTTCCCCTCTTACACTCACAAAAGTCTCTCCGGAGGACTCACTTGAACAAGCATCTTAGTGGCAACATCACATCTCTTACTTAGCCCTTGGTACAACCACATAGGATATTTCTAAAATGACATCGGGTTACATACAAACATGACACAACTCAGTCTGCCAAATTTTGTGAGGGTAAGGCATGGACCTTTCACCAGCAGCATAACAAGCAGGAATTCAGCACCGCATGTCCCTCTTCTCAACATGGAAATGCATGATGAGAAATTTCATCCATTGAAGTTTCGCCTGTTTGGTAGTTGCTTGTTTCTTTGTTTTGTTTATAGTCTGCCGTGCCGTATAAAATCTTTCCAAGGCAAGCTTACAGAAATGATTTGGTTCACATGTCACATTAAATCATAGTTAAAACAAACAAACAATGGTTTAATGTGAGCACATGGTGTGCTGGTGCATGCTGCTGAAAGGGTAGACACTTCTCTACTCTTTCACTACCACTGCTGGGAAGCAAGCCAGAGTCTGTTTTGTCATGCTGCCCAAATCCAGGTTTGTGGTTTGCTTCTCTCCAAACAAACCATGAGCAGTGAAACTAAGGCTTGCTTTTGGCTTGCTACTCATGGTTTGTTTAGAGGAGAAAAATCATGGTTTAAATATCACAACAAGCCAAACTCTGGCTTCTTTCCTGGCAGAATGGTAACAGCATGGGTGCAAGAGGAGTAGACAGAACTTTTCAGCAGCATGTGCCAACACACTGTGCATCCACATTAACCCATTGGTTGTTTTAAACTATGGTTTAATGCAATGTGTGAACCAGACCTATGAGTGTGGAGAATGCTGCTGAGTTCAGGTTCTGCTTGCAGGCTTCCCATAAGCATCTGGTTGGCCACTGTGAGAACTGGACTTACATGAACCATTAGCCTGATTCAGCAGGCTCTTCTTATGATTTTGTTGTTGTAAACTGAGCTCATAAAATATATTTGCAGTTGCCAGATCTGAAGTGGTTTCACTTACCCATCACTTTTCTTAAAGAGACTCCCAGATCTCTCTGTGCCATACTGCTTATTTCCCTGTAACTGGTGCATGCTGTATCTCAATGGCTTGCTAACAGAATTCTGTTGGGAAACAGAACAGGTATGCAGCACTTTGTAGTTTTTCTCAAGTACAAATCTAATATTGGCCCAGGGTTCAAAAATCCAAGCTTCATGCCCTTACAATTATTCCAAACCTCTGTTCACATTCACCAAAAACATTTGTGAAATAGAGTTCCTTATTTTCTGACTCCAGCACACTAGAATTTTAATGTAAACCCACCCAATTTGCACATTCTGAACCAAGATGGAAACTGAAACACAGCTGTCTCTCAAAATCTGTCCAAATTTTGCAATACAGATCTCAAACCAAACAAGATACACAGAACTGCACATATTAAGGGAAAGCATGCAGACAAAATGAGCTTATTAGTGAAAGTAACATGGAAAAATACATATTGGGGGAAATGACTTGCCCAAATCCATATCAATGGCCACGATGCATACAAAATATGTATATTAGGAGAAATGTGCACAAAATTGCATGAAGATTTTTGAGAACTTTTTTTTTTTAATCACACTGATGAGGCAACTGAACTTAAGATTGAAACAATGTGGAACTAAGGGAAACCAAATTAGCTAATTCATCCATCCCTATTCCTAGGCAAAAGGAGGTGCTCCCTCACCAGTTTTACCTCTTTGGGCTCCAGCTGCAGCGCTGCTTTCAGCTGATCGCGAAGAGAGCACAACTGCTTCTTCTCCTCATCCTGCTTGGCCTTCATCTGAAAGGGCAGCGCAACAAACATTCCATCAAGCAAGGGAGTTCTTCCATCTGCTGCTGCTAAATCCCTTCAGTAGGCATTTCCTTCCTCTTTTTACATTCTGCACTGAGTAACTCTGCTATGTTTACTGCAGAGATGGGGAGGCTGTGGCCCTCCAATTCCCAAAACAGTTCCCAGCCAGCTTGGTTAATGGTCACTCCCAATGGGAGCTACTGTCTAACACCAGTATCACTTGGAGGGCCATAGGCTTCCCACACTTGGTCTATAGACTCTATAGGAATGACCAAGCTCCCACTATTTCATATTATTTAAACAAAGACTAAAAGTAACTAAGGTTGATCACCACTTGCACAAGTCCCAGCTTAGATGTTCATATGCCTGCACTTTTGGGCCACATCCAGTTCTGTCACACTATTACAGTGCTCTTCTATGGATCCACATGGCTGACAGGTACCAGGGCAGGTGAAAAAACAGGATATGCATTTTGTATTAATAATAGTTGTGTCCTCTGCACCTGAATAGAATATCACAGGTCAGTGACCTGACAATGGGTATTTTCTGCTCCTCCTCCTCCTGCACTGTATAATGCCTCTTCTTCTGTCATACATGGAGCAGCAACCATCAATTCTTTCAGAAGTCTTGTCAAGACTTACCGTACCTTTTTGCCTCTTCCTGGCTCATAACATTGGAACCTGTTTTACATGTTTGAATACTCTCATTTTCTGTTTTATTTCCTTTTATGTGTTTATAATATTGCTGTTTTATTGGTTTTAGTTCAATGATATTATACTATGCCTTAAAAGCAGTAGACATGGTGACAATATTATTGTGAAGGGGGAAATACATAAAATTTGCCTATTCTCCTGCTGTAGCTTTTATGATTTGATTATGTTCTGATTTTTAGATAGCTTTTGAGTTTTTGGTTGCTTTCATTTAATTCTGTTAGCCAGCTTAGATCCTTTTTAATGAAAGAAAGGCAGGATATAAATCTTTTACAGCGCAATCATTTACCTGTCTACTCAGAAGTAAGCTCCACTGAGTTCAATGTGACTTACTTCAAGGAAAGTGTGTATAGAATTGCAGCTCTACAGTAAGGGCCTACTGTGACTTTATCCCAGTAAGCATGCATAGAATTGCAGCCTTAGTACCTTAGAATAAAAAGCATCATGTTACAGTGAAAATTGCTCTGAGAATGATACAAAAATAATGGCCATTCAAAATCTCAGGGTGCCTCCAGACCATCAGCAGTTTGCCCAAACAACTCAGGGGCATATTGGAACTAAAGGTTTGCACAATTAAAGTGGATTGAAGTGCTCTGTCACCCCAGCACAAGAAATCAGCTTAAATGCCAACAGAGTTTTTGTAGTTTTGAAAGTGACGTGGAAATGCATAGAAAAGTATGGGATGAATGACTGATTAACAGGAAGACATCTAAACACTCAACAAGCAAATCAGGATGGATGTTCATTGCCTTTTAACTACCCTGTAAAAAAAAACAACCACAGAACAAATGCTCCACTACCTATGGATGAATGGTGAATCAACAGATCTTCTGGAGGAGCCCTGACATATTCTCTAGTGCTGCTGTATTCAACTAATGTTTACTTAGACTAGACACACTGAAATCAATGGACCTAAGTTAGTCACGACCATTAATTTCAGCAAAGTCTGCTCTCAGCAAATGTTAGTCGAACATAACCCTCTGAAACTGATAAAGCATACTCACATTCTGAAGCTCAGGAGTAAGATTCTCTATAAACTGTTTGTGCTTCTCTGTTGCCTTTAAACATGCCTGGAAAAAACTGTCAGAAAAACATTGTGGAACAAAAGTAGAAAAAGGATATTCCCAGTTCCCACCCCAGAGGCAAAGCACAGCCATCATAGCTAGTAGCCACTGATACCCTTTATCCTCCATGAATTTGTCTAATCCTCTTTTAACACATTCTGAGTTGGTAGCCATCACTGCCTCATGTGCGAATGAGTTACATAGTTTAACTATGCACTGTGCAAAAAAGGGCATTCTCTAATCTGTCCTGAATCTTCCAACATTCAACTTGGTTGGACAACCACAAGTTTTAGTGGTATGAGAGAGAAAAACTTTATCCACTTTATCCATTCCGTGCACAATTATATAAACTTCCACCACATCACTTCATACTCACTTTTTATCAAAAATATAAAATCCTAAATGCAACCTTTCCTCATAGGGGAGCCACTCCACCCCCTCGATCATTTTGCTTGCCCTTTTCTGAGCCTTTACCAGCTCTACAATGTCCCTTGGAGGTATTCCAAACATGGCTGCATAATCCAGGGCTTAATCCAGATTGGAATGTTCTGGAACTCCCTTAAGGCTGGGATGGGATCTTTTTTGAGTCTGGGGGCTGCAGTGGAAAACTGTAAGGGACCACATTTCATAAGCAAGCAGGGCAGCGCAGTATCGCACATCTTGAACACACAGGCACAATCACACAAGTTACTTAATGCAGACATATACTTAAGGGCAAGGCTTAAGGGTTGTAAAGATGTAATGTGGGGAAGCTCTGCTATGGGGAAAGAAGACTGTTCAGAATAAAAACAGGTGTGTGGAGAGAGAGAGATCTCACACACACTATAAATGAAAAATAAATGAATATCATAAGGCTCTCCTACAGAAGCTCATGATGTAATACTGTTGAGATGCTCAAGAATTTATTGCAACGTTGTGAGGAATGAGAATATAGGAAACTGAATGCACTTACTTGAACTGGGAGTTGCAGTGATTGATGTTGTTCTGCAGCAAGTCAACTCCTTTCTTGGTGTTAATCTCATTCACTTTAATTAGGTACTGGAGGGAAAGTGAACATGGACCTGCTGAGTTTACTTATTTTGTTTTGTTTACTTATGCCTCCTCTGCTCAAATAGAAAACAATGTTCTGCAGTGATTTGCTTTGTTTAAAAATACTTCCCCCAAATTACATGACATAAGATTTCTTTTGTAAATTGTGCCTTGCATCATTAGCATAATTAATTTGCTACATGACCTATATAATACACTAATTGTTCTTCAAAGACAGCACAATAAACTGGCTAATATCTAGATTTCTTGTAAGCAGAACTCAAAGGAAGTTCCTGCTGCTGGAAAGTGGCCACATAGGTAATTTCCCGCTTATTCCCTCTTCCCTCTGCAGCCCCTGTGCCATCCAGAAAGCTGCTCTTAAGGACCAGGAGACTCACAGAACAAAATGGAAGGTGGTACAAAGTAAGAGGGCAACAATCAGGAAAAATTGCCTCCCCCTGTCCTTTCCCCAGTTGGATCTTCCACTGGATCTCAGTCCCTTCCATGAATGAAAGGAGCCCTTCTGTTTATGGAAAGACAAATCTGGATCAAACTCTTTGTATTTAGATAACTTAAATCAGTTCCGTTTCCCCTCCTTCAAATTCTAAAAAAGGCAGATATTATACAGTGTTTACATTGTCTTTTAATTTACCCTTGACAACTCATTCTTACTTCCACAGTTACTAGTGTAGAAGGAGTATTTTCCCCCTAACAATGAATAGCAAACACATTCAGTTGATGCTGGTGGATATGTTGTTAAGATATCCCTTTAAAAGTAAAGGACCCTGGACAGTTAAGTCCAGTCAAATGCAACTATGGGGTGTGGCGCTCATCTCACTTTTCAGGCCACGGGAGCCAGCGTTTGTCCACAGACAGCTTTCTGGGTCATGTGGCCATCATAACTAAACCACTACTGGTGCACAGAGGACCGTGACGAGTGCCAGAGCAGCACCTATATAACCACATTGCATTGTACCAAAGGGAATACACTCTCTGGGGGAAGCATTGCATTTCCCCAGGTACAAAACACAAAGCATTAAGACTTCAAATGCTGGAGAAATCTGATAACCTGGCAACTGAGCCACAATCCTGAAAACTGCACAGAAACAAAATAGAGGTCCAGTGCTGAGGGCCTTCTGGTGGTCCCCTCACTGCGAGAAGCCAAGTTACAGGGAACCAGGCAGAAGGCCTTCTCGGTAGTGGCACCTGCCCTGTGGAACGCCCTCCCCCTAGATGTCAAAGAGAACAACAACTACCAGACTTTTAGAAGACATCTGAAGGCAGCCCTGTTTAGGGAAGCTTTTATTGTTTGATGCATTACTGTATTTTAATATTTTGTTGGAAGCTGCCCAGCGTGGCTGGGGAAGCCCACCCAGATGGACGGGGTATAAATAATAAATTATTATTATTATAGAAGCAAGCACACATTTATTGTAGAGAAATGTCTTACATCTGGACTCAACTTCTGTTTGTACTGTAATATTTTTTTTTCTAGGTTGGGTACAATATCATGTAGGAACCATTGTTTCATTCCATCAACAATGAATGTAAAATCTTTAGCAGAGGAGAATGCCTTCTTAAAAAAATTCTTGCATCTACTTGGCCTGCAAGTGCCCTGCTTATGGAGTTCAGAGATGCTTCTTTTTTCCTAGATGAAGTAATAGTTTGCAACTATTATTATTTACATAACAATTTAAATAATCTGATATGAGTATCTGTCTCATAAAGGGAAATATCACGTTTTAACATGCATTGTTGTCAAGCAGACTGATCCCCACAGGAAACAAAAGGAAGAAGCACTTTTTCAACTGCCCCACTCACCTCACACATGTGTAACTGGAACATCCTTCGTTCCTTTTCCATCTCCTCAGCAATCTCCCCTCCTGCAACCTCTGTCCGTACCATCCCATACTGTTTTGCCAGCTCTCGTTTTTCCTTCTCTATCTTTGCACTGAAATTTAGAAAGAGACAGTATTTATTAATGGCTGTGTGTAGGTGTATTTTGCTAGAAACAATTCCAGGTACAGAAGCAATCACTGGCTTAAGGGGGAAAGGCCAACTTACAGTTTGCTCTCATAGTCTTTATAGGCTTTCTCAAAAGGCTTTTTAAAGTCCTATCAAGAGACAAAGAAACTAAGACTTAATAAATCTAGTTGTTGTTTTATTTCTTCTTCCCTGTTTCAGTACTTTCAATGCACCTCATATTTCATACAGATTGCTAAACTGTTATGCTGCCCTATATGGGGTGAAGAGAATCAAACCTTTACTGTATTTTCCCTGCCTGCTATTTTCATGCTTTTTATAGTGCATCTCAATACTTGATCCCACAGGATTAAAAAAATGGAAAGAGAGCCATTTGTGCCTCCTTGAAGTTCTTGGAGGAAAGACAGAATGCAAATGTAAAAATGAATGAACAAAAATCTAAGCAATCTCACAGTAATAACAGGACAGAAACACATTTTTCAGCATCTATTTACTCACCCCTTTAAAGTCTCCCTTGATCAGTGAGTCCAGGGAAAAGTGAATGTTGTGATATAGGCTCAGCAACTATAAAAAGAGAGAGTTCAACATGTAGCTAGCACTAACAGCTTCTTCGTATTATTGAGTGCTCTCCAACAATAGATGATAATCTCAGGCATCATTTTCATTTAGAGAATACAATACTGCAGATTTAGGGCTTTGTTTGCTTGTAACAACCTAAATAAAAACATAGAGATCCAACTGGCACTATGGGAATGCAAAAACAAGTGCAACAAGCAGGCAATCTCAATCTTTTGAGTATTACCCCAAACTCTTAAAGCATCTCTGTAGTCCAGTCCAAAACTTTACAGATCTCTTCAGAGGCAATGTCTTTTCTCAGAGATGCCAAACCAATTTCAGTAAAGGAAAACCAGAAGGCCTATTGTATGAGAGGCATTAACACCAAATAGTCTTGTCTATTTGATATAGCAAAACACCAGTAATATGTGGCTTATAATGCCACCTAGTCCAGGCACATGCTGGAATCTGCTGGATCAACCCAGTGGACCATTTCTCACAGTGGACGTCCTGGAGGTCCTGGAGCATTTTGTGCTTTAGAAATGTGCGTTGTATTTATGATTTTTATTGTAAGCCCCCTTTGGAGATCCAAGTTTTAATTGAAAGGTGGGGATGGAAACGTTTAAAATAAAGTAGAACAAATAAAGCAAAAATAATTGTATTATTGTTTTAGCTTGTCAAAAAGGAATGGGAAAGGAGGGAATCAAACTGTAGACTTATTTGCATGCCCTAATTTCAGTAAGTAAAGGCAAGGTAGCCTTTTGAGATTCTCCCATGGCCTTTGCTCTTCTCCTTAGGGCCCGGAAGGGAAGACTGACACCATTGACCATGCCCCTGTCATCATGCTTCTGTTTTTCAGACAAATCTGTGGGTGTGGAGAACAGTTTCATACCAGGCTCTTAACAGCATCAAGCAGCTCCCGTGAGAATGAAGCAAAGGTGATGAAGGCTTCAGCTAGCTTCTCATCACTGTTGTTGTGATAGTTCCCTGAAAACCTCTCCTGGGTAATAATGTGAGCTTCTAAGTGGTTAATGAGATCTGCAGAAGCAAAATTTGTTTGAACATTCATGTACGCCTTTCTGAAACAAACAAAAAGATTCCCTAAAATGATAAAACAGTGAGCTACCTGTTTGACTGAATTAGCAATGAAAGCCCTGACACATATTGATTCAGGAGTAAGTCAAGTGGTTATGCTTTGTTAAGTTGCTTTCTTGCTAACAAACAATAAATTATGGAGTGATATTTTCTTAATGGCAGCTATTAACTACAATTTGTACATGGCAAAAGAAAGGTACAATTTGGGCAGAGTCAAATAGAGGAGAGGGGCAGATGGAGAGAGCTGCCAATACGATGAAGGATTTTGACATTGTGCAGCTGCTGCCTTTGGGAACCTGACCCAACTGCAGGACCAGCAATTCTGCAACCTGTTTTTAGGAATCCATTTGTTTCCAAGAAACTCTACTTGTATTATTTTAAACAGCTGTTGTAAAGATGACACCCCTGGATTTCACATTGCTCAGGGAAGTGAGGAACATGGGGAACTACTGATACAGTGGTACCTCGGTTTAAGAACAGTCCGGTATAAGAACGATTCAGTTTACAAACTCCGCAAAACTGAAAATAGTGTTCCGGTTTGCAAACTTTACCTCAGTCTAAGAATGGAATCCGAACGGTGGAAGGGCACCGGCGACGGGAGGCCTCATTAGGGAAAGCGCACCTCAGTTTAAGAACGGTTTCAGTTTAAGAATGGACTTCCGGAATGGATTAAGTTCGTAAACCGAGGTACCACTGTACAGAGTTCTGATCATTGGTCTGTCTTGCCTATGCTGCCTGACAGTGACTTTCCAGACAAGAGTCTTTTCTACTTTCATCTGGAAAAAACAGGAGCTCTGCCTGGGACCTTCCACATGCAAGGAATGTGCTCTACCACTGTTGCCAAATTATAAAGATTTCGTTATCATTTTAATGTGGTTATCACACATTTTAAAATATAGGGTAATGGTTCCCTGCATGGAGTATCCTAAGCACAATATGACTTGTTGTGAGTAAAGTTTTTGAGTGTGCACACATCAATAAATGATGATGATGATGATGATGATGATGATGTTGCACTCCACCCCAACCTCCAAGTGGTGCTTACTCAGAGTTCTGTTTCCTTGGAATGAGGGACAGCACCGTCTGTAGTGTCTTTAGGATATATGGTTTAGTAACACATATGGACAACCTGAGCCTAAAATGAGGGGGTTCACAGCATTAAAACCTCAAAAGATCTTGCTTCTGCCATAGCCACAGCCGTGGTTTCTAGCAGAAATCAAGCATGGCTCTCCCTCTCCAGCTTCTGCCTGCAGACTGTTTTCCTCTCTCACACACAAGTGCCCTGGCACTTCCAACTACCAATTAAGTGAGGGAGGGGGCCCACCCATTTGTTCTCTGGCACAGAGTAACTTGATCCTTATGGCCATTAACTCACAAACACACAAAAAAACCCTTGCCTGACTAGTTCAACAATGAGATCCTCCAAGATATTTTAACCTTTGCTGGTTCCATGATCCCAGGAATTAGAAGGGAGTCAGGCATCATGCAGACTAACCCCCCACAACTCACAACAATATTATGAATGCAGTATGCCATTTAATTGCCCAAGCGGCTTGCAAGTTGTTTACAAAATCAACTGCAAAAATATTAGCACACTAATCTAAAATATTGTTGTAAGTTTGAGGTGTTAAGGTATGTGCCAGACTCCTCTAATCTCTGGATCCAGCAAGTGTTAGAATTTAATCAAGGCTTTTAATTCTTGGAATAGTCAGGCTAGTGATAACCTGGATGACAGGCCATGAAGAGGGAATAAGGGGCTAGGCACAAGATGGCAAATGGGTGGAGCCCCCTCCCTCAACAAATGAAGTCAGAGTTTAGAGTGGAGAGTTGGAGCAGTAATGTGACACAGAATCAAAGCAGACAGAGAGAGACAGACAGACAGACAGACAGACGAGAGAGAGAGAGTGAGAGAGAGAGAGAGTGTGTCATCTGCTTGAATCCAAGATTGCAGCTATGGGAGAAACAAGACCCTTTTGGGGTGTTGATGCTATGAAAAGCGCCCCCCCCCATCATAGGCTTAGGTATATATGGGTAAATAAACCATATACTGTATCATAAAAGCACAACCCCACAGTCTCCACTGTGACTCATTCCAAAAGGAAACACGAACCCTGAGTAAGCGCCTGGAATCTCACAACACTAGGAGATTGGGATGGCATGCAATAAAAGAAATCCATTAAAACAACACAACAATTTAAAGAACAAATTAGAACTATTAAAACAGGAGGCTCCGGTCAGGAGATTAGGGAATGCTTGTTTAAACAGGTGTGTGTATGCATAAAAGCAAGATGTGTCTTTCAAGATCTTATCCTATCAACTACATCTATGGTTGCCAAATTCTGTCTGCAACCCTATACATACTTGCCAAAGAGCAATTATTACCATTCAATTAATTTAATAGGATTTAATAGGACTAGTAGACATGTATAATATTGCATTGTAAGACTCTGAGAGGGATCGTCTTCCTATAAGAATTGATAAGTGGACACTGGTAAAATTAGCCCTTTTAAGCAACCCTTAAAGGTACAGGAAAATTCTCAGGGCCTCTGGGCTGGGCAGCCCATAGCACATCCCCAATGACAGTCTGACCTTGTCCAGTTGTGTGCTCTGCTTTCACTGCTTTCCTCATTTTTTGCAGAACGATTCGATCAGAATCTAAAGCCTAAAGGCATTAAAGAAAAAAAGAAAAAGACATCCTAAGCACAAGCTGCTCTCCCAAAGCAAAACAAAGTTTATAAATATACAAAAATTATTATACATGATAAGGTTATATTTTTCTAGGTGCAAAACAGAATTCAAGTTGCCCCAAGGGCTACTGGGATAAACAAACCAGTAAATGACCACTCTCCTCTATTTGGAAAATCAAATCATGTTGTCTTCTATATCACGTCCAGCTGTATACCCACGCCATTGTTTTGAGGAGGAACTCTGGATAACTCAAAAGCTTTGTGCCCCTCACCCTCACTACTTTAACATTCTAAAGCTGCTCTCTTGAAATTATGGATGCTGCTTTCGATATTCCTGCCTCTCGTGCACACTGAGTTCATGCAACATTTCCGTTTCCTGATGTGCAAGCTTTTCTTTTCAGCCCTCAAACTATTCATATTTCCAAATGGTTTCCTGTTTCCAGCTTTTCATTTTATCTTAACATACTGCCCTAAGGCTCTTTTACTGTTTTGTGGGTTCTGCTAAACTGCATTATGCAAAGCTTGATCAGGTATTTGGATCAGGCCTTTGATCAGGCCTTTGGATTTCGCTTCACAAATGAGCCCAACATTTGGAAACTGAAGGGCAGATATGCAACGGATTTCATAAGAGGAAATGAGAAGGTGAGAAGGGCAGAAGTGGTTTCAAGTTAGTCAGAGGACAGTTTGGTGGTGGCTCCCACACTCCTACACAGATAGCTGTGAGATATAATTGCATTTTGAAAGGGTGCCCTATAGGAACACAGGAAACGAGGTCAATGTTGTCTACTTTGACTGGCAGGCAGCTCTCCAGGTTTTTAGACATGGGACTGCTTGGAGAGGCTGAGATCTGAAATTTGGACATTTTGCATGCTCTACCGCTGAGCCACAGCCCTTCCCTTATAGATGGTAAGAACAATGTGGTTTAGTTAGTATCAGAGCAAAGCAAACAGATAGATCACATGGACAACAGTGCAATTTATTTATTTCTTTTAACACCAACAGTGCAATCCTATACATGCTTTCTTGCCCCATTTTGGCCCTAGGGATACAATTGCCTTGCTTGCCAGTCTTCTAATAAATGCAAAGTTGCTGAGGACAAGGACTTAAGCCACCAAGCCACTGAATAGGGATGAGAATAATTCCGAAGGCAATTTTATGTCCTAGGTCACTGTGACAAAGGGGCAAGTCAGCATGTCTTAGGATGTGCTTTCTCCTAGGTGACTTTGGTACCCATGGAAGGGGCCTTCCTTTGGGTTCCTTCTGTCAGTGAGGAGAAATTTGACAAGATATCAAGTAGAGGCTCTTGCCTGCAACATAGCTATGGAATCTGTTCCCCCAGATCTGGTCCTTCGGTCATTAGAAGGCAAGTGAATACTGCCTGTTTAGAAGAAGTGGTTTCTGTTAATTTCATTGGCTGGATGGGCAGTTTTGTATTGAATAAAAGTTCTCCTGAAGCTTGTGCTATTTGGTTTTTTGAGCTCATTTATGGGAATTGGTTGTTCTCTGTTAATCTCTATGGACATTGTGCAAGCTGTTTTTAGCTTCCTCTTTTGAAGGAAATGTGGGGTACAAATCCTTAAATAAATAAAAATAGCTGCACCCATCTTCGCTCCTCAGTTTGTCTATTTCCTTGCACAGAGTGAGGAACACCCAGCAGCAAATTCTCCTCATGGGATCCCAAGATCTCCCCCTCCGCTTTGGCTTCGGCCCAGCCGCCACCACCTCCTTCCTTGAACCCTCTCTTACCTCCTCTAGGCTGCAAACGGTGTTCCTGCATTTGCCCATGTGGCTGGAAAAGGAGGAGGTGGTCGGAGAGCTGAGATCCTCTTGGGTCTGGGAGATAAAGTCCTGAACAGAGATAAACTCAGGCATCCTGCTTCCTTAACGCCTCGTTGCAGATCAGATCCAGAGAAGCAGCAGCGTCAGACTGCCAGGCCACAGAAAAAGGGGAACTCAGGATTGAGAGGAAGCAGCTAAGGGTAGCTGAGAAGGCCACAAACACCAGAAAGGCAGAGCGACGGCCGCTGTCCCTCCATGTCCACAAGTTGCAAAGAGCTGGCCTCTTGCCACTGCTTCCCTGCCCCCAAACACACACACAGTACTACTCAGAGTTTGTTAAATACTGTTTAACATGGGAGCCAACTGCTAGGGGCTGGGGTCCCTTCAGCCTCCCCAATAAAATATTTGAGGGGACTCCCACCCAAAAAAGTTGATTCAAATGGTGTGTGTGTGTGCCATGTCTACTGATTGATTATGTGGGGTGGGGCTTACCTGCCCCTCCCCCCAATATTTTATTCAAGTTGGCACCCCTGACTGTTTCTGAATCCTCACTGAAACCTAGTAATTCTCTCTCTCTCTCTCTCTCTCTCTCTCTCTCTCGGAGTAGGGTTATTCATTATGTTTACTACTTGAACAGCTACATTCTGTTTAAACCATCCAGTCCTACTTCAAATATAAAGAATCAAAATATGGGGGAGCAGGAGAGGCCTTGAAATCACCCATCAACACTTAGTACCTGAATAGTACAGACCAGGTTACCTGGTCACAATTTTCTCCACTATAGTGAGGTGTATTGCATTTCTAGTCGGCTGCTTAACCCTCGAGTTGCTTTTTAAGCTTAATACTGCTCACCCTCAGTTGCTTCTTCACCTGCAGGGGAGAGAAACACACACACACACACACACACACACACACACACACACAGAGAAGATACAGGAACCCCAGAGCTTCATCAGAGTTTTAATCCAAAATTGCTAGAGGGCACAAGGTCACAGAAGGCTAATCTACTTTTTCAAGAGCACAAGTAGGTTGTTGGACTGACACAGTGTGTGTGTGTCCCCCCCCCCACGCACAATTGCCCCAGCAGAGCAGATCTGCATTTGGAAATTTGCCTCTATGTGTGAATCACTCTGGTTGTATCAAAAAACACATCTGTAGAAATATGCATTTCTGGGGGAAAAACACCACCCTGTAATTTGCAAAAGTGGCAGTGTTATTTATTTTTAAAGTGCATGTAATCTTTAAAGAACAGCAAAAATCATGTTATATCAATGTCACTATTTCACAGGGTAAAAAGACACAAGCAGCATTTCAGCTAATACAGGCAATACCTTTGTCCAAGACAGTTTTCTGTTGCCAAGACAACACATTTTCTTTGCTCCAAAAGTGCAGTATCTTGCTGGGAAAATCGAATCGTTTTGCTAGATAATGCTGAATAGTTTTTCACACAATGAGGTTGCACAAATGTCAGAGGCACCTTTTAGGCAGTGCTTGCAATGCTTAGGAGTAACATAACCCTACTCCTTATCCCTCCAATCTGTGATTTATATATTTACAAATATCATTTGATGGATGAACTTGTGATCTAGCTGCCCTGCTCTACTAACAAAAATGGAAAACAGCACAGCTGTCTCCCACTTCCAAACATGATGGCATGTATACTGCTTATTGCACTAGAGTGTAGGGATGGATGAGAAATGTGATCCGCATTTTAATGCAAATTTAGCAAATCCACATTTCTCAAACCAATACATTAAGGAATGGGGAACTGCCAACCCACAGACCAACTGAGAACCACTAGGGGTATCAATTGGACATGCCAGGCGATTCCTAGCAAACCACACCCACATACCAGACTCATATGATATGGAGACACAGACACCAGTGGCATAAAACTATAAATTCCTTTCCATTTTGCTAGGTTTCCATGCTTCTATATCTATTGCTATAGGTGGCCTCTTCTTATTTTCTTCTTAAGTGACAGTTGATTGCTTTAGCTATAAAGAGTTGCAGGGTCATAGAACAAGCATACCATCTTAAGGGCTAATGAAAGACAAGGCGTTTAATGAATAATTCCAAAGGCTCTTCAGAGATAATTGTCATCACATCACAGATGTGAGCAGGATGCCTGACTGCCTAAATGTGGGCAGTCTCTTCCCTTACTCTGACAGTTGCATTTTCAAAGTGCTCCAGGCACAATCAGCCAGCTGCACATGCTCCTTAATGTCTTTGGCACAGAAGTCACTGTTATCTTCCTTTGTCAAGTCCCAACTTGGGGAAGAGGACAGAATGCACTGTCTTTAGCCGTTTATTATCTTCTCGCTGATGTATCCCGGCATTGTGTAGAGTATGAGAACCAAGAATATGGTCAAAATTGCAATAATAAGTAGTGCAATTATGTACTTCTTGTACCGCTTCCAAATGAAGAAGACAAACGTCTTCATGGGATTCACAAACCAGTTGAAGGATGTTTTTGGGCGGCTGGGAAGAAAAGAAAGGGCAAGACTCAATGCAGGTTTGGACAAGGGTATAGCAACAAAGTTAATGTTGGTAGCACATAGCTAGCCCCCCCCCCCAGCTGATAATAGGTCAATGCTCACAGTGAAGACAAGTCAACCTATGCTTGAAAGCCTGGAAATCCAAAGGTCATTTTGCATTTAATCAGCTTTCCTGTTATATAGTGTGTTCCAACAATATTAATGTAATTCACAACAGTACAAAGCAGGAATGGGGAACCTATGGCCCTCCAGATGCTGCTGGACTACAACTGTTGGGGGTTGGAGTCCACAGATTCCTCCATCCCTAGTATAGAGCAGGGGCTTCCCATAGGCTTGTATGCTTCCCATAGGCACCTGACCACCATGATAACAGGATGCTGCATTAGACGGATCACGGCCTGAACTAGCCTGGTCTTCTCATTTACAAAGTCATTTATAGAAATCTTTAGATACTTACTTGGGTTTCTCTAAGGGTTCAGGCTCTTTCCGTGCCCGACCAACTGGGGCATTCTCAGCCTCCTCTACAGTCAGTAGCTGGAATTCGGCTTCCACTTTTCCCTAGAGAGAAGCACACTGTGAGCAAAATGTCTGACATACTGCAAGAGTCTGCTGTGCTTCAGAGACTCTCACCCACTTGCTGCCAATGGTGGAGATCCTGCCAGTGGCAGTTCTGACTTACACAGAGTGGAGTGGGGGTTCTGGGCCAGCAGAGTGACGTTGGCATCGCTCTGCAGGTGGAGGCCAGTGGAGCTCAGCAGGACTTGATGGAAGGGGAGTCCCACTCAGCTCAGGCCACAACGAGTGGGTGTGGATTGCACCCTCAATGTACTACAGTGGTACCTCTGGTTACGTACTTAATTCGTTCCAGAGGTCCATTCTTAACCTGAAACTGTTCTTAATCTGAGGTACCACTTTAGCTAATGGGGCCTCCCTCTGCTGCTGCGCCACCACCGTGCGATTTCTGTTCACATCCTGAAGCAAAGTTCTTAACCCGAGGTACTATTTCTGGGTTAGCGGAGTCTGTAACCTGAAGCGTATGTAACCTGAAGCGTATGTAACCTGAGGTACCACTGTATTTGATTTGTGTTGTATGCTGCCTAGAGAAACGGCTTAACAGATAGCTAATAAATGTAAATAATTATAAAAATAAGTGCATCTTCAGTGAAGTTCTCTTACTGTAAGGATGAAGATATTTCCACTAGGATCTGAAAACTCAACGTCTTCTGGTTTTACAGAGCTCCTCCACTTCTTCTTCTTCTTCTTCTTCTTCTTCTTCTTCTGCTTAGCCTCCCTCTCTTCCCTTTCAAAGTCTTCCTGGCCCTTGAGTTTGATGAATGGCCACCAGCCTCTCATTCGTTTGTTTCGGAAGATAGAGAAGCGGGGCATGGCCTTCTCCTTGGCCATCTTGATGGTGCACTGCTCTGAACTCTTGGCAGCTCTCACCATATCGTTCAGCTTCAACTCAATGGCTCCTTGAAACACAACAAAGTTGGGATAATATCATATACTGGCCACTTATAATGGGAAATTTGACAATTTCCCCCCAGATGGCTAGGAAACACAGTATTTCCACCCACAGGGAATTGCAGGAATTTTGCTTGAAGCTATTGGGCTACGATTTGATTTACAGAATGCAGCCACTACATTTTTGTAGAGATCACAGCATTAGACTGGAGCAAACAGTCCCCTGGTTCAAAACAGGAACTTCCATCATAATAGAAGTAGGTAGAAAATGCACAGCTAAAAGGTGCTTACAGTAGGGTTACCAGGACACCCCAAAAGTTGTTGAGCTTTTGGTCTTTTGATTGACTTGCCTAACATCCAGGACAAGGCACCTTTCAGAAACTCCCACTGTACGTCAATTCCGCCTTTAAAATCCCAGTAATGTATGGCAGCCCTAGCTTACAGGGTAGGGAAGCCTGAGATCATTGTCAACCTGACTGGGTGGAAAAAGTATTTGCAAACCCAAATACAGCAGTTTGTCTTACACAAGTCAGCATAGCTGGATCAGGGGAAAATTAAGGACCATCTGGCAAGGAATGAGCAAACAAAACTGAGCAGTATTCAGGGAACAGCAAGGCAAAGGAAACAAAGAGTCAGAAAACAGATTCAAGGCATAGCCCAGGAACTACTGACCAACTAATCAGCAGCCTCTTCCACTTCCTTTTATAATAGCTACTAGGAGGCTGGAAGGCACAAAAGTAGGGAAGCTCAAGTAAGCCTGCATTCCAAGGCAGGGTGGGGCAGAGGAACTCTTCCTCAGCAACCAAGACATTTTACTTCTGGAGACAGAGAGCACGATGGCGCTGCCCCACAACTCCACATAAGAAAGCCAGCCAGACTAGCAACTGAATGCAAGAATGCTTGGTGGTTCATGGGGCACCACGACAATGCTGGTGCCCCTTGCAAGAGGGTGCCACAGAAATTTGAGAGCCCCAAATCCACCACTGCAAAATGCATCCACTAAATCACCCCCTGGTGTATTTGTACACCACACAACATTACATTAAAAGGGGAGGGGTGAAGGAACACAATCGCCTAAGCAGAAAGATACCTGGGAAAATCTTAAATGATCCTAACGGGTCACAACAGAGGCATCAAGAAAAAACTACATGATATCCTCCACGTGCTTCTTTCCTTCCATCTCAAGCTTTGTGATGTTCTTTGCCATCACAGCTACTCCAGAACGTTACATCTTCATTGGTTAAAAACATTCTTCTTCAACCTAAATTTGTCTTTAGCATGCAATTTCTTACCACTAGGATGTTGTAAATCCCCATATTACATGAGGAAACAGTAGGATGTACAGAAAGAGGAAATATGCAAAAAGATGGCATAGTAGGAAATACAGCTGAGATCTCTTTGTTGCTGTCCAATTTCATGCATTCAGTGTAATTGATATCTGGGCAGCAAACCATGTTCAGAATTTGCAACTTCACCCCAACAAAATCAGAATGAAGTTCAAAAATCTGCAGTACCTTGATCAACCACTAGATGGTGCTGCCTATTAGTTTTCCCTTTTTAGTGCTTGTTCTTGCCCCAGTGTATTTACAAAATTTCATCCATTATCCCATATTGTTTTAATTCAATTCCATGCAATTTAATCAACAGGAACTGAAACCAAATCAAAACAATATGGAGTCATGAATGAAAGGCTTTGAGTGGTGTTTTACCATTTGTTTGCTTGCAGCAGACAAGCTTTTAATAGCTGTACTGAGAATTTAGACACAAATGGGCTAGATTACTTTAACTGAATATAAATTATTTGTATATGAAGGTGAAAAACAGATGGACTATAGAAAGATGTGCTTGCCGAGCACATGCACTCTCCTTTTCCTATCCCTGGAAGCCTCCTCAATTCAGATTAGCCGTTTTAGGAAATTGCACTGCTAAAAAAGCCTCTAAATGGATGAGTTTTATGCAGGCAGGGAAGGAGGAGTAGAAAGAAAAGGAGAGTTTCAGAAGCTTTCTAGGGCCAGTTTTTAACTTCCCTGCAATATATTTGTTGCACACCCTTCTGGAAACAACTAAGAAGAAGAAGAAAAACATTTATATATGCCCCAAACCTTTAAAAGGCACAGTGAGCATTAAAATACCTAGAAAGTCATTTGCTGCAATCCTATCATAGTCCCAGACCTGAAGGACCAGGACAGCTGGCTCCCGAAATTCCGATTCCTCCAGAGAGAAGATGGAATCCTTCTTCTTGTAAGTTATCTCTTTTTCTGTTGGGAGGTAGTCAAAGCGAAACACAAATCTCCAGTTGAAGTTGCCTTCCCCAGTCAAAGAGTTAAAGTGAACATCTGTCTCTTGCTTGTCCTTCTCCAGTCCTTTGATCCAACTGCAGAAGAACCTTTATTAGAATCTAGCAATAATTTAGCATCAGTTCCTGGCCCCACCTCACAAAAGGCACAAAACCCATAATTTAGGGAGTACGTGTGGGAGAAGGGGGAGGGGGTCCCATTGTGCAGGTGAAAATGGGACAGTTACTTAGCACTACATTGGATACAACCCAATATTACTTATTAATCAAAAGTTTTAACTCCTGCTAAACTAGCAACCCACTGTATTGAAACCAGAACAGTTGGCTGCTTATTCCATCAGGAAAATCCTCATGTTTCTAAAGAAATGATAAGCTATACTTATCATTTCTTTATCATTTCGGACTTATCATTTCGGACTATCTGAATCTATTGGTGAAAGCACCTTTTCACATAGATGTCACTGGAGATTTCTCCTGTTATTGGATTGACGTCGTCAAGGACCACATCGTCCGTGTTCCAGATAATGACACGCAGCTCATAGCTAGAAAGAATGAGAAAATGCAAAGTTCTGTTCAAAACTTATTTTCTGCATCTGTAAATTCTGGACAAAACTTTCCACAAAGAACGAAGAGTACCCTTTACCAATATGAGGGGCCAGACTACCCAGTATGTGAACCACAACAGAAGCATGCCAAATGATCATAGGGTAGACAGGGTGCAACTGAGTAATTTTAGTCCTTAGACCAGGGGCAGGGAACTGCATCAGGAAGGCAGGCTAGATCCTTCTCTCTTCCACCCCCTGTGGGCCAGCTTGTAATGACATCAGGTGGGTGAAACCTATCAAAGCTCAAAAGAGGTTGCTGTAACCATCAGTCAGTTGACAGTTACAATAACCTTTTTTTTTGCAGCAGGTCTAGTGTCAATGAGCTGGGTTTGTGGCTTCAGAGAGGCTCCCTGTAACTTCCAATCAGCTGATCGCTAGATAAAGTGTGAAGTTTCTGCAGCAGAGGAAATGCTTTCAAAGCCAGGTAATTTCCCCTTCTGCAGAGAAAGGGTGCATGCAGAAATACTCGATTTAGAGTCCAAGCTGTTCCTCCCTTTTTGCTGCACTAGCTGTAACACCCACTGCCATCCAAGAGCATCAGGTCACCTGCCCAAACAAAGGCCTTGTCAGCTGACTTTGAGTTGGTGGTGGTGCAGTTCCTTGGTGGAAATGCACCCAAGTGCCACCAATGCCACCAATGCCAGCTGACAGTGTGTTTGTAGGAGGGAAGGTTATTGTTTTGTTTTCTTTCTTCTATTTCTTTGTGCTTTTATTCTGTAATTTTTATCTTGTGAACGGCTCTGAGATTTTCGGATGAAGGGTAGTATATAAATTTTAATAATAATAATAATAATAATAATAATAATAATAATAATATAGTAGTTGGGGCTTCAACTGTTCAGGGCTCTCTTTAATCAATAGTTGGTGCTTGTTGAGAACCTTACACTGTGCTTTGAAGCCCCAACAATCAGTTGATCGCTGGAGCTTTGAAACATCTTCCAAAGGACTCTGCGTTTAAACTTGCTTCATTTGCATTTCACCGGCACGTTAAAACAGAAGAGACTCCTCCTCTTTAAGGGGATACTATTGCATAGTGGCAGCCATTCACATAGCAATTCCTATACATTATTAGCACAGGCACCAGCAGGTCAGGTGCCTGTTGCAGATGTTTTTCTGCAATAGTTCCTACCAGGCGGCACACAATGTAAGAAAACGTTCTATAAAAGGCAAAGCAACAAATAGTTTAGGAATTGGCTCTCTTCCAGTTCACTAAGGGCCTTTACCTGATTGGGAGTCGTGGTTTGATGTTGACAGGAGGTGGTGCAGGGACATCGTTTGGAAACATATCGATCCACATGTGGAGAGCACCCTGGGAGAAAACAAGGTGTTTGTTTCTGAGATTCAAGAGCAGTTGAATCTATCTAATGAAGGGAGAGGGAAACGTCCAGAATGGCGCTAACAAGTATTTATGAAATATTGCAGACATATTTTGAAACTCAGGGAAATGATTTTTACTCAACTTCAATGTTCAGGAGCTAATTTTCTTTTTGTTTCGAAGTGGCCTGGGATTAGTGCAACAACTCTCACTCATACATTCCAAAGTCTTTACAAACAACGTCTACGTTGACACAGGTATAATTTCCCAAGGCTTCAATGGAAAGGGAAGAAGCTAAGCCAGTCTTTGCCAACCTAGTGTCCTCTGGTGGCTGGGGCTGATGGGACTTATAGTTCAAAGCACCTAGTGGGCCCTACATTGGTAATGGCTGGCCTAAAGACCTTTATGATTGTGGAAGAAGGTATGCATTTTTGGTCTCAAGTGCTGCCTCTTGCCATACCACCCTTTCTGTCTATATCTGCTATGTATAACAGCCTTGCCCTCCCTACAATGGATATAACAGGGGTGTGTTTTCCCTGCTGCGGTTGTGCTATTGCAACATTCCTTGCACATGATCCTATAGTACCAATGTGCAGAAGTTGTATTATGAGTAAACCAACAGTCTCGTCTCACCTGTAGGAGACCCGGGCTGTCTGGATTGTAAAGGGACCGAACTTCTACATGTTCTGGTACTAATTTATATCCATATTCTGGCATTTCATCCCAGTGTTGAAGAACATACAAAGCCTTGTGCTCATCATAAGCAGACCAGGTTTCATCTTCGTTTTCTTTCTTGTCTTTTACAAAGGCTTCTATAATAAATTAATAATAATAACAATAACAACAACAACAACAACAACCAGAAGCCCCTAAGAAAGGGGACCAGACAGAATCAGTACTGTTTATCAGTATCAACCAATGAAGAACGTCATGGCAAAGCCTAGGAATTATATACCGGTAACCTTTAGGAGGCATCTGAAGGCAGTCCTGTACTGTATAGGAAAGCTTTTTAAGGTTCAATGTTTTACTATGTTTTTATATATGCTGGAAACCAGCCAGAGTGGCTGAGGCAGCCCATTCAGATGAGTGGGGTACAAATAATCAATTATTATCATTATTATAAATAAATTATATAGGAATTTCAAAGGGATCTCACCACTGCTCACTTTAGCAGCTTTAGCTTTATGTTCTCCTTTGAAACACTGAACAAGTGTGTTGTAGTGGTTAGAGTGTCGGACTAGAATTGGGTAGACCCATATTCGAATCCCCACTGAGCTGAGATGTCCACTGGATGACCTTGGGCTAGTCACTGCCTCTCAGCTTAACCCGCCTCACAGTGTTGTTGTGAAAATGAAATAGGGAGCATGAGAACAATGTATATCACCCTGAGCAACTTGTCAGAAAAGTTGGGTAAAAAAAGTTTTTGTTTTTGTTTTTTTAGCATAAACCAGTACCTTCAGGAAAAGCTTCAGGAGGGATCTTAAAAATCTTGTTGTTTACTTTGACTTCCTCCCGCCTGTACTCAGCTGAGGGGAGTGAATTCTTCTTACACAAACTGTCCAAGATATGTGTGGGTTTGAAAGCATCACGCCACATGTTGTAGCCCTCTCTGTAAGGAAGGAACAGGATCAAACTTATTGGCCTGGTCTGCACATAATACTACACCATGGTTTGTTAAGTCAAAGTATGGTTTGTTTGAACATCTGAACCTAGCAGATTTACCATGGTTTGTTTTCTGAAAACAAAGCACAGTGTGAAACCATGGTTTGTTTTCTGAAAACAAAGCACAGTGTGAAACCATGGTTTGTTTTCTGAAAACAAAGCAGTGTGAAACCATGGTTTGTTATTGGCTTAATTCATCATGGCTTGTTTTAACTTTAGCATGGCATTATGTCTGAACCAACTACCTTGTTTAACCTTGTTTCATTTGGTGCTCATCTAAGCTACAAGGCAAGATCAGATGGAGAACAAACTAAGCTTTGGAGAAATAAGCTGTGGCTTGTCAGCTCATCTGTAAGATGACCAGTGGTTTGCTGAACAGTTACATCAAATGATGGCTTAGTGTCACATGAGGCCATAGCCATTACCTCCTAATGGGTATAGAACTGAATGTGAAGCTGATTTATTTCATCTTAGTGCTAGCATTCCAGGAGACGTTTCTATAGAGCAGGGAGCAGAGTCCAACCCCTACCCACCACTATAGAAACAGGCTTCCTTGGGAAGGCTACAGAGTTGCTACCAGCCACTTGAAAAAGCAATACTTTCTGCAAAATAATAATTTAAAAAATACTAACAAAATGACAAGAAGGGTTTGTGGTTGCCTTGCTAACTCCTTCTACATTACATACGTGTCATATTGCGAGGCCACCCCACAGTTGGCTCTGTGATTGCTGTAGAATCGGTTCTCCAAGTCAATCTTTGTTTCCCCAATTAAGTCATCTGATCCGACCAAATCATGGTCAAATATTGATATGGTGAGTTCTGATTCTATGGGAAATGATATGCTCAGCTCCAGCACTCTGAAGAAGAGAGAGAGGCATTCAGGATGAGAATATATATGAGCAACTAAAGGATGGGAAACAACCTATGGAAGTAGGCTCTGTACAACCACCCCCACTTTAATTCTTGTTGTAATAGAACCTGCACCATTTTAAACCTATGTATCATATCTGGGTAAAGTCACACACATCCATCCATGACATCCAACTGGCACAAGCCCCCTTTAACAGACCCTTCACCTTGAAGACCCTGAACTTGCCAATTTCCCTCCCCCATCTCACGTGGTCATTGGCAGAACCCAACAATGCTCTTGTTTGTTCACCCCTCATTTCCGCTATCCTTTGATAACTACTATACCCTTCCTCATCTTCCTATAGATCCAGCCCTCTTTCCTTCTTTGCTGCACCACCATCTTGTTAGAGATGCATGCACACCTAGGTGGTGCTGAGAATATGAATCCCTCCCTTTTGCATCTCCAACAATGGGACCAACACAAGCTACCCTTTGCAGTTGCCTAGGTTTACCTAGTGGTAAGGCAAAATCTGCTATAAGCAATGTGGAGAGGATACAACTCAGATGCAAAGTAAAGCTGCATTCTTACTCTCCAAAGACTGGATGCAGCTGCTTTGGGATGTACCGCTCCTTGGTGTCTTTCTGTTGCTGCCCGATTTTAACCACAAGGTAGGGATCTGCCTTGCCATTGGGGTCTGCTGGACTGAGATTAGTTGCCTAAAAAACATAATACGTGGCACTATAACACTGGTGGAACAAAACCATATAGCCATAGCTGTCAACTTACAGATTTGAAAATAAGGGACCAGCAGCCTTGAAAATAAGGGACCAGCAGCCAAAATAAGGAACCTGCATCCTCACCTGTTCCAGGCACTCCTGTCTTCCTGTCCTCCTGCAGTCTGGTCAAACTCATGCTGGTAGCTTCGAGAACACTGTCCAACCAACTTTGTAACCAGAGGTTCAACTGAATAGAATCTGAATCACATGCACCACAAGGCCTATGCAGCCTCAACTTAAGATGGCTCCCCGGCCTGGCTTTGCACTGCAAAGTTTGCAGCAGTACGTGCAACAAAATGGTGTCCAGCATTCAGAAACCCCCTCAGCTTGTATTAACGAGCCACACACAAGGCATGCAAGCTCCACCCCCCAGTCGTTCTTAGACTTATTGGGTGAGCAACATAGCCAAGCAACACAGTTGGAGCCTCCATCCTCCCTGGCCGGCAGGGAGAGGAGCTGCTTCCTTTGAAATTTAAGGGACATCATTTAAGGGACATTTAAGGGACATCCATCAATAAGGGACAGCAGCGGGACATGGCGCTGGAATAAGGGACTGTCCCTTCAAATAAGGGACACTTGACAGCTATGCATATAGCATTACATATATTTGCCTGGAAACACCTTCATGAAGCTTCAGCTTGAATCGGTAACGAAAAACTACTATTGCAAAAGATCACTGACCTGTGTTACGTGATCAAAACATCAAGTGTTATAAAATCATAGAGTTACAAGGAACTTGAAGATCATCATTTCCAGCCTCAGGAGGCAGAGCAACCTAGAAGTTAACCGCTTTTCCCCTTCCCAAAAAAATTATTTCCTGCCAGCCAGACCAATATGTCCCAAGCAGGAGCAGAACAACGACTGAAGTGCTTGTTACTTCAGAAGGCTTGCTTGCTGAAGCTAGGACACATGTTACAGGCAAAACTATGGTCACTAACCAATCAGACCTGAATGGAGTGGGGAGGAAACCTAGGGTTGCCATACTTCAAAAAGTAAAAACTAGATGCACTGAAAGAGTGAGACAACCCCTGAGGGTGAGACGACCCTACTTTCCTTCAAAAGCAGTACTGTTCTAAAGTGGAAAAGAACTGCTATGTTTTTATGGTGTGCTGAGATAAAGGAATATAGTGCAGGGAATATTTAGCATTCATCCTGATTATTTTGCACAAAGGTTATGCAGCATCCATGCTGATTTCTATATAGGACAGTTATATGACAATAAGCAGTCAGCCTGAGTTCATTCTGATTTGCTTGTGGGGTATTTACATGTCCTCCCATTAATTATTCATCCATCCCTCACTTTTCAATGCATTTCCCTGTCACTTTCCAAACTGCAAAAAGGCTGCTTAAAATGGAGAGGGAGATTTGATGCATTGGGATGATAGAGCACTTTAATCTACTTTAACTGTGCAAACCTAACATTTTCATATGCACTTGAATGCCTCCTGCAAAACACTGGGAGTCTGGAGGCTCCCTGCAAAATACAGAACATTTTAGAATGCTGTTTGCATCTCAGAATGGAATTGATGGCACTAGCAGTCCCAAGTCTCCTCAATCTAAAGGCAGAGTCTGGAAATTCCAGGGGCTCCTTCTGTGACATCTCATCTTCAAATTCATGAAAGCAAAATTATTAGGAGCGGCTTGAATTGAATGAAGGGTTTAAATCACAGAGCTACTATCCATCTTGGGAGATCATCCTTGCCATAGCTCAAAGGAGATACAAACAGTGACAACAGAATCCCAGGGGACTTTGCAGGTTGTGGGATGGTTATGAATTCATTATCTGGTAATTGTAGCACAGGTTTCAAAACTCATGCCATTCCATACAAATACTTACTTTTACAATATAAATTCGGACAAGGACCTTAATGGGTCTGTTTCTGGGGATGCCCTGGGAGATCTTGTGCTCTGCACCTGCCTCTTCAGCCCGATAGACATAGAATGAGCCCTGCAAAAGAGGGATTAAATAAAAGGCAATCTATATCACTCTTTCTAGTAGAATGATATTTTGACTAGCCCTACACCTGTCAGAAGATTTTTCTTCTTGTTTCCTAGGAGACTGCAGCATGTTGAGTCCTGCAGTATCGCAGCTCTACCACACCTCTGGTGACACATATATTGGAAGTGCAATAAATCACAGGAGAGACAGGAGAAGGAAAAGCACAGTAAAAGTAAAGCTATAACTCCATAAGGAATAGACACAAGGAGGTTTATTACTACATTCTAAGCAAAGTATTAGCCTTCATCCTACAGAGCAGGCTAGATCATAGCTGTCAACTTACAGATTTGAAAATAAGGGACCAGCTGCCTTGAAAATAAGGGATCAGCAGCCAAAATAAGAGATTTTAGTCAACCAGCTGAAATGCGAAGTTAAAAGGGACCAGATAATTTTGGAGAGCAGCTCCGGTTTTTAGCCCTTCATTTCCAGAGGTTGCTGCTCAAGACACCAGCTGATGAAACACTGCAATTTAATAACTACAAGCAGCAACCACTTTTTGCACAAAACGAAGTCCAAGCTATGAAGATGCTGCTGCAGTTCTGTATCTTTTCTCTCGTGCTCCATCTGCAGCTCTCAGTTCCATCAGGCGGGGCGGGAGGAAGGGGGGGGAAATAGCGTCCGAATTAAACCCGCAGATCAGACCATCTATGCTAGTCTACCCCTACAAATCTATGGGAGAAGCGCTTGCGGTCCTTCCTCCGCTTTCCCCCTCTATGGTTAGCCCTTGGAACACCTGCCTGTGCCTCCGCCTCCTCCTCCGCTTCCGCCTCCTCCTCCTCTCTCTGAACTGCTTTCTCTGTGGTTGCCCTCGCTCTCCTCTCAAAGCTCCTCAGCAATTCACAGGCCATGCCAGGCTGCTCATCTCATCTGGGTCCTTTGGTGGCGCAGCCGCAGTGCAGTCTAGCGGGAGCGGCGGTGGCGGGCAGAGGGGAGGCCCCAGGCAGAGACGCTCAGTTCGGCGGCCGCTAGGAGGATGGTGGCGGAAGGGCCCAAGGCTCCCGTCAGTCCTGGCGGGGAGGGGCTCCTGGGGGCTGAGGCTGGTGAGAGGAGGTCAGAGGGGGGAAGGGCAGGCAGCCAAACAACACAGTTGGAGCCTCGCTCCTCCCTGGCCGGCAGGGAGGGAGGGAGGGAGAGGAGCTGTTTCCTTTGAAACCCGGGAAATTTAAGGAACATCATCAATAAGGGACAGCAACGGGACATGGCGCTGGGATAAGGGAGTTTCCCGCCAAATAAGGGACGGTTGACAGCTATGGGCTAGATCTGCCATTGCGTTAGTGCACAGGGTTAGTTGAATCCAGCCAGCTACCTTGTATTTTCCCACTAAATTATCCTCTTCATTTCCATCTTCATCTTCATTGGCTTTCCCACGATGAAGTGGAAAAATACAGAGCCAGTCCTCAAAATTGTCGAACTCGTTTTCCAGCTCTGAACTGTAGATCTGAAATGAGAGGTGTGTTAATTTTAGAGCTTTCTTGCCATAACAGCTGATAATAAAAACTAGTAGTACAGAGAACAGTTAGTGCAACCAGAGGCCTCTCCCCTCTAGTGATCTGTTTTCAGTTCTATCACTGATCAAGTGAATAGGTTATGTCATGTTGCTACAGGTGCTACGGGTCACTACAGGTCTCTACAGCATTTTTTAAGTGGATCCATTAAATCCATTAAAACTTGTGACATAACAAATATGTAGTCTTTAAGATGTTATAAGATGATCTTTGTTGGTTTTGAAGAGCTAATAAAAGAGCAGTCATCCACATCTCTCCTTATCATTCTTCACTGTGGTCTCAACCTCAAAGGCTGACAGAATAGAACATTATGAACATTGGTGCCTTAGTCAAAAAAATTATGAGACGGTACTTTTATAAACAAATATCAATACACACATAAATAAGACCGGCCGCTCTTTCCTGGCCTGAGCAAATAGTGAAGTAAACAATTATTTCCACTACTCCTTTCCCATTTTTGTTTGTTTTTTGTGGTAAATGTCAGGAGCAGACACAAATCAACTGGCAGGAAATGCCCAAATTGATGTGCATAATATACAAATGGGGGGGGGGCGGGCGGCGGCACTGAAATACACCAGCCCTAGTCTCACAGAAACCAATAGGAATATAGGCAGCGCCTTGTATCTAGTCAGACCATTTGGAAGTTAGCTCAGTATTGCTGACACTGATTGGCAGCAGCTCTTGAGGGTTTCAGGTGGGAATCTTTTCCAGCCCTACCTGGAAACACTAGGGATTGAACCTGGTGCCTTTTGCATGCAACCCATGTGTTCTGCCAATGAGCCATGTCCTTAATAGGACATACCCTTGATTACTTAGGACAGGATTCTGTCTCTGAAAGACCTACCTTTAATGTAGCTATAAGTTTCCTTTTGGGACGAGGTGGCTCAACCTCAACTATCACGCCATCGTCCGCTTCCACGTCAAGAGAAGCAACATTTAAATTCCCTCCATCTAAATAAGACATTGAGAAATTAATGGGATAATTTGCTCAACTCATACAGTCAAATATCACACAGATTTTCCATTCAATCCCTGCAGCTTTGAACAATTTCCAACAAAGTCAATGACGAGATTGTCGCTCTCCACCCCGTTCTTCTCCTTTATTCTTTTTAGCATCAGGCATTCATGCTTGCAATTGAGAATTCAGTGTGAGCACTGCGCAAAGAAAAGCTGGAAGTGGTTCCACTGCAGACACCTGTCGCAGCTGACAGAACCAGGGCACACTGTAGGTAGGCACTGGGAGGTTTCTGCAAGCATAGTGCTTCATTAAGATGGCTGAGTGTGAACCAATCCTATGAAATCTGAAAGGAGCAGTTTGCCAGCCAAAACCAGTGCTACAAAGAGGTTCTAGACAGAGAAAGAGGTTTTTGAGAGACTGAACACCTATTACTGTGAATTGACTCTGTGCCCAGTTATAATTCCTGTTTTGTACATTTGTACATAATTCATTTTGTACATTTGCAAATAGACCGATATTCACAAAAAGCACCACTGGTCTCTCTCCTGCAAAGGATGTTAGACCCATCAACTGCTATACTGGGGCCCCCGTCTGTTGTTGATACTACAGTGGTACCTCGAGTTACAAATGCCTCAGGTTACAAACGCTTCAGGTTACAAACTCGGCTAACCTGGAAGAGTATGTAACCTTTGCATTTGGTAAATACCGCACAATCATGCCAATATGGCTGAATCCAGCCTTGACTTTATACCTATCACTGCATGTACAAACATTCCTTAGAGAAAGGGAGAGTGGATGAGTAATGCTTTAGGCATTTGGTCTTGGGTGGATACAAATAGCCCAAAGATGTTTTTAACCACCTAGTGCAGCTGACATGCTAACCCTGAACAGAATCCAGGCGCAATTTCACCAATTTTTCCAAATTACACCAACACAGGGAACCGTGCTTCTCACAGCTCAGGGAAGGGGAGCACAGACAGAACAATAATAAAAGCACCACTTTGGGATGGGTATGTCATTTGAACACCAGATATTCTGGAAAGTTCAGGTCCTCATCCTGGCAATTTCTACAGTATGAAGATCTCACCTGGATCATTTGGGTCCTCTTCCTCCTCATCATCACTGTAGGACTGTAAAATAGGATAGTCATTAAACAGACTACGACAAATAACAATCAGTCACTACTAACTGAGCAAATCTATTAACAATGTGAGATGAATTTCACAATAACACCAACCCCAACACTCCAGAAACCCATAAAATTTGCTGCAGAAAACAGAAGCTGTATAACACAAATTTTGAGTTGTCTCCAGTATTAGACCTACACAGAGTAGACCCATTGAAATTAATGAATATGACCAACTTTGATTTGTTAATGGTTGGCAGGAGAAATGCAGAAGGGGTAGCTTTAGCTTATTAGGGTACAGCTGGGACCTCCATCAGAGTGGAGCCCTCCCACCACCAGTGCTCCTCTCTTGGACTCTGGGCACCATTCTAACCCCACCTACCCCTCATTCCAATTCAGTCTTTAAAGAATCCTGCTTTGTACTAGAACAGGGATGTCCAACTCCCCAAAGACTGTGATCTGCTCCCACTATAAAAACACTGGCAGTGATCGGATTGACCAGAGTTGTTAAGCTTTTTTTGGGAAGCCCTCATCAAAGGTCTTGAGCTTTTTTGGGGGAGGAACACGCAAAGTTGACCTGTTGGACATCCCTGTACTAGAACACAAAGCTTCACAGGATATGACAGTTTCTCGTTGTGGCCTTGCTGGGAATCCTGCAAGGATTTGTGTATGCTAAGGAGACCTAAACTGATTTATTAATGTGTGATGTTCTAGAAACACAGCACCATTTACTTCACATCCTAACCTCATATATTGAATTGTAAACAAAGTACAATAAGGCAGGACTCTTTTTGTGATGATACAGAATACGGCCACCTCTTTTGCACCTGCCCATAGCAGCCATTTTGTGCTGGCTGGCAAACACAGCATTTCTATCAAGATATGATTACTGGCACCTTATTTTTTTAACCAAAAAAGCACCTTAGTGTTTGAAACTGTTTGTTTGTTTTTTCATCATTAAAATGCCTACCTGTTTTTTAAGTAGTTCTCAATCCATAAAAGAACCCATCTTCTTGCTAAGTTTATTTAAGGACCTTTCCTACTCCCCTCCCATTCTTCTTTCTTCTCCTTCTCCAAAACCCGTGAGGGGATTGCAGTATCCTGATGGGATATGGTTTTTCCTGCTTCCTCCTACCTGTCCTATGTAGTTCTCTACTGCAGTCATTTGCTTCACACCTGAGTCCCTCCCCCCTCCTCAATCTGCTGCCGTTCAGATTTTTTGGACTACAGCTTCTATCAGCCACAGCCAGCATGACCAGTGCTCAGGGATAAATGGAGCTGTAGTCCAAAGCATATGGACGGCAGCAGGTTACATTCTATTGCAAATACAATTCAGTAGTTGAAATCCCATTACCTGGTTGTTTAATTCCTTTAATGATTCATAGTACTTAGACCACCAATCCAGCTCTTCTTTCTCAGGCTTTTCCTCCTCAAATTCTTCCTCCTTCGGCATGAGTTTATCAATTGGGAGTTTCTTCAGAGGTGCCTGAGAATAAATTATCTCAATATATCAATGGCATGTGTGAACATAAGGGCCCAGAAGCTCCATCAGGTCCAGTGTCCTTCTTCCAACAGTGTCAATGAAGCCTATAGGCAAGCTCTAATCTATTCGCGCAGCAATGAGTAAGAGGTAAACTGCTCCCAAACATGGAGGTTCCATTTAGCAATCTGGAATAACAGCTGATGGGAACTGGAGTTCAACAGTACCTGGAGGGCCCCTAGATTCTGAATTCTGGTCCACATGTTATTGCTTTACTACATCATTGCTTTCCCTAATTCCAGATCATTTATGAATACATTAAATGGTACCAATTTCAATAGCAAATCATTGGAAGACCCTGTTGCTTATATCCCTTCTTTGTGAAAATTATCCTTTTAATGGATTTCACTGGATTCTTATTCTTCAGTTAGTTACAAGTCCACAAGAGGACCCATCCTCTTATCCCTGTTATGTTCACCCAGAACTCATTCATGAAGGACTGTGTAGAATGTTTGCTACTAAAATGCTTCTACCGACACTCTCAAATAATTCTAAAAGATTAGTGAAGCAGAAATTCCATTTGGGGGAAGCCATGCTGAGTCTTCCTTAGCAAAGCTTGTTCTATAGGTTTGATAATTCTAACTTTAATCATGCTTTCCACCGATTTTCTGAGCTTCTTATCTTCCAGATTCTCCTAGTTTTATGTTGACTGCTTACTAATGCTCTGATATGGAACTGACTCACATCCCTTAAACCAGGTTACCTCCCACAGTTGTTGCATGGCTTTTCCTACAAAGGAAATTTCTGACAGGAAAGATCAAAATGCTTTCCCTGGGGCAGATGTGCATGTGTAACATGCATAACTCTCTCACATACACACCACAACCCATGCCTACTGCTAGAGAAGAAGAAGAAGAGAAGAAGAGTTTGGATTTGATATCCCGCTTTATCACTATCCGAAGGAGTCTCAGTGCGGCTAACATTCCCCTTTCCCTTCCTCCTCCACAACAAACACTCTGTGAGGTGAGTGGGGCTGAGAGACTTCAAAGAAGTGTGACTGGCCCAAGGTCACCCAGCAGCTGCATGTGGAAGAGCAGGGAATCGAACCCGGTTCACCAGATTACGAGTCCACCGCTCTTAACCACTACATCACACAGTAACAAAGGACTGCAACTCAGCACTCCCTTTTGTGATAAATACCTGGGATTTAGGATAAAAGGATGTGTCTGAGAATCTTCCCTGGGGACCCTACTGAAATCTGTGAAGATCTGTTTCCAATGATATCTATTTGCATTTACACCCTGCTGTTTGTACCCCTCCCCCCTTTTCTGCTGCTCAATATGGTTCCCCCACCATGAAGTACCTAAGCTTTTTGAATGATTCAGCTATGTGGAAAATCCATTTCTGCAATGTGGATTTAGAAAGGCACTTCCTATGAGCCACAACACTCCTCTAACAGCAGAACCTGTGACCATCCAATTGCTGCACTCACCTTTGCAAGCTTAAGGGGATTTACTTTGCTACCTATGTCTCCAGCAGCTGCACCAATATTTATTACTGTCTGACCAGCAGCTGCACCAATGTTTATCACCGTCTTCCCAGCAGCTGCACCAAGATTCAGAACTGATTTGGAGATTTTCGGCCGTGAGGCTTTCCGTGCTGTAAGAAAACAGTATAAATTGTATACTTTAGTATGAATACATGCCTTCACCTGCTGAATCATTTCCGCTCTACTAACCAGTTATGGACACACCCACGCCATACATTTAAAGCACATTCAGTGCAAATTTAAAGCACACAACTTCCCCCAAAGATTTCTGGGAACTGTAGTTTCATAAAAAGGCGAATCAACTTAGATTTTTCTTTCAAAGCATGGTGCTTTGAATGTTTTCTGCCTTGGCTTTGACCTTCTGGCATAGGAATGCCAAGAAATTAGATATGGCCATGAGCAGAAGATAGCTCTAGTCCAATGCCATGTGCAGGGTGTCACACTCTGCAAATGTTAAATCCCAGCACATCAAACCCTAACTTGACCCTCGCACAATTCCACCTCATTGAAAGGTCCCTTAAAGGAGTTGGGATTCTGAAGACTCACTTTTGGATGGGCTGTCGTCTTCCTCTTCCAACTCATCTAGCTCTTTAGGAGCAAATTTCATAATATGGGAAACTATGTGAGTTCCGACCATGACAGAGCGTCCAAAGGCCCTCTTTTCCACCACGAAGATACTGAGAGGTGGGTGCAAGTACACCTGCTCTGGAAGCTCCTGTGGAATACAATCAGGTGCCACAAAACAGATTATTTATTCATTATTAGTCATTTATTGATTATACATTGCTTGATGCCCAGATGACTTCTAAGCAGTGTACAAAGCACATACACATATAGCACAACATTGTTAATATACAGTAAATTTAAAAATACACCAGGATCAAAATACAGGCGGCAACCATTTTGTGTGCATCCAATTGATGCAAGACCAAAGGGGGCAGAACAAGGGCAGGGTGGGGGCGGAACAGGCTTATGCATAACCACTGACATGCACAATGACCTGGCATGCAGCACAAACAGGGAGTTGCCTGTACCCAATAAAACAATGTAGTTAAAACTAACATCCATGAATAAAGTATACAATAAAGCAATCCTTTTAAAACAGCCCAGCAATGACAACAGAAATTAAAACAGTAAACTGAATTAGTAATCTTGGTCAGCAGTTAATATAAGGTCCCAAATAAGATTATTTACTGTATAAAGTGATTTGATAACTGGTGGGATGGTTCTATATCCTAGTTCAACAAGATACTATGAATGTTTCACATCAACCCTGGCAACATTAGAAAGAGAGGTCAAGTCAAGTAAAAGGTATGGATCAAGAGTCAAAATCTCAGAAATAAATCCAAAGCTGCTATAAGTAATCAATTCAGGCATTAATCACATATACTGGTTGGGTTGCATGTTTGCATGTGTGTTCTAGTGGTATTTTTAATGCAGCTTTTTTACTGTGGCATGGCCTTTCAAGAGCAGCAGCTTGCTCCATCATTGGAGCATCCACAGGTATGATAGCAGAATTCTACAGCTCTGCTCAAGACCAAAGTATCAGCCATTCAGCAACATTCAGGTTGTTGCTCAGCTATTTCTACTGATAATCAAGCACATGAAAACCTCAAAGGTTCTCAGTGGATGGGAACATTATTTAGCAGAAATGTATACAATGTGGAGGCTAACTCAAAATAATGGGAGCTTCTAAATTACTGCCATACAACTCTGGTTTTGTTAATCAGGTAATGGAAGGCGATCCCAGTCTTTTGAGATCTGCCTCTTACTCACCACATCAACAAATTTGACAAGTTCATTGAAATTTGGGTTCTCTTTGTACACTGTAATCACTTCAGATTCCACTTTCTTCCCAGCACATTCAATGATCACCTGTGGCTGGTCAACCTCAAATAAGTTCACACGCTTCAGATCTCTCAGGCCCCAAAACAAGATCTGAAAAAAGAAAGAAAGCAGAAGAGTTGACTCTTGTGGGTACTCCATACAGGGCCCAACACCCTCCTTCTCTAAAATGGTCCTCTTCTCAAAAACCACTGAAGCACCTTTCCCAATGCCCACTCACAGTTGCATTCTAGATTAACAGACCTATATGACACCCACCTACTCTCTCCTGTTCTCTGTTTGTTGCAAACTAGCCTACGGTTGCAAGCCAAACCCCAGCTGAGGAACAATGGATCTTAACACGGTGGTGGTGCTGGCCTGGACAGAAGGCAGGGGAGTAGGCAAATCTCTGTGCTGATGTAGCAATTGGGCCTGGATTAGGCCTCATGTAAACACATGATGGTCGTGGCCTCAGTTCATCTCTGCCCCAGAACACCACCAGCAAGGATCCCACCAGCAGCATTTTCACGCACCCACACATTTGGTGGGCAGAACAGAGAGTTCTGTGCTATTGGAGTGACACTGGTGGAGACACCTCCATCCAATCCCTCCCACAGCCTGGTGCAAAGGGAATTTGGATTGAATTCTTAGTTACTGTGTGTCAAGCTAGATTCCTTCATTCTCTCCTCTGTTTATTTCCTTGCTGCTTTTTCACAAAATTGCGCCCAAATTGGCTCATACCAGATGCTAAATGAGCAACAATTAATATGATAATTGCAATAACATATTAGGAATGATTAAAAATAATCATCATGTCAATACGTAAGGGGGAGAATCCTGTATTTGAACAGGTTAAAAACAAAATGGTTAGATTAAATACATCCTTTGCTAAAAGAAGAACAAATAATTTTACCTCTATACGAAACTCTTTAAGGATTGGTCGGATACCTTCAGGGATAATGAATCGTCCAGAACGGGGGTCTCCCAGATATTCTGGCTCCTTGGGTTCTACATCACTAGGCACTGATGGCTGGACAGCACAGAACAACAATTTTAAAGTCTTCTCTATAGCTATGTAGACTTAAATGCCCACCTGTCAATTTATCCACCAATTACCATCATAACCAATCCTCACTTTCTGAAGTGAAAGCTGTCAAGCCTTTTCCCTCTGATCCCAGATGTATGAGCAGCACTGGTTGTGGGTGGTCAGCAGTGAGAGATGGTCATTGGTTATATACTGAAAGGAACTTGGGCACTACCTGTCTCATATCAAGTCTTTCCATAAAATTCTTTCCCATCAATGCTTCAGGATCCTGTTCTAAAACACAAGGCCCCTCTGCTAGGAGAACATGATGAACCTGAGAACTTGGTTTTATCACAAATTCTGGTTAGTTTTAAAACAAGCCAACATCAAACCAGGGGATATGAAGCTGGCTTGTTTAACTAGCCAGAGTTTATGATAAATCACAATCCCTGGTTTACACACAAGGCAAAATTAAATTACAGTTAGGGATAAGTACATCTATCAGTGTTGGTGTCTCTCTGTTTCTCCTTACTCCAATCTTAAATTCAGTTCTCCACATTTCCATATCCATTTGCAGTTTCTTTTTTTACAAAGTCCTCACAATAGAGATGTCCGTATGATAGTTTGCCTAATATGCACATCGCTGCAAGCAAATATTGCACATTTTGTATGTTGTTATCACTAATAAATGCATTATAATAAATACATTTTACACCAGTGTATACATTTTTGCACACATTTCTTGGCTGGAGAACTGCATTGCAAAATTTGGAGACGGGGGAATGTTGAAGGATGGTTGTGTTTTGGTTCATGTGGAAAGTGTGAATGCAGTAGATCTGCCTTTAAATGCAAAGTGAAACAGATTTCTCCCCCATCCCTAATTACAATGAAATGAAACACTGGCAAAGTCCTCCAGCACTACGCAGGATGAGGTGATGGAGCACATGTCCATGAGGTTTCACTTAAGCTCAGTCCAGCTCATCAGCACAAAACTTTACTGTTACATGAGATTTGGGCCATTTTTTATTATTATGAGACTATTCACAGGCTGTTCACAACCTATTCGAGCTGCCAAACACATCCCTGTAGCCATGAGGTGGCAATGAGCCCTCTTACCTCTAAGTAGCCACTATAATCCAGTTCAATCAGCTCAAAGACAGCAATTAATTCCCCAGCTGCTTTGTGTCCCTTGTAAATGTCAAAAAACTGGAGAGAAGGTTTGCTGTATGGCTCATCTACCAGCTTCACCAGTGGTGTAACAAAGGCTCGGCCAAGGAACACAGGTGAGCCCTGGAAAGAAGAGGAAGCAGCTATCAGATATGGCAAGAAACATTATTTCAGGAACCCAGTTTCCCATTAGATCCAATGATGGGCATTTTACCCACACTGCAGCACCCTTTGTATCTAAGAGCAATGAGCTCCCTTACCTCCATCTTCACTGTATCACAATCCTGCCTCTGCTTTTTACTTTACTCATGCAGAAAATTCACACAACTGAGCACTGCCCAGCAAGCCTGATGCTAGAGTGACTTAACCTCTCCCCCAACTCATTGTTTAGATTAGGAACTAGATTAGTATGAATATTCAGCCCACCCAAGTGCTTGACTAGATCAACTGTATTGGTGTAGGTTTTTCTGCAACATGCCATGTATATTATTCCTTCAGCCTGCTGGTGGTTCCCAAACCATTCTGAATTGCTTCTGCAGGAAAGTGGGGTTATGGTCGATGTGAGTTCCTGGTCCCCGAGAAGCTATTGCAGCCAAATAGAAAATTGCACAAAACAGGTGAGTTTATACGTTCAAACTTACAAATTTATTGTAGTCAAAGATGTTGACAACAGCAATTGGAGTCTCTGTCTTCAAGTCCTCCTTCTTTCCATCGATAATGAGCTGGTCATACAGAAGTAATTCATTCCACATTGGGCTGAGTGTCTCTTCCAAGATCTGAATTAACAGAGATCAAAGCTGCTGTTTAAACAGTCCCTTTAGAACCAGGCTGGACCCATGCAATCCACAGTCATGTATATCTTTCACCCAACTTACTTTTTAAAACAAAAGCTGCCCCAGGAGTCTGTGAAATTAAGTAAAGGGATGGACTGCTTAAACATTTCCCTTCCATTCTGCTTGTGGGCTTTTCATCGGTATCAGGTTGAGCAACCTGGAAACTAGTGCTGGACTACATGGGCCATTGGTCTCATCCAACAGGACTCTTATAGTATTTTACTATTGTTACAAAAGCCCAGTGCCTGCCCCTCTCTCTGCCAAGCAGTGGCAAGAGCTCATGGGCCACAGGCACACCCTTTGGAGAATGGAAGACATGGCAGAGACTGTCGTACTTTAAGAAATATGATTTATTCGCCTATTTACACCTTTAGTCTGCATGGAGGGGGTCCAGATCTTATGGCATAGTCATTCCAAGAGGCAGCAGCATAAGCTGCCTGCAGTCAGCACACTCCAAAGATGGTTCTCCCTTCTTCTTCTTCTTCTTCTTCTTCTTCTTCTTCTTCTTCTTCTTCTTCTTCTTCTTCTTCTTCTTCTTCTTCTTCTTCTTCTTTCTTCCTCCCAGAAACCCCTTGCTCTCCCCGCCCCCAACAGTTACCCTGACAACCTTCCAAATCCCCATTCTCTGGTCACACCTGGGGCAAGAGGTTTGTAACAACCCTCAATGGCTCTCTGTTGTTTCCTTAACAGCCCTAGCTTGGCCAGGCTACCCTTTGCAGCTTATATTTCTCATACCAAAAATAACCAAAATGGCATTTACAGTATTAATTTTATCCACATCTATAACACCATTTCCCCACTAAAACACAAACAAAAACATCTCCCTGAGCATTTCCCCCACCCCTATCCCAGACCATTTCAATATTCACCTGGGCTATCAAATTTGTTTATTCACAAGTCTGCTGCAAATACACTTACACATGTAGTCTGGCACTGAGTTGAAAACACCACTTTTGCAAATGGATCAGAAAGGCCATTTTCATCAGCTGGGAGAATCCCCCGAGCCTGGTACAAATGGGCTCGCAGCTGAAAGTAACTGAAGTCTGCAAAAAGCAAAATGCATCTATCAGCTTTCCAAGATGACAGCCATGTGTGAGGTTCACACATTAGACAGGACTTTGATGTGAATCATTGCTGTTTCCAACAAGTTTACAATGGGGCGGAATGATAAATATATCCAACAGCATTTAATCACGAAAGAGAAACTACTAGAACTATTAAAAAGAACTCCATATGAACATTTCATTTTTAAAGCTCATTGGAATCTTGTGGCACTTTGAATAACTGACTAATTTATTATGGTGATACAAACTTTCATGGACCAGGATCCACCTCAGATCCATTGAATGCTACCTTAACTAAGTTGGTAGGTATATGTTTGTGTGTGTGTGTCACACAAACATACACCTGCCAACTTAGCTAAGGTAACACACACACACACACACACACACACACACTTGAGTGATGAGGTGATGTTAGCAGTGAGCGCACTAAGGAGTCTTCCTTTAACATATCAGAGGCTGTATTTCCTCACTCTGGTATGAAATTGCTGAACAGTAACTTATCAAAAATATTCAGTTCTGTGTGGCATGAACGTATATTGCAGGTTCTTACCTCACTACGGCGTTTGACAATAGTGGCATGTGTGATAAGGTGGAGCCGCTCTCCTAGCACTGATGTCACTGCTGTTTACTGGAATGGGACAGGATCACTGCTACCAATCAGCTGTGCCAAAGCTTTGTACAACCAGCCATGATGGTTAGGGCTGATGGGAGTTGGAGTCCAACAACATCTGGCTACCTTTACATCAGAATCTTCTATCTTGCGCTAGTTTTGAGTTATTATATCTTTTCATTTCTGAAAGGACTGGGAGGTAACAAAAAGCAATATGGGCTTACCATCTCTGTTGAGCTGACTGGGTGGGATGTATGCTGGAATCCTTGCGGCCTGCACAGCCTTATCATATATTGGTTTGAACTCCTCTGGTAGCTCTGCGGTGCTGTTCTTCACATATTTAGTTACCCCAAGCCACATGTAGATTTCCAGTTTTGCAAAGATGTCACCACTCCGTGACCCTGGAACCTTTAAGCCCCCAAAAATATTTTTTTAGTTAAAATATGGTGAGGGCAAGAAGTGTTGATATAGTAAAAGCATGAAATAAATGATTAGGTCTGCTTCCACACATAAAGCAATGTTCTAAGTGTGTGTGGGGGTGTCAGTCTGGGTATTAAACATGGGTCTCTTCCAAACCTATGATCCTGTGTATGTGAAATTAGAATCTATGAGAGAAAACCTGCCATTTATGTGTCAAAAGAGGTTGCCCTGTTGCATAGGGAAAAAAGGATGGGCCTTTTCTCACCTCACCTGGCGGGATGCTATGCCACCCTAAGAGGGAGAGCAATAGGCCAAGTGGGGGTTTTGAGAGTGTGAGTTTGTGGCTGGTGCTGGAAGCTGGAGACACAGAGGCTTTATCTTGCTCTATGCTAGATCCCAAAGCTATGGCCTGGGGCTCTCCCTAGGAACCTAATGGGAGGCAAGAGCTGTGGTGCCCCTCTATCCTATGCTCAGGTTGTATATGTGTGTAAATATCACCATATATCCTAAAGATACTAGTCTCCAATGACCATTCCAATACAGTGGTACTTCGGGTTACATACACTTCAGGTTACATACACTTCAGGTTACAGACTCCGCTAACCCAGAAATAGTACCTTGGGTTAAGAACTTTGCTTCAGGATGAGAACAGAAATCGTGCTCCGGCAGCGTGGCAGCAGCAGGAGGCCCCATTAGCTAAAGTGGTGCTTCAGGTTAAGAACAGTTTCAGGTTAAGAACGGACCTCCAGAACAAATTAACCCGTGGTACCACTGTAGCACTGTATCAGGAATTTTAAGAAATGTTTTGTTTTGTTTTGTTTTTATATGTGGTGGAAGCTGCTCAGAGTGGCTGGGGAAACCCAGACAGATGTGAGGGGTATAAATAATCATGTTGTTGTTGTTGTTGTTGTTATTGTTGTTGTTGTTGTTGTTCCAAGGAAACTGAACCATTGGTAAGTAAGTACTGGAATCCCTAGAGCCTCTTGCTGCTTGGAGGGTCAGGTGCATGCAATAAAATTTAATGAGCAAAAATGGTGAGCACCCACCTTGAGAAAGACCGTTTGTATCTTGGCACAGTCCTTGCCTTTCTCCTCTTCTACCACTGCATAAAGGATGTGTTGGGCAGGGATCCGAGTGTATGCGACACGCTTGTTGTTGCTAAACATCCAGATCAGGACATCAGGGATAGGACATTGGGGCTAGGGGCAGGAATGAGAGGGAAAGCTGAAATAAAACTAGCTTAACTTTTTTTTTTTAAGTGCAAACATTCTTTTTCCTTATCTATGGGGAGGAAGAGTTGAGTTTTTGTTTTTTGTTTTTAAATGGAACTTTTGGTTTGAGACCAAGAAGTGAAGGAAGGTGTGATTCATGGGCGTAGGCAACAGATGTAGAGACCAGAGTGGGAGCTCAGCTTCTTCGAATTCATCTCAACCCTTGATCCTTTCATGCACCATCCATACACCTTTTGGTTTGGAAAACATCACACTGAATTTCTCACATGCACTCATATTTCTCCCCACCCCACTACCAAAAGGACCAGAAACCTGTTTGCTTTCTTCTTTCAAAACATAAACAGAAATTCTAAGGATTCTAGGGTATTACTAGAATATCATGCTCTCTGGTGCAGTGTTTCCTTTCTCAGTTGCTTGAGCTACCCAGCTTTTAATGTATAAAGTATAGGAGCTCCCAAACCTGATTGCATTCCCACACCTGCAATTACATACCTCTTTAGCCAGGAAGCGCAGCTTTGACAATATTATCTTTGTCTCATTTACTTTCTCCTTGACATTGGTGCGAGTCAGGCGCCTTCTTATGCGCATCCCCTGTTTTGCATATAGTATCTGAAGACAAAAAGATCACATCTTCTAACCATGAATTTAACCACATAGGGGACCAGGCTGAGAGGTCCCATCTTCTTTTTCCCTCCATCAAAAGGTGAATCCCTTCTTCTGCTCTCCCACACCTCCTTGCAAACTGCCCATAGCAGAGAATCTCCAAATTCTATAGCTCTAAGCTGTAGATTGCTGAGGAATTTGTGTTTTCATAAGTAGAAAGTACTAGTGTAATTTTAGAAATGTTTATTTCACTCAGAGAAAGGGCCTCTCTAGGTGGGATCACATATGACTGCCCCAATACCATCATGAGGACAAATCATAATTAATGCACAATTAAAAAAAAGACATCTGGAGGGGCCCTGAGTTTGAACTCGGGGATTGGAGCAGTAAGGGGAGAATAGTATGGGATGGAACAGTCAAGGCAGAATGCAGCAAGAGGAAGAAGGATGGAGGCCATGCACTGATACCAAGGGTTAAAAGGAAACAAAACAAGGAAGAGAGGCAGGATAAAGCACAGGAAAAAAATAAGCCACAGTGTTCAGAATAAGGAGGCAGTTATTCCTTGCTTGGAACTTTTTCAGGTCCTTTGATCAGGAGGTCCTTTGACAAGTAGACTCTACTTGTTAGAGAGACACATAGTTATGTTTTCAAGTAGGACCTGGCTGCAGCCTGATTATGTGGGGTTCCTATGATTTGCTTCTCCCTTGCAATATTTTTCTCAGCAAGTGCAATTAGTAGCTGTAAGTGGGGGGGAGTCTCCCTATGAATAATTAATTGCTACATGAATGGATGCCAATTGGTAATCTTGATCCACCTCACCAATGGGTTTCAAAGCCATGCACTGATCTGGGGAAACTCTGATAGCCACTGAACCTGGCAACACAATGAGGGTTCCATGTTTACATTGGGCTAGATGAAGGTCAGAGTATTTGTTGTCACATGGAACCTTCAGATTCCTTTCTGCTCCTCAAGAGTGCATGCACACAGCTTGATCACATGACTTACAATGTTTTGCGGGAGAGATTTCATCCGGCAACGATCAAGGTTGTTTGGACGGGCCATGGGCTTTTTGTCCACGTTAAGAGAATACTGCCTGGAATCAGAGAAGCTGTGAGTTCTGAGCTCATGACAGCAGCACACACATACCACACAGGCTGTAGCTACACATATCACATGAAAACATGAGCTGAATTTAATACAGGGTTGGGGACGATTCCGGTTCACTCTGCATTTTGGAGTGAACTTTCCCATTTCACCTCCCTTGGACCCATGCTTGAATCAAAATGCTGGCCTGTGAATTAAGCACCATAATCAACAGCCCAAACCACACATGGGTCTGTACTGTACCTACAAGATGGTCTGAGGGTTGCCTCTTTCTCCCTTTTAGCTTCTAGGATTTGTAGTTCTTGGACTCCAGGATATTATTTCAAGATGATTGCAATTATCTGTGGCTGAGGGAGCTAAAAAGCCAGCTTTATGTGAAAAGAAATCAAATATGTAGTACTAACCTACATCCAGCTACAAACTCCTCTAGCACCTGCCGAAGCCTCTCATCTGCCTTTGATCTTGGTCTCCTCAGGAGCTTCTCCACCTCTTCTAGTCCATGTTCCTGTTACGGCAAATACAATAATGATATCAGTCCCAGAAGCAACATGTATTCTCTTATGTTCTTGAAGTGTTCATTTATTACACTACATAATTGTGCTGAAGGGGGGAAATGATTAAAGCAAGCTGTTCTCACATGCATAAGCAGGAGGGATCTAGCTGGTCATTAACTTGTCCATTAAGTTATTCAACCCATACCTCTGGGTTTTCTCTCTGGCCAGATTTAAAAGAAAAGGGAGGTGCTTGCAGAAACCACTGGCCTAACTCACATTGCAGTTGTGGGCAATGCTTTGTAACAGCAATTAAAACAAGCCAAGAGCTAAATCAATTGGCAACTGCCACATTGCTAAAATATTGTTATGAGTTTACTATATGCATAGACTGTACTGTATGCAGTTACCCTCCCACCCACTGGGATCCTGCAAGTGTTAAAATATAAGCCAGGCTAGCTTCCTGTGTTGAAGTGATAGCCTGGATGATGAGCTATTAATGGAAACATAGGAAAGGAGCTCTGTGTGATACAGCAAATGGGTGTGGCCCCTCCCCAGCTCATAGTTAGTTTGGGGGGGGAAAGTCAGAGGTGATTTGCAATGATGTAACCTAGAAGGAAAGCAGCAAGCTGGAGAGAGAGCCAGAGCAATGTTTGATTTCTGTTTGAATCCAAAGCTGCAGCTATGGGAGAAGCAAGACCTTTTTGGGGTGCAGATGCAGTGAACCCCTTCACTGAAGACTAAGGTTGTAGATATGTGTAAATAAGCCATATATGATAAAGACACCACAGTCTCTGCTGTACCTCATTTCCAAAAGGAAACATGAATCCTGGGTAAGCGCCTGGAAACCCTGGAATCTTGCACCGCCCAGAGATGGGGGTGGGGAATACAAGTCAGTATAAAATCAACAGAGTTCAATAGAAAAGCTAAACGAAGCAGGGGGAAAAGATCTCCTTAAAAGTTGGAAGTGCAGGGACCATACATACTTCCTTCCATACATCCAAAGATAACAAAGCAAGTATCTCATATATAAGCAGCAAGGATGTCATCCTTCATCAGGAACAGAGCTGAGAGTACTCTGAATCTAATCTCAATCATGCTTTTTCTCAGTCCAGTTAAGGATGTGTGGTGCAAATAAAACAAGTATATCAGGGATTGACAGAGCCTTTAAAGGTAGAGCAATACTTTACCAAACGCTCTGCTATTTTGACAATCCAGTTGGAATTACAGAGTCTCCAGGTATAATCTTCCCAGTAGCTCCAAACATACACACAGGGCTTCTCATGCAGCATTGGCACGCAGCTGTAAGAGCTAAGAGCAGCAAACAGAGAAGTTTTACAAACCTTCTACTAATAGCTAACAACTGTCTGCATACCAGAGTTATACTCAGATATATAATACAGTGGTGCCCCGCAAGACGAATGCCTCGCAAGACGGAAAACCCGCTAGACGAAAGGGTTTTCCGTTTTTGAGTTGCTTCGCAGGACGAATTTCCCTATGGGCTTGCTTCGCAAGACGAAAATGTCTTGCGAGTCTTGAGATTGTTTTCGCTTTTCGCCCCTTTATCTAATCTGCTAAGCCTTTAATAGCCTTTAATAGCCTTTTAGCAGCTAATCCGCTAAGCCTTTAAGCCTTTAATAGCCGCTAAACCGCTAATAGCGCTAATCCGTTAAGCCGCTAATAGGGTTGCTTCGCAAGACGAAAAAACCGCTAGACGAAGACTCTCGCGGAACGGATTAATTTCGTCTTGCGAGGCACCACTGTATCAGTAAGGTAAAGGACCCCTGAATGGTTAAGTCCAGTCAAAGGTGACTATGGGGTGCGGCACTCATCTCGCTTCAGGCCGAGGGAGCTGGCGTTTGTTTGCAGACAGCTTTCTGGGTCATGTGGCTAGCATGACTAAACCGCTTCTGGCGCACGGAAATGCCATTTACCTTCCTGCTGCAGCAGTACCTATTTATCTACTCGCACTGGTATGCTTTCAAACTGCTAGGTTGGCAGGAGCTGGGACAGAGCAACGGGAGCTCAACCCGTCGCACGGATTTGAACTGCCAACCTTCTGATCAGCAAGCCCAAGAGGCTCAGTGGTTTAAACCACAGCACCACCCACTCCCTAATATCAGTAGGGGTGGCTTTACAGCATAAAGAACTGCTTTCCCCTTGATGTTTTCTTTCTTTAAAAAAAGCAGTGCCAAAGTACAGAAATATAGAAAGCTGTGTTTCTGCTACACAAATTTGACATAGATGAAAATCCATTCCACTTTCCCATGCCAAAATTAGATAGTAGCATTGAACAGTTCCTTACTGGATAATACAGTAATAATTAAAAGGCTTTTCCTTATAAAAGGCTTTATAAGAAGGGCTTATAAAGTTCTATGCAATAAGGAAGTTTGGGGAGATGATGCATGCAATGACATTGGGGGGCAAAACTTGTGAGTGTGTTTCTGTCCCCTTATACAGTTTTGCACTCAGGTGTTCAGACAAATGCCTCAACATAATTTTTTGAATGTATTACATTAGAAATGAATGAACGAACAAGAAGACACAAACAGGGCTAAGAGTATGAAGAATAATTACTTGTCATATTCAGTGGGTTCAGGTCTTAGGTTCTCAGTCATAGATTTATCAAGCAAAGGTGTACTTGGTGCTATGACTTCAATATCCAGCTCATCATCTGAACTGGGTTCCAGCAAAGGTTGCTTGTCTTCACTCTTTTCTCCCTTCTCATCTTTCTTGGAAATTTTGGTCATCACTTCTTCAGCTTTGCCATAGTTCCCTTGAAGATGAGTATAGTTATTCTTTATTCTCATTAACATTTCATATTTATAATGTTATATAATTATAAAAATAAATTGATAATATTTATAATATTATAAATATCTCTGGAGCATTAACAACTTGTGTTCATAACATGCATGCTCTAGTATATTGTAATCTATGGTCTGAGTTAGAGAGCCGGGAGAAATTCAAATCAGTTTGTAGTAAAAGCTAAACCTATCAAATTCACACTCATATGAGAACCAATACACAGCTTTCCTTAAAAATCCTTACTTCTCCGAGTTTTGCGATGCAGTTCTCCAACCAAACACCGCTTACAAAAAATGCATATATTGGGGAAAACTGCATAAAAATCAAGATCTTCGTGAAAGTAGCATGCATTAAGTTAGGGGAATTTTTTTTTTTTTGCAAAAAAAATGTACATTAAAACGGCTTAGAAAGATGTGTTTATTAGGATAAATTCACATGAAAATACTGATGAATTTCCATGAGGATTTTAAAAATAAATAAACAAATAAGTCTGCAAATTGCTGAAAAATGTGGATAGATTAATAATTCTGGAAAAATTAGAAACTGAGAAAACTCAAACTGACAGTTCCTTCCATCCCTCATCTGAGTAAAAGCAATGAGTTCCCATTTTCCTAGACTGTTCTCTTGCTTGTACTTACAGTGAACAAACACCTGCATGGGTAACCAAAAGCTTCCACTTTCTCAGGTACTTTAAGAGCAATGACAGTGAAGGCAGAGGCAAACAGGGCCAACTACGTGTGGAGATAATCCACTGGGGACATTTTCCAAGCCATTTTGCGAGTTCTAATCCTTAAGCAAAATGTGCCAGGCTGCAAACCTGGCCAATTTCACTGTGGCCTATTGCAGACAAGGCTGCATATTTGGTGTAGTTGCAGAGCTAAGCGTACAAGGTAGTCACAAAGAGAGGGGCATTTATATAAGAGAATACGAGAATAGAAAGTGTGAGAGAGAAACAAAAAAGGAGACGCATAGGGAAGAAACTGTTTTAAAGTGAACACAAGTCTATGTCAAATTTACCTATGGAGATCTCAAACTTCACAGGCTTGCTACCTATTGCTGGCTCCATCATAGTCACCTCAAAGAAGGAGGCAAAGAGAAGGAATTCTTCTTTCACGCCCAGGGCATTCTGAACAACAACAAAGAAATTTAGTTTCAAAACAGCCTAGCTTTACAATATTGACCTCCTCAAATAATAATTCAGAAAACTAACTTGTGGATAAATCCAAGTACTAATTTGTGATGGCTGCTAAACATTGACACCAATTCAGGCTTCACACATCTATTGCTTGTATTGCAAGTTTATTCATGGCCTATTCATAGCCCCTTTGGGCTGGGCTCTAAAGAGAGACTCATAGTAGGGTTTCTCTTCGTCCAACAGAAGGCTGGGTGGGGAAAACTGGAAGCTGGATTCTAACTGAAGAGACAAGGCAAAGTTAATTCACTGTGTCTTAATACAACACACTAATCTTAATACAAATTCCACCCAAGACAAACAAGGGCAAACAGCTGTGGGGTTCCATAGGTGATTAGATTAATGACTGGCTGGCTCAGCTCCGTTTCTGTTTTACAGGTCAGTATATGGATGATATCATCTTGGGAGGAAGATGTGAATATTGGAGAAATAAGTCAACCACTTGATCTAGAGTTCTGAGTGCAAAAGAATACTCATGCAGAAGTCGATGCATTAGATGATCTGTCTTCCTTATATGTAAAGGATGCAAGTGCCTGTGAAGGCCAGAATATTCTGGGACCCATATGACACTTTCTTCTGCACATGGGACTTAAGCAGCAACTAGTGGTAGCCACAGACACACAAAGCAACAGAGGCATTTATCCTGTCCTTAGTCCCATTAACCCCACATCTGAAATCTGTCATACAAGACAGCTCAATTGTTTGTTTGATCCAAAAGTAGGGTTGCCACCCATCCCTTAAAATACAGGTTTTTCCCATTTAGGTGGCACAGAGTCCCTTGCCTGTTTGTCCGCCTGTTTGTCCAATTTTTGAAGCCATCATCTTCCATGAAAATAATAAATCGTCATTTGTTCACTCCCCCTAACCTGCTTGTTTGGTGCAGCCTAATTTGCTAGGCATCTCGGAAGCTGAGCCTGCCGTCTGGTTAATTGACATTCCAGGCTCAAGCCAATGGCTCAAAGAGAATGAGGGAAACGTTTGCTGGAGCCTAAGTCTATAGTTTCAAAGGTCTGTAGCTGTTTTTATTAAAAGAAAAAAGAAAAACTTCCTTGGAACTGTAAGTCAGGCAACCTACTATATTTACTTATTTCATAAAATGTTATTAGATTTGCAGCCAGACCAGGAAGGGAAGGCTCTATGACATGGGTGTGGTGCTTTTCTCATTTCATTTGTCCTTTTCACTGTGATAGAGCAGGTCAGAGCTCTTTGTCCTTATCTATATAATTCTGTTGTATAATCACCATCTCTACCTGCTCACTGTTCCCATTGCAAACACTGTATGAATTGTAAAGTGCTGCATAGTTACTGTAAAAGCACATGTGTACCAAACACTTTCCTTTCCTCCACAGAGTCTAAGGGGAGCGTTATCTGCTAGATCAGGGATGGGGAAACCTTTGGTCCTTCAGATGTTGTTGAACTATCATTGACTATGCTGGCTAGAGCAGCTTTGAGCTGGAGTCAAACATCTGGAGGGGCAACATATTTGCTTAAGCGTCTTGAAACAATTTATCACAACTCTTTAAATTTGAAATGTGAAAGAGATGCTTACAATTTCAAGATTTCAGAATTTCAACTTAGTACCTACCTTGCAACATAGTACCTTTGTCTTACATAGTGCCTTTGTAAGAGACAATTATATTACTTTTGTAGCTGTCCAGGAAAGGTTTCATCTCTATTCTGGAATTCACATATATGTGTGTATAGAAGAAGGCAATGCACACAGCCAGAGCTTTGCTTTAAGATCTAAATATGAGACTTACCTCTGGGAGAGGATGGAGGTCCTCTACCTCCACAATCACCTCACTTGGCTGGTCAGACTCCTCCAGGACGTCACCCTCAGCTTGGCTTCGTTGCTGCTCTTTGACAGAAGCTTTGGATTTCTCCTTGGCCTTTTTGCTCTTTTTCTTCAGCTTCAGCTTACTTAGGGCACCTTTGAGAGCTTCCACAGGCTTTTTCTCTGCTGCCTGGATAGTGCTAAAGATCTCCACACTAATGGCCATGAGAAGACGCCCGCGATAGAATATGCCTTCACCCAGACCTTCATTGAGATCTTTGTGTACATCTCGCAGGGCAGAATTCTTGGGTGATCCATATAAATTCACCCAGGTTGGGCCAAAGGTGGGATTAAAGCCTGTGGGAAAAGACATTTCTGAATTTACTGTTATTTGGTTCAGAATTTCACACATGTCATTCCCCACTACGGATCAGAGCAGAGCAGAGCAGAGCAGAGACTCTTGGTGACCCTCCTAGATACTGGCTATAACCAAACAGAATTCAGCAGGAATGACTGTGGCCATATCCCATGGATTGCCTACGTACCATACACGTAAAGCGCACACACCCAAATCTTGGAAACTGTAGTTTGTTAAGGGTGCTGGGAATTACAGTTCTGTGAGGGGTAAACTATAGTTCCCATGATTATTTGCGGGTATATGCTTTAAAAGTGCTCTAACTGTATTGTGTACATGCAGCCTTAGATTTGGGTGCCCATCAGATCTCCCCTACTTGTGATTCTACACACACAAAGATGGACATATTTGCATACCCGGCCAGCTGAGCTGTAGTAGATAAATTAATATTTATTATATGCTTGTATGTATTCCATCCTTCAAATATATTCCCTGGACAGGTAGCTCAGAAGATAAGATTAAAGATATAATCAATTTAAAAAAAAACAAAAAACACTCCAGACAAATAGGCAATGAGTGAAAGAATCATTTGAACATTCAGAAGTGCCTGCTGCTCTGAGGGGGCTCACCATTTCTGCCAGGGTCAGATATTTGCTGCAGATCAATAAAGTGTGTGGCAAGGGCAACATCTCCAATGTTGGCATCATCCAACATTTGGACTTTTATTTTTCTGACAAGAGGCGGGAACATTTCAATGAAGCTGATCTGTTCATTCCACACTGGTTCTGTGGTACTGCTTTCAACCGAAGTTTCTCCCTGAACCAAAGAAATGAATCAAGATTGCATGCAAGGGAAAACAATAGAAGTTTCCACTTTGAAACAACACAACATTAATTTTCCATTCATAATAACGTGTGGACATCCAATGAGGTGAATGTTGGAAGATTCAGGACAGATTTTTGAAAGCACTTCTTCACACAGCACATATTTAAACTATGGAACTTACTCGAACAGGAAGTAGTGATGGCCACCAACTTGGATGGTTTAAAAAAGGATTAGGCAAAGTAATGGAGGAGAAGGTTGTCTCTCTAATCAGTTTTCTAATCAGCTTCCTACATTCTTAGTACATACCCTCTCTCTACTATGATGCATTAGAAAAGCATTTGTTCAAGTTACATAGACTGGACTGTTGTGAGCCACAGAACAAAGAACCAAACATTTCACAGAAATCAGTTGCTCAAGCTTAAACTTACCTGCTGACCAGAAAAAACAACTTGCACATATGGATCAATGAAGACTTTCTTCTCACCCACAATCTTTGAAAAACCACCCATGATTCCTGCACTCATGCTGGGCAGACCCTCTGCCTTGTACATTTTGATGCAGAATTTCGCCCATGGCCTTTCAGCTGGGACTCTTTTAGGCAGCAGCAAGTTCCTGAAAGAAATATATTTGAGCTCTAAATAGTGTTCACAGCTCCTAGAAAACCAGAGGCTAACTAAAATTGAAAGAAAGGAGATCACTGAATCAGAACAATGGCTAATTCCATCAGTTCTCTAATCTTGAGTAACATTAGCTATCAATCCCTTGCCAATCCTTTGGGAGAACACACTACATACCTCTCCATAACACAAACTTACTTTTCAATGTCTTCATTCTGACTTGTTGAGGTAGTGGGAAGGGAACTCATTACATCCCCCCGTGCAATGACAGAAATGTTGCATTTCACAAAGCCTTTGACTCCTGCCCTGGTGTCCTTGGGGTCATGAATAACAGCCCACTTCTGGTAAAATCTGTGATCTAAAAAGGACATAAAGGGAGAATATCTGATTTACAATTTTCTTGGATCCAATACATATTATGATGACAACTTCCATCACAAGTTCAAAGCCTCAGAGAAAAGCCAGCAGAGTTGTATTATCCTCACAAAGTACCAGGGAAGACACTTAGCAAGCAAAAATCAATATCCATTCCCTGAAACCAACAGAGCTCTGCAGATTTACGGGAGGTTATGCACAGGAAAGATGAGCTTTACTGAGGTCTTTCCATGGGCACGGTAGAAATTCCATGGAGCTTTCAGTTTTGATGAGGCAACACTTTGCACAATAAGGCTCATATATCCCCTGAAGAGTCAGAATCCTGGCCAAGAGGGCTGTAGAGGGTTCAGAATCATGAGCGCTGGAGGCAGAGCCAAGTTAGCCCTACCATAGAGCAAAGTAAGATTGGCTGTCACAGACAACAAATGCTGCATACACTCCAACATTTCTCTGATGAAAATAGGGGCATTCCATTCCATGATGATAACCTGGGCAGCTTCCAACATATAAAAATAATATTAAAACATTTTTGAAAGTCCCTACACAGGATTGCCTTCAGACCGCTTGGGGGTTGAATAACTCCATTTGCTCCAATGCAAATAGGGACAACCTAAGGAAAAGTTGGACATTCTGGGGTCAAATCAGAAACCAGGGTGGCTTGTCTAAATCAGGGACATCGCTGGAAAATAGGGACACTTGGAGGGTCTGTTGGAGGTCAGAGTTGTGTGAGCTATGCAGCCCTGCACCCTCCTCCCCACTTGCAAGTCTGCTACCCTTCACCAATGTTCAAGGAAGATTCAGCTGCTGCCAGTCTGGTTGCCTTTTGTACATGGAATAGGGAAAGGCACAATGTTATCCTTAGTTTTCAGCAAAAATGTATCAGGGCTGCCTTGACTAGGCAGATGAAAACCCATTTTACAATGTTCTCATTCATTACTTAATTGTAAATTATGTTGTTGTGAAAGAAAGAGTTCAAAATAGACCATAATGCAAGGGCAACTCATATCATAGGCTCAAAGCAGATAATGGAAAAGGAAATCAAGAATCACTTCCAAGTACTGTACCTGGCTGGTTGTATATAGTCGCTAGATCAACCTTGAATATCCCTATGAGTGCACCTAAGAATCGGATCTTCTTTGAATGGAAGACCTGCACAGTAATACAAACCACTTTCTCAGTATTGCCAAAAGGTGTGCAGAACGTGTTTAATGCTACAGTAGTAGCCCTCTATCAGCAGTGGTGGAGGGAACTGAGCTAATAGAATTGTTCGGTGGTTCCAAAGGATAGGGGGAGTGGCAAAAAAATGGCCAAGTTAAACTGTACTATATGAAACAGAGACAAGTTTAAAGGATGAGGGGTGTATTTCAATGTTGTCAGTCTTCGCTAATCTTGTGTTATAAGTCTACAAATAAATTGTAAAGCTATTTTTATCAACAATGGTATGATTTGTCTGGTGCTTCTTTTCAATTTAGAAGTTTAATCAAATTATTTTTCCTTCTGGCAATGTCAGGATGTTAAATATTAATAAAGTATTTGAAACAGAGTGTGGAACACATATGTATGTCGTTTATAAAAGCAGCCTCTATTTCAGCATTCCAGAGGACAGATACGAGGCATCGTCACACAGATGATCAAACCGTCCCATGGAGATGTTGCAAGGTTGGGATGTTGCAAGGATTTTACAAGGCAACCAGCTCATCTCTTCCACCCAATATAGAATGCATTAGAAAACTGTTTCCTAGGTACTTAGAATTCCTACCTCCTAGGACCAAGGCAGCCCAGTATAGCTGAGGTTCAGATTACTTTAGCTGCTCCTTCAAATTTCTCCTAGAACACACCATTTTCACTGGACATTTGGCTTAACCCATGAATCCTCATTTTCAGCCATAACAAAACTTTGGTGCACATAATTACATTTTATCTCATTTGTCCCTCTCCCACCCCTTTGTTTGTTGTCTCTCGCACTTCTAGATTGCATGCTCATTGCAGGGAGGGACCTCTCTGATCCTCCTGCAAAGTGCCACCTACACTTAAGGCACTATAAAATATCATGAACAAAAATAGTACAGTAATGCCTACATTGGTTTGGATTGTAATGGTTTCCACTGAGGCAGTCATTCTTATGAAACTAAGAATCAGCAAAACTTTGGAAAAAGAGGAAGGAAACCTAAAGCAGAGGCATGGCTTAGTATCCCACCTATTTTGTTATGGTTCTTAGCACCCATGTTGCTATGCAATAGGCTCATGTTAGCTCTCTCCCCATAACAGTGACCCACAATGGCTGATACTTACAGAAATCTCTATGAGTCTGTGGAACAAAACATCTCTCGGTTCATGGAATTCAAATGTAAAATACTGGAAGGGAAAGGTGAAGAATTCTGACTCATGAGTGCTATCATATTCCAAGGACCACAGTTGTGCCCCCCCCCCCATGAGATGCTTTATTTAAAGCAGGGGTCATAAAACTTTTTCATCCCATGTGCAAATTTGCAAACTGGGGAAGCTGCCATGAGCAACACGCAAGCACTGCAACCATCCGCATACTGAAGCCATTCACACCTGCACACTTTACAGCCACACATATATGCACACATGGCATAAGGTAAAGGGACCCCTGACCGTTAGGTCCAGTCGTGGACGACTCTGGGGTTGTGGCTCTCATCTCACTTTACTGGCTGAGGGAGCCAGCATACAGCTTCTGGGTCATGTGGCCAGCATGACTAAGCCGCTTCTGGTGAACCAGAGCAGCGCATGGAAACACCGTTTACCTTCCCGCCGGAGCAGTACCTATTTATCCGCTTGCACTGTGTGCTTTCAAACTACTAGGTTGGCAGGAGCAGGGACCGAGCAAAGGGAGCTCACCCCGTCACGGGGATTCAAACCACTGACCTTCTGTTTAACCCACAGCGCCACATGGCATACACACATGCATTTGCTGCAATCTTGCACACACCAGTCACAACAATGCGCATACCAGCAATTAGGCTTGACAAAAGTGTTTTTGCTTCCCGCCCCCCTCCAAGTTTAACTGAAGGCAGAAGGTGGTATTCCTGGAGAAGACACCCTTCCCTCCCCAACTGCAACCCCTCCATCATCCCTCTTCCATTGTAATTAGGCCTGGGGGAAAACATTCTATTGTAGTCAACAGAGGACCTCTTGTGTGGGAGGCATTTTGAGTCAGGAGGCTCACAACTGGGGGGCGGTCACCATTAACTCACCCTTCCCTATTTGAGACCCCCCTGCTGAAAATGTTCCCCACCCCCACAGTTAGGCTTCATTGAAACTTTTTGGCTACAATAAGTTTGGCAGCCACTTCTCTAAACTTTTGAACCCATACCCAGCCCACCTCACTGAACCCTTCCCTCCACCCATCAGTTGGCATTGCCCAGTGAAGAGAGCTGATTGACAAGTGGTTATGGTTTGGGGGGAAATGGCCTCACAGGGGAAACTGGACGTGGCAGGGCAAGATTCGTCCATAGGCCAGAGGTTCCCCACTCATGCTCTACAGAGGTGCATAAGCGTAGAACTTTCTCACATGTTGCGAAATTTCTGTACAGAAAGCACTCTCCCGAAGGAATAAATGGTTGACCCACATGCTGATAATCCAATAGGTGATCATGAAGACAGGGTAATTTGATTTATATACTCCTGGCCTCCACGTGCTAGTAGGCTGCAGCAAAATTTTAGCAACTGTACACAGAACCATTACTCAAGTGTGCAGCTGCCAACCTTGATAATTTAGTTATGACTTGCATGTTAATGCAACATCTTTTGTGGCATATGCAAGAGCATGCGAGTCTTTTGAGAGAAGTTTGCAGCCTGCAGTCAGCTGCCTAACAGTGGCCAGGATATGTACAAAACTAGAAGTTCTGAGTGGTGGAGTCATGGAATCTTGCCTGTACATTACATACCTCATTGTAAAAGGGACAGTTGGTTGACTTTTGTGTTGCTGTGCGTCTCTTCTCATCTCCGATTTTCACAACTACAAAAGGGTCAATATTCACTCCTACCAATTTCTGGGCTTCAATAATGTTTATGCCAATCTGTGGAGACAATACACTTTCTAGGATCAGTCTGAGGATGTCATCATTATGGGAGATGGAATTAAATAAGAGGAAGGAGAAAATTGCTTGTTTCAAAGGCGCAGGTGTCTGAGTTTTTTCACAAGTTACTGGTATGTCAGGGTCACTTGGGAATTTTCTTTCAATCTGCAGGCAGAGATGGGGAATCCATGGCCCTCCAGATGTTGTTGGAATCCAACTCCCACCAGCCCCAGGCAGCACGGCTAATGGTCAGGGATGATGGGAGTTGTAGTTCATCATCAAGAGGGGCACAGGTTCCCCCACTCCTGATCTAACATGTCCTGGGCTAGTCTAATAGGAGTTTGATAACTTGGGAATAGTCCCATAAAATATCACATGCCCTCCCAGAAATCTTAAGGCAATATAAACATTCCCTTAAACCAGTGGTTCTTAAAGAGTGTGGCATGACACACTGGTGTGGCAGGAGAAAATGGCAAGTGTGGCCACAAAATTCAAGGGCATTTGAACAATTCATTTCTGTTGTTGAGGAAATGAGAGTTTATCTCAGATTAGACCTAATATAAATGAGGTTTAGACCCGGCAAAAGCAAATTCACATCTCTCATTGAGTTTGTATACATACTTAAGGTACATACAGTATATCAGAGGCACATTTATAATTGTATTTTGGGAATGGTTCATGTTCTTTTGTAGCTGCAATATTTTATACTTTCTGGATGTCCTATGATCATATTATAAAATAGTTGTGTTCTATCTTATAAATCAAGCACTGCTGGGAGTTTTCTTTTTGTTTTCCAATGTATTTCCTACCAATACAAAATTTGATGTGGTATGAGCATATTTTTATTCTGAAAGTGTGGCCTCGATATATATATATATATTTTAAAAAGTTTGAGAGCCACTGCCTTAAATAGTTTACACAAGAAGACTGGCAAGTATAGTACCTGGAAGTTCTGTGGTCTAGGAGTAGCATACAAGTCCCATTTGGAAAAGACCCTAGAACGGCTGCAATGGAAAGAAAACACTGATTAAACACTTCAGCAAAGCCATTCTCTGTAAACCATTACTTTATTTTGGGGGTAAATAAGTAAAACTTTTAGTTTGATCTGTGACCCTTGTTAACATAATTTAAAAGGGAAGGATAATAGAAGAAAACGAAATGTTGACTTCAAATCAAATGCTTTTTATTGTCATCGCTCTCTCAACAGAAATTCAGCAAAGCACTTTCCGCTTTAACTTTTAAACATTTCTGTGCCCTCATTTTGTATTTTTATGTTATGAACCACCTTGTAATCTTCGGATGAAAAGCAGTGTACAAATTTAGTAAATAATACTAATCAGGTTTATGCAGACAATTAAGAATCTGTAATAATATGCAGACAATTAAGAATTTGGAATAAGTGATTATCTGTAATAATCACTTATTCCAATTTTTTTAGTGGTATTCTAGATGCTCCTTGGGGTTCCTTCCAACTATGAAATATGCTGTTCCTGTTGATAAATGATGAAAGACCCTCACATAGCACATACACACTGTTCTGAAAGGTACACTGTGCTTAACACCAGGTTCCTTTTTTGAAGGGATATCAAATACGGTAGCTATGTAATGACGTGCCAAGCTAGCTAGACAGACCCTTTTGTGTTAAAGTGCTTTCAGAAAAGTACCTCTTGACAGGAGTGAAGACAATGCCGGAGAACTCCATGTCAGACACATCATAATAATCATCCTCATCATCATCAGTCTCCAAGCCTTTGACAAGTTTCCTGCCAAGTACTGCAGCCTTCCTATCCAGATCAGCAGCTCGCTTCACTTCATCAGGGCTGCAACAAACACAAGCTCATGCTACATGCAAAGGAAACTTTAAGAAGCACAAGATATATGCAGTTCCTACAGCATCACATCTATCAGCCTCTAAAGCTTTAAAAAAATTTTATCTATATCATTCATGACCAAAACTGAGCATCTAGTTCTTCCCTTTTTATTCATTTTTATCATCATAATCAATAACAACACAATCCACTCCAAGTTAATCAATTTTAATCAATTATTACAGTGTCAGAGGTTTAAGGATGCCTTCTTTTCCTCTCAATCTATAAGACATAATAATGCTTAACTATGGCTAGACCTGGAGCCCCCCCCCCGCTTTCCCATGAAACAAAGCAAAAGAAACGCAAACCAACTAAAAACAGCATACAGAATATAAAAGCAGTTTAAATCAACCCAATGTTGAAACAACACAATGAAACATCCAAAGTTGTGCAGAGACAAAACATACTATAACTCTGAGTTTCTGGAGCAAAATATTTTCATATTGTGGGTCCTTCTGTTGCTTGTGTATTCCATCACAGGCCCATTGCAAGCACTCTTTGCCCACTATGTGTCATATCACAACTATGCTTGGCATTGCTACACTGCATCTAGCAAATATGGTAAGTCACCAACTTTGCAGTGTTGATCTCCCAGTGCTATCCTGTTGTAGTGCCCCAAGCTGACTCACAATGCAAGTGCAATGCCCCAACTCAAGGGCTTTCCATCCCTGATTGCTGGCAGGGCGTGCGGACGGGCATGCAGAGGGGGGGTGCGCACCAAGGGTGGGTGGGAAACGCAAAACTCACCCACTGGAGCCTGCCGGAAGCGCCTGACTCTCTCCCGTGCCGGATCATCGCAGCATTGGAGATGGGCGGTGGCAGCGCCTCTCTGATGCTTCCAAGCTGTGTGTGATGGCAGCATCTGAGAGGGGCAGCGCCACCACCTCTCTGACGCTTTCGCCCCTGGGTCAGGCCTGACTTGGGAGTGGAGCAGCTACCGCCCACACCCCAGCCACGAAGGTCAGCCTGGGCACGGCTTCATTCCATAAGGGAACTATAGTGGTTGTGCCCCCTCAAAAAATGCACCCAGGGCAACGGCCCCCTCCCAGCCCCCCATGCTGCACCACTGCCCCAACTTGTGGTTTTGAACCAGTGCATAAAAGCTTTTGTATTTGATCGAGTAACTCAGAATATCAGGTTATAAAATGGAATAGGACACTTACTCCAGCTCCTCAAATCCAGGGTTGCGGATTATAACCTCTGAGCTATATTAAACAGGGGGAGAAAAGGAATAATGACAAGCATGCACCGACTGCAGAAAATAGCTCTCTATCCAATTTAACCTTTCTTGGGTTATTTCCATAATAGGGCCCTTTATACCTGCTGAGGGTTTAAATTTCTGCAGTTAACTAGAAGCTGAATAATGACTATGAGTACACACACAGTTTAAACTGTTGCTCTAGTCTATTTCCCAGTTGGGACAGGGGCGTCATAAACAAGATATTTAAAAAGAAAGGATGTCAACAGTGAAAACCCTGGAATGCAATTGTTTTGTCTCCACTCTCTGGAAAACCTGAGTGAGTGAATGATATCAATGTTGGCTGCACTGACTGGTGAATCTTCTTAATGGGTTGCAGTCTCTCTTGGCCTAACATTTCATACCAACAGAGTGATTCTGATGGCAATCAGAACCCCTCAGATTAGTGGTTGAGAGAGGCCAGTTATGGTGCAATTACTTCCAAAGCAACATTATGAGTAATATGCTTAACTGTGACAATTTCTCTTTCATGCCTCAAAACCCACATTGCCTGGGGCTAGTCATTCATTTTGCACTTGCATGAGCCCTGTATGTGCTGAAATCTTATCTTTGCTGATCTTACATTTCTGTGCTTGTTGTAGAAATGCTTTGAAATCTCCTAACAGGGGAGAGTACGGTGGAGACATACCTGTAGGAATGCTGATTGAATAGCAGACATCTAAGTCTGTGCTTTAAAACTAAGGGTATAATCTAAACTCCCCCCTCCCACTGGTGGGACTTTGTGGAGCAGTGGAACCACTCCCACATTTGTAACCCTGCTGGTTTCAGCAAATATGGGGAGGATGATCAAAGTGGATGCCATCTTTCTGGCTATAAACTGGCTCCCAGGCAAGCTCAGTCCAGCTCTAGCCTTTCTCAGCCCTTGGAACACCCATTTTGGGATTCTGCCAGCTGTTGGTAGGGATCCTGCCCACCTGTTTGGTAACTAGGAGGAGGCTGACTGAGCTAGGTTTCCTGAGTGGAAGGACACTTCTGCCTAGTCCTACCTTCTGCCCAGTGTAATTTTCTTCTCACATTATATCCAGTACCTGTCTTTCATCTGATAGACAAAATCTTCTTCAGCCCATGTTCCTGCGGCTCCATCAGGAGGCTGGTATCGCAGATCTAGTTCAATATATATCTATATGGGAAAGGCAAACCATAGGAAGACCACAACTGTTATAAGGCAGCTGGCTTGGGGAGGTTTTTTGCCCTGAAATACAGGATGTAAATTGGTATGGACAGTGGTTTTTTTTCTTTAAAAAAATGTTTAGGGGTACTCTCATTTTGACTCAGGAAAAACACCATTTTACAGATCAAATAAGGAAAAATAAATACAGTAAATGGACAAAAGTACAAAGATTCACAAAATATTTAGGAGTATGCATCCCCCTGCATCCCCCCCATAAAACAAGTATTGGGTATGGATAAATGCATGCATGAAATATGTAAGAATATTTTAAAACAGAAGAGAATATAGTAAATGCACATACAAAAGTAAGTAAAAAATAACAGTGAGCTAAATTAAGTGGAGGCCTAGTATCTCAGCCTAACCCACCTCGCAGGACAGTTGTGAGGTAGGGACCATGTATGCTGTTCTGAGCTCTTTGGAGGAATGGCGGAATTAAACATATAATAAATGGACCATTTTTTGTGCATGCCCAAAACCAAAATCTAAGAATGTTAGCAATGGAAGATGTCTGCAGAAATAATCTTCCATAACTCATGTAGGATCTCTTTCGAGGAAATAGGAGCCTAACACGTATTAAGTGCTTTGTCAAGTTAGCTGTGGCACTCAAAAGCCAGCTCACTGGTGCTTTTCAAGTGTCCCTGGGCATAGCCAGGATTTTTGTTGGGGGGGCAGAACATTTGTTAGGGGGCAGAACTGATGTGATTGGTCAGTTAGTTAAGTATTTCTATTGTTTTACTTGAACTGGGGGGTGTGCAGTTGCCCCCCCCAGCCCCACCCTTGGCTACACCCATGCAAGTATCCCAGTATTCTGATGATAGTCAAACTACTTACACCTGTGATGCTGTGGTTTTTGTCAACCAGAGCCTCTCTGATGTTTAGTCGTCCAGATGTTACTAAGTGCTGAAGGCTTATAACTAAGGAACCAAGTAATCTACAATGAAAGAATAAGCAATGTTGAAACAGAGTACTAATGTATGCTGGGGGATGATGAGACATGAATAGAAACATATCGGTGTGAGCTGGTAATTCTGCATCATGGGTAGCCAGTGCGGTACCCTCCAGATGCTATTGGACATCAACCCCATCCAGCATGACCAACAGTCAGGGAATCAGGGATGTGGAGCTCAGCAGTCCAGCAACATCTGACTATTCCTATTCCACCCATTGAAAAGACTGAGGAAGACTACATTTCTTTGTGCGCAGGCAGGCATGTATACACATACGACCGTTAGGGTACCCAGGTATCAGCCAAGAGATCATGGATATATCTTTAACAGGTTAAAAGCACTTGAGTCTCCTGCACTTGTGCCACTGCTTCTCCGGTCCCTTTACTGTTTCTCTTGCTGTTTTGGAATGTTTAAGGGTGTCTGAGTTGAAGTGCTGGGACAGGAGAAAGGTTAGACTACCATGTGAGCCCTTTTTCTCCCCTGCTTATAATGGACCCCCTAGGAATGCACCTTTTGCCGTGCACTGGTGGGTGTTGAATTCAGGCAGCGGCCATTTTACACGCATCCAATTGACACGTGACCACTGACCTCTGGGTCCTTTTGTCCTGGAAGAGGGCAGAATGGGAGGCAGAATAGGGTGCAGTGGGTGGGGCGTAACGGGCTGTCATGGGGCAGGGCAGGGCAGGCTTATGCATGCTCTGTCGATGCATGGGGAGGGGGGGCAAGGAACAGAACCCCTGCTCAAAATGGTTGCCATTTGTACAAGCAAAGGAGTAGTGTTTGAAATCTTAACCAGTTCTAATGCTCGCACAACTTGATTGCCTTGCAATTGTTCAGTGGCAATGTTTCTCAACAATGTCCACTTATGTACCTGCCATTGAACCTCCCACACCCTGGTGACTTCACAAAATGTGATCCCATATTGACATTTGACCTCTCTGGGGTGGCTGCCTGTATGTGTCAAAGCATGAGTATTTGGCTGTAGGCAAAGAAGAGGGTGGATATGGATTAGGGATTCATCAGGTCAGTTTAGAACCCACCATCTGCTTCAGTTGAGCTCTGATTTAGACAACTCACAATACTCCTGCATCCAAATCACCAAAATTTAATTCTGTTGATATTTAAGTCAAGGGCATATATTTTAAATCCACTTAACCCAGTTGTGCCATCCAGAGTCCACTGGAAGGTCATAAAGTCATAAAGAACACAATTTGCCTGAGGCAAAGTACAGCAACAAGACCTTCCCAATGGAGGCATGTGTTGATTTCTGTGAAATTTGTGAAATGGACACATACATTGGTGACATCAGCCAGGCTTGTTGCCCTAAGCCTAAATCTAGCTAGTGCCTCATAGTCACCTGCTTGAAATAAATATGAACTTACCTATTACTGAATACCTTACTGCAGTTGTAAACTTTAACAATCAGCATCTCTTCCATAATCAGCTTTCCATAGTGTGGCCAGCGAAAAAGCTAAAAAGAAAAGACGAGCAGCAGAATTCAGGGTGGGCTTCTGGAGCTCCTGAAGAGCCCACTTCCCGAGTTCTTTATGGCATATACCAGCCTTCACCAACCTGGTGCCCTCCAGATATTTTGGACTATAACTCCCACCAGCCCCAGCCATGTTGTTGAGGCAAGTCATCCGAAACATCTGGAGGGTAGTGAGGGCTGTCATATATAGTTAGATGGGTACCAAGGTATAGGGTATCTTAAAACAACACATGAGAGTAAGGCAGTCATCACATCTTTTGAGTCACAGAACTTCACACATTAAACAATGGTGAGAGAAGGCTTGTCATCACTTTCTCTTATTGCTCAGTAACCTATCTTAATATACTGGGGAAATTATAACAATATATGATTTAATAAAAGTAGACTGTGGGGCAGAATGAGATTCTGTGGCTAAGAGCACAAGCATGCCTTCAGCCAGATCATGCTGCTTCAAGCTATTCATCAGCCTGGGGACACTATTTTGCTGTGGTAGACATGTCAAGTGTCCACAAACACTTTGGGAGCATATGTTAATGTGTCATAACTGAAAACTCAATCCTCTTTGAGCACAATGTAATGCTTCCTCACCTCTCCAAAGACTACTTCCTGGCCACAGTGTATCTTCTTTGTCTTCTGAGTAAAACCTTAGGGGGGGAATGCAGAGTTTGTCATTCTAGAATAGTGGTGAACCCGTTCTCACAACAGCCAACCCAGATGCCTATGGCAGGGATGAGGAATCTCTAGCCCTCCAGATCTTGTTGGACTCCAGCTCCCATCAGCCCCAGGTAGTATGACTGACCAACAGCCAGGGACAATGAGTGTTGTACTTCAATGAATCTGATGTTAACAGAAGCTTCTCTCTAGCCTTAGCATGCTGCTACTAGCATGTGTTTAGAAAACAGAGATCCAAATAATTTTGCCTAGAAAAGCACCACAGCTCAGAAAACATTCCTGGTCACCCTTTGCCTTGCACTCGAGTTACCTGGTAAGGTCTCCTTGATAGGACTTCCCATGCTGCTGTGCAGGGAGAACTCAGAGCACTGACACCTTTGATAAAGTCACCTGTGTCTTTTTGAGGTATATATCAGACTTGATCATAATAGCACACCTAAAGCCAATTGCTATCTAAAGAGTGTTTTGGAAACTAGTTGTCTGAAGGGATATGCACAGGTGATGTCTCAGACATCCCACTGTTGTTATTTAAAAGAAACAGAAACGTTATCCTTGCCATTGTGTATGCCCCCTTGCATTTTATCCACACAACAATGCTGTGATGGCTGAGAGTATGTGGCTGGCCCAGTATCACCCATGAAGCTTTGTGGCTGAATGGGGATTTGAAGCTGGGTATTCCTGATCTAAGTCAAGCATTCTAATTACTGTTAGTACCCTCATTACACTAGTACCTCAGGTTAAGTACTTAATTCGTTCCGGAGGTCCGTTCTTAACCTGAAACTGTTCTTAACCTGAAGCACCACTTTAGCTAATGGGGCCTCCTGCTGCTGCTGCTGCACCACTGGAGCACAATTTCTGTTCTCATCCTGAAGCAAAGTTCTTAACCCGAGGTACTGTTTCTGGGTTAGCGGAGTCTGTAACCTGAAGTGTATGTAACCTGAAGCGTATGTAACCCGAGGTACCACTGTATAGATAACAAAATGTTCTAAGTTTTCCCCGCTAGCCATGGTAGAATACATGCAAGGAGGAAGACTAAATAATGGTGACTTTAGAAGCTTTTCCCATAATTGAAAGCAAAACTCTAGCTTGCATTCGGTGGTGTGAGCTTTTAATCCACTGTCTTACTGGACTTTTGTACACAAATAACTTTCTTTTAGCATAAGAGGAATTATCCCTGGATATACGGAGAGGAAGCCTCTGCATAGTGTTAGAAGTTGTTGTATGACATGAATGCTCTAAATAAGGGGGAACCAGGGAACAAGGATTTATGGGATTATAGAGAGTGTGACACAGGGGAGGGAGACAGGTTGCTAGATGAAATTATCATAATTTTTGGTTTTAATTTAGAGGGGGGAAACTGTTCACCTATCTGGGTTTCTTGGTTGTTCAAAGGAAACAAAGCTTACCACACGGATTATCACCATAACTAAGACATGACCTGATAATTCACTGCCACTTTTTAACAAGCAGATGGGAACACCTCTTTCCTTTAGCAAATATTTCATTGCAGTGGAATGTACACAAAGGATACTAGGCTGTTATCAGCTACTGAGTCAACAACTACTGGTGAGTTGCTGGACTTAAATAGAGACCAAAGAGGAAATGACTGACTGACAAAAAAGCTGCAAGAGAAATCCCTCCTTGGACAGAGAAGTGAAAATGTTTCTGAGGTGGGTAATTCAAATCACTGGAAGCATTGCCTAAAAGATCTAACAGAACCCTTGTAGCCAGAGCATAGTTACTTGGAGGTGAATGTTACTTCATACATTAGGTTTTCCTGCACAAGAAGTAATCTTCTAGGAAAAGTGGGATCTTTTGATAATTCCTATATCTTGCTGACCTCCATTAAATTAACCTCCAATTAAGATTAACACTGCAGAATGGGTTTCTATATGTTTTTTTTTGCTGTCCTATCTCCAGTACAAAATATTGCCCATTCAGGTGATTGGACAATCTGAATTCTGCCTCCACACCTTGTTACTAGTAATGCATACATATATGAGGAACGAACAGGCCTTTTTTTAAAGGTAATTTAGATTTTTTAAAAAATTAGCTGAATTCACCAGAACTCAGTTCTGGCACCTGTCAGGTGCATAGCTGTCAACGTTCCCCTTTTTTTAAGGGTAATTCCCTTATGCCGAATAGGATTCCTCACAAGAAAATGGAAAAGTTGACAGCTATGCTCAGGTGGGCACCATTGTCATTACAAGAGAACAAGGGAAGCGTTCATGGTGAGTTCCGGCACCTCTTTTTCTAGAAAACTTGGACTGGGAATGACTATTTGCTCCTAGGTGGTTATAAGACTTAAGAGGTGTTTCTTATGAGGGTATGTGTGTATGTGACTGAGGAGAAAGGTTTTCTTTTTTTCTTAAAGAGAGCTGCTTCGCACGACAAATTTTCTATACAGCTAAGTACATCCTTGTAAGAAATTAAGTTATGTGCATATACAGTCCTGTGTGTTTAACATACACACGGCTATTTCACCACATATTAGAGTTGAGGGAAGCCCTGCATGGGGGCCAGCTCCCATAGCACACTCTTGCAGTGAAACAGACAGAGATCAGTATGTTTGTTACATGTGATGTTGTACACACAGATGCAGGCACTTTCAAAAAAGAGAGTGCTATGTGTGTTGTTTTTTTAAAAAAATGTATCATATGTGAAGAGTTCCTCGGTTTCAGAACTTTCTTCAAGGTTACATGAACAAGCATATTCCATGACAGAACAAGCAGGACCACAGCTCACATAACAGACATGTTCATATAACTGAAAAGGAAAGGCAGTGGTACCTCTACACAATGCACAGAGTCCCACACATCTGCATCTTGGCCCCCTGATGCATTTTCATCACCTCAGGCTAAAGCAAACAGATTCCTGGGCTACCAGTTCCCTCTTCCCTTCCCCAAACCTTGGATGCACTTCCTTTCCTTCCCACCTCACCCCGACTTCCTTCCCCGCGCCTCCCCATGCTCCGCACCTCGGAAATTCAGTTGCACCTGCCGCTCCCCTGTCCCTGGCAGGTGGGTGACCCTCTTGACGCTGACACTCAGGGCCATGGTGCTGCCAGGGCTTGGCTTGCTTCAGCACTGACCAGGCGTGAGGGCTGGCTGCTAAACAGTCCAGGGCTCCACCTGTCTCGTCACTCAGTGAGTCAGGCCTGGGGACTCACCAAGCAGGTTTGGCTGCCCAGACCCCACCTGCAAGTCACACATTATCCAATATTGGCAAGTACGTTCAAAGTGGGTAGGCACCAATCACTCCAGGCTGTATTCAGTACTACAGTGGTACCTCAGGTTACAGACGCTTCAGGTTACATACGCTTCAGGTTACAGACTCTGCTAACCCAGAAATAGTCCTTCAGGTTAAGAACTTTGCTTCAGGCAGCAGCAGGAGGCCCCATTAGCTAAAGTGGTGCTTCAGGTTAAGAACAGTTTCAGGTTAAGTACGGACCTCCGGAACGAATTAAGTACTTAATCTGAGGTACCACTGTAGTGCTTCTCAGAGTAGGCCCATTGCAATTAATAAGACATGACTGAATTCTTAGCATTAGCTATAGCCCTCTATCCTGACCACTCTGATTCTCCTTAATACAAGCCATGTGCCTAACGAGCATGTCACAGCCAGCTGAGGAACAGCAGCCATTTCCCCCTCAGCAGGTCAATGAGGTAATTTTAAACTCTGGACTTAATGGTCTGATTGAGGATGGGGTCTCTTCAGATATGTGTATTATTCACAGACTTTGGACCCTTTCATCCATACTTTTTATCACACATTCATGATTTGTGCTCCTCGTGCTATCCAGGTGCTCATACATAATCTCATTTTCAATGCTACTTATGCCTGCAAAAAATTTGGGGTGGTCACACTGCTTCATTTCCAATCAGTGCAAGTCCCGTATCTTTCTGCTAAAACCTTGTGGCTTTTTATACCACAAATATGGTTTATTTTTGCCACGCTTTTCTTGCACGAAAGCTCATCTGGACAGTAATTATATGGTAGGACTGGGTAAGTGTTGCAGAACTAATAACGCAGAATAAATTCACCACTGATCCATTACTATTGTGTCACCAACATGTAGCAGAATGCACCCACAATGAAGCAACAGTCTGGAAGGGCCTTTCATGATAAGTAGGCCCTGTTGTGTTTGGGGGCCCTCATTCTGCTATGGGGCTCTAGACTTCTCTCCCCCGCCCCCCTGCCACCTTTCTCTGACTCCACCACAGTTATTTGTTCAATACATCTGGGGCCCCATCTATCTTTCCACTTGACCTTCTATATAATGCCCCCTCCACTCAACCAGTGGAAGTAAAGTGTCAGATCAGAAGCTGCAAATTTACTTCAAGTGATGTATTCAGGTCTGGAGCAGTGTGCAAGAGCCCTAATACAGTGGTACCTCAGGTTACAGACTCCACTAACCCAGAAATAGTACCTCAGGTTAAGAACTTTTCCTCAGGATGAGAACGGAAATCGCACGGTGGCAGCGTGAGACCCCATTAGCTAAAGTGGTACCTTAGGTTAAGAACAGTTTCAGGTTAAGAATGGACCTCCAGAATGAATTAAGTTCTTAACCAGAGGTACCACTGTATTAGTATCATTTCTTCATATATATTTAGAATATCTAGTGAATAACATAAATTCACCGCCAATCCTAAATACATTTGGAGGGTCCATAATTTCTGCTTGAGTGCCATAAACACTTCCCACAGTCCATATTGTGTTTCCCCTCTCTTTTCTAGTTGTTGACAGAATAGGTGGAGCACATGTGACTTGCCTCCTGCTTAGTTCCAAGATTCTGTTTGCTTCCTTTGCTGAGAAACTTGAAAATGAATTCCCTTGTCATGTACATGTTTACAGTATTATTCTGTCCTGTTTCTTTCTCAGACCATTTATTCTCTCTCAATATTTTAGTTAGTTCTAGCCACAAGGGCTGGCCCATCTGTGAGGGAAGGTGAGGTAACCTCCTCAGGTAGCAGATTCCGTTGTAGAACTTCATTCACCCTTTATTCCCTGGCAGGGAAGGGGGCACCATTTTGTATTGGGCTGGCCCTGCTTTTTGTTCTGAGGAACTGTAGCCTTATGAGGCTTTGCCCTCGGGTGGGAAAAATATTGCGCCCGGGAAAGGGAAGTGGGAGTCAACAGACACTCAAGGAATAGTTTCGGAGAAAAGGCTTTTATTTCTACCATCCATGAACTGGTAGAAGGAGCAAGTGTGATAGTTCACAAAAGCATGTACGAAGTTCACAGTCATGTGCACAAACATATATACCCCTTTCCAGTTCCCTCCCCCTTTCTCCTCCCTCAGGAGTCCTGCCCCATGAGTTCCTCTGAGCATGAACAGAAAGCTGTTTTGGGACTATTGTGGACTCTTGGCACCCTTCCCAGGAAAGGGGAGTGAGAGTGGTTCAGCATCTCCAACCGAATGAGATAAGATTCAGTTTCTCAGGTCTGCTTTGAACAGAGCCTATGCATTAGCTTTTTGAAGCCTTCTCGTACAGATAAAAAGTAACGGTTTGCCCTTGCAACAGCAGAGCAAATGATTTTGAAAAGTTTTGAGAAGCTTTGAGCCTGCTTTGGGGGGGGGGGGTGACTTCGGGCCTAGGTGGGGTCACCTGTCCTCACCTTCCTTCAGAACGAACTGAAGAATTATCAGACCAGGAGCTGCAAATTTGCAGACACATTTTCCTATATTGCACCTGCTTTGTGGTTGTACTTCAGTGTAGTTGGGACAATGTGCTGGGAATAGGTATGTGAATGGTCCTGCTTTGCAGCAGGGGCTTGGTCTTTCTGACCTCTTGGTCTCTTCTACCCCCAACACATAACCAGGGGTGTAGCATGTGGGAGGGGGGCGCTTCTGGAGCGATTGCCCTGGGTGCATTTTTTTTTTGGGGGGGGGGAGGCATGCTGGTCATGCTGCCCTCCTCAAGTCAGCTCTGCACCACTTTCCAAGGTCTGAGGAACTGGGATTGATGCATGGCTGTTGCGTCCTCACGCCACTTACCCCAGATTCCAGTCTTGCAAAGTGAGTTCACAGTCAGAAATGTATCTAGCTAGTACTCAGCAGTTATCTCTCATCAGTCTACCTCTGATGAGAGAAAATCAATCTGCCATGAGGTTCCCTCTCCCGGAAGTTTAATTTAATTGGTTTTCTCTTCCCTCCCCCCTCCCGAACATAGCTGTGCCACACTGGGATTTATCTAGGCAAAGGGTGTTTTCATATTGCACATGAACCCTCGGTCCACCCTTTCTCTGTTGGAGCCAAGCAGTGATGATTTATATATGGCATGGAATGAATACCTAAGGCAATTTTCTCTTTTTCTTGTGTTTACACCTTCTGGAAACAAAGCTCATGGGTGTGTGGAGTGTGATTTATGATTGAGAGAAAAAGGGCGATGTCACGAGTTGCCACTTCTGTGTATGGCAAACAGCTGCCTACTAGGAAGCAGGGTAGCACAGAGGACTTGCTTACATCTGGGTTCTCAACAAAAAAACATCAGTTTTAGGACTGATTTCGTTAGCTGCTTTTTTTCATATAATTTGGTGATGTTTGAAATCACAACCTGGTGAGCTCAAGTCCAAGACTGAATAATAGATCTCTCCTCCATGAATTTATCTAATCCCATATTAAAGCCATCTAAGCTAGTGATCAACACATCTTGCCGCCTTTGAAGACTACCTCAGTGTAACAGGTTTACATTGGCTCTGCATTGTTATTTTTACTGATTTTTATTTTAGTACTCTTGCTTGCTGAATACTGACAAGGAATAATTTTTTTTTTAAAGAATGGTAACGAATGCTACCTGCAGAAAGAGGAGCTTGTGCAACTTGAAGCAACCTGATTGACGCAAGGATTGTGATTTAGTACTTCTCCAGTGCTGTGCCAAATAGGAACTACGTGGTTGACTTGAATGACATTAAGTTTATAAGGACTTCTACACATACTGGAGGTAAGACCATTAAAAGGGGAAACTGAAGCGCCTGTAGGCTACAAATATGCTGTGTAACTACATTCCAACCACTCCCCGTTAGGCTAGAGGTATAAGCCAAGTAGGAAGGCAGCTGCATGCGTCACAAGTGAACAGCACCAGAGGAACATGGATCCTGTGTTACAGGCTTTGCCACCATTGAGAATAGCTCTAAGTCAAATCTCATTTTGGGGAACTTTAAGCTTAGCAATTTAGCACCACTAGTGGGCAGATAACTGCATACACTCAGCTCAGATGTGCTTCTTACTGTGCCCCTTTTAGTTTGCAGCACACTAAATGCAAGGAAGTCACACCTCTCTCTTCTGCTCACCTTGTGTATGACTTAATTAACACATGAGCACACATAGCCCAACATAAAAGACATTACCCCCATTTGGGCATTCTTGCTCCTGTGTTTGTCAATATGAGAGTGATGTGCTGAGGAGCTCTGCGACCCTCCCTCCAATAACCTTTGCAATAAGAACCTAACAGTTTGTAATGACAGTGTCTTTGCACATGGTAATGGGGGTTTCAAGTAACAAAGAAGCCTTAACATCAATTTCCATCTATACCTGTGAAATTTTATTAAAATTAATAGACTGAAGACACCTTGAGTTTGATAAAGAAAATTAATGGAGTTTGTGGTACACAAGATGATAATTCTTACATGAAGAACTGATTCTTTTCGGCATTAATCAACCAAACCAAGCAGTGCAATAGAATATCAATGTACCGTAATAATTTCCAAAAAAGCAAAGCATACTTTGGTAAAATACTCCATTTTCTACCAAAGAACCAGGCTGTCATTCCAAGTTGGCCAATAATATTCCCAGTGAAACAGTATGTGTGTAGCATCTCCCCCATGAGAAGGTCCTGCCAGTTATGCCAGCTGAACTCTGCCAGACCAGCAAGAAATGATAAAGAGAGCCCCAGACTGCGACAACCATGATGTATGAAAGACATAACTTATTCTGGCTGCAATCAAGACTGTCTTAAAAGGGACTATAGTTTAGTAGCAGTGCATCTGCTTTGCATGCAGAAGGTTCCAGGTTCAATCACCAAAATTTCTAGTTAAAAGGATCAGATGAGAAAGACCTCTGCCTGAGACCTTAAAGAGATGTTGCAAGTCAGAGTCAACAATACTGGGGTAGATCCATAAACAGCATTATCTGGAGAGCTAGTCATACATATATTCTGGCGTATAGTATTGGGGATTACCAAACTATGTGCCAATAGGGCACACTAGTATACTGCAAAATAACACACAGCTCACACTATAGCTACCCACAAAGCATCACAATTGCTCAAAAAGCACTAAAAGGAGAGCAAGATGCTAATATGCTTTATTAACTCAATTTGCAATACCTCCCAATTTTCCACAGAACTGATTAAGAATATTTATGTTTCTGAATGTTAAATGGTGTGCACTTCTCCTGTTAATCCAGGAGAAAAGACCAATGTTGTGCCCTAGGCACCAAAAGTATTGACTACACTGACATCTGCAGAAAATCAGGACTGCTATAAAAGAATGGCAGCTTTCATAAGGAAAGGCAATCTCTAAGTTTTCTACCTGCAAGAAGAAGTTTGTTTGTTAGTTTTTGTTTTTAAATGCAAGGAAGCATTAAAAATATTGAATGCTACTTACTGTACATGCAGTCTGGTGATACGGTCCATTCTCCCACTTTAGAAATCTACCACCTCATTCTCAGAAACTGTTTGAACACATGTAACCCACCAGAAGTAACAGCAAAGGAAGGTCCTAGGCTAGTATTCACTGTATATTTTGTTCCTGGAGAACTAAGTGTACATTTCACATAGCTGTTGAAATGATAAATATTGCAGTTCTAGTTGAAACCTCTATAATTTGTATATCTAATTTATATAGGATCAAATTTATATATGGATCAAATTGCAGTTTCAAAAGAAGAGGCTATTTAGGTATTGTGCAGGGATTTTACTCTAATGTAATCTTCTTATATTTTGGAACAGTGATTAGTAATTAGTTGGTAGTATTAAATATTAAAGTTCTCCATATACTGTTTTTCTTAAATCCAATAAAGATTTTATATGTTTTAAAGTGCTTAAATCCAAAAGCTGTAGGAAGCATGTAATACATTTTATAAACAATGCAGCTAAAATAATGTTGTCTAAAGCAAGCATCCAAGCTTTTGCTACAAATAAAACTACAGGATTGTAAATATTGCAATAAACCTGTGACAGATAGTGCAGCAGTTGCTTAACAGTACATCCACACACACCCCTTTTCCCACGTGATAATTCAGAGACAGAAACACAAATTATCTCACTTGTTCTCCCCTGCATATCAGTGCACAGCCCAGTTTGAAACACACTGACCAAAATGCCCTTGAGAAAGAATTTTTATATGTAAACAGCACCTTTGAAGCAAGAATCTCTTGATTTGCAATCAATTTTGGGACCTGAAGCTTAAGGTTTCATTGTAAATAAAGTACTAAAAAATTCATTGGCATTCCATAAAGGCATAGTAGAAATTAAGGCAATCAGTGATTTTGGTATATATCATTGCAAAATGATTTCTCTTTCTAGACACAGAAGAGACCATCCAGCAATACATGGTAAGTAATATATAACTATATATGTAAACTTTATAGCAGCTAGATTTCAAATACATTCTAAACTGAGAGAAGCAACCACTCACAAGACAATTCTTTTTAGTGAGCTGCATGAATACCTGGCCATTTTCCCCCCTTTTAGGTTTTTTTTTGTAATTTTAGTACAAATATCTGGTGTTTTCATAATTTGTTATGAATGAACCTTCACAACTGACTCAAAAATGCAGTGAAGAGTTGAGCAGATTAAATAATAATATGGGAATGGGATATAAATCAGCAAGGGACAGAAGCAAGCATTAGCAGCCATTTTGTGATATAAGAAGTTTCACCACCTTCTGAAAGCCATGTCCCAAGTTCCATTCAGGTTCTGCGACTTCAGCAGAAAAATTAAAATTAAAAAAGCTTTCTTTTAAATCAAGAGCTAGGATCTTGACTTTTAAAAAACAAACAAACCCAAAATTCTTCACTAGGATTGTGTGCTGCACAGCATGGGCAGGTAGACAGAATGCAAATGGATTTGGCCATAAGGTATTCGTCAGTTTTCTAATAAGAAATGCCAAGAGCACTAGTATTCCTATACAGTGCTACCTCGGGTTACATAAGCTTCAGGTTACATACGCTTCAGGTTACACACTCCGTTAACCCAGAAATAGTGCTTCAGGTTAAGAACTTTGCTTCAGGATGAGAACAGAAATCGTGCTCCGGCGGTGAGGCCGGAGCCCATTAGCTAAAGTGGTGCTTCAGGTTAAGAACAGTTTCAGGTTAAGAACAGACCTCCGGAACAAATTAAGTACTTAACCCGAGGTACCACTGTATATTGTCTGCAAATATATCATATTCCCCATATATGTTGGAAGTACAAAAATATTGTTTTGAATGCAGAGTAATACATAGGGGAAAGGACTATTCACTGGAAAGCTCTATATGCAGTATTCTTTTCCTTGTAAATGAAAGGTATTGTGCTTTATGGTTGTTTTTCTGAAGGCAACTTCATGGGATTCAGGCCAAGCATCTTGAAGTAGGATACCAGTTGCTTAGGAACTTCAGCTAACACTGACTGGTTAAGTGCCTCACGAGGAGCCTGTAACGAAGAAAGAGCAAGACAACATCAGTGACGACAAGAACAAGAAAAGGAATGGTTTTCATAGTTGGCTTTGGACATTATTATTAATTTTTTTTTAAATTGTGCAAACAATGCTGTAAGAAATTCTGGGTCAAACTACAGAGTATGGTTTACTAAACCATGGTTTAGCATTACGTGTGAACTGTGTCCAACAGTCTCACTATGATTTGTGGTTGTGGTTGGATTATGAAACTTGGCTTGTTTTGCCTACATTGTAGCATTATGTGTGAACCAAAGAGTTTTCAAGAAGTAAATAGTATTGCCTGCTGACAAAGTACAAAACTACAAGAAAGAAGATTCCACCTAAACATTAGGAAGAACTTCCTGACAGTAAGAGCTGTTCAACAGTGGAATTTGCTGCCAAGGAGTGTGGTGGAGTCTCCTTCTTTGGAGGTCTTTAAGCAGAGGCTTGACAACCATATGTCAGGAGTGCTCTGATGGTGTTTCCTGCTTGGCAGGGCGTTGGACTCGATGGCCCTTGTGGTCTCTTCCAACTCTATGATTCTAAGTATAACTATCTGGAAGAGTTAGGTGTTCTTCAACTTACATTCTGGAACCTCCTGAAGGGCACAAACTGGACAATATCTCGTGCAGCTGGTTCCCCTGACAAGGACTTTAGAACACCATCGTCTCCATCAAGGAATTCCATGGCATTGAACTCAGCGCTCCCAACTCCAATGATAATGATAGACATGGGCAGCTTGGAGGCATTGACAATGGCTTGCCTGGTTTGGTCCAGATCAGTGATCTCCCCATCTGTGATTATCAGCAAGACAAAGTATTGCTGCAAGAAAATTAGATTAGTCAATAGAGGTTGACTTCAAATCTTAGGCAAGAGTTAAGGAAGGGACTGAAGGGCTGACGTTTTTATACTTCTGTGTTTGCTCAAATATAAAGAACGATCTGCACACTGTGTCTCACAACTTCGTAAAGCATGAAAGAGTAAAAAAAACCCGTTGTTTACTGCTGAATCAGAACAAACATCACTCAGGTTTTCTGTGGATTGACTTTGTTCTGATTCAGCAGTAAACAGGTTTTCCCGGGGAAAGCAGTGGGAGAAATGTAAAGTGTCTTGGACCCATGACTTGAAATCACCAGACAAATGGAAGTACAGTATGTCCTAACTCTACCACATGGGAATGAATTGCCGAGAAAACACAGAATTCAGAGGGTAGAGTCTGATTACAAATCCATTCAGTATCTGAAGTTTCATGGTAGACTATGGCTTCACAACAGTGAAGTAATGAAAGAATACTAGCACACCTTTAAATAAATGCCTCTTGTGACTCCCCCCCCCAAATCCATCACTTAAAAACAAAAACATCCAAAATATTAAATCAAACAGACTCACAGAAGCAGTATTTTGCTGTGCTCCCTGAGCAGCAAACCTGGCAACATGATTTATAATTGGGGAGAAATTTGTTGGACCATAGAGACGAATCTGAGGCAATGCCTGGCGATATGCATCCACAATTCCCTGGATTCCTGAAAAATGGAAACATCAGTTGTTATTGCAATAGTTTGTATGTATGCTGCTTATTTCCCACTGTTCTCCGTAAATCTTTCCACAGTTATTCAACTTTTATCCTTTCTCTGTCACAAAATGGAAATGGCAATCTAATGTGTGCACAATAACTGAAGCTGAGCAGACATGCCTTCCCCCATTTCACCACATTAGTAGGGTGTGTAAATCAGTTATTTTCAGAGGATGGTAAAACATGTACTGACTGCAGCACATAGCATAATTCTTGGAGCCTTGCAGAGGTGGTCACTGGCTGCCAAGAGGACTGTGGCTACAGAACAGGTGGAGTGGCAAAGAAGATATACCAATAGTCATGCACTTTATCCCGACAAAAACTCTAAAAGCCCTGCTGGTCCTGTTCTTTATTTTTAATGGAACATACTCTCTGATGCACACTTTGTCAAATTCGATTACTGGGTCATGAAGATTACTAAATGCTTACCTTGGCAATAGGGATTTGTAGGGTTAAAGTTCAATGCAAATTCATGGGATACCTGGGAGAGAGACACACTTAGTCATGTAGCCAAATACCAATGCATTTGAATTAAGAAACACTTGAACTAAGAAACTCACCTTCCAGTCTGGAGGAACTTGAGCTCCAAACCCAAAGGCAGGGAACAGTTTGTCACTGAAAGATGTAGGGGGTAGAGGAGGAGGAAAGATAGATATGTTACCTTCAACGGAACAAAAACAATTCATAGTTACCACTGCTGCAAGCTGGCAGAAACTGCATACTACCTCAGAAACCAAAACTGCTAAAAGTGAAGCAAGCAGTAAGAGTGCAGGGGAGCGAGGCTTCCAGGAGCCAATGTTGTAATCAAGTTGACTCCTCCTTCAGTTTAAAATGTCAGGAAAAAATGCACATTCATCCCATGAGCAGTGATCATTTTCAGCACCTGCTCTCAAGTATCAAAACTCAGTAGTGTCATTTTATGAGCAAGCAGAAAAGGAAAACAATCACTTATGTCAGATGCTGGTGTGGTTGCTCGAGAGTAAACAGGCAAGACTCCGACCTGTCTTTTCCAGGCTTTATTCTTGGTGCAAACTATTTACAGTGAAGAGCATCGTAAGTTCATGTCTGGCTCAATCGCTAGCAGAATCTGGGAGTGGTCGGTTTTTGTACCTCCCCCAGCATCAAAGTCGCGTCACCCCCAGCCTTTTCCGCCCCTCCCTGCGCCGAAGCCTACTGTGCAGAATGGGCGATAGCAGGGGCGTACTTCCCTCCTCTCCGGCTTGCTCAGGCGCGGTGTTGAGGCTCTCCCTAGCATCCCCTGGTCCCTGCACATCTTCTCCACTGGAGGTGGGGCTTTCCTCCTCGACGGAAGAGGAACTGCTTCCCAAGATTTTTGGAGGCTCCCTATAACACAACTGCCCTTCCATCTCTCGCCTCTGAGCTGATGGCAGTTCCCTGAGAACTTACTCTCATGAAGGAACCAACAAAACAAAGAACAATCTACTGCAACTCTCACTGAATTACCGTTCTCAGCAATAACACGAGATGCAGGAGATGCATAATCCATAAAGGTTGAAGGGACTGAAGTTACTTAGTCAAATACATCACTTCAACTCTATTAAATTTCACTTATTTCTAATGCTCACAGCTAGAGCAGCTAAAAATAGTTTTAACATACGTGTCATAATCCTGTACCACGTTCCCCACACACCAGATGGCGGTCAGGTATTCATTTACTCCATTTGGACTGATATAGTGAAGAGATTCTGGTGACTTTGGATCTCCATTGGAGCCGGTGAAATCTATGCCCACCTGACACAATAACAAAGAACACAAAGATAAGATTTCTTTCTGGAAACAGGCAACCAAAGAAAGCCCAACATTCATGGAAGCTGACTTCAAGCATACCTAACAACAGTGAAGAATGCTGCTGAAATAACCACTAAAAAACTCAAGGCAGCTGAAGAAAGGTCAAACATTAGGTTCCCCCAAAATGTAACCAGGGAGACTATGTATTAGAAAGATCAGTGAATTCATTTTGTTTAGTCTGGCAGATATACAACAGCAGACTTATTCACTGACAGATCTAGTAAACAGGTTTTTGTGCAGTTTAAGTGCAATGGCTTTTTCATGGGAATATATAAATGCTTGAGTTATGTTTTAACTTAGGTAGAAAAGGCATGTGAACAGGTGACCCAACTCACAGTGAAATTAATTTGGCAGCCTCCCATGATGTAATCCAGGAAAGAATATTCCATTTCAATCTGAAAAAAAACAGCACACAACTGTTACAACTTCTACCCTACAATCACAGAATAGCAAACTCTTCTGTATGAAATACTCCTTACTTTGCAAGACTTCACTCGAACAATGCCAGAGTTTTTATAGCTCTTCTTCTTTCTCTTCTTCTCAGGGTGAATACACTCAAATTCCACCTAAAAAGAAAGGAACAGACATCAAAGGAACTTCTTCTAGTTAATGAAATGAAACCACATAGTTCACATTTTAAGATACACAGGACAAGACCCAACTTAGAAAAAATAATGGTAGCCATGCATACTGGCAAGTGATCACAGCTTGACCACCAGGTCAGCCCGGCACCAAATGGAACCATGCAGACCTGTTGGGAGCTCACTTTTGACCTCTGCGGGAACCCTCAATGTCCTGGTTGTCCCCAGGACCTTCTCTGGGGCACTCGTTGCCTGCGAGCTGCCTAAAAACTCTAAGAAGCAGCAACCAGTTCGCTGCGATAGCAAACCTGGCTTCCTTTCCCCCTCGCGGTAAACCAGGAAGTAGAAATTAGGTATCTTAGGATCCTAGGATCATTTCGCTTGGGTTGCTGAAGAACACCGATGACTTAAAATACAACATCTATTGCTTCCTAGGAACTGTAAAGGGTGCTGGGAATTGTAGCTCTGTGAGAATAAATTTATTGTTTCTATGATTCTTCTTTGCAATGAGAAATAGGTTCAATTAGTTAATAAAAGAAGGTAAAAGTAAAAGCTCACCGGAGAGCTGCCACCTGCCTTCTGTAGCTGGGAGAGGTTAGTTTCAAAAATGCCTATCAAGTCATGTGACCCATCACTATCATAATCTGAACAGTGCACCTGAAAGGAAAGAAAGAGCAGGCAATGGACAAGCAGAACTTTATAATAGAGAATGACTGCTGCTCACCGCTTGGTCTCTCGCTTCCAACAGCTTTGCAGTGGCGCATGTGAACTCCCCTATCAAATCTGAACTGGTGCTGTCATCCATATCACTAACTGAAACCTAATAGTAAGAGAGAGACCCAAAAATGAGTCCTTGAGGAGAGCCATGGGTACGAACCTGTTTAGTAGGCAATGGAAATGCAACTAAAATGCTAAGCAGATAAAAAAAAGAAGAAAATGACTGTTCCAAAGCTAAATTAAATAAAAATCCAGTTATAGAAGCCAAGCAATCAACTGAAATTAAGTCTTATATAAGCCTTATAAAAAGAAACAATGGGAACAAAACAAGAACAGCACAAAAACCCAAGACATTCAACAGCAAAGAAGAGCTTTAACACAAACCGTACAATCCAAAGTTCCCTCTTATTTTAAGAACTTTGCATGAATACTCTTCCCTGGTGATATCTAGTCATGCAAAAACCTGCAAGCCTCATTCTGAAAAGTCAAATGAAATATGACCTGAATGTCCATGCTAAGCAGTTCAGATAGTCTGCAGTGGAAGGAACACAGGACTCAATTGAGAATTGCTATGTATTTTGGGCTTAAAATAACTTTGAGTAATGCTATAGTTTAAACAACAGGTAGCTTTCAACACTGCCCTTGTTTACCAGCAGATTGAAAAAATAGGAATTACATCTAGATACAATATATGGCTTACATATAAATGGCTTGATTGTAAATATATTATCTTGAATTCACATCCCTCTAATTTGTTTGTGACCAACATTCAGTGATCTGTTTTTAGATTAGAGTGAGATTTAAAACAGCACAAGCCAACAGTGTGCATCCTAGAACACCATCAATTGAAAAGCAGTACCTTTCAGTAATGGCATAGATAAGGAAAAAAAAACGCAGCCTTCTTACCAGATTAGGAGGTGACAAGTGCTCCTGGTTTACACTTGAAAATCAAATTGCAAACCTGACTGAGCCAAGGAGGCGATGCTCCTTTCATCTTTTATCCCCTGGTCTATCTACACACCAACCATTATCACTCTTGTCTTGGACTTAGTTTCAATTGGCTCTGCTTAGTTTCAATCTCCCTCTCCTCAGGCAGGGAAAGCTTTTGCAAGTGCAGATCCAGAAAGATACATGAATGTAAAATGCTCTTCTCTCCTTGCTTGGGTGGGAAGGACATGCATTTTATGGGTGCAAATTTGGTGCTGTCATCCAGCATGCTCATGCATATTCTGAATAAATAAAGAAGAATGAGAGCACTCCGGCACAACCCCAAGGACAGTTACTAGAAGGTTATTAGAATGACTGTTCACCTGATTCCCCTGGGAATGGCTGGGCAGCTTAAGACCTGAGTCAACTTACTGCAGGCCTATTTACACATGCCGGGTCCCACAGTTGTACTATCAACTGCTCTTGCTGTAAGTTCTTACAAACCCCCTAAAGTCAAAATTTCCTTCATTAATCTCCAAGTAGAGATAATCTACTGACACCGCTAACACACCTTCAGTTACATAACCAGGACATGACCCAAGTTAGAAATACCCAATCTAGTTGTGATCACCAAAAATGGAAGGTTTGACAATGAGCAACAGCTGAGAGGATCCTCAACATTTATGTTTTATTCCTCCAATTGTGACTACCTCACTAAAGGTATCTAGCATCTTCTATTCCTTTACGTGAGTGCCATACTCCCTCTTCCACATATACAGCTCAGCTTCTCCCAAGCAGCCTTAACTTACCAAGACAGCCAGCACAAAACATAAGAGCTGCCCATCTGGATCGGATCAAAGGACCATCTAAGTCCAGCATTCTGTTGTGACAGTAGCCAATGTCAGGGGTGGAGAGCTGTGGCACCTAGATGTTATTGGACACCAATTACCATAAGTCCCAGATAGTATGGCTAACAAGCAGGGGTGATGGGAGTTGTAGCCCAGCAACATCTGGAGGGCCAGATGTTGCCCACCCAAGGGCTGTGAGAAGCTTGCAAGCAGGCTAGAAAGTCCAGGTTGTGAAATTTGGTTGGCCGGCATATTAAAAATCCTATTTTAAATGGCAATTTTACTGGGCAGTGGATATGACTTCACTTCTGAACACCAGCAAATTAAGCATATTAAACAACTGCATTAGATACTTTGAAGTGCATTTTTTAAAAAAGCAATGGACTCGTGGAGGCTTTGCAGTCACTAAAATAGTTTAGAATGTTTGGGTATGAAGATAATGATTTCATTTATTAAGCCACAAAACCATAGCTTAAAAACAGAGCCAAGTATCCTCCAAAGGGCATTTTGGTACACTCAGGTCATATTTTCAAGCTTTCCCGCAGAACCAGCAATACTACAGACTTACTTTTGAAAATTCAAGCTGCTATTTAGGTCTTCATGATCTTGGTCTTCCATAAAACTACATTTAAGCGTGTAGGATTAAATAATATTATTTATTATTTTCAGACATAGTTGTAGTCCACAGTGGATGTACTGCAAAAACTAGTCTATACAGAAAGACAGCTCTGGCAGATGATGTTTCCAGGTTAACCAATAAACAGAGCAAAGGTTCCTGCTCAGTTAGAGGGATGGAGAATAGCTCATATTGCCAGTATTCTCAGTGCTGCAAGTATATTTCAAAGAAATAAATGGGTAAGCACACAGAAGGAAATCTGGTGCAAAAAGAATGGCAATCTAATTAAATTACTGGGCAGCCACACATTATTTGGTTTTAGTTCTTTCACAGTCAGACTTCATATTGAAAAAGATGTTTATAATTAAATCAAATGGGTTCTCTAACCTGTATTTTATTTTTATTTTTTAAAGTTAAATCATTGTCATCACCTTCATTGGTTTGTTGAAGTCACCACCACAGAATGTTTGAAGAGGAACACTGAACTTTCTCCAGCAGGGATTTAAATTGTTCTTAATTACCTATAAAAGAAATCCAATTACAACCAAGCACCTGAGATCTCTCCTCATCCTACAAGTACATTATGACAATGGCATTCCCTCACCTAGAATTTCCGCAGATTATTATTTTTTAAATAATAATTCTGTTCCAATAGCTGCATAATAATTTTCTGGATGAAAAGTAGAGTACCATTATGATAAGACATAACTCATTGCTTATAGGCAAATATCTATTAATACACTTGATGTATATGTAATAAACATATATGTATTTTCTGTAATTTATTTAGCCAATTTCTAGTTTCATACCTAGATAAATTTAAACATGCATCTCAGCTGAATGTGCACAGTTTGGCATAAGTATGAGATTTTGGGTGGCTACAGCTGCAAAATTTAAGAGCTGCTGCAGTGCCTTCCAGACATCCCACCTGGCTTGCACATCACTGCCCAAATATGAGGAACTTATAGTGGGTTGAAGTCTGAGAACCACTAGCAGAAGAAATTACTATGTAATGCAGCCCACTTTGCCCACTGAAAAGGTGTTTCTGAAGGTCGGAAGCCCTCTGGAAGAGTGTGGGATGAGGAGGTATCACCCAAAGTCCGGCCGAAGAACCTTGGATTGGCAGAGCTCCACTTATGCATAATGCCTCTGCCTGATTTTGTCCAAAGAAGTAGCAGCTCCATTCTTTTTGCAACTGAGTTCATTCAGAGTTCATTAAGATATAGCAGCTCCTGAAGTTCAAAAGTTGAATCACTGTGTAAATCCTACCTCTGATCGGTAGACAAGCTGCCATTTTCCACCATCACTCTCCTTATAAAACTCCAAAAATGGATCAGATTTGCCCAAAAAATCCTGTGTAGAAAAAGAACCTTGATCTTTATACAAATAATAATTCAGCATGTAAGAACTTCTAGAGCAACATATCTTTCTGCTATTCATAGTATATCTATTATTACTGGCAACACACACACACACACACACACACACATCGAGCGTTCAACAAATAATGGCTTATTTTCAGTCACAGATGTTTCTGTTCGGTCCTTTTGTTCATTTAGTAGCCTGCAAATAATACATGTCTATGCTCAGCTAAGGCAAACTATAAAGTGCTTTAAGCACCAAAATCCATGGTAGCGAGAGCTGAAATTATTATGCTTCTCTAGGAAATCTGTACTTCAAGAATTAACTTCAATAAATTAAAAAAGCTTTACAAAATAAAAATAATAATCACTTTTAATTTCAAGTGTGGTCTACACACATGCCTCTCACATTCAACCTCCCCCCCATTCCTTTGAAGCAACAGATAGGTCCATTCTCATGTAAGCCCTTAATTACTACACTTATTGCCATTTCCTTCTTGATGTTTCTGTCATGACATACCTTGTGAAGCCTATTCACACAGGTACTACGATAGAGCCAGTGTGGGGAAGTGTCCAGGGATCTAGTTCCCACTCAACCATAAAGCTCAGTGGGCCAGTCAAGTCTCTCAGCCTAACCTACCTCACAAGGTTGCTGCGAGGATAAAATGGAGTGGTGAGAGCTCTGTACACCACCTTGAGCTCCTTGGAGGAAAGATGGGATATAAACGTTGGTTCAAGTACCAAATGAACTGGAAAGAGAGTTACTTTCAATATATCATTTACCTTTTTGTCTAAATTCCGGGCTTCAACATCTAAGGACACAACTCTAGTGTCTTTAATCTCTTCTGCAGAAATCTAAAAATTCAAGGGGAAATAATTTCAGTGTGATTTTGGAAAGTATTTCTAATGTGAATAATGCAGGCCGTTCAAATACACAAATTATAAAACAAATTCACCAATGTACTTCACAATTAGCTTAATCAAAGGAGAAATATGTGAAGCTATTATGTTCCAAGTACATTCACATGAAGCAGCAGTGTTATTTACTTCCTAAATTCCTCCTGTGATAATGTGACTGCTGTGGAATCCAGAAGCTGTCTGAATTACTTGCAAAACGGTTTTGGTTTTTTTAAAGCAAACCTGAACCACTTCATACTCCACACATACATTTGACAATAATGAGGTTAGTTGTCCTGTTTCATTCCCCTCATCTTTTCATTTTTTTTTTAAAAAATGTTTAACTATCAGAGGTCTGATTTAGCCCTATTGAAATGAATGGGAATGGGAAACTACAAAATGTCTATGCTATTCCCAGCAACTTCTCAAAGTAGGATAGACAAACCCTTAGCATTCATGACTATATAATGAATTCTCTATCACTTACCTATTTTGGTTTTTTTTAAAGGCCTGTAGATTCCTGCGTACACACAACACACCCACCCACAATTACAAAAAGGATCACAGGGGTTTATTGGTCTCCAGGAGTAAATTTCAACCTAGGGTTAATTCTGCTTTGCTTTGACACAGGAGTTAACATAGTCTAAACTTGAAATGTTTATTTCTTATTTGGAAAAAGAATATACAAACAGCAAACCTCATTAGGCCATTGAGGTTACTGAGGTACATTGGCCCACTTCCACTATTTACTATGAGGCCAATATTTCACTTAGGTATTATTTGGTTTCTGTGTTGTTTTCTCTTCTGTTATAAGCCAATATCTCACAGTTCCCCTTTTCTCCACCAGGGCTTCCTAATAGCCCAATAAAGAATTTAAATAGACATTGAGATTTCCAATGTACCCCAATAGCTTTTGTATTGGATCACTTTTTTAATATGACACTTAAAAAACACTATTTTGTCTGTTAAACTGGAGTAATTGTGAAATCGATCATAATTTTTAAATTTATGTTTATTTCAGATAGTTCTATATCACTTAATATTTAAAATTAATGGTATATATATTCTTAAAAGAAAAACACTCACAATTCAATTTGTTCATAAAACCAGAAAATTACCTTAAAATGGCTGCTGAAATAAGGAAGACTTTGTCATGTGATTGAAGTTCAGCAAAGGATGCCTGTCTAATCTCAGTTGGGAGTGAATTCCATAAACGTGGAACACCCCCCGCCCAAACACTGAATGAATGGCTCCTAGTAGTTATGAGCCACGCAGCTGAGCTATGGGGACCACTAACAAGGATTTTAAAGGGTTCCCCAAAGCAATTATTGGTGAAAAAAATTGTAGAGGAACCTTCGACTAGCCAGAAATGAGTTTCTTACCGTAACAGTGCCTTTTCCTGCAGGTTTTCCTTTCTTCAGCATTAAAGGCTGAGTGACAGTTTTACTCGACACAATCTAAAGAAGAATGAAATCTATGCATCCATTACAAAAGTCACATAAAGTGATATATTCTACCCTGAGGCAGAAATGTGAAGGAAGAAATATCATCGGCAATAAGCCAATTAACATGCTGTCAACACAAGAGACATTTTTGCAGCTATCAGTTATAACAGCCACTCATAACTATTTACATAGTGTGAAATTTTATCATGAATCCCAAAAACATTTGCCAAGATACATTATATATAAGTGTAATGAGAAACAGATTTCAAGTTTTACGTGATTTAATCATCTGGATTTTCAGACAGTTACCAAAGCCTCAGGATGCTTTATTTTAAATTAAAAGGACAAACACAATAAGGATCAAGTAAACTCACATGCCAAGGTGCTGAAAGGATTGTGTAACTCAGCCCTAAGAACAACATCCAATGTTGTAACAATAATGTTATGGCAGATAACTTGCTGCCACCAGTGCAGCAGCCCCTTATCCCCTTGTCAGCAATGTAATACTTCTCCTTTACATCCACAGGTGTGGCAGTGGGTGTGCTGGACTGTTGCCTTGCCTTGGTAATGGACTGGATAAGAGCCAATAAAGTGAAGCTCAATCCAGATAAGACAGAGGCTCTGTTAGTGGGTGGTTCCCTAGACCGCATGGATAGGAGGTGGCCTGCTCTTGATGGGGTTCCGCTCCCTTTGAAGGAATAGCATGGAGGTGCCACTGGATCCACTGCTGTCACTTGAGGCTCAGGTGGCCTTGGTGGCATGGAGTGCCTTCCATCAGCTTTGGCTGGGGACCCAGCTGCACCCCTATCCGGACAGGGATAGCCTAACTTCTGTTGTCTATGGTCTGGTACTTGGGGTTGCCTCTGAAGACAGTTCAGCTGGTGCAGAATTCAGCGGCCAGGTTGCTTACAAGGGCAAGACGGTTGGAGCATATAGCACCAATCCTGGCTGAACTGCACTGGCTGCCAATTAGTTTTCAGGCCCAATTCAAAGTGCTGGTTTCAACCTATAAAACGTTAAACGGCTAAGGACTGCAATACCTCAAGGATCGCTTTCCCCCATACGAACCAACTCAAACCCTGCAATCACTATCCGAGGCCCTTCTTCATGTACCTCCTCCAGGAATGGTCAGGAGGGCAGCAACACGAGAACTGGCCCTTTCTATTCCCTGCTTGTGGAATGCTGTCCCAAGGGAGGCTCGCCTGGTGCCTTTGTTATATATCGTTTGGAGGCAGGCAAACGTATTCCTCTATGGCCTTTTAAAATCTCTCTCTCTCTCTCTCTCTCTCTCTCTCTCTCTCTGTGTGTGTGTGTGTTTATATTTTAAATCATCCAGTGATCTTTGAATAAATGGTGGGATAGAAATTTAATAAATAGTAAGAATAATTGTTATTATCCTTGCTGCCAGCATAACATTGCTGCATTGTAAGTTTTCCTACCTTATTTCATTGGCACATGTGGGAGTGAGCACTCCTGTAATGCCATGCCACCCCTCACATTTTGGGTTACTTTGAGTCAGCGTACATCAGGCATAAGGTCAACATTTATTTCGAAGCCGAGGGGTGGGGATGAGAACAACTCTATCATGGAATGATTGTCACGTGCGTTAGTCACAGTGAGGTCTAGTTTTATGGTTGGCAAGACCGATGTTTGCTAGTGTCCAGCAAACAAGCAGGTCCATAGAGTCCTGCACCACCACGCAAAAGGAGACAATTGATGCAAGTAACTTCTACACTTAACTGAAAGTTTTCAGAATATTAACTCCTCCTTTCATCTGTGTAATTAAAAGACGATAAAATAGCATGTAGCATTACAGTACTTGTTTTCCAGTACCTGTCCCAAGGTGCACTCTGCCCCTCCAAGAAAGTCGTCATCATTTAAGTCATAGGATTTGTTATCGATGTCGTAAATGCCAAATTTCAGTTTCTGAACTTTCTCAAAATAATAATCAATCTGCAGCTTCTTTGAAAATTGAGGATTCTGGCAATTCTTTATTTTTTCAGTTCGATCCAACTGTAACAATACAACAAGAAAGGGAAATGTCATGCTTAACACTCACATTCTTCAACAGAAAACTAGAGGTGTCATCTAACCAAAGTTAAGTACTTTCTAAATTCTACTTTCAGTGGGAGAGATTTAAGCCTGTTCTTAACCCCTCTGAAACTATGTGGATTGACAAGTGCTTTGTTTTAACTTAAGAGGAAGAAAAATGGTTGAATATGCCAAAGTTATTGCAATTTTAGGTGTTTGGCTGCATCTCCTGTTGAAATTCTAGAGCACCTCTGCCAGCCAGTGACAAAAATACTGAGCTAGAGGAACCAATCATCTGACTTGATATAGAGCAGTTTCCTACACAACACTTTCCTGTGGATGCTTACCACAGGGGAAACAGTTCATGGAAGCATATCTTCCATGGTGGTCTTCTCGTTAAGGACCAAAGAAGCAAAAATACAAAGGAAAACACCAATGTCCTTTCTTTCTGTAGGTTGTTCAGGTCATAACTGGCCTGAGTCACATGGAATGCTAAGTCAAACTATGACATATTTTGAACAAGCAAGCATGCAAATACACAAAGCAAAAATTATGGCCACTTTGCTCCTTCCCTAAACCATGGTATGAGATTAAAATTATGTCTGATCCTAAGCTCATTGTTTGCCTCACTCCAAGCAAACCACAAAGTGCCGCTAAAGTTTGTTTTTGGCTTGCTGCTCAAGGCTTGTTCGGAGGAGACAAAACCATTAACCTGGGTTTCCCATGTAATGATATGCTAAACCATGGCATGGCTTAGTTTTGATTAGTGAAGCAGCAGTAAGCCTAGGGGAGCAGCAAGGCAGCTGCAGATTTTGTTCTGTGTGCTCACATTCTTGCTTGCTCAGGCTTAGTCATTGTTTTGGATTGGCACTACATGTGACCCAGGCCAGTACAAGAGTTATGGGCAATCATGCTGGTCCATTATATATTTATATATATATATATATCCCCACAAGCTGCATAATAGTAATAGTTTTTTGTCAAAACAACCAAAACACCAAAGTTGTGAACAGGCTTCTGATTTCTCCTGAACATTTACTCAGGTTGGATGTTGAGTAAAACCAGAAGGGGAGGAGAGGCAAAAGTTGGGTATGTTGACTCTGGGGCAACTAAAGATGTATTGTCTCCAAATGCAACTTCAAACAGTAAAAAGATTTGATAACATAGTGGAACTTTCAGCATTACAATGGGAATATTAAAAATGCTGATGCTATGTTGTTGCCGGCCTCCTTTCTACACCAAAAACCAGAGGAAATGAATTAACAAATACAAAATTCAGTTAAAACTAATTTATAAAAACTTCCATGATTAAAAAGCTTGGGCTACGTAAAAGCCCTGTAATTTTTTTATTTAAAAAAATGGGACATACAAAAAAAACTTGTGAGATTTTGTTGTCATTTAGCTCATTCAATTGCTTAAACTTGTAAAATATTAATCCTTAATTAATTTTAATCAAAACGTCCAAGTGTTCAGATGTGTTCAGAAAGGAGACTGCCAACTTCTGGTAGTTTTAAAATTACTAGAAACAATTCCTTACTTCGGTCCATTGGTTTCCACCAACATCTTGAAGCAGGACACATAGAGGATCAGATTTTGAGCCAACATCTTTATCAAGCAGATTATCACATGATATGGACAGTTCCACCTTTGTCACGCAGTGCGCCATCTATTAACAGAGTGAAAGGAGAATGTTGAATACTCATTAAAGAATTAGGTCATAATAATAAAAAATATGCATACAGAATCACAACAAATCTTCAGAAAATGTCATCTGTGCAAACTGTTTCAGTTTCCTAATAATTTCTTTGGACTGCCATGTATTCTCTTGTCTTAACAGACCATAGAGCTAAATACATTTTCCTCCAAAAATAAAATAAAGAAATAAAAAAGTAATGATCAGGTACACTGCTTTAACTACTTGTCTGACACTCGCAGAAAGATTTGGCCAAATGCCATTTAATACGATGGTGTTAGGGTTGCTTCATACAGTCAGGTTTTCTAGAACATGAAAACTGCATGAAGCTGCACTTTGCTGGTACACATGCGTATTTTCCTGCAAAAACATGCAGTGTAACATTCAAATGGACCAAATGCAAAATGTGATAATCTGCACATCAGTTTCACACGAATGTCAATATACAACAGAAATTGTTCAGGGTTTAACATACAAACTGACAAACTTTCAGACCGCATAGCTCATTACTTTTCTGTTTCAACATCATCACATGCCCATGGGCAGATGTTATGGAGTGGCTGGTTGACTTGGGATAACCCTACGGAAATCTCAGATTGGTTGGAAGGTAAGCAGGAAGAGATGCAGCCCTGCTTTGGACGCTACAAAAGCAACCCTTTCAGGCATCTAAATTTAGCTGATGTAAAAAGGGATTGTGTGGGGACACCATTTAGGCTTCCCAAACCCACTGCAAAGAATAGCTGTGCACACCTGAGAAGGTGCAAGAGCAACCAGAAGGTCCCAAGAACAGTTAACATCTGTTTTGTCTCCATTTTTTTTACTGGACACCCTCTCTCTTGTCTATAGGGCCCAGCCACCACACAGGCTTAACCTGTGACAGTAGTTATTTTACCATGGGTAAATATAAATCAGGAAAACCACCACTAAATATTTCATTATTCATGTTTCATTCCTTGTAGCTCACACTCCTTCACACATTGCCTCCACAACTGGCAAAGTCAGGACATGATAAGCAGATGCCATAAGACCATCACTCGTTACTCCTGTGATACGACTGCAAATCACTTTCTCGCACAAATACAAAAGGCGATTCATAAGTAATAATCATCCATGAGTTCAGAAATATCCAAAAGAAAAGGAAGCCTCTGGGCAGATAGGACACCTTCTACGAGACAGGCACTCAAATCACGTGACTATGCACACTCAGAGGAGATATCAGGGTTTGGCAGGCAGATATCTCTGACTGGTCTGTAATCTAACAGATGAAAGGGGCTAACTAGGTTTGAGGCCCTGCTAGATTTGTTCATACTTCATGGAATGGCAGATTCAACCCTGCCAGTTTGTTCTGGTTTCAGAGCCTCATAGATCTTCACTTCCTTTCAGAACTCCCACATTGGAAAGGTGGAAGGGAAAGACTTCACCAAAACCTATCTTCCCTCTCATATCAGCACCATACAACAATTAATCTGAAAGCATATGCCTTGGCAGAATAGCTATGCTCCTTTAAAAAAAAAGCATTTTTATTCAAAATTTCAATAGCATACAAACTTAAATGGACGCAACACAAAACCCAGTACATCTGTTGTTATATTTGCCATATAGTCCCAAGCCAGCTATGTTTCTTCAAAAATGTCCTTTTCTTAAATCACACTATTATCAGTTTATGCAGGTTCTAGGCAAATCTGCTATCCCTTGCAGTTAACCAAGTTTATAAGGGCTGCGAAGTTCCCATTCTCCTCTCACTTAAAGAAGCATTAGCTACTTTCCCAATGGCACTGCTAGAAGTAGCCTGCAACTCACCTACATCAGGTACCGGCAGACTTCAGGCTTGTGGGATCTTGTTTTTTTACTAGAACCCCAAGATCCTTGAACCAGAGTCAGATGCAAAACACACACACTAAGAATTAAAGAATTCAGAGCCTAGTAACCCATTTTGAGGACCTGAATCGAACAAAGCTCACAGTCCTTCCACAGAGGTTTCCCAACCTTTCTTCATTCCAGCAGTATAATGTGTTGGCAGCACTTGTTAATTTTGTTACTGATTTCGTCAAGCAACTGGGAGTCAGAAATTCTTGTAGAATGTCCTGAGATCTACCAGCAGACACAGATCTAGCTTCTGCCTACCCTAAAAGGAAGGAAATTCACCACAAGTGCTACTGCTGAGAAGGCAAGGGACACTCAACCAGAACTTTTCTTTGAAAATCACCCCCAAGTTAGGGCAATAACAGCAGTAAAGCAGAGAAAACTCATCTTCTTTCCAGCCACTGATCAAACTCTTGTTTGAGATTGCCTGGTCATTCTACAATTTACTATGGTTCTGCCCAAGGCAGACTGGACTAAGCAATCTTGCATTCTATCTAGGGGGCTGGTGAGAGTTGTAGCCCAAAACATATGGAGGGCATTAGGTTTTGCAAAGGGTGCTTTAAATATTACAAGCTACCCATGAATGTCACATCCAGATAATATTCAAGTATCCTTTTGCAACATTTCTTTCTGCAGAAGTATAAACCAGGATGTGTCCATCCAGCATAAGTTCATCCCACCTTGGGTCAGGTTATAGAGGTAAGGCCCCAGGTAGCTTCTACTTGTGTTGACCATTTCACCTGGAACATCTTACAATGCTCTTCCCAGGGACTGGACTGACTAGCCTATTGGTTTCTAGTGGTGGGTGATGATGCTGTTTGCTGTTTTGAGTTGTGTCCACATAATACGAAAGCCCTGGGAATAGGTTGTTGGTAAATCTTTCTGCCTGGATTGAAGTATGCCACCAGCTTATCTCCAATCATCCTTTGCATTTGCTTTAATATCACCATTACACAGTCTCATAAGAGGAACAATTTTCAGCCTCTGGAAAATTAGGAAGCTGCCATATACCAAAACAGGACAATTAGCGCCTTACTGTCTACACTGACTGACAGCAGGACTAACATTCCTAGCCATACCTGGAGATGATCAGGATTGTACCTGAGACCTTCTGCATGCAAAGCAGATGCTCTACCAATGAGCTACACCCCTTCCTCTTTGATGGTTTGGTCAAGTCCTTTAATAAAACCCTCCTGTATATACCATCTCAACCACAAAGATACAATTCCTGATCCTGTGCTGTTTGCTTTTCAGGCAGTCCCACAGGTCTCCCTGGAATTATCCCCTTCCTCTCTCCCACAGCTCACAATCTTCCATAGGGGAATCATGGGACAGAACAAACACAGCAACCCTGGAGCCTCAGATACAGAAATCAGTAGTGTTTATAGATGGTGTTGATTATATACAGAATAGTTTGATTAGGGTTCAGATCAGAAAAGGTACCATAATAAGGAACGACAATATACCTAGGGATAAGGATTTTTAATAAGCCTAAGGTTACACAATACTTGTCAGACCTCTGAAGTATTTACTCTGAATTTGTTGCGTGGCTGGCATGAGAGGAGTATTTCTCTCAACTCACCTGGGACAGATGAATTCACCAGGGGGCATCAACTGAATTCCAGTTTTCAGCCAATAGGGATAAACATAATGCAGCCCAGGCAGAATAAGGGCAGTGTGCTAAAAGAATAGGCAGCCTCACTGATGTCAAATCTGCACCACAATTTCTTTAATCCCAGCAATACAATACCACTCCTGGGAAGGTGTAACTGCCCAAAGGAATGCAGGATGCAATATACAACAACAACAACAACAACCTTTTATTTATATCCCGCCCTCCCTGGCTGAAGTCGGGCTCAGGGTGGCTAACATCAGATATATAACATTGGTATAAAATCAAATAATAATTAAATTACCTCCTAAAAACAGGTCAAAATCAAATTAAAATCTAATTAGATGGCTTTCCGCAGGGTTAGGGTTAGGAACAGTAAGTGCTCATCGGCCCAACTGTTTATGATGATCTTATATGGGCCTGTGAGAATGCTGGGAGGCCTCTTTCATATTAGTTCTTATACAAAAAGAAAAGGGGAGTCAGGCTGAGCCCTGACCAAAGGCCTGGCGGAACAACTCCGTCTTGCAGGCCCTGCGGAAAGATGTCAGATCCCACAGGGCCCTGATCTCTTGTGACACAGTGTTCCACCAGGCCGGGGCCAAGGCTGAAAAGGCCCTGGCCCTGGTTGAGGCCAGCCTAATCTGTCTGAGGCCCAGGATCTCCAAGGTGTCATTCTTTGCAGACCGTAAGGTCCTCCGTGGGGTGTACCAGGAGAGGCAGTCCCGTAGGTACGAGGGTTCTAGGCCATATAGGGCTTTATGGTGTTTCAGGAAATGCTGAGTTAGAATACTGTGGAATTATGGTGCAGCCTTATTGTATTGGTCCTCAAGCTAATGGCTCAACTTGGATCTGGCAAGATTTCTGGCAGGTCAGTGCTGATCCCATGTTTTGTGTTGGTATAGGCTGGATAAAGCCTGTTTCATCCACATTCATCCTTTTCAACGGAAGACTATTGCTTTAAGAGGATGTAACTTCAAGACTAGTCGACTGCAATGTCCTCTACATGGGATTTCCCGCTTTTGTCCGGAAACTGCAGTTAGTGCAAAATGCAGTGGCATGATTGCTGACAGGAGTCTGTTGGCATATTACACCTGTGCTTGAAGATCTGCACTGACTGACAGTTCACTACCAGCCTGAGTTGTTCTTATTGGTATATAAAGTTCTTAACTGTTTGGAACCAGTTTACTTAAGGGATTGTCATACCTCATGTGTGCAGATTCACTATGATCTGCAGAAGAGGCACTTCTGCAAGTGCCATGCAATATCCTTTCTGCGTTTGTAAGGAGTCTTCCTTTGGCACCTATACTTTGCAGCTCACTATTGACATTAAGCTAGAACCATCACTATACTCCTTTTGATGCCTGTTGAAAACTTTTCTGTTTTGGCAAGTCTATCCAGGCAGGCAGTTTGGTTATATCTGTTCTAAATTTTGCTTCAGATGTTTGATTGTGATTAGATGCTTTTAATATATTTTTTAAAATTAAAAGGTCCCCTTTCAATAAAATTTGTAAGCCAGTTTCATGGCTCCTCTAATGTAAAAGTGCAGAGTAAGCACTAAAATAAATTAAGCTATTTTTGCCTGTCTTGCTCTCACACATAGCCAGCTCAGAAACTGATCACAGCAATAATCTAAGAATACTTATCCAAGTCAGACCTAAGTTTTAGGTAAGATAACAAGAGAAACTACTCACTTCGAAAGCTCTAATCCAATTGCCAGTGCATACTGAATTATTAGCATATGGTATTAAGGGAACATAAAGTACAATTAAATTTTATATTGATATAAATGCTGTATGATCAAGGTCTGATCACAGAATCTGTAGAGAATACATACAATTAAAAACCATCCACACAAACAGAAGCAATATATGAAAGCTTGCATTAGAAGAACACAGAATACTTTATTCTTCCTATTAAAGAAAACATACATCTTCTCTTTCTTGCTCACAAACTAAAGTAGATGATCAATGGTATCATCTAGTGTATTATTCTTATTTGTGCTATTGTATTTGAATTGCCTTCTGTGGACCACTTTGAGCGCCATGTATTTGTGTAAGATGCAGAACATAAATACATACTATTGGCAACTTCCTATGTTGCATCAGTTGCACCATTTCAGCAAATACACTGGTGGTTACAGCTTATGATTTGTCTGGAGTGAGACAAACCACATGTCCAGGTTCAGATGATGCACTAAGCCAAATTGTGGCTTAGCTCACAGTAACACAGCAGCAGTACCAGTGAGGACAAGCAAATCAGACACTATCTCTTCTCAAGGACCGCACCTTAGCGCCAAGCCATGATTAGACTTACCATTACATGTTAACTGAGCCAATGTCTCAATACGCCCCCACAATTAAGGAGAAACTCCCTACAAATAGAAAGCTAGAATACCAGGGTGGCTAAGCTAAAACCTTCTCTGCAAATGTGCAATTTGTTACTGGAAGCGGGGCCAGTATGGTTGCAATTGTCCACCAACAATCCGAAAGTTAAGCTCTGTCATCTTTCTTTTACATTATGCAATTCCTTTAATTGCTACTATGTTCATTCAGTTTTAAATAATTGCTGTCTTTGATAAAATGAATAAATAAGCTTCTCTTTAACTCTAACTCTATGCAGACCTCAAAACATATTCCCCTAGGCATATTATTACACTAGAAAAAAGGAAAAGGTTTAAAGGTAAGATACCATTTTGTACATTCATATGAAGTATGCTACACTTCCGAAGCAAGTAATTCTTTTCAAAGGAAGGAATAGCTCCTAAGGTCACAGAACAAGGCAGAAACAAGTTTTTATAGTTTTTGTAAAGGGGTGGGGAAATCTGTTAGGTGCTTACTCTGCAAAGTGAACTTGTATTTAATTTGAGCAAGAGGCAAGATCCTCATCCACTGTATTCCACACGATACGAAATTGACTTCTTATTTGTGATTCTAGGAATGCATAATCCTATAACTACACAATGGATGGTGGTGTTATTTGCTACTTTGCTACGCAGGTCCCACTTAACAAACGGAATGTGTTCTCTGGAAATTGTTCATTAGGCAAGCATTCACATACCAGATCTACAATTTACACTATTTCCTATGAAAATATTTCTAATGCAGGATTTTCCAACCTTTCCCCATTTCTCTCCATGGTTTTTTCCTGAAATGGCTGCAGCCTATCAGCAAGAGAAAGAGAAAGGGGGAAAACGGATTTATCTGATCTCACCTGCTCCCCGATTTGTCCACTCTCTCTTACTCTCTGATTTGTCCTATCTTGCCCCGCCTCCCAGCCCTCTTTCTGTGGTTTCTACCCAAAAATGGCTGCCACCAACCAGCAAAGCACAAACAAGGATGTTGTTTGTTTGGATAAGTGAATCTGGAAAGTGTACAGCAGGTTTGGGCCTAATTCTTTATGTGTGACTAAGTGAATCTTCGGCTAGCGGATAGCCGGACCTGTGTATATTGTTAAAGCCCTAGGAAGGGAGAACTAAAATCAAGCAGCATGAACAAAAACATTTTTAAATCACATTTAAAATCTAAGTTTAGAATTACTGTCTTGAAAAAAGTATTCTATTTTAAACATATCTGAGGGGTAGGCATGTTAAGCATTTGCAGCAAAAACAAAGATTCTTGTGACATCTTAAAAATTAACCAATTTATTATGTTACAAGCTTTCTTGGATTACAGCTCACTTCATCAGTTGCAAGACCTGGAAGGAGAGAGGGATTGGAGTCACAGTGGTTTATCGATCATTATTCTACCCCCTGACCCAGGTGCCCCAAGAACTGTCTTCCCGTTTACATTGTGTCTATCTAAGGTGTGTATTTAGGACAGAATATGGGTTTTGCTAGTGTACCATGCTGCCTATTAACCTCCATTCCTGAGCTAAGGTATAGTCTCAGTGGTAGTGCTACAGTCCCATCATCATGGTATGGTTTAAGCTTACTGAGGCTCCAACCCTCTGCTGGTGTGAGGCACCAATTAAAACGGCCCATCAGAGAAGGCTGATGGCTCTTGGGGGTTTGCCTTTCACTTCAAGAGGCAATCCTGTTAAAGCACTGGTCCACCTTCGAAAAAGGGAAAAGGCCTGAATAGTTGACAAAATTACTCATGAGATCACTCTCTGGGATTTTTCTTTTTTGGGGGGTGGGGAGCAGGGAGTGATGCAATGAAGGAGGACAACAGCTAGAGCAATACTGGCAAAAGACTCTGAGCAAGTCCAAATGAATACAGGGTAGAAACCGTCTGAAAACCTACTCTATGGCAGCAAAGAAACTGCGTTTCTGCCACCACTGCATTCTACAGTCATTCAGTGCAACTTTTTTGGGTGGTCAATGATCAGTTACATCTTGTTTCATGAAATAATGAAGACAGTACCGAATGATTTCCATCCAGTCTCCAATACTCCATTCTTGGGAAAGGTGCTCAGGCATGTGGTGGCATCTTAACTTCAGGATTTTTTTTAATTTAAGACTAATTATCTAGAGCCATTTCAATGTAGTTTCAGGTTGGTTATGGGATGGGGGCAGCTTTGATCCTCTTGGTGGGCAATCTACTCCAGGAACTGGACAGGGAGAGCATGTCCTTGGTGGTTCTGCCAGACTTCTCTGTGGCTTTTGTTATTATCAACCATGGAATCCTATTTTTGTGAACTGCCTGGTTGTGATAGGACTTGGAGGCACTGATTTATGGTGGTTCTAGTCCTTTGTGCAGGGTCAGTTTCAGAAGGTGGTGCTAGGGAACTCCTGTTTGATGATTTGGCTGCTGGGCTATGGAATCCCTCATGACTCCATCTTGCCTCAGTGCTAACCACTGCGTGAGAGCATCCGTGGTTTTGAGGTTCCGTGTTAACAATATGCTGATGATGCTCAATCCTACCTTTCCTTTCCATTTAAATCCAAGAAAGCTGTTCAGATTCTGAATCGTTTTTGACATCTATAATAAGACTGGATAAGAGTGAAGACATTGAAGTATGATTCAGACAAAGCAGAGTTGGTCCTGGCCTTACTCTTTCTTAAATGAGATAGCAGACCTCTTGGACACATGTTTGCAGTTTGGGTGTGTTCCTAGCTTCAACCCTGAACCTGGAAGCCTGTGTCAGTGGCAACCAAGTGCACTTTTGCATAGCTAAAGTTAGAATGCCACCTGCATCTTCTCCTGGCTATATCAGGTCTTCTCACAGTGCCACATGCTGCTCTTCTATGCCACAAACTGCTTTCAACACACAACCAATATATATTATATATAGTACTATATATCAGTATCACAAACACCTCCATGTTGGTGTGTATGCATGTGTAGAGATCTGATTTCCAAGGTTAGGCATTATAAATGCAAGAAAAAGGCCTTGTAATGTATCGTTTTGCCTTTCCATTTGACCGAGAAAGTCATGAAACATGACCCAGAGACATGAGAATACAGGAATGGCATCTTGCACTGAACCAAAATTGTCCACTAAGCCCTTGTAGTCATCTGCAGCCTTAGCCTTCAGGTAAGTGATCCTGTAAGTGATCTTTGTCTCTAAAAAGATACAATTGTTTAGTGCACACAAACTGCATGACCAGACATTTTGGATCATATACTTAGGATGTATAACAAGTTTCAATTTTGTAGCAAACCAAAGCTTTAATCGCCACAAGCAATTGCTTGTCCAGAAAACATGGATTTCAAAAAGGGAGACTTAAACTGGCCTTTTTTCATGGAAATGTAAATCAGGAACATCTACAATGGCTGTTGGATGACCCCTGCCAATGGGAAATAGGGAACGCCTGGCAATCATTAGTGCTTCTGAAGAAGTACAGCAGTAAAAAATCAAAGTAAAAAAACTTCCTTAGAATGGATGGATGGGGAGAGAAATGTGTAACTTATCACCAGTGATGCTACAGACACTAGCCACAGGCTGCCAACCAAACTATATTCAATGCAAAAGGTACATTAGCTAGCTTCTAAAAACCCAAACACCACATTACTGAGAATGGCAGTAAAATGTTTGGCTCACATATGCAACTGTAACTGGGTTATAGTTACAGTGCAATAAGACAGTCTGAAAAATCCCTAGAACTGTAAAATGCATTCAAAGTCAAATGATTTTCTGAATATCCTCCCCTTTAGCACAGAAGAGTATGAAGATAAACAGGACTGCTGTAGTATACAGTTGCTTTTTCCTGCAACACTTCAACTGTTTTGTAGGTTTTGTGCTTTAGAGACCTCTTTTGGAGTCTAGAGGTTCAGAGTCTATTAAACCCTCAAATTTTAGATTTGTTGCTTTTATCTTGATGTCAGAGTTTATGAACAGGTAGCCCACCAATAATTTGTAAGATTGAGAATCAGCTCAAAAGTTTGCATTTACTTATTAAAAGCTGAAGAATGAGTCACAAACATATGTCTGAAAACATGTTCTGGAAGCAGTAAGAATTATTTCATTAGTTTACAAGCATTCAGACAAGTAATACTGATCTTTTTACTGAAAAAGTCTAATAAGAAGAAATATGTAAACAATTACTGTGTAAGGTAAGGTCTAAACCCAAAATGAGTGATGCCACCCATGGATTCAACAGTGGTCAAGCTAACAAATTCTTTCAAATGCTCATTCTAACTAGTCAAATGGTACAATAATGAGAGACAGATGCCTTTTATAATCATATTTCTCTCTGCTGTTAAACTATGAATCTACCCCAAATAGTTTCTTAATCTGCATTTCAGACAGGTGCTAAGAGTTTACAAGAGAAAGGAGCTAAGAACACTAATTTACAAGGTAAAATATACAATGGGTGGCAAACCTGAAAGCAGGGTGCAATGTGGCAAAGAAACCAACAGCTAGCTATCACATAACATAGCCTAATCTACACTATTTGCTACTCTCATCTCATTCGACTGCATCAAAGGATAAATGCTCTAGTTTGTTACACTCTTTGAACTCTGCATGTGACACATATGCCAAGTTGTCTGACTGATACTCCTCGATGAATTCACCATATTTCCTTTCTACAGCTGAACAGTGCCAAGATTTAGTTTCCACAAATGCTTACTAGGTAAGGTCTAAACCCGGGCCAGAGTTTCTAACCTAAACCTTTGAACAGGGATTTTTATGCATCATAACCCTAACTGACTGAATAGCAGGTTAGTTTCTTTTCTAGAAGATAGGAAATTGAAACAAGTGCCATCATGGAGCAATATATCTTTTGTTTACTCCCATTTAGTAATGTTAAGTCAGATCACATATATGCAGTGCTTTTTTTCCTATATATAAAAAAAAGTTTAGGGGTACTCTCATTTTCCTACTCATATTGAAATACTGCCCCCCAATGAGGTCAAAGTTAGATTCACAAAATGTTTAGGGGTATACATACCCCTGCGTACCCCCAGAAAAAGGCACTGCATATATGCATGAGGTTTCAGGTACTTCTTGGCAAAGAGCCAATAAGATGTTATATGTTATTTCCATTTTCTAGACCTTTTGAATATAATAGTGTCACTAGACTTTATAATGTAATTTATACAGCAAAAGTCATTTCTTTGTGCCTCTTTGTTAAGTTCATTCTTTCAGAATGGGCATACGAATCTTCCCTACTACACTACCGACACATCAGTCTGGTCAATTAATTATATTTTAGAATCAATAGAGAATCATGAATTTGGGTGCTCATCTTAAATTGTTTCTATTTTCATTTTCGTATATTTTTGATAAGGCAAAGCTAAGATGATTTGGCCAGAGACTGTGTTGTACTGGTTACATCTTATACTTGTACTATTTTTTAGCTTCTAATAACTTTTGACCACAGAAATGGCCTGCTGATATTCTAGTAAATCGCTTTCCTGTCTATTTAAAATTGAAAACTGTGTAGTTGGAATAATTATCAATAATTCTCAACAGATGGACATTATTTTGCATTTCTCAGTCAGAAGCATTGCTTGCTTTTTGTTCATCAGCTTAATCCAGACTGTTCAGAATGTTCCTTCTGCATTTTGGTTTGTATTTGATGCATTTCTCATACTTATACCCATTTTCCAGATGTGAAAAAAGGAAAGCAGTAGTAAGCAATAACATGTGACATGTATCTCAGCATCATTGGATCACCACAGTACTTAATTGAAGCGGTGGAAGAAATTGCTCAAGAGAATAGCACAGCAGTGAAAATGTTCAAAGATCAATTTATGTAGCAGCAGTTCACTTGTTGTTTCACTACACTCATGGTTTTATTTACAGATTTCTACTGCACTCTCTAAACAAATCCCCAGGGTCACAATATGCACAGAATATGGATAGCAGCATTGTTCAGTGAATCAATACACAATGCTGTGTTATTTAGTCTGCTGCACTCAACAGGTGATTTCCTTCTATGAGGAAGGTGGATTCTATAGAAATGGGGCAACAGAGCAGGCAGGTAACTAGGTGAATAACCCAAACCCCTATCCTTTTCTTTACCCACAGACGCTATAATGCTATGCCTATATTTGAGGTTATCTACCACACTTTGATTAGCTTAAGAATTCAAAGACTTGCTGTGTGAGCTTTAGATGCTTAAATGAAGCATCTCACATCCCACCCCCTGACCTATCCCAAAACACTACCCACAACATACATACTTCGTTTAGCGCTGCAGAAAGAATCAACTGCACCATTCTAATCCCTCCCCCCAGTCACAGAATCATAGAATTGTAGAGTTGGAAATGGCCCCGAGGATCATCCAGCCCAAGTCCCCTGTAATGCAGGAATATGCAAACCTGCAACCTTGGTGTTATTAGCACCACACTCTAACCAACTGAGCAATCCTTTATATGTGAGCACTTACCAGCAAGTACATTGCTGCAGATTATGGTATTGCAAGATGAAAAACCTTACTTGGTTGAACCATCATTTACTGCTTCCAATGTATTCCCGATCATAGAATCATACTGTTGGGAAGCTGAGGATCATCTAGTCCAACCCCTACAATGCAGGAATCGTTTTCAATTACCCAGGCCACTGCATACTACAATCTCTATTAATCCATTCCTAATTCTCAAACCTCATTAAGGTTATAGATTGTGGCTTGAGTTTTACTGAGAGTAGACCCATTGAAATTAATGGGCATGTTAGCCATGTTTATTATTTCAACAGGTCTACTCCGGGTGGAATGAGCATCTTTAGTGGCTTTCTACGTTCCCCCCACCCCCACAACTGCCAATACGGCAAGTTTATGGTGTCATGAACCACTTACTTCCTTTGCCATGAGCTTGTTGAATGCTAAGGAACTTTGATTGTATGAAAGGGGTTTTTAAAAGAAGTTTTCCACTAAGTTTTCTTAACTCTTACCGCCTAAGCTTTCCAGATCAGTAACTCCCTGATCTGTAGTTTGCAGTTTCATACAGTTGAGTTAAGCTGACCAGAACTTCATGTACTACTTAAGATCAAGAAATGCTATTATTTTCTATCACTTCCTAGCCTGGGCTTATTCCTTAAGTGATATAATCATCACACAATAAACTAAGTTGAATTCCATATTTCACTTGCGTTTTTCAATGTTGCTGTCTCATTTTAGATTCTCCGATTTGTTGCCGCACATGTAAACAAATGTTGCTCAAATTTCATTTTCAAAAACTAGTTTAGCACAATGCTAAACTATTCAGACTTTCTAAAAAGCTGGTCTTACAAGCCACAATATTGGTAGGTAACTATTATATTTGCTAACTAGAAGGGGTGGGAAGAGATTTGTGGCTAGTATACAACCTAGTTCAGCAATGTTTTCATTGCCTTCATAGCTTTGGCATGAATGTAACTTAAGAGTCTCTCATCTGCAAAATAGTTCTTTAGTTAAGTAGAAATGTGAGTCTCTGATGAATTACATTTTCACCTGTGAGTGTTCTTTCTATTTTAAACATGTCTTAAACATGTCTGTTTAAGCTATCTACTTAATAATGTCTTTGAATTCACTTGACAAGGTCTTTTTTTTCATTCCTACTTTTCTAGTGTGTGTGTGCCTTTTTCACTTTTAATACTGCTGTTATTACTGGGCTCCTTCAACCTGCCTATATAGTGTAATATTATTAGCATTTCATGTTTGCAATATATTGTAGATACAAATTTTGGAACTTCTGTCCCATCGCAGCAGGCTGTGTGTGCAACCTGATGCAAATGCTCATTCAGATGGAAGCAAGACATTGCTATCCACATTTCATGTTTCTGATTTCAGGATGCTCATTGGTGTCTGCATCGCAGTGTCGATGAGAACACACATCCATGCTGCTAATCTCATTCAACACTTTATACGACGGCTGAACTGAAATCCGTTTCCTCCTCTCATTTTCTGTTATTCTCATTCTCGCACAGTGACTTCAGTGTTTCATCCAAAAATGGCACTTCATAGGGTATGTATGTTTGAGTGTATTTGCTTTAGAAGTACAATACCCTGTATTATTCAAGAAGCTGAAGCAGTGGAACCGTGATGGGAGATTTCACCTCAATGACAGGCTTCTCTGCTTTCCAGATACAGACCACTCTTTCACAGACCAGGTAAAACATATAGATCACTTTTGTTTAGAAGCATGCAACTAGCCTTCCATATGGGAAATTTGTCAGAGGTTACATTGAAGAGGAAGCTGAATGTTTATTACTTTTCAAAGTTCAGTTTACAGAGATGCTTATTAGCTGCACAGTCAATGCATCTGGCCATGCATATTGCTCATCTGGCCATTTCCCTCACTACAGCTGGGGATACAATAGGAAATGATGCTCCATCTCTCACTGCAGTTATGAACGATGGACAATGGGCAATGTTCTCCTGCATTATTATTGATTCCAAAGTGCCCGACAGGCAAAACAGTGTGACTATTTGAAAAAAATTACAAACTGCTTTGTGCTGCATATACAAACCCCAGCTGTGCCTTCAGAAAAGAATCTGAAATCTGTTTTAATCTCCTTCTTGACTTGGACTCAGAAGGTTTTATTTTACAATTAATCCTCTAAATGCCTATTGTTTGAGCAGTTTCAAATCCCAGCATACCCATGACTCTTCATGAATTTAGGCACGGTAGCAGACGTTTAATCAAAAACTGTAGTGTGAACACATTGAGGGACAGCCCAATTGCAGAATCAGCTTTGCAACATTGGCAGCAATAGTTAAGACTACAAATAATTTCCATAAGCAGGATACTCTTGCTACTAAATGGGTATATTTATCCAAACTCTATACACATCTAACAACCACGAATATAGGCTAAGCTTATGCCTGTGCAAATCCAGTGACATCTGGTTAGTCAGTCTCCTCCATGAGAACAAGTTTTCTACTACGCTTAAAGGAGTAATCCCTGTGCCTATCACTGCTGCATTTACATTTTTCTGCTGCTATTTAGCAGTAAGGATTTCGAATTAGAACATACAGCATTAGTTATTCTTGCTCCAGATTCAAAGCTGTGCAACTAGTGGTAGAAATGGATCCCCTTGTAGAGTTATAGAGTAGAAGGATGAATTAATTTTTCATCAACTCCTGCTAAGGTGTTCTGAGGAGGTCATATATTTAGAAGACTACATAAAAATCAATCACCAGAATAACTATGGATAATGCAGCACAGAGTGCAATCCGACAATTAAAATACTACTACGCTGAATGAAAACACCAAGCTTAAATGCCAAGGACTCCTTTGTAGGAGACATTATGGCTGTAGGTGAAAGAAGCAAATACCAACATAAACCAGTCTTCTCTGAGTATGTTATACATACCCAAACATACAGCTACACATAGCAAATATGTTTATGCAAAAACGTTCAGTTTGGATGTCATTTCTACTTTTCCTCCATCCCAACCTACCTTGATATTGCAATACTACTTTTTTAACTTTACTGTATCCTTCCTTGCAACACATTGCTGACAATACTTGTAGCATTTTACTTCCAAGTAATATATGCTTTCAATAAGGATATTGCCACAAGCCAAACCACCTTAATGTACATTTAAAACAGTTTACGCACAAACCTAATACATATACATGTGTGTATGATGGGGCATATAGAGTGGAACACACATTTGCAACCAGGCAAGTGAAACAGCTGCCAAGTCATCTGTCACCTGCTCTGTATTCTCTGAAAGGCTACCAGCAGAGAATGCTAACTAGCTAGTTTCTGTCCTGTAATCCCACAGAAACCAATAAGCCAGTGGTTCCCATGCTTTCCCCCACATGGGCCATTTGGAAATTGCTGAAGGTCTTGGAGGACCACTTACCAACTTTTCTGTTGGTTGTGGTAATTTTTTGCATTATGATATATGCTGCATGATTTTAATTGTATTTTAATTGCATCTTTGATTTTACATATTGTATTACAATTTGATTTCCATAGAATGTAATAAATAAAAGAAGCAATTAAAATACAATTAAAGATCAGTATGACTATTTAATGAAATGGATGTGCAGACCCCCACATTCAACCACAAATCCACAAACACACTGTGGACCACCTGAATGAAGCTCAGTCCCCAGGTGAATTTGGGAATCCCTGCAATAAGCCATTATAGATGCAGTTTCATTATCTCAGTGAAACCTTCAGTTCCCATTTGTTATGATGATCAGCATATCCTCTTCCCTTAACTATAGAGAAAACAGCCGCTCAACTTAGAACCTTATTTGTTATTTACTGTTTGAAAGTTGGGGGATTTTGCAAGCCTCCTCTAGCTGAAAACCGACCAAACGCCAGGATGTATTATTGTTTAGTGTATTTCCCACTATTTCTCATTGTGTATGCTTAGTTCATTCTTTAGCCACTTGTTTCTTTCCAGCACCAGATCTATACTGCAAGTACTACATGGTAAATTTGTTACAAAGACAACACTGGTAATGGTTCATGGTTGTCTTTAAGATACCATTTTAACAAAACCTGAGTCTTGTAACTCACCTGTCATCGACTGGCAATCAATGTCTAATCTTCACCTTTTAGAAGTTACTGTATTGAATGCCTGGAAACATCGTAAGCTTGGATACAAAGCAGCTTCTGTAGGCAGCATGAAATGCTTCTGCATACATGTGAGGAAATTCAATGGCCACCTCTCAGTTCCATTAGAAAAATCATGCATTGGTTAAATAAAAAACTCTCCCTACTAAGCAAGTGCATAATTTGCATGTAGTTATTGTTAGCATTTCCCTTTGGAGTAGCTCTATTAGGAAAATCTATAATTTATAATTTTTATTTATTGAATTTGTATACCACCCTTCAACTGGAGATCACAGAGTGCACCAGTGAAGCTAAGCAAGAGTGAATCCAATTACTGGGTGGGTAGGCAGGAGGCTGCTACTTAAGCTGCTCTGAGCCTTCATTCGAAAGAAGAATTCCTAACAGCCAGCCCTGCACAGAAATGAAACAAAAGAATCCTCAATTCTTAGCAGCACCAAATTTTAGGTGGTTAACTTTGAGTGAATAATTTTTCCAGTGTTGACTGCACATTCCTTATTACATGGAAATGTGTTCTCTGGTTTTGTCTAATTTGAATTTCTACCAAATTTGAGATTATGCAGAACTCTTCCCTACTGAATTTCAGGTTCTTGACAGACTTTCCTGTTTCAGCAGGCACTTTATTTATTTATTATTCTTATTTCATAAAATGTATACCTGTATGCCAGGGGGGAAACTCTCAAAGCAGTGGTTTTCAAGTAGTTTCTTACTGCTATTATGAATTTTAATAATCCTTATCCTTTTTTAAAAAAGTACACCACTTAAGACATTCTAAATATTAAGTGAAAGATAAATGACATAAAAATAAATAAATAAACCTCTTAGATGAAGATAGTATTTAGGTTTACAAGAGGCAGCCAACAAATATAAGGAATGTTGAAGAAAAGAAATGCACAATAATGATGGGAGGGGCAGACTATTCTTTGTTCCTGGTGCATTTCAAAATCTATTTTTTCAAGGGATGTAGTCTTTACAATGACCTTAAGGTAGCTGGTACTGCTCATCCACACAATGACCACAATTTTTTCTGCACTAGTATTAAGTCCGCAAAGTTCAAATCTATCATAGTATCTGTTCTTTAGGAGATTTGACACTTGTACTGTCTTGTGATGGAGTGAGAAATATTTTTGGTCATCATCACTGAGTGGGTAAGCAGAGCCAACTGTCTTATAGCTTATAGACCTTTGAGGTGGTTTAGGAATACTACCATGAGGGCCACATGAGTCATAGATATGAACAAAACACTTTGCTAGAACCCTGAGAGCTAATCCAAGCAAATTAAATGCACTGACTGCCAATCAACCATGTAGCTAGACATTTTACCTACCTTAAAGTGATGTATATTAAATGTGATGTTATTCTCTGGATTCTTTAGCATCACAACCGTATTCTTGATAGGCCAGTGTCAAAATACCACCATTTTCCAGTGATAGAGCCAACAGACAAAGGATGACTGACAACACTGAAGTTTTCAATCTATAGAGCATATTTTCTAGTATTCTATAGTCAAAGTTTAGATTCTAATTATGTTGTCCATAGTAATAACCAGATCCAATACACAACACTAGACCTACAGTTTAACAGTAAAGAATGCAAGAAAAAAATGTCTGAATAATCCAACCAAAAAAGGATAGTTCTCCCAAGGGCCATGCATGCACCTTAAATTAAGCATCGCATTACTTGTATGCAAAGTTTCACTGTTCTGAAAACTTTAACAAGGTTCTATAGCAAGGGTTTCTGAACTGTGGTCTGCGAGCTTCACCCAGGTGATCCATAGCATGTCCACAATAAATATTCATTTGAATTTTATCTTTTCATTTCTCATATAGTATTACAATTTTATTCTCTGGAATACAAGTTGTAATACAATTAAATACAAGTAAAAATCACACAGCATCTGCAAGTGCATGACAATTGCTACAACAGGAAGAAAAATAACTAAGTGGTCTGCCAACCAATTTTCAAGTGGCCCATAGGGGGAAAAAGTTTGGGAACAACTACTCTGGAATTAATCTATATGTATTTGAGAAATATCTGTTAACTACACCTAAACAAGTTTAAGAGAAAGGATCATTCAGCAAATCCTGGTTTAAAAGGTAGAGCACACTCATATTGAACCTGCAAACTAATGTTCTGCTGCACCATCGTAACCAATTTTAGCACAAAAATATCTGTCTCTCACATATGACACATTCGGTTTTTGGTGGAAGGCCCATGTATTAATAAACTTGTGAGCTAAACCATCTAAGTGCTGAATACATTTAAACTTGTTCTGAGTAAAAGAAGTACAAGTCAGAAGAAAGGAAAAACAACAATTTTCTAAACTTGTTGCAAGTAACTATTTCACCAAACACTGTACTGCAAAGGCCAAAGCTAGCTAACCTAAAAATCTCAAAATCCACAGAAAGGACCTGAAATCAAAAGAAAGGCTGCCCGAAAATTGCCGCAATTGTAGCTTGAGTACCTGCAACCTATCACTTTTCATATGCTCAGGCACATTTTGCAATAAACTTTATTGCCACCAATTAGAACTTAAGTCTTGCACCAAAAATAATAGTTACAACAGGGGACAGTTGTGCACACACACCTAAGCTACAACAGAATTTTGTTGGACCTATGAGAGACCCACATTCAAACCCCCACTAAGCCATGAAGATCACTGTGTAAATCCTTGGACAGTCACTATTCTTCATAAAGGCAGCTGTGAAGATATAATGGGAGAGACATATGTCCTTGGCCACACACACAACAAATAAAAAAATAAAGCTGCCTGTATACAAGTCTGCATAAATACATAAAACCACGATTTACATGAAGACTTTGAATATAAAGTCCAAGTCTCTAGGTATCATGGACAGAGATTAAGTGCATGGGTGATAAATAAAGAGAAGCAGAAGCAAGCAAAATTAAGTTGTGTAATTTAGACAGGCTGCAGGAATTTTCTTCTTTTAATGCAGAATTTTGCTTTTAAAAAAATACAAACACAAAGCCAAGTTCCTCGCACAAGTAATAATGCTATGTAGAATAGAAACATCAAAATAAAGCATTTTTCTCTACGAGAAATTATCACAATTTCAGAAATCTGGCAGTGTCCCTTCCATATGCTCTTTACAATCAATCACTTATGCAGTGTAAGGACTAATGTCTTATGCATCGGCAGACCAACAACAGATCAAAAACAAATTTCTGTATGCTGCAAGTCAGCAGTGTTTTCCTCTCACTTTAATGAGTGGATGCTTATTTGCCAAAATCCCACATGCAGTCCCTAAAAAGTGGCCTGCCAGCAAGCTGATGCCACAGATATTGCAGCCTCAACATCTCTTCTGCCTCTGTGTTGCTGGCTGAATGAATTTGGCACAAGCACTTCCAGCTGCTGACCCCTATTTAGTGTACTGAACTCAATACTGCCTACAATGCTGTTAATGCCACACCTCCTCTGGAACGCAATTCCTTTCGGCATTATACAGGTCCCTTTGCTGTACTATTTTTGGTGCCTGCTAAAAACTTCTTCGTTGAGGCAGTATTTATTCTTTGTTGTAATATTATATATTTTATGTAAACTTCTTAGAGGTGCTTACAATTAAACATGATATAAATTGTTAAATAAAACAGAAATCTGGTTAAATAAAAAATACACAGAAACCTGCTTATGTGCATAGGTTTCCTTAACTGAATCACCAAGTGGTAGCTTTATTTTCTAACACAATATCTGATATATTTTTTAAAAAATTGGGAGTGCTTGGTTTTAACACAACAGCGTCTTCTAACAGAAATTATTTTAAGTCATTATAAATAGTTGTTTAACAGTAAAGTGTCATAACAATGGGCACCATCATGTTTGGTGTCCTCTGCTTCCCAAAAGCCACTAGCTCACTTAAATGGCTCTACTGTTTGCTCCTCTTTATAAATCAATATTGCATCACATCTCAAAACGTCTATCTTCCATAAAGGCTTCTCACCCAAAGACAAAATGCCTAAATGTGTGCAGCTGAACACAAAAAATATTCCTTCCACCTTTATCTCTCTTCTATACGTTTTTCTTCTTTCTCGTAGTTAGAATTTAGTAAGTAGCCTCCTCATGGTGAATAACTGTGTGGTATTGATTTAATAAAGTGCCGTATACTCTGGCAGTGTACTATTAGGTGTTTTTCCTGAACACTGCTTCAAACACTCTAAAGCAGAAAGGCAGTTTATAAAATTCTAATCAAAATCTAGAAAACTGGGTTATAGAATCATAGAATTGTACAGTTGGAAGGTACCCCAAGGGTCATCTAGTCCAACCTCCTGCAATGCAGGAATCTCAGTTAAAGCATCCCTAGCAGATGGCCACTCAACCTTTGCTTAAAAACCTCCAAGGAAGGAGGGTCCACAACCTCCCGAGGGAGACCGTTCCACCGTCGAACAGCTCTTACTGTGCGGTTTTTCCTGATGTTTAGTTGGAATCTCCTTTCTTGTAACTTGAAGCCATTGGTTCATATAGATGTATATTAATTTCATACTCTTAGAGAACATCAGCTACATGTTGAGAAACAAGATTCACTATGCCTTCTACAATATTGCTCCTTAAATAACGTTAGCAGAGCAAAAAATATAATTAAATCCATCTAATGCTCCCCAATGTGAGCTAAAGGCTAGCAAAGTTAGGGGCTAGCTAAGTGGTTCTATCAATTTATTCCATCAATTGGACATCACCACTCACAGCACCCTATCCCCATTAGTCATCCACTGAATCTCCAAAAGCAGGGGCACCCACAGTAGGGTCTCTAAAGATCTCAAGGAATTTAGATATTTGCACAGAATCAGACGCCCTTCAGAAGCCCCAATTCTGAACTTTCAATCAAGACTAGTACTTTACTTGTACTCAATGGCTTGGATCCAAAGATATTTCCTAAAAGCAGAAAGGCACTTCCATTTGTACAAGGCAGCCTCTCAATCTGTACCCATTTTCTTCTGTAGTCACATGCCCCATCAAACAGTGTTCAAAAGGACCCTTGACCTTCAGGAACAGCTTTTCAGGGGGCACAGAGGATTGATGTGTGGAAGATGAGCCAAGAAAACCCCATTGTGCGAGCAGAGTTCCACTCATTTTCTCTCAGGATCCAACCAACCGAATTAATATTAAAACATAATATATACTGGCAGGATAAGTTCCAAGCAGCTATTTCAAGTGAAGTTTGGACATCCTACATACAACACTATGCAGTATGGATGTCAACAGCAAAGATAACTGTAGAAAGGCGAATTATGCCCAGGAGGCACTGCAGCAGGCACACTAGGTGAAACTGGTGTTTCATTTAACAGATGCCACTGGGACCTCCAATATTAAAGACAAATCTAACTGGAATCTGAAAGACATATTGCTTGTATTTCTCTGGCCTTTCATCTCTAAACAAATATTATTTAGCTACTCCAATGAGGATGACAATCTGTTGTACACTGGAAATCATACTGCAAATATAATCTTATACATAATTACCTAAGAATAAGTCCCACTGAACTCAATGGGACTGACTTCTGAGTAAATAGGCATAAGATTGCACTGTAAAAGTTTTCTTAGATAAAATAAGCAAAATTTAGCTGTTTGTTCTACTCATTGAGTTGGAATAAAAAGGGACTCCAGTATGGGAAGAATAAATGTCTGTTAATGCAAGGTGGGTCCTATGGTGTCTTGTAACTCCCTCCTCCATATACATAAAGATCCTCTAATCCTGGAGTGGGTGAGACAGCACATTCTGTAAGTGGTTTCTAGGATCCAATCCATCTTGCAGAATTTTCCAGGAAAACATTGTCTTCTCGTCAAAACTTTAACACAAGCTCCCAAATTAATTTCAGCTTGTACACCACTAAGAAAACCCCTACAATAACATCACTTGAATTTTCCAATATCTGATGTGTATACTGAGGTGTTAAAGTGTCAATATAGCCACTGACCAGAGGACATGATTAATTGGACAGTATATAAACACCAAATATAAATATTAAGCTTTGAGTATAGCTTTTGCAAGATCAGCTGCAATTTTAAAAACTTCAGACAAATATATCCTCTCATTTTAAAGATTTACTAGTGCACTATTTTTAAATTTTTAATCAGTATACAGGATATGAATCAGATGGGATTTCAGACACCATCTGCATAACAATCTGAAGAAACACGTCTACAAGAGTTTCCTAGTACCCTGCTGTATTTTCTAGAATATTTGCAGAAGTATCCTAACAATCCCACTTCAAAGTGAAACGAAGCGGTCAAAACCATTAAGTGACAGAGGACTAAAAACCACCAGTTTAATTGAAGTTAACATCAACAAAAGCAATGCTAGGATTTTTCAATATTTAAGTATGGTTACCAATTCATCTACATACTGCTTTCAAAATTCAACCAATTCTTGAAATAAAACATTGGGCTAAATCCAAAGGTTCCATTCCACTCATTAAAGGGATGCCCATCCATGGAAATACTCATCAGTGATTGAAAGAAGTCATTTCATTCATGAAACAGAACCTTTCAGTTCAACCTCATGATTTTACTTTTCAGGATTTGTATTCCTGCAGTCATACCCGTATGATTGCAAACTAGTTGGCAATTAGAGAACAAACTTTAAAAATAGAAGTAGAAAATGCTCATTCCCTATTCAGGCCATTTCCTCAAAATGTAATATTTTTATTGACCGTTCAATAAAAGAAGTCTGCTGTTGAAACACACCAGACAATTAAAAATAGATAGCAAGAAACTTCAGAAAGACAGTTTTATTAACAGGAGGCTTAGTAATTTTAACAGTGTAGTACAATCATGTCATTTTTCAGGAATGCACCATCTCTGTTCCTGTCAAAACAGTTTCAAATCCATGAATTACAAAATTTGTAATACAGCCACCACTTCATTGCAACACTTTCACACAATCCTTGAATTACTGTACTGCAAAATCCTCTCATGATGCAGCAATTCAGCATGTTTTTTCATTCACCTAACACACTGGATGACTAGAATAGAATGGTTGCCGCTTGCATGTCTACATTATGCCAGGCTGTGCACTTCAGATGTTCCATCATACACAACTCAAATGGACACTGTTTCCCTTTAACTGGGATCAGAATAGCTTAAAATGTTTTTTAAATATACAATGATTTGCAAGTGTTTTTTCAGGCAACTTGTTGAATCTAATCATGGACAGTCTTTGATTTGCATCTTCCCTCTTTCATAAGAGAGTTCTACCAGGAAAGTGACAATTCTACAGAGAATTTGAACAATGTAATCTATTGGAAAGACTTTAAGAACTCAATTTGTGACGGGAGACATTTCAATGCTTTAATAGCTTAAGTGATCATAGCAATAATTCACAAGATTTCATGGAATCATAGTAACACAAATGATTGCTAACATTAACACTTTGCATCAGTCCCTTATGTTCACTTAATAAACCAAGAGATTTCAGAAGGGTGTGGTTCAAAAATATACACAACATACAGAGTGTACAAAAACCAAGTGATGAGGATCCTATCCCAACTGTAACATACAATCCTAACAAATCCATCTAATCAAACAGTTATACTTTCAAATTGTGGCATGGTATGGCACCTCCATGTATTCAATATTAAGCATACAGTAAAGATGCAGAGTAATAAATGAAGGTATCTGCACTTGTGGCAAAAGCCTTATTCTATACAGTCAGTTGAAATATGAACTAAAATTATTCCACAAAAGCTGGAATTTTACAGATTGTTCTGTTTATGTATAGGAAAACTGCCTATATGTTTCTCAATGTACATAATTTCACTGTCCATACACCAAGAATCTTTGAAAAAATAAGGTACATAAACAATCTGTGTATACTTAGACTTTATTCAGTTGCAATGTTAAACTCGGGACTTTTAAGCAAAATAACCCCCAAAAAACAAAAAAACTTTGACCTGTGTAAACAAAGAAATTCAGCCAGCTTTTAACCAACTCTAGAAAGAGCTACTTCCTATTTTACAATAGCTTGCAACAGCACCCACTAAGAGATCACTAACTTCATCAAGACAGTTTTCCTCATCCAAGATTTCAAAAAACAAAAACAAAAACACAATCTAGACTCCTTGATAAACATTGCATGGTTAATTTAGCATTAGCAAACTTTTTCTACTGATGAGAATCCTTCTTTATGTATCTGTACTGGTAGAACAACTGCACATTTCCTCTTGCAGTGATTGCTCTGTAAACAATTAAACCAGTCAAATCAAAACAAATGGAAAGTTTAAACAATTTATAGGTTCTAACCTGGAGCTACTATAAAACAGTCTGAATGCATAAATCACAGCACTAATATCTATTCTACAAACATTTTATAATACCAGCTACCCTAGAACAAGTTTGACTTTTCTTGAGCCTATTGGCCTGTCATTCAGATCAACAACAGCTGCCATTGCTTCATCACGAGATTCAAATGCAACCATTGCTTCACCTGTTGGCATGCCCTTTTCATTGTATTTTAAGCACACTGAACCTGGGATTACTTGGTAACCATAGAAGAAATCCAAAATTTCATCCACTGATACAGTAAAGGGCATATTCTGAACTTTAATGACAGTTGGCCCTGGCTTTCCAGAGCCAGCTCCAAACCCAGGTGGCCCAGCAATATGCAAGTTTCCAGGTCCAGGTCCAAACCCTGGAGGTCCACTTAAATGTCCAAGCGCACCACCAAGACCTGGAGGTCCACTACCAAAGTTAGGAGGAACAGTTAAATTACCAGGCCCATTTCCAAAGTTCTGAGGACCTCCTGTGAAACCTGATGGCCCAGTTAAATTGCTAGGCCCACCTCCAAAACCCGGAACATCAATTCCTGAACCAGGCAGACCAGGCAGGCCACTATTTCCAATAGAAGGCATCCCTGGCCTTGAATCACCAAAGCCACCTCCTATTCCTGGAGGTGGAAGAGGGGGGCCAAATGCATTAGACCCACTGAAATTGCTGGGAAAATGAAAAGGAGGACCACTGTTTGCATCTTTGGGGCTATTACCTATGAAAGAATGTTTATCCCCACCAGCATTCTGCACTCCTGGCATTAGTGCACTCCCTTGCAATGGCATTTTCAACATTTTTTTCCCCTGGGAGGGAGGATTTCTCTCAATTTCTCTCATTTCTTCAAGGGAAATCACTCTTAGCACAACATCTCTCCCATTTAGTTTCTTTCGATGCAGGCGCTCTGATTTACGAGCATCTTCTTCAGCTTTGAATTGGACCAGTGCTTGTCCTAAACCTTGCCCATTAGTATCAACAAGAATTTGTATAGAGTTCTCTTCCACTGCCAGTCCCTCTAGAAACTGAAGGATTTCCATTTTAGTAATGTTGTAGGGGATATTGGATATATGTGCACAGAGTTTAGAAGGGCCAGTCTCCCCTTCAGTATTCATAATGATCTCACGCTGATCATAGTTGAAGTTCTGCAGTCTTTTCCGAATCATTTCTATCTTTTCTAACATAGCTTTTTTTGTTATGGGATGTACTTGAATGAAACGATTTCCAATGTACTGCTTATGATGACATAAAGCTGCTTTGTAGTCAGTTTCATTTCTGAACTCAACAAAACCTTCACCAAGTGCTTTCCCATTGGGTCCATAAGCTATGTAAATACTGTCTTCCACAATATCCAGCTTTTTAAAGAAATCTATTACATGCTTGTTCTCAGATTCAAAAGGAAGTCCTTTTAAATAAACACAGAAGCCCTGGTCATGTGGTGATCTGGATCTGGATCTTTTCTGACCATTAGGTGATTTAGACATAGAGAGAGACTGAGGAGAAGGGTGATTTTGTCCAGAAGGACCCATGGTTTGCTTGAATGTTATATGGCCTCCTGCAGACACCCACTGTCTCTCTGTTGCAGGACCAACTTCGACATAGCGCTGAATCATCAGCATCCTGTTTCGCTTCAAGGCTTCAAATGTATCTTGAGGAGAACAAAACTTAACTAATCCATTTCCATTATTTCGTCCTACATGATCTTTCAGTATATGCACTGCATCCACACGAAGTCCATGAAAAAAGTCTTTCACGTCAGATTCTGTTGCTGAGAATGGCATTCCATGCACACTGACATACAGATCATCTGGATTGATAGGAAGTGATTTCACACCACTTTGAGAATTGATCTGAATAGGATTTATGGGACTCATAAACATTGGATTCAAGTTAGTGCTCAGATTCATGGCTGTTCCAGATCCATTCATTCCTGTAGGCAAAGGTGCTACAGGTGGGGGATTCATTGGAGGCATTCCTGATAAAGGAGGCAGAGGGGTCATAGGTGGCACAGGAGGTACAGGAGGTATTGGGGGAACTGGGGGAACAGGAGGCAGTGTAGGTACTGGAGGTGGGACAGGGATGGGAGGAATGGAAGGCATTGGGGGCAATGATGGCAGAGCTGGAATTGGAGGTATTGGTGGAGGTGGTACTGTGTTCATTGAGGATGCTGTACTAGGTATGGTGGAACTAAAGGTGGGACTTCCAAAAGTAGCACCAATATTAGGAGGAGCAGTTCCCATACTGGCAGTGGAGAATGTTGGTATGTTTTTGTTGCTTTCATGAACTGAAGTAGCTGCAGTAACTACACTAGGAGAGGGACTGTTAAAGTTAGGTACTGTCGTAGGAAGAGTCACCCTGCTACTTATTCCAGAACTAGGTGGAGGCCCAGACCTGCTAGCATTTGCTGGTGGCATATCTAGATTTGCTGTTTCAAAGCGCCTGCGACTGAGTTCAATCATATTCTGCATTTCAGTTTTACTGCTCAGCAACAGTGTTACTTTGGACCCTTTAATGGTACCACCTGTGCGCATCATACCCAGCCTTGCATCTTCATCAGTGGCAAAGACGATGAAAGCCTCACCCAGCTCACCCCCTACAATATGCACGCCCCCATCAGGAATGGTCAATCCAGAGAAGAAGTGGCGAATGTCCATAGTCCCCGCCACAATTGGGAGACCTTGTAAGCGGATGACCACAGCCATGCTGCGCTGAAACACACACACCTGCAGATGAGAAAAGGCAACGGCTAGGTCAGACTATTTAAGACACCATATGCTTAACCTAGATACTTATGTTTAAAAGCTCCTGCAGATCTTAAATCAATTTACAATTTGTGATCTCTATTCATGCAGCTTTCTCTACAAGGTACTTTTAAAGCACAATTGCATCAAAGCTTTCCAGTAAATTGCAATATGGAATGTTAAAGGCTGTTGACAAGAACACAGTCAAAAACTGGAACCAAGACAAATCCTTCTGGAGAACACCAGCTTCAGATATGACAATCCAAAAGCAAACTTCCTGCATTAAGCTCATTTAGCGCAAGGCTGGAATATTTTAGGCTCCTGTGCACCAACGAACTTTTTATTTTTAAAACACTTATCTTATGTCACAATCTTATACTTCAGTCCCACAGAGGAATGCATAACTACTTCAAAATTCCTATACATTACATTGCTTGGTATCTAGAGACATGAAATCTCTCCAGCCTATTCCTTGCTCCTCACTTTTGTTTTTTTTTTTTAAAAGAATCTCCTCCTACTCTGCAGCTTTCACAAAGCCATTAATTCTTTTATACAAGCAAGCCAATACTTGGTTTGGTGTTTGGATGGAAAACTCTAGAATTACCAGGCACTGCAAGATGTATTTTAGAAGTCAGATAGGAACCAGTAATACACCTCTCCTGCACCCTGCATTTGATTATGTTGCTGTTCCAGATAATGCCACTCTGAAATAGCTACATAGTACTGTTAAAAGCCTTCCTAAATTAAAAAAGGACTGGCATCTCTAGGAAAAATAATGTGATAAAGGAAATAGTATTTAAAATGTTCATGATTTCTTTTTTTTAAAAAAACAACCCTTTTTTTGTTAAAAGAAAATGCTTTTAAAACCATTAATCAGCTTGCTAACATGAAGGGATAAAAGCTTACATAATTGCTTTTGAAGAATCATAAAATTTTCAGTAAATTGGCTTTGATTTAGTTTACGCTCATCAGAAGAACCTTCATTTTTTCCTTATGGTTGCAGAGAGAACTATAAAATGAACTTTAGCTGAAACAACCAAGTAGCCAGTAGCCAGAAGTATGAAAAATAAATGCTCCAACGGTCCCATGTTGCCTGGGATTTACAATCACATTTTCCCATTACTAAACAAATCAGGAAACCAGCTTATGCCACCAGAATACTGGAAGCAAATTTCATTTAAACTTTTTTTCAATATATCTATGCTAGATCAAAGAGGCAACGTTCAAAATCATCCACTAATAATGCTAAATCTCATGAAGATACAGAGAGTACTTCACATTCATCCTAATGTCTAAGTGCTGGAAGGGCTATTAATGTACTGGATACTGTACATCATATTTGGTGAAAATGTGGTGTCACAGTCTTTCTGAAGTTCATTTAGTTCCTGGTAGAAATAATTATAATTATAATAGTTATTGTTTTATTTAAACCCTTCCCTTCAGGCTGATAACAGTGGTTTTGTGTTGTAATATATTTTGTCCAGTTTTACAATGTTGCTTATATTTACTGTAGTAAGTACTCTTAATTAAAGAGTTTTCTTTTAAAATAAAGCAGGTTTGAAATCTGCAGTGTCACCTTTAAGATGTTATGACAGTCACAGATACAAATTACTATGCAATAGATTTGCAAATGAGAAATAGGAAAAGGCTTTTTAAAAGTTTATTAATCCCTAATTTAAAAGCATAAGAAAATGTAGATTATTCAAATGCAAGCAAACAATTTAGTACAAGTTAAAGCAAGCATTCAAAACTAGTACAACATATTAGTGGAAGATGCTGTATTGTTTTTAATATTCAGTTGGAAGCCACCCAGAATGGCTGGGGAAACCCAGCCAGATGGGTGGGGTATAAACTATTATTATTATTATTTGGACAGCAACATCTACAAAACATTTATTCTGCAGAAGTGTTATAATCATAACCTAAGCAGCAAAATCAAAAGAGTGAATAGGCCTATTCAGTAGAATACAGACCTCAGCACATCATAAAAAGGCTAAAACATTTTTGTTAAAAGATCGAATAAGCTGTAAACCATGTTATATAATATTGAGGGTGTCTATGACTGGAATCTTTGCACAGAGGCTCAAGTTCTATTAATATCTTCAACTGGTTTTTGAAGAACATTCAATTTTGCATGTTCAAGACCCACCACAAATATACAGTGGTACCTTGGTTTAAGAACAGCTTAGTTTATGAACTTGGATCAAGAATGCTGCATACCCAGAAGTAGGTGTTTTGGTTTGTGAACTTTGCCTTGGAAGCAGAACATGTTCTGCTTCCTGTTGAGTGTGTTCCATTTGTAAATTGAGGCCCCCGCTGCTATGGGAAAGCACGCCTTGGTTTAAGAACACTTTGGTTTAAGAACGGACTTCTGGATTAAGTCCATAAATCAAGGTGTATTGTCTGAAGATACCTTGTTGCATACCTTATTACCACAGTTATTCAACTGGTGCTCCAGGATCTAAAGCAGACTGCAACAGCAGAACTACTGCCAAACAAATGTGGTCTGTGGAAGTGGTCTGAATGCAAGTTGGGGGCGTAAAAGAGTAGGCTTATGTACGCTCCGATGTGTGCAGGCACCAGGAATGCGCAAATAGGACAAAGCCTGTATGATGAAAATTAAGTATAAATGCCCAAACACATGTCTGCACTTTAGACTGGTCCTTGGTCTGAAAAAAGTAGAAGCCTCCTAATCTGACCTACATACGTATTTCACTTGCACTATGTGCACCAAAATTCTGATCTTACACAAAAACAGGGACATGCTTTCAATCATCACAAGTAAGCAATAGTATTGTTTACAGCCAAATCTTTCTCTGCAACCATAAGGAGTTTTGAGATAAACCAGTCCAGATATATACATTCTATTAATCAAAACAATTAAGTCTGTCTTAGGAACCTGCTGAAATATTGAGACACCAAAGTCTTGTTCCATACTTCATCACCAGAAATGTCACTGGTAGACCATAGGAACAGGGCCTTTTCTGACAATGTGCAAATATTTTGGAACGTCATTTTGAGAGATGTCTACTTGGCTCCATCATTATTTGTTTTCATGTGGGTAGTTCACAAAGCTTTTGTCTTTTATACTTACCAAAAAGCTATGCTGTGCTGTTTATTTTATACCAAACTGTAGTTACTGATGTATTAGATTTAATAGCTGCTTTGATTATATTTTAGATAGAGAGAAGGATAAAAATATTTGAAACTAAATTATTAATCTTTGGGCCATTATCTCAAAGAATGCATTTCTTCCATAATGTCATAAAGCTGCCTAACATGGCCTTCCATTTTAAATAATTCATTCATCTGGAGATACTTATTAAAAAATACAAGACACAAATGGTTGCACAGCCATTTAACAACAGTTCATAAATGTTACATAGAAGACTGAGCAGCAAAATAGTACAGTTCTCCAGAAAACAACAGGCTGTAGATATAACCATCATGGTATATGTAAAGAATGTATTTTGGGGGGCACGGATATATAAAAATCTGACTTTGCAAATATATAGCTAACACTGATGTGCATCACAAAATGTATTAATTATTTCAGACTAAACACCAAAGAGCTACAATTATAATAAAAATGTATTCAAACACCAAATGCAAATTAAAGACTTAGCTGCCAAGCTTCAGCTAGGAGAGTAGAACTCACCTGGGTTTTGTTTGTTTTTAAACCTACATGACTAGACAATTTGGATAACTAACCAAAACTTGCTATACAGAAGAGTTAATGGTGTTTTAAAAACCACATAACCCTAAAAAGACCTCAATCTTAAAGAATTCTACCCACAGAAAGTTTTACCAAAAAAATCACAACTTGAGGCCAACAAGGGGGGGGGGAACCTCCATATATTTTTGGTGATTTAAACTTTTTAAAGTAACTCATGTACTGGCTCTATCTTCCTGAGTACTTTGAATTATCCAAGCGTGTTCAGTAAGCATAAATACATCTTCAGTATCTTACCTGCCAAGAGAGGTGTGTTTTTTTTCCTTAACAAGTAGTAGAAGCCAAGGCAATCCTGTGGGCAACCAATTAAAACCAACTTTTAGACTGAAATAAAGAATAAATGGAGGCAAAAATCAATGCAAGCAACACATAACTAAAAGTTAGCAGTCCACAATGTGCTGTGTATTATGACAGTCTGGGACAATGTCCATCATAAGGCACTCCAATACATGGGAACCACAAGTTTGAGAGTGCATGAAATATACATTCCTTGGTCTTTTCCACAGCTTCACACATTTTGATAGCAACAATTACTTTTATTTTAAAACAAAAAATATTCAACATGAGAATGAATACAAACAAAAAGCCAGAACACATTCATTAAAGAAATTAACTTTGCATTCTCTCTTCGGATAGCTGATTTGTCTCATTTCATAAAGAGGGCTAGTTTATTTTTCCTGATCAAGAAAACTAGAATAGTTTTCTAATGCTACAACTTCTCACCCAATTAAGAAGTACTTTAAATAAACCAAAACACAACATCCTTTCAAAGTCATTTCACATTTGCTGAAGCCAAATCAGACTGCAAATACCTTACAATACGCTTCTTCCTATTTCTTTAACCTTGCTTATTTTAGAGCTGCAGAATCAAAATACAATCCAACATAAATTGCAAACAGGACAATCTTCTTCTCAAAGCACAGGACCAAACAGTATTTCACAATCATTGTGTCCAACGTTCAGCAAGTTTATATACACTAGTACTTAAACACACACAACCCTAATGTAATCTGGAAATCCTGATCTGCAGATCCTGAAAATATTTTCCATTTAAAGAAAGGAAACAAAAACGAATACTGAATTCCACACATCTCATGAATGGCTTGACAGGCAGTTCTATGAACAGGTGATATCTGTAATTATGCCTTATTTAAAGAAAACCGTATATTTGCTGACCACAGGAAATAACAATTAATGGAAACAAAGACTTTCAAGGAACAAATCAATATCAGCACCACAAAACTTAAACAGTGTGAATTCCCGCATAAAATCTGAAGTAAAACACCTGTCTGAACAGCAAAACCCAAGAACTCATTCACTACCTGACCTTATAAACTATTTACAATTCAAGATTAGGACATATGTTAATTCATGTGAGAATTATTCAGCACAAGCCAAACTTCAGCATCTGAAATCTTTCAATTATCCTGGTGACAATTTTTTGTACAATTCGAGAGATCGCCATTTTTCATTTCTAAATAGCTTAATAATGTTCCACATGGTCATTTCACTGCAAAATATAAATGCTAACATATTTTTCTCCAACCAGTTCCCAGTGCATATTTCTATTCAACAAAAGGGTCTGCCATCATGCTCAGTTTTTCCCATAACTATTTTCTGTGGTTTATGCCGCATGCATAATTCCAAGCAAGCATGTTCAGAAATCAAAAACCTTTTCAAAAAAAGCATACTACCAGATATGCTGAGATATTCTGTCATATTAATTTATCCCTGGTCTTAATGACTCCTTCGTGCCCAATGAATACTCTTTGTATGTTGCCCCTGAGTTCCGAAATATACACCAAAATCCTATAGAACCTATGATAAGCTTCTTTTTTACTCATGAGGTAAGCAGAACATTCCTAAGTACAAAGTAGCTTTCCAACACCAAGCATTTTCTTGGAGCTTTGTTTCAAACAAACAGTATTAAAAATGTATGATTACTATGCTTGTCAGTAGCTGGGGAAGGGGAAGGGAAAGTGTGCTGGAATAAAGGGATTCACAACTGAAGACTCAAAGTCAACACAAAACTAAAGCCAGTATTTCCTAATAATCAAAATACATAAGAACAAATACTTTTTTAAAAATGAAAAGCCTTTTTATAGCATCTTAACAGTTTGTACCTATATGTAAGTTTAGCTGTTCTATTGTCAATTGGCAAATTTAATTCCTATCACCTTCCTTTATCTTTGGCTAATAATCATCAATTACTTTACCTACTTACAGCAGCCCTATTGTTTAAAAAGCAAATATCCTTCCATTTATGTCCCTCAGAGGAAATAAAGAAACTAGGAAAATACAGCAAACAATGAAGCTCTCTTTCATGAAGTCAAATTTCGGAACGATAAATTAATTTTGTATACAAATGATATCCTTATCGCTCTATAACATATGAATTTGTTATATAACCTGATGAGCACGCCCATGTCAGTGAAGATATGAAACAGATCCACCCCAGGAGTCCTAAAGAACAACCATAAACTCTGAAGTCATCCTCCAGAACCAAATGTTTCTTAAAACCTTTTTAGCCAACTTAAAACAGCGACACCGGGTTTCACATGTAAGGTATCATTTCATGCCGCGAATTTAAATTTTTGTTAACCACGAAGGGCCCAGAAATTTCACAGAGCGCAGTTAACCAAAATAACAACCAGCGGTGTGTGTACCTGGAGACCACCCCACCAAAACAAAACCGTGAAAACAGGACGCTAGATCTCAATCGAAAGCTATCGAAAATTCATCACGGCGTTGTTCACACTGAGTCCAGTACCACTTCGAATCTGCACAAGGACGAGTCTTTATTTGACTTGGACGCCAGAGAATCCGGCGTACTGCGGCAGCTTTTGGTCGATGCAAAAAAAATAAGGGGAAAAAAATCCCCGCAGCTCAGGCCATTTTGTTTTACACTACCGAGTTCGCTTCCATTCGCCCCCGTCATCCCCTACAATGGGAGCGCCTGCACCGCCCTAAGACCCGGCCCCGGGGATGCTCCCAGGGAAGCCCGGCTTAGTCAGGCCACTTATGAAGGGAGCCGCCGATACTCACCTACCCCCAAAAGAAACGGGGGTCACAAACCCACGGGGCGCATAGGCGGCTCTTCCACTACCCCGAACCAGCACCGTCGCTCAGGCGCAGCCAAGCAACCCTGCGCACCAGGCCCAAAATGCCTTAGCGAGGCTAAATGCCTGTCCAACCTACAGACCCCACGCGAGAGTTACAGGCCAAGGCCTTGAGGAGCCAACGAGGCTCCGGAGCGCGGCCCTCACCCCCCGCTCCCTTCAGGCCTCGTTCCCGCCCTCCCGCCCTTTGTGCAAGCTGAGGTGGGAGGGGAACACGCTCCCCCTCGCAGCCGAGCCGGACAAGCCCGGCTTTCCCCACCTATTATTATTCCCCGGCGAGCCGGAGGCGCCGCCAGGGAAGTGCTAAGTTCTTACCGAGGGGCCTGTACGGGAAAAAAGTGGGTTAGAAAGGAAACTAACTCGCCACTCAGGCCCCGCTCCCCGCGCTGAGCCCCAGCGCCAGCGACCGAGCAGCGCCACAAAATGGCCGCCCGCCTGCACCGCCTCCGGGCCGTCTGCGGCGAGGAGAGGAGGGTGTGGCCTACGGTAGGCGGCGCCGCGAGAGCGTGTGTGGCGAAGGCAAGCGGAGCGACCGAGGGGGATCTTCCCTGGTGAGGGAAAAGCGCGGGCGCATCTTCGAGGTGGCCTCCTGTGGTATCTTCGCAGTCTTCGCACATTTGGTGCGGCGAAAGCTTTCAGGTGGTCAAAGCCACTCCGCCAAAGACAACAGAAACGTAATCAGCAGTAGCCGAAAGGGGGTGGGGTGGGGAAGGTTTTGTAAACATTAGGACCGACCTGCCATGAAATACAATAGGTGCCAATACTTCTGTCACATTTCCATGTGATCAAACCCAAATATATACAACATAAAAACAGAGAAAAAGCAGTCCCGTGCATGCTTAGCTGGCAGTAAGTTCCGCTGAGCTTCACAGGGGTTACTCACAATGGTGTTCAGAATCGCAGCCCCATTCACTTATAGCTGCAAGGAGGGTGCTAATGTCAGTCATTTCTCTTCCTGCTTCTGTTTATCTTCTTCTGCTCATGGTAGAAGTTAGCCTCGCAAGGGCAGCTGGGTCATACGTTTCTGCTAACCCGACATTTCTGTTTACCAAGATAGTCCTTTCCCCCGTGTTATCGCCTGTAAATCACTGTATCTGTGTTGCCATAAGGGGAGAGTTGAGTTGCCTTTTCTTTTCCTAAGAAGAACGGTGGTGGATTATGGAACAATTCTTTTCTATGCATGTTTAACTAAAATATAGTTATAAACTATATTTAACTGATGAGTGCAACATTTCCAGGTTGCCTGGGTGGGTCGCTTGCTGTTTTTCAATGTACCTTTGTTCAAAGTTCATATTAGTAGTAGCAATGGGCAGCAGTGTTTTCCACTAGGTACCTCTTGTTAGGACTGTTGTTGTTTAGTTGTTTAGTCGTGTCCGACTCTTCATGACCCCATGGACCAGAGCACGCCAGGCTCTCCTGTCTTCCACTGCCTCCCGGAGTTTCGTCAAATTCATGTTTGTAGCTTCTATAACACTGTCCAACCATCTTGTCCTCTGTCGTCCCCTTCTCCTTGTGCCCTCCATCTTACCCAACATCAGAGTTTTTTCCAGAGTCTTCTCTTCTCATGAGGTGGCCAAAGTATTGGAGCCTCAGCTTCACAATCTGTCCTTCCAGTGAGCACTCAGGGCTGATTTGCTTCAGAACAGTGGCGTAGCGTGGGGGGTGCAGGGGGGGCCGGCCACACCGGGCGCAACATCTGGGGGGGCGCGCTCGCAGCTCTCTGCCCCTACCTGGCTCACTCACTCTCTCTCACTGCAGTGCTGGCTGTGCGAATCCGATCTGAGCCGCTGGGTCGCCGCCCACTGTGGAGGGGGTGGGTGCCAGGCGTGCGGTGCGGAGAGAGAGCGAGGGACTATCTGGGGGAGGGACAGTGCAGCGGCCACCCAGCGCAGCGCTGAGCGCGGGAGAGAACCACACCAGACCAGACCAGGCAGCAGTAAGAAGAAGGTGGCAGCGACGGCAGGTTAGGGGTTAGGGGGCGCAAATTACTTGCCTTGCCCCGGATTAGGGGGCGCAAATTACTTGCCTTGCCCCGGGTGCTGACAACCCACACTACACCGCTGCTTCAGAATGGATAGGTTTGATCTTTTTGCAGTCCATGGGACTCTCAAGAGTCTCCTCCAGCACAATTCAAAAGCATCAATTCTCCGTCGATCAGCCTTTGTGGTCCAGCTCTCACTTCCATACATCACTACTGGGAAAACCATAGCTTTCACTATATAGATCTTTGTCGGCAAGGTAATGCCTCTGCTTTTTAAGATGCTGTCTAGGTTTCTCATTGCTTTTCTCCCAAGAAGCAGGGGTCTTTTAATTTCGTGGCTGCTGTCACCATCTGCATTGATCATGGAGCCCAAGAAGGTAAAATCTGTCACTGCTTCCATTTCTTCCCCTTCTGTTTGCCAGGAGGTGATGGGACCAATGGCCATGATTTTAGTTTTTTTGATGTTGAGCTTCAGACCATATTTTCCCCTCTCCTCTTTCACCCTCATTACAAGGTTCTTTAATTCCTCCTCACTTTCTGCCATCAAAGTTGTGTCATCTGCATATCTGAGGTTGTCAATATTTCTTCCAGCAATCTTAATAGGACTACACAACTTTTAAAAAAAATGCAAATCTGCTAGATTTCATTCATATTTTTACAACTTCCAGGCTACAGTATACGAGTGCATTGTATATATTATGTTGTAAGTATGTTGGACCTCAATGATCCACCTTTCTCTTCTGTCCAATTATCTAAAACTGTTGAAGAGCACCCTCAAATCTCAAAGTCAGCAATCTTTTTATTTATTGATGGTTAATTTCTGAAATCATGGAACTAGATAGATGCCTGTTCATGAATGTCCTGGAATTAGGGGTGAGCAGTGAGGAGGCCATGTTTGCTGATAATACATTACCACATTATTCAAAGTGGCAAGAACAAATTGAGAGGATTTTCAAAAAGGATCTCTCCAAACTCTGTACAATAGCAAATATATTGCAATATACGCAAGTGCAAAGTGATGCACATTCAGACAAAAATTCCTACCATCTCATATATGCTTATGAGAACTACTTGCTCAGTAAATCAGTGTATATATTTTCCATCCCAATGAACAAGAATTCACAACTCAAACAAGTAAAAGCTGCTTTTATCTCTTTATTAATAGATGAGTGCCACATTACTAAGTTAAACATAGAAAAGCATTTTTGTGCCAATTTTAACTCAGTATTTTGTTTTTAACACATTATCTTTTCTCTGTCTGCCTGTAATATGTCCTTTCTCTTTCACTGTACTTATATTGCACAGAATTCCTCTAAAACAACAAAAATAAATGTCTGAAAAAGTCTATGTGTACAGTGTAAGAAGCAGTGTAGAGTGTAAGAAGTGTTCCAAAGCTGTTTTTTTTTAAATTACCTGAGGGGGGGGCGGCGGGGAATTAATGGCTTGCCCACAAAATTAAATTTAATTTTGTGATATGGTAATAAAACTGTCATCATTGCAGTATCAATGCTTCTTCCGTTTTAAACCATGCTTTTGAAAACTTCTGTAACGATTTTGCAAATTAAGAACTCTCCTACATGAAGCAGTTTTGCCAGAACAGGTTTGCAATAAACATTATCTCAAGGAAGCTGATACAATTTCACTGGGAGTATATGCGTTGTGTGTATAGGACTCGTAGTTAAGGCAAGTGATACTTCATTGATTGAGTGCTAACAGTCCATTGCCTAGGGTCAGCAGCCATTTCCTTCAAAATGGTGTGCACACAAAGCTGCATAAGACAAGCGTTCATTTATTATAGACAGTTAAATTTCCTTCCTGCATTTATTTCAGAAAGCAGTAAAAAAACTAAAAACTTCCCTTAAATAGATGTTTTCTTTCTACTATTAGAAAAAGTAATACCAGTAAAAAAAAAAAATCCGATACAATTGAGGGCACACATTTCTGAGTACCAAAAATACTAGCCTCACCAGTTTAACTTAATCTAGCACTGTCAGGCACCCTGAAGTGAAAGGCAATGACATTGTTTTATTTTTTTAAGTGATGATCAACCTGGGATATTTCTATAACTGGGATATTTCTAGACAGACACAATCTCATTCTCAAGACCATAGCTTCTTATCAGCAAAAACCAAAATATGTTGCTCTACAGGAAAAACATTACATTGAAATCTTCCATTGTCACTCAAAAATAAATCAATAAATAGCTCAGAAAAAATTATTCTGGAAAGCAGGAGAAAAAAATTGTGATAACAAATCAAGGGTAAAGGTAAGGAAAAGGTGAATTTGTGAAAAAGTGAATGTGATCTGCATTTGGGAGCTAGTAAACCTTAGGCACAGTTGAATTCATTGCTATGTAGCAAATGCCACTGCTCAAATATAAAACATGGACTTTTTAGATGGAAGACTGCCTTCTGTAAGAGGATTACTTCCGACCATACTGTCTGTCTGAACACAAGTTTTGCAATAAGACAGATGTTGCTGAAACAGATGCAAATTATTCTAGGGAGAACCTACAGTAGAAACAAACTACTTTTTTATTATTTTTACAATAAGACAGTTGAAGATTTGGCATATCAAGCTGCACCAATGTCACCTCCAAAATAAAAGTACTGCAACTTCTTTGGTTCCAGGAAACAATGTCCATTCGTATTTGATTATTTGTAAGCACAGTTATTTACCTGAACAAACATCGCCTTAGATTTAGTTTTCAGGCTCTAGATTTAGAAAGCGTAACTGATTACCCAAAGATTTTGTATTTTTAAAACAAGCACAACATGGTTTTACTCAGGAATGTAGAGAAAATATTACTTTAATCTATATCCAAGCACTCCAAGATAACAAGTGATTTCCTTGCTTAATGTTGTGTCCATTTAATGCTCTTCAAATCAACTCCATCCTGTACCATTTCCCACAGTGGGCTGTGAAATGAGAAGGAAAATTCAAGGACAGTCAGAAATACAAATAATTTGACATCAATAGAACTTTCAGGAAATAATTAATAAGAACAAAATATTATTTTAAACGAAGTTCCACAAAGAACACTTTCTAACTACATAAAGTAATTATGTCTAAGAATGCCTCCTATCTTCCGAAATACCCAATTAAGATGTTTTGTTATGGCAAAATTTCACCAAGGTTGAATGCCTGAACCCACGATGGGTATTACAGTATATTGAGACACTAGCAATGGAAATAAAGAGATTTATATATGAATTTCCACCCTTCTAAATGTGTATTTACCCTGGCCTTTGACACCTGAGAAATATATATATTAGGACCCACCTGATTCTGTGACTTAAATAATGGGACTGCATGCATATTTGGGCTTTATAAGGATTGTGCCAGTTTGCTGTAAATATCTGGCTGGATCACAGCTACAGAGATAACAAATAGTATATTCCTTCTCCTATCTTGATCTGCTCTAACCACTGAGATTCCGTGACTTCTGGCAGTATTTCCTTACCACAGACAGACTTTTAAAGAAATCCTGTGATGGTTAATGTCTAATATTCAGATTTATATTTTTTTACCTCATCTCCCTTAATCTCTTCACATGCTGTATGCATTTTTTTACGGTATAATCTACCTCTTCTTCAGTAGTGAAACGGCCAATGCCAAACCTGAAATTAAAGCAAAGAGCTTATCAGATGCAACATAGCACACATAAAAAGATAAAAAGGGATTCTTCTCTTGATGGATGTAATATAATTGAATGTGACTGTCTAGAACCGGCATAGGCAAAGTTGGCCCTCCAGATGTTTTCAGACTACAACTCCCATCATCCCTAGCTAACAGGGCCAGTGGTCAGTGATGATGGGAGTTGTAGTCCCAAAACATCTGGAGGACCGAGTTTGCCTATGCTTAATTTAGAACTATAAGCCTTGCCTTATGGATGAGTGAGCCAAGTCTTCATCAGTTCCAATTGCACGCAACACATATGATGGTTCCAGAGACGCAGATGTGCAAGCACTAATGAGAAAAAACATTATGTTGGCATTTTGTCCTTACACAGAACTGGTATAGAAATCAAAATAGCAGACAGCTCTAGAGTAATATGCTCTTATTATAACTCTATCGCTGCCTCCTAAAGATTTACTGACTACAGAAACAAACCAAGAAGACTAATTATGCAAGAGAAGGGTGTGTAATTGCATAATTAATAGAAGGTAAGGCATTTCAACTGCAGAAGCAGAAAAGAAGGCAGAGTACAGCAACAGATTGATGTTAGAAAAAGAAGTGTGAAGTAGGGGGAAAGATCAGACAGGGTGGGTAATATATTAAAAAGTGTGTTATGTGGTCAGGAAAATAAGAATGCCCAAAGTTCTTATAACTTAGGGGGACTAAAATACTGGAAGGAAAGGGCAAAAAGATATTAGCAGCAGGAATTAACCATCTAGTAGATCCAGTTATAACTAATAAAGCTTGGTTAAATTATGTAATTTGACATTTGCCAATTGAATTTTAAAAGGAATCAGAAATATTTGAAAGGAGTCAGAAATGCTAATAGGACACTCCTTATAAATGGAAGTAAATCAGCCCTGGTCAGAATAAAGAAAGATTCTGGATTAGATGGCTCATAGATTTGTTCTAGATCATCAATTCTAGTGACTTGAAGTGGAAAAGGCCACTTTTATTCTGCACTCCTTTAAATATCTGGCATGGGAGTTCCAGGCAATCTCTCATCTGCACACTGACCAGACTAAGACTTGCGTAGCTTTAACAAAAGACCGCATAATGTGTCCTTAGACCATATTCCAGGCTCTCTCTTCTCTCTCACATATGTAAGACTTATAGAAGTCAGTTGGCCCATAACCTGTTATACCTGGGTCCACCATCTGTTGTTAATACTACAACACACTTTGACCAGTGTCATCAGCAGAGTATGCACAGCTCCAGCAGAGTCTTCTAGCACAACATCAGAGTTTTCCTGCTTTTTAGTAGTCAGTCTTTTTCACAGTTCCCCTATCCATTTCAGTTCAGTTCAAAGTATGTAGTGTCTATTGTCTCATGGCACAAGACAAGCATAAATACACTAGCTACATTAACTTTAAGAGATGCTGGTACATCATGAACTAATCTAGTATAATAGAGTTCTCTAGTCCCAGAAACAAACCTTGTAGTGATCACTTGCCCTTACCATGCTAGCTCACCATACTATACGGAACCGAACCATATAGCATGTAACATTCACCAAGATGATAAAACCTCACACTTGGCAAATACCTCACACTGATGCCAATGTTGCTGAATTCAACCTTGGCATTATACCTGCCTCTGCATGTACACACATTCCTTAGAAAAGGGGAGGATGAATGAGTCATGTTTTAAGTATTTAGCCTTCAACTGTTTCTAACCACCCCATGTAGCTGAGTCTTTCTCTAAACAGAATCCAGAAATGAGGGATGGCCTGCTGAAGAAGAAGAAGAAAAAGAAGAAGAAGAAGAAGAAAAAGAAGAAGAAGAAGAAGAAAAAGAAGAAGAAGAAGAAGAAGTGGTGTTTGGACTTGATATCCCGCCTTTCACTCCCTTTAATGAGTCTCAAAGTGGCTAACAATCTCCTTTCCCTTCCTCCCTCACAACAAACACTCTATGAGGTGAGTGAGGCTGAGAGACTTCAGAGAAGTGTGACTAGCCCAAGGTCATCCAGCAACTGCATGTGGAGGAGCGGGGAATCAAACCCGGTTCACCAGATTACGAGTCCACTGCTCTTAACCACTACACCATGTTGGCTCAAGACACGGTCCAAGTGCTTAGTGCAATTTCACCCATTCATTCCAATTTACACCAACAATATTACCTTCCAGAAGACAGAGCCACATCTTTAAGTGCCATCAGCAGGCTTTCTCCTTCCACATATGCAAAGGATAAGTTAATGCAGCCTGCAAAGTTAACAAAGCGGTGTCAGCTTCTTTTAAGATTGCACTTTAGACAACAGGGTTTTTGCAGAACCATAGAATGATAGTGTACGAAGGGACTACAAGGGTCATCTAGTCCAACCCCCTGCAATGCAGGAATTTTTAGCCCAACATGGGGGTTGAACTCAAGACCCTGCTCTTAAATAATCTGAGTCTATTTTCCCTTTAAGGAATGTTTCTTTTTCATTTCCTTTGAATGTGAATGTCACCACAGCTCTGATCACTAGAGAGCTAAATGCTAATTCCAGAAATGCATGCAGAACAACTGTCTCACCAGCACACCCATAATTTTTATTTCTAAACAACCTAAAACTGGCTAACTGTGCAGAAGACAATGAAGTGGAAGAAAATATTGAGCAGCTCTTTGGACCATTACAGAATTCTTCATTCAGTCTTTAACACAGTGATTTATCCTAGTGCTCTACCTAAAACATACAAGTCAGAACTAAGATGTAGAACAATAAAAAAAGCTTGTGCATAATCTGCTATTCACTGGGATTGATTTATGCAGTGATTTAAGGTCAGTACAGAAGCAGAAGACATATCTGAATTAGTTTAAACATCGTGTTTCAGTGACTACAATCTCTACTTAATTTCATGTTGACTTCATATGCTTAACAGAGCAACAGTGAAACTATTTAGAGTCAACCAAAGCTTTAGCACTGATGCTGTTATAATATTATCTCAGTTTTCATCTAGTCATGAATATATAGAGCATTGTATAACAGAGGATGAGAATTTTGCAATATTCAAGCTATTTGTTGAGTTTCTGGGCTAGTACCCGATGAGCACAAGATTGCTTTCAATTCTAAAACAATACTGCTGTACCAGATTAACACTTAAATCTGTTTTAAAATTTCCAATACTATATTCATTTTAAAAAGAAACCCTAAATGGTCAAAGGCAATTTCTGAAGTAAAGAGGAACTCAACATTCTGCTAATAATACCTGGATAACGATGAACTGGATCGCCGTTCATTACTACATCAGGAATTTCAGACATTATGCTTGTAACTAATCTGCCAGCTAATAAACTAATTCGCTTATGGTCATACTGAAAAAGAAACAAGAGAACTTATTAGCTATTCTACAAACATGCAGATGAGCCTTGATTGATGTACTAAAAATGTTCTATCAGTCAAATCTGGCCTGTTAACCAAAAAGACAAGGCAAAATAACACAATATTTGTCAGAGCAATTTCTCACACAAATAATAACCATAGCAAAATTCAGCCCCAAGTTAAATATGAGAGTTACGGTTATCAAGCTGATGCTGGCTATGTGCAAGTGGAATAGACTTCCACCTGCACAATGGGACTTCACCTACCTCTCCTCTCCCTTCCATGCTCTAATACCCCCAAATATGCCCCACATTTTCAGGGTACATGGGGGGATGGAGGAAAGAAAGAAAGGATAGATTCATTATGTGAACAGAAGTCTGCTTGCACAACATTGGATTCCACCCCCTGAGTTTGCTCTACTATCCCACAATTGCTGCTGTAAAATTCAGAAATATGTAGTAGGAAAATTCTATAAGAAATTGTTTGAAAATTCTATGCTCGAGAAGAAAGAGAGATGCCCTTGAAATAGAGGCACATCTCTGTACAATTATTATAATCAATAAACACTAGTTGTTCTAGAAACTGCTTGCCTTCTCTTACCAACAGCAAGACAGAGACCAGAAAGGTTAGAGTTTGTAAGAAATATGGCACAGAGAACTACTTAATGAATGAACATAGCACTACTAAAATATCTCAGAAATACTCAAAACCATCTCAGAAAATTGTTCTGCCAAGAAGGCCAAGTTTGCTTTGCTTATATAACTGCTTTTACATATTATAGGAAAATAAAGGCTGAATTATGGAGCACGATTAGTTCTCTACAGTACAGAGAAGGGCATCATATTAAACCCTAATCATTATTGTTAAAGGAATGTGTTGCAGACTTTCAACCATCAACAAGGCTTCAAAGAACATGGTAAAATAAATGGATCAAGAAAAGTTACACAACTAGAACTGCTCTTTATACCTCCATCTCTTGTTGTGCCAATTCGCAAGCTGCTCCAAGACCAACTGCTAAAGGAGTTGGCACAGTCCCAGAACGTAATCCTCGCTCCTGGCCTCCCCCACTTTGTATAGGTTCCAGTCTTACTCTTGGTCGCCGCCGAACATAAATTGCACCAACCCCTTAGAAACAAGAAGTTACTTCTGTTCAGTACACAGGTAGACTTTCCATACTGTATGTCTCCTAGCATATTTAGAAACATTTAGAAAAAATCCTTCAGGAACTTTTAATCAAGATTTTTCGTCGCAAGAGATGCATTTTAAACATTCAGGGCAACATCCAGTGATGTTCCGCCACTTGTGCAATGGGAATCTGGTTGCACAACAGAACTTCCAGTTTCTCATTTGAGCTTGCAGCCCCCTATGCACCCCCAAAAATCTACTCCAAAGGGTATCCAACCCTCTGGAGAAGATTTTTGGGGGATCACTGTAGGGACCTGCAGTGGGGGGAAGAGAGGAAGAAGAAGCCCTGTTACATGAACAGAACCATTCACATTTTGTTGGATCTCATCTTCAGATATTCAATTTACATTTCTAATTGGAAGAATCCTCATTTGCTAATTTCTATAAAATAAGTATCTTCTCCTAAAATTTATCAAAATCCTTGAGGTGTTCTTCAGCAGGATCTTCCTTTGTCATTATTTAACTCCAGAAAATGAAAAATAACTGTCTGGCATCCTAATCTAATATTCTGGCAGAAAGTCATGCATACTGCCACATCCATACACACAGTCTATTATAGACTGTGCCCTTAGTGCCCTGTGCAGTAGTTTGCATGGAGGCTGCTGCATATAGATCTGTATAGTGTAAGGTATGTGGTCAGGCATAGCTTAATCCATTTGTAGATGTAGCTTGTTCCACATATAGCTGTCTCCACATCTTGGATAGCAGACTAATGTTTAGGAACCAAGTTGTGTTCAAAGTGCTCATATGGAAGAAGAGGAGGAGTTTGGATTTGATATCCCGCTTTATCACTACCCGAAGGAGTCTCAAAGTGGCTAACATTCTCCTTTCCTTTCCCCACAACAAACACTCTGTGAGGTGAGTGGGGCTGAGAGACTTGAAAGAAGTGTGACTGGCCCAAGGTCACCCAGCAGCTGCATGTGGAGGAGCAGGGAAGTGAACCTGGTTCACCAGATTACAAGTCTACCGCTCTTAACCACTACACCACACTGGAAGTACTTATTTCGAAGAAAGCTATTTTGAATGAAGCGCCCATCCCTGCAAGACGGTTGCAGGCTTTCCTCTGCTATTCTTGTTTCCTCCTTAAATACTATTGCAGGGATAGGGAGCCTGTGGCCCTCCATATATTTCTGGACTACAAGTCCCATCATCCTTGATCATTGGCTATAATTGCTAGGGCTGATTAGAGCTGTAGGCCAGCAACATCTGGAAGGCCACAGGTTCCCCAGCCCTGTACTAAGGTCTCTGTTTTTCATGGTGCCTTGACAAGGGTTAGCGATTTCTCCAAATGTTTATTTGACTACCAAATCAAATAAACCTGGCCACCTTTATTAGTAAAAATGAAGTAGTATCTAATATAAGAAATATCAATACCTTTGGGACCATAGATTTTATGGCCACTGATGCTCATTAAATCAATTTTCATATCATTGACATTTAGAGGAATTTTCCCAACTGCCTGTGCAGCATCTGTATGAAAGAAAATTTTATGGGAACTGCAGATCTGACCTACAATGCAAAAACAACATGGTTCAGAATGAAATATTATTTATATTTTATGAAAATGTTGAAAGATTTTAAACATACTGATTTTATCAATCAATTCAAATGTATTGCTAAAACCCAGAGGTCATCACAAAATAAATCTGGGAACAGATATAATACAAATGATGTCTGTGTTTCACTGTACTGTTAGCTTTCAACTGCTGGGAGGTGGGCATTTAGATGGGAGTGAAATGGCTCAAAATAAAAAAAGGGGGGGGGGAAATCCTCCACGGTCCTGCTCCAAGAGTAGACACATAAACAACAACCTTGAAGTTCTTTTTTTAAAAGGTTTGGAAATCTGGTCATAGATCTCACATGTAACATCTATTTTGACCTTCACAAATTATTGACAGACATAGAAAAGCTGTCAGATATTGATTGTGAGCCAGTGATTTGTTTCTAAGTCACCACAATTATGTAGCTATTCTATGCTTCAACAGTGTGTGCTTCATTGTCGAGCTTTATAAGTATTTGGCATTTTAGCTCAAGATATGACGTTTGTTTGTCTGTTTGATTGATTTAGTATTTATTTCAAATTTCATAACCAGTTTTTTGAGGAACTTCTTCCATAAAGCATCTTACAATCTTTCATAAAATCAATTCCACCCAAACTGTCAACTTACCAATGTCCTTAACTGGCTGTACCACTCCTATTTCATTATTCACAGTCATTACTGAAACCAATCCTGTGTCTGGTTGTATTGCATTTTTTAGATCCTGGTGGAAATCATAGAAGAGAATTAATTCGAACTGCATTAGCACTGCAAATGAAACTTATTTTACAATTACACTGCACTTTTAACATATAAGCACCATTATATTCAATAGGGCATACTCCCTGTGCTAAGATGTGCACTCTAAATGGTTAGAGATATAAATCAATTTATTCTACTAGTACATAAAGTGTCCTTTCTTTGAATGCACCTGCTAAACTGATCCAATTTTGTACAATATACTAGGTAAGCAGTAAACCTCACCCTTTTGTCACTGCCACCCAACAAACATTTCACCAGTTTTTACTTAGACAGCTCTCTGTAGCATCCATATTCTAAGTGGAAGACTGCATTTTTGTTAACATTCCATTGCAAAGGACTGAAAAAGGGAGAAGCTGCAATCACATGAATACAAATTTGGAAACAAGTGATTTACCTTTAAATCTATAATCCCATTTTTCTGTACAGGCAAGTATGTGACTTGAAATCCCTCAGCTTCTAGGGCACGGCATGAATCCAGCACACACTTGTGTTCTGTTTGTGTTGTGATTATATGTTTCTTTCTGGATTTATAGAATCTTCCAACACCCTTTACACAGATAAAACGGGGGAAAAAATTAGATCAAAACTGCTGGAAATCCGTAGTTTCTATAAGTATCATGTAAAAAAATGTAAAACGCCCAGTTTCCTTGAAGCTTCAGGCAATAGACAACAAATCCTAGGCACATTTACTCAGAACTAGGTCCCACCAAGTGCAGGGGGGTTTACTCCCAAAAGTGTGCATAGGATTGCAGCCCAAAATGGTACACACTTACATGGGAGTAAGCCCCACTGAACACAATGAGATTTACTTGTGAGTAAATATGCAAAGGATTGCATATGAAAAACTATCCAAGTAATCTTGAAAATTTTCAACTTTAGCTCAGTTTTTTAAGTAAGTGGCATGGTTTCATTTTTACATATTTTCATTTTTTACATATTTTTACAACATTTTTCCTCAGTGCAATTATGGGAAATAGCTACAAAGCAAAACTGTAGCCACAGAAACCTTACAAACTGCAGTGCAGAGAAGAATCTTGAAAAGAGACCTGTCGGTTAGTTTTGATAATGCAACTCTCTCTTTGCATAACTGTTTTAAGTACAAAGCAGGCAGAATTAGGTCTGGTTATACAATAGGCCTCTTAACATCAAGAATCATTAGTGCAATCTACTTTAAGGAAGGCAGAAGTTTAATTCAACTACCAGTACAATCTTACATGCATGTCTGCACAGAAGGAAGTCCCACTGTGTTCAATAGGGCTTACCTCCTAATAAGTGAGTTCAAGACCACAGCCTGAGGCTCTTATGCACACTTACCCAAAGAAGTCCCACGGAATTCAGTAGGACTTACTTTTGAGTAGACGTGCATAGGAGTGTGCTGTGAACCTGGTTACGTTTACACCAAGTTGTTTTAGGAACTTACAGTATATCGCTATACGATCTCAACCAAGTTACAATTACAATACATTTCTATCAGAAACAACAAAGTATCTCTAGATATTTAACATGACTCAGTATGCTCATCCTGCAAATGCAAAAACAATAACATTATCCAAATAACTTTATGAGAGAATTGTGACTTCCACAGACTTTTAAAAAAAACTGCACACAAGGTAATAGGTTTAGCACTTTTTAAGACTTGCCAATACTTTTATTTATTCTCAGGTAAAGCCAAAAAATATACACAGGATTGCACTGTTAGTTGCTGCAATTGTATTAAGCTTCTGCCTTAATTATAACACAAGACAGGACAGTAATATTTGAACATCCAGACTACTGTGAATTGTTTTTACATCACCATCACTTGGCATTACAATATACTCATTTACCTTAATTGCTATGTTGTTTGATTCTGTTGCCCCACTGGTAAAAATAATTTCTCTAGGATCTGCTCCTATTAACGATGCAACTTGCTGTTTAAAAAAAGACAGAACACAATAATATAATGTTACTACTTTGAGGCAGAAAACCACATTCACCAGACAATTTTTGTAGCATCTTTCAAAACCCAACAGCTTCATAAGTCAGCAAAGGCAGATTTAGAATTAAACTGCATTTTTATGCCCACAGGTGGTGGTGCAGCCACTTCTTTATATTAAAAACAAAACAAAACTTGGTCCAGTAGCATTTGCCACCTACTGCCTGGTCACTAGTACCCTCTTTTAGAGGGAAGGTAGCAGCAGCACATATACAGGCATTCTTGGAGGACAGATTACCTTAACCCACTAACCCACTGCAATCTTGATTCAGGTCTGATTTCATGGCTGAATTGCCTCGGTTGCTGATGGGTTGTCTTTATCAAAAAAGGGACAGGGGAGTGTGACCCTGCTGCTATTACTTGATCTCCCAGAGACTTTTGATGCCATTAACAATAGTAACCTCCTGGGATGAGTGTTGGAGGCACTGTGTTGCAGTGGTTTTGCTCCTATCTCCAGGGCTGATTTCAAAGAGTAGCACCGCATGGGAGTTTTGTTGGCCCCCCGCAAAGTGTGCTATGGGGTGCCACAGGAAACTGTCCTGACCCCAAGGCTGTTTAACATCTGTATGAAGCTGTTAGGTGTCGTTGTTAGGAGATTTGGAGTAAGGTGTTACCAGTATGCTGATGACACCCTGCTCTATCTATTTCTCTCTGAAATCTAAATCAGATGAGGCTATGCAAATATTAAACATGCTTGGATGAAGTTGTGGGATGGATGATAGCCAATAAACTGAAAATGAATCCTGACAAGATGGAAGCTCTGTGGGTAACTGGTACCCAAGTCCAGAAGGCAGCTCAGTTGCCTATCCTGGGTTGGACTGCATTCTTCCTGAACAATCAGGTATGTAGCTTAGGTGTACTGCTGACTCCAACTTTGTCACTATAGGCCCAAGTAGTCTTGGGCTCAGAGCACCTTCTTTCAGCTTTCTATCAGTTTTGGCTGCACAAGGATAGCTTGGCCACAGTGGTCCATATATTTATCCCCTCAAGGTTGAATTACTAGAATGTGCTCTATGTGAAGCTGCCCTTGAGGTTTGTCTGGAAGCTGCAACTGGCACTGAATGCCAGGCTTTTTCAGGATAGCACTACTGGCTATTGTTCATGTTGGTTTTACATTGGGTTTAATGTACTCTTAACTGTTTTATGTTTGTATCTTGCTTTTCTTTATTTTCTATACTGTCTTGCCAAAGGCAAGGTGATTCTTTTAAAATAAGATTCAGAAGCAATACAAAATACACAGGTGAGTGAGAAGATTAAAGATTGTATTCTAAAACAGCAAGCAATGTATACAAAGCAAGCACTTCAATCTGCTACTTGGAAGCCCACAAGAAGTGGCAAAGTGACTCCCCCAGGTAGTCTCAGTTTGCACGGCCCTGCAGCCAATCAGTCCGTGCATGAGCTTCAGAGAAACTCTGCCCAAACCACCTGATTTTATAGATAGCCTTGTGCCTTCCTAGACTGGCTACCTGCAGATAATCCATTAGCTGCCCCCTCCCTCCCTCCCAATGTCTCACTTTCTCAAAACAATGTCCAATAGCAAAGAAGGTACCCGGCATTATCCTCCACAACTGATTAAGGCAGCTGTGGGGGGGGGCATCACCTTCTCGTTCTCAGGACATTAAAGACTGTTCTCACACCAGCAAAAAAAATTAACAACAGCGAGGGAGGGGGAAGGAACAGAGGCAGGAAGGGTAACCATGTCAGATCACTAACTCCTCGATACAATTTGTCTTCTGGATGAAATTCCCATACATATACTGCCATGAGATTTGACTGATAAGCAGTTCATAAACAAATTATAAGAAAAATGCAGAAATCTCACCTGTCTAGCTTTTTCCATAGCAGATTCACTCTCCCAACCATAAGCATGAGTTCTTGAGTGTGGGTTACCATAAAAATGCACAAGATAGGGAAGCATGGTATCCAAAACCCTAGGGTCCTAGAACAAAATATTAATAGTTATTCTATTTCATTTCATCATTAAAAAAAAAATCTGTATCGAAGAGTTTTCCCCTACACACCCAAATGCTTGGAACACACCCAGACCTGTTATTAAGGCTACAATCTTCTTTCTGTTTGTGTACACAAGACAGTACGGCCAGTATGGCAGCAGTCTTTTATTTCAGAGTAAATAGGATTAAAATGTGATTAAGAACAGGCTGTAAATGTTCAGCCATGTTCTCTTACTACTAGATCCAATGAGAAGTATCTGACTCAGTCAGACTCTAGGAATTATCATTTCTACAGTTCTAGCCTGAGTACATCTTAGTCAGATATCACATTGTATTATTCTCTTACCTATCAAACATCTCAGGGTAGACAGGAAACTTGGACTGTGATCCTATGCACTTACCTAGCAATAAGCCCCCACTGAACATAGTAGGATTTACCACTGAGTAAATAGTGCAGGACTACTCTGTAAACAATGTGTTTGTTTAAACAAATGCTCCTCAAAAGAGTACAGTACTTAGTTCACAAACCATAGGAGTAGTTGCTTGGACATCCATGTACAATGGTCGTAGCGAAGTTTCATCAGCACTGCCTATGCCTAGGGAAAGACAACTATATGAGTGACAAATGCAAATTTGCAGAAGATACCATTTCTACTATGGGGTGGAGGACTTATTCCAGTATGTAGTATAATATGAAGATTAATTAATGCACAAGCAATTCAGACAGGTGGTTAAAACATATTTTTCAAAAATACTTCCACTTTAAGTTCAGCTTCAGAAGCTGATACACAGGACTATAATATTCAGGCAGCTATAACAAAGCATTTCAACCAGAAAGTGGCATTTTAAAAGTTTGAAACTGAACCACCAGCAGAAATCAATTGAACTGAGCTCACACAATAGTGAAGTGTTCAAAGAGCAATATTATCTCCATAGCTTAGCTATATGTAACATATAAAACATTTTCAGATTCAGAATGTTTGGTTCCTATTAGGATTGCTGAGAAAAGGTTTCCAACCAGTGATGCAGCGGAGCAGGAACATGGGAGCTTCAGTAGTTATTCATACCTGGAGCAATGGCATCTGACTGGGCAGTATTTGTCAGCACTGCAAGCTTGGAAGTTGGATCTGGTCTGGCACATAATACTTTTATTAGGTAGGCTAGGCTCAGACTTTAACTGGCCCAAGGTCACCCAGTGAACTTCATGGCTGATTGAAGATGCGAACCCAAGTCCCTCCCATTCTAAAAATGGGCATTATGCAATGTATTGCTGATCAACAAAGATGCCTACTCCCCACCCTTTAACTGTTCTTAGGAATGTAATCACGTGAGCTGTCGCGATGAGTTCCTGCCCTTCCAACATTTACTAACTACGCCACTTTTGCAAACCCAAGGTTGGGCCTGTAACTTTCAAAGGGCTGTAATCCCACCCCCGTCATCTCAACTATCCCTTGGGCTGCGACAGTAGGACTCAATCGCAATGCCGTTTGCTGCAGCTGACGGGAGAGAAAGTTGGACGGACCACCACAACACCGGGAGGCGTAGCTATTTATTTACACGTTCTCTTTCTGCGCTTGAGCTCTTCGCATCGTGCCCGGGGCTAGTAGGAGCGTCGCTGCGGCGGCTCTACCCCGTCGGATCTTGCGGCTCTACGGCTCCGATCCTCTACTACTTTCACATTCAGCCAAGGTTGACAGCAAACCCACTTCAGATGACAGCAAACCCACTTCAGAGAGTAAGCCCTCAACAGGAAAAAAATGAAATACTGAGCAAGCTGCCTTAGGGAAGAAGGGACCAGGCGACTCTCACTCGTGTTTGGTTTTTTTCCCCTGCGCGAGCTTCCCAAGCCCGCAGCAGCGGAAAACATAACATTGCCCAGGAGGCAGATGCCATCGCAGCCGCGGAAGGGAGCCGCCTACCAGCTGCTTCTGCTGAAACTCGCGATCCGCCGGGCGTCCCGCCAGGCTCGCTCGCCCTTCTGGCGGGATTGCAAAGGACAGAGCGCCGTTACCTTGCTGCTGCGGAGCCCCTGAAAGCCGCCTCCTTTGGCCGGCTAGCAGTCCTCTCAGAGCCCGCCATGTCGCCGGCCGCACCGCCATCATCGTCACTCCGCCTCCCGTCCTTCGCCCAGCCGACAGGCACCCACAACGACGCTCGCCTCTTCGCCTCCCCCCGGGAGAGCCGTTTCCTGCGACGTAATCGGAGTGCGACGGAAGCGCAGGTCGCGCTGAGGGAAACTCGGGTGGAACGAAGCGCGGAGTGGTCGAGGTGAGGGGGGACGAGGGAAGAAGCAGGGAAAAGGCTGCTTGCAGGCGGGCCCAGAGAGCGAGGTGGTCCAGGGGGGGGGGGCTTTCTGACGTTGGGTATCCGGGTGGGGGTGGGGTGGGGTCTCTTTCGGTTGCCATAGCGATGCCGCCGTTTGCGTCGTTCTCGTCTCCCGAGCCTTTCCCCGCGTCGTTGGCCTTCGTGGTTTCAGCGAAACTGAGAAACTCAATAAGCAAGCGGGACAGAAAGATAACGCGCGCCCTTAAACGCACGATATTTAAAGACCTCGGTGTTCGTTGCCACGTAACCTAAAAATTATAAAGTCGCGGGTGTTATTCTGGAGCCCATCTTATTGCGCCCCCTCCCCCGCACATCCCCAACAAAGATCTGTCAGTCTTTTGTGAATTATTCCTCTTTTCGTCTCTGTATCCCTTTAAAAGCGGCAGTGTTTCCAGAAACTGGTCCGTTTCTCCATATTGGAGGAAATTGCTGATACTCGCACAAGAGATAAGCAAGAATATAGGGATTTTAATCTTTAAATTAGAATGGCTATGCTGCTGGCTTTTTGGTGTGTTGTTTTTTAAATATAAAAAGCATTACGTAAGCGTCTGCGAGTTCAAGGTCTAGATTGCACCACATTACAAATAATGGCTAAGGCAGCTGAACTCCCTGGAAGATTCAGTGGGGATATAGATCCTTCAAGCTAATGTTAACAATATATTTGCCCTGTTGTCAGGCCCTTTTGGTTTGGGATTGTTTGGCAACTTGTGTGTTTGAACTTCTGCTTGCTAAACTACTACAAGTGTTACATAGTGGGAAAGTATTGCTCCTTAATTTAAACATTTAATAATTTAAACAGTTGCAAAGTAGAACTTTGTCTAAGTATTTCTTAAGAGACCAGACAGGGTAGTAAATGGAAATAGCTTAAAATCTCAAAGTTTATAGTTCATTTCTAAGTTGCTGTTCATTCAATGAAGTTGATTTGTAACAGTTAAATTTTGCAAAATGAAATTAAAACTTTTTTTAAAAAATTAATAATGTTGAGTTCAAAGTGCTTTTCAGCCTAGTCCTTAACTGACTCGCATTCATCATTTGTACATTTCTATCACACAGTTGATTGGCAACCCCAAAGAAAATGTGACAGAATAATACAGTACTAGGTTTAGTGCAGGAAACTAATTACCGTATCTTCACACAGGTAGTGATTACTGCATGTTTAACTCATTTGCCTACCTGGGGCATTTTGAGAAAATCTTTGTGGTCTAAATAGAACCACATTCCCCCATAACTACAACTTCCATAAAAAGAGACATTTGTAGCAAGTTTTATTTTGGATGAAGCAAATCAAATTATGAATTCTTATGGTGCTACTGTTGAAAATTTCTTGGTGCAGGGACTTTTCACCTTTGTTATTCATAACAGTCATGTACATTGATCACACTTTCATATTTGGAGTGGTCCATCCACACTGGTGATGTGGATTATCTTCTGCATGGAAGCGGTAGATATTCTTTAAGTATTTTTTTATATTTTTAGATGCCTGTGACAGTGGGGCCATATGGCCAATCCCAACCCAGTTGCTTTGACAGAGTGAAAATGGGCTTCATGATGGGCTTTGCTGTTGGTATGGCAGCAGGTGCACTGTTCGGCACATTTTCTTGTCTCAGGTATGTTGGAATGTAGTTGAATGCAACATAAATCCTAAGAAGAATCTTCTTCGTTACCTTTCCTGGCTTAGGAACAGAGCAAAATAATGCAATATGATCATATCACAAGGGGTAACCATTTTGAGCAGGGATTCAGTTTCCAGCCCAGCATTAGTCAGAGATGCAGATATAAGTGTGTCCCACCCTCATTATGGCCATGGTCTGCACTCTTCCAAGTCCATAAGGACCCATGTGTCAGCGATTGCATGTTAATTGGACGTGCCCCAAATGGCCACCACCTGTACTTCACAATCTTTTCTGCTTACTTCCCCATCTATTCTGCGGATTGTTGCCAGATAACAGACCATGACTGCAATCCTGTACATTTCTGAGAGCAAGACACATTCATGAGTATAAAGCTTTAGATAAAATGTATAGTAGAAATTACTTCAGCTGGAGAATAATTAGTACTAAAACTTTGTACTCTTAAACTGTGTTGGTGTATATGTACTAGCAAAGTAAAGGATGGGGTTTGGGATTAATACTAAATCTTAAAAGATGTGTGTTTTCAAATGACCTATCATTAACCTCTTCTCTTTGAATTAGAGTTTAGTTTATGGGAAGTGCTTCTGTTTGTTAAGTTGCACTGGCTGGCAGACCACCCAGTGGTTACTATGAGCTAATTTGCTGTATAGGTCACTCCAAAGTACCCACTCAAAATTAGTGAAGTTTTTTTACGTTGATTGCATTTCCCAGTAATCAGATACAAAATTATTTCCCTGTGATTATTGTGGGAAGTAACCACCTCTGTCATTGTTTCTTCTCTTTTAGGTTTGGCATGAGAGGGCGAGAACTGATGGGTGGTGTTGGCAAAACCATGATGCAGAGTGGTGGAACTTTTGGGACATTTATGGCAATTGGCATGGGAATCCGCTGTTAATGTTACTTTTCTATCACGAAGACCAATGCCCCTGCAAGTTGGAAGTTCTGCTATGTAGTAGAATAAAAATCTCTGCACCAGGATTGAATAATCCATCAAATATAAGTTTCGGCCTTTATTGCTTTGGCAAGAGTTTGTAAATCTTTTTCTCCGTAACAAAAGTGGCAAAGGCAGTGGAGATTTAGAAGTAATGGAATCTCTGTATACAGTGAATCTCTATGGATGTGACCTCAAATAAATGATCAATTATAGGAATCATACCTATTAGAAGATGCTTTTTAATTGGTATCAAGTGTTTCCTGCGTGGGTATGATTAGTTTATTACAAGATCAGCCATTGTTTATCAAAGGAATCTTCTGTCCGTGATTTTGTAAGCCAAACCAGGGAGGCTTGAATTTTTGCAAAAATCCCAAGTTTATGGAGGTGGAATAAAATTGGACGAAAGCGTGTATGTGACAGGATTAATTTGAATCATTGCATGGATAATCAAAAGAAGTTGGTACCAAGTGTTTGCAGTGTAAGCCTAATAACAGTTTCATGTTTAAGTTGCACTTATTATGGGAGAGTGAAAGTAATTTTCATTGCATGTTTAAAGAAGTCCATAGCTTTCCACTTGGTGACAACAAGAACTTCCTACTGTAGGATTGGATCACTACTATTATAGAAGGGGAGCTCAGGCCTTTGAGAGAAGGGGATAATTAAATAACACAAGAAAATGAGAACTTGTTTGGGTATGTTGTGAATTGATTTGGCATATTCACCAGATTAACTATTTTCACTTAATAGGCATAGTTAGTTATATAGGGTGCCACCCAGCTGAATGGTGTCACTTATAAAATAATTCATTTTTACAGTTTCTCATTTAGAGTTTCAAATTTGTCTGAGCATAGCCTTCTCAAGATATAACCAAATTAACAAAACTTTTAGTTTAAAAATGTTGTCAAGGGCCACACACTTTACAGATAGGATACTATATCACCTAAATAACCTATGTTGCAATTCGAGCTTTAACAGCTGCATGGCTGTTAGCGGCAGAGTTCGATTTTTTTGTGTTCACTGGAATTGACACATGGGAGTTATAAGTACCCAACTGGCAACCTTTGCCATCCACATAGACATTATAGAGTAGTCCAGAAGAAAAGGCCATCAAAGTCATTGTGAGGAGTAAGAGATGATACAACACTGGGTATGGACTTGCTTCTGCACTACTTGTGATGAGCAGAGTAGTATACTGCTCCAACTAACAGGCAGGCCTCACTAGGTTTTCCCCCTCCATTGGTGAACTTTGTCTGTCCCATGTCTCATTTGGGCAAGAGAAGATGATAGCTGCGTATGCTTCCAACATTTAGTAACAGCAGCAGTCAATCTGTGGTCATGCAAACACTCCTGAAATTCCAAATGTGCCTCTAGGCCCAAGGTGGTTAGGGACCCCTCCTCTACACCGTGACAAATGTAGCTTGGTTTTTAAACTACAAAATTCTGGTGGATGTGTGTAAGGAAAAACTGAGTGCACTAAGGTGAACAGAGGGAGGGAGGGAAAGAGAAGCTCAAACTGTTGCTGATTTTCCAGCATTTTAACTATTCACAATTTGCATTTTTCTGGTTACACCTAATTTGAGTTCTCAAAAATAATGCTTTTGGAGGCCTTTAGGAGAATTTTATTGAGTGGTTCTTACAAAGATCATTGCAATATGAAAGTCATTTGTTGATAGAAATATCAAGCTGTTTTGTCAAACACATTGAAGTAACCCAAAAATATATTTCAGAGCTCACAGAGCTTAAAAAAGAGCAGATTATATGCAACCAGACAAAATATATTCCTGCATTTCCTACTTCAACTTTCAAACTTAGGTACATTCCCTGCAATCAATGGAACTTTAATCTGGAAATGCAGAGATAGCTTTGTTTGGAATTCTAAACACACCTTACACCTTATTTACAAGAAACTTTTACAGAGACAATCAAAAGTTACCATCTAGAAATAAAATCTTCTATAATCCTCCAAATTTTGCCAACTGGTCAACATTAAGTGAGCAGAACAGCTGGCCAAAGAAATCACTCAGTAGCCTCTCAAATTTTTGATCCATACAAAACACACTAAATATGTCCAGTTAAATCTGATATTAACCTTTAGCAGAGCATCTACATTTAGGTGAATGTAAAATGTAATACCTGCATTAAAAGAAAAGGCTTGTGAAACATTAAAATTTATGTCCTGTCCACCTTTTACAGAAAAATCTTTTCTATGAGCTACATCTGTTCCTACAGATCACTTTAGCCAAATGTTCTAAATGTACAAGAATTACAAGGCAGAACAAGTAGTCAGCTTTGTATACAGTGGGAATGCTAATCAAGAGAATGAACACACAGCATTCCTGCTTACTCTATTTTTTGTTTTTCGTTTAAAAGTAACAGGAAATGTACACAAAAGGACTTTACAGCCTTTCCTTTTGTCTTCTTCTAATTAAAAAGGTAACTCAAGTCTTCCTTCAAAAATAGCTATGTACAAAACTGACTAAATCCATCTTCATCGCCGAGCAGGAACCAAGAGCTGGGTTGCATTCATAGAATCAGGGAAAAGGTTGTGGTATGTTGGAAGTGGTACGTACGCTGCTGTGATCATTTTACCTAAAAGAAACAAGAGAGGGAAAAACTGCTTAAAATTCTTGCTTACTTTTTAAACAAGAATGAACAAAATGAGAAAGGTGCAATGCCTATGAAGTTCATTACAAGACCTCCAAGGACTATTTTAGTAAACTTCTATCCTCACAATGCATCTGCAATGCTCAGGGAGGTTTTCAACAACAAAAAGAAGAAAAAACCATAAAAATCATCTGTCCAACAAGAGCAATACTTTCCAGAATTAGAACTTGTTAATCAGTCCAATGAAAAAAATATTAAGGTTACAGTAAGTTAACAGTAAAATATCACTGAGTAAGGCAGGGGTTTTCAACCAGTGTGCCGTGGCACCCGGGGGGGCCTTGAATGATGGTCAGGTGCTGCAGGGAAAGGTGCCTCCTTACACTGCCTTACAGGGGCCTGGGAAGCACCCCCTGGTCAGCCCCAGAGAAACCGGGGAGCTTGTAGTCGGGTCTGCTGCAACAGCTGTGCAAGCCTTTTGAGAGGCAGAGACGCAAGAAGGCATCAGAAGGGGGAGGGAAAGAAAGACGGACAGGGGCCAGTGTTGCCCGTGGCACCCCTGACCATCATTCAAGGCAGCCCAGGGTGACACAGCACACTGGTTGAAAACCACTGCTGTAACGTACAAAAATCTGTCTGGCAAAGAAGGATGGGGCATCAAAGGCTACACTAAACTTAAATGGAACTGTTGATACTCTTGTAATATAATTGTTGGGAAAGTATCCTGGGTAAGGGATGGCAAACTGAAAACAGGTGGAAGGGTTATATATCTCACCCAGCAATTGCCCAAGTGGGAAGAAATAACCTTCTTCCCAAAAATGTCAATCCCATCTGAGTTCAACTGCAAATCATCAATCTAGACAATTAAAAGTATTAGAACTTATTTAAGCAGCCCAAATCAGCATGTGTTCTAAGGCCACTGGCTTACTAGCTCTGAAGATAAATTTGCAAGAAGTATGGTAGAGATGCTGTCGTTCTCAGTGGAAGCCTGCAAACTGTTACCCTTCCCCCAAGTACTTGTGATTACCTAGTTTTATAGGTGGTGTTCTAAGAAACAACTCCCCTAACTATTTATTTCAAAGTCTTATCTATACCTATTACCTGTTAGACAGCAACAAGGCAAATATTACCTGAGGGTAATAGGGCGGTATATAAATTCTAATTCTAATAATAGTAATAAACAACTTCAGTTCACATACCTGCAAACCACCTTCCATGTAATGCATTGACAGCTGCAATTGCTGCAGCTATTGAAGGGCATTTGACATACACATTACCCTGAAATACAAACAACATTTACTGCATTTAACAGAACCGTTCACTTGCAGATCAACAGAAATCAAAAATTCAAGTTGCTGGAACAAAACTACAGATTAAATGTGAATAAATATTTTAATCCATCAAATGAATTTAATATACTTATATCCTGCCTTTTCTCCACAAAGTTAATTCAAGGCAGCTTATGCTAAAGTACATCATGCAAGTAATAAAAAAAGAAAAGAAAAAAGAAAAGCAATTTGTTCTGAATGTTTAACCTGATACAAAGGTCTGATGGTAGCATTTTGTACCAACTGAAGTTTCCAAAAGCTTTTAAAGGGCAGTGCCACAAAAGGCATGAGGTAACGAAGGCTTGAAAGACTGTGGCATGGTCCAGTTTCATCAGTAATGGTTGTATCTGGCATATCAGTCAAAGGTGAGCACATAGCCACCTGTGCATCTGAAAGCAGAACTAAATTAAGGAGCACTCCTACATGATTTTGTAGGGCAGAGATGGGGAATCTGTGGTATTTCAGTTGTTTCTGGACTACAATTCCCATCATCTCTGACCACTAGCCATGTTGGCTGAGGTAGGTTGGGAGTTCAACAACATCTGGAGTACTACAGGTTCCCCATCAAAGTTTTAGGTGCATGCAAATCTCATTTAGGTTTCAAAGTGTCATCTTTTTTCCTTTAACTGAGATGGTCTATGGCAGAGCTTTCCAAACTGTGTCATGACATGTTAGTGTGTCAGCTGTGGTGTGGTGTGTCACATGAACACTCCCCACGCTCCTCCCAGGGTTGGAAAGGGGTTAGTCTAACCTCCGGTTTGCTAGTAAAACTGAATTACTGTGTCCATGCAGTACTTACTGAACCTATATTCTTTGCAGCCAGTGATTCAGGATTCATAAGCATGTATTTTAACCTTGCAATGATGTAAATAGTAATTGAATCAATGTCTGTACAGTGGTACCTCGGGTTACATATGCTTCAGGTTACATACGCTTCAGGTTACAGACTCCGCTAACCCAGAAATAGTACCTCGGGTTAAGAACTTTGCTTCAGGATGAGAACAGAAATCGTGCTCTGGACCTCTGGAACGAATTAAGTACTTAATCTGAGGTACCACTGTATAGACATTTTGTTCACTGACAACTGAGTAACAGAGTTTTCTGGCATCACACAGAGAATACTTTAGTCTGGTCTGTTTGTAGAACATAAAATGCTCCCAAAGTACTTGACCATACTGTTAGTAGTGCAGTGGTGTATAGCCACATCTTGTAGAAGTATAGGAACAGATAGAAGTTACCACCTTTGGGTACTGATTTAATCAACATACCTGAGCTGAATTTTTGTCTACATAAATATGGACAACGCCTCCATGTTTGTTACACTCCTCAATCACATCATCCTTAATTTCTGTATCCCAGCCAGCATCTTCTTCACTGAAGAGTAAGACAATACACAAATTAATTAATTATTCTTCATATGTATACTGAAAATAGAGAAATAAAACAGATTTTACAAAAAGAGAGAGAGAGAGAGAGAGAGATATTAACTTACGTTTGAGGATTAAACATATTGGAGAGCTGGAAGCACTGTGTTGCAAGTGGTTGTACAGAAGCAGCTGCAGCCAACACTGGAGAGGAAAGTGTAGAGTAAGTTTCTCCTTATTTTAAGAAGCACAAAATTCAGGGTGGGATACACCTAAAAGCCCTGTCAGCAGAAGCCCTGTGCGTAACAGACTTTCTTCATTTCTTTCCCTCCCCCGCAATTGGCTGTGAGAGGCATGCCAGCGGAGGCAGATTGGTCCCCCTGGCAAGCTGATACACTTGCACAGGCAGAATGTTTGTAATATCACAATGCCGAATTCCACCCTCAGATTACAACTAAGACTTTAAAAGTATCAGGGCAAACTCTATTGAAAATTTATCATAATATGACGTTACAAAATAGAAAACCAAGGTTTACAAAATATGATTCTGTTGCAAGAATACAGTTCCTAATAAGCAGTCTTTTACATTCAAATTTTTAAAAACTGGAGTTCTAGTTCAAAGGCTTTAATATGGGCAAGGAGGTCAATAGATATATTTTGCATTCAATTTGTTGAGCACTGTGCTAACAAGTAAACTGACTGCATTATGTCCCTGTCAAGAAGCACCAAGTAACTTGAACAGCAATCTGAATTCACGGTTTGTAATAAACTAAGTCCTACTTAGAGCAGAGGTGCCAAAGTTAATGAACCTAATTTTAACATGCCTTATTAACTTCAATAGGCCTACTCCCATCCCCATTTCTGAGGACAAGATACTGTCTGAAACATATAGGGAGGAATTCAACATTGTGCTAAGCAGATTGCTCTCTTGGAATTTCTGATGCAATGATCTCTCTTTTTCTCCCCCTGTGCACTGTTTCCAGGGTGTTCCCTGCCCCTCAACCAATTTAGGAGAAGGTTAAGTTCTTGCAAAGGCTTCCATTGGCAGGGCTTGAATATTGCATATACATTTTGCTTTACTAAAGTCATAAATAATGCCCGGGGGGGGGGGGTGTCAAAGGGGCTCCAATAAAACAACATATGGCTCCTTTAACTAGGGAGACTGTCAACTGTTTATTGCTTCCTTCATCTTGCACCAGACAAATAAGTTTGCATAAATATCCTTAGATCAAAAGAGCCTATGCTTTACAAAATTAAGATCCAACTCAGAAATGGCCCTGGAGCAAGTAGAGTACAACCGAGTGGACTGCCTGAGAACAATAAGACTACACCCAAAATCCCAATAGTGTATGTATAGGTTTTTGAGTGTCAGCACGTCCACACCAGAATTGGTGAAAAATGAACTTCTTTTAGAAGAGGAACTGGAAAATAGAAATAAACCTTTTCTATCTGACCCAGTGCTTTATTATTTACTTTAACAAAAAGACAACAGCTCAAATGTCATCTTCATACTGGATCCACTAATATGACCTTATCTCAACTAGGTGAGCATACATTTCTCCTTGCTACCAAGTTCTGTAGCCAAGTATGATAGGCTGAATGCAGTGGAAGTTTTCTCCTGTGTCCAAGGCTTGGACAGGGAAAGAAACAGGATAAATTCATGCTGTATCTTTTCTTATCCAAACTGTTGGGAACTGTCTAAAGCTTCTGAGAGTTCCTCTCGCAAATAGTAAGGAGCACTTGTCCTTGCTCTCAGGCAGGTGGAATTGTAAATGCCTGTCTTTCTAGCAATACACAACTCTATTCAAAATCAGTCTCACCTTCACTCTGCTGTGAAAGTCGTGTCTGTAAATCTAAAGAAAAATATTGCAGAGAACATTTCAATATAATATTTGGAATGCAAATTTCTCTCTCACACCCCTTAATGCTCTAAAGAGTACCAACCATTCCTCTAAGAAAATTTGTCACTGTGTATTGCATAAGCTATCAGACAAGAAGCAATAAAAGAAAGAGGTCATAAGAAAATTTCACAAGCAATTCAAGACTGGTTATGCGAAATGTGTCCTGTATATCCTGCCTATTCTGGACACGATTATATGTACTCTCTCTGAAAGAACAGGTTCATAATTCAGGGGTTCTCTGTCACTTTAGGCTCAGGTAGGCTCAGTGACTAGGAGTGCCTTTTGTAAGTTATGGTTATCAACTATGGCTGTTCTTGGACAGGGATAGCCTGATCACTAGTAGCCTCAAAACTCATTACTACAATGTGCTCTATGTGGGGCTATAATTGGGCAGGGTATGTAAGTATGTATAAATATATTATTATTATTATTATTATTACTACTACTACTACTACTACTACTACTACTACTACTACTATCATCATCATCATCATCATCAGTCTAGAAGCTCCAGCAGGTGCTAAATCCTGTGGCTAGAATGCTAGTAGGGACAGATTATCATCAGCACATAAATCTGGCACTTCAAAGCTCACACTGGCTGTCCATGTTACTAGGCCAAGTTCAAGGTTCTTGTATAATTTACAAAGCCCTTAACATTCTGAGCCCAGGATACCTTATATCCCTGCTTGATCTCTGAAATCTTCAGAGTAATCTGTTTTAGTGGTCTCCCATGGCTCAGATACGCAGTTCATATCCCCCTGGAGCTGCACATTCAGTACTGTGGGCCTGATTCTGTAGAACTCCCTCACAACTGATATTATACAGGGCCCTCTGATAGTTGAACTTCAGGTGCCTGAAAACCTTTCTATTTCAGCAGGCATTTAAATACATTCTGTTTTTATGATTAATTTTATTTCCTGCATAAAATTTTATTCACTGTTAGTTTTGTAATCTGTTTGTACCCCGCTTAGCAATTTCTGTGACTAAGTGGTATATAATTGAAATAAATTAAATAAAGTGATACAGAAAATTGCTGCGGTTGTGCAAATCAGCTAACATATCATAATCAACAGGTGAGTAAGTTATCTTCCTTAAGAATAACTTCCAGAATACAGTATTTAGAAAAAACAATTTTACCTGCTACAGCGCTAAATGCTAATGATCCACTCATCTGCAGAGCTTGCTGTGCAGCTGGAGGAATTTGCAAGCCAGTACCTGGAATAGAAAGCCATCAATCTATTTTGTGCTAGAGGCTCTACATTTAACTAGGATACTAAAATTATGAAAAATTGTTTTGCGCTACAAGTACAAACCAGAATGAGCCCAATCAAAGTTACTAGCTTTACAGTTATCCCTTCCCACTTCCACAAGGTTTGGGAAGACTTCTGCTGTGTTTAATTTCCAGACAGCACAGTTTAATAACAAACTCTGATTAGTTAAAGCCAGTGTCATTACCCATGGTTTAAAGTTTACTAACTTTGAAGCTTACAAGTTTATTTTAAACCTTGATTCTGATTAGCACCTCATGACAAGCTAGGATTCACAAAACTCAAAGAAAATGCAGCAGGCATTTATTTCCCAGCTGCACAGAAGGAGGAAAGAGAAATAGGAAGTGCAGCTTTAGGTTTGTTCACCTCATGCCCATAGTACTAAATCATGGTTTCAGCACTGTATGCAAACCAGCTTGAAGTCTTGGGAATCAATGTAGCCAAACTAGAAGGTCTACAACATGGAGATGACTATGTCCCACTTAGCTAGAAAAACTTGGCAGTGAGCTTTCCTTTAGACTGAAATCATATAGTAGTATGCTAAAAAAATACGTTAGAAGAAAATACCGTATGTACTATGCTTTTTACAAATGTACTTACCCTCAGCAAGTCTTGCCATCAACTGAAGACGGCCAGTTGTTCCCAAGTCAATTCCAGTCCTTTCCAGTTCATCACTGTCCAAAAACGAGCTAGCACTGGATGCATCTGTACGTTCAGTTACATGACCTACTTTCATTGGCCTGCCAGCTAGTTCAAACCCATTTAGTTGTTCCAAGGCCTTTTTAGCACACTCAGAGTCTGAAAACTAAACAAATTAATCTATGGTCATTTAAAATACAGTTGTTAGCAGACTTTTATTTCAGCATTTATTTATTTTTTAAAAAATGAAACTATTAAGTTTCAGTCATCAAGCTAATACTAGAACCCTTCAAATAACTGGTTTAGTGTGACAGAAGCCACAATGTATTTGATTTTTTGCTATAAAACCGATAGGTACAGACATTTACATGGGAGCCCAAACTAACTACCAGGCAATGCAAACCATGGCATACTTCCACTGGGTTTAAGGGGTTGTAGAGTTTGTCAACTTGATGTTTGCATTTAGTAATTTTATGTAACTTGAGAAGTTGCACACTTGTCTATGGACAATTTTGCCTTCATCCTTTCATTTTCAATTTGCTTTTATCAACATAGCAACATACAGTCGTACCTTGGAAGTCGAACGAAATCCGTTCCGAAGTCCGTTCAACTTCCAAAACGTTCGGAAACCAAAGCTGCAGAAGCCCCGTTGGGCATTCGGGTTTCAAAGAATATTTGCAAACCCGAATACTCACTTCTGGGTTTGCAGCATTTGGGAGCCAAAACGTCCAAGCACCAAGGCATTCAGGACCCATGATATGACTGTACTCTACTGAATGCTATTATCTGGTAGTGAAGCGGCCATCTTCATTTAGCACACTCCAACTTGAAGTCCAGTACAATAGCAGTGGTTGCTCATGTTTAATAAAAACTGGAATGATTCTACCATTGTGAACATGCCCAAAACGTGGGGCTTAGTACCTAACTTTCATAATTATTCATGTTTATGACTTAAAATATTTTATCTTCAACTTCTTTCAGGGCACATTATAAAAGGTGTGGTACATATTGTAATTTTACACATGTAAACTAAAACTAAGTTAAGGATCACAAGTCTAAAAAAATCAGAACATCTTAAGATCTAAGAATTTTTACTTGGAAACAATATATTCAATTGACATCAGTAGAACCTGTTTGCCACAATAAACTTTACAAACTTACAGTAATAAATCCATATCCTTTGGAACGTCCAGTTTCACTGTCCATCATCAGCTGAATGCTTTCAATCTGCAAAGACCAGTACTAATTAGTATATAAGACCTACTGTCATCAATTTTTTATTTTATAGAACAGGATGTAGAAGAAAACGAAGTCTGTTTGTCCAGGACCATAATGCAAATTGGAATATGCACAGAATGTTCTAATAGCTCCCCTGGATGTTTGAAATCCTCAAGATTTGGACCGTGAAATCCTAAAGAATAGATGTGTCACACATAATACTAAATCATACTTTGGTGCTATGCCTAAGTGCTCCATTCTCAGACCATCAACTGCAGTTACAACCAAACATTCCAATTGTGATATTGCCTGAAAACTGGGACTGTAAACTGGAGAGTGTGAAGAGGAAAGGGAGCACAAGATGTGATCCCATGGTGCAATACCACGGTTTGATGTTATCACAGTGTTGTTGAAAGCGCAAACCAGAATATTGCAGTTAGACAGATGAAATATTATTTTAATTTTTACAATCTGCTATGAAAGCAGTCTACGCAACTTGGCATCCACTACTATAGAAGTGCAACTGTAAGTTACTCAATCAAGAATGGTCTTTAGGATCAAATGAATACATGTAATTTTTATTTCTACTTGAACTAACATTTTTTAAAATCAGAGAAAGGAAGTTAGCCAATTAAACCTTTCAGGAATTCATAATTCTGTCACTACTACTAGGTGCAGTTGTCCCCAATGAACTAAAAAACTTACCCGCCCAAAAGGTTCAAAGATTCCACGAAGCATATCTTCAGTTATATTGAAGTGTAATGATCCCACATACAGTCTCATGGGGCCTGCGGTTCCTTTTTGTAGGTTATTAGCCATTGCTGCTGCTCTGTTTTTCTCTGCCTAGAAAAGTTATCCCAAATAGAAACAATACACATTACTAAATAAAGTTTAACAGTTAACTGTCCTACATTTAACTGAGGAATGCTTCAGACTGTATTCAAAACTGGGTGGGTGTGGGAGGGAGAGGGAGAGGGAGAGGGAGAGGGAGAGAAGTACACTACAGAGTAGGTCAAGTTCAAAAATTGTATTCTTACATTAGGCAAAAAAAAAAAGCATGCATATTAGCAGAAGCCCACCAACTCATTGTATGTTTAGTGCACTCAAAAATAAATACTAAAAAAAAAAAGGGGGGGGGCTTCCAATTATTCAAGATTAGGAGTTTGCTGTAATCACCAGTATTTTTAGTGCCAAACAAGTTTTAACTAAGCATTCACCATCTTAAAAATGCAACTGTTGATAAATTAGAAGTGATTTCCACCTTTTGGTCTACTATCAAGTACTGTTTATCGTAAGTAACTAGGCACAAGCATTAAGAAATATACTATTATTATTAACAATAATATTCAAGTAGATGGCGTTTAAATTTGCAAATAGGCATGCTAGTTTATTCTAATAAACTTTTTTATCTGCCATCTCTGTCTCTTAGCTGTTATCAATCATTGTTTGGTCAAACTACTTTTGAAAAGTCCCCTAATCTTCAACAGCACTTTGAGGTATGGCACAGGTTGACAAACTCAAACAACTGAAGTAAAAAATATACTGGACATATTCAAGCGCCTTGTATAACCCTAAGTGACACTTCAGATCTATCCAGAGTTGAGAATGGAATGTAAGGACTCGATCACAAGTGACTCATAGAATTGTAGAGTTGCAAGGGACCCGGAGGGTCATCTACTCCACCCCCTGCAATGCAAGAATAAAGTGCACATGAAGTAAGATTTACTGATCATAACGGAGCTAGAGCAGAAATTAGTATCAACTTACTTGAGATGCTTGTACAATAATTGGTACCCCCAAAACTCGTTGTCCTGTTAATCCAATTGCCAAAGGTACTGAACTAACGTCAACAAATTCCACATAAGCAATTCCCTTGGAACGTCTGGAGTTTCTGTCTGAAATCATGCGTACATCACGGACCTAGAAAGATGGGAACAGTTAAAACTTGTTTTACCTATTTAAAAAGTTTAATCTGCATTTCCTACAGAGTGCCTTCAAATTAAAAATTATGTTTGAAACAAAATTGAATCATTTTTCAATCCTCTCTCATGCCTGCAGATAAACTTGTGAAAACATACAAGCAGTGCCATTTTTCAGTATTCAAGGAATGGTGCTTCAGTGCCCTAACAGGTACCCTACTGTCCCTCAAAGACTTTCAATTGTTCCTTCAAATAATTAGCCAAGTATTTTCCAAATTTTGCTATAATGTTACCATCTTATTTTGAAAGCAAGACACAAAACAGGGACATACTGAGGAAGCCAGCTTGCCTTCATTCCTGACACCTGCTCTGCACTGCGCTCGGGGTGTGTGTCAGAGCACCGGGGGGGGGGTGAGGGGGACACGGTGCCCTGAGGGAGGGCTGGTGTCTATGTGTGTGGGGGGGTGTTCCCGCAGGGTACTAACTTAGGGATGGGGCATGACTGGACTCGAAACGAAAAGATGCAGAAGGAGAAAGACTGATGTGGAGGGAAAGAGTGAGGATGCCGTGGGCGGGGGGGAGGCAGGGAGGGAGAATCGCAGAGCAAGGAAGAAGCAACTCAGAAGAGTTAACAGAGAGAGAGAGAGAGAGAGAGAGAGAGAGAGAGAGAAAAGCTGGCTTCTCAGATCTGTGCAAACTAATATAAAAATATAGTTTGACTTTTCTCACTTGCTTAGTTACTTGTTCGTCTAGTAACTATTTGGATCTATCATGATGATATCCAAACATAACTACTGTATCTGTGAAATAAAGATCCCTTTATCACTCACTCTATCTTAAACGACTTTGGAGGGTAGTAGATCGCCGCCAGTTTTTGATACTTGTTGGTAGATTGCAACCTACTTGAGGTTGGACATGCCTGTTCTAGACAATCTTATGTAGTAACAACTGTGAAACTTTCAGAGTCAAAAGTGTCAGCATCTTACACCATCAGAAAAGCAAGCAAATTATGGATGGATCCTGAGATTCTGTTTTTGCCAAATCCCCTCTCCCCACACCCCTGAAAGTCTACTCCAGAGGGGAAGAGAAGGAAATCAACAAAACTGCCTTTCCCCCTGACGTTAGATGGAGGCCGCACAGAATGGCACCTTAGGATCCAATCACATTTTTTTGCCAACACGCACAAGTTACTTACTTTCTCCTGTTTCCAAAGTGTTGCAAAAATAATGGAACAGGACAATCCTACTGTAACTTGGTTTTGTGTATGTCAGACATGTCCAATCAGTCAACCGCAATCGACCAATAGATCACAGGAGTGATCCTAGTCGATCGTGGGATTAAATAAAGTGGGCAAGGAATGTCGCCGCCCCTTCCCCTGGCTCCTGCCGCAGCCGCAGGGAAGGCAAGCACAAGGAATGTTGCCCAGCTCAACCTTCCCGCCAGCAGCAGGACCCAGCGCCAGAGGGAGGGACATTCCTTGCCTGCTCACTTGCTGTCCAGCCCGGTTGCAGTGGCGGCCCCATGGGTCCCTCCACCGCTGGGAAGGCAGGGTTGGGCGATATTCCTTGCGCTTGCTGCCCGGCCTTCACTGCTGCAGCAGCGGCCCAGGGTCCCTCCACTGCCGCCGGGAAGGCCAAGCCGGGCAGCAAGTGCAAGGAATGTCACCCAGCCTAGCCGTCACTGCTGCAGTGGTGGCCCTGGCACTGGGTCCCCCTGCCGCCGCAGGGAAGACCAGGACAGGTGGAAAGAACAAGGAATGTCGCCTGGTCCAGTCTTCCCGGATGTGGGGGTAAAAGGGGGGGGCAGGCACAATCGGGATGCACGTCAGCTATGCGGCTACCTTTGATGGGGGGGAGAGAAAGGGCTGCGGGGGGGGGTGGAGAGCTGGATAAGTGGAGGGAGAGGGGCTGGCTGGGGGTGGGAAGAGAAGCCAGCTGGCTCCTCAGAGAGAGAACTTTTGCCTCCCTTTCCTTCCCACCCCCACTTAAACTCCCCCCTCCCGCATCCACTTAGCTACCTCCTTCCACACACGCACCCCACACACGTACCTCGTCCCTCCAAAGACAATGGGTAGATCACTGCCTGCATTTTAAACTGGGAATAGATCGCAGTCTCTTGTGAGTTGGTCGTGCCTGGTCTATGTTATTTTTGCTAGCAAGTCCTCATGTGGAAGCTTCTTTAGACTTAGGCTAAAAATTCAGCAGCTCAATCTTGCAAATCATCCCAAATACACCACTGTATCTTAAATGGAATTTAATATACGGAAAGTTTGAAAAAATTCTGCTCAGTTATTCTGCTTTAAAAATATTAGGATGACACCAGAAGAAATTTGAGTTATTGACGCCTCACCTTTCCTACAGTAGAGAAAAACTCTTCCAAATCTCTTGGCCTAATTCTTGCAGCAAGCTGCATACAGAATACTGTTCGAGCATCTCTCTCCTCTGGAGTTAGATTATCAATAGGTTCTCTGAAAATAATAGATAAACCATGGTCAGTAATTTTCAATTTTAAAAGATAATTTGAACAAATTTGTTCTGATATTCATTAAATCCATTTACACTCAGACACAGATGGAGGTTTAACATTCAAATAGCACATGCTTCAAGTAAGGCAGACAGGTACCCCTGTTTTTCAACTGCACCAGATATCTACAGTCTCCTTTAATGAGATGTGTCAATGTCTCAATATCTCAGAATTCATTATTTATAGTGCAAAAAAGGCTCTTTCCTGTGTAACGTATATTCCTACCCCAATATACAAGAATGTGTAAAGCAGATGAAAAAGACAAAATAGGGTTGGGAGAAGGTGCTCGGGGTTAACAAAGGATGTTTTAGAGGTCTTGCACCCCGATTCTACAAGTATGCCTGGAAAAATCTGTTAATTTAATGGACATACTTCTAAGTACGTACACCTTACCTAATCCCAGCATTAGAAAGGAAATGCTTTTAACCTCAACGTACTTTAATAGTTGTGTATGTCTGAAATGAAAGAACGTATTCAGCCATTTTACAAATTTATGTCTTTCGATATTGTATCCATACAAAGGCAGTAATCAGTATAGCACTGGGCAGCAAGAGAAATGCAATGATGCATAGAAAAAATGAAGGCATATCACTGTATTTATCAAGCTTAAGCAGAATAGCACTTTTTACACACAAAAATGCATTATCACATACTTTGCAACTGAAAGGCAATATTACAAAATGTTTCAATCTCCCTCCAAACATTATTTACACCTTACCCTTGCAAAATGTCCACATTTTGCGGACTATGGCAAGAATGGGAGTAAGGTCTAAACCTAACAGCACTCTGTTCGCAAAGTGACCATGACTCCAGTTACAAGACTGCTAATCTATGCCTGACATTGTGATCACTCTTTAATTCAATCAATCCCCCTATTTTCAAAGCAAGTCCCCTATATGTGGATAGGCCAGACAAGAACACACAGGGGCCGAGATCTATACATGGGTGCCGCTAGCAAATTTCGGCAGGAGAGATGAATTAACAAGCTTAAGCTCACAGGAGCCCAAAGATAGTAGCTAGGATGAATGCAAGAAAACAGCCCAATGCTTGTTTTCTTTCGCCTGGCCTGATGGGGAATGACCCTAATTGCCTGCCGCAAGTACTGAATTAAGCAGTGAAGGATGGCTTTTCAAAAAATGGAGGAGCAGGCAGCTGAGGCTAACATGACATTTGCCCATTGGGTCCATGAAACTGCGAGTTAAGAATAATCTCTGTAGGCCATAACTGCACCCCAAGCTCCTGCAGCTTAGCTGCCATTTGGGTCATCTTACCCAATGGTTCCATAGAGCCTAACTTAGGGAGACATTCCAGCGCCTCTACTCTGACCAGATAGTTCCTTCCTTCAGCAGAGGTTGTTCCCACAGACCTGAGACACATCAGTGTGGTATGGAGAACAGCTGAAAGGAGCACAATATCTCTTGCTGCTCCATCTGTGAAAATTTTACAATAAGCTACTTATAGCTCGGGATACGGGTGGCGCTGTGGGTTAAACCACAGAGCCTAGGACTTGCCGATCAGAAGGTTGGCGGTTCGAATCCCCGTGACGGGGTGAGCTCCCATTGCTCGGTCCCTGCTCCTGCCAACCTAGCAGTTCGAAAGCACATTAAAATAGGTACCGCTCCGGCGGGAAGGTAAATGGCGTTTCCGTGCGCTGCTCTGGTTCGCCAGAAGCGGCTTAGTCATGCTGGCCACATGACCCAGAAGCTGTACGCTGGCTCCCTCAGCCAATAAAGCGAGATGAGCGCCGCAACCCCAGAGTCGGCCACGACTGAACCTAATGGTCATGGGTCCCTTTACCTTTACTTATAGCTCATTAATGTCAAATGCATAAGTCACCTTCACACAGAGGTGTATCACAGATGCCTTTCAAAGGACGTTCCTATTAATGGCCAGAGAAAGCAAAAGGTCGTACTACCAGTAATAAAAGAACATCAAATTCTGTAGTGCTACCAACATCCACAACACTTCAGAACTGCCACAATCAATCAAAATAGGTGCACTCTATGCTACTCATGCCAAATTAAAATACTAACAATAACCTTGGCTTGCAGAGGCAGCACACTAAACATGCACAGAGAGCATGTTCTGGAAGCTGAAAGGTGAGAATGAGATTTGCACAGAAAGCAACTGAGACACCTCATATAATATTCAACACTACACAGTCAATTTAAATAGTAGTATTCAACTGCCTACCTCACAGGACTCTTGTCTTTTCTAAATGGACTTTTGCTCCTGGATCGTCGTCTACTGTGGAAAAAAGGATACAACCAATTATGAAGGTATTAAATACATCAAAATAGATAATTAAATAGTCACCATAAAATAAGAGAAGGAAACCTTATTTTAATGTTGTGAGGCAAGCCAATCTTTCCTCTGATGGCACTGTTAAATTTTGGACCAGAACTAGATTTAAAAAAAAAAGACAATATATTACTAAGCAAGTTCATTATTGGCAGGAACAATCTTGAAAGAAACTAAATGCTAACTGGTGTTCACTTTACAAGTATATTTGAAAGCAAGTGGGATGCAGTAAGGCAGATATGTGAAGCATATCCAAAATTAACCTGAGATATCATTTTGACATTATGAGAAAGTCTGGGCTAGTTCTCAGATGATTTAGTGTGACATATATATATGAACAAGAAGGCGTGCAAGCAAAGTCTCAGGCTTGCATGGTCTGTCTTATTCTCCCCCTGTATGGCAAGGACTTTTAGTTTCATGGACTTGGCATTATGTATGAACCAAATATTGTTATTCCACCATTACAGTGATTACCCACTCTGATACTGCAAAAGAAAATTGTGTCACTGCTACAGTCATACTATGATTTCAGATCCCACATGATACTGGAAGCAGATTTCTCTTAAGTTGTCTGCTTAAAAGTATTTTGAAAAACCTAAGCCAAGGTACAAAAATGTATACATCTTAAAATTGAGGCTTATGCAGCTATATTAAAAGGTTAGTTTGCCTTTCTTAAAAAAATAAAACTTATATTTTTATTACATTTCCTGCTTATTCAGCAATGAAATATTAGAACTAAAATGACAATTTTGCGCAACATACTAGGGGCTTCTGTAACGGCCTCTGAATCGCCGTTCTCTACTTCTTGAACGGCTGCGTCTCCGTTCTTTACTTCTACTGCGCTTCCTCTCCCGACTTTTGCTCTTCTTCCTCTCACGATCACGACTTCGTTTGCGCTCCTTACTTCTACTCCTCTTCCTGTCATGGCTACGACTTCTGCTCTTGCTCTTTTTTCTCCTGAACAGGACAAACAACACAAGTTTAGGTGTCTTTTTTTCAAAAGCAGCAAATAATAAGATCCACTTAAAAGTTAGACTATGAATTGGGTAGGTAGGCAAGTTTAAAAAATCCCCATCAAGTAAGTTATGGCAACTGCAGCATGAATGCAAATTTTCTTTATAATGTACATTATTTTTTAAATAATGCAATCATTCTTTAATCAAATTACATAATTTATTTTAATTCTCTCTAAACCATTTATACAATAGTTAAAAGCAATGCACTGGGTATGTACAAGCCTTCAAGGTGACAGCACACATTCACAAGCATACCCTCAACCAGGATAAACATACGGGTACCTCACTCTTTAAAATATCTACCTCCCTCCTAGGAGGAGGAATATTTTATCAAACAGAAGACACAAAAATGTTTAAACTGCAGATAACTATACCTACCAAGTTCCTTTGCAGAAATGTCAGGTTCATAGTTGATTCTGAACTGTTCATTTAATGAGACTCTCTTTCCACTCTACTGCCTGCTCACGCTAGATATGTTCCAAATGGAGAAGGAATAAGTCCCATTGGAGCAAGTAGCTTGGATCCCAGGTGCCCTTCTGCTAGCGGAAAGCCTCTTCCACTCACAGAAGGGCTGTTTCCGACCTAGCGGAAGAGCATTGCATGAGAAAAGCAACCCCAAATCCAAAGAATTGCTTCTGTTTGCATAAGCTATTTTCAAGACATTATTACAGCCCACTAGTTTATCCTACAGCTTCCTTATTCACTATTTCTCTCTTACTGTAGACACAGTATGCTACCTTGTGCTGCTGGCTTGTGAGAAATATTTTACCATCACTTGCAAGAAAATTCAAACAGCACTAATACATTGTCTTCTTCCCCTTGTTTATCTGGATCCAAGTCAATGATTTAGCCCCTTAAGAGTTATATATTCTAAACCATTTGCTGCTTCTAACAGAAATGCAAAGTGTTTTTAAGAGGGGAAAAACCTACAGAAGTAACATAGGGACCCAAAGACAGGTTCAAATGTAAGAACATATACATACTGCATTACCCCAAAAGACATAATTAGTCTATATTAGGGTTTCTCCATGCTTAAAAGCAGGGACAAATAATGTTTCCACTGTAAAGAGGCAGACATGTACCAAGAACTAAGGAACTGGTTGCCTCCAAGTACACGTCTCAGAACAGGAAGATATTTTTAGTAGCAGAACTGAGCTCACAATCCTTTCACATGAAAATTCATCCTTAATTCCTCTTAATTACTTTTTTCAGTAGCATAATATGGGGAGCCCTTTTGGTTTGCTGGTAAACAGTTGGGAGTCAGAAACTGTTGCAGTTCTATTGCAAAAAATCCAGAGGTACTCCCTCCTGTGCCTCTGCTTTAAAGGATTTAGAGCATAAGTGTTCACGAAACTCTATTTGTTGACCCTGGTTTATTAGAGTGGTGCATTTATTTTTTACTTAAGCTGTAATATCTTAACAAGAGTACTGAATTTCTTAAAAGTTGTTTAAGCTAACACCACCTGCCTATAATTTGCACTTTTCATTTCACATGGTTTATTGCATCCAGAGTATTCAACCTTGTCCAGGAGTAAGGTCGCTAGCTAAACTGGACAACTGGAATTAATTCAAGAGTTAAGATCTCACTCAGATTCTATTCTAAACAAAGAGATTGAACGAATTCATAGTACTATTTGAATCAGTTATGTTTCTACCCCGTACATAGGAAGACAAGTAGGTTATGAATCAGACAGCTTCAGTGAGCAAAAACCAGGGCCTTGGTTTGTAATCACAAGGAGGGCCATTTGTTTCTACTGTGATTTGTTAATTAAAATTCAAGAAATCCATAGGCTAAATAATCAACTCAAACCTAAGGAGTTTACCTAGCATGATATTAGTGAGATATTATGGATGGTATTCCTCTTTGCAGTCAGATATCCTCAAGAAACATCCTTATAGAAAGCAATTCTTCTTTGATTCCCAGATGACAAAAACTGTCAATACAGGAATAACCAGATGAAATATTGCCAATATCCCCCTTCCCAAGGAAAATGTATAGATTTGAGACCTAATACCTAGGTAAGGAATTATTGCAACATGTACATTTTCATATACCTGGAACCTACAAGCCCAGTAACATAAGGCTGCCTGCTAGTTATGATATGTGGGGTTTTTTCTAGTTCGCCTTTTCTTTTAAGCTGTAAGACTCTTGTATCAGTTATGTACCAAACATGAATGTGGCAAGTAAAACATTTATGGGAACTACAAGAATAAAAAGAAACTCTGAGAAGATACTGAAATTCAAACTTGGACCTACAATTAATGTTCATATCATTGTTATTAAATAACAAGTGTGACCAATTGTTTCTCCATTAAAATATAAAACATAGCATGTGAAATTTACCTAAGTTGAAAATTAGGGTTTCAACTCCTTTCTACCACAAGTCAAATAATTTAAATTTCTAATAAATCTGTCACATCAAGAATGCATAATGCATGCTTGCATATGCCATCAGGAGAAAGCTGCAGTTTACTCTCATAACAAAAGACTTCATCCCAGTACTGCCTACACTACAGGAATGAACTTCTGTAAAGAAAAGATAAGGGCTTTCTTAAATTGTCCTTCTTCCTTGTGGCAGCACATTGCGAACACAACACAAAGTTACAAGTTGCAGCTCAAGAACATGATTTTCATCCAACAAACAATTTGTTGGGTATATAGATAGGCTTATGGTTGCAGCAAATGCAGCAAACCAACCCGCTTTTTATGTTGATGGCAATAACTCTACCTGTATCAAATGACCTGTTGGAACTTTGAGAGACTGGTATACTAGCAATAGCATTAAAAGTGGGCTGGTTTGTATGCAGCACTAAAATATAGCTTAGTGCTACATGGGATAAGAATGAAAAAAGCTTCAGGTTCACAGACTCCCGTTCTAGTTAACAGTGATTTAAAATAAGCCAGCTTCATAACCCATGGTTTGAAATTAGCTCGCTCCAAGAAGTCAGAAATTATGGAAAGTGAACCAAAACACTGAGGAAATCTTTCTCCCAACTGCATGGAAGCAGAGGAATAAGAGACCTCAAAGCTTTACTCAGGCTCATTTCAATTCATACATGTAAAACTAAACCGCTGTTGTGCGTGTACAAGTTGAATAAGAAAGTATTACTGAGCAGATTGCTCATTTCCAAATATTTTAATAGCTTGGGAACAGCAAAGACCAATTAAGTGGAAGAGCTTCTTTCGAATCATGAGAATGAAGAAGCACTTCAGAAAACCTTATACACTATATGAGAAAAAATTAATGCTTGGAACTAGACAAAAAATCACTTTCATGCTGTGCATGGGAGGTCAGTGATAGTGCATCCTAAAGATTAACTATGAAGAATGTAATAAAATAAAACCACTTCATGTGCAGCATGCTGCCCCAAACTGAATATAAAGAAAAATGTAATAAATGGGCACCAGTCATGCCTAATAGAGGCTTCAAATCATCTTCATTTCTTAACAGCATGCCAGTAATACAAAATGCTCCACAAGACAGTACATATGTACATACATACATAATCAGGCTACTATAATGAAGCAGACAAACTGGTAAAAAGGTATGTTCCTTCTAATCAACAATTCCTAACCAAGCTGGTGCAGCAATAAAACTGCTAGCACATTTGCTAAGCTAAGCTGGGTCCAATATGGTTTCAAATTAGATGGAGGACCACCTGTTGAAATTCCTGCATTGCAGAGGGTTGGACTAGATGACTCAGGGTCCCTTCTACAATTCTTTGATTCTATGATTATGATCACCACTTTGGAGGATTTGCTTTTTTATTATTTCTGCAGGGGTGTGTGTGTGTGTATCAAATTACACATTTTCCATTGGACTTGTAAGCTTGAGAGTTAGTGTGGTGTAACTGTTAAGAGTATCAGACTAGGACCTGAAACTTGAATGCCCACTTGGCTATGAAGCTTACTGGGTGACCATAGGCCGGTCACTGCCTCTTAGCCCAACCTACCTCACAGGGTTGTTGTGGGGAATAAATGAGGTGGGAGAGAGCTATGTACACCATCTTGAGCTCCTTAGAGAATAAGGTGTTCTAAATTGCAACAAATGATTAATGTATTTAACATAAGCAGTAGTGCACACAGTGACAAAGGTTTTCTGGAAAACTAGAGTAATATGCATAGGTTAATTTTCCATTTGCACCAGAAAAAAATTTTATGCCCAGGAGCATGGGTGGTGGACAATCTAGCCTGTGGGCCAATCTTGTCCTGTCAGGAGGTTCAAGTTGGCCCATGAGGTCATTTTCCTGAAACCACACTGCCCGCCTATCAGCTGACAATAGTTGTGATGTCATCTAATGGGCTTGAGGATGGGGTTGATTTAACACATTCCTGTTCCGAGCAAGGAATGAGTCTACAGCCAAAGCAGCAAGATTTAACCCCTACTTGTGAGCCGAAAGGGGGGGGGGGGCGCCGCATTCCTGATTCTGGAAGGGTTCTGCATGGAACTCCCTGATAAAACAGAGCGGGGGATTTGTTTTAGCAGAAACCGCTTCCTGGGGTTTAGCCTTCCCAGAATGTAGGAAAATACTTTTTAATTTTAGCTGCACCTTTGGGACTTTAAAGCACTTTGCATCATTGTGACATCAGGTGGTTGATGGGTTGGTGGCTTCTGATAAAAATCTAGCTCACGGAGCCAAAAAGGTTCCTCAACACCTGCCCTAGAGAGTCATCTAATCATGTTTATTTTACTCTTATTTAGTAAACAAAAGGCAAAAATTCTGAAACTGCCAAGCATGCCTAATATTGTATTTGTAATTGATATCCATAATGAAAGAAAAGCTCTGGAACTTTTTCCACCCTACATAAAACCAAATAATGCTGTTTTCCTAATAAAATACATGCAGTCATCATGACTGTAAAAGCTTGTGCATTTGCTACGATTCTATTTTGCTTCAAGTTAAATTACAGCACACATCTGCAAGAAACTGAAAAGACTGGTATCAATAGGTAAATAACATGTTTATTAGTCACCCGCCCAGAAAATTAACCTTAATCCAAATTGTATTTGTTGCCGTTAGTTTTTGCTTAGTTTATACTAAAATGTATCCTTTTTGCATATGGTAAATGGCTAACTGTTCATCAGAACATTATAGGCAACTGAGGTTTTGGTATAAACAAAATCTGTGTTGTTTTATGCATATTGAATGTTTTGCACCATCCATTCTTCACTTTTAGGATCTTACCCCATATATACCCACTCAATTGCTTCAATCTGCAGAACTGGCACTGTTACAGGTGCCACGTAATACTCATTCCACACTTGTAGTAATCAATCTTTTAGTGGCAGCACCTACAGTTTGGAACTCCAGGCCTGACAGGTTCCTTCGTTGTATTCCTCTGTGCCTGCTTAAAGCATTTCTGTTTAGACAACTCTATCCATAAATGTAGAACCTACATGAGATTTCTGTCTTTTGGCTACTGTGGCTTTAATAATGTTGTATGTTAGGTAAAGTTACCCATGACTGTTAGGTCCAGTCGCAGACAACTCTGGGGTTGTGCGCTCATCTTGCTCTATAGGCCAAGGGAGCCGGCGTTTGTCCACAGACAGCTTCCGGGTCATGTGGCCAGCATGACTAAGCCGGTTTGGGTGAACCAGAGCAGCACACGGAAATGGCGTTTACCTTCCCGCTGGTGCGTTACCTATTTATCTACTTGCACTGCATGCTTTCGAACTGCTAGGTGGGCAAGAAGTTCTCTTAAATTAATTTAAATAAACTTTTTTTGGCATAATGCTTTCACTAATCACTTTGTTATATTGTAGATCATTTCCCATCATTTTGGGCCTTTTTAGCTATGAATTAAGCAAAAGGTCAGGATTTTAAAGCCCTGAACAAACCAACAGGGTATGAAGTCTACACCTTTTAATGCACCCAGACAGGAAAAAACCTTCATGAAATTGTCCATGTCCATAAAAGTTTAGCTCAGGGATGGGGAACCTCTTACCCTCTTGGCATGGCCTATTGTCAGGGATGGAAGGTGTAGTCCAGCAACATCTGAAGGGCCACAGGTTCCCCATCCCAGATTTAGCCCATGAGATCAGTGAGGCTACATAAAACTACATTAAAAAAACAAAAACGTTTAGCACTTTTTCCCTGTTCACCCAATGGCTGACAGAACAAAGTCTCTTGTAAATTCTTGAGGGTGACAGGAGACGGCAGAACATTCCTCAACACCTAGGACAAGCAATAAAAAGCTAAGTTAACATCTTCCCACCAAGATAACATTTAATAAAAAGGAGACTGTCCAGCCAGTTTTTTGTTGCCTACTGTGGTTGTAAGACCATGAGTTTCAGGCTGCCTTGCAGTTAAGTTAGTACAGCAAAGGGTCCAAAAGGCTTTAATGAAATATTAACGCATATTTCCTCAAGTAAACTACTACAAAGGAATTAAAAAGGTTCTGAAAAGTAACTTACTGTGAGCTTTTGTAAAAAAAACACATCATTTTTGAGAGTAAATCCTCTTTCTTATCCCACTGACCTATGACATTATTAACTTTTCATACAACACCGTCAACTATTATTGTGGCTTGCAGTCTTAAGATATGAACAAACAGGGGTTTTTCTCTAATAAAAGCAAGTCAGGAAGCCCACAATAGTATTATTCAGGGTATTTAAATTTTCACTTTGGGTGGTATCCAGTGGAGACTGTCAGCAGACAAAAGGGAATCTGTCAATGGAAGGGAGAGAAAAGTTTTATTAATCTCCCATTCCCCCTAAGGTACCCCACACACTATCTAAATCTGCTCCAGAAGGTTGGGGGAGCAGAAATAATTAAAAATAACCTTTCAACAGCTGATAGTCACCACTGGACACCATCCACTGAAAAAATGGCCAACAAGGCTGGTAGAGAAGCTGGTTTCCTTCTAACACCATTACATTTGGATAAGAGAGAATACAGCATGACTCCTTCTTCTATGTACTGTGTTCCACTTTATAAAAGTAAAACCACCAGGGAAAGGAAATTAGAAGTTTCCAGTTACTTCCACTATCAAATACCGCAAAGAGAAAGGAGCTATCTACCTTCCCAATACAAGCTGTCTTTACATGAACAAGGCAATCTACCTCAGATACTCCCCAAGTGTAATTTAGGAAGATGAGTCTTATTTCTATATTGTGCACATTTTTAAACATTAGTTTACTCCTCTCATTTCCACAAGAAGGGCCACATTCTGCACAGGTAGCAAAGACATGCTCTCAGAAGGCAAGAGTAGACTGTACTTTTCCAGTAGTGGTTTTTTGATGGGATAGCTCTGGGAAGAAACATATTATTCTTTTTAAGAACAAAGTTCAGTCTCTTGTGCTCTCTCGTCTCTCAGCAGTAAGTTTAAGTAAACGTTTAGTCACTGTTGATATTAATGAAACAAACCACTATCCAAAAAGGATCTGTTCAGCAGGGAGTGGGGAAATGATTCTGTTTTCCACCACAGTAAAAGACTAGCATTTGAGTTTTTATTGCTTAGAAAAGCACAGCCCTATGCAAAGGCAGTTTTGCTTAAAGTGGTATTTTGTTTGTTTGTTTTCTCAGCTAACCATTGTTAAACAAAGGAACTGATGCCTCAGAAATTGACTGGTTTTTTCCTGGAGATATTTAAAGAAAGGATATGCAAGTTGACCCGAAGATTCCCTTTTATTCAAAAGAAGCAGATCATCTCACTGGAAAACTATTTAATTTAGTTTTTAGAACTATTCCAGTTCTGTTTCATTAGCCCTCTCTGGTATATTAAAATATTTTGCTTCCATTTTCTAGAAGAGGAAAGAAACTAGTGGAAACCAGCAACTCTCACTGTGTTTCCAAATAGCTTATCAAGATACTGCCAAACACTGTTCTTTTGTCCTGCCACTATGAGGCATGACTGGCTGGAACTCGAGGCAAAGACTGTTCTGTGGTGACTTCAACCTTACTGAATTAGCTCAAAAGTCACCTTAAACCAACCCACACATACTTCTCAACATTCCAGAAAGATAGGTATGCTAGCCTAAAGTAGTTCCAAGGTGCTTCAACAATACAAGTTCTTGTGACCCAAGATTCCACAGTCAAATTTATTCCATTTGGAAATTTACCTTAAAAAGTTCATACCAGATTCACTTGGGCTACAATCCCATGTCCACTTATCTGGAAATAAGCACCAATGAACGCAATGGAACTTACTTCTGAGCAGACATATTATGCCATCAGTCTTTTAATGTACCTTTTAACTGTTTTTTTTAAAGTTAGGTAAACTGTTACAAAAATCTAAAATTATGTATCTGTCATAGACTATATATTTAGCTGTATTTAATTTCTTTTGAAAGATGACCCGGCGGAAATTTTTGGAATTGAACAAGGATTCCAGTTGTCTCTTTCAAAAGTTTACGTTGGGAGTAAAATATTCTGTTTGCTTAAAAACTGAGGGAAGAGGGCCTGGCTGCCAAGAATGTTTCCTAGGAATAACGACAAATTCAGTAATACCAATGGATACTTACTTCTTGCTGCGCTCTTCATGGCCATTGGCACTGCTCAATTTGTTCTCATCCTAAGCAGGGTTGATAGAAGAACATCGTGAGGACGAAGTGGAAACATTTCAAGTGGTCAAAAGGGTAATGGGAATAGGGATAAGAAAATACAAAACAAAAATTTTAATACTAAAATTATTTTACATTTAATATGGAGTGCTACTAGTTAATGTAGACTTGTTTAACCACTTTGTTGCTTATAGTTAAGTCATACAATTACAAATACAAGAATTACTATTAAAAATATATATTTAAATCGTACAAGCTTCCTTACGTGACTTTAAAGTTATCCTGAAGTTTTCAGCACTCAAGTGGTTAAATAAATAAAATGTAAAAAGAAATTTCACGTTTAAAACATTTTCATGTACTATAATCCCTTTGACCAGTACCAAGGCTATATCTCTGCCTAAGCCCCAAGTGGCCATGCTAGCAGCCAGCCACTATCGATTTCCTGTGACCGATGCCAGTCCTGAGATCTTCGCCCATTTTCGTTGGAGGGTTGGGACTGTAAGAGCTTGATGCCACCTCTGTCACACATCTCGCCCTGAAGCAAACAGGGATTCACACTGCTTTAGTAACGTCGACTCCCAAGTCAGTCATCAATAATCCAACCAGTCCAGCCTAAATATTCCCTATTTCCATACCTGTTTACATGGAAAATATCCATGTTAAACTAGCACACAAGATTCTTAACATTACAAATTATGATTTGTTTCAAAATGTTACATAGCTAATAAATATTACATAAAACTAAACATGAAAATTTAAAAGGTTACAAACACTTGTTCAAAACTCATACCGCATAGCTGTACTAAACATACTTCAAAATGAACTAATAGTTGCTGTTATGTTTATTGTAGTTATCACACCAGTTACACCATGAGTTCAACTGCTACATTACTTATTTTTTTGTATATATAGATTTGTGAAGCCAGTGCTACTGCATGCATAATTTAACAGTTTCACCAATATCCAGTGAAAAACTAAATACATTTGCTGCCTGTTTAGATCTAGAAGCTAGGTATTAAATATTCAGAAATGTAGAAAATTATATCAAAGTTGCTAAATTAAATAAATAGAAGAGTACTCTGTCACAACGAACGGTAGACTGCAACAATATTTTGTTTTACTAATACTAAAATGTGAACTATTCAGGGATCCAAGAATTTTTGGAAAGGTCTTTCGCACAACAGTTAATTGCCTCCTGTCCTGTTAAAGATTAATCACCCGTCTATCTTTTTTTTTAAAAAAGAGGTCACTCTTCTTCCATTAAGCAGTCTAAGTATTTGCTTGCCATGAACTTGGGGAAGAGATTATTCTTGGAACCCTGCTATTTGCTCAAACCACTGCATTCACCTTGTTGCTAATCCAAAATTGAGCTGGTAGTTTTTAGGAGTGTTTTCCGTTTGTTTGTTTTTTTGTTTTTACCTAGGGGGACCACGGTACAGCGATACGTCACTCAATTACTACCTTATGATTGACAGTTCACACTGGAATCAAAGGTGAATTCATGGGAGTAGAGGTGAGATATCGTTAGGCAAGTCTACAAAGAGAGATAGATGGGCATTTATTCATCACGCTGAAGTGAAACTACTGCACAATATAATTACATTAACAGCATATAGTTACTCGTAAGATACACGTAACGCACGTCCAATAAGATAAATCATGAGGGCTCCGGGGATGTTAGTTTACAGTTCAGCAGTAGTTTCATGAATAATGCTAAATGAATAGTGATAAAGCCCTTATTAGCATATTTTCTCACCTTCTTATAAGGAGCTTCAAGCATTGCTTCAATATCAATATCATCAGCCATTTTTCACGACACCTAGAAAGAGGAAAAAGTTCCTTTAGTCAAGCATGTACTAATCCAGACTAGTTCAAAAATTAAGAGCTTGATGATTCTGATGGTGACAAAAGTTGCATCAGTCCACACTTCCAAATGATTCATAGTTTTATATTCTGAACATTCTTGAAACTCTAGGTCAGTTTTGACATAACACTGTTAAAGTGAATGAACCAAGCTTCTCCCTACTTTTTACACCCTTTCTTCTCCCTCTAGTGCAAATGAAAGGTACCAGTGTCCACAAGCGTTCATGTCCATTTTTGATTAACATTAGCTTTTGTTTTACCAAACTCTGGACCAACTGTGATTAATTTTAACTATGGCTAATGGAAACAAGCCAACCTTAAACCATAGCAGGCTGGCTTTCATTAACTATAGAGAAGATTTACCAGAGGTTAGGGTTCAAACATGCTAAACTGTAGTTCAGCTAAAATTCCAAGTGATAATTTATAATCTCCTAGGTGTAGCTATGCTGGAGGAGAGGGAAGTGTGTGAGCTCAAAAGAGAGGCTAGGCTTAATCCTGTAACACTAAAGCACGGCTTCAGCATTATGCCTGCAAAAAGTCACCGTCTCTGGAAGCATGTAACACATTCGGCCAAACACAAAACTACGCAGTTTTCCTATTATCCAGAGAAAAAGTAAACCCGGTTCCCATGTTTGTAAATTACTTTTGTAAATACCTACCCAACATACATAAACAGAAGCATATTTGCTAATAAAACATACTAAAATATCCCTTCTCCAAATAGCCATAATACGTTTTATTACTCCAGTAATACCTGTGTAATTAAGATAATAATTTGCTGAAAACCCCTCACCAAGTCATTTGACTTTCAAAGACAACAAATTATTATAATTCTCTGTTGGCTTTCTGACTAACAGAGGTAAAGATTTCTTAAAATAAATGTGATATTCAACTCAGGTTACAGTTTCTCTCTCTCAATTTCTCTATCATGGAGAGCCCAGACTTTGTCAATGGGCAAGAACACAGATGCTGCAGGCTCCAAGCAACTGCTGAAAGCAAAACAAGCAACATACTCTTGTTAAACCAGATATGCACTAATATCAAACTTTTGGAACCAATTCAATTATCAATTCAATGTAACACATAACAATAATCTAGAAATTCCAATTGTTTAACCACATTTTGAAAAATGAACTCTTGAAAATGCATATATGCATATACCCTCCCATAAAACTGTCCCTGGAATGCTCTAACATTTTTGGTTGAGCATTTTGTTACTGTAAATGCTGTTTGCTCAAGGTTAAAGTTGACTGATGGAAAACATTTCCCTAAAATCAACAGTGAATACAGCTATGCAGAATTATAAAAGGGAAGCCATTTTGTGTTGTTGCCTTACCTCCAGGGTGTGGGAGATACATCCCTGTGGTGAAAAAAGCTCAATAGAGCTTCAGATTAGAAGTTCCTCCCGAATCTGATGATTTCCCATCACCTGAAATCTGCCATGAATCATTGACTCCTTGGGTCAAAAATTCGGAACAGATTAGTTAAACTATCCCAGAAAATATTTCATATGGAATCAGCTGTTGCAGATTCCCCAATTGCAAGATATCAACAATCCTGAGCTTGTTATAATAAGGATTATGGGTAGACTACTCTAAGCTACTCTCTGAAGAATGGAGAAAAGACCCTCTTAAGAATATTAGGGGGTGGGCAGGGGAAGGACTAGACCATGTGAAAAATGAACATAATATTTTAGCTGCAGTTCATTTTCAGCTTTGTATTCTTGTTATTTAAAAAGTGTGATTCAACATTTTGTAGCTGCACTCATAACCTAGGTTTAATTTGGCATTTAGCTCCTAGCTTTCATATCTCAATTTCTAACACTGAACTTTTTTTATGACTGCTTTTATACAGCACAGTAATATTGTTTTAGGGGTTTCAAAGAGTGTTGAAAGCAACATAATTGCACTCACGTAATTACTCCCACTTGTGCAACAAAACTGCTCCCTCTCCTGTTCACACATGCAGACCCCCAAATCTCCTTCAGAAGGTGGGGGGGAAGCATTAGAAACTCAGAAATGTAAACTAATCACCAAATGCCATCTTAAACCTGGGTTATGGTCTCCACATAGGAATGTCTAGGTACCTTTTTTCCTGCAGTGAATTTTATTATTTTTGTTACTTTTTATTCATTTCACTTCTGTACTGCTTTATATTTTAAAGAAAAAAATCTCAAAGTGGTTTACAGCACATTAAAACATCAAATAAAATAGTCCAGAATAAAACAACTGAAGCTTCAAGGAAAGTATTTCAGATGCTTCCCTAAGGGATATTTTGCTTTCCCCATATTTATTTACCTACTTAATTTATATAGCTGCCCCAAAGCAGAAGCACTCTAGGAAGCCAGTGTTGTGTACTTGTTAGAGTGTTGGACTAGGATCCGGGAAATGAGGGTTCAAATCCCCACTCGTCATGAAGCTCACTGGGTGACCTTGGGCAAATCACAGCCTCTTAACCTACCTTACAGGGTTGTTATAAGGATTAACTGAAGAGGGGTGAACCATGTACTCCTTGGAGAAAAGGGTGAGATATAAATGCAAAAAGCTCTTCTGCATACCTAGTAAAGAAAGCTGGAGGGGCCAGCCAGATGGAGATGTCAGTCGGCAGCCTGGCATCCAGAGATCTCCATATGGTCACAATTGGACCCATGCCAGTCGCAAAACGTGCCAGGGGTATTTCAAACACTGTTGGGGAGCCCTCAGAACAAATCTGAAGGGCATGTGAGAAAGAAAGGGAGAGGAAGTTCCACTGCTTAAGTGTGAGAGTTCAGAGAATACAACACTGTGTTGATAGCTAGTGAAGTTAAAAATAGTGGAGAGTACTAACTAATGTGTACAGTGATGTTAGGGCAAGCTTATCTGCTTTGAATTACTTCTGATTTCCAACAGGTATGTATTTTGCTTAGCATGTGTGGAGTTGGATGCATTTGGGAAAAGTCTTTCAAGTTTGCATTTATTAAAGAAGGTGTGCCAGTAAGTAAAATGGTAATGCCATGCCAGAAATACCCAATGTAGAACAAATAACATCAATTTTAAGATACTGTACACCAATTTCTTCTCTGTAAAGCAAACTCAGAAACATGAGAAAATCCCCAGCAGCAAAAAACATGCTGGCACAGGGGAAATTATTTGTAAGCAAAAAACAGGTTGGCCAAAATTTATTCTATCCCAGTTTAAATTTGAAAAATGCACGAAACTCAAAGACCTAACTCTGACCGATCTTTTACTATAATTTAACAAAGCCAAACCACAAACTAAACTATTAGACAAACCTGAAATAGTGGAGGCAGGTAACTAAGAACAGGAGCTGAAAATACCTGGTGAAATCTTAATTAAGCCAAGAACTTACATTCTCTCTCTGCCTCCCATTACATTAACACCAATACAGTGCAGGAATAATACTGCCCAAAGGTTAGGCAAAGTTAATGATTGTTAGTGAGTATAGCTCATTGTTCAAACATAGCTGTTCTTGGGGGCCCTTTTGGAAGACTGAAATATGATATAAAATAATTTAAATTTGCTAAAGAGATTTTGGATAGCCACAAGATGCAAAATATTACTGTCCGATTGTACAAGTTGGACATACAGGTATCCATAATAGGTATGCCAAAATAGTTGTATAATTAAGGGTTAAGAAACTGATTACACAAGTAATTCAAGATATTCAACTTTTAAAGAATGCTGCAATTTTCTAGCATTTCACATTTTTATTGAGACACATTTTGACATTGTCTAAAATTTGCTACATTAAGCATAACTTTTTCAAAACAAATAATCCTATTGAAAATGGAAACATAATATAAGCTTGTTAAAGTCAACGGTTTCAGTCCCTTAAAACTGAATCCAAGACCCTCTATCAAAAAAGCAGTCAAATGTCTGTTTTCTGTGTAGAAGGGTGAACGATGATGTCAAGCATTATAAACGTGTCACAATAATGACTTTACATGCTTATGGAAAATTATGAGTAAGTGTGGCTATCCTAACAATAGCATAGCTATTTACTTTTCACTGAACATTAGAAACAATCTGCTTCATCCCTTGCTTGTGTGAAGTGTGGACTTTCAGACCAGAATCCAAATAACTGCTCAAGCCCAATGCAATGGGCTTGTACCAGTCCAGGGGCATGTCTACGGAGAATATATGTTACTCATTCTCAAATAAGTCTCATTATTTCAGTAGGTCTACTTTGAGTACACCAATGTTAAGTATTGGCATATGAAATTGCAGGTGTGGTTTGAAGAGGCATAAACTACGTAACAAAAATGTTGGATTATGATCATATTCAATATAAAGGTTCTGTTTGGTTGCCAACTGATGGTTTAATAATTTGAGAATGATAAAATGGAAAACTTTACTTAAAATGAATCCATTTATCCTGATAGGATTCTAACTCTTAAACTTGCACGCTTTTCATGCTTTTGTAATTAAACAAACTGCAAACTCTGCAGAAAAGGGGGAATTCATTCCTCCTCCCAATATGCTTGGGGAGGGGGGAACACAAAGAAAACAAGTCTTCCTACTCTCCTTCCAGCATGTATTACGTAGGCTTTTTATTAACTGCCCTTATTAGCTCACGGCATCAACCTTTCGTAAACACACAACACAAAGTTTTATGGCGCTTGGCACGAAAACATATGAACTAAAACGTGGCTAGAAATCTTGTGTTTTGGAAAGTGGTCCGATCACCCTGAAGTAAAGTCGATCGGGTCCATGAAAACTGACGTGTTAAGACTACAAGCCAATTCCTTATAACCAAGTCCCAGTCGACTTCCCCTTCCTACCCTCCCCCCACCCCGCAGCCACTGGCAACTCGTTGCGAAACAGAAGCGAATACCGTGCCTCAGAAAACCGAACACCGAGTCTGTCGGGCCGGGCTCGCACGCTTCCAGGGGGAAAGGGAACGAGACTGGCCCGCCACCTAGAAGGCCCAACGCAAAAGCAGGGCCTCCTCCGGGCCTTACGGAAAGCGCGCGGCCCCTCGAGTCGCCCCTCAAAAAGGAGGCCTTCAAAGAGACGGAGGCAGTTACCTGCGCTGCTGGGGGTCCCGCTTCTAGCTCAGGTGTCTGTAAGGAGGGCGGCTGCTGCAACTACCTCAGGCTCCGGATGTTTCGGGCGGTGGGGAAGTAGGCCCCCCAACGGCAAAATTACCCCGTCAACGACGGGAAAGAGAGATGGGGAAAATCTAGGCCTCAAAAGATATTTTACGGATAAGGCCAAAGCCGAGGAAGTTCCACAACGAGGAGATTCGGACTCGGCTCTAGCAGAAACGACTGCTCCCTGAAATGGCGCCCGCCGCGTCCTGCTGCTTGGAGGAGGGTCCGTGCTGGAGATATGGGGACACCCAGAGCTCTCCGCACGGGCTCTCGCGAGATCTCGGCACAAGCGGGCTGGATGCTGTGCAAATGGCGGGTGTCCGCCAAGCACATCTCGCGAGGAAAGGCGTCTCGCACAAACGCGCCTAGTAACTCGCGAGAGTAACGTGTTGTTTGTGCAGCCTCATTCAGAACCACGGTCTCCCTCAAGGGCCTGAGACTCTCGCGAGAACAGAAGGCTCTGCGAGCGTCACAATAAAAGGTTCAAAGGTTAAGTGCTGAGCCTATGGGTCAAAAAATAATCTCACTCCAGGCAAAATTCTTTTGTAATGCAATTCTAGGCTTGTCTATTCAGAGGTAAATATCAGTGAATTCAATGGGGCTTACGCCCAGGTAAGTGGGCATATTATCGTAAGCTCAATAATTTAACTGCAAATTTAATTTTCCCTGACATTTCATTATACGTATGGGCTGCTAGTACCTTTGAGAGACCTATACTGATTAAGAACTATATTTACGTATCAGGATTAAGTCCTTGAAGTTCAACATGTTAACTTATTACTTACTTGGACAGTGAAATGCAATATAATTATGAAAGTGGACATACTTGTATATTATAAATATTGTAAGTTAACAGCAATAATGTTCATGCTGAGCTAAAGGTAAAGTTATAATAGCATTTTTAAAAGGGAATGTTTTGGTAGGCCATGTTGGCAACTCCCATAAAAGCTGCTTGTTCATTTGCCTTGTGCAATCAATCTCATCCAATAAATCCCATGTTTACTTGACTCGTGTATGTTATCTTCTGTTTAAAGAGGAGTTAATCTGCTAGTAGCACTTGATAAATCTTTTTTACAGCAGACCACATATAATGATTACAATCAACTGATTGATTTAAAAATTGATGCTTTTTTTCTGAGATGCTACAAAAATCACACCAAAAGGCAAAGACGAAACAGAACAGTTTTTGTTTATTTTGTTTACTACTTAAGAAGTTTTGCTTTGGACATATATATGTATCCAGAATTAAACTTATATGGATTTTAGCTTGCCACCACTGGCACTGCTCTTCCTGCACATCCTGGGTAAATGTGCAGGCATGATGCCATGATGGGGGTAGGGGGGAAACAGAGATGTTCCACCAAATGGTCATCTTGGATCACCTGCTTCTCACGGAATTTGTGTATTTTCCAGAGCAAACCCCAAAAAGAGAATGGCTAAGAACTAATGAAGAATGGGGACAGACTCATTAGAGGAAAATTAAAATGCATAGCAATAAATGTGAAGAGAAGGAATAAAGAGGAGTGGGCATTTGTTGGGACATCTGTTCTGGATTCTGCCATAGATGAGTTCTGTTACAAACAGCTGCCACAACTAAATGCCAACATACAATACGATTAGGAGATATGAAGTAACTCTATATAGGAAAATATGAAACAAATGTCACATCCACACCATACATTGCACTTAAACCATTTTAAAAGTGGTATATGTAATAATGTTATAGTATAGTTATAGTATATGTAAAAATATACTATAACTATAATAACTATAATATATGTTATAGTATATGTAAAAATGTTATTCCATGTAAATATTTCCGTTATTGCCTGATAGACCTATTCAACTGTATTTAATATTCTGTATTGAAATCCCAAACAAAAGACAAGGGAAGTTAACTGAAAATCAAAATTACCGTATTTATTGCTCTATAAGACTCACTTTTTCCCTCCTAAAAAGTAAGACAAAATGTGTGTGCGTCTTATGGAGCGAATGCAGGCTGCACAGCTATCCAAGAAGCCAGAACAGAAAGAGGGATTGCTGCTTTCACTGCGCAGCGATCCCTCTTGCTGTTCTGGCTTCTGAGATTCAGGAATTTTTTTTCTTGTTTTTCTCCTCCAAAAACTAGGTGCGTCTTGTGGTCTGGTGCGTCTTATAGAGCGAAAAATACGGTATATTTAGCATTCACAAACTTCCTGAAATTCAAATGCTAGACATTCTCTTTTACACCACAATCCTAACCTTAGACTTAATAAGGCTTACACCCAGGTAAGTAGGCTTAGCATTGATGCCATAATAATTCTTACTTGGAGGTATGAGTCACATAATTAGTTTAGTAAACCCAGTAGCATGCCTAATAATGGCTGGTGAATCATTTTACTTCATAAATCTAAATTCTGTATTTTGTGTTTCCATTTTTTAGCAAGATTAATTAGACATATGTGGCAGAAGCTTTGTCAGTCTCTCAAATACAACATATTGATTAATATCATTAAAGTCATTAATTTGGGTAATTATAGCAGTCCAGGAACACTTAATGAAAATGTAGGGATAAATTAGAAAATAGAAAAACAGCATAATGGTGAAGTGAAATGAGAAAAGGCTGCAGATATTCAGAAGTTTATAAGATCTAGGGTATAATAATAATAATACCCTGCCCATCTGACTGGGTTTCCTTGGCCACTCTGGGCAGCTTACAGCACATATAAAAGCATAGTAAAACTTCAAACATTATACGCAATAATGGCAGAAGAAAAGATAAGGAAATATAAAATCAATAAGTTATAACCTAGGAGGAGGTGAAAAGGGGTATAGATGCAACAGAAAGAGGGAAGAAAAGAACAAGCACAGCCAAAGATAAGGAAGTGCAGCTTTAGAAAGATTGAGTTTATGTAAAATCGTGCAAGAGAAACAGCTGCAAACAGGAAGAGCGATTAAACAGAGTGTGATAAATTAGGAGAAGATAACCAAAGCTGCAGATTATTGGCATGGGAATTATTACTATTATTACAAGACTAGATGACAGCTACAAGTGGGAAAAGACCAAGTAAAAAGCTAAGGACCTTCAAGAACTGATGAAAAGGGGAGAAGAATCATTGATACATAGGACAAGAATTACAGTAGGCCCACAATTTGCACACAGGTTACATTCCAGGGATTGCGTCTAAAGGCAAAATTGTGTATTGCCAAAATCCATTGAGTTCAATAGCAAATAGGCTTGCCAAAGTCTTTTCCCCAGAACCCCACCCACTTTCCACCCCCTTTTAATATCTTTATTTTTTTGCCATGTGCTGAATGCACACAAGTTAAATGCACGCAAGTGGCAGTCTTACTGTATTACAATTACATATACAGTGGTACAGGGTTACAGATGCTTCAGGTTACAGACGCTTCAAGTTACAGATTCCGCTAACCCAGAAATAGTACCTCTGGTTAAGAACTTTGCTTCAGGATGAGAACAGAAATCGCACGCTGGTGGCACAGCGGCAGCGGGAGGCCCCATTAGCTAAAGTGGTACCTTAGGTTAAGAACAGTTTCAGGTTAAGAACAGACCTCCGGAACGAATTAAGTTCTTAACCCAAGGTACCACTGTATAAGAGTGAAGCCAAGAAACAGTTGACCACAGAAACTTAGAGTATGAGGATGTGGCAAATTAAAAAAGGAACCACATCACTAAGGCTCCTTTGTTTCAGTATTAACAAACCAGGCATTCAGTAAGAACATTGTTGAGAAATTCTGGCCCATTAAGAAAACTTTTCCCTTTAGAAAATCTCTTGTTAAATAGAGGACTAAAGGCCTTTCAGGACCTCTCAGATAAAAAGTGTATCATGAACTTACTAACAGCCACTATAATCACCGCACTGGGGGACACTTAATGTGGATTTAATTGAAGTATGGCTTGCACAGACATGGGATCTAATCATCAAGGACAAATTAATGACACATTTAAAGGAGATATGAATTAGTAAAGACTCACTACCTACTACATAATGTGGTACGACTTTATTGTGTATGCAACATCCATTGAACATGGTTGCAAACCACCAAGAACACATGGAAGTCTCTTGTATGACACACCTATTTAATAAGACTGACAAATTTCAATGGCTGCAAATTCTTTTCCCTTTTCCTTTTGTTGTTGGCTCTGCACTTCACGTAGGGGTGGTTGATGTTTTATTCCAATATGTTTTTCTCTTTTAAGAAAAAGCAATAAACTATGTTTTTTAAAAATAAAAAAAATAAAAGGCCTTCCAGGGAGCATTGATATGTTGATTTCTTTAAATAATACAGTGAATACCTTCCAAAATAAATGGAATAAAATACTGATCACTTCTATTTCAGAGGAAAGATGGAAATGGGTTTGGAATAACTGGGAAGTATAACATAATAAAGGCTAAACGAGTATTTGGTGTGGGGAAACAGTATCATTGGTACTTTATTTGTTCAAATGTATTCATAACTTGAATATCAACTATTCTTGGAGACGAGAAGCTGTTTTCGTTTATATATTTGGAAATATTTCAATACTAAAACACTTTGGTGCACATGGCTTCTTCCCAATCCTTCAAAATCATTGTTTGGAAGATCAAAGAATGTGACATTTGTATGCTGCTACTGTGATTTGATTGTGATTTGATTGACCCACCTTCACAAGTAGTCAGAAGTTCTAGGAGTAGAATTATAGGTTATAGTTTCCCTTTATTAGGGAGTACTGGAAACATATAGCACCTTTGTAATATTGGCTTTATTTACAAATACAGTGGTACCTCGGGTTACATACGCTTCAGGTTACATACGTTTCAGGTTACAGACTCCGCTAACCCAGAAATAGTGCTTCAGGTTAAGAACTTTGCTTCAGGATGAGAACAGAAATCATGCTCCAGCGGCGCAGCAGCAGCAGAAGGCCCCATTAGCTAAAGTGGTACTTCAGGTTAAGAACAGTTTTAGGTTAAGAATGGATCTCCGGAACGAATTAAGTACTTAACCCGAGGTACCACTGTACACAAACACAGTGGAGGTAAAAACACAGCTTCAGCAGATAGCATCACCACAAATATAACAGCAAATAGCAACTTGTGTCTACATATACTACTTTCCCCAGGCTGCAGTCCTAGTTTTAGTTAACTCCAGACAGAAAACTCCAGTTTGCTCATTCTTAAATTTAAATCTGCAGGGCTGCGGTTCTCTTTCCCTCACACAACCATTTTTGTTTAAAGCACTAAAATGTATTTGTCCAGCCATGTCAGGCTATGCAAGTAGATTGCCTTTTCATGGTGGGGTGGGAGATATCCTAAGATATCCTAATGATTAGCTCCCATTGTGGGAATTTAACTGTCTGACTGTAGACATGACACTGAACTATGGTTAATTGTGTCAAGAATGTGCCTAGGTGAGCCTCAGGTTCACAATCTCCATCTTCCCCTCTTCTCCTCTGGCACAACCATGAAGTGGAATTTATAAGCTTTGTCTTTCATTTTCAATAAACCACAGTTTTGTGTTACATCCAAACTTTAAAGTGATTAATCTTAATTACTATTTGAAATGAGACAGCTTCAAACCATAGATAATAAAACCGGCTTGTTTCAACCAATGAGTACACAAATGGTTGAAAACAAACAAGAGAATTAAAAGGAAACTCTTTAGCTAAAGATAAAACGGTAGAAAAGGAATGAAGTATATACTTAATATACTCCTGTGCTTATGCTTATGAATGAAGATGGAAGGTTGTGAGATGATAGATAGATAGATAGATAGATAGATAAAATAAATGTTCATAACCCCACAGAAAAAGTCCTGAAACCATTTTGTGCCTCCCAAATTGACCTCAAATATTTCTCTGCAAGGTCGAAGGAAAATGGAAAAGCCTCCCCATTGTCTTTTTGTTCACAAATCCTGTCTTAAGGGTATGTCTGTGTATGAATAGGGCGACCTGGCTCAGGAACTAAGTATTTATCATTACAAAAGACTGGCCAGGCTCCCCAGGTAATCCAGTCAAGTGACTATTAACAAGTAACCTGCCAGACAGGAGATAACGCACTCAGATTTCTGTGATGTAGGTATGATGTATCTGGGAAGTGGTCTTGAGCTACACCCCTTCTGTGATGTATGTATGATGTTTCTGGGGGTGGTCTTGAGCTCCAGGGCAGGGAATTTAAAATATCTATATAAGGGCAGGCACACCTTGGTTCTGGGTCCTCCTCCTTTCCTGCGTGTGAGGGGAGCACCCTGTTGCAACAGTCAATAAAGATTAGGCTTACTAGCTGCTTTGCTTCTCAATATTCTCTGTTTGGCCTCTGTTATTTTCTCCGACCGATGGAGAACCTACAAAGGGCTCTAAAGGGCTCTTGTGTCCCCCATAAGGGAATAAGGGCAGATTTTTGTTTAGTACACTTGTCTTTGAAGCTGTTTTTCTACTTGCACAACAGATTTCCACTTATTCAACAGAACATCACCCTCATTTCTTTTCCCCTGCAGCCCCCAGCACACGCTCAAAATCCAGAAGGTGGAGGGCCCTCCAAGGCAAAATAGGCAGGGGGCACAAAGGAAGGTGAGGAAGGCTAAGTCCAGTTTTGTGGGTGGAACTCAGTGCATGCAGCATTGGATACAACCCTGTGATTTTTACAAAAATATTTTTACTTATTAATTAACATGCTGATTAAGTGCCAAAATAACCTCTTCGCGGTTTACTGGTGTAAAGCCAGATACAAAACACATAATTAAAATTTGAACCAAACACATTAATACAGATGAGCACAGAAACAAAGATGTTACAGTATTATGTTAAGAAAATTAATACAATTTTACATATAATCTGTTTTATTACAACTTAAGTTAGGGAAAATATTGTTTCCTGATAATGGTGTTATATTAATGAAGTAATAATATAGGTTTAAAATGAAAACATTGGATGATTATTTTTATTTAAGCTGACTAGTTATTTTTACATTCAGTGGGATGCACTTTAAAAAAAAAAAGCTGAGGACTACAGCCTTAGTTGTTGTTTTTTTAAGTTAACCAGTCTCTTGGCTTGAACATAGGCCAGGTAGCAGCTGGCCAAGCTCATCCCTAAGAAATGGCTCTATCCCTGGGAGGGTAGCATCCCTGGACAGATTGTGGAGGTTTTTAATTAAACAGGGTAAGCTGTAGGGGAACAGGAGACACAACAAGGATCTGTCTGAAGCAAAGCTGCTTTAAGCAGTTTTATTTCATCCTGTGTTGGTGTATGCACATGTTATCCAGAGGAAGAGATTTATGAATTAAGAGACAAAGCATAGGGCGCTTTGGCAGCTATAAGAATATGTCATTTTCATTTGGACGGCTTGTACTCTCCTGTATGATAACTACCCTAATAAGCTGTTTTCCCCTTTGTGGGCTTTTAAGAGGCATTTAGGGGAAAACCTGAATTATTTAACATGCAGAACTGTGTAACACAATTCTATATTCTCTTTAAAATAAACCATACCTTTCCAGCTCTTGAGGGAATCATTTTTTCTCCTTCCTTGCCTATTCCAGAGGGTTTAAAAAACAAAACCTCTCACACAGAGGGGAAACAGTTTAAAATTATTAACCAAATCTAGGCAGACATAGTTTAAAGAATGTCCTGGTTGAGCTGTTTACAGTTCGTTGCACATAAGATAGTACCCAATGATTCAAAAGGATTTCACAATATGACTCCTCTAAGTCCTGATAAATAATTTACCAAAGCACAAAGTGTACCACTAAAAAGCAAAGAATACACATGATATCCAAAAAAAGCACAACAGCACTGAGAACCTCAACAAAGTTTATAAACTAGCTATTTCATTTTTTAAAAGCAACTAAGTACTGGAGCTCTTCCAGTAACACATACTCTCCAACATTTCTCTGATGAAAATAAGGACGTCCCATTCCATAACGCTAATTTTATTTTTTATACACCACACATCTTATTGGGTTGCCCCAGCACTCTGAGCAGCTTCCAACAAATATAAAAACATAAATAAAACATTAAACATTAAACATTAAAAAAACTTCCCTACAGGATTGCCTTCAGATGGCTTGGGGGTCAAATAACTCCATACCCTCCAATATTTCTCCGATGAAAATAGGGACATCCTAAGGAAAAGCGGGACATTCTGGGATCAAATCAGAAACCAGGACAGCTTCTCTAAATCAGGGATGTCCCTGGAAAATAGGGACACTTGGTGGGTCTGGTAACAATGCTACATGTTGGTACATGTACACTTTATCCTCTTACAGGCATGGTGAATTTATGGCCTGCAGACAATATTAATCCCAGCAGAAATCCTAATTTGGCCCACAATACCATGTTTCCCCAGTCACACCGACCTTTCCTACATCTGTCACCACATTTCAATGGACCAACGAGGACCATCAGAATGCACACCCAATGGTTCCTCTGCAAGTTGTCGTCTTTTAAATTTGGCACCAAATGCAAGCTCTTCTGGGATCGCTTCCTCTCTTATTCTCCTAGTCAGAGAATTGTTGGCATCAATCTGTCTCGAAAGACAGTGGAATGTGCCTCTAAGAAATAAGTCAAACAGCTGCATTACAGCACCAACATGAGCTCCTTGGGACACAAGCCTAGGCAGTGTGTATGGAGGTCCTGGCCTGCTCAGATGATAACACCCGCCCTCTCATCCTTGCTGATGTGCAAAGGAAAGCAGAGCAATGTGTCTGTCACCAGCTTGGCTGCAGGAGTTAACAAAAGGCAGCGTACAAAACACCATCCAACCATCTTAGGGAATCCAGTCCAGATTTGTGTAAGGTTTACTCCTTAGCCTTTTCTTCTCCTGAAGATATCCCACAAGGCAGCAGAGGTTTAGGATCAGTGTTTCCTTGCCCTAAATGGGCTACCTTTCCTGGCCCCATCTACCCATCACTCCCCTCTACAGCACAAGTAGAAACCATGTTATTGACAGTTGAACCTACTATTGGTTAAGTCCACTGCAATCCGCTGCAGCTTGTCTTTGCATGCAGGGAGATCCCTACCTCCCTGAGGGTTTGACTACTCTCACCTGGTTTAGCCAGCCAGTCAAACCATTACCTGGGGGTGGCCGCTGTTGCATGCTGGCAGCATGTAGGAGCTACAGGTGAGAGCTGAGTGCAGGGTGGGAACCAAAGGTGGACAAACTACCACAGAAGGAGCACGGCATGTCCCCCACCAGTGTATATCGTACAACTGTAATATTGGGGCTTAAATATTTGTATGTGTCAATCTACAGGATTGTGATCTATGCTGTTTGAGATACTGTTAACTGCATGCTTGAACAAATATAATATTATTTATAGCATTGTATTTCAAAGCCCCTGAAAAACAATTCTAGTGAGTCTCCCAAAATGGGAATAAATATTTGAGGGGTTCAGTTTATCAAAGTATATGGATCTCAAAGTTTCTTATGCAGAATATGCCAAAGTTAGTTTCAAGTTTTTACTGACACTAAAAAAAAAAATGCCAGGCAAACTAGATGAGAGTTGTAATTTAATTGGAAAGAGCTGCCACCAGGGGCTGCAATTGCATTATATTTGAAAGAAGTCCACAATAATTGGCATGCTTTCCTAAGGAAGAAAGTTGGCTGTCAAGTGCCTTGTTCAAGGCCATTAGACCTTGTTAGTGAGAATAGGATGCTGGCCTGAATTATTGTGGTTTAATGAGTCTCAATAAATGTCCCATTGGGGTTTCCACACACAGCACTCTCCTTTCATATTAGTAATGCAGATATGCTTTACTGCAATAGAACACAGTTAGTATATGGCACTCTATATCCCATAAACCATAGAACACAATGAATACTTTATTTCACCTGTTTCCAAGCATGACAACCCTGTTGTTTGATGAGCAGTGTTCTGGCAGAAAACTAATTGGGGAACACATCCTTCTTATTAGGCCGTTCATAAGGAAATAATATAGAATAATTCTAAGGGAGAAAATTATTTTATGTTCAGAATTCCCAATAAACTGTATGAAATATCCTAATTTCACAGTGACATAGTTCTATAAAGTTTCTATAAAGAAAGTTCCATACTATATAAAGCAAAGGTATGTCTCTCATATGTATTCTTATTAGATGTTTTCCTTAAGTGTGACAATATATTGCCATCAAACTGGTACTTACCTTTTTATACCATCACATACACATTATTTTGTGCATGTATTTTCTGACATGAGTCTTAATGTTCGAAACAGTAAAGTGAAATAGCTTTCCATATTCCTCATATGGGAACTGTAATGTTGATAGCGCAGTGTATACCTGAGAAGTTAGGATAATTTTACTGTGGATCATTTAATATAGATTTGGTATCCGCAAAATTACTTCAACTATCCTTTTATATTTATTCTATTTATAGGGATAATAATGTTGAGATTCCCACCCACCCTCTATGTTAAAGACTGCAAAAACAGAAGCAAGTGGTTTGGATAATCTAATCTGAAGTAAAAAGGAGGCAATACTGAACCAAGTTATAAAGATATCCCCAAAGTTACATTTCCACACATTTTCCAAACTTAGTTCATGCCTAATCCTTGTTTGTGATCACGGCACCATGAATACCTCTTCTTTACTAATGTATGTAGCAGAATGGCTGTGCGTAAAGACACCTTGCTTCTTATTAATCCAGAATAACCATTACCGCCTGCTTGTCTAGGCAATCATTAAAACGGTTAAAATAAAACAAACATGCTCTGAAAGAGCAAAAATAAATGAAATATTTCCTCTTCAGCTACCTCTTAGGGGAAAAAGTGGTTATTAAAACGGTTTACAAGATGAGGTGGTTTTGATTTGGGCATGTAGTGCTGAAAAGCGTGACCTTCGATTGACGGGGAAGGAGAACCGACCGTCCGCTGCCGCGTCTATAAAGCTTCGCCGACTCGGGAAAGGAGCAACAAGCGCTTTTAGCCCACTAAACTCCCGCGGCCCCTCGCTAATGTTTAATCCCAGGTCCCCTTTCCTTTCCAGATTTCACTACCAGGCCTGAGCTGGCTTTCCCCACCAGAGGGACTGGAGAGCGGGGTCCCTCCGCTCCACGGGAAGCCGGGAGGGGCAGCATCGGCGGCGGCGGCGGCAGCAGGCGGGATCGGGTTTCACATCCTGATCCCGACTCGCTCAGGAGCAGCAGCAGCCTTCGCTCAGCCGGAGGGGCACAAGGAGGGAAGCCCGGGCGGCGCGGCCCGAGCGGAGGACATGGCGGAAAGGTGAGTGCGGCCGTCGGATCCCAGCCAGCAACTTCGGGACGGAGGGGATCCCCTGTCCGACCGCTCGCCTCCCTACCTGTTGAGCTGGGTGGGGCGCAGGGCTGGGCCCCAGACACAGGGAAAAGTATGGAGAAGCCTCCGCCGCCATTCCGCGCTCCTTTCCCCGGCGAGCGCGCGGCTGAGGGGAGGAAGGAAAAGTGTGCGGGAACTTTTGGGCGTCCCGTTTGGGGGGATATGAACGGCGAAAGGGCACTTGGCGCTCTTCGGGAGCTTCTCTTAGTCGGCTTTGGTCTTCTGAGGGAATTTCCTAAAACTGGGGGAAGGGGAGCGGGACAATGGGCGGGAGGCGGCGGCGGAGGGGAAAGTATTGGGATTGTGGTGAAAGAACAGTTGCGCGACCCTGTTGGAAATGAAGTTTAATCCGCCCCCCGCCTCGGCACAGACCGGCTAAGTGTCCCCACACGAAGGTGGCATGGTGCATTTTCACATGTTCTGGTTTTTGGTCGACTTATCGTGGGAATGAGTGGCTTTGGGCGGCGGCGGATTACCGCGCTATGTCGGTGGTTGCTTCGGTGGGGGCATACAGTCTTATAGGCGAAGAATGTATGATGATGCGCTGGTGCATCATGCTTGAGACTGCAGCCTTGCACACTTGCAAGTACTGTAATGACTCTCGCCTCCGGGTGCCAGCCATACTTCCAGTAGCTAACAAGGATTGCAATTTCTGCTTCATCCAGAACCGTGGCCGGAAAAGCGCTGGAAAGATCACCTTTGCATAACTAAGTTAAGTTAACCGCGCTGGTTGTGAGCGTGACAAAGGGAGCTGAAGGTCAACGGATCTGCATTGTGATCTTGAGTGGGTACTTTTAGAAATCACATGTGTTTAGGGTTACTACAGAGCCCAAGTACAGTATGCCGTGGCTGACATATGCAGTAGGATGTCACCAAACCCCTTCTGCTCACTGGGACTCCATTTCCCATCTGCATACTTGGCATGTGGGAATGTATGTACAGGGTCATGGGTTCCAAACCGCAGTGGAACGTAGTATAGATGCATGCAATCCATGTACATGTTTATGAACAGTGGTGTTGCTTCTATAGGGACTGATCATGCACTCAGAAAAGGTGTATCTTACGTATTGACTGGGACAGGCACCCATTTGGTTCTTTTAACCTATGCTGGGATCCATGAATAGGTTAGTACTGTATACAGATCTAGCAATTCTAGTCAGGAGGCTATTTTGTTTGGCTGATCAGCCACTGACCTTCCAAGCCTCTCTTCTGTGATGTAGGCAGCTTTGCGCTGTTGGTGCCAGAATATGGAATGCAAAATAGGCAACCTGATACTTTTTAATGGAATGGATTCTATTTTTATAAGTGTGCATGTGTTTGTAGTTGTACTTTCTGATTTGTATGTAGTATAGACACACAAAAATATAGCTTGTATGTGTGCACATACTCTTATATCAACAGAAGTTGCTGGACCAATAAAAGATATACCATTACTCATTTTTTTATCATTAGTATATCCTTACTTGATAGTGTACTCTTACAGAACACAACTTTTTTGAAAACATGGAGAAGTAAATTGTTTTACAACAAGAGTTCCCAAACCGTGGTCCGCAGTAAATATTCTTGTTGATTTTTAAATGTATTTTTATTGCTTCTTTTGTTTCTTGCATTGCATTTTATTATTTATTCATAGAATTGTATAATTGGAAGGGACCACAAAGGTTGTCTAGTCCAACCGCCTGCAATGCAGGAATCTTGTTGTATTTTAAATTTTATTTTATGGAATTAAATTGTGATATAGTAAAATGCAATGGAAGTAATAAAAACAAATTTAAAATCATACAGCATTCTACCTTGGGTAGAAAACTTAAGTGGTCTGCCAAGATTGTTGGCAGTTCTCCACTGGTCCATGAAGGAAATGTTTGGGAGCCACTGTTCTACAACATAGGGCTATGATCCAAAGAACTGCCTAAATCAAAGAGTTCATACCCAATATGCCTTTGGCATTTTTCTCTGAAGAACAGTCACCACACTCACACAGAGGAAATATGGTATATGGCAATCAATAGTGTGTGTCTCAAACTAGTTTCCAAGTGTGACATGGGGGACTGCTGTTTAGTGCAGAAGTGCAGTTTATTTCTGGGCATATAGGCTTTGGGACTTACTTCCATGTGACTTGCTCCTTAGTAAGTGTGCACAAGATTGAAACCTCAATGTAAACATGTTGATCCAAGCTGTTTGTACTAGAAAGGCCTTTGTGCACTTCTTTTGGATATACCCTTTTATCTTTTTGTACTTTTTTTTTTACCTTTTATGCTAGCGTGCTTTTGTTTCTTTTGTAACCCACTCCCATGTAGAACTATTACTTCCAAGATAAAAGTGAAGGTCGTGTACTTGAATAGGAGCATTTTCTTGGAAACATTGAAAACCAAATATGTACTGTTTTTACTCTGCTTGGAGACATGTACATTCTTCAGAGGGATTCAGCAATGTCATATATCTACAGCTCTTAAATTCAGGATAAACTGCTGTGATTTGTATGTCTAGATTGGTTTCACCATTTGACATTTTGAAAATTATGTCTTCATTGAAATGTTTGAGGTGCTGGTTCTGAGCCAACAGTTCTGTTTGAAGGGGTCATCTTATTATTATTTTTTTAAAAAATAGGTTAAAAGTGAAGCTTCCAGAAGGTGTACCATAAATATAGAAAAGTCAGAGATCAGTGTTGTAGAGTGAGCCTCTCCATGTGTAAAACAGTGTAGATAATGACATGCTTTGTACGCATGTTTTTTGAAACTGCTACAATGTTTAAATATGTTGTGACCTGTCTACATCAAAGTTGTTAATGATCTTTGAAAAGAATCCTCCCTGACTACCATGGTATTCGCTTGCATTGTGTGAGGAAAAAGGAAGACAAGTTCTTAAAAGCAAGACCAAAGTAAATATCACAGCAACTGCTTTTATTAATTCACAGTATGTAAAGGCTTATTGGGACAAAAGAAGAAGAAACAAAAATGGTGATTCCTCATACTTTTTAAAAATAAAAATAATATGAAATCCTAATCGCTATCTAGATTTTACTGAATACATGAATTTCTAAAAGCTTTGATCAGATCAACACACACACACACACACACACACACACACACATTTACTACAATCTAGTAGTTATCTATTTTGTCCGTTTTTGTCCCAAGTACTCCTGGATGCATCTTACAATCTGTTTCAGAACCTAAGAGGTTAATAAGGTTATATGTCTGCAAAACTCTTCCTGTATTGCAGCTCAAGTTTAGTTACAATCAAGAGTGGCTTATTGGGAGGAACAAGGCAGCAGGAATGGTGGCACTGCAGAAGCACAACCAGGACCAGTGTACTTTCCCAGCAGTGTGTCCACACGGCACTGACTTCCCTGCCACCTTGTCCCTCTCTTCTAGTAAGCTGCAGCTATCCTAATACCAGGAGGTGACTTGGTGTGCACCTTTGGTAACTATTCTTTCAATCTGGTTTATTATTCACTGAGCTGTGTATTTGTGGGAAATGTAGTCTAATTCTTTGGATCCAGATAGTCTGAAAATGGTGATGTGAGCTGAGATGTCAGTGGATTATTGGAATGTGGGGATTTGGGCCATGTTCAGGTTTCAGAATGGGTTTAACTAATTGGAAAATATGGGGACATACCTGTAAGCATATGTTAAAGAAAGTACATTTGAGATTTTATAGAAACATAGAATTGTAGAGTTGGAAGGGACCCCAAGGGTCATCTAGAGTTTTCTGATACTTCCTGTTATTAAAAGAATCAGCTTTGGGCCATAGATTGTTGGATTCAGATTTCTATAGGTAGGTAACATGTGCCAGTAAGACGACACATCAAGTCAGTTGACATATGAGACATTTTAGCTTTATAAGATTGAGACAGAGGTCTTGCTTGCTCCAAACCAAAAGAGCAGAGATTTTAAAAACTTAGATAAAAAGCAAGTTGTTCTCCTGTTCTTGTTCTGTATTCTGATTGTACTAGAAGTAGTGGATAGGCCTCTGGAGCACTTGGCAGCACGCTGTGACCAGTTTCATGACACTTGAGGATAAAGTTGCTCAGTCCCATAGTGTCTTAAATATTGTTGTTGCAGTTCCAGCTGAGGTATCCAATACAGTGTGTTCCCATGCTCTGTGGGATCAATTTTGGATTATGCAGCCCAGTGATGTGGACAGGTTTCATGCAGTGATGCAGTTGGCTTCTTGCACTCTTGACCTCTGTCCATCCTGGCTGGTGAAAGCCAGTTGGTGGGGGGTGTTAACTGGATAGATCCAGGGTGTGGTGAGCACAACTTTACACAGTGGAAAGCTGCCTGCTGCTGTTAAACACTCCTGAAGATGCCCACTTCAGAATCTATGGTTTATTATAACAACTACCATCTGGTTGCAAGTACCCCCTTTTTTTCATATGGTGGTGGAAGTAGTGGTGGCTGAGAAGGCCGCAGCATTTCCTGGAGAATATGACTCAATTAGATCCATTTCAGTCAGGTGCAGTTTTGGGACTGAATCATCCTTTGTTGCTCTGGTGAATGACCTATATTGAGAGCAGGACAGGAGGAATGCAACTCTTGCTTCTTGATCTTTTAATACCGTTCACCATGGTATCCTTCTGGACCGTCTCTGTGGGATGGAAATTGGGGGTGCTGTTCTATAGTAGTTCTGCTACTACTTACAGGGTCATATCCAGAGAGCAGCATTGGGAAACTGTGTTTCAGCCCCATGCTCATTGCACTATGGTGTCCCACAGGGTACATTCTGCTCAACATCTGTGTGAAGCCATTGTGTGTGGTCATTTGGAGTTTGGGGGCAAAGTGTCACCAGAACAATGGTGACACACAGTTCTACTTCTCTGTAACATCTGAGTCACGAGAGGCTGCACATGATCTGGACTGTTGTGTGGGCACAGTGGTGGAGTTGACCAGAAAGTTGAGGATGAATCCTGCGAAGACACAGGCACTGTGGGTTGGTAGTTCCTGTGTCCGGGGAATTTTCCAGTTGCCTGTCTGGATGGGGTTGTACTCTCTCTGAATGAACAAGTTTGGAGTTGTGGTGTGTTCTTGAGACTATTTTTGTCACTGGAAGTTTGGGTAGCCTCAATGGCTATGAATGCCTTTTTGCAACTATGGCTGGTATGCCAACTACAGCTCTTATTGGGCAGGGATAGTCTGGCCACAGTGATTCATGCATTGGTAACCTCAAGACTTGGTTGTTGCAATGTGTCCTAAGTTGAGCTACCCTTGGACCTGGTCTGGAGGCTCCAGCTGGTGCAAAATGTTGCAACTAGACTGTTGATGGGAACAGGCTATCACCAGCACATAACTCCAGTGCTAAAAAGCTTCCACTGGCTGCCCATACACTACTAGGCCAGCTATAACTTGTTATTGTATTAACTTACAGAGCCCTTAATAACTTGGATCCAGGATACCTCAGGAACCACGTGATTTGTTATATCCCAGCTTAATCACTGAGGTCTTTGCAGGAGTCACTGTTAGTTGTCCCCCACGGCTCAGATGTAGGGCCCATATCCACAAAGAGCTATGTATTCAGTATTATGGGCCCAATTTTGTGGCATTCCCTTCCAGTTGAGGTCAGAAAGGCCCTCACCCTGTTGTACTTCATTTACTGAAGACTTTTTATTCCAGCAGGCTTTTTAATTAAGTTGTTATTTTATAGTTTTAATTCATTTGTAGACTTATTTTATTGCGTCTCCTGTACATTGCTTAGAGATGACTGTAATTAAGCAGTATATGTATTGTTGAAATACTGCTGCTGCTCCCACTACTACTACTACTACTATTACTACTACTACTACAACAACAACAACAACAAATAATAGCTAGCTAGCTACCTAGATAATAGCCAAACAATAGCTGTGTAAGCCTCTCAGCAATAACTTGTATCTCTCTGCTTTTTAAATATTTATTTTTATGTAGTGTTTGTTACCTAATAAATATATATATTTTAAAAACGGCATGAGCCTGCACTAATGCATGTTTTCCTAATCTTTCTGTTTGAAGTAGCCCTTTACATGTTTTATAAATATTGCTCGTTCTTTAATCTGGTCTGTGTTTAGCCTACAGCCTGCCCACCTGTGCAGATCAGCAAATTGTAGGATTAGAGCCTCTTGTCCAACAAAAGGGAACAAATGGCCTGTATCGTAAATCTTTCTGAACAACTTTAGTGCAACAGGAAAATCCGTATTACGGAGTGAAGACTAACAAGTCACGTGTTAGCCAGTACAATCCTATACATGCGTGGCTACTCAGAAATAAGCCCCACTGAATTCAATGATGCAAAACCCAGGTAAGTGTATATAGGATTGCAGCCCAAGCTTTGTATATTTTAAAAAATTTTAAATAAAGAAATTAAGATTTGGTTGCTTCCTCTCCTTCCTGCTTTACAGCTGAATAATGCCCAGGGTAATGTTGTCAAGGCAAAATGACTTTCTAGTTTAGAATATGTGTCAGTTTTCAGGTGGCAGAGTGATCAAAACTACCTTCTGATAACTTTGTCCTCTCTGGGTTTTAGTCCTGTAGTGTTTAAAAACAGTTTAGGTAAGTCATAGTAGGGGTGTTAGGCAATAGAGGGCACTGAGTGTCGCTTGCTGGTATGACGTGTGTGGTGTCCATCTGACGACTCTTGTATTTAACATTAATTTTATTAAAGAAGTGCTTTAGGAGCCCTGTAATCACTGGTTTAACAAACAAGTGTGCACCTCTAAGAAGAACCTGACATTAGATTTCACCCTGGAGGAAAGTTAATAATCCACATTACCTAGAGAGCGAGTTAAATAGTGCTGATATTTCAGCCTTGGTTGTGAAAATACTGAATATGCTATGTATCTAAATAGGCTTGGGGCCTTATTTGAGGTGAGACACATAGCTGCTGAACATATAAAGCTTTGCTATACCAAGCTAGTTCACAGTTCACGCTTAGCAAGGATTCGTTTTCAACTATTTATTTATTGAATCTGTAAGCTCCCCTCCTCCCAAAGGAAACTACAGTGAAAACAGATCCACAGTTTAAAAACAGAAACAAAGCATTTACTTCCCACCACTATGACTTAACTGTGAATGTGCTTTCTACCCCTTGCAAGGATTTATCCTGTGGGTGTCATGCATGGCACAAAAAAGCCATAATATGGCTTGTCGTGTTGCACAACCCTGTATTGGGGTATTTCCCCCCCCCCAAACAAATCAATGAGCGGTATGCCAGAAATAAGCCAGAAATACAACTTACTTCTAGCTTACCTCTTGTAGTTTATTTGAAATAAGCAATCATATTCCAGGGTTGTGCAGTGTGGCAAACCATACTAAGTTTTGTTTGTGTGATGCATGGCACCCACGATGCGAAGGCACACAAGGTGCATTCACAGTTAAGCCACAGTTTAAAACAAACTATGGGTTAGCAGTGGCTAATACTTTGTCATTAGCCACTGTGACATTGGCCAGTATGATTTTACTCTGTGACTTGAAGTGGATCTCCAGGGTCTTGGTCAGAACTATCTTTTTCAGTATTGCTACCTGAGATTACTTACTTTCTTCTAATTGAAAATGCTGAGAGTTGAATTAAATATCTTCCAGATGCAACACATATTATCTACCACTGAACTACATTCCTTTCCCATTGTGTTGACCTTTATTTCAGTGATTTCTTCCCATAATAGCATAATTTTAATATCAAAAAACCTCAAATGCTTAATTTGGTTAAGTTTAGTTGTTCTTAATGTAATAATTTTACACTAGTTTAAAAGTAGATAAAATTATATAAACATAGGTCCTTGAAAACCAGCAGCTCCCCCAAAAAAGAAACATCCAACGCTGATTACCTGGTATAAAAAATATAAAGCCAAGTAAAATTTACAGCCTGGTCATAAACACATTTGCATGTAAATCAATTTCAGTGGCACTTATTCCCAAGTATTATTAGACTTGTTTGTTTGGGAGTGTCCCATTGAAATCAGTGAGATGTGTTTCCAAATAAATGTGTTCATGCTGAGGCATAAATTAGTAAGTGCATTTCTTTACTTAAAAGATTCTTCTAAATCCAGAACCAGGTGCTGCCATAAGCTCCTTCATGCTACTGAACTTCTTTTGACTGAATATTAGCTAAGGGCTGGTATGATGGACTGTATTCTACAATTATCATTATTCCCATCATTACCTTCCTGGTAGACCTGCTTTCTCCTCAAACTTGAATTGAATTAATGTATGTCCCAATCCTTAGCATAATTTACTTAGAAGTAATTAAATCACTTACATAATGTCATCTTGGGACTCAATTTTTTTTTGTCTTCTTTGGCAACAGCATCAAGAGAGACAATCTGCTCTGATTATCAATGTGGTCATCTTGCAAGTGAATCAGATATCTGGCCCTGCATCACCCTCCCTGCTGCCTTTGGTGTAGCGGCTCTGGCCTCACTGAGCGTCTTCTATGCTTTCACCTAGGATGCTTGAACACAGAAGGGAATGGAGAAAACTAAGAATTTGAATTTTGATATCAGTGGCTGTTGTGAGAAATTAAACCTCTGCATTTGCCTCATTAGATAGCACCTTGTGGGTGCAGTCTCAATACCTTTGTTGAAAAGAACAGTCAGTTCTAGCTGTTCAGAAGTTACAGCGGAGGTGGGTAATATTCTTGTATCCACCCAATACAAGAACTCTTCAGTCCTTTTGATGCTGAAAGAACCTTCATGCAGGGAGCTTAACTGTCCTATAGATAAAAAGAATTCCTAATCTGTTAGTGTATTATCTGGCTACACCACATCTACTCTTGATAAGTAGGAAAACTCCCTCTGCCAAAATTGGAAATGCTTTCAACTTGTAAGTGTTCAGTTGTATATTTGACATGTAGCCCACAAGCTTATTCTAGAACCAACTCCCTATTTGCCTCCTGGTATGGAACACTTTATAACAAAGTGATGATGTGAAGAATGCAAAGTAGAATGTTGCAAGTCCTACAGATCATAAAATGGCAGGTAAAAAAGATTCATATTGACGGTAACTTACGTTAATGAACAAATTTTTCAGAGTTGGTATAGAATTGGTTTCCTGTGCTTTTAATAATTACACAGATGAGGGATTATGTAAGGAGCAGCTCAAGTCTTCTATGCAGGTATTAAAGGTACAGTACCACTAATACTTGTTGAATCTGAGTGCCCAAGCTGATGCAATTAGGCTTGGACAAGTTCATGGTGGAACAGACAGCTGTCTGTATAATGCATACTTGTTTGACAAGGACTTAGTTTCACAACCTCTGAAATTTAAAAAAATAGAATCCTTTGTAGACAGACACCGGGTATCTAGAAGATTTCCACCATCAACCTCATAATGTGAGTTGATGCAAAACTAATCAAATTGTTTGTGTGTTTTCCTGAAATGCAATTGAATATTTGAAAAGTAAACACACATTTTTAAAAAAAAAAATGTATTCCTCTGTTGCCACTTTCACATATCCCTTAGTAGTCCCCCAACTTTTGCCTTTTTCCTAGTTCACAATTAGCTGTCATTAGAATACATGTTGTTGTTGTTTAGTCGTTTAGTCGTGTCCGACTCTTTGTGACCCCATGGAACAGAGCACGCCAGGCACTTCTGTCTTCCACTGCCTCCTGCAGTCTGGTCAAACTCATGCTGGTAGAATACATACATTTTCCTAATGCTTTATTTGGTCTTAAGTCTGTGTTGCCTCACTGGAATAGTGTCTTGTTCTAACATGCATACTACATGAAAATCCCCTTAGGGCCTTAGGTAGTCAAAACAGCCAGTAATGTCATCCTTTATAATATAAATTAAAACTAGGGTAAACATGATGCTCTGGTTTAATCTGCATTTATGAAAGGTTTCTGTGGGTAATTTTTTTTTAGGTTGGTCTACCTGGAGGTTTTTAATGCCTCATTAAACTCTCATGTGTAAATTAACCTTATATGCTAAAAGTGGCTTTTTCAGCAGGAATATAAAATTACCTTTGCATTTAATTCAAGAGCAGAAGCCTACACACAGTGCATTTGTAGGTGTCAACTATTATTGCTAGGCTGCAATCTGAAACACTTTCCTGAGCGTAAGCAACTTTGAAGACATTAGGACTTAACTTTCAAGTGAACATGCATGGACTTATAGCATAATAAATTTGTTAATCTTCAGGATGCCACAAGACCCTTTGTTGGTTTTGCTCCAACTGCCGAACATGGCTAACCCCTCTGGAAATTATTTGTTACTAAGTATCATTAGGCATAATTGCCCATTCCCTTCTATGTAAAAGTAGGCAAATACCTGTACAATTTCTCAGTCTCCGTAGGAAATTGTTTGGAGGGGGAACACCTCTAACTTACTGTACTCTCTTTTTCCTTCCCCCGCTGTGCTTTCTTTTTCCTGCCCCCTTGCATTGATCCAGCTGTTCCTCATTTTATATATTAATTCATCTAAAATTGCTCCTTTCCCCTTCAGTACATACAAACACTAATGCAGATTAGAACCTCAAGGCGACCCATAAGCAAGGATGGAAAGGACTTCCCGTTTTATCACACTGAGGGGTTTTAAGTTTACCTGCATTAGATATTTTGCTATGACACTAAAGTTGTTTTAAAGGTACCTTATTGACCCAATTAACTGGTCAGTTATTTAAAAGTATTGCAAGCTTTTGAGCCAAAAAAGGCCTTCAGTCTTGGATGTTTCAACGAAGAGTTAAAGAAGGTTTTCCTCATGTGTGATTTACCTCTGCGGTGCTAAACTGGAAGTGTACATGAGGTGGAAGCATTCTTTAGCAGAGATATAAACTAGGGCAGATGTTTTTCAACCACAATACCTCTTTTAGCCTCTTCCATCTACACCGATCCTGTCTTTGTGGCTAGTAGTCATTAGTATGAAGATTGGCACAACCCGCATGTGGTGTCCGGTTATAGATACAGAATCTGTAGACCTGATAATTGTAAAATGCTTCATCTGGTGCCAGTTGAAGAAGTTTAGAAGCATTGCTTCTATGTGGCTCAGTCCTATTCTCAGACTTATTCTGGGTATTCAAGGCAGCTACTATCTGCCGTCCTCTCAGATGTAGGTAGATGTTTTCCACAGTCTGCTGTGTCATAGTGCACTAAGGTACAACTAAAAATGAACAGCAAGATTGATGATAGTGTACAGTACAAATGCTTCCCATGGATTCATATTTGAGAAGCTGTGTTCTTTTTTGCACAGTCCAGAATGTTGTAAAGGAAGAATTGTTGCTTTGAACACAAAAGCAGCTAATAGAAATTGATCAGTGTGAGAGATGCAGGCAAGATCACATCAAGAGTAGGGCTGGAGAGGCAGGGACCCTAGTTAAAGAGTAAAAAGGGCTTATGCACAAATTCTGCCTGCTACTTGTCTGTCCACAACTGTTCTGCTCAGCTACTTTTTTCACCATCAAGTTGCTATTTCCAATATCAGATACTGTCCCGAGGAAAAGTCCCAGATGGATGGGCTCATGACAAAAGCGGGAGAATGCTAGACACCCTCTGCCATGTCCCACCTTTGCATTTTAAATGGAACCCTACTCCTGCTTTATATGTGGTTGAGGCAGGCCTCTATTGAAATATGTGGCTGCTAATATCACATTTTATTTGGGGCCCCTTTTTAAATGTTTCTGATAGTTCCTTTTAGAAACTTTTCAGTAAGATTCTATCTCTTTCAGACGTACTGCAGCTTGGATTTAGAGCCATAGTCTGGAAAGCAGTGCCACTTGGGACTTCACACTGCAACTGAGAGAAAATCCTGAAAGAACTAATTCAGAGTGACTTATTTTCTTAAAAAGCAGTTGACTGGAATATGGTTTTTGAAGGAAGCTGGCTTTCTCTTGAGTTCTGTTTCCCATCATTGCTTTCTCATAAAAACAGAGTGTGAAGTCAGAGTTTCCATTTGCAAAACAACAAAATTTTACATGCTGCTGAAAGCCAGGGGCCCTAAAATCCTTCAGTAACAAAATCCACCATTTCCTTCAACCTCTGAACCCCAATTCTGCGATTGTAATATATATATGAAGTCCCATGTGTTTCTATGTATCACACAACTTTGTGTAGGTGCATTGTTATGGTTTTATAGAATGTACAAATCCAGTTTGAGCTTCTGAGCAAAACATGGAAATAATATAATAGCACGGACACGGGAGAATGTGGCGTGTAGTTTTGTGGGATGCCACTAATGCTAAGTGAAGAATCTCCTGCAGGCTTCATTTTTCTTCTGTGGCACAACAGGGAGCATTGTTAAGTGTGGTTAAGTGCCTTTAACTCGATGGTGATTTAAGCACATTAACTGTGCACCCGCTTATACCTTTTTTTAACTATGTATTTTTAGGTGGCTCCAGGGTTTAATCAATTAAAGCTTTTATTTTGTAATCCGTGATAGCAAAGTTTTAATCAGTTAGTTAAAAGCACATCGGTTTTTTTAGGTTAAGTTGAAATAAAAGTGTGTACAGTATCCAAGTCTTCAAGACAGGCTCATCAAGAGCTGCGTTATCAGTGATCTTGACAAGTCCATGCACCAGTGGAGATTTAGCATCCTGTTTTGCTGGGATCAAGGTGTAATCTTTGATAAGGTACTCCTGTGCCCCATGTCCATGTGGGGCATGGCTTGGCAAAAGACGCATTGTGGTCTATAGTGGATAGCTCAGTTGATTAGAGCATGATGCTGATAGCAAGGTTACAGGTTCAATTCCCATGTGGGACAGCTGCACATTGCAGGGGGTTGAACTAGATGATCTTCAAGGTCTCTTCAAACTCTATAGTTCTATCATTCTATGAAATTAGGGCCCTGCCAGGCCTGACTAAAGGCTTCCTAAAGGCTAGAGCTTTCCCACTGCTGTCAGAGAGGATGTAGTGACTGCTGTGCTCCTCCTCTGGAGAGTTGCCTAGAGCTAAGCCAAACACAGGCTTGTGGTTTGTCTTGCTCCAAACAAAGCATGGACTTTACAGCTTCCTTCAGGCAAGATCTGAAGGAGATGACACACGAAGTGAACCAGGGCTTATCTCATGGGAGCACAGCAGCAGGAGACCTGGGGAAGGAGAGGAGTGCAGCAGCCAATCGCCACACTTGTGCATTTGTGCTAAGCCATGGTAACTGAGCCACTTTTAAGGTCTCCTTTGGCTGAAAGGTGGTTCGGAACTATATATCACTTTAGCACAATTTAGAATTACCAGGTTTTCTCAACAAATCAAAAACTTTTTAAAGGCTCTTGGTCACCTGCAAAGATTCTGTGCTTCTCTCACCTTCAATAAGGAAAAACAGCACAGCATAAGAATAGGCAGGTGAATGTTGTGGCCAGTGGACACTTACAGGAATCCTGTCGAAAGCCACCTTCCTAGAGCAGCCTACACAAAATTTAGTATGTGATCCTGGCAGTTGGGGTCAAAGAATTCAGGATGCATCCCAGGCATGGGGAACCGTTGGCCCTCTAGTTATTGCTGAGCTACAACCCCAGCCATCCCTGGCCATTGCCCATGCTTGCTGGGGCAGATGGGAGTTGTAGTTCATCAACATCTGGAGGGCTAAAGGTTCCCACACTTGCTGTATCCACATGGTTAGAGTGAAAGACATGTTGCCATTGTGCTTGAAATAAAAGTGGTTTTCAGTACAGTATGTTGCTGAGTTTTCCAGCATAATCTCACAATGTTACTTCGAGCTGGAAGCATCCTTAAACAGACTGTGCATTTGTGAAACCCAAAAGGGGGATTGGGGAAAAAAGTGCTTGTTTGCATAAGTTTGTTAGCCCTCCAAAAGGGCTAAGTTGTATTCTTAGAGCAGGTTTGAAAAGAAAGAAAAGAAAAAGAAAGGGATAACTAAAGCTGTTAGTTTGACAGGGTTATATGGTTGTGTAATTAGGAGCAGTGGTCTGTGCTAGGAGACATAATCTTATTAAGCCAGGGACAAACCTGCCAGCAAAGACCTATTTGGTCATACCCATCAGACTCCACTGAAACTTAGCAACTGCAATTAATCTCTCTGCGCAAGGAAGCTGAAGCTATAAAAGGGAATGTGTAGTATCTGAAAGGAAACTGCTGTGGGTAAAATGTTGTACATGGGGCTGCACCCCACAACAATGAAACAATAGCAGTGAAATGGTGGTCTGATCATACATCAAGATATCTGAAATACATGGCAGTTGGCACCAAAGCCCTTAGGATGAGGTGTAGGGTTCTTTTACAGCTTGCCAGAGATTTCACAATAGCCAGCAAAGGTTTATTTTGGCTTAACACAGCAGGGAAAATGTAAATTTAGGGCAGTATGCCACCCCAGAGGTGCAACCCACTCCAAAAAGCACACACAGAGAACTCAAAGCTTTTTTAAGTAAGTCAAAAATAACTTACGTTCCTTTTGCCTTGTTTATGGATTTTGGACACTGTTTTCTTAAATGTAGTAGATGAAAGTTTAGGGAGAGAAGCAAAGTTTTAATGGGGCATCAATCTCAAATGACTAGATTTATGTCCAGCTCTAAATTATAGAGAGGATAAGATGCAAACACAGATGTCACAGTGTAGAGGGTTGTCTAGATCAGGGATTCCCAAACTGTGGTTTGCAAGCTTCATTCATGTGGTTCAGGGTGACTCAGTGAATTTGTGGTTGTGGTTCATCCATTAATATTTATATTAATTTTTAATTGTATTTTTATTGCTTCTTTTATTATGTTGTATTTTATGGTATTAAAATTTAAATTCTATGTAATTCTGTGTAATCATGCAGCATCCAGCACAGTGCACAACACAGTTGCTACAACACAAAGACCAATAATTCAGTAGTCCACCAAAACACTCAGAAGTTTTTTAATGGTCCAAAGGGAAAAAAGTTTGGCAGCCACTGATCTAGATTTTCCAGCTGAAATGCTAAATTAAGGGCAGCACCATTCAAAACAAGGTAAAAGGGCCTAGAGTGTCTTGTAAGCTTGCTATTACATTCCTCCTGCAGCTATCACAGTTCAGGGGAAGTATTCTGAATGTGTTGGAATCCCACAATCCGTACAGTCTGAAGTCATCCCTTCTGTTTAGAATTTGACTACTTAATGGAATAACAGAAGACTAATACAATGCAAAATCACGGAGGAACCCAACTTATTAGACTAATAAATTATTTTTCTTAATTATTTCTGAGTGTACAGGTATAGATAGAGAGTGCACCAGGAAGTCCTCTACTTTATGCTCTTTGCTTAAATTATTGTTGTTCTGGATATGTGTAGGTTCATAATTAAATCTGCTCTACAGCTGTTTGTTAGACTATTTTTTGTGGACCTTGGGCAAACCAGTTCTTCCTGGTCTATGGATGCACCACAAGAAATAAGATTCCTTATAAATATGAACATTAGGCTGTGATTGCAGCCGTGTTGGCAGGACTGTCTTTTGTGCCAGGTGTACATAAGGACTAATTTCATCTTGCTGCTATGTATGGAAATACATTGTTTGAACTCCAAGTGCAAAGGTTTTGTTTTGTTCTTCACGGGCAGCCCGCTGGTGCTAAACACTATTTCCAGAACAGCATGCAACAACACCTTGGGATCTAGTTATATTTCTGAAGATTATTTATAGAATAAAAGGGCTTGTAAGGGTATTGGGTCATCTGTCTCATTCTTTGAGACAGATTAAACCATTCTTAATGCTAATCTAGCTTAATTGAAGGGTCCTGTTTTGTTGCTTCGATGGAAGAATCTTGTTCTTTTGCCCATCTGCCCTTTCCATAATGTTTAATGTTTCCATAATGTTTAAGATTGGTTGCTGTCTTCTGCAGTCTTAGCTTTTTTCTTTGACCTCAGCTATTATGGATGCTTTCTTTCTCCATGTTGCCTTCCCTCCAAGCTGAATCTATACTGTGCCAAAGAAAAATCACACTAATGTTCCAAGTAAGACAGATATAACGTAAGGCTATGTACACACAAAAGTACACGGCTTACCCCAAAGAATGCTAGAAATGACAGCGTGTTAAGGGTGCTAGGAATTGTAGCTTTGTGAAGAGTAAACTACATTGCCCAGAATTCTTTTAAAGGTGCTTTACGGAGCCATACAATATCCTGTTTGCTTAAAGTTGATTAATTTGCATGTTTGAAAATGTAGAAGTCTTTTGTCTGAAATTTAGAGTTGAGCAACTGAGTGGAAGAAAGGGTTGGGTAAATGAAGGCCCTATGTGAGGAATAAGCAGTTATGCTGCCTCAATACAGTCCCTTAAAAGCTCGCCAAAAATAGCTTCTTGTTTATAAGCGAAGTCAGGCTTGGAATCTATAGCACCTGTGAATATAAAAGTTCCATGTGCCTATTTTGGGGGGACTTCCGTTCCTTTACATTTGATGTGCCCACACCAGACTTTCTTTGATGATTCAGAGAAAGGTGGTATGCTGAATTATGATGAGTGGCTAGGGACAACTACACCAGACAGCCACCATAGCTAGCAAACTTGTTAGCATCTGCCTGTCTCGGGGGACAAAGGAGAATGCACCTTAGTTAACATTTAGGTACCCTAAGCGTGAGCTGGCCACTTTTAGCTAATTTTATTCCCCTATACGATTAGATAGGAACAAGGAATCATGGGTGCTATAGAAGAGAAGCAGTGGTATGGAATGTACCACTTGCAGAGTGGACATCTGAAGGCAGCCCTGTTTAGGGAAGCTTTTCATATCTGAAGGACTATTGTATTTTAATATTTTGTTGGAAGCCTCCCAGAGTGGCTGGGGAAACCCAGATGGGCGGGATATAAATAAATAAATAAATAAATTTAAATTAAATTAAATTAAATAATTAAATTAAATTAAATTAAATTAAATTTTATTTGTTTGTTTGTTTGTTTGTTTGATAGTGTATGCATGGAATTAACAGCATAATTGCTTCCAATATCAAACTAATTTGGGATTCTTGGCATCTTTTTAGATTCCAAGTTAGTTTGGAAGATTCAGAGTCCTACAGTAGCTTCTTAAATCAGCAGATGGTTAGCATGAAAGAACCCTGTAAACATGATTCTAGTAAAACATATTCTAGTACTTCTCATAGTATATATTCTTGCTCTTTTTTTGATACCTATTCATTTGAGATCTGCCAAATTCTCCTCTCCTCCTCCTCAACATCCTAAAGACTACTATTATCCTCCCTGTTGTTACCCATTTTATATTATGTACATCTATGAAACTGCTATTAAATGTTAGAGCAGGTTACTATTGGCTGTTTGGAAGGATTGTAAAAGTGAGTAATTTGCTGACTAACCAACCCCCACAAAAGAAACCCCTTATCATTTGTTAGTGGCCTCTGTATTTACCACGGAGTATATATTTCAGTGTACATATTCATTATCTAAAGTTTCTAAATAGATAAGCCAGTGTTTCTCTCATCCATTCACAGTGGAGTTCGCCTTTTTCTAGTTAGTTTGCCTAGATTAGTTACATTAGATTAACTACGAAAGAGCAACATCTGTTATGAGAAGTCATCTCTCTGGGTATAATCTCATCTACATATTCCTGTTTCTCTGGATGCGTCTGTTAGCCATAGCATCATGCTGGCCATGAATAAACCTCTTTTGGCCCAGTTGTTAACTACAGAAATAAGAAAACATTTCATTTTCATTCCATTTCACTTTTAATTTATATACCACCTTTCTATATTACTATACACAAGGAGGTTTACAACAACAAAATATACCACAAAGATCACACCCTTTACAATAATCTTATCCAATACAAAAAAAACTTAATAGAAACATAACTTTAAAATAAACACCTTATATCAAATAAAGCAATATTCAACAATCCATTAGCATATAATAGTACACAACAAAATTAACTCTCAAAATATCAGCAAATAATAATTACACAGAAATTTACTCTTAACAATTACCGTAAATAATTGCTAAAGTATAATCAATAAAAAATAACAGCAAGTCACAATGCATAAAATACCACCATACATACATAACCAAATAAAAGGGTGAAATTGAGAAACAAAGACATGCAACTTATAATTAAAACAAAAACATGTTTTAATAATTTAGCAACGTGCCCTCATAGGGACTTAGGCCTTTCCCTACAGGCCTTGTGGACAGAAGATGTGTTAAAAGTACCATCACAGACCCTTGGTGCCTCCAAACCTTTATGATCTCAGAATCTCAAATTACCAGAGTTTTGTCATAATTTGTGGTGGTTAGTGGAATCCAAGCCTTTCTTGACAAAGTGTAGGTCAGGCTTCCTCAACCTCGGCCCTCCAGATGTTTTTGGCCTACAACTCCCATGATCCCTAGCTAGCAAGACCAGTGGTCAGGGATGATGGGAATTGTAGTCTCAAAACATCTGGAGGGCCGAGGTTGAGGAAGCCTGGTGTAGGTTGATGCTGCATAGTTTTTATTCGCCAGAGTTCATTGTAGTGCAGCAACTATCAGAGTTGGATGAGCCAGTGATCTGTAAGAAGGTTGGGTGAAATGGTGATGCCTGCTAAAGTGGTAGCTGAACATTTAAAAGAGAGCATTCTCCCCTGTTTAGAGGTAACTGAAAAGGGCCATATTTCATTTCCTCAGAATCAGAGCTGGCTAGCTATGGCTGCAACTGAATAGAACAGTTACTGTCTTGGCAAGTGGCCATTCAAGACACAGTCAGGAAATTCTAACGGATGCAGCATAACCTCAGCTGCTAACACTTTGTTGCCACTCACTTTCTTTTTACACAATGCATTTCCATTCCTTCTGGGATAGACTTGTTTGAAAACCAGTCAAGAGAGAAGTTATATTTCAGATGCTGTCCTTTGCATCTGAGTTTTGGACTGCATAAAGTGCTGAATTGGACCCTAGGCATCCATACCCAGGACAATTAAATATTTATTAAGCAGATACCATGCTTAATAGTAGAAATAAATGGGATGTGTTTGTTTTCCAGCCTGGCACTGAAATATAAAGACATTACTTAAACACACTTGTGCTTGGTTCTGTCTGAACTTGAACTCAAGTGCCAGGGGTAGGGAGAATGGCTGGAAGGGGAGCAGAGAGACTGGCAATGAATTTATTGGCCCAGCACTATGCAGTGAGTGGAGCTTTGAATCTGTAAGAGAGTATATGCCCATACTTTACTATCTCTTCATTTCGTGATGCAGCAACCCATAGAAAGAGTTTTGATAGCTCTTGTTGCCTAGTAGGAATAATACATATGAAATTTAGGCTGTGTATAAGCCACAGCTTCTAGTACTGCATAATTTAAGTTTTAAAGTAGAAGCAGTGTCCAAAAAAATGAAGGTGCACAGATATGTGAGGGCTTGCATGATCTGCAGGGAAATGTTGTTTTGGACTGTGAACACCTGTGCTGTTCCAGCTAATCTCCTGGTCTGCAGTTTAGACTAATAAGGATCAGCACAGCAAGATTTGGCACAGTCCCTGTTGGCACATCATTGATATTGGGTAGGCACGGCTGACACCAAGGAAATCTTCTGGTTAGAAATGCCTTTAAGAAAGCTGGGAGGAATTGATCTGTGTTGTCCTTCACGTGATAATTGTAAATGCAGTCGCCTGATCACTGTTGCCTTGATATTTCTGTCATGTGAGTTGTAGAGAGAACGTCAATGGAAGCGGCATATTCTATAATAGAAAGGGAAGCTTTCCCATTATAGGTTTGATTCAAAAGAACACAAAAAGAGCCTGCCAATGGCCCATCTAGGCCAGCATCCTGTTCTTACAGTGGCCAAACCTGCAATGGGAAAACTGCAAGCAGGACTTGAGCACAACAGCTCTCAGGCTTGGGATTCCCAGTAACTGGTATTCAGAGGCACCCTGCCTCTGACAGTGGAGATAGAACATAGCCATAGTGGCTCATAGCCTTTGATAGCCTGGATAGCACAGTTGGTTAGATTGTGGTGCTGATATTGCCAAGTTGCAGGTTTGATCCCTCTATGGGACAACTGCATATTCTTGCATTGTTTGGGGTCTAGATGATTCTCAAGGTCCTTTCCAACTCTATGACAGCTTTATCCTCCATAAGTTTGTCTAATCCTCTTTTAAAACCATCCAAGTTGATGGCCATCACTGCTTCATGTGGGATCATGATCTGTAGTTTAGCTATGTACTGCATGAATAAATACTTTATTTTATCTGTCCCAAATCTTCCAACATTTATCTTCATTGGGTGTCCACAAGTTCTAGTCTTAGAAGAGAGGGAAAAAAACTTTTTTTCTATCCACTTTCTTCACACTGTGCATAATTTTATAAATTTCTATGAGGTCACCTCTTGCTTGCCTTCTCCCTAAACTAAAAAGTCCCAAAATGCTATAATCTTTTTCATAGGGGAGTAACTCCACCCCCTTGATAATTTTGGTTGCCCTTTTCTGAACCTTTTCCAACTCTGCATTATCCCTTTTGAGGTAGGGTGATCCGAACTATACACAGTATTCCAAATACAGTCACGCCATAGATTTGTATGATGACATTATGATATTGGCAGTTTTTTTGCTTCTCTCTGTTCCACCAGGTTCCTGTTATTCACACTATATCAGTGCCATCCTCTAAGACCAAGCACTCTGGTTCACCCATCTTGGCTCAGAGGCTTCTAGCATTAGCATATAAACACTTGTTTACAGTCCCTCTCCAAATGTCCTTGGCACTTTCAATCTGATCTGTGGCGCTTTGTGTTGCCAGTTAACTCTGGTCAACAATCAAGCTGTGTTGTGCTTGCCTGCTATGGGATAAAAAGTATTGTTCGCCCCAACACATGTTTTTTTCTTATCCTTCTCCTCCTCAGTTATCAAATGTGCTCTTGTTTGAAAATATATATGTTTTTCACAATAAAAATATCTGAAAACTGGATGCAGAATTAAACCCCAAGGTATTCCACCCGAGCCTTTAAAGTAGCAGTTTTACTTATGTCTTTGTGTCCCGCAATATAAACAATGACCGACTATGTTTAGATTGGTTTGTTTACGGCAAATGCTGAAGAAGCCCATAGTTTGAAAATGTTTTGCTAGACCTACACCTTGTGCCTTTCATTTGTCGATTTATTAACCTCTCTCTGTTTACGGAACAAACATTTATGTCACATTATTCAGTGCAGTTTTGTAAACAGATCTTTACTTTTTCATTTGGTTAGCCATTTGGCTTCCTTTCTGTAGTTTAGCACCATCAGGAAAATGGTTGTTCTTCCCCCTGTTCAAAAGTCACAATGTGCCTCTATTTGGATTTACAAAGTAATTGGAAGTTGAAGGAAACGTGTAATTTTGGATCCTTGTGGACTAAGCAGTTTTCTCCTTGTTGTTTGGCTTATCGCCAAATTCCTACACTATCCCAGAGTTGTAGTGATTTAGTTGAGTCACACTTAACAAGCTTGGACAGCTAATATGTTCAAGAGTGCTCGGCTTTGAGAGACAGAGGGAAACAACTGTGGATAGGGACAGCTGCAATCTGAGAGAGTTCCCGAAAAATGAAACTACATAAGTTGCAATGAAAACAACATTTATCTTTGTTTGATAGGTTTAATGACTAGTCTCTTGTGGACTTTGCTACCTGAAAAATAGCCAAATCCTTCCCAAAGTACACAAGTATTTGCAGGTTTTCAATGAGTTCTCTCTTTTGCCTCGTAAAAGACTGGCAACTTCAAAATCCCAGAAAGAAAGAAAAAAGACAGAAGGCTATTATTTGCTGAAAGCAGATGCTGAAGAATGTCACACAACATTTTGGTTTGTTCTGGGACTTGAATATGTAACTTCAGAGTCAGAATCCTTTAACTGGCTTGCTGCAAATTTTTACTCTGTTGAAGTTAAGTCTTCCAGAGTGGAAAGTACATTTCCTGCAAGAATGAGTCCCAGGCCTTTGCATGGAGCATATGCAAAGTGGTTGTTTTGTTTGAAGATCTGTTTGGTAAATAGAGGGCTTTGGCAAGGAAGCAAACAACTGACTCTTTGGCATTTGGATAATGTGTGGGGTGATCAGGAGGAAATAAAGCTACAATAGTGTCCCTTGCAGAGCAACTGCAAATTAGACAGAGCCATGCTACAATACATAACCCATGCCTAGTTCATACTCTGCATTGAAAGAAACTCCAGACTTTATATTGGGAATCACTATTAAAATATACAAAGGATGGCAAGCTGGAAATAAAAGCTGTGTCTTCTAAACACAGGAGGCTTTTTCAGGTTTACTTCCATAAATTTAAAGGTAGGTTTAAAAAAACAAAAGCCGACACTGTCAATAATTAAAATCCTGTATCAAATTGTACATGACATTTTAGAACATAGGCAGCCCAGTTTGTAATGTTTATAGTTGATATAAGATGGCTGATATAAGAGCAAGTTTACTGCTCATTTTTAATTTAGTTACCACACTTAAACCCCACATTTCTTCCAAGGATTTGAAGGCAGCATATATAGTTTCCTCCTCTGGTTTTTCCTCACAAATAACCTGTAACTCTGTCTCACAGAGGCGGAGCTAGCCTCTTTGGCACCTGGAGCGGCACACATGCTGTGCACCTGGGGGCGGGGCTAGCCGCCCACGGGGGTGGGGCGAGTGTCCTAGGGGGGCGGGGGGCAATGTCACCCCCCCTCAGGGGTTACACCCAGGGCTGGTCGCACCCACCGCACCCCCTTCCCCTGCCAGTGCTGTCTCAAGGTCACCTAGTGAGCTTTGTGCTTAGGAGGGAATTTCAGCTTGGGTCTTCCAGTCCTGGCCTAATACTCTAACCATTTGAAAGTTGTTTTTCACCTATAATGACTTTATCCAGCCCTGCCAATAGTTCAGGAAATATTTGTCTGTGATCTGGTCCTGCACCCAGGAGGTGTATCACTTTTTAAGTACCCCTGTTTCCATCCAGAGAACTCTTCCTTCATTATCTGAAAGTGAGTGAGCTTTGGCTTGAATATTCAGGGGAAGTTGTGGGTGCTAAATCTGTCTGGCCCTTCTCTTATCTTGGGCAGTCATAGCACAGCACCTCCTGCCCATGTGCACACACCACCTACCTTTGCCTGTTTTTTATTGGTCAAGTTCCCCATATTTTCCAATCAAACTCCCTCCTGAAAACACCGGGGAAAAGGGGGTGGATTTTATTTCACAGTGATATCACAGCAACTTACATAATGCTTTTTCAAAAGTTACCAGGTTTATTATTATCATTATTTTATTTATTGGTTGCTTTATACCACAAAGGTCTCAAAGTGACTTACAAAAGCCACATATATATCTCAGTGAGTTGAGTGCATGCTTTGCCGGCAAAAGAAGCCAAATTCAGTCCTGGTATCTCCTAGTAAGTTAGAAAAGCCCTGTCTCTGAAACTCTGGAGAGCTGCAACCAATCAGTACAGACAATACTGAGCTAGGTGGACCAATAGTCCAATTTAATATATGGCAGCTTTCTGTTTTCTATGACTTGACTGAAAAGCATGTACTCTCAGCTGTGTACCCTCATTTTGTCTCTGCAGGGAGGAGCTAATAGCTTGTGTGTAGCAATGTGGTAGCTTGCCTTGACATTTAAATGTGTGTTGCATTATGTATGGTGTTAAGTCATATTTTTAGAGTACAGTGTTGCGTTTATGCAAGGTGGATAACAGGTTTTGTAATGATGGATAAAATGCAGACGGTTGTTTCCTATAACGTCCCTACTTTTGTTCCCGACAGAGATGTCAGTGGGTCCTGTGTTCACACTCCTTGTTGTTGTTCAGAGCACACGCTGCACTGTAATACAATCTGTGATGGTCAAAATAGTTTGCAGCTGTGTAGAGACTTGGAAGGTTTAACTAATTACACAAGCAGCTTGTCCAGCACAGAAAATCTATTTATAAAATTCAGTTGTATCCCTTACAGTCTCATTCACATTGCAGCTGAGTGACAGGGCCTGGTGCCAAATCACCTGAGCATTTTCTGAGGTTATGTCTGGATGGTTCCTAACCTGCTTGGCTAGGATTCCAAAAAAGCAGGCAATGGTCACTAGATGCTGTCCTCCATACAAACACTTGAAACATCAGCCAGCAGCACTGAAGAGAGAAGAGTTAAGAGGGAAATTATTTAAAACAGCAGCTCCAAATGACAAAGACCCAGATTGTCTAAATTCAAATAACAGCAACCTGCCTTGATCAGAATCTCCTGAATGCTACTAAAGAATTATGGGCACATCTGTGTTCTCAAAATAAGGATATTGTTTGTGCATGATGAGTAGCATTTAGCAGCTGTTCACCTTCCAGCAGTTCAGAGGAGCGTGACAGCAGTGGAAGGACATCAAGCCCCTGGCCACTAGCCAGTATTCCAGGAATTCTGATGGAACTTTATTTGCTTCAGTCAGACTCTGGCCTGTTACCTTTTCATTCAGTGCTGAGTCTCGCTTGCTGCTGTTGGGGGGGGGGGGAGAGTTCTAAGCATACCTTCTCTGTTCCAGTTGAACTAGGACTGTGGACACATTCCTCAGGACTCGGCCAGGGAAATGAGCTTTGCCAGGGCCAGCGTAATATTTATATTTAATGTGCAGGAGTAAGAGTGAGAGAGTAAGATCCACAAAAACCCCTTAGGAGATTCTGGATGAATAGACTAGGACCACAAACTGGAGGGGTGTGGGAAGGTGTGGTCAGTGGAAGGCAGGATTGGGAACCACAAGGGCAATCCTTTCAAGATAAGAAGCAAAAGGGAGTTGGAGCCAAGGTCAGGAGGCACAAAGGTCAGTTCATTTGTGTGTGTGTGTGTGTGTGTGTGTGTGTGTGTGTGTGTGTGTGTTCTGTTGAGTTTCGCTGATTCCCCCCCCCCCTTAAATCATCTCCCACAGAAGTGGTGGGAGGGGAGAGAAAGGAGAGATTCTGCAGTTTGATGATAGTGTTTTTGTTCTTTGCCTAATCCCTTCTGGCAGCATGTTTGCTTTTCTGTACAGCTTTTGCCCCCTTGTTTGGAAATTAGCGAATAGCAAAAATTTCATCTGCTAGGAAGGTAAGCTTCTCTGTACATGTCCTTATGTCTATAATGTGTGGAGAACTTGATGTTCAAATAATTCCTTCAGTGTAAATCCCGTTTGTTCCAAAATTTGCTACTGGTGTTTCTGTTAAACCTTCTAGTAACACCTACCTGAAGAATCATAGTCATACAAAACACATGCTAAGGCCGCAGACAATAACAGTAATCTGGAACAACTTCGGTATTGCATCAGCTCAAGGTTTCAATCGGCAGATAAAATTCCTTTAGTAGGCTCCCTGTCCCAGTTCTGGCTTCAAAAGGGGAGGCAGACAAAGATGGTCAGGCTGGCAAGCTTTGCTTTAAGTGATCTATTTTCCCTGCAGACACTATTTGGCATTGCACCTATTCTTTGTGCGTAACACTGTGGCCTGCATTTTGTAGATTTGTTTGTTTTTAGTGGGTTTGTGGATGTGTGCATGTTCACCACTTTATTTAGGAAATCAAACTCAGAGACCCTGGTCCTTTTCAGCATCACATTTGTATGACAAGGATGATCAGACACTAATTTGAGGGTTAGGCAGGCTACAGGGTTCATAAACCAGGAAAGGAAATCAGGCCAAAAGAGCCAGGACAAAAGGCAACAAGACCTTTCTCTCTCATCTCTTTCATCACCATGCAGCATTGTAGTTGTTGGTGTTCAGAGGTGCCATTGTGCAAATTCAATTTTTATTTTAGAAGAAATGTTGAAGGTTGGAGCCCAGAACTCTGAAGACAGGGAAGCACCTGTGTATCAAAATGTACAAATATAAATATATCAGGATAATGAAGAACAAACTGATGTTTAAATGGAATTCTGTAATAAGCACTGGTACAGATACTACTATGGAGACATTCAGAGATCAAAGTGAGGCAGATCCAATATAAGACAGGAGAATCCAGAATCAGTAATTACCGGTAAATAAAACAATGTTGGGCAAAAAGATTCCTGAATTTCAGGGTGTTGGATAACCCTTGTGGTACCTTCCAACTCTACAAATCTATAATTCTATGAAATCCACAGTTTTCGGGGAATCCTTTTCTGTGTCTCAAATAATCAGCTACAGTTTAGTTAGGCAGGTAGAACAAGGCCCAGCAGTTGAGGAATGAATCATTCTGAAATCATTGGAACTAGGCAAATATGTCCAAGTATAAAGATTCTGATTCTATTCCCCCACCCAGGAAACTGACTACATTAGCCTGTGCTGACTAGGTTAAAGGGACACAGCCTGAAATCCTATTCACACTTGGGATAAGCCTCACTGAACCCAATGGGATTTATTTCCAAGTAGCTACACATAAGATTGCACTCTGAAGCAGAGTGGTAGAGTGCATTGTACCACTTGCCAATATGTAGTAGAAACCATTTCTTAATGTTGGCATTAAATACCTCCTGCAAGTAAAAGTGACTAGCATATTATTAAAAATGGTCACACAAGCAAAAGTACTATATATTATGTATATGAAACCAATGGTCATTTCCTAAAGTTTTCTTGTGATCCAGGCTGGAAAATATTTTCCAATAAATGTCTCTTTGAGGTATTGTAGCATATGCTGTATATTTTCTATTCTAATCTTCTCTGTGTTAAGCAAGAAAGGCCCAGGATATTAACTTTTAAATACCAATTTCAATGGGAGTACAGCACTTCAAAAATTCAGGTCTGGAGCAGGTCCCAGGCTTTTTGAAGCCGTCAGCCCAGAGACATACCCTGGGGCTTCTAGAGCTTGTGCTCATAACAACATGCAATTAAACTAAGGATTGGTTGTTTGTGAATCTGGCTGCATTTCCCTCTGTTTTTCTTATTACTTAGGCTCTTGTGTGAATCCTGGTCTTCAAAAGTTGAAGGAGAGGTGAGTGTAAGGCACTATGCTATGTGACTTACCTTGTAAAAAACCCCACTCCGCCCAAGAGCTTTCAGTTCAGAAGTTGATTAAAGGAGACAAGGACAGAAATCAACGTATATTTTCAGTGCTTACTCTGCATAGTACAGTGGTATCTCAGGTTACATACTCTTCAGGTTACATACGCTTCAGGTTACAGACTCTGCTAACCCAGAAATAGTGCTTCAGGTTAAGAACTTTGCTTCAGGATGAGAACAGAAATCGTGCTCCAGCGGCAGCAAGAGGCCCCATTAGCTAAAGTGGTGCTTCAGGTTAAGAACAGTTTCAGGTTAAGAACTGACCTCCGGAACGAATTAAATACTTAACCCGAGGTACCACTGTACTCACAGACCCCACAGAAAATATACACTCGTTTTCCGCCCTTACGTCTTTTTGCAGTGTAGGACAAAGTAGTTGTGTTTAATTAATTTATGCCTATTGGACACAGTATGTGGATATCTTACTGTATATATACCCCTTAGTGCACTTCATTCAGTTATTCTGTAATCAGCCCTGCAGATAAGTTGTACAGTGGTACCTCCGGTTGTGGATGGGATCCGTTCCAGAGGTCTGGTTGGATCTCAAGGTTTCCGCAACCTGAGGACCGCTTCTGTGCATGCACGCGTGGCGAAACCCAGTAAAATACTTCCAGGTTTGTCGCGCGCGCATCCCAAAGTTTACATAACCAGAGGGTTACATAAACAGAGGTTGGACTGTATTGGTTATTCAAAGATGTAGAGTTGCATAGGAATAAGCTTCTGTATTGGTTTGCTTCGTGGGATCAAGGACACAGTTCTCCTGCATATATCTTTTCTCCTTATATGAAATAGGACTATTTTGTCTTACAATTGCCTTAGATAGCTGGGTATTGATTATAAATTTATTATTAATTATAATATCACCAGGCTGTGCTTGTATGTAGTGTCTTTGCAGGCACATGTCTCAGATGTGTGTTCACTCTACAGACATTTAGTATTGGAGATGACAGGAAGCTCTGAGGTGGGGCTGCTAAATGGTAGCCTGTGTCTAGTTAAATTATTTAGGGCAGCCCCCCAACAACTTAGCATATATATTTTACTGAACAGAAGTTGGCATTGTCAAGGCCCATCATTGTGCTATTGTGATCACAGAGCTATGATGGGGAACCTGTGGTTCTCCAGAAGTTGTTGGACTCCAGTTCTCATCAGCCACAATCCTCATGCCCAGTGGTCAAGGAAATGGAGTCCAGTATCTGGAGGGCCACAGGTTCCTTACCCCAGCATAGATATTTCAGTCTCTCTGCGCAGTCCAGAACAACAATGGGAATGCAAATCTCTCCATTCCCTAAGTGTGTGTGTGTGTCCTTCTCCTGAGCTGCAGCTACAAATAAGCTGGGGCCAGAGGGGAAGGCCTTCAACACTGCTTTTTCATGCATGAATATATATCATAGACAGAAATAATATGTGCCGTATCCCTATTTGGACAGGTCCTCAGTATGTCTGGGTTTGTGGGTCTGCCATGCCATGAGGCTCTTGTAGGGCTGGCTGAAGAAAGGTTGGCTACCCTTGTTCTAGTTAACAGTATTTATTCTATATTTTTGCAGAACAGGAATATATATATGCCTAACTAAACAGACTCTGGTGTATTTTGATGATACCTATTTACAAAGGCAACAGACACTTTGTGAAACTGGCTGCAGTTATATTTACCATGGTTTCTCTGTAATTTTCCTGACAATGTGCATGATAAGTGTGGGCATATATATAATTGCTTGCTTTAGGGGTTTCAAATTATAGCTTTTCCTGGTTTTGGCAGAAAATCCAGACAGAGAGTATCATGATGTTGGAAATAGAATTTGTTTTCCTCTAGGAACTGACCATAGCAGCTGGTAAAGTTGTATGGCGAAATAAAGTGTTCAGAGAGAGCACAAATTTGAAGACCTTCTGGGAGCAGCCTTTCTTAAATCTCAGTGTTCATATATTTATTGTTCTAGGAAAGGGACAAGACTTGACCAGGGGATCCAAATGAAAGCAGATGCAGGTTAGATGTTTTGCTATATTATACGGCAGCATATTTAGAACACTGCTAATATACTGGATGAGAGGATTGTGCCCTTACATCTTGTCTCTTACTAAGAGAATAAGCACCAGCGTTGGATAAATGCTAGAAACTGGAAGACAGGTGTTCACTAGTTCCACCAGTTTGAAACATTATGGTACCTCAGGTTAAGTACTTAATTGGTTCCCGAAGTCAGTTCTTAACCTGAAGTGCACTTTCCCATTGAAAGTAATGGAAAAGTGGATTGATCCGTTCCAGATGATGAAAAACACCCCCTAAAACAGCAATTTAACACAAATTTTACTGTCTAACGAAACCATTGATCTATAAAATGAATGGAATAAACAATGTACGGTACTATAAAATAAATAAGACAGTATTGGAGATGAAAAAATTAACATTTTTTTTCCTTACGTGCACTGATGGTAGTCATTGTTTGGATGGGGGGCTTTTATCCATTTTTGCAGTCACACAATCAGCCAGAAGCTGAACTGGGCTCCACACGATCCCCAAAACAATGGCAGAAGGCAGAGTCCCCCAGAAGTCCCCCAAACGAAGGAGCAAAGCAGTGACAAACACACAAGGCAGACTCACATAAACAAATCTCAAAATCCCTTGCAGAATCCCAAAATTTTCCACTCCCCCCCCCAAAGGGTAGGTGGGCTTACCTGGCTAGGTGCCACCCATCTTGCTACAGCTGGTGGTGGGGCAAGGGCTGGCGAAGGGCTTTTCGGCCCAGGCTCATCTTTGTTTTCTTAACAGCTTCACTGCTCTTGGTCTTTGTTAGGTAAGTGTTCCTTACTTAACTTTGGGGTTGGGATGCAACCTTCTGGGCATCCTGCGGATGTCGGGCCTGGTTCTGGGCATTTGCGGAGGCCTTGGAGAGCATGGCTGGAGGCTGAACGCAGAGCCTCCGTAGGCCCTGCGGATGTCCAGGCTTTGCTCCAGGCAAAAAAACGTAACTCGAGGCATTCGTAACCAGAGGTTCCACTGTACTGTGTATCCTTGGAGTCTGAGCCACATTCTTTGGGAGCTTTATCACTTAGTGAAGCATTATAAGATTCTGCCCACCCTACTTCCAATCTGTTAATTTGACTACTGTCTCTGAACCAGTGCGGTTTTTTTGTCTGTGTATTTTAAAAGACATTTACATGTAAAAAAAACCCTATTTATTATCTCGGGCAAAAAAAGCAAAAGAACCTTCATTAGCTTCTTCCTGACTATATCTTTAAACAACATTGGCAAGACTATGTCTCCAAAATAGTACTATCTAGATTTCTAGGTTCTCCCATTTTAAATGTTTTTCTTACGTTAGTCCTGCTTTCCCCTTCATTATAGGGTTGAGTTTTTTTAGGAACTTGGGGCGACTGCAAAGGTTAGATGTCTAATTTAGGAACCCATCTTTAAATGTTAATCCATCTGTAGCTCTCTGCAATTGTTTTACAACAGCCTGTTCCCAAAAAAGCAAATCTGGATGTCTGTGTGCACCCTTTTTACTTCCCAGCCCACTATACTGCTTGTTACTTACTTGAGGATGTTGTAGTAGTTCCTAAACTGCAGTTTACTATATTGTATAGCACTGATTGTAGTAAATTTTGTTTGCAGATCTTCTTGCATTTCTGCTGCCATGTAGGTGTCTGCTTAAAATACTTCTGAAATAAAAGTCTACTGTGCTTCTCTGATGGGACTATATTGTGTATTCAAACCATAACAACGGAGTGTGAGATGAAGAGAATGGAGAAGTATAGCTAGGTTTGCACATCCTTGATATCACCGAAACATTTTCAAAATACGTGGGATACACTGAAAAGCCACAAATGCCATCGAGTTTTCTTGTAAGAAGAACAATTGCCCTGCTGCATCAAATGGGAGATTTGTCTGTTGTTATTACCACCATTTTCTATATTTATATAATACTGGCTCTCTGGGCTGCACACAATATTAAAAAACAACACTATATTATAAAAATACAATTAGCAGCATAAAATACTTCATCAGAAAGAAGCGTAAAGACAGCTGACTAAAAGACACGGAACACCAAGCACGATTCATAACAATAAGACTTTTGTGTGTGAGGGGGGAGGTGGCAATTTCAGCACCAGGGCACCACCACCAAGAAGGCCCTCATCTTAGTACTCACTCATTTTACTTCACTTGGGAAGTGCTTCTGGAACAGAACCTAGAGAGGATCTCATGATGTGGATTAAAAAAATGGTATTTCAGGTATCCTAGTCCCAATTTCTTAAGGGCTTTTAAGGCGAAAACCAGCGCTTTAATCTTGGGCCCAGAAATGAACTAGAAACTAAAGCAGTTAGTGAAGCACTGGTGTCATATGGTCGCATAGCCCAGGCCCAGTTAACAATCTCACAGTTCTGGTTTGGGCCCGCCGCACTTTCCAGACAGTGTCCAAAGTGGCCTCATGCAGAGCACATTCCTAGTCTGCTTTCTGTTTCCAAAGCAACCATCCAAATGCTGCTTGAACCTTGCAAGCAAGGCTTCAAGTCACTGGTTACCCTTTGTTAATCCATAGATTGCAGTTTGCTGTTGGCATGGCAGTGCAAAGGACAATTTTTTAATTTGTAGCAAAAGTGTGTCAGAACTAACCTACTGGGTATGCGTTTCTGAAACATTCCATTTCATAAATACTGTACAAGCAGCTATTGTAGAAACAGCAAAGAAACCTCTGGCATATCAGCATTTTTTATTTAATTTCCCTTGTGATTTCAGAGAGCAGTCCATCTTGAGCACACCATTCGTGGTCCTTGGATTACTGTTTAAGAATTACTGGTGCATTGCACGTGTAATTTCACCTTATTTGCAAGGGACAAAGCAGAGTGTTTCCTTCTTATAATCAATTGTCTGTACAGAGTTCACCTACAAAAGCAAATCAGTAAGCATTCTGAAGGGTTACAAACACAGCTGCTGAAACCTTGGAATTCTTGGTTGCAAGTAAAAAATAGGTATAAAAGGAAAATTCCTGGATGCCAAGAGCAAAGTTTGGGGCAAGTACTCTTTGGTGAGAGAACCCCAACAGAGATTAAAAATCACAAAATATGCAGCAAAGTAAAGCATGGAAGTATAGGTTGTTAGACCTTTAAAATATGCCCTTCCAATATCCAAATTTTGCTCTTCCCCAGCAAAAGACCATATGTTTGGTAAGTTAAAAATGATAAACTTACAAACTCCACAAAGGTCAGATTCATGTGCTTTTCTATACAGAATCAGAATAAGTTGCACAGGCAGGAGAACTTGACTTGGTTTCAGTGGTGAGAGAGCCATGCATTTTGAGCTTGGAACAACCAGCTCAGACCTCCTCACATGTTGAGCTTCTCAGGTAGACGAAAAGGGAACAAAGGCTTGATTATAGTACCTCCCAGGGTGAGCTCAGCCTCACAGGACAGCTTACTCCTGTATGGCTTTAACCTGTTCATGCATTAATTAGACTTAAGCATGTTGGTTATATGAGGCTGGTTATCCCACAGGAATGATGTACAGTAATGAAGGGAGAATCTGATAAGTTTGCAACGCATGGCTTAGCAGGCTTTGTTTCCAAATTGTCCCGTTTTTTTCTCATGAGCAAGGAGAAGCTTGCAGCTGTAAGCTAAATCCGGTATTTAGATTAGCTGGAGGATTGAAAACAATAGGCTCACCTTTTTATTTCTCTTCTGCAAAATAACTTCTAAAGCAATATATTCACCTTAAAGGATCTCTTAAGGTGGGAGACAGCTTCATCCATGAGAGGCCTCTTCAAGGTACTTTAATGAGTATTCCCACTCTACCAATCTCTGTTAAGACACAAATAAGTAAATGTGAATCTTAATTAAGTCACTGTCTCATCTGCAAAACTTAAGTGACAAAGCCTTCATTTTTATCCTTCTAAGCCAGGCTTTGTTTGAACTGCTCACTTTCCAAACTTCTGCATTTAGCAAACATATTGCCCCACTGGTGTGGTAAGTCATTAACAAGGAATGCTTATGTTTGCTGGGTGACGTATCATGTTGTATCTAGCTTTTTCATATACCATCTGGAGGCTCTCAATCAAGAGTATATTTAAGTCAAGGAAAAGCTTTTTCATTTACTAAAGGAGGAAGGACATAGTTGGAACAAGAACAATTGCTAAATTGGAAGCACTTGGTTTGGTGTGGTGTGTAGGGGGCATATCCAGATGTTAATATTTTTTATTTTAAGAATTATTAACATGAATGTGTGAATTGTCTAGAAAGTGTTGGGTGGGTGGCGAGCACATTGCTCTCTGGATCTATTAAAAGTGTGGAGCACATTCTCAACTAAAATGAGTTAAAGAGACCTGCCTTTGAGTAACCACATCACTCTTTTGTTCTGCTTATAGAGCTACCTAAATCCTAGTTGTAAAGTGGAGAAATATTCAAAGCTGGTTGGGAAGTTCTTTTGCACTCCCTCTTTGCAGTTCATCTGGCAGTTCTACATGCTTGAACAATGTGATCTGTAGTCCAGGAGCTTGTGGATCTTGGCCCACAACATTACTGTTCTCTGAGGCTCTGAGAATACTTACTGAGACGCCTTGCTCACATTACTCAACTTGTGCAAATTAAAATGCCAGGTGGACATTCACAAGTGCAGAAGAAGGTGGCCCCAATCTGAATTGGCTCTCACTCTTCAAATATCCTCCGGCTCTCATCAAACCTGGATCATACAAAGTTGGCATGCTTTGATCAAATGCCTGAGTGCCATTGGGTGTTATATTTTGTTTTTGTCTTGCTCAGGAAGTTCCCCAGTAGCAAACTGTCCAGAGCTGTGGTTTATTTTGACAGGCTGTAGCTTAGTGGAAAGAATTTTTATATTTATGAATGCAGAGGAAATGCCTGAGATCTATAAAACAACACAGAGAAAAGAGACAGTACAAATGGCTATTTGGCTTGTGATGTAACAGAAGTTTGATTCAGGAACCAAATGAATCAATAACCCAACTCCTTCAATTAATAGCCAAGCTTGTTACTAAATTACTGAATGAGAGGGGAATTTGACAGTTTGCCCCATAAAATACTGAGCATCGGATAAAGAAAGAGTTTATCCTAATTTATTTAGTATTCCTATATTTTATTTTAAAAGGAAGTCTTAATGCACTAACATTCATAGTGCCTTATGCATTTAGGGACAGGTTACATATTTTGTCATGATTTTGCCTTCGTTTCAATTTCTGTTGTTACTAATGCAATGGTAACTGCCTTTGGGTGTACCAAGATAAATGTTTGTTTCTGAGCTAGAGTAATTATATATTGGTGTGCAAAGAATGTTTAGGCAGAAACTGCAGAGAACAGCTGGCCCTGAATTATGTTGTATTAAGCATTTCCCCTGAACTTATTTTCTGTTCTAAACATGTTTAATCTTTAGAATGTATGAAATGGTTTCTGCTATTTCCTTTCCTTTCTTTCCTCATACAGGACCTTGTTTATGAAGGTCTTTTAGCCATTTCTAGCTTCATCAGAGGAAGAAGAGTTGCCGTCATTAATGTGCATCCTACAAATTCCCCTTCTTCACACAGCAAAGTCAGGGCTTTGAAAGAGTAAGGAGCAGCGGCACTTTAGGGAACTTTAGGGAAGTACAGAGAGTCACAATAATATTTTATTATTCTCTTGGTTTTTTAATGATGGGAAGGAAAACCTAAATCCTGAAGGTAAGTTAAGCACAGTTTAGATCATTAAATAAAATTTATGTGGCCTAAAACACTTTTCTTCCACCCAGATGTTTGGCAGAAGTTGCTTTACAACTTTGTAACTTGTGGGCCATGACCATGTCCATTTTATAAAGTAGTGGCTGTCTTCTATAAATATTCACATTTTTATTACTTGGTTGGAATCTACACACGCATAAAAAACGCTGTGAAAATGCTTTTTAAAAAAACATTTTGAAAAATATATTGAATTTTGCATAGCTCACTTTCGCCATCTAGTGTCACATTTGTATATTGCACTTTACAACCCATTTAAAACGTTTTATTTGCAGCTGTGTAACTGAGTCCTTAGTTTCCAGATGTGGTTCCTTGCCCTGAATATAACTTCAAAGTTTGCTTTAATAAGCTAGGATCAAACTGGTTTCAGATTCTGAAACTATCTTCTCTAAGAACAAATCACAACTCTCCTACGTTCAGCTGTAAGATGGAACTGTGATTTGTTTTTAAAGTGAAAGCATGAAAGGGGGAGAGTGGAAGAAATCTGAATGATCCTGAGGCTCATTGCAACTTGCTCCCAAATCATATAAACCATGGTTTATGTGATTGTCTGTACCAGCCCAGAAGATCAGTTCCAGCCATATGAGTCATCTTTGTATATGATCAGTCAAGGTTATTAACATATGAGTACTATTTTGAACAAAACTAGCAAGAAGACTTGTAGAAGACTTCCCTGCAATACATTTTAACCATGGGAGTGACCTGGTGCAGTACTATTTCTGAATACTTAAATTGAAAGCTCCTCTTTTGTTTCCTCTCTCTTCTGCGTTAAGCTGCATGAGTTAGAATGAGGAACACACAAATTTCTTTCCAATGAACATTCTTGAAACAGTTCTGATAAATCCATAGATTTCTTTATATTACATCATACTGTACTATCTTTTGACAGGGCTAGGATTTAGATTGCAACTTCATGGCTTGGACACGTTATCTGAAAGCCTGTAGATTTCTTTACGGTTTAGGTGCTTATTTCTCATTCTCTCAGACTCCTGCCAGCAATTTTCTTTGTTTTGTCTTTAATGGTAGTGGAATTGTGTGTTTTTGTGAACAATTGCAGTACATTGTCTAAGGCTATAATCCAGTGTGCACACTTGGGAGTAAGCTTCACTAAGTACAGTGGAATTACTGGCAAGGAAACATGTATAGGTTTGGAGTTCACAGCTTTTCAGTTTCTCATCTCTTCAAACTTACAGCACAAACCTAACCATGTCTTTTCAGAAGGAAGCCATATTGAATTCGCTAACCCACAGAGAAGTAGGATTGCTGCCTTAGATTGTTAGATTCCAGTGCAGATTTCCTATTCCTTAGTTCTTCTTTACACATATAGTGGTACCTCAGGATGTGAACGGGATCCATTCCAGAGCCCCGTTTGCATCCTGAACGGAACGCAAGATGCATCTGCGTGTGCGTGGGTCGCGTTTCGCTGCTTCCGCGCATGCGTGTGACGTCATTTTGAGTGTCTGCGCATGCGCAAGTGGCGAAACCCGGAAGTAACACGCTCCATTACTTCTGGGTTGCCGCGGAGCGCAACTCAAACACGCTCAACCCAAAGCACATTCAACTCGAGGTATGACTGTACATACACCTGGAGGGGGGAAAAGAAAGAATACATAAGATACATGCTCACCCACGATACCTACCCCCACCCCTTCCCCTTCCCTGCTGACAAAATCAGCAGCCCCCTCCCTTTGGAGCTCGCCAAATAAGCTACCCATAGAGCTTGCCACCTATCTGCCTCAGTTTCCCCTCTCCACTAAACTTCTCCTAGCCCTCCAATGCTGCTTTGATGACCCAGCAGCTCTCAGAAGGCTGTTATAACGCTGTTGTTTGCTGAGCCACCTATTGGTAGCCAAGCAAACTGTGATGACAGCCATACCTTTTTATTATATGTAAGGTTTTGTGTGTGTGTACACACACACACACAAAAATAAAATATGGTTTGTCATGACCCTTGTTAAATGTTTCATTGTTTTTAACCTGTGAACACGGAAGTGAACATTGGCCACCAACTAAACCCTTGTGTTAGAACTGCCTCTGCGGTCAAAGGTTAATGTAGCCAGGAGAGGAAAACAAGCTATAGTTAGCAACAATGCAAACAAACTTATGGATGAATGCCATTGGAATAGTTTTTGAAGTTGCTTTCTATAGCATACCCCCCTAGCTGCAAATATTCCATCCTCCCTCTTTCCCAGGAAATAACAATGCTTCAAATGACAGGTTTTGTTTTTAGAGCCAAATTCTTGCCAGTTTTGCTCCTGGCCAGAGCACAATGCTGTGTCTCAAATTGTTTCATCACATAACCATTATATGCTTGCCATTTTTTCATTTTTAGGTAGAGGTAGTTTAGTTTTTTTTGTCCTTTCCGCACATTACTCTTTAATTGTGAACATTTCGTTTAAAACCTCTGAAGTAGATCTCCCTCTGAAAGCACAAGTTTTTGCTATTCAGTCAAGGTGCATGCTTTTGTCAGCTCCTCAACCAAGAGTTTGGACAGTATTAACCTTTTGTTTTCCTCAGCCTTAATTGCAGTAACACTGGCAGGTGTGGGGCTGCCACACTTCTGTTGAATAGTGATGGAGATGAATTGAGCAATCCACTATTTTTTTTTGAAATATATATTTTAATCCAAACTATCCTGTTAAATTTTATAGCTCCAGATCTTACACCCTACAATTATTTTCATTTTAGGACATGACACGCACCTTGTTCTATCTTAGTTATAGGTATGGAGAATCAGAACGTATGTTTCCTGACAAAGTTTAGGAATCTATTTACATTGCTTCCCCTGCTTGACCTTGGTCCCAACACCTCAGGGTTTTGTTTTTTTTAATCTCTTCATTTTTGTGTATATAAGCATTCTCTGGGTTTTATATTCCAAAATTTAAGGTTTTTTTACTCTGCGCTTCAGAACAGCTTACATATATAAGTTCAGTAAACAAGACAGTTGCCACCCCACAGGCTTACAGTCGAAATGACTCAACACAAAAGGAAGACACGTGGAGGGAAGAGGAAAAAAGCAAACTTAACCACCAGTTATTAAATTTGCAAAATTATTCTAAGAGCCAGTTTGAACACAAATAATCCAGAGGGAGAATAAACAAAATTCAGTTGGTCTTTGTCCTGTTTCCTCCCTCTCTCTGCTGCATCTGGATGGAATGGCATTTCCAGATTATTTCTCATCCCTGACTGGTTCTCCTTTCCCATTAAAGTCTGTCCAATTTTAAATAAAAGGTAGAAATACTGAAATGAATGTCTTTACAGTTATACTTAACAAATGGACTCAAGGAAAAAACCAGGTCATTTTCCCCAAGATGTTAGAGGTTGATTACAGCCCTTCTCTGAGATGAACTAACGAAATGTGATACCATTTTTTCCTAACCATTTTTTATTCATATAGTGTATGAGATTTTCAATGCCTGGCATAGAAAAACAAGAGATTAGTGCAGCAAATAGAATAGTGGCTTGAACAATATATTAAGTAGCAGATACAGTTAATTGCATGGGGTTAGAGTTTTATCCTTCCCGCAACCATCTCCAGATTTCACCTGGGAATTGACCAGGCATTTTTGGCCTATGCAGATGGTCTAGTAGGGGACTTATGTTGCACTTCTCAACATCTTCCAGCATGATTGTTGGAATTTTACATCTGTGAAGACGACAGGTTTTGCATCGATTACCTCTCCTGCCCTGGTGTGCTTGGCTCTCTTGATAGGTTGTAAACACCATAAACATGATAAATTTGAATCCTAAGTTGTTAACATCCCCTTAAAATACTAGTGTTTTGTATGATTATTTTGCAAAAGCGTAATTCAAACTATAGTTTGACCTGTCACAACACAATACTGGCAGCAATGCACTGACTTGGCGAGGTGGTAATGGATAGTAATTCGTCAATGGTCTGTCTCTGGGTACTCCCATCAAAGTTTTTTAAACCCCTTCTTTTCACTGCTTTTGTGGTTGGTAGATTAGAATGTAGGCATCCTTTGCTATTGTTGAGCGACTAAAATAAACGAGGAAAATTCTAAAAATCAGAGGAAAGTTGGAAATGGCTCCCCTGCTTTGCTAACTTTTAAAAGGCTTCACAGAATGTGAGACAAATTGTTCTTGTGCTCTTTTATAATCATCTGATTCTTTGTAACTCTTCCGAGTTGGAAAACCAGCACCACAGGCATAAGTAGCAGACTCTGTGCTACTTTCTTTAAAAAAAAAAAAATCAAAGAGCAAGGACAGTAAAACTAAATTAGGTGCTTATATTTTGTTTTCTTTTTGTCCTCATGATTTCTGACATTCGTCTTTTCACATTTTTCCAATTGGCAAGACTTGAAGGAGGTCAGAAAAGGGAGAAATGAGGTCATTTTGAGATATTACTGAATCCTCTGTGAGTTCTCATTGTGCTTTGGTTGCTTTCCAGCATTGCGAGTTTGTACTTGTAACTTGGAAAATCTTTGGCCTAGTTCTCACAAACTAACGATAAAGAGGTAAACCTGTGTCCTAGACGGTACTGCTTTAGCCGCCAGTTGAGGACTAACAGGACTGAATGCTTATTCAAACAAAATAATTCCCTGCATGATAGACTGAATAAAATTAACTGTTTAGTTTACAAATGTACACCTACTTGTATCTACATTGTGATGTTGATGTATCATGTAATGTTCTTATTAGAAACTATCTATCTATCTATCTATCTATCTATCTATCTATCTAGAAATCCTCCGCAGATAGAAAGCTAACCTAAGAGACAGAAGGCTAAGCTAGAACCCCTAGTCAATGTGAGAAGGAGTCATCCATTATTACATTTCCTCCTTTGGCTGCCCCATGTTTTCTTTAATATAGATGAAATTGCCCTCAGAACTTGGTTTGGGGCAAAGGGATGGTCTTATTAAACTATTTTCACCACCAGCAATTCTGGGGTTTACTAAGACCCTCTTCTCAACTGACTTGACTGGAAGCATTCGCTAGGCTATAAATCTTCTGCTGCAGTAGCTAAGATCCAAAGATCTGTTTAGGATTATGCAAAATCTTTCCCCCCACTTTTAAACATTTGTCCCACATATGCTTTTTGAAATTGTCTTTAGTCCGGGGGGGGGGGGATCACTCCTATTCAGAAATATCAATTCTAACATTGTTTGCCTTACTTCATGTTCACAGAACTAGTTTTACAGTACTTCAGATTGTGGCCATTGGATGGCACTTCCCACAGCTATCATGAATACCAATGGTCAGCTAGCCACCTGCTCCATATTATACAGCTGTGAGGAAAGAAACATATGGGCACAGTGCCATGTATATACTGTGTGCTGTTTAGTGTGCCAGCCTGCTTCCACACGGATCTGTTTCCTCTCCCACACAGACATCTGGTATCCCTGCATCCGTACTCCATGTGTCACAAGATTGGGTAGATTGGTTGAGAAGTGGTCATATGCAGTGCTGTGTCTCAGCCATAAGATTGGGCCTCATGATCTGCTGGGTCAAAAAAGTGTATGAACACTCTGCGCCTTATGACTGTCTAAAGGGGAAGTGGTGCTGGTAGATAGGGGAAGTTTTTACACAAAGTATTCTCTACAAATTAGTGATACCAATGTTTGTACCTAATGAGATTTAAAAAATAATAATACTGGCTACTGTTAAATACAGATATTTTTTCTTTTCTTTTCTGTAGTGTGATGCTTGCAACCAGTTCTTCCTTTTATCTTGCCACAGATAACAGCGCCTTGCAATTAGCATGTTGGAAAGCTTAACGCTGGATGATGCAAGAGAACCAGTCAAAAACTAAAGCTGCTTATTGGACCTTAAATAGCACGTTATACAAACATAGTAGATTCCTGTTTGCTGCTAGGCATGATTCATGGTCCACATTCATGCCAGTGCGGAGATTATGTTGCTGCGCTTTGCAGTCTGATATTTAAACTATGAGAATTCATAAAATCCTCTTCATTCTAAGGCCAGCTGTGTCTGCTGAGTGGAAAAAGTACTTGGGCTTCATTTGAAAGGGGGTATATCATCATAGCAAGCTCCTGCAAATACCTTGTGATGACATGCAAAGGATTATGAATAACTAAGCGAAGTCAAGGAGTTAAAAGCCGTACAAGGTACTGACCTCTTGTCCACCATCCCATTTGCCACCATGCAAACCGATTTTTCTGGCAGCGGGTCCTGGCACCAGATCATTCTCTGGAGGACTACTGACTGGAATTTGTTTTCCTAAGCGGTATTCTAGGCTCCCAGGCTGCTCTCTTTTCAAGTCTCTCTTTGGTTTGGTGGGTATAACTTGAGTGTGTAGTCTGACTAGCTGAGCAGACATTGGGGTTTGGGGTTTCTGGAAAACATGTCAAAGCGCTCAGTTGAAACTGGGGGTATGGCTGAAAAGGTTACTCCTGAACGAAGTGTCTTTTTGTGTAGATCTTGGAAGAAATGGCGTTTATAGCATAATTATAGAGGCATATATTCACTGGAGCATTTTGTGCTCCTGGTTTGATATTTTTAGTACAGAAGCAGAAGCACAAAAATTGTCAGAAGAAAGCAAGTCCTATATTAGGCAGGATTTTGCTTTCCCCTGTGCTTCTTGGACTCAGGTTGAATGCTAAAGGAGAGCAGAGCTCTGATGTGGATACAGCAACAGTCAAACTTAAACTGAGCCCTGTGAAGGAGCAGCGGCTCTGTCCCAATTGTAAAGTCCACCATCATTGAAAGGTGTTACATCCTCAGGCTGGAGTGAGAACCAATTATTCACTGAACCCTCTGAGGAGGATTAATAGTAGATAGAACAGCCTTGCACATAATTATTTAGGGGGACAGCCTCTCACAGGCAGGATTAAACTAGACTTTAAAATACAGTATGGCTTAATGAACACAAGTGCTTTGTGCCTTCCTTGCTCTTGACTGTGCTGTGCAGGGAGGGAAGAAGACTGGAGGGGTGTCATGTGGAGGTGTGTGTGCCAGAGGGCCCTGGGTGCACAAATTTCTGAGGGCATGAACCAGGCACCTTCACCTGGGTGCTCCTCTCCATCCGCCAAGGGTCTCGTCAGCCAGTCAGGTTCCCCAATGCATGGGTGGGCAGGCAGTTTAGCGCAGCCATGCTTTCCTCTGGTTGGGGTAGAGTTGCTCCGGCGGCATCCGTGGCAAGGGCTGGGCAGACGTCCCCCCGTCCGGTGCACGAGCCCCTCGCCTGGTTCACACAAGCCGCTGGACAGTCTGACTTGGCATTCAGTTTGCATTAAATGTGAACCCAGGTCTTTGCAGGTTCATGATTTTGTTTCCTCCAAATAAACCAATGAGAAATTGTGGCTTCTTGTGGTTTGTTTGGAGAGAAACAAACCATGAGTCCGGTTTCAGACAGAACAGAAAAGACAGACTCCAACTTGCTCCCGGTGTGTTTCCTCTGCCATGCAGCACAGTCAGGAGTAAGGATGGAGCAAATGCTTATTAAACCATAATTTATTTCAAACTATTGTTTAACCTTATGTGCGAACCAGCACACTGCCTGCTTTGCTTTACTGTGGAGGTGGTGAGGGTGTGGCTCCTCCCAACCTCAGCAGTGTATTAAGTCTAGAAGAGGGTGTGCGTTGAGCTTGCAGCTCCTGGGGCAGGATATTCATATACTGTCTCCCCGGTGAGAGAGGAATATGTGGAGTTTACCAGTCAAGGGCTCACCATAGTTATTCACCTCTTTGCCCTGGCTTTTTGACACTTATTTTTAGGACCCACCTTATTTTGGTGATTGTAAGTTGTTTAAAACCATTTTTGAAATTGTGTTTTAACGTTGTAACCCATCCATCCTGGGACCTTAGGGTGAAGGACAGGCAACAAATAAACAACAACAATGCAGGAGAATAGCAAATTGCCCAATATTTACCCTTAATCCAGCTGTGCATTGCAATTTGAGACCTGTAAATAAATAGCTTGCGGAAACTGTAAAATCTACAGGCCAGCAATAAAAGGTTGGATAGGCATCTGCTAGGAATCTTTTAAGTAGCGCAGTGTCTGTTCCAGTTCTCTCATTCCTTTTTTGTGGACCATTCTAGCATCTTCAGAATGATGTTAAATGCCAAAAGTGTGACAAAGAAAGCTGGAGATGACAGTGCAGGAAATAACACTCACAGACTCACTAACCACTTTATAGGCAAAGCATTAGACCTGGTGCCTGGTCATTGCTACATGATGTGATTATCTATCCCACAGAGCATTTGGCTGATTTATTTCTTGTTCATACAGGCTCTAGTCCTGGAGCAGGTGGGGGAGGGGGAGAGAAGAGAGCTCATTGCAAGGATATTAATAGCCCTTAGATCAGTTGGTTTCTTTTAAGCACATCTGGGTTATTCCGTACATTAAGGCTTCCCCTTTCTGAGTCACTACCCTCAGCCAAACGATTGCACTTTCTCTTTGCAAAGTTACTCATTCTCCAGGCTTCTTGTATCAATCAGACTGTATCCATAGTTTTCACCAAATAAGGTTTTAGAAGATTATAAATTAAGCAAGGGGGGGGAGGGAAACCATAGATAAGGTCACTTTAAATGATACAGGTTCATGAACATAATATGCAAATTGTTTCTAGCAGGAGAACAAACCTTTATTTGGAATATTTTAATTGACATGATAGTATGCATTTATTAACAATATTTCTATCCCACCTTTCTGCCCAAGCATTGGCCTCCTGAGCAACTTACATTAAATATAAGATTTTTGTTTAAATAAGAAGGCAGAAGTGACTGTGCTCCATCTGCTGCTCTTTAAAAGGTCTGTAGTAACTAGATGGGGAAATAGTGTTTGTCCCCATTGGAAGTGAACTACCCAGCAACCAAGGCCAGGCAGCACCAGATATTTTTGACCCTGGGGCTGAGTCACCTCCTTTTGGGGCAGCTGCATAGACTGAGGCTACTAGCTCTTCCTGGCAGTAAGGGTGCTTCAAGCAACTGGTGGACTATAATGTTAACTGTTTGCTCCCAATGTCTATACCTCAGAATTGTGTCTATCTGTTTACTGAAATTGAATTTGGTTCCTTTTCTGCCTCCTTCTGCAAAGCTGAAGAAACACAGACCCCTGTGTTGCAAAATGTGACAATCTACAAAAAATGCAAACACGACACGCTGGCTAATAACTGTTAGTAAATATATAATCGGTATGATGTCATTCAAAATATACGAATATATACATACTAGTGAAGATCTTACTAGTGGATCAGTGCTCACTGGATAATTATGTATATTTCATTGATAATTATTCGCTGATGAAGACTTTATTCCAAAACAGTTGAACTATTCTGGATGCACTGTCCTTTTGAAACTTCGGAGAGACGTCTTCCTTTGAGATTTTTGTGAGAGGTCTTCCTTTGAGAGACAGTTTGGCGTTCCTTGCTATTCATTGGTTGTTTGAATCTTTGTATGACTCTGATACATAAAATAACTTGCAGTTACTTGTATATTTTGTGAGATGTGTTGTATGATATATATATTGTTTTGAAGTGGCTTATTCATACATTTTGAATGACATCATACCAATTATATATTTACTAACAGTTATTAGCCAGCATGTTGCGTTTGCATCCTTCTGCAAAGCTAGCAGATATTTGCAATAAAAGAGGCAGCTTTGAATGGTTCTTGATATAACTTGCTTTGTCCTAATATCCAACATTATCATGCGTCTTGGGTTTTTGGAGTGATGCATGCATGTTGTTCTTTACCCATGTAACTTGAACACCTTTACTAAATCACAGTCTAGTCCAGGCTTTTGTAGTTAGTCACTTACCTGATCTACTTTGTTGAATAAAAAATGGACTCGTATGGAAAGAAATAAGAAAGGTAGCATAGCAGTGTGGGGAGAGAGTAGCTGAGACAAGGGAAAGAATGGCAAAAAATCATGCTTGAGTTGGAACTACAGTAATTAGACATTACAGAGGAAATCACTGGTTCCCAACCCTGGATTTGCCCCTGCAGTTAATGTGAGAGTTGGATATGGCATTTGCAGAACAGAAAATTGGTGAATGGAAGTGAGTATTTAACTCTTTCCCTACTCACAATACTTAAAAGTTTGGTTCACCCCCAGCCAAGCTCTAAAATTGTAAGTTAATTCAGCTAGCAAAATGGCAGCTGAGGTGGGGTGGGTGGGGATTGCAAGCATTTGGCATAGGAGGCATAAAGCATTTGATCCTCCCACCTGCCAATCATCTCTACATTTTAAATGGTCTCATCCAATTTGGGAGGTGGTTGAAACTATGCATTTGCCCAAATGACGTCTGGTTCCAGCCTCAACAAATAGAAAGGAAGTGTGCATGATTGTCTCTGGAACTTCAGTTGCCCACTGGATTCAGCTGGCCTCCTCAAGATGTAGTGTACGCAAACAGTGCTTAACCCTGAATTTAACTCTCAATAGTATTTGAATGATGCCGGCATTGATCCGCTGCTTTCTCTCTGACATTATAAAGGAGGCAGTACTCCTTTATAATGTAACAAGATGTGATGTTTTGGTGGTGGGGGTTGGTTGGTGATTGTAAATTTCAATAAAAATCATTTAAAAGAAAGAAAGAAAGAAAGAAAGAAAGAAAGAAAGAAAGAAAGAAAGAAAAAGAAAGGAGGCAGTACTCCGCAAAGCCACTGGTGTTCTGTTTACTTCAATGTTGTTTCAGTTCATGGGCATTCAGCAATAGTGCTGCTAACGCTTTCACCTGGTAGCAAATCACTAGGGGACTTGGGCAGAGAGACCATCACTGCTTATTTGAGGTGGAACGTCTGTCAAATTGCACTTGCAACAGAATAGCTCGTGGTTAGCTCCGGTTGTCAGAAAAGGTTGTTAAGTTTCTATTCACAAAAATGGTAGAAGGATGCATGGCACTGCTGATTACTGTGCAGGAAATAAAATATCATCTAAGAGTGAGCCTGAGCTATGGCTCCAGCTACCAGTTCCTTGTTTGCCTGACTTTAAATCTTTGGGTGATCTATGCTATAGGAATTCCTAATTTTGTACTGTATAGGATATTTTCTTTCTAGGCTGTATCCAACTTCTCTTGCTGATTTGTAGGGCATTTGTTGTCTGTATAATATTAGGTACTTACTGAAAAACAAAGGATTCCACCAATGAAAGGGAAACTCTTGACCAAAAACAACTCCCTTTTATTCCAAGGACACCTAGTGTGTGGATTTTATTATTGCAGGCATATTGTTAAACACATTCCTCAGGCAAACTCAACCATGATTGCCAGTTCTTGTAATTTTAGCAGCTTTCAACCCTTACAAACCTTTTTGAAGAAGGTTTACATCCTTCATGGTTGTGAAGGACAACAGTATTCCATACATGCTTAAAAGCAAAACTTCAGGCCCAAAGACTGGTTTTAGAAATCATGAACAATCATGGTTTGTGCGTTTAGCCTAAACATTTTGATTTTGTTTGAACATTGAGATTTGAAAACAATTGGCATAAACTCCTGAACTACGTTTATTTAAGTTCTGTTTGTGTAGAATAGTTCACCCATCTGCAGTTGAGGACGCCCTTTAAAACTTATATAGCTTTAGCAGCCCTAGAGCTGGGGTGAGAAACGTTTTCCCCCCCATGCCAGTGGTGGGGAGGGCTGCAGCCAAAAGTGAATGGGGCAACCCCACTCCATTTCTTTCTTACTCACTTGCACACCACCCACCCACCCATTCACGTCCGCATAAGTCTGCAATTTGTGTTGAAGGTGGAAATGCCACTCTCTGCTCTCCAAAGTAAATTGCAGGTGCAGGCCCCCTAATCCACACTGAGATCCTGGCATAGGGATCCTGCTCAAAGATTAGAATTGCATAGAAGTTACTGGTAGACGCAGTGAAATGGACACATTTGTAGGATGTGAGGAATTAAGCCTAGAAGCCAAATGGGACACCATATAGGTTCTCAAAAACACGAGTCTTGAAGTTCCTGCTGACATTTCAGAAAATCCAACAATGTGCATTCATGTCTAATTACATATTAGTCTGATGTTAAGATCCAAGGGTTAGGATATTATCTTAGAACGGAGAGTCGGTCAGAGGAAGATAGACAAAACGTAAAGAAAAATGAAATGTGATTTGACTGATCTTCTGAATGAAGCAAAGCATGCATAAATAAATAAATATATCGTATCATATACCTCTGCCCCTTCCCTTGGCATAAGCACACATGCAGTAGACACATTCTTACATATCCTCTCACAGACCAAGCCATGCAGGCATGCACACTCATACATTTACTCCCAGAAGGAGTGCTGAATTCACAGCACTGAGATCCCTATGCCTGTTTAAGAGATGATGTGGGATGACTGACAGGTGGTAAGGCCCACTGACATGGGCCTGGCTTGCTAGATTGAGGGAACCAGTGGGCCAGAGGTTCCCTATTTACATAAATGAAAAGATTAAGGAAATGTGAGAAGCTACAAATGGCTTAATGCAGACAGAACGTTTGTTAATGACTTCCACAGCTGTGTGCGTAATTATGCAGCACATTTTTGTAGCGATTTCTTGGTCTGTTGTAAAGTTGCTTTCATTACAGAGGCCCTGCGTACAGATTTTCAATGGGGACATTTTTCTGTGGCATGCTGAATATTACAAAGTGGAATCTGAGCGTACTAAGAATTTCCCTGACAAAGCAGTAGCATTCAGATCAAACAAAGTTGGAGCCACTGTTGTTTACACTTGTGAGAACAATGCTTTGGTATTTAAAGGCTCCCAGGCATTAATTCCCATAGCACTGCCCCCTTCCCCAGGGTGAGGGACTGGTACAATTTACTGCTAACTCTGCCTAAGCCCCCATCATCTCAACAAATACAGTTTATTCTGTCTAAATGTTGAGCTTAAAGGAGTCCATAGTGGAGAAAAATAAGTTTGCATTGCTTTTTTGAATTAGATTTGATAGTTGAGATTGCAAGTTACCGTATTAATACTTTAAGACATTTTGGAGTACAAAATGTGTTGCTGTCCTTTATTTCTTCTTACAAAAAACCCCCCCATAAGGTAGAACAATGTGCTTTTTCTGTCATGCATGCAGATTGTAGCAGGAGGGGGGGTGCGTCTAAAATATAGCCATGTGGTAGAAACTCCCCATGTGGCAAGCACTTTGTTTAAATTACTTTGTGTGTAACTTGCCATCGTGAGAATTTTCTAAACCACATAGGAAGCCACTTCATACAAATTACTTATCGTGTGAAATTCTGTCTGTTGTACTTCATGTGACTACAAATATGCAATTTGCAGGTTGGGATTGGACATATTAACAAATATTTTACTGGGAATCTGATGTGGCTAAACTATGTTTTGCACAAGGCTGGCAAATCCATGTTTTAAACATGGTAGGTTGTCTGTGTAATCATTGTTAGATGTAGGTTTGACTCAGGCTCTACAATTAGTTGGTTCTTATGCTGTGGCCATGAGCCCATAAGACCGCCTTTTGCCTCGCTGGACAAGATTATATTGTGTGTTGGCTCCAACCAACATTGCCTTTTTCTTTTGCTATTTCAGCTCCGATTGGGTGGAGATCATCGAGCCCCGTTCTCGAGAGAGAATGTATGTCAACTTGACAACTGGTGAGTGTGGCTGGGAGCCACCGTCCAACCTCAGAGTTCGTCAGTCAGATGAGAACCAGTGGTGGGAGCTCTTTGACCAAAACAACAACCGTTTCTACTACTACAATGCCATCACGCAGCAGACAGTGTGGCATAGGCCACAGGGTTGTGACATTGTGCCACTGGCTCAGCTCCAAGCCATGAAACGCAATTCCAAGTCTGACTTCAGGACATCCCAGCACAGGGGCAGCACAAGTAGTGATGGGCGAAACACTCCCGTCCAGATGGCTCTCTTGCAGGAGATGGAGAAGGGTAAAGAGGACAACAGCCTGGAGAAGAGACCAGGGACTGGAAGGTAACAGTATTCTCTTTTATATGACTAATTAAAGGGGCCCATCCACATTCCAGCTTCTAGAAAAAGTCATAGGACAGAGATAGTCCCAAGGTGATCTGGTTGCTGACTATTGAAAAAAGGCAAGTTGAAGTTGTCTGTCCTACTCAGGAAGTGCCCCTTGAGAAAGATTTTTGAGAAAAAGTAACTGGACTCAAGGGTATATAAAACAATCTCAGCAAATCTCATTGTAAGAACTTTTGAATGCTGTGTGAATCAGGGTGTTTGAGCTGGACTAAGGAGTCCAGTATATCTGAAGGAGCGTCTTCACCCCAATTGTTCTACCCGGACACTGAGGTCCAGCGCCGAGGCCCTTCTGGCGGTTCCCTCACTGCAAGAAGCCAAGTTACAGGGAACCAGGCAGAGGGCCTTCTCAGTAGTGGCACCCGCCCTGTGGAACGCCCTCCCCCCAGATGTCAAAGAGAACAACAACTACCAGAATTTCAGAAGACATCTGGAGGCAGCCCTGTTTAGGGAAGCTTTTAATGTTTGAGGCATTACTGTATTTTAATATTGTGTTGGAAGCTGCCCAGAGTGGCTGGGGAAACCCAGCCAGATGGGTGGGGTATAAATAATAAATTATTATTATTATTATTATTATTATTATTATTATTAATCACCCAGTCAGGGTAATATTGGGACATGAAATGGTCTCCTTGGGGAAGTGGTAAAATACGAATGTAATAAGCAATAGTAAACCATCACTTGAAGGAAATTTTGCTGAACGTAGCTTGCATGGGAAAGACAGAGTTGGAGAGCAACTGCAAAGGTTGAAGTTCAGTTGCTTAACTAGGCTTTTGTTTTTGAATTTGAGAGGAAGGACTTGAAATAATCTCTTATGCATTAACATTAATGAGCATTTCCCCCCCGTTCTGTTCCTCATGAGATTAGCATGGTTGTGTGAAGAACGGGTAAAGACTGTAGGTTGGCATGAGATGTGTAACACATTCCTTTGCATGTTTACTCAGAGGTAAACCCCATTGTGTTTGACAGGCTTGGTTACAGTTACATGTGTGTAGGATTGCAGCTTTAAACTGTCCCCCTGAGAGTGGGTGATCTAAACTTAATAACAATATCATTTTGTAAAAATAATTATGTCTAGAAAAACTTGGGGCAGTTGCAGAAATCGTCATGAAATGTTTTCAAAACATTTCTAGTCTGTTGTGTGTTGTTATTGATTGTTGTTTGTGTTTCGTTTGTCCTCTATTTTGTAAGATTTCTGTGAACACAAAAGCAACTTGGAAGTTATTCTTGATTTTGCTGATATTGAAAGCTTTTTAGTCATCTTACTTTCTGGATAAGGATTAGATGAACTCCAACTCATTTGGCTTACAGTCAGTTCAGACATAATAAACTGGCACTAGTATTTTCGTAGTGTCATATCCTGGAATGCAATCCAAGCCTCTTTCCAACTGCCTATGACAATTACATTCATTGCCTTCAAAGTCCACTAAATCATTGGATGGAGAGCAGAGCACTAGGCACTTGTGCAGAATGGCCAGAAATGTGAAAATATGCCACATGCTGTTTTCCACAAACAGGGCTGTCTTAAGCATATGGGGCGCCGTGGTGCAAAGATCCCTCCACGCCCCCCATTTCCCAAAGTTGCCGACCTTTTTTAGGTAGGACGGCGCTGCCGGCAACGCGCCCAGCTTTGCGGGGCTGGAGGAGGCGGGCAGCAGCTGGAGGGCAGCTCCTCCGGCGGGGAAGAGGCGGAGGCTGGATGCGGCGGCTCCCATCTCAGCTGGCTGCTTTGTGCCATGGTGGCCATGGCAGGCGGAGGCTCCGGGTGCGGTGCTGCTTCAGCGTGGCATGGCGGAGGCAGGCAAGAGCGGGGAGCTGATGCTGGGAGGCGCCACATCCAGCCTCTGCCTCTTCCCTGGCGCCCTCCAGAACTTGGCGCCCTGCGCCACTAGCCTCTATGGATAAGACGCCCCTGTCCAGGTTTTACCCAGACAGATCTTATTTCCTGAGTGCTAATTATGAGGCCTAAAAATTGAATAAAGTAATTAACTTCCCTTTATTCTTCCTGTGAACACTGGTACCTGAAGCCCTTGTAAGGTGTTTAGAATGGACTCAGCAAGTAATTTTTTAGCTAAGAACTGCCCCTATGGAAAGTCCCCCCAAAATGTAGAGTCCAGTACAGTGGTACCTCGCAAGACGAATGGCTCGCAAGACGAAAAACTCGCAAGACGAAAGAGTTTTTCATTTTTTGAGTTGCTTCGCAAGACGAATTTCCCTATGGGCTTGCTTCGCAAGACAAAAACGTCTTGCAAGTTTGTTTCCTTTTTCTTAAAACCGTTAATACCCAGGGTGCATTGCTTGAAGACTTTGGTGATTTTTGAAGCTTTTCCAAAACTTCTTTTGCAGCCATTTGGTAAGTTAAACTTTTAAAACTTTTTTTGGGGTTTTTGGATTTTGGGTTGCTTCGCAAGACGAAAAATTCGCAAGACGAAAAAACTCGCAGAACGAATTAATTTCGTTTTGCGAAGCACCACTGTATTCTGTTTCCAGGAGAATCCAGCTCAATGATTCATAAGCAGGGCATGAAGGCAGCAGACATCCCTGTTGTCTTGTCCCCGTACCCTAAGTATATGGTTTCTAGTCTGAACCTATTCTGTCCTCCATTCTGGTGGATTGACAAAGCTATAACTCTCTGAAAAGAGAGATCACATTCCGTAAGCAGAGTTTCCAGATTTTGGCCAGGACTTGGAATGGCAAAATCCTTTCTTCAGGCTGCAGCTGTCAGCCCATTCTTTCTTTTGCTGGCTAAGCCTTGCTGGAGAGTTGTGCTGGAGGCACTGAGAGCCGTGCTTGAAGTTGTGGTGCTTAAACTTGTCAACAACTTGCTGAAGAAACTCAAAGTGGCATTTCATTTGTTTAGGTAGCTCACAGTTTTCTGTCCCCCAATAAGTCAGGCCAAAAATCATGGAATTTATTTCTTGCATAGACTTGGCCAGCTGCCTGTGTGCGTTTTGATAGCAAGTAACACTGCATTGTAAGAAAACAAGTTAGTTGCTTCTAGCCAAGGGTGTTTCCCTAGCGCTATCTACTCCAGTTTTAAGCAATATTTAAACCTTCCCCCGTTGTCACAAGTTTTAACAACTCTACTATAGAGCATATAGACACAAAAAATCTTTATTACAAGTATCATTACACAACCAGCATGCATTTTAATGTATATAATGTAGAGCTCAGTTTAATTATATATAAAGCGTATTTTATTGATGATTAGTTTTTCTGCTATTAATAAGGTAATATTCCTATATGTGAATCCTATTTGTTCTGAAGTTTTACATGTAAAGAAACCTACAGATCTTGCATCCTTAATCTAGAGGTCTTGCTGAAGCCCTCTTGCTTGCAATCAGGATTTATTCCTTTCTTTGTGCCTCCCAAAATGAAATTTGTTGTTTTATGCAGGCAAGAGAGGGGATCACGTAAGGCAACAATGAAGGAATTTATCCCGAGTACAGACCAACACAAGGGGACAATAGGTTCTGTTCAACATAGCACTGAGCAAAATGTTCTGTCAGTGCAAGGATTTCTCCTTGTGCAATGGAATGTACTGCCCCCATGTGCTCCCTAAAATATGTTCTGGGACTTCACCCAATGCATGGGAGCAGATCTGGGGACAGCACAGAGCTCACATGGGGGAAAGGAAAGCAGGGGAATCCCAATGCATTAGCACTAATCTTTGTGCTGGTGTGACTATTATTTGAATGCCACCCAGTGATTTTAATCAAAGTTATATAGTTCTATCAAGGACTGTTAGCCCTGATAGCTAACCAGAACCTCCACGTTCAGAGACAATATACAACTGAATACTAATTGCCAGGTGTTTCTCCTGGCCTTGGCTATGGCAAAATCACGAGTGATGTAATCATAGTTCAGAAATCTGATAAATTCGCAGTTGGTGACCAAGAGGGACAAAGCTGTGAAAGGCTCTTTCATGACGGATCAGAAGACATTCTTTACCCATTTTAGAAAAGAGAAGGAACATTTTACCATTAGTAACCAATAGTAGTTGTGACATTTGGGAAATGTTCTGTCATGCTTAGCTCTGACATGGCGTCAAACAGAATCGTCAGAGGACAAACTAGCCACCTTGGAGGTCAAGGACTTTGAGGATCAGACAAGGTCCCCTGGAACCAGTGCTGAGAATCCTCTTGAGTTGCCTTTCAGTTGCTGGAAACAATGGAGATTTCTGGCTCCTTGGTCCCAAACCCATTCTCCCCTACTTGCCGAGCTGCACCTTGCCTTTGATCCCTGTGGCAATGACCTTGGACTATTGCCTAACCTTGCTTTTGGATCATGTTTTGAACCTAAAGTGAGTTTTCCGTGCTTGACCCTGGTTTGTTTGGACTGCACCACACCTTCAACCCCACTCACCTTTGTGAATGTTTTGCTAAGAGGATTATACCATTCTCTCACATTGGATTCTTATAATAACATGGTCCAGCCAAGTAGACTTTCTTCACTGCTGGCACTTCAGCAAACCAACATGTCCCAAAAAAAGGATTTGAGCATTATGCATATGTTTGGTATATTGGGGGGGGGGGGATCTCCCAAATGAAACTGCTTCAGGATATCAATCCACAACACATGATACTTCTGCTATGTGTATTAGACTTTGAAGATTAGACTACTATAGCCCATTTCCACACATAACACTTTAAAATGCTTACTGAGACAGTCTTCGATTTTTTAAAAATGCCTTATTTATTCTTCCCTGGGTCCAAGATGGCATACATGGATTTCCCTAAGAGTGACAGGCCCAAGGTCTCAAATGGAAAATTGAGGAATTACAAGATATAACGACCTTATTAGCCTAATAGCCTTATTAGCCTAATAATCCAGCCCTGCCTGCTCTTTGAACATGGAACTGTGCAAAATGAAGTGTAGATTGTGCTTAAAAAAAAAGTTGATCCCTTCCACACCTATGGGGAGCTCAGTGGGAACTGGGCTTTTTCAAACCACACTCACCCAAAAACACTGTTTTCAGAAATAAATTGACACCGTTAAAACCATGTCTTCAGTCTTGGGATCACATCTACTGAGCACATAGGCATTTGTATGATTTTTTCCAAGGGACAGTGGCAAAGTAAATACTCTCCCTGCCCTAAAAACTAAAAGATGATCATATTGTTATGCAATCACTTAAAATGCTACTAAGGAAGATAATTGGGAAGAAACCGGCAACTGAACCCTAGGCAGAATTTTACATGGACAGATGGTTTCATGCCAAAACAAATGTTTAGCAGCACATTTTTGGCTGGTGTGGCAAATAAAATAAAACTTAAAAATTATTTTATAGCAGTCACTACATGCTAATTCAAAAACCACAAAAATGGTAGGATGCTACTTTGTGTTTGTATTATGACTAACTTGCAGATCAAAATGCATATATGAGCTTTTAAGTTATTCAGAATTCTTATTTAGGTAAGATAGTTAACTGTGTGTGTGTGTGTGTGTGTGTGTGTGTGTAGATAAGTAGATGGGCGTGGGGGAAAGTAGGTGTTTCTGGCATGATATAAAGTCTGGCTTATCCTTATTGCTATTTTGCTTTGGTTCCCCCTCCCCACCCCTGCCAGACTTAGAATGGTGGAAGTATTCACAGATATGATTAAGTTAAGACTAGTCCGTCTGCTAAAGTCACACAAAGCCCACTGGGACTAAGCAGAAATGGATATGGCTCCTTTTGAAAATACAAAAACCAGTCTGTGTCTGTCCCTTACATCCATTATGCTCGAATCTAAATACAACATTAACCTCAGCCTGATAAATATCTCTATGAAAATCAAAAGCTTTGCAAGCTGCATTTTGAAACCTTGGCTGGTCCTCATAAAAAGGGTATTACATTCACGGACTGGCAACCCAACTGAAGTCAGACATATGATTGTATTTGAAAAAAGGGTTTGTTTGCTAAAACTAAGTCTACAAGGTTAATCATTTCCATGGTGATATTTCTCCATGTTCTGAGCGGGTGTTTCAGAGCAATAAGGTGAGCTTTTGCTACTGATTGCTCTTCTTCCAACTGTTAATTTGTGTATCTTTTGTGTATGAAGCTGAGAGTTTTTCAGGTAGTGAGAGCACTTCTCTTATTCTCCCTTTTTCTTTGGATCCCAAACCTAACAGCTAAACTCCATTTCTCACCTCTTTCCCCAATGAATTTCTGTCTCTTTAAATATCTTCTTCCCTGCTCCATGGCAGATTTGGATTAGTTAGCAGGGCCCCTCTTAAATCTCCCAGCTATTGCATGAGCCCGAGAATACTAGGGTCTGCTGCTTGAAGAAAAATAAAACAAATCTGATGACACAGAATTTCAGTGAGGCAGAACTGAGACAGACGTGCAGACAAAATATTATAAAGCCATAAGTTCACATAATCCCATATGAACAGCTGCCTATGACGTTTTTTAATCGTCTGATATAGACAAAGACAACTGCACAAAAAGGATATAACACCTGTTGAAAACTGTGCAGAATGCAAGCCCTTTTGCATTTTTGACACACGTATAGAGTTGGCACCTATGAGGCTATTTTTCTAAACGAAAGCTGGCAAAGCCTAAAAGAATTATGCAAGCTGGCAGCCTTTCCCCCTGGTGGTATTGAGGCGCATCTGTTCTAACCTATCAGTCTGTTACATGGAGAGTTCTCAGGTTTCAACAACGTGGCAGGTGGAAGAGCTTGCCTTGAGACCAGCATTCATAGAGGAGGAAGAAAGTGGTGCTTAAAATAGAGAGGTGAAATAGCAGGCTTTGCACTAGCTGCATTCATTTCTTAGGGCGTAATCTTGACTTTTGCACACTTGTGCGGTGTTTTGGTTTTTTTAAAGGCCAGTCTTTTGCACCAACAGTGCTGTAGCTTTGCCATTACAAAGTAGTATGTTAATTCACAGGGTTGCACAGCACAGGACAAACTTGAGAAATGCCCTTGTCCGAATCCTGACATTGCCTGCTTGCCTGCCTTCTGGAGTGCAGTGGTACCTCGGGTTACATACGCTTCAGGTTACATACTCCGCTAACCCAGGTTCAGGTTAAGAACTTTGCTTCAGGATGAGAACAGAAATCGTGCTCTGGTGGCACAGCAGCAGCAGGAGGCCCCATTATCTAAAGTGGTGCTTCAGGTTAAGAACAGTTTCAGGTTAAGTACGGACCTCCGGAACGAATTAAATACTTAACCCGAGGTACCACTGTAATTCTACTGCTCCTTAGAGACTTTTCCTCTACCAACTGAGCTACCAAGGCGGATAGCTGAAGCTCTTGAGGCAGCTTAGAATATATTTAAAACACAATAAAAAGGACAATGGAACAATGTTTTCTAGAGCTGAGCAAAGGTGTATAGAAATCTCCCTCCTTCCCCCACCAGTTCTCTGTTGTTGCAACGTGGCACTCTGCAGCTGGAGCTCCTGGCCTAGAACTGACTGTTGAAGCAACCAGGTATTAATTAGTCCCTCACAGGCCAAGGCCTCCTCATTGGGCGGTGGCTGCTGCTGCTGCTGCTGCTGCTATATTGCTATCTCTCCTCACAGCCTGAGGCTCTGATGGTAGATGAAGGAGGAACTGTGGGAGTAGAAATGTTAGGAGGCTCCCAGTCCTCAAATGTTCCAGCTGTGTACAGTGCTTCCTCGGGTTAAGAACTTAATTCGTTCTGGAGGTCCGTTCTTAACCTGAAACTGTTCTTAACCTGAAGCACCACTTTAGCTAATGGGGCTTCCTGCTGCTGCCGTGCTGCTGCTGCGCGATTTCTGTTCTCATCCTGAAGCAAAGTTCTTAACCCGAGATACTATTTCTGGGTTAGCGGAATCTGTAACCGAAGTGTCTGTAATCTGAAGCGTCTGTAACTTGAGGTACCACTGTAAAATATACACTCTAAAGTTGTTTTTAAAAAATCATAATCAACAGTATGGCTGTGTCAGATGCAATGGGTTGAAGCCAATGAAGTATTGCACTTGAAAAACGACTTCTGGTTAAACTTGCCCTACTTCTCCTTTCCCTGTGTGCCCCTCAGATCTGCTCTGGAGGTTTAGGAGGACCCCAAGAGCAGATTTAGGGAAGCGGAGGAGAGGAAGGGAAAGTTTGATTGCATGTGCAGAAGTTTTATGAGTGCAATGCCTTCACTTGATACAGCCCAGTTTGTTTTATTTACTTATTTGCTGTAGTAATTTATATTGTGCTTCACCATCATGCTCAATATCCAAAATGACTGGACTTAATCCACATTCAAGTTTTTTTTCCTGAGGACTACTTTGTGTATTAAGTGAACAGCACCTGTTTGTGCAATGAGAGTATTCAGGTGACAGTTTGTGGAGATGTTGTGACAGAATCTCTCTCACCCAGCAATGGTTCACCCACCTTTTAGGTTTTACTATTACTATACTATTTTTACTATTTCTGGGGACGCGGCTGGCGCTGTGGGTAAAACCTCAGCGCCTAGGACTTGCCGATCGCATCGTCGGCGGTTCGAATCCCCGCGGCGGGGCGAGCTCCCGTTGTTCGGTCCCAGCTCCTGCCCACCTAGCAGTTCGAAAGCACCCTTAAGTGCAAGTAGACAAATAGGTACCGCTTTATAGCGGGAAGGTAAACAGCGTTCCGTGTGCTGCGCTGGTGCCGGTTCGCCAGAGCAGCTTCGTCACGCTGGCCACGTGACCCGGAAGTGTCTGCGGACAGCGCTGGCTCCCGGCCTCTAGAGTGAGATGAGCGCACAACCCTAGAGTCTGTCAAGACTGGCCCGTACGGGCAGGGGTACCTTTACCTTTATTTTTCCTTGCAAATCTTGAGCACGGTGAGAGTTCTGCTGAAAATTCAAGATGGCATCCAGCATGGCTGTTCTAAACGCTAATAAAATTCAGTCATAAATCTTTGTTGAGGGAAGTGGGGAGAGATGTGTCAAGACTAGTTAGATTGTAAGTGTGATTATACTAAATCTTTCTCAACTTTGTGTTCTTCAAATGTATTTTGAGCCATTGGTAAATATGCTTTTGAGTTACAACTTTGGGGGGTTTTTTGAAATAGTGACTCTTTCTTCTCCATAAACTTTTCCTGAGCAAACTTGGCGTAGTCAAATGCCAGTTTATATTAAGGATATTTTGCTCACTTGTATCCTATCATATGCAGGATGCAGCCCTGTGTGTTTCCCTTTGTTTCTTTGTTGTGAATTTAAAAATATTTCCTTTTCTGAAGACAAGCTAAAAATAATTTTGGGGAGTCATCAAATTAACTGTTCTCTGTTGTGATTGCTACTAATTCTTCTGAAGAGCAGAACTGGGGATTAAATTCCTTGGGTTTCCTGACCATTTGTTCTAACTACCCAACTCTCTCTGCCACTGCCACTTGGATTCATTTGTCATCAGACCATCACAAAGCTAGAGGGTTTAACAAAGAGAAGTACATAGCCATATGGAAGTAACACAAGTCAAGGTAAACAAAACTGATAGAGTTCCAAATAAAATATATATATTGTGCAACATAAACAAATGTAAGATTCTAAAATTCACAGGCAAATCAGTGTTTACCATGAAAAAGTGGCCCCTATTTTAACACATGTTCAAATACATCAAAGTTACACAAATCTGAATAAAATAAAAACAGTAACAAACTTAAAATTCTGAATATCTCTGGCAAGACTGATATTCTCCTTTAAAAAATTTCTCCTATCATCAATTACTAGGGTTAAAAAACATGCAGTCTTTACAGTAACGTGTCTGTCTTGGCTACAGAGCGGAAAGTTTATAGCCTCTTGGAAGGACCTCTCTACATACCTCCCAAAAATTTGTTCCAAGTATTGTTCCCTCAGTACTTTATACAAAAAGCAGTATATAATAAAATGTACCAGGTATTCAACCAAATTTAAACTCTGCTGCTTCATCAAAAGACCACTTGGTTAACTAACTGATGCAATTAATTCATTAAATTACTCAGTCTTCATCCAGATAGATTTGACCCACTTTGAGTCTGGCATAAGTTCCAGTAAACTTTGTATGAGCAACCCCTGCTTGGTTGGGCAGAAAACTGATTTAGGGGTGGGTTAGTGTTACATATTTACAAGTGCAATCTGCAATAAGATGTTGCAGTGTGAAGTGTTGCCCAACTACTCTATTCCCTCCCCCCACAACAACCAGCCAGCATTCCATCACCACTGAGCATGCTACGCCCTTGTTGGACTGTTTTGGAATATTTTGTGGGTGGGTGGTGCCGTAGAACGGCACTCGGATAATTGAGTTCGCTCCTAGTATATATGATATAGTTTGGTTAATCTGTGGTGAGTCTTATTGCAGGTAGCTTAACTCAAGACTACAACCATGAGGCCTAAGCAACCACACAAAAGCTATAATTAACTGGAAACAGAAATGAAAACACTTTGTAGGTTAACCAGACTGCATTTCATGCTGCAGACTGATGAATTCGGAATAAAGCTTTCACATAGGCAAAAACTGAAGAATCGACTAACATTTCCTGGTCGTGCTGGCTCTTGTATTGGCAACTGTTTGGTAATAGGAAATAGAAGGAAACTGTTCATTAGCTTCAGTTGATGCCGTCTGAGATTTGCAAACAAGTGTTCTGCCTGTCACCTGCTCTGCTCACCTGCCCAGATTATGTCCCCACCCCAGCTGTCATACAACAGTGCTGTACAGTGGTACCTCCAGTTATGAACTTAATTCATTCTGGAGGTCCGTTCTTAAGCCTAAACTGTTCATAACCCAAGGTGCGCTTTCGCTAATGGTGCCTCCCGTCTACTCGCATCCCTGGGGAAAGTTCGCAACTGGGAGCTCATAACCCGAAGTGTTCCCAAAGAGGACAGTATGTAACACGAGGTTCCATTGTACAGTGGTACCTTGGGTTACATACGCTTCAGGTTACAGACTCCGCTAATCCAGAAATAGTACCTTGGGTTAAGAACTTTGCTTCAGGATGAGAACAAAAATCATGCTCCGGTGGTGCAGCAGGAGGCCCCATTAGCTAAAGTGGTGCTTCAGGTTAAGAACAGTTTCAGGTTAAGAACAGACCTCTGGAACAAATTAAGTTCTTAACCCAAGATACCACTGTATTTCCCTGAAATGCTAGCCTTGTCACTCTGGACTCTGTATTCTTAACAAGATAGAGAGAATGTTGTTTTGTTTCCTTCACTTGGAAAATAACAGCAGAAGTATCTATCCAGATGCCAGTCTTTGTCCTCCTCTTACTCTTTCTGTCTCATAAGAACATAAGAGTGCCATTGGATCAAACCAAAGGCAACATCTAGTCCAGCATCCTGTTCTCACAATGTCTAACCAGATGCCCATGGGAAGCCTTCAAGCAGAAACCTGCATACAACACCACTGGTGTCACTTTTGATTCCTACCAGCTAGTATTCATGTTGCCCCCAACTGTGGAGGTAAAACATATCAGTAGCCATTATCCTTCATGGTAGCCTTATTCACCATGAATTTGTCTAATCCTCTTTTAAGCCATCCAAGTTGACAGCCACCCCTACAGTTTAGGAATTTGGGGGTTGTAATGCAATTCTCTGGATTTGGTGAGAAGATGGGCAAGTGCTAATTGCCTGGGCAAATAAATTGGTGGTGAGTTGCATGACTGTTACAACACATTATTTTCTGGAGTTCATACTAGTAGTGTGGAACTGCATATGGACCTGGATCGGATCCCAAGACTCATTTGAAAGAGAACTCATTTATTTACTATGCCGGGAGGAACAGCATAAAAAACCTTCTCATAAGCAAGAATAATCCTACAATATGAGAAAGCAGCCAGATCCTCTGTAGCAATGAGGCATGATAGCATTTAAATGGTTGCTATTTCTACTTTTTGTTTTATTTGTTTTCCTCCTCCTTTCAAAACTTATAGAAATGTCACCCTGGCATTTGCCGTTGGGGAGTGGCACATTCAGTTCCAGGAACTTTAAAAGCAACTCTGAATATATGCAAATTATGTGGGTGGAAATCCGTGGAGTGCAGCTAAGCCAATCATTCTGTCAGCACAAGCATTTCTGTTTGCCCTTCTCCACCCCACCAAATGCACTGTTCTGTGGGTTTTCCCTATCCTCCAGAGTGGATTTGGGGAGGAAAGCCCAGGTACGCTAGTGGGAATCTTTATACAGTGGTACCTCGGGTTAAGTACTTAATTCTTTCTGGAGGTCCATACTTAACCTGAAACTGTTCTTAACCTGAAGCACCACTTTAGATAATGGGGCCTCCCGCTGCTGCTGCGCCGCCGGAGCACAATTTCTGTCCTCATCCTGAAGCAAAGTTCTTAACCTGAAGCACTATTTCTGGGTTAGCAGAGTCTGTAACCTGAAGCGTATGTAACCCGAGGTACCACTGTATTGGCTTCCGCTAGCGGAAAAGGGGTAGTTGAATCCAGCCTACTGACATTAGTAAGATGTGCATGTTTAAAATCAAATTCACTTATATAATATTTCTAAAGGACCTGAGGTTTACTAGGTGTTAAATAAAGTTTTTAGTTTTTTTAAGGAAAATCTGCCCTGCTCACAAGCTGTAGAATCTAATAGCGGTGGGGAAGGAAGAGGAAAAATAAGTAAACTCTTATTCTTAAAGGTTTGCTCGTTAGAGCCCATAGTTTATTGTAGTTCCTAGATGACGTAAGAAGAAAAGAAATGACTGCTGTTACAGTGTGGAAGTAAAATGCATACAAGGGGAAACAAACAGGTGTTGAACTTCTAGATTCCTCAGCATTCATTAGAAGAGCAAGGGAGAACACTGCTACAAAATTAAGCCCATAGGTTTTTTCTTTGCTGAATGGGACAAAGTCTTGCTTTCCCTCAAGACTCAACAGAAATCAGCAGACAACAAAAATATGATCTTTACTCACAACTAAAAAGTAGCACTGTAGAGACCATATGTTTGGATGTTGAAAAATTAATGTCCGGTGTCCTATGGAGTTAAACAGGGGAGGGCTTGTCCAAGGGATAGGGGACAGACTCCCTGAGAGCAGCATTTTCCTATTGCAGGTATGATTTATTATTTTTCCATTACTAACTTGAATAGCTCTGATAGAAACAAAGGAAATGCCTGCACAATGGTTTGATATGGAAGTTGTTCCTAATACAATAATTGTGGACAGAACAATACTAAGTGTGTTGTATCCTGGGGAGCAGGATTAACCTCCAGGCTGGCATAGATGATAGGCCTCTCAATCCTAGGGCCTCTCAGAGCAAATAAGAATCTTTGAAGCCATTTGGCTCAAGGCCGCTCACCAAAACATCTCAGAAATGCACTGTTTGGGGGCCTACTCCTGGCAGAAGCAGCACCAGCAGTAGATATCTGCCCACGTATCATTCCATGGACATACCATCCTCCTCCATGGCTGATGCATGCATACCCAACCTCTTCACTGGAGGTCCAGTTGGATATTTGGATAAAACTTTTGACTGTATTTTACACTTGAAGGTAGTACTGCATTTTTTGCTTTATTTTCCTAAATGCTTTGTTTTCCCCATACAGAGACACCCCTACCCGGTGGCAACCTTTACCAGGGACTAAAGCAGCCATGCTGGTCAAAGTCAACAGCCTGAGACAAGTTAATTCCACCTCGAGCAATTCGCTTCAGATGCAGAACAGCGCGGAAACCAGCAGCCAGAAATCTCTGCACGCAAAACAAGTTATATATGCCCAACCTCAGGCTATAGCCCCAAATCCAGCAATGCAGAAACCAGCAGCTTCAGCAGAAACAAAACAGTCAATGCAGATTAAGAAGACGGAGAATGGAGGGTTTTGTCTAGTGTTAACTAATGGGCTCAGTAGTCCTTCAGGAAGTCAGACGCAAACATCACAGCCTTCATCTCCCAAGTATGCTTCTCCAGCACCAATATATGATGAGCCATCTATTGATTCCCCAATTTATGATGAGCCCCCTGTAGATATGGACACTGGGAGTGTAAATGTGAATGGGACAACTCCGCAAATGTCGCCAAGCAACAGCTTAAATAAGAAACCCCAACCAATTAAATTATTACAGCATCCAAGTATGCAGCAGCACCAAGCTGGAAAAAAGCATGTGAGAAACCCATCTGCAACAGAGTACAGCCCTGTTGGAAGAGAATATATTAAACATATGGTCAATGTTGACCAATCATCCAGAAATCCTAACTCTACAGGTGTGATAGTTGATGGTGTTGCTAAACCACAGCTAGGGCAGCTTAGTTCCAGGGACAGCTTCAAACACTCTTGGAAAATCTTGGAGGCAAACGTTCTCAAAAATATGGAGGCCCACCACAGTCGGCAAAACAGTCTTCAGGTTCAAGAGTATCCTACAGTTATAAGTCAGCAAGACTCTGGCTATTCAACAGGACCTTCTCCAAGCCTGAGAAAGAGAAAAGGAAGGCGACAGGCTCCTGGCCAGGGAAGACCTGGCTCTGTGGGCAGCAACAGTGAACTCAGTGCTCTGAATGACAAGCTGATTGCAGAAATGCGTGCTGTGGTGAATCGATCAGCAGCCTGCAGAGGAAGTAAAGGTAGCTTAGATGCAGAAATGCTGGAAAATGCTAGTTTGCCAGAGGGTAACAAAATTAAGTTTCAGTCGGAGCGCTTGAAAAAATGTAATAGCAGGAGCTCAAGAGATGATGTGACTTCTAGTAACAGGTCATTATACAGACCTCGAATGGACAGTAGAGGGAGCCTCTCAAATGATCCAGCATTACAGCAAGACACTGTGAGGCAGAAGAGAACCTACGAAAAAATAGATTCTTTAGAAAAGAATGCGTCCAGTCAGATAAATATGTCTTCGTCTGAATCAGCACAGGTACCATCCCAGGTATTCTTTTATTGACAATCTTCTCTTATCAGGCAGCAAGGCATTTTGTGGAAATGGAGTTGATGAAGGCTTTGGATGCAATTGGCCAAGTGGTGGTGGGTTGGAGAGTTTTGGGGCACCTGTGGTGGGGTTACGTTTAAAAGGGTGTCACTAATTATCAAATCATTTGGGCCCTCTTAAAATTGCTTTAGAAGAGATGTTGCTATATAAATCTGTCAGGATAGCCAACAAAAAGTCTACATTCCTAAAGGAGCCACGAGCCACTTCTCCTTGCTCCACTTCTGAAGCAGTTAGTGGGACCTGAAAGTCCCTCTTGACTCCATGCCTCATGCCACTCATTCAGCAGTGGAACAGACTGCCTCAGAAGGAGGTAGACTTTGTTAGGGAAGTTTAAGCGAAGACTGGATGGTCACCTGCAGGAACGCATCAGCAGGGGGATGAACTGGGTAACCTTTAGATCTTTCCCAGACTCCATAATTCTATCGTGTGTGTGTGTCTGTACATTATACGATATCTGTATCGTATTTGTCATATCCTGTAAAAACTTAACAATTAGGACAACAATGTCATCTTTAGAGAATTTTTGGAAAGTGTTTTATTTATATGTTTGGACAAACTTGGAATCATCATTCTTATATTACCTGGTTTGCTGCTTTAACCTAAAGGATTAGAACCTGTGACTAGTGAATCTGTAGATCCTGACCCCTCCCATCCCCCAGACAGGTTTTCTCCCATTCTGTAGCATGCCCTTCACTGTAGACCAGTCAACTGACACTTAGCTTCTGGAAGACATTATACTCTTCCTAGCTACCTCCAAAGTCTGAACTGGAGCTTCCTCCCCTCCATTTCCCCTCTAGCTGTTGTCACCATGCAAACAAGCTGTGAAGACACCTCCCTGCTTTTCCACAAGCCCATTTCAGCTCTTTGTGGAGGCTACTTTGCAACTTCCATGCTTTATAACACATAAGATATTTAGTTGGTGCTTTTTAACAAGCTCTATGTCTTAAAACAATTCAACGCAGGGTAGTTTAAAAAACAAAATAAAGCTATGGTATTTTGTCCTTCTACAGCAATACTTTGAAATGTTAAATGCTCTGAGCTAAAAAGCAAATAAAAAAATCCAAAATTCGATTTTGAAAAGTAAAAAAAAAAGAGTTCATGGTGTTAATAATTTTTAGAATGAGCTGACAGTATTGAAAAATTCTACTTCTGGAGGACTCCTTACAGGTTTCCCCTATAGCCTAATGCACTGAGGCAACAACTAAGAGAATCCAGCATGACAAACCTGTCAATAGCACAAGGGACAGCTGTCCTCCTTGTGACAACACCAGGACCCATCCCTGAGGCTGTTGTTCATCTGTGAGCACCCAGATCTCCCCAGCTGTTCTTTTGTGACAGAGAACAGAGATCATTGCACCTCATAAGGAACAAAATAAACAAAATTACCAGTAATAGGGCTCCATGTTTTTCCCTGCCTTCTTACAGAAACAAATATGTAAGGAAGATGTTGTTCAATGAAAACTGGAGCTTCTGTAGTAACAGTAACAACAATAACTATTATTACTGCATTTATTTGTTGCTTACTACAAAAATGTGTCAAAGCAAAGTACAATTATATAAAAGCATGTGTACACAACATTCAAAATGCACCAGGAAAGATAAATGAACATGAATTGAGTAAAGGTGCTCATTCTGCAATAACATAAATAGGAAGAATCCTATTCAACCCTACTAAAAGAGTATCATACCCTATGACCCCAATTAAGAGCCAAATGCCTGAGTAAACATCCTTGCCTAGCATCTAAACATTGATAAGGATGGCCTAAGATGCGTATTTCTGAAGAGAGCATTCCATTTTTGGGGAGCCACCATTGAAAAGGCCTGTTCTTATTTTGCCACTTCCCTCTGAGGGGACATACGAAGAAAGGCCTCATATTACAAAAGCAGGAACCGAGTTAGAAGGGTGTGAAAGGGGTGGGTTTGAGTTGAAGTTTCAGACATTGAAACAAGGAGATAGTGGAGGGGGAGGGAGAGGGAGAGAGAGAGAGCTTCTCAAGTTGTCAGTAGACACTGGGACTCATAGAAAGACTGCCCCCTCTTTTGGAAGTGACTATAGTTAGCTGTTCTGCTCAGGGAAATATGAGTAGCTCAGCTTTTTTTTTTTAACCACTTTCTTTCTGTTTTCCATTGCAGCCTGGAACAATAAGGTCTGATTCCCAGCAAGAAAATAATGACCAGCCTGGCACCAACATGGGGTATCAGTTTCCCTTCCACACCATACGAAAGCCTATCTCTCAAAGCAGCATGGCCGACTGGGCCTCGAAAAACCTAAATATGCACACTCAGGGCATCTTCCGCCGAAGGCTCTCCATTGCCAACATGCTCTCCTGGAACGGTGGCTCCATCAAAAAGCCAATGCTCATCACCAGCAACCACACCATTAAAAAGGAAGCTTGTGAAATATTTAAACTGGTGCAAATCTACATGGGTGACCGCCAGGCTCGGATGGACAGGGATCATGTGGCTTTGATCACCGTTGCCAAGTGCTGGAGCATTCAAGGTTTACGGGATGAGCTGTACATACAACTGATTAGACAAACAACAGACAATATGTGCTACCGAAGCCTGGCATGGGGCTGGGAACTCATGGCCATCAGCCTGGCCTTTTTCTCCCCATCACCCAAGTTCCAGTCTTATCTAGAAGGCTATATCTATCGTCATCTCAACCAGGTCAATGATGAAAATAGTAAGTGCCTTATCTAATAAGGGTGAACTACATTGCAGCACAATAGCAAATTAAATTATGTAAAGATCCTGTTCAGCAGGAGTAGGCAACCGTTTCATTTCCAGATTTAGGGAAAAGGAAGTTTTAGAATTATTATCTATAGGACACTATGTAATTTTTAATAGATTAGGTACTGTAAGTGAAAAGCAATAACAAAGCTCAGTACATTCTGATAGTAAAGGAGCTCAAAAGAATGCAGCAGGATTAAAAGCAACAGCTATTTCTTTGCTAGAAAGGAAAATAGAGCTGGTGTTACAACAAAAAGCTTTTTATTAGTTTTCCAATGAACCCCAATAATAGCCAGATTATAACAATAACAATTACAAAGCAGATTTCTCTCTCCACTCCAGTCTTGGAAAACAACTAAGAAGAAAATCATTTCTGCTATTTTAAGGTGTTGATCTGCTCCCATTGAGTTTGTTCCTTTGAGTGAAAATATCTAGCCTCTTTTGGGGGGGCAGCAATTTGGAATGTTCCTTTAGAACTTGGTGATAAGCTATTATAAGAATTCTAAGGGAAGGCTGACATAATTAAGTAGATGGAAAAAACAGTGACATAAATAATTGCATCAGATGTATCACATTTTTTTTAGATCACAGCTGGCAAGCTCACTCAGAGTAAATGGCCAAATGTCTTTCATGTTGCTCTGTTTGTCAAGATATACATTTGGGGAGCTGGGTTAACCGGGTTCAATAACTTTTGCTCTATATCATGTTAAATGCTTTAGAAAGTGAAGAGAAAGCATTCAGTGCAATGGTTTTATTCCAAGTACACTATTCTGAAGGTTGCTGAAAGAAAATAATTGGTTAGGAGACTTCATTAGTAAGAAATGAGACCCCTTTTTTTGTCCCTAGCATCAGATATAACCCCATCAGCAGCCATAATCCTGAAAAGTTTCCATCCATGAATGGTAAACATTCCAGCTGATTTTTAATGAAATTAATAAACCGAAAAAGATTTTTTTTAGAATCTGAACTTCCTTCTTCTTACATTCATTGTTAAACCGATCTTGATGTTTGTAATGAAAACTGATCTTGACATGTAATGAAAAGGAGATGGATAGAGCTGATTTTGTGATGTGTGAATTCAATAAATACAGGCCCCTCTTCTGCCATGGCTGAGTAAAAACAGGGCAGTGAGCATTTAATGTTTTTGCCATCACTCAATCAACGATGCTTTGGATTTTCAGTTACCCAGCGCATTAAGGAGCTTCTGGATATGAAAAACAAAAAGAACTCAAAATCCAGGAAAAAGAGGAAGCAAAATACAGAGGATGAAGGTAAAAATAACTGAATTATGAGGAGGGCTAATAATAGAGGAGACACAACTACACACGTCTGTGTTTGTGTGCCATTGACCTCAGATATAGTTGTACGGGCTTTATTGTAGAAAGATAAGACCCAGGAATTGTACAAGCATCAACATTTTGGGAATGGAGGAAATTGCAAAATGGCTACTGATAAAAATTTGTATGCAACACTTGATAGAGCAGTATTTAATGATTAACAGCACATCTTAACCACACTTAAAGTCCAATTGATTTCAGTAGAATGTGTTTCCAAATAAAGATGTGTTGCCATCTTACTTTCACAGAGCAAACTGGATCCCTCCATTCAGATGGGATTAGTTAATAATTGACTTTCAACTGCAGGGTTTAGGAGAAACCTTTATTTAGCTATATTTGTACCCTACGTTTATGGTAGATGGGTGGGCTTCCTTCCCTTCTCTTCTAGTCTGAGAACTTTGATAGCAAAAGTCCTGAGATGGATTCATTGGATTCAGTGTAGACAGGCAGCACTGCATTCCCATCTTACCTAAAGAGTTCCTTTTCAATTTAGAGAGGGCTGGATAAGCCTCCTGTCTGAAATTAGGACAATACTGAGGTAGATGGAGCAATGGTGCCCTCGCTATGAGTTAGCTTCCTGTGTTCTGTGTTCCTTTGGTATTCAGAGACATGTTGCCTCTGATCCTCAAGGTAGCACACAACCATCATGACTAGTCATTGGCAGCCTTATCGTCCATGAATTTGTTTAATCCTCTTTTAAGGTGGTGGCCATCACCACATCTTGTGATAGGGAACTCCATAGATTACCTATGCACTGTGTGAATAAGTACTTCTGTTTGTTTTGAATGTTCAGCTTCACTTAATGTTCATGGCTACTAGTTATAAGAGAGGAAGAAATACCCTATTCACTTTCCTCACACCATGCAGTTTTATATCTCTCTATGTGTCCCCCCCTTCCCTTACATGTCTTTTCTCTAAATTAAAAAGCCCTCAACTAAACTAAAACGGTTCTCCTCATAGGAGAGTTACATTATCTGAAACTGTGCATTTGATTTTTATGTTGAACTACTTTTGTCATTTTATTGCCTCCAAATTACTCAATTTGGAGAGGTCCTTTTGGAGCTCTTCACAATTCATTTATGTTTTTCTAATCCCAAATAATTCAGTGTTGACCTTCAGTGATTTGCTTTAATATTGCCCAGGGTACCTCATTTTGGCTAGTTTAGGATGACCCTGTTTCTGGAAGCACAGGGCAGTAAGAAGGCCTCTCACACATGGAGCTGCTTACCTGCTCCAGAATTGTACTGGTGCTCCCTCAGCACTCATCCACAAAACATTATGTCAGCCCAAGCTCAAGTCTCACTGAAATTAATTGGACTTGATCTGGCAAAGTAATTTAGGGGTCTGGAGCTTTGATTTCCATCAAGGATTAAGAATGCACTAGGAGGTGCTCCTCAATATATGTGATGACAGAACCCGGCTGGTTCCATTATCTGAAGCGAGAAGGTGCCTAGAGTAATTTGTTCATTCACCATGCCCTTTTCTGTATTCCCAGAAGAGCATTCTTTGTCACCTGGACCCCAGACTTGTCAGAAAACATGATTAAGTGAGGGCATTTCAGGAAAGAGAATGTATCTGTACTTTGTTACATTCAGGACTGCAGCACCAGAGGGCTTTTGTATGCCATTTTGAATAGCAGCAGGAGGTGGGGTAAAAATCCAAAGAAATTAGAGGGTTGCCATTTCTAGCTTTATGTGCCTATATGAGACTGTGAAGCATGTATGCAAAAGTGAAATCATGCAAATCTATATTATCTCATGTTAGGAGGCAGAACGGCACATGCAGTTTGTAAGACCTGTTCAACTCATTTCTCACAGACACCTCAGTCTAGCAGCTCTCTCTGAGTGCTTTTCCAGACAGTGGCCAAATGACATTTTATACTAAAGTCTGTCAGAAACTAATATTAGTCCTACAAAGTGCGGGACAAAGTGATCTGTTCATTGCTTTGTTTTTGCTTTAAGCAGGGGACGTCTAAGCACTAGTGCTAGAGAAAAAGCACATACAGCTTAGTATTATATGTGTTTTTGATGGGTAAAGGTTCACAAAATGTAGAACATTGCTATGGGGAAAATATTGCCTTTCTGATGTTCATCAGAACTTTTCTCCCTTCTAGAATACTGTATGTGTTTTCCTGCACTGGAAAAAAATCCCTTTTAAAAAATAAAAATTCACAAAATGCCATGGACTTTAAGGAGTTGTACCACTTGACCCCAATTCAATTACATTTCTCACAGCACTCCAAACTGCAATGGATGTGATAGTTGGAGGGGAAGACTATTCTGAGTGCCAGGCTAATGAAATAACCCTGCGGCAGAAGTGCTATCTTGAGAAAGGATATCTAGATCTGCCACAACAAGTGCACATTTATTGCACAGTAAAACAGTAATAAGGCCTTTATAGCACTTATTTTATCACTTGCTCAGAAGGATAAGCTTGAGGGTCAGTTAGGGAGAATACAAACATTTGTGCTCTGGGGCCATTTTCTCCTCTGAAGTTCTCCACAACTATTCTAAAACTCCCATTTTATTTATTTCCATTTGTTAGGTCTGCCTATCAGCACTTATGCCAGATACTGCTACCGGAAGCTGCAAAAAGTTGCAGTCACTGGAGGCAAAAAGGTGAGTCAGTGTCATATTCTCATCTAGTAGTTTAAGTGAATTGTTCTCTTGCCCCTTTGGCATTATTTTGATGGTGATCAGAAGCATAGATTGGAAAGCTGCAGACATTAATGGAAAAGTCAGTGGTAGGTGTGGGAATGATATGCCTGAAATCTTCTACTTTTCCTTTTTTAAGACAGAAAAATTCAGTGGAAAGACAAAATACAGTGGCACCCCGCAAGACGAATGCCTCTCAAGACGAAAAACTCGCAAGACGAAAGAGTTTTTCGTTTTTTGAGTTGCTTCGCAAGACGAATTTCCCTATGGGCTTGCTTTGCAAGACGGAAACGTCTTGCAAGTTTGTTTCCCTTTTCTTAAAACCGTTACAGTAATACAGGGTGCATTGCTTGAAGAGGTGCAGTTGCGACTTGACTTCGGGGAGCAACTCATAGCACGCGGTGTGGTAGCCTTTTTTGAGGTTTTTGAAGATTTTTTTGAAAAAATTGAAACCGTGCTTCGCAAGACGAAAAAACTCGCAAGACGAAAAAACTCGCAGAACGAATTAATTTCGTCTTGCGAGGCACCACTGTAACATGAAATCTTCATTTTCATAGGTCTTGAATATTCATACAACAAATGGGTGGGAAGATGCCCTGGTAATCAGAATTAAGATAGGGGGCCTTGGAATTGTACTTATAAAACACATGCTGCAGGATTGGGTGAGCAAGGTCACATATAGTAAAACACTTATGTGAGTTCTGGAAATCTCCTTATTTTTTCCAAAGTGAAGAATGAATTTCTAGCACTCACGGTTTTTGAGATCAATTTCATTATGATGCAGACATTTTCAGCATATTTATCATTACTGGAAAAATGGCGTACTCTTGCCTGGCATAGATGTGATCATCTGACTGAGTCATGTGCGCACTGTGAGGCTGAATTCTTCCTGTTACGCATGACATCAAAGTACCATAGAGGAATTATACAAGTTCTTGTCTGGATTGGAAATGTTCCATTACCTTACGTTTGCAAAAACGATGAATAAATAGCTAATATGAGTGCACGCTCCACTAACCTATCAGCAGCAATTGAAGGCCAGAATTACATTTACAGAGGAATAATACTAGGATGACAGCTCCATGGACACACAGTTTTTCTGCTATGACCATTTAAAAATGTGTATCATTTTAGAAGTACTTTTCTTGGGAAAGTGCATTAGCTCAGTGGCAGATGCATGGAGACACTCCCAATCTTATCTCTGCTGGCATCTCTAGGTAGGGTTGAGAAAGACTCCTGTCTGAAGCTATGGAGAACTGCTGCCAACTCAGTGTAGAAATAATGAGCTCAATGGATCAATGGTCTGATTTCGTGTAAGGCAGCTTCCAGTGTGTGACACAGTCATCATATTGAGTCTCTATGCCCCCACTGCAGCTTTTTTCCCGAGTGGAGAAGTGGGTAGGCTGGTTAGCATGTCACACTAAGCCAAGGGAGAGCAGCATGGTGCCCTCCAGATGTTGCTGAACTACAACTTCCATTGCTCATGCTTGCTAGAGCTGATCGGCATCAGAATCCAAAATCTGGAGGGCACTACATAAACTACCGTATTTTTCGCTCTATAAGATGCACCAGAACATAAGACGCACCTAGTTTTTGGAGAAGGAAAACAAGAAAAAAAATATTCTGAATCTCAGAAGCCAGAACAACAAGAGGGATCGCTGCGCATCGAAAGCAGCGATCCCTCTTGCTGTTCTGGCTTCTGGAATAGCTGCGCAACCTGCAATCGCTCCATAAGACGCACACACATTTCCCCTTACTTTTTAGGAGGGAAAAAGTGAGTCTTATAGAGCAAAAAATACGGTACTTGTGGCTTAATTGTGAATATGCATCCTCCCCCCCCCCGCCCCATGGGTGCTGCATACAGCACAAACAGGCCACAGCTAACATGCTCATCCACACAGGTTCTGACATAGATAATTATTTTTAAAAATTCAGAGCAAATACAAATTGCTTTCCTAGGATGCATGTGATTGTTCCTTATGCAAATCTGTTCATCGTTGTTTTCCATCCTTTCTTTTCCTTTTCCTTTTTTGCTTATAGGGTCTCCGGAAGCCTACGATTGAAGAGATAATACATGCCAAGAATGCTATTGTAACACCTTCACTGTTTGGCAGTTCTCTGGAGGAAATCATGTTACGGCAGCAGGACATGTATCCTGATAACAAGCTACCTTGGGTACAAACACAGCTGTCTCAGCAAGTTTTGGAACTGGGGGGAGAACAGACTGAGGGAATATTCAGGTGAGGTTGGCTGACCGGAGCTACATAAAGGATTGATTACTGTATAGCTGACCGGATAGTTGGAGATGCATGGCATTTCTGCTCCTTGCCCTAGTGGAACTGCTTCCTCTCAAGCCTCATTTTTACAGTTTTAGGAGAGGAAGCAGCTTTCAAACCACAGCAAAAGATTTATGAGGTCTCCAGGGACTCGTGCCACCTTCTCAGTTGCTTCCAAACAAATAGGCTTATGCTAGTACATATGAACTCGCTCCTAAAACCTGAGGCTAAAATCTCTAATCTACCCATCTGCATATTTTGGATTGGGGGTGGGGAGAGAACTGTGGTACATGTGCATCAGCTGTGCATGTTTTCTGTGATTTAATCTCCTCCTTTCCTAGAATATCACCGTGTTTGTGAAGGCCATTTAGCCATTGCTAACTTTGTCAGAGTTAGCTAGGGTGGAAAGAGGAATTGCCACGGTTCACCCCCCCCTGACACAGTATAGATACTACCTAATCTAGGGCCTTGAGAGTGGGGAATTTACTTTGTTGTTGCACTTCGTTCTGAAAATCAAGGACAAGAAATTGCATCTGGAAACAACTAATAAAAATAAAAATATTTATAGAATGAAGAAGCCACTACAAAAAAACTGGACAGGCCCCGTAGACCACAAGTTGAAAAGTTGTAAAGAAACTTCTCTTGCATAACATGGGGAAGGGGCTGCATTTTTAGCTGCTTAGCTTGTTTAAACCATTTAAGCCAGAGCTTGATTTATGGCAGTGCTGACATCTGCATCATAGTTGAAGGAAGGAAGTCTCATTGTGGTAGTTTGTATCCTCATACTAGGGCTGCTGCTGATAAAGGCGTTTTTAGAAATATAACATGCCCCCAACATGTCTACCATACCAATAAGGCCATTGTTTTGGCAAAAACTGTTTAAAAATGAATCCTCTATATTAATTAAATACTCATTCTCAGAACATAACTCTTCATTTAGCCACAGCCACCATGCTCAAGAGGGAGGAATTAGTAGATTAATGAGACCCCCCAAATATTGCGGCTTGGTCTGTTTGTTTATAGCATTTTAAAATCACATTCTTCTGCCATAAAAGGCTCCCAGAACAGTTTACAAATGTTGATGATAATGATGCCTTGAGGCTCAGTCTAAAAGTTTATAAAAGTCATGACCTGAAAGGAAAAGAGTTTGGGAGATAAGAGGGAAAAAGCAAGCTCTGGCACTATTTCTTAGTTGATAGAGTTCTTGTAATGACCAGCTGGAATCGAAAGACTCAAGGAGAAGAGCCAAGGTTTCTGGTCCTTAAGCAGAGCAGGTAGAGACGCCTGTAGGAGTACCCCTCTCCCTACCCCAACCCCCAACCCCCATTTAAGGGGAAATATCAAACAGATGCACTCTAAACTGCAATATTTTGGTTCGTGTCCTACTTGTTTAACACTAACTATGTCATTCTTGTCAAACAACTCTGTACATGGCTTTCTGAAAGATGTAGTCTCATCTGTTCCTCTGGCTCCTGGTTGCTTCCTCTGTTCAGTTCGTCTTTATTGATGAATCTCTGTGTCTGCTTTCAGAATTCCTGGTGACATTGATGAAGTCAATGCACTCAAGCTACAGGTTGATCAGTGGAAAATTCCCAACAACGTTGGTGATCCCAATATACCAGGTATGGATAAACAACGCAGCTGCTGTATTCTCGCTCAGATTTGTTTGTTTGTTTCTTGATTACTTTATGAAAAGGTCTCACAACAACTTACAGATTAAAAGTACAATCACACCATAAAACGGTCCCACCATCCCGACCTCTGCAGAACAACAGCACACACACCCCGCCCCCACATTTGCCAACTGTTGCAAGAAAAATTATTACTCAATCATCTGGGGGAACATTCCAACCAGCAGGAGGAAGGCTGCACTGCTGAAAAGGCCTGTTTTCTTTTTGTCATCCTGTCCCCCGTCACAGCCTCACCTTTAATACATTACTTTTGTGGGGAGGTGCTCAAATCCTTCCATTCCGTGGAAACTAGACCCAGATTGACAATATAACTGTTTTCATTCATGAGAGAATGGGAATCAGATAAATAGCAGGAACTTACTTTTATTTAGAAACCTTCAAAACAGGAGATCTTTGATTTGGGACCTTTTCCTAACCCAAGAAACTCATTCCCTCCCCACCCACCCTCATTCCATACCCACTTCCTTCTTTAAGTGCCAGATGCCAACTGCTCCATTTCCAGCATTCTGCCCTCCAGTAGATTCCCTCTTGCCTTAACACTTCAGTCACACTCCAAATCACAGTACACTGAGATAGATCCATCTTGTGTTCTTATGTTTCTTCCCTCCTATCTAAACCAAAGCTTTTAATACCTCCTTCTGAAGCTGCAGGCCATTGCCACCCTAGCCCCTTTAGGATTTGTGTCCTGTGATTTCAAAGGTCTGAAACCATAAATCTCAATGAACTGGGTGATGCTATCTTTCCTCTGGGGAAGAACAGAGTCTTGTTTAGCATAAGATGGAGGAGCAGGAGTGTTGTGCCCTTATTCAATTAAATATCTGCTTCACGACAGATGTCTCTGACCCAGATACCTTATTTGTTAAGCTGTTGTTGTTGGAAGTGCCTGGTTTTTCCATTCTTGCCCTTGCAGCTTCTTTGCTGAAGCTGTGGTACCGGGAGCTGGAGGAGCCTGTCATCCCACAGCAATTCTACAAGGAGTGTATCAGCAACTATGAGAACCCTGATGCTGCTGTAGCAGTAGTGGAACTCCTGCCTGAGCTCAACAAATTGGTTTTGTGTTACCTCATCCACTTCTTACAGGTATGTAGGTAACTGCATTTCTGAGACTAGGAATCATTCTGAAGCAGCAGACAGGCCACAGGCATTCTGAAGCAGCATACGGTAGCTGCACTCTGGAACGTCTCGCTTTACTCTGCATTGCAAATATTCTGGATTATATCCAGTTGATAGACTTCCACTGATGGAAGGCTCTTTAATCCAGCACAGTCTTCCATCAGTGGAACAGGGATTAAGAACCTCTTGAAGTATTTCCTCTCCCCATGTTGCCACCTCCCATGCTGTTCTAAAGGGCTTGCCAACTCCCCAGAGCAGATTTGAGGTGGGGTGGGGGCTGCCGAAGAAAAGGGTAGTAGCCGATGAATGTTTCTATCTCTGCTCCACTGAGAAAAGGCATTGCTAATTCAAAGAACCTTCCGCTAGGGGAAGAATGACAATTGAATAAAACCCTCTGAAGATTCAATCTTCATTTCTTCTAATGTGTATCAGAGGCAGTCTTGGCTCAAGGTCTTAGGACCCGCAATAATAATATAATTAGATCTCCTATATGAAAGTCCTTCTTAAAGTTGACAGCGTATCAACATTAGCAGGAGTAAGTGATTCTTTGTGGGACAACTAAATCTTTTGGGCTATTTCCAGAATTTTACATCAATGTATCTTTGAGTTTATTTGAGCTGCACCTTCTTTATTTCACAGATTTTTGCTCAGCCAACCAATGTGGGCAAAACCAAGATGGACGTAAACAACTTGGCCATGGTGATGGCCCCAAATTGTCTGCGATGCCAATCTGATGATCCCAGAGTTATCTTTGAAAACACTCGCAAAGAGATGTCCTTCTTGCGCATGCTAATTGTGCACTTGGACACCAGCTTTATCAAAGGAGTGGTGTGAAGGGTTGGCTTCAGGCAACACCATGTGAAGGGAGCAAGGATCTCTTGCCAGTATTACCTTCTTTGAGCCATGGATCTTCCCCTCTGCAGGCTCCAGGTTCCTCGGGTTGCTTCTGTTGCTTCGACAGCTGTTTCCTCGCCCCAGCAACACCGCTAATGTCTCCAAGGAAACCCTATAATAATGAAGTCATCATACTAGAAAGGGTTTTGAGGCATCAGGGAGCCAACTCTCAGACCATGCTGTGAGGGCACTCCTAAGAACCTGCAGCAGTTGATTCCTAGGAAGTCAATATGCCAGAGGCAGCAGCCAGTGCATTGTCAAAGCACAAAAGTTGGAACCGCTTTGCATTACACTGGGAATCCACTGCACATTCAAAGTGGAATGTTTATTGGGAACCAACTGCTCTCAGATACTGGGATTTTGCTTCTACCACCTGAAGATTGGAAACTTCGCTAATCAAGCTTCACCCCCAGAAGGAAAAGGGTTGTTGTCTCAGGCTACTATAGCACATATCCTGCCTTGGAGCAAACCTGCTGCAGCCAGTACTGCCATTCAAATTGCTGGCTGCATCCTTCTCCAACTCTTCTACCTGTCTTTGCTACCTTAAAACACACCACTCTTACCAAAGGTTCAGTTTGGCAGCACTGGATGAGCTGTGGCTTCCGATCCAGGTTGACTCTCCTCACGCCTGGAGTACTTTTACTACTCAATTCATATTAGAAGGACCAAGTGGAAGGCATTGTTGGAAACCAAGGTCAAGCTATTTAACAGCAACCTTTTCCCACAGTGAAAAGCAGTCATGGGCTGGAGTTTGGGAGACTGCCTGTTGCTTTCTTCTCCTGCTGTATAGTACCTTAGAAAGAGGCTGATTAAATTTCAAGCCTTTTTTTTTTAGCTCAAATATACTTTTTCATTGTTTGGGTTAGATGTCTCAAATGGCAATGATCCTTGTCCCCTTGAGTTTAAGCTAGGTCACAGCAATGTAAATAGCTTACAGATTGTTTCTCCAGAATGGAACTTTCTCTATATGTTAAAAACTGCAGTCAATTATGACTCCTGCGGCCTTTCTCCTCCTTACTTCAACATAGACTAAAATCGGGTATCAAGTTGTTGTGAAGATGTTATGAGCAAACATGATCAGCATGAAGGCTTTTACTGAGCTCAAGATATGCCACTCAGGCTTACAAAGCCAAACTAGACATAACATGAGAACTCCTTGATCAGATCTCCTGATATCTATTTCTTTGGTTAAAAGAAGCTGTAGGGAGACTGCACTGGTTTGGAGATGAACCCTTCATGTCCATTGCACTTTCCAGACTTACATTGCCCTTCCAAAGCTGCTGTTAGCTGAGAAGCATGATCCAGTGCGGTAGGAAAATCAGTATCCATATAATACCTGTCTCTTCCCTCATCTCTGAACTTTAAGTTGGGCAAATAGTGAGAGGAGTAAAGAGTTAAGTCCCCACCAGTGACTGCTTTTTAAATGAAAGAAAAAGACATTGGCAGATCTGATCATGGATTTCCTTCATCCATTTTAGTTAGGACCTCAGTCAGTACTTCTGGTTTGAAAAACACAGGTTGTGGTCTTAAGGTAGAAGAGAGCAATTATGCTAAGCAAGAAGAGCAGTTTAATGCCATAACACTCTGAACTTCATTTCACCCTTTCACAGAAAGTTGGATTTTTCTCACCGAGGCTGAAGTCTTCTGACCACTTTGCCCCTCCACTAGTCAGGGAGTCCTTGCTGATTAAGGGGAAGGGGTAGGAGTAGGACTGCTGCCTCAGTACTTCCACACCTTTCTCTTGCCACTTTGCTGACACATACCTGAAACAGGAGCCTTCCATGTCCTTGCCTCTCCGTCATTTTGGAAATGGGTGTCGCTCCTTCAGAAAGCCCTTGAACAGACTTGCAGGCTTGGGTTCCTTGGGAAGAGGCCAGTTGATGGAAATGACAAGGACAGAATCTTGGAAAATTGAGTCAGGTTGTATATTCTTTTACAGTCAGTGCTTTGAGCCTTTCCTGTGCCAGTGTGATGAGTCTTCGGACCGAATTAGTACTTCTCAGATAGTGGTTGATGTGATCTTCATGGATAGAGGAATGCACATTATCCTTTGATCTCCAGACACTGTGACTCTTACTAGATTATTCCATCTCATTATGTGGAACCAAAGTATGTTACTGTTTCCCTATTTGAGCCAGTTCTGCTGTAAAAGATCCTTTAGCTTGGTTTATTTGGTAATGCCAAAGTTCCCATTCACCTTTATAGTGTGCCTTTTTCTAGCTATCTTTTGAGAGTTAGCTACTTTTCAATTAAATTACCAAGAAATTTGGGGATTTCTGATTTCTTGTATCGGAACAGAGCCATTCTCTGGGACCCAAACAACATGTTATGTGGACATGCACATCTCACTAGTAACGTGAGGAATAGGTGATGCAATTTGCATTCATGTTTCCCTACTTTACATAAGGCAGGTGGCTACAGAAACTGCATTGGGGCATGTCACATGACTTTTCCACCCCTTACATTGCCAGGGAGACACATGGTGATATCCACACAGCTGCCCGTAACATGTTGTTTGAGCTGAATCCAGAATTCAGGCAATCACTGTGACATGTGCAGAATGCTCCTTGCTATTTCTTCCTGAGCTGCACTTGATGAAGTAGATTAGCCTGAATCTTCCGAGGAGCTGGGTGCTATTCAAAAAGGCTCCTTTTTCAGAATTTGGCCAGTGCTGTTCACTCTTTGTGCCAGGTTGTTAGAACTGGAATCCTACAAACACTTATTTGGGAGCGAGTCCCATCAAACTCAATCTTATTCCCAAGTAAATATGTTGGATTAGAAAAACTCCTACTTTTGACACTTCCCAAACTTGCCTGAAACAGAGTACCTTGGGCCTGCTTCTATTACAAATCTTGATATAAATTTATTTTCTCTGTTTCACAGAGAGCTCATATCCATGCAGCATACTAAGGACTTGACTCTGTTTGTGGCCATACCATAGAGCAACTACATTTTACACAAATAATTCTTTTGAAAAATGGGAAGTGTTGACCAATTTTTAGTATGCCATACATCCCTGCTCCTTTAAAAAAGGCTTTTAAAAATTGTTTCGGGATGTCCTCTGGGTGCACAGGTTTCCCAGATTTAAACACTGCGGCCAACTACAGAGTGGGTAATGATTAAAATTCTCCCTGGCACTTAACAGAAGCATAGACAGGCTGTTATATTAATGCTTTCCCCCCCTCAAGGGCTGTAAAATAGGCTAAAAATTACACTGGATATTGTTTTCTTTTTGCCAACATGTTTGTAAATGTGACTCAGCAAAACATACTGTCCCTTACTGTTGTTAAAGAATAATTAAACATCTGTGGTTCATCATTGTTTTCTATGTGTTTTTAAACACCGATTTAGATTTAGACAAACTGTGCCTTGACTAAAGGCATGAATTTAAACTACCTTTCATAATATCTGCTTTCTCCCCACCTTTTCTCCTGGCTGAATAGTGACTATAACTTATTTACATTGTTAATGGCAGACAGTCTTTTAAAAACTCATCCTACTTTTGAGTTCTTTGTGGTGGTGTCTCTTTTGTGGTTTTGGGACATAGCAGAGTACTCATTTTACCAGAACCTCAGGTACCACCTCTTCCCATATGAACCAATATGGACCATCATCTGAGGCCCTTCTTTGTATGCCTCCTCCATAGGAGCTCTGGAGGGTAACAACACAAGAATGGGCCTTTTCAGTGGTTGCTTCCCGTTTGTGGAATGCTCTCCCCACAGAGGATCACCTGGCAGCATCATTCTATATTTTTCGATGCCAAGCAAAATATTTCCTCATTAACCAGGCCTCTAGCCTCTTAACTATCTGTGGCCTGGATGTTTTTAATATTTTTTTGTTTCTCAGTTTTAATGTGTGTATTGAGGGGGAGTTGTTTGGTTATAAGCCACTTTGAGTTGTCTTGGGCAATAAAAAGTTAGATGATGATGATGATGATAATTAATAATAATAAATGTTAAGCACATGCAAAGCAAACAGTTCATACTATATAGGTTTGTATAAAAATTGGTCCTCACCCTCCACAGATCGTTTTCCAGGTTACACTACCCGGGAATGCATATTAGCTCCTAATCTTAGTGCTAATGCAAATAACATCAAGGTTATATCAGTCAAAAGGTTGATACATTGCAGGTCAATATTTGTGAACTCTGCAGCTTGAAGTTTTCTGGTTAGGAATATCTAGAGGAGTGTATGAAAACGGGCTTTATCCCCCCTCCAATTCCGTTAGCTGACTTTTTACCTACCAGCCATTCCTGCTTGCAATTTGTTGTCTGTCTTCTAACAGTAGTGATTTCAGCTCATTGGCTTAGTCCAGAAAAGTGAAATAATAGAATGTGTTCTTGAGCGTGCAGGAAGCACCCTTCCCTCATCGCAAGAGCTGTCTCAACACTGCAAATAATCCCACGTGGTCACATGGAGAAGCAATTATTTAAGAACATCATTGAATCAGGATGGTCAAGGGTGGATAGCAGTTCTCAGCCCGAGGGTCACATTCCCGCGTGGGCAATCTAGAGGCCACACGTTTGTGGCGATGCAGAACCATATTAAAAATAGGTGGAACAACACGTAAAAGTCACACACCCCTCCATTACGACAAGCAAGAACACAGTTCAAGGACACATTCTGGCTACTCAAGAGCACTCAAGGGCATGAAGCATGGCTGGTGAGAGGTGTGACTGGGGAGAGCCACATAGACTCCTAGAGGGCTACACTTGGCCCAAAGTTTCACATCTGTGCAGTAGTGGATATACGCCAGACGCTGTTGCAATATTCCATAGCTCCCACTGTTGCACCCTGACATTTCAAAAGATTGCACAGCTAATAGATCTGATGTATCCTATTGAAAGACCTACATTGGCTCCCAGTATGTTTCCGAGCACAATTCAAAGTGTTGGGGCTGACCTTTAAAGCCCTAAACGACCTCGGTCCAGTATATCTGAAGGAGCGTCTCCACCCCCATCGTTCTACCCGGACACTGAGGTCCAGCATCGAGGGCCTTCTGGCGGTTCCCTCACTGTGAGAAGCCAATTTACAGGGAACCAGGCAGAGGGCCTTCTCGGTAGTGGCGCCCTCCCTGTGGAACGCCCTCCCACCAGATGTCAAAGAAAACAACAACTACCAGACTTTTAGAAGACATCTGAAGGCAGCCCTGTTTAGGGAAGCTTTTAATGTTTGATGTATTATAGTATTTTAATATTTTTTTGGAAGCCGCCCAGAGTGGCTGGGGAGGCCCAACCAGATGGGTGGGGTATAAATAATAACATCATCATCATCATCATTATTATTATTATTATTATTTTCACCTTTGAGTTCAGGGGGCAGAATTTTCAACTCAAAGCCTGTAGCTTCCAGCCAAAAATGAGCTCTAGAAGCTAACACTGGGTGGGCACATTCCAGTTTCTGTGCAGAACTGGATATTAGCTTCTCATTGTGGACATCATAGCTGAGAACAAATGTGATGGTAGACATGAGAACATGGAATTTTCACTTCAATCTACCATCTATTTAGCCCCCCACTCCAACCCACTTGGAAGTACTCAGTACTTCAGGGGAGGTGCAACTTTGTTTAAAAAAGGTATATGTGTAAACACACAAAAGCAATGGTTCCATATCATCTAATAAATAGGTGTTGATACTCCCAAATAGACAAGCTGCTTGGGGCAGTTTCAAGGGGGTATATGATTGGTCTCAATCTTCAACAACAACTTGTCCATATTATTAGGCAGAATAAGTAAAATTCTGCTCATCAAAACTTGGTAGGGAGAGAGTACCCCTAAACATTTTTTTAAGAAAAAAAGCACTGCTGCTCATTCTCGATAACCTGCGGCTGATTTCTTCAGTTAATGGAATGGAAACAAAGAATGTGTTTAGGGAAATACTGCCACCCTATGGCCAGTGTAAGAATCTAACTATATATGAAGAGGTCTCTAAAGCCGGCGGAACTCGACTCCGTAACGCTTTACGCTGTATTCTGATTATGGTCAGTGATCTCGTCGCCAACATCAGAGATTCTGACTGCTGCTCAGACCATCGGACTGAGGAGGAGTTATGTTATATAACCTTATTTAACTGTTTCCTCCAAAACCTGAAAGGGGAGAATCTGGTCCTGATTTTCTCCTGGAAAATGTTGAGAACAAACATTAAAATAAACATTAAAACAACATTTTAAAAAACCAGAAAAATAACAAACAAGGATAACCTGCATTTTAAAAGAATAGAGCACCCTAAATAATCAGCAAGATTCTAAACCAACTTGCTTCTCCTCCCAGCAAAATGGCTCCTAGCCACTCCAAACCAGAGTGGAGAGAAGCAAGTTTTTTTGCACACCCACCCACCCTTGGCAGGGGGGCTAAGAGCCAACATGGCCAACCTCAAGGTACGCCCCTGGTTGGAAGAGCGAGTGAGCAGAAAATTGCCTTGATACCGAAGCCGTAATGTCTGCATTGGTCAAAAAATTCATATTTAATTTTTGTTTTGTATAAGCTCACAAGCCAAGGTGCAACGCTATCTTTGAAGCGTGCCTGCACTTCAGAGTTGACCACTACACCAGTGGCTGTGGTTGGGATCAGAAAGAACTTGCTGTGTACAGTGGTACCTCGGGTTACAGACGCTTCAGGTTACAGACTCTGCTAACCCAGAAATAGTACCTCGGGTTAAGAATTTAGCTTCAGGATGAGAACAGAAATCGTGCTCCTGCGGCACGGCGGCAGCAGGAGGCCCCATTAGCTAAAGTGGTGCTTCAGGTTAAGAACAGTGTCAGGTTAAGAACGGACCTCCGGAACGAATTAAGTACTTAACCCGAGGTATCACTGTATACGAAGCACGTACTCCAGTCACTGAACTCTGCTCTGTTCCCCGCGTGAAAGGTTTGGTATGTCTTAAACGTGGCCTTAAAAGCGGTCCCTAATTTGCGGCTGATGGCCCCTCTCTCCAAGGATTTAATACACCTGAGCCCAGCAGCAGCACGTATTTAATAAAAGCACGCGCTCGTTGCCCGTGTCGTGAGTTCCTCCCACTGGCGAACTCACACTGGACAACGGGAAAGCAGCAACGCCTTCCGGGTCCCGAGAGATGGATGCGCGCGTGACGGGCCGCCGCCGCCGCCGCCGCCTGGATTTTGCGCGAGGGCCCCCGAGCCCTCTCCGCCGGAGCCACGCCCCCTGGCCCTTTCGCCCCTCCCACAGGAGGACCCTCCCCTCCCCTCGCGGCAGGCGGGCGGGCGAGCTAGCGGCGCCGCAGTCGCGTCGGCCATTTTGTGGCGCTGCTCAGTCGGCGGCGCTGGGCTGGACTCGGCGAGCGGATCACTGGCGGCCCCTGCCCCCGCGGCTCGAGCCCCTGGCACGTACGAGAAGCAACCCCCCCTCCCCGGTAAGGACATGGCGCTCCCTAGGCGGCCCCGCGGAGAGAGGGAGGCGGGGGGGGAGCCCGGCAGCGAGCGCAGAAGAGTTCCCGCCGCGGCCTCACAAAGGCGGAGAGGGGCGGGGACCAGCCGCGGCTGTGGCGGAGAGGAGGGAGTCCCGGGGCCCGGGCGGCGCCTCTTCCCTCCGGGCTCCGGGTCCCCGGAGGCTCCTTCAGCGGGAGCCGGGAAGGTGCTTGGCTGGCCTGCCGGTCCCTCCGGCGGCGTCCGAGCGGCTTTCGGCGCCCGCGTGGGACCGGCGCGAGGCTTCCCGGAGGGGCCCGTCACGTCTCCCGCGCCGCCTCTTGCCCTGCGAAGGGGCGGGCGGGTGTCGGCGGCGTGTCTGTTCGCAGCGCTCGGCTTCCTCCCGGCACCATGCTTCTTGTTCGTCGGAAGCTGCTGACGCCGCTCGGCCCCCGTCAGCGGAGGAAAGCCAAAAGGGCAGGCGAGCTTCTCCTCCTCCTCTTGGGCAAGAAGGGATGCTGTGTTTCTAGGATGTCAGTAACGTGACCTTGGTCGTGGCAGGTTCTGCATCAGCCAAGACTCCGCTCATCCCTTTCAAGGCGCAGCGTCCGGTTTGGATCGAGACGCAGTTGCGCTTTCATTCCCCTCCCCCTTTAATAACACGCCAGCTCACGCATCTTTTTGTACCACAGGACTGGCGCGCGTGGTTTGTTTCATTGGCTACTTTGGCTTCATTGAGAGCCCCACGATTAGTGGTTTGTTTTTTTAAGGAAAGTGTTCTAGTAGTGGCCGCAATAATTGCCACTTAGGGCGTAGTGACACCCGTGATAATTGTTCCCTCTTCTCCTTGGGCAGAGATTATCTCTTGTAATAATTAAAGGTGGTGATGAATTGCTGGGACCTGGAGTCCGTATTATTTTCTTGACAGTCATAATGGGCGTTGCAGTTACATAACATATGTTTTCCTAATTGCTTGCCCTTAGGGCTTATATTGTTAGAATAGGTCAGTGCCCTTCATGTTGGCTGTGGGTATTCGTTTGTAAGGCCTTTTGAGAAATGTGGTTTCACTTTGCGTGTTTCAAATTCACTTTGCTTACCTTTTCTGTGCCTATGGGAAAATAGGCTGGAGTGGCAAGTATTCTTGGGTATTTTACCTAGAAACCTAGATATATTTTGTTCCCAAAGAATTGGGCATATTCAATCTGCCGCAGAAAACCACATGGGAGGATGTATTTCAACTTATTGTACAATAAACATTGCCTGTGGGATCAAAGTAAATTCAGGACCAAGATACTCAGAACAGCTTTTATCCAGAGTTGCTAAAACTTTAGTATATCACCTGCTTGTAAACTATATTTACTTTTCCATTCTTGTTAATGCTACTGCATTATAATTAGATCCTCTTTTACTTGGAAGCTAAGATATCAGCACACTGTGTGTTTCAGTGGCAAGATGACAAAGCTGATCTGGAGGGCTGTAAATCAAACAGAATACTACCATCATCCATGTTATTATTTTAATGAAGGGAAAATATAATGATATTTAAATAAATAGTAAATTGAAGACATAATTAGCTGGATAGTTTTACTGACCCTCCTCATTTTTCTAAATGCAACAATAGATGACTTTTTAAGCAAATGTGCCACAGTATTTCAAGCCCAAAGAATGAAAAGGTGTATGGTAGATCTGTGTATGCTAGATTTATTATACAGTACAGGCAACCTCTCTACAATGGTTTGGTTTTGCCTCAGACCCTACTAACCTTAGGAGTATGCAGAACAGGAGAGGCCAGCAGAGCATGGGGGTGATGACACTTTGCTGTAGCCAGGCTCCCAGTACTTCTTGCTCCTGCTCAGATGTGCCACAAACTCCTGCTGTTTATGCAACTTGTGGTGTGTATGCTGCAGACCGACCACACAGCCTGATAAATACCTTCAAGGAAATTGCACAAATATAATCCTGTTGCTTTGTGTGATTATCGGAAAAATCAAAGTAGCTGTATTTGCAGTACCTTCATTTACCCACTCAGTCCTTTAAACTGCTATGTATGTAGACTTAGGGAATTAAAGTAAGAGTCCTGGCTCAGTGGTACAGCACTTGGTTTGTATGCAAAATATCCCAGGTTCAATTAATGGCAACTCCTGAAACCCTGGAGCATCATTGCCAGTCAGTGTAGGCAGTACTGAACTAGATCCAGCAATGGTCTGACTCGTAAGGCAGCTTCATATGTTGGTATGGTATGCAAACTGAGCAAGGGCAGAGGAGGAAGAATTAGTAGCTGGTAGTTCTAGTAAGCTGGAAGTTTCAGTTTTTCAAGTGTAGCGGTAGCAGAAATCAGTGGTTGAATACAGTTGTAATTTGCTCTATAACAGCAGCAAATTTATTCCTCTAGTGTGGATACTGTTTTGAATACGCTGTCTAGGCTGAACCTTAGCACCGCATTGTAGTTACCGTATTTTTCGCCCTATAGGACGCACCGGCCCATAGGACGCACCTAGATTGGGGGGGGGGAATAAAGGGAAAAAAATTTATTTCCCCCCCCCAGGCGCGGGGCTGGGGCGGGGGAAGCCCGAGCTTCCCCCGACCCTAGAACGGGACCCAGAGCCATGCCGAAGCTGCGCGCAGCTTTGGCATCGCTCTGGGAGCTTGCGGGGCTGGGGGAGGGGGAAGCCCTCTGCCAGCCTCCAAACCAGGTCGGGAGACCGCGGGATGGCGCGCTCGCCTCCCCGCTGTCCCCCGAGTTTGCGGGGCTGGCGACGGGAGGAGCAGGCTTCTCCCCGCCAGCCTTCTAGCCAGAGTCGGGGGACAGCGGGATGGCGGCGTTCCGCCTCCCCGCTGTCCCCCGAGCTTGTGGGGCTGGCAGTGGGGCTCTCCTGAAGCCTGGAGAGCGAGAGGGGTAGGTGCGCACCGACCCCTCTCGCTCTCCAGGCTTCAGCGAAAGCCTGCATTCGCCCCATAGGACGCACACACATTTCCCCTTCATTTTTGGAGGGGAAAAAGTGTGTCCTATAGGGCGAAAAATGCAGTACTCTCTTTTAAAGGATTGTATCAGTGGGCATTACAGAGCATAACTGATCCTCTCTGGTTAACATGAATTTAAATTAATTTAAATCACTACAAATACTTGATAGACTCAATCATAGAGTGCAGAACTAATGCACTTTAGGAACAGGAAAATACAATTGGTGGCAATGTATAAATTCATCACACACTATATACAGTATGTTACAATATGATATGAATATATTTTGTACTTGGGTATTGGTACCCAAATAGGGAAGAGGTCTTTTAGATGCAGAAATGGTAAATAAAATTTACGATAGATTTATGAGGAACAGCTTTTGCAAATGCAGCAGAAAGGATAGAGGAAAAACAGAAATATTGATGATTTCTGCTAAACATTTTTTTCTTTAAATATTCTTTTTCCAACAATCCTTATTATCACAATATATTCCGTTTGACTCCGCCAAACAGTTACTATTACTAGAATCAGCCTTGGGGAATTAAAACTTTCCCAGTAGTTTTGTGTTTATCTGTTGTATAATATTCAGGTTGTATCTTTTCTTCAAACAGCAAGCAATTCTCAAAAAACAATGTACACAGACATGCCAGTCTTGAGCATTAAGCTACATGCACTCACATATCTGTCAATTTTATTTCTTAAGCATTGACAGAGCAATTTAAAATTATATATAACAATATCTTACTGATAATCACATGGGGGAAATGCTGATTTTATGCAGTGGTAAAAATGCCAGGGCAGTTCTTTCCAAAGTGCTGTCATATACTATTGGTATTGGTATAGCTCCACTCAGCAACATAACAGCAGCAATCTGCACAAGCTGCAGTTTCCAGACCAACCTTAAGCGCGTCCCCACAAAGAGTGTATTACAGAAATCCTGCCTTGACGTTACCAATGTATGAATCTCTGTGTCTAGGTTGTCCAGGAACTGTCACAGCTGGTGCAGCAGCCAAAGTTGGTAAAAGGCACCCCTGGCTACCATGGACACCTGGGCCTCCAGCAACAATAGTGGGTGAAGGTGTACCCTCAGACTTTGCACCTGTTCTTCAGAGAGAACAGGCAATGTGTCCACTCCCCAGACCTGGGAACCTCCTACTGACAAGGCCTTTGTTTTATCAAGATTCATCTTAACTGACGCTCATCAATCCCTTTGTCCAGGGAGACTTGCATATCTATTCCTAACTCTGATGTAACAGAGAAGTAGAGCTGGGTGTCATTTGCATACTGATGACATAACACCCCAAATTTCCTAATGACTATCTTGAACAGCTTCATGTTCAACAGCAATAGAGACAAGAAGTTACCTGCTTCACCCCCCACAAGGCCAAGATGCAGGCACCCAATGCCATGCTGTAGAACAGGCCTTGTAGGTATGCATGGAACCACTATAATACAGTGGCTTACTGAAGACTTTGCCACTATTTTGGATAAGCTATATGATCAGCCTACCTGTTCCATGTACCACGGGACAAAGCATTCCCCTCCTCAAGATTAAAAAACTTGCCGGCTTAGTTCCTGCAAGTCTGGAAAACTGCCTGTGAAACAGCAGAATATTTACCACTTCTTCCACTTCTTGTTGTCAAGCAATTTAGCTTCATCAATACAATTTGCATGTTTACAATTAAAAGAGGGAGGGGGATCCTGCTGAACTGGTCCAGTAAGGTACTACAGTTGAAAGCCATGAAACAATTGAATAGAAGCAACAAGGTTGCACTTCACCTCTGTCTCTCTCTGTGATAGATAGATAGATAGATAGATAGATAGATAGATAGAATGTCCAGTAGCACCTTAGAGAGCAACTAAGTTTGTTCTTGGCACAGTGATACCTCAGGATACGAACGGGATCGGTTCCGGAGCCCCATTCACATCCTGAATGGAACGTAAGACACAACGGCGTGGGTCACATTTTGCTGCTTCCGCGCATGTGCATGACGTCATTTTGATGGTCTGCGCTAGTGGTGAAACCCGGAAGTAACACACTCCATTACTTCCGGGTTGCCACGGAGCGCAACCCGAAAGCGCTCAACCTGAAGCACATTCGACCCGAGGTATGACTGTATAAGCTTTCGTGTGCATGCACACTTCTTCAGATACTAGTGTATTGTGTGCATGCACACAAAAGCTTATACCAAAAACAAAATTAGTTGGTCTCTAAGGTGCTACTGGACATTTATATATAGAGAGAGAGGGAGAGAGACTGCATCAGACCAACACTGCACCTCTCTGTGAAAGTAAATGATTAGGCAACCAAGGCCAAATCAGTTCTGAACCCAGACTGGAATGAGTCTAGATAATCAGTTTCCTCTAGGACAGGATGATCCAACACACGGCCCAAGGCCTGGGGCTTTTTTGGGCAGCCATCAGCAACATTTGACCCCTCCCAGCCCTCACACTGCCTTCTCAGAGCTGGGTAAGTGAGGCACCGGACTTTGGAAAGGATATATGAGGGCTCTGATAGGGTCCTAGAGTCCTCACACCTCCTTCCCAAAGCCCAGCACCTCACTTACCTGGCTTTTGGAAGGCAGCATGGGAGGTGGGGGGAGCAGCAGCAAATTTTGGCCTCCCCATCCCTGCATGACAAGACAGTGTGCAGCCCATGGGTTCCCAAACAAAGTATTCTTGTGGCCCACTGGGTATGAAAATATTGGCCCACCCTGCTCTTGGAGCACCTGGAACCAAACTGCTGCTGCCACCACCCTTCTTAAGCATCTTCCCCAAAAAGTAGTTATCATAAGCCTCTGTGACCAGGTGGTTGTTTTTCTTCTTCTTCAAGAGTGGCTGCACTCCTGCTTCTTTAAGGATGGCAGGCGCTGCTTCTGCACACAAATATGCACTTACCATGCCTTGGACTTACACAGTAAAACACAACACCCATCACAAGCTTGTTCAGATCAGCCACAATGAGAAAAGTTGCCAGGTCAGTCAAACAGCTACAAGCACCTTGTTCCACATCCCCAGACCTCAAAAGCTAAAACTGCTTTCACAAAACCAGACTACACTTTATCTAGACTTTTTACAGCCGTGTTGTCCAAATCATCATGGATTCAGTAAATTTCATCATTGAAGTGTCTTGCAAACTTACCACAGCAGGCTTCCTACACTCCTGTTTATTGGGATGGATGTTAACCTCTGTTCCATGGCTACTTAAGGATGAGATGGAGGTGATAGAGTATACTTTCTTCGCCACCCGTTATCACCTCACAGTAGGCACAGTCATGCCCTTTAGCATGTGCTCAATTGCATTTGTGGCAAGTCTTGCACCATATGTGCTCTAGCTGTCATCTGACCTGCTTCATTCTTGAAATCTCTGGAGGCAGACATTCTTAATGGGTTACTTACCTCTGCAGGGGTGAACTGCCAGCTGCTGCTGTAAGACCAAATCTCACGAAATGGTTGGACCATAACAATTAGTTATTTCAAGTCTCTCTCTCTCTCTCTCTCTCTCTCCCCCCCCCCCGCCGCCGCCCTTCCCGATTATACTTCCCATACTTGGAGGCAGTAACTAAATTGAGGGTCTGCCCTGCACAGTTAAAAGTGTGCATGGAATCCTCAGTAAGAAATCAGTCCTGGATAAACAGATCTAGATAATAAAAAGAAATGTGGAAGCAGAATCCTGGGGGAAGAGATAGGGAAACTGGACAGGAACAAAGAGTAGCCAGCCATAGTGGGAATAGGATCACCACCTGTTAATTTGTTGCCCATAGGTGCAGTGTCACCTGCAGAACCTCCATCTGTCTCCATGTCTGCTAGTGCCAGTTATCTAATGGGGATGAGGTAATCGTCTCATCTGCCACTGCCTCAGCTCTCTTCATACAAGTAGTTAACAGTTTCTTAAATGTAATCAATACAAATCTACATTTTTAGAGCTTTGAATTTCAAGAAAATAATTAAAGTATTTTGGGTTATATACCAGGCAACAACTTTTTTAAAAAATACATTAATGTGTCAGTAAAGACTTAAAGGATCATATGTGCTTAAATTACATGCTAAATGGAGAAATAAACATTTGAATGTAGCCCATTAGTTTTTGATGTTTTGTGTAGTTAAGAATACTTTTCTCATCCCTAATCCTTTTATAGGTTTACATTACATTACACAGCATTATTTAAAGATAAGGAAATTCAATTCAAGGGGAATCCTTTTATTTACCTTCAAAATTCCATTTTGGGGTCGAGATCAGTGTGTGTACCTAGAATCGTTAATACATTTCTGTATTTGGGACAGGGTGTGGGTCAAGGAAGATATTTTATAGATCTTTGCTCCAGGAATGCTGCCTATTTTTATAGGAATGTTAAAACCATAGTAGTGCTGGTCTTAGCCTTATGTAGCAATTGCCTTTTCTTACCTGCAGGTGTGTTTTTCAGCGCAGCCTGGCTGTGGCCATCCACTTGCAAGGGATCGTAATTGTGTCAGGCATCATGGACATTCACCACTCCTACTTTGGACTGACCAATTCTGATGAGGGCATGCAAATTGCGGGGGGTGAACTGGGTGAGATTTTATTTGTTCTTGCCATTACTTATGGTATGATGCACAACACATGTCGCCACTGAGTATTTATGATTATATTATTTATCTCAGTGTATCTCAAACTTCTTTATTTTATTGTGCCATGTAGCTCTGTAAACCAACGCCAGTAATGTGTGCTACAAGTGATTGTGTGGAGAATCTCGTACACAGTTGTGTTCATTCTGCTGCTTCATTAGTATATGTTTGCAACCAATCAAATATTGCTATTAGAGAAGAATATGCTTTCTAAAGTTACACATAAGGCACCCTGTCTATCGTAGCAACCTTCTTCTCTGATGAGAGTGGTATGATGAGACAGTGGGGATGCAGTCACTCTTGCAAACTCAGTGTGCATCAGTGAGTGATGTCTGCCAGAAGGCATTCAGCCCACAAACCTTGGCTAGTGAAAGGAGAAAGATTCCTTCTCTTCAATGATACTATCTTGCCTTTGAATGTTTTACCCCATTCAGGTGTTCTGTCTCTTCCAGCCTCCAATTTGAGAGCCACTGATATACTAATAAAACAGAAATCATAATCATCATGAAATAAGTATTATCATTGATTTATTAATTGGTTAACCACCGTCTCCAGGCAATTTGCACATAAGGTGTATGACTGATATAAATATAAATTGGAGCAATATATCACTAGGCACATTCATCAGAAAAAAAGTATAGTATACAATGGTACCACCAGTTACAAACTTAATTCTTTTCAGAGGTCCGTTCTTAACATGAAACCATTCTTATCCTGAGCTGCGCTTTTGCTAATGGGGCCTCCCACTGCACGCATGCCACTGGGATGTGCTCACATCCCAGGGCAAAGTTCACTACCAGGAGCAACTACTTCCTGGTTAGCAGAGCTCGTTACCTGACACGTTCGCAAGGAGGACGGTACGTAACACGAGGTTCCACTGCAGTATAGTAAAAGCACATTATGTAATTACTTCAGTGACAAAATGGTGGAGTGAGTGGGAATGAAGGCATGCAGAAACATTGTAGGACATTGATATGCTCCAATTCATAAACCACCATGAAATTTTACAGCCAAACTTGAAAATACCCAGTTTCATACAATGGTACTAAGCACAGTTAATGCTAATCATATAAAAAGGTCCCTTCATAATTGCACTTAAGACTGTATTTCTAAACCCTGGTCAGCATTAATCATGCCAAATATCAGTACAGATGCAATGATAACCTACAGTTAAGTGAACAAGAGAAAAAATAGGAAAACCTGTGCCAAAAAGTGGAGGAGAAAGAGGGCAGTTTGTATATTCCCAAGCATGGGTCACTTCCACCTGCAGTTTAAGGAGCTAGCATTATGTCTGTACTGGGCCCCATAATGTCTACCACACATTAACATGAGTAAACTAGCAGGAGCAGTTAATATGAAAAATAGTGTGATCATCTGTGGTTTCTTTAAATCTGTAAATCATTACTGCAGTATAAAACCATTCTTTTTTAACCTGGCACTTGGAGTCCATGGCTGCTTGTCAAGAACAGAGCTTGATGTGCAGGTACTATCCCTCTCTCTTGGATTGGTCTTCAGACAGAGACATAGTATTACAGACATTCTGTGCATTGTGGAAATGAAACGTAAAGGTTATGAGTGCTGAATCTTTTCCAGGCTGGATACAGCAAAGGAAATAGAATATGCAGTTGTATGGAAGCATGATTATTATCATAGAATCAGTTTAGGGTGTTGAAGAACAGAATTAGAATCTAGAGACAGGCCTTTGGTGAGACCAGGAACAAAGTGCAAGGAGAAATAAATAAAATGAATAATGCAGGATGATAATAGTCCAATAATAAACTGACTTGACCAAAGTCAGTTGGATCTAGTCAGTTCCATTGTGGGAGGAAATAGCCTTTGGACTCCAGTAATAAAGCATAGCTGTCCATAGACAAATGCTAGCCTTGGTGCATGTCCTGAACTCACCTGGCTGTGGTATGTTCAAGCTCAACATGACAGAATAAATAAAATGCAGTGCTCTTGAAAACTAGGTTACTTTTCAGTGCTATTAAGACGTTGATGGTGGAAAGCACTTATCTGGTGGGAAAGTCACTAATATGAGCAGCTCAGCATTCTGTAATACATTTAATTGCATCTACATATTAAATGTCTTAAAGCTTTTGGGGGAAAAGTAGTTTCTGTTTGAGGGAGAACCACCTAGGAAGTGGAGACCACACATTTTAAGCATATTATGCTCTGTGCATGAGCATTCAGCACACACTCAATTCACACAGATGATTTAAAATGTATTCAGGCTCCTTCATCCATTCAGTTGGAAAGCCCGTGAAGGCTTTTGATTTATCTCGTAGTTATATTCCACTGGCGAGGTGTCATGGTCCCTTTGGTGACTATTGGATTAGCTGCTTTGGGTTGCAGCCTCTGGCTAGGCATTACATGCAAAGGGGACTTAGGAGACCTTAAAACTTACTTTTTAAAAAAATACTTGCTGCTTATGTACCTGATAGCCGCTACTGGAGGCCTGCTTGACAGTTTCCGTACAGTAATTCTTTCTAATAGTGCTCAGTAGGCTTAGAAATTTAGGCAGTTATTTCTTTGGCCTAAAGACAAAATTTTTAGTAACCCACCCTGAACCAAAAAGAGAACAGGATAGATAGAAATATCAGTCACCCCCTTTTTCTCTCACATGAAATCTGCTCCTTGCCCGGCTCTGTCAAAGCTTTCCTGTCCCTTCATTCATTTTTCCCATATGCAGAGCTGAGCTAAGTTGCTACATATCTCTGTCTATGCCTTCTGGGCCCAGAATCCAGTGACACAGATGGACAAGACTTCCTTTCTTTTGTGTTGTATATTGAATACATAGTATTGTATTAAGGGAGAAACCCTGTCTGCCTGGTTTACAAAGAGGTGTGGGAAATTATACCTTGTACAGATGTCTAATAGGTTGGTTTTCTGGGTAAGAAACAGTAGGACACTCTGCAGCTGTTGTCTGGAGCTAGTTGCCAGCATCTTGCTTAAGGTTTGCTATACATACTGGCCTTTTAAGTCAGAGAAGGGAGGCACATGGTTATAAATGTCCCATTCTAGTGTGTTCCACAGTAGCAGGATTGGCTATCCACATATACATCTTTGATAGTTTGCAGCTTGTGTTTTTGTGCGTGTGTGAGGGAGAGAGAGAGTGCGCACTGCAAGACCAATAAAATAAGCTGACATGTAAAATGATGGAATCTTGTTTTGAATCTTTCATACCTTTTTGTCTGATAAAACATAGTGTTCATCAAAGTGGTGATCTGGCAGGCAAAATACAGTTACCACAAATAATTGTGCTAACCAAGACCAGATTTTCACCAGCAACAAGTTACAGAAGGAGAAACCTTAGCAGTGTGTGTGTGTGTGTGTGTGTGTGTGTGTGTCTGTTAGTGTTCTATTTCTGCCTAAATTGGGAACAAATTACATTCAATAAATGTGTATTTGGTTGCATCACTGCACCATATAGGCCTTGGGTAGGGGTCCAGTTTCAGAAGCTTATGGAAGCCTCAATTCTCTTTTCGGTTGTGCAGCTATTTCGGAGGAGAGGGTGTCATTATTTTTCACATGCTTAGTAGAGGTCTTCAAGTTATATTTTAGCTCATGGTTCCATATGTCTCAGTAATTTTTTTTTTAGATGTGCAGAGAAGGCTAAGCAGGATCATGTTTGCATTGCATTTAAGATGGGAGATGTGTTGCCACTCTTCAGTTGTATTAAGACACTCTCCTCAGTGTGTGTCTCATCACTCACTGGTATGCATGACAAGACAAAGCCCAGCCCTCCTCTCTGCCTTGGACGTGGATGGTGAGTAGGGATTGTCCCAGATGTTGGACTGTACTGGAAGCACAGCCCAACTATGGGGAAGATCCCTGTCACACCAGCTCCCAGTTGGAGAAGGCTAGCTTGGTGCTGGGCTGTCCAGAAAAGCAAGCACTGGCTCACCTACCACCTTTAGTTCAGAGCTTGATGGGTGGTGATGTTCCCTACACCTGTGCTAGGCTTACTCATCTCCGTGCCTCTAAAGCCTTTCAGAGGCACTGTATGAGTAGAATGACTTCTGTTAGTGCAGTGGGACGTCCCCTATCTTCTTCCTCATGCACCCCCAACCTTCTGAAGCAGATTTGGGCGGTATGGGGAGCACAGGGGAAAATCTGTTACATGAGCAGTCTTTCCACCCACACAGTGACTTCATTGGATTCAGCGGGTTTGGCAGGCTACTGGCAACTGCAAATTTTGGCTTGGCTATCAAATGTTGGCTTGTCTCTGTGTGTATAGGATTTGTTACTGTAGTCCAATTGTTATGTTGTTGACAGAGCCATGTAAACCAGCAAAACATATTTTTAATATTTGAAACATTGTTAATGCCCACTGCTTCTTGGTAGCTCACATTTATAGCACCTCAAATTTCAGCAAAAAATTGTAGTTTACTTCACAATAGCATTTTAAAATTACGATTTTAAGCTGTACATCAAACTTAGAACTGAAAATAAAAACAACTCTAGGAGTCAACAAATGTTCCAGTTACCGGGGGGGGGGGGGAATGAAAGCTTTTAGAAAAAGGCGTTGCAGTTCTATTGTAATGTCTGAAAAAAAAGTCACTAAGAGCCACCATGTCGAGGCTGTTTCATTTTGCAAATGATTTTCATGTTCTAGATCAGTGGTGTGCATGTTCCAGATCACTGTTCCAGAACAGTTCTTTTATATGCCACTGTTCATTAGTTTGAGACTTATGGTGTTAATGAAGGAGTTGATAAATCACAAAACAACATTAACAAAATTGCAGCAGTAAAAGCCTGTAGTGCTGTTAGCATGAACTTGAAGCAAAAAGTGCAAGAACAAAGGCATTTGCAGGAAAGATAATATATTTAGCAGTATATATCAGATAACCCAGATAATCCAGTAGCATCTGTTCAGTTCTCTGTAAGACACTACATACACTAAATCTAAGATTCCTGTACTGTGTAAAAGCTTCAGTGCATCGTATCTGTAAACTTGCAGGACTGAAATTAAGGACCTCTTCAGACAATGCATGAGCTTTGTGGTTACTCAAAATTTGTTCTGCATGATACCTGGTCCATATGGCAAGGATTGTTGTTGTTTTTAAAAAAATACGTACTATTAGAGAAACATTTAGAGATGACAATCCAGGTGGTAAGCCAACAACATGTTACGTGGCAACAACACAGTAAACTCTAAAGATGGTGGCCATAGCACATGGATCAAAGTGTAGACAGGTAGCACTGGAAACAACAAACAGTGATGTACAAAATTGTGCTGAATTATCAATAAAATATTGACCACAAAGAATTCAATTTGAGAAGCATTACAGATATGTTGGTACCTGAACACCGGAGGGAGCCCCTCAACAATGATACTGTTTCCACAGTATACCCAGGTGCTCCACTTTGACATCCAGAGATGAGTTTTAGTAAGATCTGGGGTATACAAAGCCAGTCTTTGTAATGAAGAGACTATATATTTAAGGGCACTCTTTTCAACATACAGTATAAAGAATGCAAAGAAAACTTACATAACTGAAACATTGGAATATGAATTATTTTATCTGATTAGACAGATTAGCAATTGACACAGGTTCTGGTGATTGATATTTAATTGCATTTTTCAGGGGAATAAAAGCAGCGGCTTATAACAAAATGAGAAAACATCCACCAAACAGAAGAGGTATCAGCTTTGAAGTGGGAGCCCAGTTGGAAGCCCGAGACAGATTAAAAAACTGGTATTTCTTATTTCATGATAAAACTTGGATACATTTTTGTGATGCTGTCACATTGTGCTACAAACAGGGAGTCAAACCAACAAAAGTTCCAGTTCAGGTCTGGTTCTGATTCAACTGCATCAGACCAGTAGCATTTCAGTAACTGGTTCAGAGTATCCGAACCACCTAGTCTTGTTCTACTTTATGTGAGGAAAACATAAATGGTGGTTCACATATATGATAAGGTGATTAGTATCAACATGATAATTATCCTAATGTCAATAATACAAAATGTTTAAATATATTGTACAGATGCAGCTATTTATCTAACGATCTTTATGTCACATTGTAAAAGTAGAAAGTTTCAAAAACTTAGAGGCCTAGTTTGGGTGTAATGGTATTGTGCACTGAACTTTAGTATTCCTATCTTCCCTTCGTTTACACACTCAGCTTGGGGAAAAACTGCCTGGTTAATTCACAGATTCTGTGATATCTAAACCAGAAAAATAGTTTAATCTCTGCCTGCAAACCATATTGGCTGCATTTGTACACAGTGCTAAACTATTGTTTAGCAGTACTATATGCACTAGCTGGAGTGAGTCAGAGCAGAGGCTCCCACACTTCCTTCATTTCTTCTTCATTGACCAGGAAAAGAACATTTACTTTCCACAATCTGGTTTATTACAAATGCTGGCAAAAGTCCTGACTGCATTGACAGTGGGGAAGCACTCAAGCCTAAGACTTTCCTCAATACTTTTACACCTTGTTCTTATAGCAGTAAACCATGATTTTAGCATTGCATTCTTCTCAATATTAGTTCTGTGAATGCATTAGTAGTTTATTATAATTCTTTGTTTTTGGAGTCAGTAAGTGCTATCTTTTCAGTTTTTAGTCAAACCCTTATTCCAAACTAATAACCTGCCCTTTTTTCTGATTGCATTCTCATTCTTGTTTCAAACAGTGATGTGGTACAGGATATTTTCGGTTATGGAAAAAATTCCATTGCTATGTTTTTCCACATTAAAAAAGACTTATTTCTAAAACTGCATTGTTTCATAAAATTGTTTTTTTAAAATAATGACTGGATAAAAATAACTAGTCAAAATGGATTGTTCCCCTCAAAGTGTGCATGCAGATATAGCACTGAGTATGCTAAAACTGAGCATGTTAACCATTTACAGTGCCTTCATTGTCCACCTTTAAATTTGAGGGCGCAGATGTTACTGAATTGTAATGTCAATATTGATAAGCATTTCATTAAAAAATAGTACAGCTTTGCATTCGCTTGAATATAACATCAAACATTTCAGATCAGATACTTTTGGGTATTTAGGAAATGAGATATTTATACAGCACATAATATTAGCATGGTATCCTTTAATAAAAATGACATTTTAAAATAATTTTGTTTAATAAATACGGCAGAAATTATAAAGTGGATCACAGTTGAATTCGGGCATAATAAAAGTTTGCAGACAGCTAACATCACCAATGATTATGTAGGTTCTGATTATGCTGGGTTTTCAGTTTTTTTAAAAAAGGGTTCGGTTTGACTCCCTGACATTAACTTTGTTCTGATTGCAAATGTTCATATAGTATTTATTGATTTTGCTCCCTTCACCTAATGTCTGCTGATCTGTAATACAGTGCAATCCTATACATGTCTACTCAGAAGTAAGTCTCATTGAGCCTAATGGTGCTTACTCCCAGGTAAGTGGGTATAGGATTGCAGCCTTTGTGTTAAATCTGTTGTGAAGTTGGTACAGGGTTCAGCCTGAGTTTCCTGCACAAAGAACACCCATCTGCACTTTCTTGAAAAATAATCTCTGATTCAGGATCTGGAATCTCCATGACTATTTAGAGTAGACAGTACTAGACTACATGGACCAATAGTCCGATCTGGCGTGAGACTGTTTCCTAAGCCACAGTGAGACCTTCTGCTTTACACCATTTTAATTGTTATCATAGTATTACTGTTTCTGAGGTGCCAAGTGTAAGGGATCTTGGAAGAGGCTCTGAAAAAGACATTTGAGTCAACAAGTTGATCATTTGGGGATTGCCTTCTCCCATGTCATCCTAGTCGCTCTCTAAGATCGGAAGGAATGGTTCTTCTCTGTCTTTCCTAGAGTGGAAGCACAACTGAGTGGGACAAGAGAAGATAACTGGTATCATGGGATGCTTTGCCTTTTGAAATGTGGTTGGCTGTCTCCCTTGCTGTTTTTTGTTTGCAAGCTATTGAAGACCATTTCATTGTGACCTTTTATTTTATGACACATATATGGATATATTCTGAATTTTTTTGTTATTTTTATGGAAGCATTATGTTTTATATGTTGTAAACAGCCATGAACGGTATATTTACTCTAGAAGGGAGCATACTCTAATCAATAAATTATAAAAAAGAACAATATGGTTACGGTATATCCCATTCCCCTGAGGTGTAGTGTCCTTACTCTTCAATACCCTGCACCTTGAAATGAAGGACCCCTGTCAAGTGGCTGAAATAAAAACTTTGAGGAATGCTTTAAAAGGGGGTGAACTAGTGAATTACTTTTTCATTCTGACTTTATGGAGGTTGAAAGTAGAATGTGATATTGTAATTATTATCTGGGCGGCTTCAAACAAAAATTAAAAATACATTAAAATGTCACACATTAAAAACTAATAATAATAATTTTTTATTTGTACTGTTCTGAATTGATAAGTAGAACTTTGTTTTGTGTCATATGAATAGAGAATACTGGAAAGTTCGCTTTTTGACGTTGCTTCTTGAGGACCCACCATGTATAGGAAAACTGAGAATCAATCTTTTTTAAGAGACTGAGCCGAACCTTGACACTGCAGAACACTGATACTAGACATTTGTATAGAAAGGACAGCTACACATTTCATTTTAAATCATTCTGTCTCTCTTGGGTTAATGTATTATGGAAACATGCTTTCATGAGAACTTGTTTTGGCTAGATCAAGGCTATAGCAAATGACGTATCTAAAACGATGCATTCTGGACAGTTTGCAGTCTGCTGAAGATGAGGGTTGGTAGCATTGGAAGTTTATAAAAAAAAATAGAGTTTATTTTTTAAATGCTTCAATGAATGAACTAGTGTCACTAGTTTGGTCACTGAAGATAATGTACGCCACTTAGAAATTTGAATAATTAAGTGGTATACAAATGTCTTAAATTTATTTGTTAAATTTATTGATCACTTTTTTTAGCAAGGGACCACAAAGTGACTTACATTGTATAAACAAACACATACATTAAACCAGGCATGAAAGAAAAACCAAGAAAAACAATCCTCTTTTTAAAGGCAGGATTAAAAATTCCCCATCCACTAAAGGGGACCACAGATAATTAAGAGCAAAGCTCTGGTGAATTTTTATTTTATTTTATTTGGTGTCTACATCTCTACAATGATGATGCCAGGTGAACCACCCCCAAGGAGAGCATTCTAAGCACAAGGAGTCACCACTGAAAAGCACTGTTCTAATGTTGTCACCCTTCAGACCTCCTGAGGAGGGGCACACACAAAGAAGGGCTTCAGATGATGGTTGCAGGGTCGAGGTTGGTTCATATGAGGAGAGGTTGTCCTTGATGCATTGCGGTCCTTAGCTGCATAAAGGTTTATAGGTCAAAACCAGCATTTGAATAAGACTTGGAATCTAATTGGTAGCCAGTGCAATTTGGCCAGTATTAGTGTTAACTACCTAGAGTCTCTTGCCCCAAGCAACCTGGCCATTGAATTCTATACCAGCTGTAAATAATAAAATAATCAGCTCAGACCAAGGGCTCCTAATACATTGGGGATCTCTGATGTGCATACGAGACTCCTGTATAAGCTAGTGGGTCACTGCTGCATTACGATACAAGCCTACTTGTAGATGAGCTTTTTCTGTCTATATGAATGTATGAAAGTGTATGTTGGTTTTATCTGTTCTTGCTGCCTATGTGCTGCTTACCTTTTCATTTGTTATTTAAAATATCTGAACAACTGGAAACATAATACTGAACAGCTAGTTAATTATAGTTTCCTTGACAGTAGGCCTTATAAACAGAAACCTTTTGAATAAACACTTCATTGCACATAATGTGCAAGTAAAAAACAGCAATACTGAGTTGCGAGAGAAAATTGTAGCTTGTTAGGCAGATGCTGGTGTTATGTCATTCTCCTTGCAAGTATAGATGGGGGGGTGTATAATCAGTATATTTGACATAACCCTAGTTGTTTTCAGGAGCTAAGCTTTCTTGATGCAGTAGCAACACAGCAAGAATTGTATTAGACTTCATGATAATTGGAGGCAGAAGGTGGGTTGCCGTTGTCAAGTTATAAAGCAACCTGGTCTGCCCTTTATTGAACTTGAGTTTATATGCTAAACTATGATTCTAGGTTTGAAAAGAACAACATTAACTTTTCTGAGAATTGTAAACTTAGTAAACACTTGACTAAAGAATGATTTCTTGGGAAAGTGGGATCTGTGTGTATCATTCTGCACTGGTGTCCCCCCCCAATTACCAATGTAGTGTCCTCAATTTCTGTTGGACTCCCAACTTCCATAAGTGCTGATTGACTAGGGCTCATGGGAATTGTAGTCCAATGACAATTGGGGCGTGTCATGTTGATTATTCCTGGTGTTAGGCATTTGAGTCTAACGTAGCCTATATCCTTTTGAAGAAGAATGTAGGTATTACTATAGCAAAATACACGTTTGGAGCATGAAATAAAATTAGTTCAGAAGTGTTAGATGAGAAGTTGTATTATTAGAATTAGTTTTAAATTACTATATTTAAGTATACAAGAACTGTAGTCCTTAAGAAGTTGAAAATGATTGGTGGTTATAGCCGATGTGATATTGTATAGAATTCTATGGTTGTAAGGGTATTCTTGCTATTGGGTCCAGTTTAGAGAGCCTCCTAAGATAGCACTTCAAAGACAGGTAATTAACAGTGAGCAAGGAGTGGTAGAAGGAGAAGAAATGCCATAAATGCCATAGGATTGCTAACCATCGATGAATAGGGTTTTGTTTTGTTTTTTGGCTATGCTCTGGTAGTATGTTGCCCCAAGATGATGCCTTCCAGATATTGTTGGTCTACAACTTCCATCATCTCCAACCATTGGTCAGGTTGGCTGAGATTGTTAACAGTTATCCAAAGCATTTGGAGGACACCAGGTTGGAGAAAGCTGCTGTATCTGATATTGATGTGTAGTCAAGGATTTGTAATGTTCAGAACTTTTTTCAATTCCTAATTCTGAGAGGAAACTAATCTGCCAGTATATCAAAGTAAAGATACAATGAAGGGAAAAAGTATTTGATCCCCTGCAAAATTTGCTTGTTTACCCTCTGACGAAGAAAAGACCAGTCCATAATTTTAATGGTAGATTTATTGTAGCTGTGAGAGGCAGAATAACAACAGGAAAAACCCCAGAAACCCAGAAGACAAAAGTCAGAGATTGATTAAGGTGGTTTTGCTCATCTCATCTGATATCAGTAGGAGATGATGAAAATGTTCTCTGCTTGAAGATGGATTGATTAATATGATTTGCTAAAAAGCATCTTGCTCCATAATGGTTGAGGATCAATCAGGAGGAACTGATTATTCTCTAGGAACAAGCATATAGGTCTGAGGAGTCCTTCTCAGCTTCTGTACCCACATGATTATTGCACAATTGAAAATTCCCCGGTTACTTTGTCATATGGGATAAGCTGTTGTTTGTTACTTTTGAAGTTACCCTTAACAAAAGTGTAGATTAAGCTATTGTAGGGATGTACATCTTGTATGGATCTGTGTTTAATTTTTAAAATAGGCTAATTCTTAACACTACTGAGTGACATCAAACATTACAAAAGTAGATTTCCCATTCTTCTTCGTCCTCCTTCAGCCCCCTCCCCATATTTCCACAAGGTCCTGTAACTTGCCAAGGCAGATTTGGTGGGTATGCAGTCTGTCTGCCAGCACTTGGGAACAATTTGATGTCAGCCACCGATAACAGCAGTGTCAGGTCGTGGTGCTGACAAATTAGCATTGCCTATTGTCATCATCCTGAGGATACCAAGCAGCTATTCCTAGGGGTCTTTTTGTTGTTCTCCGATGGCATAAGATTTTTAACTTTCTATCATATACAGCTGATAGCACCAGCAAGGTTGTTTGGCTAGAACATTAGTTATGGCGAAAAGTGCAAGGTCTGCACAGCAAAAGCATGGATGGAAACCATGACTTAAGAATTCACAAGACACAACCATAAACACATAAACTGTCGGCTCTTTGTTAATGTTGATTTCAGGTGTTTGTCATATTTCCTAGAAAAAGAAAGCAGTTTCGCTTAATAATAAAAAACCAGCAAGATTAAATTGATCACAAAAAGGTGAAATTGAAGCTATTTGTATATCATATTCATACATTTACCAAAATGTATGGCTTTGTAGTATAGTTACTCCTTTTTCAAGATAATTATTTCAACTTTTTTGGCAAGAATATTTTAAATTAACTTTCTTTGCATAGGTATCCAGCTCACATTGAAGAAATTGATTATGAGGAAGGAAAAGTGCTAATCCATTTCAAACGCTGGAATCACCGCTATGATGAATGGTTTTGTTGGGACAGTCCCTATTTGCGTCCTTTAGAAAAAATACAGTTAAGAAAAGAAGGATTACATGATGACGAAGGATCTTCTGTAAGTAAAAGCAACCTAAGTTAAAGCTTGACGTCAACCCAATTCTTTACAGACTTGTGAATGCAGATTTAATTGTTTTTTATAAATATTATTGGTATAATAAAAAAAACTTGCATACTATTTCTTCTTAGCTGGGGTGGGATAGAAAAAATGATAAATGAAATATGGTAACCTTGGGCAACATTGCTGTTTATAAACATGTTGTTTGTCACTGTAAGGCATGGGTGGGCAGTCCATGGACATATTTGGGCCCAACACAGATGCCAATGTAGCCCTCAAGGCTTCGTCCCCTCCAAACCGCGCCCACACCTGACTTCAAATGTGACATCAGGTGTGGGGCAGAAAAGCCTGTGGGTATAAGTAGGTATAAGTCATTGCCTGTTTGTTTATAAGCAGGGCTTTCAGGTGTCACCTCAACAGTGAGACCTCCACTGAGAACTTTCAGAGCGCATCTCAGAAGCTTCTTGTTGTGATCCCTTTTGAAATCTATTCGCATGAGCAAATGGACATATCTTCTCTACTGTCCCACCCACCTGTTACTGTTGACCAACAGGGGATGAAGGAGTTAGAGATGCAGCCCATTTGCCTGATTAGTTCTCCACACCTGCTGTGAAGTTTGCTTTACAGTGCAGTCTGGTGGGCCAGATCCTTCTTACCCCAACTCCGTGTGGTCCAATTTGATAGGTGGATGCCACAGTAACATCAGGCGATGAAGCACTTGGGAGTTCCAACAATCAGCTGATAAGCCATGCTTCAAAGCACCTTTGAACTCCTGCCAATCAGGTGATTGGCAACATTTCAGAAGACCCCTTTGGCCCTGTCTGGTCACCTTTTTACCTTCCCATATATGGCATTGTGTATGATGTAGGTGATTGGCATGTGGGTGTGGTTTAGCCAAAGTGGCCTGTTGGCTTTAATTAGGCCTGCAGAGGTTCTACTCTGTTGTTTACTCAGAAGTAATTCACTTTGACTTCAGTGAAGTTTACTCCCAGGTATGTGGGTATAGGATTTTATCCATTTTTCTTGGCAATTTTCCATTTTTTATACAAATAACACACTCTTCTGAATCCAAGTATTCAATAATCTTGCTGCTTATGATGATCACCCTGCCTTGACAATATGTTTAGAATATCAGAGCTATTGTGGCCCATAGGCTGAGTACAATTATTAAAATCGTTTGTAAAATAATTGGTAGGAAAGTCTGCTGCAGGAATGTTTTGTTTACTGCATAGATTATTTTATTATTGCTATGATGCAGCAGTGTATCCTGAACACTGGTTTCTATGTTTCCATTTTTTAGGGATTTCATATAAATGATCAAGTGTTGGCTTGCTGGTCTGATTGTCGTTTTTATCCAGCCAAAGTTACTTCTGTTAACAAGGATGGTAAGGCATAATTGTTAATTTCAGAGTACTCTGTAGAGAAACATCCTTTATGACTGCTTTCAGAAGTTGTCTTGAAAATGAGTAGCTGCTGTATATGTTCCATGCTATTCCCAATTTTTATGACCACTGCTTATGAATGTTATGAATATTTGAATTGGTATGAACACTAATTATGTGAGAGTGAAAAAGTAATGTGAGACAATTTTGTGGATTAATTTCTAGTAGTATGGACATGTGTAAGTTCCATTGCTTGGATCCAGACATTTCTTCTGGTGGAAGAAGGGTGTGGAGGCAACTTCTCAGATTCCCCCCTGCAGCTCCTTATGCTCTCAAAACCTGCTCTGGAGATTTGGTGAACTCTCAAGAAAAAGAGGTTTTTGGTTAAAATTGCCCCTACCACCTTTTACCAGCAAGATCTCACCACTGCATCAAAGGTGTCCATAGAATGAAGGAGCCTTTCTGTTTATAGAAAACGCTAAGTTTCACGGCAATGCAATAGCTTTTCATATTTATTTCCACTTGATGGAAATAAAAGCTATTAAGCAGATTTTAAATCTCAACATTTTCCTTGATAAAAATAGAATTTATTGCAATCAAACCCAGTTTTTCACAGTGATGGAAACTTGTGATCTGGAACTTCTGAAGATTGCTTTTACCCCACTCTTGCCTATTGCCCATGATGTCTGAGGTTGGTTGAGTTGTAATTCAAAACATCTGAAGTACACCAGGTTGGGGAAGACTACGCTTACGTGTGAATCACTTTTGCCTTTATGCTTTGAGTAATTAGCACACTGTAGAGTTGCTGCTTCAGTTTATAAGTGGGGTTTCTTTTAAATTTCAGGTACTTACACTGTAAAATTTTATGATGGTGTAATTCAGACAGTCAAGAATATACACGTCAAAGCTTTTTCCAAAGATCAGGTATGAAACTTACTTTTATATTTTGATTTGGTTAAACTGATTTGGGGGCAGAACATAAATTACAGGGTTGTTAGTTCATGTGTTTTATTAGAGGACATACAGTCTAAGATGTAGGGATGAAGTGGATTCTGGTTCACACATCTTGGATAAAATCTACACATTTTGCCCACTGAGGACCCATGCACAGATCAGAACATGGATCTCAGATTAAACAGCATGATTGTTTCATGAATCTGTGCATATGTTTGCACTGTATTTACAAGATTGTCCAAGGGCAGCTTTTCCCTACAGTGTCCTTCCGCATAGTCTTTTTAAATGTTCCCAGGAAGCAACTGTATCTTAAGACATGCGGTTCCTGCCTGGGGAATTGTAAGGATAAAAAGGTGACTGCCTTCATGACCTATGAGAACTGCCATATTTCCCCCCGATACAATGTCCTTGTAAGGGAACGAGGCAGTTAGTGTGAGAGGACTAGACAAATTACTGGAGGCTATCAGTGGCTGTGAGCCTATGTTCTATATCTACTGTTGGAGGCCATATGCTTCTGAATACCAGTTGCTGGAAATCCACAAGTGAGGTGAATGCTGTTATACTTAGGTCTTATTTGTGGGCATTCCTTACATATCATAGGACGTATTCAACATAGCGCTAAGTAGATCACTCACTAAGTGGATCTCCTTGCCTGAAGGAGTGATCTGCCCTCTCCTCCTTCCATGCAGTGTTCCAGGGGTCTTCCCAACCCTCACAGAGCCAACTTGTGGCGGGGGGTGGGGTGGTTAAAAAACTGTAAGTTGCTCTGAGGGGTCCTTCTCTGGGTTCCCATTCAGAACCAAGATCTGGTGTATGTTTACCAGGCAAATGACCTTTTCAGTTCTGCTCTGACATTTTAGAACACACTCTGCAACGAAGTCTCAACTGGTACCTACTTGGGTATTTTTTCAGCATGAGGCAAAGACTATTTCATTTCCCCAAGCTTTTAATTATCAGCTTTATTCTGTCTTATCTATTACTTATTTCTGCTTTTATAAATCTAAGTTTATTTTTATGTATTTGTGTTATTGTGTGTTAAAATTTAATTGTATGCCACCCTGCTAATTTGATTAAAACACAGATTATAAATCTTAATGTAGAAATTCCAGATACTCTAACCAGTTGTCCCCCATGTAATCTCCCTTGAGCACTGAGTGTTGTCATATGGTACTTGTTTCCTTATGTACTGCTCTATAGCTTTTAACTCTTTTTATATGTGCATGCAATCATATTAGGAAAAAGGAACCAGACAATAGTATTAAAGCTGTACAGTCGCAGGATTCTTTTAATAGTATATTGTGTGTCTTATTAATTGGCTTATTTCAGTGCCTCCCCCTTCCCAGTTCTGTAAGTAAGTTTCATTTACAATGGAAAGCAATCACAATTTTTAAACTTGCTTTTAGTCTATTGTGAGTAATTCAAGACCCAAGGAGAGAGGTAATGAAATCCCTTCATCTCCTGAAAGATGGGAAAAGTTTAAAGAACCGAGGAAAGCAACTGAGAATAGTAAGAAAGACAAGGATGAAAAGACGTTAAAGACTGAACGAAGGTCTAAACCTGATAAAGAAGGGAAACTAATAGTTCCTTCAGAAAAGAGCAAGGTGTCTGAAAAGGCCCTTCCGAAGGATGGCAAAGAAGACAAAGAGAACATATCTGAAAATGACAGAGAATTCTCAATAGATACCCAGATTGAAAAGAAACCTGAAAATGATAATGTGAATAGCCCACCAGAAAACCTCAAAGAAACTAAAAGACGACGTGGTCGACCACCTGTGGTGCCTCCTGCAGGTCAGTGGTAACAGTCAAGGCTGTATCTCATTCATATACGATGGGTGGAGAATCTGTGGCCCTCCAGATGTTGAACGTCAATTCTCAGCAGCGCACAAGCATGGCCAGTTGCCGGGGGTGACAGGAGCTGTAGTTTAGCATCATCTGGAGGGTCACAAGATCCCCCATCTCTTCCTTCTCCTTGTGTAGATATCCCAATTTAGGTGATACAACAGATTTAACTAGTTATTATGCTACTTTAATTTGAACTGACCATCAACACTCGCAAATTAGTGTAAGTTTTCTACACTTGTTAAAGCCAAGAGTTACAACAGTGATTGGGGTGCAAGATCTGTCATCCAGTTCCTAAGGAACTTGTGGTGTTAATGATATATGGCTATTATCTCAGTTGGTACCACTACATGTTATGGAATACTTCCCTCCCCCCAAAAAAGGAAGGTGAAACTAGAGAATTCAAATCCTAAGCTCCATAAAAGTTTTATAAAACAGTAGGAAAATGTCATTTCTCTTTAAAAAAGAAAGAAAAAATCTGGTTACCTCTTCTCTTGGTATGTTTAGAAACCTTTTCCTTGTTCTATTTACATATTTAGAGCAAGGCTCTCAAACATTGCAGCCAATAACTTTAGAACTGAGAAGGCGGAAAATACCTAAAGGAGGAGAGATCCCTTCAAAACGTCCCCGACTCCAGAAGAACATGTGTGAGTATTTTTTTCATTTACTTAAATAAGCTTTTTTGGCATTTAACTGGAATAGGAAATATTCTTAAAGAGAGAGAGCGTGCAAATTTTAGCAAAACTGGGTGGCATTCAACTAAGTTTTACCCAGAATATACACACTGAAATTAATGGACCTAACTTAGCCATTTTCACTAATTTCAGTGGGTCTACTCTTAAGTAAAGCTTAGTTGACTATCTCCCATTACATTTTTAATTTAGGCACATGGAGGCTTCTTCGTGTATTTCTACTAGCAGTGGTAGATTCCTTTTCTGGTTTTATTGGGGAACCAAAGGACAAAAATACTTCAGATGTGCAAATCTATCCTCTCTTGCCACGAAAGGCGAAGTAATGCCTTTTCTGCGTCAATTCCCTAGAACAAGGGGAACAGGAACTGGCCAATGGCCCACATTGTTATCTTGGCCATCCCTCATGGGTCAGGTTTGACCCACCAGCTATCACAATGATTTTGGGTCACTTTCCCCCCACAAACTTGCAGAGCCCCTTTCAAGAGATTCTGAAAAAGAACGCTTTGTAAGGAACGTGGTAACCCTGATAATCAGCTGATTTCGGTCCTGCTAATCCCTTTTCAAAACACTTTACAATTGCAAAAACTATACAGTCATTGCTTTTTCTTGCAGTTCTCTTTGCTCACCAATGAACCAAGGCGAGATATAAAATATAGGGATGTGTGTAATGGCTAAATAAGCAAAGATGGGACTATTTTTATGCTCTACTGGTGTCTCTCTCTCTCTCTCTCTCTCAAAAATGCTAAATAACTGAATTGTATGAGGATGCTTAGCTTGAGTAACTTTAGCTTTTTTGCATACATTTCATCCGTTTAGATAAATAATAGTTTAGAAAGTAAACATAAGTTTTTAAAAAACAAAAATCCAGAGAACACTTGAGATGTACCTGTTTTGATGAGGTTCAATCTCATGTTTCCTGCATAATTTGGCTTGATAGGCATTGTGTAATCTTTAACATTTTTGTTTTGTTTGTTTTTCCTCTCCTGAAACTCTTTTGTTTCAGTAACATACAGCTTATGGAAATGGCACAGGGCAGGATTGATACTTGAGGGCAGACCTCTAACACAGCAGCATCAGGGACACCAGAGAGCTGGTGAGAGGCTTTTAATATCATGCTCCCCCCCAGCATCTCAGCTGCCCCGTCATCAAATTATGAGCCAGAAGCCAGCCTTCTGTCTGCTCTGCATGAGGAAGAGTTCCACTCCTGAGTGACAGTTACATCTTCCCGAAGGGGTGCAGTTTGCTTGGGTTTGCTATTGGCCTCTAAGGCCCGTAGCGTCAAGTGCAACACACAGCTGAGGGGGAGCCTTGAATATCACATTTTCTCAAAACTGATTACATGTCACACCATCACCTTGTATTGGATTGGATTATCTATTGCAGATCTACCTTAGAAATGCTAGATCAAAAAACTGTGTGTAAATATATAAAATAAAATTCTGAAGTACTAGCCTTAATTTTTTTTTTGTGAGAATCACTGTCTAACTATTTAGACGTCATGAGACGTCAGACTTATGGCACTTGGGTCAGCTGGAGAAGCTGATCATTGTACATCAGCATTCAGCTCTCCTGACTGGATATTCTCAGCTGACTAGTGCACTAGCCTTTAAGTTCTGTGAGTGAATTTGATTCTCTAAGAATTGCAGTCTAATATTCAGACTTGTTCATATTTGGTCTATTGAGTCAGTTTTATTTCACACAACAGACGATCTTACAATCTTTAAACAGCTGACCCACTTTCTGTTACAATAGTTTTACATTATTTTTATGAAATCGTAATTTTATATCTTATAACCTGCCCTAAGTGGTGTGTATTCACACTAGAACAGTGAGATAAATGCTTTAATAAAGAATTTAACAATAATGAAGGGAAAGGACTGGGCATTTCCCTTTCTATATTGAGTTTGGCATGTAGCTTAGAGCTGCTGGTCACTTCCCTCATGTTCGTTTTAATGACCTTTATTGATTAATAGTGTAGATACTTGTTAGGAACACCTACTAACAGAAGGAGCCAGTGAGGGTGACAAAAGGAGTCAGGGGGAAAGTTTGCAGATTTATGGATAAAATATAAAGTAAGAGTAGTTCACTATTTGCCTGAGTATTTATTTAATTTCTTTTAAAAAAAAATGCTACATGGGACATATCTAATGGTGTTTTCTCAATTGTGCAGCAGACTTCCACTCACACAAATGGGACTTCCCCTTCCTCTCTCCCCCACCCCTCAACTCTGCTCTGACGGCTTTGGGAACCCTCTGAAGTAGCTTGTGGGGCAAAGGGGGTGAGGAGAGGAGAAAACAAAGTGGAAACCCTGTTGTGTCCACTGGCACAGCTGTCTTATCTGTAACAACCCCCAGCACCATCAAGAAGATCCATTAATTCAAAGACTGCTTCTCACTGGACTGTGTTTGACCCTAAGAACAACATGCCTTTCACTAACCATTGGCAGTGGATATAATACCTTTTTTAAAGTGCCCATTTATAATAATAAGCTATTGCTAGTCAATAGGTTTGGAGGCTGAGAACCTACATCCATGCTTCTGGGGAAGCCAGAAGGGAAGAGCAATTGTGTTACATGAAGAAGAATGGATGTGGTCTTAAAGATGAATGATAATTGCCACAAGGTCAATACATTGTGTATAATTTTATGTGTATATGAATGTATGTAACTGTTTGGTGAAATACCTTTGGTGGTGTAATAGGTTGCATTTGAATTAAACATGTAAATATTATGATAAAATATTATGTTAAAATTTGATTGGTCTTAAAATTATTTTTAGCGCAAGAAAAGTTGAAAAATGCTCTGGACAATGAAAAGGATTCTATAAAGAGACGATCAAGACATCCTACCAGTAGCAGTCATGAAACTTTAGATACTGACTTCATTGCACCACTACTGGATGAAGTTGGATCTTTAAAAGAGTCAGAATCTATCCCAAAAGAAGTTGTAGAAGGTAAACAAGTTGATTTTATAAGTGCCTGTCTTTAATTATAAGCCACCCCTTGAACTTATTTTTTCCCCAAAAAATCTGCACATTAGTTGTAAAGTTGCATTGAATGTCACATGTAGTGTTGGCCCTCATTCTAGTTTATTTCTTGCTTGAGTTCTCTTAGGGTTTTAACTTAAAATGTAGATTTGGCTGTTAAAGACTTTATGTTAACCTAAGTGTTTTGTATCTGTGTGTTCTATTCTTCACTTACCCACTCTTTTGACTTTTAGGTCCATTAGAAGCATGTGTTGAGTCTGACCAAAAGATTAAGGAAGAGTTGCCTCCATCTTCCGAAGTATCTCAGACTTCAATACCTCAGATTTCAGTAGATGACACCAGATTAAAGGAAGAAAATACAGCAGAGCCTTCCTCTACACCTGAATTGCAGGAGATTTCAGGGGCATCTGTTACAGGTTAAGTTTTTACTAATTATATTTTTCAGGCTAGGCTTCTTTAAAAGTTAGTTTGAAGGGCTTTGGGCAGTGTAGTCCTGATTACCCACTGTGCAAAAGGCTTTACATGTCTACTCAAGGCTAGTATGTTACAGTTAAAATGCATGTGTTTCTTAAGTTTACATCTTGTGTTCTTACAGTAACCACTGCTTCAAAGAGAGCTGATGTTTTTACTGCTTCAAAAGCTGCAATAGAACATGAACCCAAGTTTAGATGCAAATTCTTGGATTGTTCCAAATCCTTTCGGAAAGCCAAACTGTTGCATTATCATATGAAGTATTTTCATGGTATTGAGAAGTCACCAGAACCACAACAGAGTCCAGCAACAAGAAGCATTCAGACAAGAGGCTCTGTAGCTTCTGAAAAGGCCAGTCAAGAATGTTCTAATAGACGACGGACGACATCAGGTTGCTTATGTGAGTGTTTTGCCAAAAGTATTCTTTCTCTTAACTATTTTGAATTGGCCTTTAACACTCTAGTTACATTTATGAGCCCGAATCACTTGAGTTACATTTAATCATTAAAATTCAGCTTGTTATTTTTCTATTAATCACTTAATTTACAACATGGAGTTGTGCAAATTAAGTATAACCTTTAGGGGCACAATATAATGAGCCAGCAATTTGAGGAGGAGGAAACACATATTTATAGCAAATGGGTAGAGATTGGTACTGGAACACACACAGATGACTAAAATGAAATTTTACATGACTACTGATCTAGAAACACCCTAATCATGCATAAATACACCCAGTAGTTTTGTTTCTGGGGGGATGCATGGGTTCACATACCCTTAAACATTTTGTGAATCTAAGTTTGGCCTCATTGAGGGGCAGTATTTCAATATGTGTAGGAAAATGAGAGCACCCCTAAACATTTTTTAGAAAAAAAAGCACTGAGTATACCTGAGTAAAAGCTTACTGTTTTATCCTGTAAGAAATAATATAGATTTTTAAAATTCTCTTAAGCTAATAAAGAAAAGGAGAAGAACAAAGAGAAAAAACCCAGAGACATTGTAAGATCAAAATCAAAGAAGAAGAAAAAGAAGAAAAAGAAAACAAAATCAGGTAATAATGGGGGATATGGCTTCATTTAATTGTCTTTCCTTTCTTGATCAACGTCATTTTCTTAGCAGAAAACACTACTAAGACAATGTTACACTGGACATCAATGTAAACAAGTATATATGCAATTGTCTTTTTAACAGAGAAGTGTCACTGTTTGCTTCAGAGACAGGTGATGATGGCATCTAGCAGAGGACGAGGCAGATTAGTCCAGCCTCTGATTAAGTTTGTATTCTGTGACAATGTTGTTGGACTCCAACTCCCATTAGCTCCAGCCAGCATGGCCAGTAATCTGGTTACTGAGAGATTTAGTCCTACAATATATGGAGAACACAGGTTTCCCACCCCTGTTCTAAGAAGAGAGCCTGCCTCCTACTGAATGGAGGGCAGAGCATCTTAGCATTTTGGAGTGGTTGTTGGTGATGGGCAAATAATGTGGATGGGGGTCTAAACTTGTAGGCAGAGGAGCCTACAAGTATGGACACTGTCTACACTAACTTCTTGTTTGTTAGAGGTGTAGAACCAGTGCAAACATAGTACTGTTAATTCTTTAACCATGGAATCTTGGGTATATTCATTTTTTAAAGTGTTAACACTTCCTAATGTTTACAGAGCATTCAGGGAGTGAAGAAAATGTTGACTTTCCCCAAGAGCTTTCCCCTACGAGATCTGCCATTGCAACGAGATACAATTCAGCAAATCGGCCTTGTGCACATTCGAGTACGCAACTGCAGGGTGCTGATTCTGGGCATCGTAAACACAAATCAAAAATGAATGGTGAGATTGATTTAGTTTCTACCTCAATAGTCTTCACTTTAGAACTTTGCAATGCTAGTAAAGGAATTGAAAATTTGCAAAGACTTGCTGCCTAGGATGGAGCACATTGACTACTGCAACAACACATTATCATAAAGCATGATGTATTTGCCTTGCAGAGACATGCCAGCTCAAAGACCTAAGACTGATTTATCAGTTTTAGTTAAAGGGATTCTTGTTATTCTTCCTTAGCAGGTTTGCTTGAGCCTGGCTTGTTTTTGTAACTTTCCGCTTTCTTCCAGTTTTCTGCTCTTTAGAAGTGTTAAATTTGGTGTGTTTGCACATAATAGTAAGTCAAGAAGCTTGATTTAATAACTACTGTACAAAAGCTTCATGCTGGTGCATGCAACCCAGTTCTGCTGTGAAAAAGCTTCTGTTCTGCTCCTCTCCTGGCGTGAGTTGATACGCAGACCAGGAAGGTGATATCTTGGTGTTACATCCAAATATGAAATTATGGTCTGTTGCTTCATAATAAGCCCTGATCACTGTCTACTCTTAAAACATGGTTTGTTGTTGACTTATTGATTGTGGCTTGTTACAGTCCAACAAACCATGGTCCTGCGTTCACACATAAAGCTAAGCTATCCTCATTGTTTACTGTGCCAAAAGAGGAGAAAAGCAGGAGTGATTGGGCCGAATGCACAGTATGGCTTTACTAAGATAAGCTTGGCTTAACATGTCAGAATGCAGCCATTGTTTTAGACAGTTGGGTACTATGTGTCCATTCTCTGCATTTGTTGATGGCTTAGAATAGCCAGAACTAAGCAACAGTGTAGAAAAGGGGGAACCACCAATGAATATTGGACAAATGCTTTAGAAGCACCTGAAGGTTACACAGATTTTTAGGTGTAGGGTAGTACTAAGGAAAGAAGTTTTAAGGTGAATAAAGAAGAATAAAGGTGAATATCTGGAGGGGATAAATTCTCTGCCTAGCACAGCAAAAGCTTGCCTTGCAGCCTAAGAAGCAATGACAGGAGCAACTCAACTGGGCCTTAAATATGGCAAGGCTGATAATATCCGGGGGTCTTAAATAGCAGCAGTAGATGTTAATACACAACTGCTAGCATCTGTGAAACACTGTTGAAGCTGAAATGAAGTTTGTGTAAGAGGTAATTAGTAAAAAGCAGACCATATGATCAGCCCTGAAGAAGAAGGGTCAGCACTAAAAAACAGGCATAGTTTATACTTTATGTAGCTGCCATAAACATCCTTGAACCATCAACCATTGATACAGAAAGAACATGGCTAAAAATGACACTCAACTTTCTTTTCCTGGTCCCGTTGCACATCTAGGCATGTCCATGTGTAGTTATTTCAGTGAAGGAGAAGGCATCCTAATCATAAATCTTTAATCTTGATAATTTCCTCTAATTTGCAGATAAGTCGTTCAATATATGACTCTGTTAATTTAAAGAAGTATTGTTAAGTAATATCTGATGCTTCTATACACTAATAGTTTATAAATATATTAGAAAATATTCACTTGTATTAACAAAAGATCCAGTTACTCCCTGGCGGCATCAGCCGGTAAAGTCTTTGTGCTACAATACCGCTTGCCTCTGCATTAGTTTCCCATATAAAGCTTTGACTTACAAAAGTATTGTGTTATGAGCATGGGGTATACAGGTGTGTTTGTATGTGAGCTCAGAAAAAAATGATCAAGTGATCACCTTATTACTTGTGGGCTACTGTGGAAAGAAGGTTGTTTATCTTGTAAAGAGAGCAGCACTTTAAGTAAACTAATTGTATATGGAAGTCGGTTCCTGTTTTTTCTTTTGGATCTGTCTCATAGTATTTAGTAGTATCTGAAAGCATTCTTACAACAACTGTGAAGAGTAACATTTTTTTGTGTATTCGAGTCCTTGCTTCACTGTTCCTAGATCAGCCACTCATCTATGAACATTAAGTCCTTGATACTTATTTTAAAATGAATTGGATTCCACCAGTTTCCATTCTAAATTCTTGCATTTAAATCATTTGTATTCATTTCCAGAATGCTCAACCTTCAGGCTGAAATCTTCTAGATTTGGTTTCTGCTTAAAGGTGACTTACATTTTTCTAATCTTAAACCAACCTTTACCTACTTATAAGAGGTAATGTCCACTGCTACTGTAAAGCTAATTAGAATTTGAAGTTAAATGCATTTTCCATTTCAATCACTATATGACATCTTTAAAAAAGCTGAAGACTTGAAAATAAGTTCTCCACAGCAAATTACTTTGGATACAAAAATTGAGAAATTATATCTCTAGATCCAGATCTAAATATTTCCTGAGCAAACTCATTGAAATAATAGGGAACTTGGAACTTTTTGTTGCAAACCACCTAAAGAGATGCCAAACCTCAGTGACAAATTAAGTGTGTGTAACATGAAAATCACATACGTCTGTTATTGGAGAGGAGTTTTGTATTTATTCTGCTCACTTACTTTAATCTACTTTTCTGTTGCTTCCCACATTATTCTCTGTGTGCGTTAAAAGGGTATAATAGTCATAAGGGATATAATATATTTACTACATTTTTTGTTCCTCTTACTAAGTTCTCACTGCTGTAATAGCTGTTTTTCATAAGTGTTTTTGTTCAGTGTAAGAAAAGTAGAAACAGCCAGTTTAAATAAACAGCACTTTATTGTCTCTTGAAAACATAGATGATATCTTAAAGAGTCATGCAGTTGTGAAATTGAACGTTGTGTGAGTGGACATCCTTTCCTCCCCATGTGCTCCCAGAATATTCTCCTGAGGGTTGCAGGACACTCTGGAGTAGATTTGGTAGAGTTAACAACAAGTGCAGCACTTTTAACTTTCCTCAAATGAGTAATTATCAGAGCATCCAAGGGCACAATTGATCTGGGGGTTGAACCTTTCTCCTGCCCCTGGTGATCCTTGAGCCTGGGTTAGTTTTTTATCCAGATTGCCATCCATTTGCTTAGTTTTGTAGTCCTCAAGAACAGAAGCAACTAACCACTACATGCTGGTCTCTAGCATTAGAATCTGTTTGGTTTAGTGTCCCTTTAGGAACCAGCTTTTGTGTAGATGGAAGTGGTGTAACCATTGCTTCCATGAGTAGGCAGTATAAGCAGATTACTATTGGGCTGTGGCCAGAGAAAATACTTAGTGTCAGAAACTTTCCTTGCAGCTATGGTTACCCAGGAGCAAGTCCTTATTACTTGATGGCAAGCTCCACAGAAAAAGTAAGCATGTGTAGGGTTATAGTTGCATGTTGACATGATCCAGTCAAAGCAAAGCATACAAATTTCATTGATTTCAGTGAGACTGGCTTCCTTTTATTACATTGTTTCCTGGCCCAGTTTTCAGTCAAGAAATTGAGGGTTTGGCTAGGTTTCACCTTATGTCTCACATTTGTTTAGTAATGGATACAAATTTAACAAAGCATCTGAGTCTGGCACAGAAACGCAATTTTAAGCATAATCTGAAATGTGTGAAAGTCTTATCAATGGATATTCTTTTGCTAACATTGTTTAGAATGACCACCTCCTTTGGCAGCTTTCTGGAATTACTCACACAGATTTTATTCCTATTAAATTCTTTGCACACAGAGGATGATACCTTGAGTGAGTCATCTGCAGATAGTTTGCTTTGGAGCGACGATGACTGCAGTCAGGACATTGATGTAACAACTAATCCTGATGAGGATCTTGAATACGACGATAATGACTTTGAAATTGTTCGGTGCATTTGTGAAGTGGAGGAAGAAAATGACTTTATGATTCAGGTACATGGTTGTAGATTGTGAGTGTAATGAAGTAAATAGAAACACATAAGTAATTATCAAGTACAAATTGAAGTTTTATTGATATATTTATGGATTTGTATGGTTCTACGTTGCTATATTTTCATGAAAGTCTAGGTTGCATATTTGTAAATAAATAAATATATTGCAGTGCTCTCCTGCATGCCCAAACAGTACTTAATTAGGAAGATTCATTTGTGCATGTTTTATAATAATGTGTGTGTGTGGATAGATAGATAGATAGATAGATAGATAGATAGATAGATAGCAGAGAATCCTCATTACCAAACCCTAAAATGGTGATGCTATGGAGCTTAACTGTTACCTGAAATTGCTTTATAATAGAGTAAATGGTGTCAGATATGAAAAACTTTAATTGTTTGCATTTGACTCTTCTTCTATTACTTTCTGACTTCTTTTATTGTGTTGAAAATAGTATCCCTAAGAATGTTCTGAATTGTTCTTACCTGTAACCCTTGCTTGTGCAATTCATGCTTAGGTGAATGCTAATGTAGTAGCACTTAGAACAAATTCTTAAGATTTTAGAATGACATAGAGCTCTTTTAATCTTCCTAAGAAAACCCCCAAAATTCCATTACTGTACAAACATGTTGTGTCCTCCCTCCCTGTAACTCAAGGCTGTACTTCGCTTGTGTAAAGAAGGGGTAGGCATTTTTCACTCAGGAAGCTGGAGAAATAAGCCCTCCTCCCTACCATCCAAGTTTACCTGGCTTGTTAACTATAATGGTGATAGCGATAGAGGATGGCCTACTTCTCCCATTCTGATGCCTGGCTTGGGAGCAGGTAGTGATGTAGTCTTCTCATTTAACATAGTCCTGAGGATGACATATCTAAGTCTTCTGGTATCCGGCTCACATTCCAGCCATTCAACTGCTGCTAGAGCAGCAGTTTAGATAAATAGGTGAGGGAGATGCAGGCTGAGAGTTTTGAGATTCATAAGAGGGAAAGACCAGAAGATCCTGGTGGAAATAGAAGATCCATTAATAACACAGGAAAAAATGGGATTAGATTCGAAATAGTTCAGTTTATTGAGGGAAATAGTTTGGTATGCTTAGCTTGATACAGCAGTCGTTGGGGCCAATTTGGCCTCCACTAGTTCCAATACACAAGACTACATGTCGTATTTTCCTTCCAAAGGTGTTACATTCACGTGGGAAAACTTAAGTTTTTGCTTCTGACATAATTTCTCTATAGATATATTGACCTGATATTTCCTGATTAATTTTCTTGCTACCTGATTTCCATGTTGCATAGTTTGCAATTTTTCAGTTTAAGGGAAAAAAGAATAACTTCCCATAACAACTCTTCTCTTTTTCATTTATTCTGTTTGTAAAAGAAATATGCACCAGCAATATACAGTCATGTATTTAGGCCTCTAAAATACCTTTAAAGTGTGTGTGTGTGTGTGTGTGTGTGTGATATGCATACTTTGTATTGATCTAGTTCTGTTTATTTGACTTACAACAGTGTGAAGAATGTCTCTGTTGGCAGCATGGAGTCTGTATGGGTCTATTAGAAGATAATGTACCTGAGAAATATACCTGCTATATTTGTCAAGATCCTCCAGGTACAAAGATTTCTAAGGTTGCAGAGTCTTCTAATAGTATGTAGTAATTATTATTATTATTGTCTTGTCTCTTTTAAATACTACCTATTTGATTTTGTTATTGGCTTATCTCCTGTTAATTTGCAAGTTTACATTATTATACATATGAAGTGATACATTAGATGGAAGTTTGTTTTCCTTGTCATTTAATTCATACTGTTTGGAACATTCCAAATGAAACCACTTACAATGATTGTAATGGAAGTGAGGTAAATAACTTATTACTCCCTTTGTTCCACGACTGCCATTCTGGGGAGACCAGTGGTGCCAGAGGCTACAAGGCATGTTCCTTGTAACCCCAGATGGGCGTGGTTTCCAGGGATCCAAGGCAGATGTTTGCAAAGGGGAAGCAGAGATTGCATCCAGTTTATCTGTTCCTCCCTCTCATAGCACATACATAGCATGAATCAAGTGACTATAACATGAGAGGTTGGAATAACCCTGAGAGTTTGGGCTCAAATGCATTCAGGACCCCAACAGCTAAATTTTATGAAGCCTCTTAAGAATAGAAAAGGAAGGAAGGGGGCAAATGGAAGAGGCAGAAAATAACAAAAAGAACATTTTAGTTCAAGTCTCATCTATTCCAGTATAGCTACTTTGATAAGGGCTTCTGGTCTCCTCACATATAGCAGCAGATGGTCAGTTGAGGAACAAGAGGCTGTTTGGCAACAGTCATCTTTTGAAGAGTTTCTGACCTAGCTGGGTCTTGATTGACAGGTGGCTGTATCCAGCCAGTCAGAAGTCAATCGTATCCCTCAGGGAGGTAGCTTGACACCTTCTGGGAAATGCATTATGCATTATTATCGGCCAAATCTCCATCTTCCTGCCAGATAGAACCTATTCTGTTTGCATATTCAAGGGGAGATGTGACTTCTCCACTAAAGGAGAATGGAGAATGAGCAATTTTGGGCCCTCACTGCAATGACAGTTGTATATAATAGCATGTGGAAAAGAGGTTAAACTGACCTGTTTTCAGCCAAATGACTTCTATCAGTATAATTTGTACCTTTTGAAAAGGAAAAACTGTTCTTGTTCCTCCAGGATATAGCTGTGTAGGGATGGTGACCAGAATACACCACTGCAACAGGCGAGCCCAATTCTGGCTTTTCCCTTCTCTTGCACTCCTCCCAAGGAAGGTGCTGCTGAAACGAAAACAAACTCACTGTCACAGCAGCACCTATCTTTTCATTGCCATAAAGAAACAGGTTTTTTGTGCAGTGGCGGCAGTAGCTTTCTCCTCACTTGGAACCAAGGATTTTGTGTGTTTATATTCAAGTGCAAAGATGTGGTTAACTAAGTTTCAGATAAAGATTTCTGTGTGTGTGTTTATACAGAAGAAAGTTCCACTATGTTCAGTGGGCTAGTGTAGATCTGATTACATCCTTTGTGTCTTTTACCAGCTTCCAAGCCTTCTTAGACTGGCTTCAAATGAAATTCTGCATCATAGGACTTGCATTTTGATACTCGCTAGTTTTTACTTTAGTTAAACGATATCCAATTCACTATTTTTTTAAAAGCCAAGACAGAATTTGAGTATTACTAAATGTCATCCTTGTTTGAAGCAAATGGGTGGGGAGTAGATTTTTTTCTTTTGCAATCGCACTTTAAAGTTGACTTTGTACTATTCCTTTTTAAAAGCTACTATTATTGGGGAGTGGGGGAAGAGCATAAAGATTAAGTAGTAGAATATGAGAATTTTTTGATCAAGAGTTTTCATATATTTATTTTTGTAATCTTACCCTCTCATTATTCTGCTTCAGGTAAGAGATCCAGTTTGAAATACTGGTATGAGAAGGAGTGGTTATGCAGTGGTCACATGCATGGCTTAACATTTTTGGGAGAAAATTATTCCCACCAGAATGCTAAGAAAATAGTTGCTACGCACCAACTTCTTGGCGATGTACAAAAAGTGATAGAAGTACTGCATGGACTTCAACTGAAGATGAGCATTTTGCAGTAAGCATTGTTTTTGCAAGTTCTCACTTGAATCATGCCGCTAGATTTTTTAATAAGCAAGTGTGGTTAGCATTGCAGATAGATCTCTGTTGTGTATGGCGTTCTGTACTGTAGATCTGAATTTGTAATAGGCTAGTGTGGCCTTGCTGCTAACCCATCTTGAGAACTGGACACAGTGACCTTCCATCTCATGTGCTCCCCCCTCTTCTAGTATAGCTGCAACGGGAGAGTTCAGAAACTGTCACTTTCACCTTAAATTAACCACAGCTGGCCATGCCATCCAATCCTAGACAAACTGATCTCAACTATAGTTAGTTGAAATAAACCAACTTCAGACCATATTTTATTAAGCTGACCATAGTTTATTGACTACACTTGACTGCACACTTGTCCATGGTTAATTCTTAGCAGAAGTGAAAACTTCTGATGTTCTTGGAGAAAAGGGGGTAGGTCATCTGAATCGTCTGTAAAAGTTTTTAGTCTTGACTTCCACTTATTTACTTTTTTCATCAGAAGCAAAGAACATCCTGACTTGAAGCTCTGGTGTCAGCCTTGGAAGCATCTTGAAGTAGATGAAAAATCACACAGCACGCGCCTCATTCATATTGATGAAAACTGTTGCAAAGAGGAGACTACAAGTTACAGAACTTTTAATGGAACCATTGAGAAACCTTCAACCATTCCTTCTGTAGAGGAATCATATATCACTAGTGAACACTGTTACCAAAAACCTCGAGCCTACTATCCTGCTATAGAACAGAGACTTGTCGTGGAAACCAGAAATTCAGACATTGATGATGGTGTCAATAGGATAAGAGAGAATGGAGATGATACTATAGTAGAGAGATTAGGATGGGAGCTGGATAGAGAAATACACAAGTTTGAAAATGAATCAAAACATAACTACTCTAAGGTATGTTGCATTGAAGTATTTCTGAGTTTCCGCAGCTGGGAGAAGGAAAATCTTATCTCCAACACAAATAGATATGATGATCCCTGCACAGGGAAGAGCCGAGCTTGTATACGGAGGATGAGGCAGCATACCTGTCCATACAACTTGGAAATTCTGAGTAGTTGCTAATGGAAATAGAAATATACATATAATACATTGCTGGCCAACAATAGAAAATAAAATGCAAAGGTGAGTGTCAGGGGTTCAGAGAGAGAGGCACAGGGTAGGCAGGAGATGGAGAGCGAGGGGGAGGAATTCCAAGCCAGCGAGGAAGAGGATGACAATGACTCAAGGGATTCCATGAGTCTTTCCAGCGAATCAGAGGATTCCCAGAAGGGGGCGCCGGTGGTCAGGGCCAGGGAGCCCCAGGGGGGAAGTGTCAGGAGCAGGGTGCCAGCGGAGGATCCCAAAGTGGCAGCTGGGCGTCAGGACCAGCCTCCCCACCAAAGTGCAGTGAAGGGGGTGGAGTTTCCAGTGTGTCAGAGGAAGCAGCTCCAGCAGCAGAGAAAGGAGGGGGGTCAGAGCAAGCCGCCCTCCCGGAAGGGGAGGGGAGCAGTGAAGGGAGTAGTGTAACTGTCAAAAGGGAAGTTAGAGGTTTGGCGCGCGCGCCAAGTTCAAATGTAGAGGCGCGCGGAAATGCAGGGAGTGCGGAGGAGGGGCCAGGTCCCAAAGCCCGCAGGAGGGGGGAAGAGCAGTCTGGGGATTCAGCGTCAGAGGAATCCAGAAGGGGCGCAACCCCAGGGGGCAGAAGGACCCTGCGGAAAAGGAAGGAGAGAAAGAGGTGGAGCAGCGCAAGTCTCTTAAATTGGTGCAGAGGAGGAACTGACTCAGAAGGGGACTTCGGCGGTCTAGCGTAAGAGACGTAAGGCTGCGCGCCTAGGATGTCAAGCAACCATGAACTGCAATAAACACCTTTGTATACAAGAAGACGTAGGCGTTGGTCTTTTGTGAGCTAAGACTTGAGGCAGCCTTGACAGTGAGAATTGCAGGCTGTATCTAATGCTGCTCCTTGCACCAACAGAAGGCTCTTTGATCAATTGTAGAGAAAACTGGAAGGGAAGTGATTTCCCCCACATCTTAGACTTTTCCGGAGGTTCTCTTAACTCCTTAAAGTAGATTTTGGGCACATGCGTAGGGCATCACCAGGAGGGGGTAATATCATCTCCCTCCCTATTCCACTGGCAAAATCCTCTGCTGAATCAAAAAGCCTTCTGTCAGCACAAGGGACTCCATTTGATACAACCTGTGCAACCGAAAACCCCTCACATCGGAAAATTGTGATGAAATTTCAGAGTATAGACTATTTGTCAGGAGAGCTGTATAGAACTAACATGCCTATCTATTATTTAGAAAGGTTACATTCTGTTCTAATTTGGGTGTCCCTTTTTTATTTTAAAAAAAGAAAAGTTAACTATCTTTCAGAGTGGAAGTATTTTCTATATAATACAACAGTATTTTTACTCTGTGATTCTCTTAGGCCTTACTTCTGTGATGACTGTATATGAACCATATATTAAGACATATCCATAAGAGTACACAAGCTTTAATATGTGTTGTTTTAATGTTTGTGTTAATGCTCCATATTATTTTCCAAACTGTACTCTGAAAAACAGCTTGTAGTCATAAAACCCAGAGTTCTGCTGTATCTGACAAAGGAACTTAGTGATATACAATTGAACCTTGGTTCTCGAACCTAATCCATTCCAGAAGTCCGTTTGACTCCCGAAACGTTCAAAAACCAAGGAGCAGCTTCCAGTTGGTGCAGGCACCCTGGAAACAGTAGCTGACAGCCGCATCAGACATTCGGCTTCTGGAAAAAGTTCGGGAGCCAATTTGTTCGTCAGCTAAGCCGTTCGAGAACCAAGGTTCCACTGTATCTATTTATACTTTCTTTTGATCCAGAAGTAGCCCCATTTGTAGAGCCAGATTTTCCTTTAAATTACATTGACTGATTTAATGCCTATAAGCATCATTAATTTGTGTATTTTGATAGGTAAGAGAAAAAGTCACATCGGAGGAAGCTATTGAAGTAAAACTGCTGGAGAAAGACAAGGAAGGAGTTGTGAATTCCCAGCTGCAGTGGCAACTTAACCTTCTGGCCCACGTTGAGTCTCTGCAAGATGAAGTTACTCATAGGATGGATTTAATTGAAAAGGAGCTGGATGGTAATGATTTGTTCTTCCCTTTACAACCTTTGCCAGCTTACAAAGTTATCTTTCCAGCAGCTGGTGGAGCATGAGACTCTTAATCTCAGGGTCATGGGTTTGAGCCCCATGTTGGGCAAAGAGATTCCTGCATTGCAGGGGGTTGGACCAGATGACCCTTGTGCTTCCTTCCAACTCTATAATTCTATGTAACTTGTAAACACATTCAAATTTCTTTCAACCTCTTTCCTAATAATTCTTTGGCATAGCTACCATGCTCAGAATTCATATTGTCATTGAGCTATCCACCACAGCCCAATATATGCCTTTCCTGTGTAGCCATTGCCACTTGAAATCCCAAGAGTGTACTTGGGAAGTTACGAATTTTTTTGCCTTAATTGTGCACCACTTTATAGTTTTGAACCCCATTTGCCATTTTCTTGCTCATTCATCTAGAATGAGGAGAGTCTTTTGGAGCCGTCACAGTCTACCTGAATTTTCACTATAATAAATCCAGATAATTTGGTTTCTGCAAATTTGCCCACTTCAGTGTTCATCCCTAGTCTATGGATGAAAAGGTTAAATAGCATTGGCTCCGATAACACCATCACTCCATAGTGGATAAGTGGTGGGAGCTTATTCCTGTTCTCTGTTTTCTTTTTAGCCATTTACTAATCCATAGCACCGCCTGCCTTCTTACTCTATGACTTTACTTGCAAACCTTTGAGGAACCACCCTGACAAAAAGCTTTTGGCAAGTCCAAGCATATGATCCTACTGGATCACCACATCCATGCGCTTATTGGCAGAATTTCAAAATGTGATGAGGCAGAACTGTCTTCCCTTTGTAGAACCCATTCTGATTTGTTCTTTTTATATATTTCATTTTTCTAGCAGATACTCTGGTACAAACGTTAAGCTAACTGGCCTGTGATTTCCCAGAGCCTTTTTAAAAAATTGACATTTTGTTGGCTATTTTCCAATCCTCTAGTACAAATTAGTTACCAGTGACTGATGTGTGCACATTTTTAAACATTATTCTTTTTTTCTTCCAGTTTTGGAGAGCTGGTTGGATTATACTGGAGAGCTGGAGCCACCAGAACCACTAGCTAGACTCCCCCAACTCAAACATTGTATAAAACAACTCCTCACAGACTTGGGCAAAGTGCAACAAATAGCACTTTGCTGTTCCACATGATACTGGAGACTTCTACGTGATGGCTGGAGGGCATCACATGAATTGATCACTCTCTGTTAAATGGAATAGCATGCTTGTTGCATGTGATGCAGAACTGACTTCAGGGAATTGTTTAGGGACAAGGGTCACTCTTCAGAAAAGTGATGGGGTTGCCCTTACCTTTTGTTCATTTGGCTTTTGCTAGGCATTTTTAACATTATGGAAAGGGATTTAGTCTTGTCTTCAGAGGCTAGGAGCAGGCTGGTAATAAGACTTTTCACTCCTTGTATCAAGTTGTTGAATTCAACATTCATGTTCTTTGCATACATACACTGACAAAATTGTGCCACTGGAGAACAAAGTTCTAAGAGCCAAAAATGATTAGTTGACCAAGGCTGTAAATTACATTCTGCATAGTTTATTTAAATAACTAGTGCACCAGACAGTCATACTTTATTTCTAATGGTTTATGCATAACCACAGTATTTAATCAATAGAGAAGATGTTATTTTCAAGCCTAGCAAGTATGAATGTCTAATTTAATTGTAAACTGTTACAAGAGGTTTGCAGATTATGACCTGAAACTTGTCTACTATTTTGAATAGATGTAGTAGAAGGTCACAACTTGGTTGCACTTCTTTTCTTAGTAAATGATTGTTTTCCGTATTTATCATGTCATTGTAGCATGACTTAAGGTACTGGGAAACCCTTTCTTTTGTTGTACTTCTGTACATTCTTGAATTTCTAAATCTGGCCATGCTGTGCCTCTCATGACCTAGTGCTGATGAGACACCCTCATGGCAGGGGACAGGACGGTCGGTGAGATATAAGGTGTACTACAGATTCAGATTTGTCTGTGATGGACACGGTGTAGTTTTCTACCCTACTGTTAATAATTGCCATTCCGGTTATAGTTTGAAAAGTAGTCTTTTTCAATATTATAAACTTTCTCATTGTAGAGACTTGTAAATGTGTGGTTTTGGGAATCAGTTTATTTTATATTTGTGTAAATGGAACCTCAAGATCTATGCATGAGGTACTGCCCCCAAAGCATGGGGGCATTATGTTAAAACAGTATGTTTCAGAATCCCTTTTTGTACTTTTATTTAGTTTCCTTATTTGTATTATTTGTGAGATCAAAGTGAAAATGCTGCTTATGTTGAAGCTACATTATACAGTACCTTTTGGAAACATTGGTGTATTGTAAGTATTCGTTATGATCTGCAGACAAACCTTTTTTAAAAACATATTTCCATAATTGATTTTGTGTTGGACAACACCTGGGACAAAAGTTACTTCAAGCTGGACAAGAATGGACTATTTTTCATTGATGGTGTTCTGAATGTTGGATTTTTTATTACCTTGATATCAGTTGTTTTTGACACCACCAAAGTTTTAAAATTAAAGCACATTTGTGAGTTGAAGACCTGTTAAGTGACAAATTGATAATTATGGATATAAATCTGTAATGTTTATATGCTGCAGAATTGATTATGTAAATTTCAGTTAGCCAATGTTTGTCATAGGAGTAACAATTACTTCAGTTAACATTTTGACCAGCTAATTTTTTCAGAAAGAATTATTACACTATTCTGAGTTGAAGCGAAGGCTTTTGTGCCAAGACTAATTTCAGGGAATAATTTGTCTCCAATTTATTGGCACTTATTGATATGAGTGTAACATCTGTACAGCAGATAAACTTATTTTGCTGTAATAATTTGGAATAAAGCTTATGTGACCATTAAATGACACCTGGCTGTCTCAAAGTAGCATAGTGCTTGTATTACGGGAGTGTTCACAGCAATATTTAGTTACGTAGCCAACACCAGCTTTATATCTTTCCCATTGTGAACAATGAAGGTGAGTGATTTAACAGTTGTGATCTGCTGATGTTTGAGGGGCTTGCGGTTCTTCTTGTTTTGCCATGTAAATATCCTTTACAGATGTTGAGCGAAGTGAACTCTTAAAGTGAACTTTGCTGAAATGCAGAGCTTTATAGGAGTAGTCATAAATACACAGCCAAGCTTTATTATTTAAAAATATTATAAATACATATATATAGTCCTCGTAAATGAAGCCCATCAAGGCCGTGTGCCATCTTGCTGAAGTTGAGCAGGTCTGGGTTTGGTCAGTAGTTGCATGGGATCCACGTGATGGAAGACCAGCAGAATATAATTATTAAGTAGATAAATTAATGTGAGCGAGCATTAAAAACTGTAGAAAGAGGTCAGTACTGAAGTCCCGTCTTCCACATTCCAGAAATGCTTCCCAACAGTAGCCTTAAGTGTATTTGCATCTTTCTCACTTTTCACTGATTGTGTCCTCTGACGGCAGCTCTTCAGTCATTAACAGGTAGGAAGTGACAGCTTCCCTCAGGCCCAAGCTAATTGGCGAGTCTTCTGCTAGCGGATTTTCTGCCAACAAGTCTGAGCTAGACAGGAGAAAACATTGAAAGATTAAAATATGCTGTGAAGCAGAAGGATAAACATCCTTCTCTTGCAAAGACGTTCTCATTATAGCATTCTGGTAGATTGTTCCCACACAAAAAGCAGGCAGACTTCCCCACTGCTTATCCCAATCATACCACTGTCAGAAACTTGCTTTTATCTCTTGTTGCTATTAGCAAGTGCAACCAAATGCTTCTCTTGCAGCAGAAGTATTTACCCACTACAGATTAAATGGTCTTATGCTTGCTGCAACCAGCGAATCATCACAGCAGCGACCGTCTGCAAAGATTGCTGTCTTCTCCTCAGAGGAAGGATGCCCAACCAGAACATGGTTTTGAAGGCTGATAGTGCATCAACATGAATTCATACAAGCCAGAGCCCAGATAAAGAGACTGCTTAGGAACTCTGTACTGAGTTCTGTGCTAGAAGAAAAGAGGATAATAATAAAATACCTGCTGATCTCCTCCCAGTTGAGAGCTGGCTTCTTTACTACCATTGTTTCGGAAAGATTAGACTTCTGCCACAATGTAGAGCCTTGGATGAAGCACGGCTCCTTCAAGCAGCAACATAAGCCATCTCCAACTTCTGTTAACAAAAGGAGGAAAGAATCTCCTAATCTGGGCCTTCCATGCATAGCCACTAGGTATTCCAGACCAAGCGCAAAGTAGTAAACAAAACTAAACTGCACTGATCACCACATACTTGTTTCAACCTTGCTATTTTAAACCAGTGTGTTGGTGGCAGCACAAGAGGTGAGGAGCCTTTTCCAGCTCAAGGGCCACATTCCCCTGTGGGCATCTTGGAGGTTGCATGCCAGAGCAAAAGATGCAGCTCCTAATTTTGTGCAGTAGACTGACTTGCATGTAAAGAAGGTGGAGGTTTCTACACACACGCATTCAAGGCATGGTCATAATTCAAGGATACATCCTAGCCAAGTCAAAGTACTTGGAAGGATGCAGAGCAAGCTTGTGAGTCAGATAGAAGCGATTGGAGGGCCCACCACCACCACTTTAGCATGAGCAAGGAAAAGGCATCCTGTTGCGTTCCCCAATGCAAACAAGCAGGCTGCAATTTGTGTGAGTGGCAGCACACTTGCACACCACCCAGAACTAGTTTCACCAAGCATAGGGTTGAAACCCATGTGCTGAATGAAGTTGAGCAGTGCAAAAAGTACAAAATAAGTTGGGTATCAAATTGTGATTTCTCGTGGCCAGGGAAGCTCAGCTTTCCCACTCCTTATTCTACAGAAGCAACGTGAGCCTCTTTTCCATCTGCTGCCCAGCCAGGAAGTTTAGCAGAGGAATAGCAGGCAGTGTGTACAATTGCATGTGTGAAGAGCAACCATCCAACCTGTTAAAGTCATGGATGAGGAATTTGTATTGCTCCAGTGGTTGAACTTCCAACTCCCATCATCTCCAGGCAGTATAGCTAATGGTCAAGGATGATGAGAGTTTGTAGGCTGTTAACATCCAGAGAATCGGAGTTTCTTGTGCATGAAATGTAATTCCCAGTACAAAGTGCACAAACAGAGTCAGTCTGTTATCATGGACTGGAGTTTGTTACAGTAATTCTTTTAAGGTAGTCTTATGGCAGCGTATACTACAGGCTTTTTCCTGCATTGATAGCTGCCGCTTATAGAGCCCTGATGATGCCTCTTAAGCACACACTTGTTTTTTCTGACAGGAGTGCACGGCAGCTATTCTCTTCTATGGCAGAAACTAAAGATGTTACACTTGGGTCAAACCTGCTGATATGAGAGATGCCTCTTTCATCAAGAGTCCATCTCATTCTCTACCTCCATCTATCCCTCACTTGCTAGTGCAAAATGACCGCCTACACAGGTATAACAGATGGACTGGTCCACCTACTTACCCACTGAGCTTTAGCACAACTCTCATCTTTTTACACAAGAGGATTTATCAAGGCCTGACTTCAGTTTTGGAGAGGACTTGGGCAGGCTGTTCTCCATAGAGCCTCCCAGTGCCCTCTGGCATTTGGGCTCGCCTGCTGCAGCCTCCCTTCTCGAGGGAACCAGTGTATCCAACCCACTACAGGCTCCTACGCACTACAGCAGGGGTCGGCAACCTAAGGCCCATGGGACACAAGTGGCCCACGGGGGTCATTTAACTGGCTCCCAAACCACCCGCTCAGCGAGTCCCCACGTGCTGCACCAAACCAGCACGGTGTAGGGACTCGCTTTCGTAGCGCCAAAAATCGAGTCTGCGCAGACGCCAAAAATTGCGGGCACGCACGCGATCCGGCCCACGGAGGGATCTCCGCTGGAGTGAACCGGCCCAGGCAAGGTAAAGCTTGCCGACCCCTGCACTACAGCAACAAGGTGGGAGACTGCCAGCCTCCCCCCCCCATACACTCGCACTCAGGCTTAGCTGGTGGCTGAGTAAAGGGCTGCTGCTGCAGTAGCAGGGCATGAGCAGGTGTAGGAGGAAGTGGCTGGCTGCTGTGAGAATACAGCCACCAGAGGGCCCAAGGTGTCAGCCCAGTATGCCAGGTGCTGACACCAGGACTGCGTCGTAACTACTGGAGGCCGCCTCAAGCAGGAACAAAACAGAATTTAATCTCTCCCTTTTATCAACCCGGAAGCAGGGAAAAACAAAATTACCAGAATAGTACTCCACCAGCTCCTGCAAGCTTGAGAAGGTGAGGCGAGGGGAGATGTACAGCCAGCCGTTTTCCATGCAGTTAATGCGATAGTGTTTCACGCAATCCCAGGAAGCACGATTTGTGTGTCTGATAGACAAAGAGTAGCAACCTGCATGTGAGAGAGAACACCATCAGGCCACAAAGTAGTGTGAAATATCACCTCTGAACTTCCTGAGCCACATTCTTCAGCCCACTTTGTTCCCTAGAATCCAGCGAGTCAGAAGATTTCTGAAGAGACTCAATACCTTTCTTCATTTGGCTCTCTCTGATCAGAAAATAACCTTCACTGTTGGAAGGCAGCAGCAACAGCTCCTCAGCCTTTGATCGGCTGATGCCCTCATAGAGCCACCTGGAAGAGAAGCACACGCCCCTGTTACTGCCCAGAACACTTGTCCCATGCAGGCTAAGACTGGATCCTCCAGGGATATGCACTCTTAGGCAGCTCTTGGGGGGGGGGCAGACATCCTGAACTGCCCTACTGCTGCCCAAATTACTCCCAACCAGACCATTTATATTGCTGCAGCATAAACAGGAAAGCAGAAACTCCTACCCGTGAGAGATTTTGGCAACATGGTTGCTGGGAACATAGCAGCCTTTGCCCGTGGTTACTGACTCCACTTTCCACCATTCACCATCTCTGTTAAAAGAAAAGCATATTGTAAAATTGAGCATCAAGACTTTCCAATGACCTCTTCCTTGAAGATCTTCCCTATTCATAATTGAGAACTAGGGAAAGGGGCTGGCCATTACCGCGACAAAAATGCTTATACTGTTTCCAGCAGCTTTCCTTTTTAAATAACAGGGAGAAAATCTGTTATTTGTTGATAGATGGGGATAAATTCGACATAGCACTACGAGAATGTTCAGTCGGTGTAAGGATTTCTGCTTATACAATGGAACATTCTCCCTCTCTCCTCCCCCCGTGCCCCCTAACTGTTCTAGGGGTTCCCCCAACCCTCTGGAGCAGATATGGGGAGGGTGTGGCTGGGGGAGGAGTGGAGGGGAAGTCCCATCACACAAGCAGAAATCCTTGAGATCAGGGGATTCCTTAGTTGGATAGTACCCAATGTTTCTCAGTTTCCTTAGCAGCCCAGATGGATCACACAAAATTTCATCATATAACATGAGGTCTCATGTGCTGGAGACCATCTATGCGAAAATGTATTTATATACTATTTGTATTTCTGTGGTGACAAATGGTTTCTAAAAATTAAGTTTGACTGGCTGACTTGTTTCTTACATTTGTATACCACCTTTTTCTCCAATGAGCTAAAGGTGGTCTACATGGTTCTCCCCTTTCCATTTCTCCTTACAACACCTCTGTGAGATCGGCTAGGCTGAGGGACTTTGACTGGGCCAAGGTCACCCAATGAGCAGGGAATTCAACCACTGGTCTCCCAGGTCATAGTCCAATTCTGTTATACCACATTGGCTCTCAATTATCTTTTATATATTTTGTGGAGACTCAAGTAGAAGCCAAAGGAACTGGGCCTTAAGCACAAACGACAGAGAGCTTAGCCATATCACACTTCAAAAAGTCTCAGAGTTCAGGCCAGTTCCACAAGGACACCCTTGTTCCGCACCTTCGTGTATGTCTCAAGATGGGTAGGGGGAATTCTGTCATTCATCATCTCAGTGCAAGTACTCACTCAGATAGCAAATTCAGCTGCTCTCCCATCCACAGTATTGGCTCTGCATGTCCAGAAGGGAAATTACACACAGCAACAGCTATAGGGGTACTCTCACCTACAACTTAATAAATAAAGACATAGTTAACAAACGACTTACAATCTTTCCATGCCTTGAGCTTTCCTACGAGCTTTCCTACTGCCCTTGAAGAGTATCGGGAAATTTCAGGTGTCCTAGGAGCAGGGTGCACTCTTATTATAACAGCTGCACTGGCTTCTAGTTCATTTCCAGACACAATTCAAAGTGCCCTAAATTCAGGCCCTAAATAGCTTAGGCTTAGGTTATTTAGCTGGTACAGTGGCTGCTGTTAATTTTTAGAGCTCTAGTTGACTGGGTTTTATGGGTTTTTAGCCTTTCTTTGTTAACTGCCCAGAGAACATTGATGATAAGCCAAGTACAGTAGTACCTCGGGTTACAGACACTTCAGGTTACAGACTCCGCTAACCCAGAAATAGTACCTCTGGTTAAGAACTTTGCTTCAGGATGAGAACAGAAATCGTGCGGCGGCAGGAGGGCCTATTAGCTAAAGTGGCACCTCAGGTTAAGAACAGTTTCAGGTTAAGAACGGACCTCCAGAAGGAATTAAGTTCTTAACCTGAGGTACCACTGTACTGGCAACAAATGATCTAAAAGGCTTCCCATACAGAAGCTGTGCAAACCTTCAAATCAACAGAGGCGGCTTCTCTTGACATCCCATTGGTGGCTGGGGCACCGCAAAAGGCTTATTGTGGGACTCCCTCCTCAGGGGGGTTTGTTTTGCCCCCTCTTGGCTGCCTTCCCCTGCCTGATTAAGACATTCCTGCTTCACCAGTTAGTTAGCCAGCAAAGCTGAGAAGTGTTTAAACTAGTAGTGGCAGCCAACATGGTGCCTTCCATATAGGGATGGGACTTCCAGTTCCCATCAGTCCTAGCCAACACATCACCAATGGTCAGCAGTGGTAGGAGTTGTAGTCCGAGACTATCCAGAAGGCACCACTTTGATTCTCCTAGTCCCGGATCATCCTTCCCCCACCCGGTACCTTCCACTGTGCTGATGGTCCCAAGTTAGCAGTGGTCATTCATTTCAGTGGATCTACCCCGAGTAGGACTAGCATTGGATGCAACCCTAAGCTTTCTATGTCCAGGGATCGGTAGCACAGAACAACCTCCCACCTTGTGGCCTGACACCACGGCTGAGGCCAAGGGCCTGGCTGTTCTGCACGTTGGACTGTGGGCTTGGCTGAGTAGCAATCTGCTTCCTCCTGCTGGGCAAACTTCCCATCACAGTCTGCCGTCAGCTGGTAGATTTAAGTAATAGTGGTCTAAAATCACAGTATTGAGAGAGACCTTTTAACAAGAGAGAAAACAGAGGGTCATCAGCATCAACTTCAAGGTTGCATCCAGCCTCCTGTTGAGCTTCCATTCAGTTGCTCACCAATGATATAAGAGCTTTTTCTACATGCTAAAACTAAATGCTGATCTAGGTTCCCAGCTTGGAGTCCTCTGTCCTTGGCTCCACTCAGTCACATGCTCCAAAGGACCTTGTGCTCAGCACCTCTTCTATCAGCCATTATCCATCATTTGCTCTGAACTCAGTTATCTGCCAAGTGTTTGAAGTGTCCTTGCATTGTGTTAGGGAAAGAGGCAAGAAGCCGCAAAGCCATTTGCTGCCCCTTTAAGATGTTACTGGCTTCATCATTGGTTTGGTTATTGATTTGAGTCCGCAAGGCAAGATAACATTAATAGCCCAAGCAAGAATTAGTTAACCCTGGAAATAGACTCAAAAACAGAGGGGTCATGAGGACGTAAGCTGGCCTGGCCTGTGAAAACAAGCTGGAGTTATGCCTCTGTAAAGCATTATAGTCAGGCTAGATTAAGAAGGACTGAAGCCTTGGAGTTGTACTACTCTGCAAGACTGCAGTACCAAGAAAAATATGGATCTTTATAGTACAAAGGTACACCATCCTGGTTAAAGGAAACAAAACTGGATGTCTAGGATGCTAGCACTGAGCCCTCCCTTGCCTTCTTTTGTATCTTTAGCCATGTGAAGTAAGTTGGTGGGCAAAAGTGAGCAAAAACCATGAGAAGCGAGTTTAAAAATGAAACTACACTTGCTCAGAGTGTTGTGGTGTTGTTTTTGTAGTCCATGAAAGCTTATGCAACAATAAATTGCTTAGTCTTTATCTGAGGTATCTGATAGCTCAGTCAGTAGGGCATGACACTCAACTAGGTGACCTTTGGAATCCCTTCCAACTCTACACAATTCTATGATTCTATGTATTTCCTTACTTCGTGCATTCATTTTTTGGATAAGAGGGGCCACATTTGGGAAACTGGTGTAGGAACCCCCAACCACTTTAATCCAGCCTTGAGTTGCCCAGTAGGGGGTGATTAACACTCTTCAGTGAAGACTATCCTACAGTAGAGGTGAACAAATGAGGAATCTCTGCAGTACAAAACACAGCCAAGTTAGGACATGTCACACTCATTTGAAAAGATGGAACTTATAGCCTTAGCCATAAGTTTGATGTACTCCCAAGTACTTTGCAAATCAGTTTGGACTGTACTGCTGAGAGCAAATGCCTAGGATGGCAGTGTTAAGATACCATCCATTTCTAACCTGGTTACAATATACACTGGCTAATCGTGTTTGGAAGTGATGGCTCCACTATCTTTGAAACTTATGTCTCACCCACAGCTTGGAAGCTAAACAGATTACCTATTGATAAAAGAATCTTTGAGTAGAGTTTAAGTCCGTACTCAGTATGACCAGGCAACAAAGATCAGTTCTGGATCTCAGCCCTGGTGGCCAGTAACATAGCTATCTGCCCCAACAATTAAAAAAGGCTTTCCTAAAGTTAACCTGTAGTGCTGTTTTTTTGTTAGTAGACTAAGCCTCATGGTTACTCTTCACACCTCTGTGGTTTCCACCTTGGTACCAGGGACATTCAAGGCTCCTCTTTCACTATTCTCCTACTTATCTTAATCCTACAATGAAGCGCACTTCAGCAAAGCATTTATTCACCTACAGTGGCCTCTTTGCCCCACCAGTCTTCTACTACTATCACCATAAAATCTGCCAAACCCTTGGTTCCATTTCTCAAAAGCATCATGGTCTCTAGCGCCATAACAGTTCCTTCTGCTCCCAGTGATGCGACTGTGAGCACCACTCACCTGTCTATCCCAGCACCAAATGGCCACAAGCTCTTCAGAAATCACAGCAAGATGGTGATGCGACAAGAAGAAAGAAGCTCTCTTGCAAAACAGGACCCTTGAGGACAGTTGGTAGGGTGGAGCCCAACCCCAGTTCCCCTGGCTGTAATAGTTTCTGGATAGGAGTCAGAACACTGGGTCGCATCACTCAATACATAGGGATGCACCAACACAAATCTAGACCTATTCCTTTAATGAACAGTGTTCAAAGATAAACGCACCTGACCAGATTCTCTGCATTCAGTGCTCTTCAGTAGTTTGGATTTCTTGCTGCAGCGTCTTCCAAGCAACAGGCTGTCCTCTTGTTCTGTACACAAGTACACAAGTAAAATCCAAGCAGCAGAATCCTCTTGGCCCTTCTTCCCTGAAGCACAGCTTAAGCCAACAGCCGGTGAGTTTGTGCTGCTCCTGTTGTTTGACTGCATGTTCTTGAGAAGAGCCGAATCTCGAGAACCCACAAGCTGCTCAATTTCCTTTTGACGCAAGTGGAAAAATGGTTGGTGTGACAGAAAAAAAGGGGGGAGGAAACCACACAGAAAACAGATGCTTCTACAACCGTGTTTGACTTTATTTTACCACAAAGTAGAGTCAGGTAATTGTAGCAGGCTAGATACTACCTGTGGACTGGTGGCCAATTATGGAGAATGGCCTTTCTTGTCCCCCAAAGGAACACCATTGTTCTAGAATCTAGACAGCCAGGTACACACTGCATGGAATTGCAAGTTTTAAATCCAGAAAGTGTCTCGTGTAGCGGAGGTGGTTCAGTTTAGAGAACCAAAGGGCATAGATGTGGAGGTGGCATACCTGCCCTGCAGTCTCTTTTCTCCGGCATCTATTTTGCAGCCAGGCTCACACCAGGCATCAGAGTCTGACTGAGGGGAAAGGGATGCTGAGAGAGGTTGCAATGGAGAAAGCAGCAGGGAATGTGAGGGCTTTGCGCTCCTCACAACCTGCCCTGTTTACTCCCTAAAACGGGGCAGCAGGTCCAGGTTTAGCTACCTGGCTCTGCCAGCATCAACCTGCTCATGCATTTGGTGGCCGAAGAATACTGCTTTAAGATCATTGGATGAATTAATGTTTTCAATTGCTTTTAGAATGCTTTTGCTTTGTTTTTAAGTGGTACATCTGTTTGCCTCCCTGGGCTCCTTGGGGAGGGGAGGACTGGATATAAATTCAGTAAATAATGACAACAACAGCCCTACTTTGGTCCTTAAGCAATGCAGTTGGTTGGTTAGCTTATACAAACTTTCATGTGACAGGAGGCCTCAGTACTATTAAGTTCCTGCCTACCTGCCATTTATGAGATTGTATCTTTCACAGCAGCCTAAAATAAACTCCTATCACCACCACCATCTCCAGCTGGTGGTGAGTATAGACCTCACAACCAACCAAACGCCTCACGAAAACAAACAATGGGTGAAACAAAAGTGGAGCAAGTGGTCAGTGGAATAAACCTATTTTCTGCTCTTTCAGGGCAATACTTGATGGTATAATAACCATTTTATCCAACTATTTTCAAGTTGTTTTCTTACCATGAGATGTAGTTCTGATAACACCTCTGCAGTTTCCTCAGTCCCATGGAAAGAAACGTGAGTAGCGAACATCATGAACATTTTCCATGAGCACTCGTATTTCTCTGTATTTAGAGATCCCGATGAAGCACTTTGTTCCCTGATGTTCCTGTTAACTAGTCACAGCCCCCAGATTGCTACATCAGGAAGTTTAGATGTCCAATGTAGATTTTTTTTATATTAAAAAAAAATCATCCATGAACAAGTGGAGCTTTCCGGCAGTATTAGTCATAAATATTATGTATGCAAAGACCTCACAAAGCTACCCTCAGAATAACGTGAGGCTGCATTTGCGTAGGCAGCACCCAAAGGTCACAAGGGCACATTGAGAAGTAGATGGAAGAATCTGGGTTAATAAGGTGTCAGACATATATTCATAACATATTCAAAACAGCCACTCAAAATCATTTTGATCAAGAAACCTGGAACCTCCACAATGCTTCTCCATATGGTATATACATCGTATGTACCTTAGCGGATCATTCCAGGTGTTAAGACCTCTGGTACTATCAATTCTGTAATGGTGTGTGTTAAGAGACAAGCAACTCCAATTGTAAATAACAAGGGAGTGTACACATTTCAGCAGCAGGCATGGTTTTGTTAACTCCGTCTCGAAGAATTTACTATGCTTATGAAGTTCCGTGGTAATGCTGTCCCAAGCAGAGAGAGCCATACTCTCATGTGAGAATTACTTTTGCTCACCCTTTTTTTGGTTCAATTTGTTGATTTTTAGTTACAGAAACCACTCTTTGGGGAAATTCTCTTGCGCAATATAAACGATCTGGAGGTGGGGGAGAGTCAGGGATCTCTGAGAAAACCACACCCACCTGAGGACATTTCCCCCCAAAGGTCTTTGCCCACCCCCCAGCGGCAGCATAACTCCTAGTGCATGCTGCTTTCTGTTGTCCATGTGCATTTTTGGGGGGGGGGGGAGAAACCAGTGTGCTTTTCTTTTTTAATGGACTTTCCTGCATACCTCATGGATCTCTCCACAGCTTAAAGGACCCAATAGAGCCTTGTTTCTTTCACATTTCTGGTACTTGCCCAAACTGAAATACTAAAGTTTATGAATGGGGACTGTACTAGGTCAAGGTGGTGTCATAGCCCTGGGCATGAGTCCAAAGGTGAGCTGGCTAAGTCTGGAGCAGCTGTACTGGTGCTGGCCTTGAGCTCACGGAGTCCAAGCAAGGAATCTTAAATAGCTGCCTCCTGCACTGTGCCTGCCCAACAATATGGGGAGTGCATCAGGTGGGAGGCCACTGGAAGAGAGATTAACACTTATTTTCTAGATGTAGCCCTTTAAGATCCACATTCTTCAGGCCAACAGGGTGGGAACAGTGGTGTGTGTGTGTGTGTGTGTGTGTGTGTGTGTGTGTGGACTCATAAGGCCTCAGTAAGAACAATATGCTTGCTTAGAAATATCTTTGGTGTTGTAACTACTTACCATGGGTTCCAGCTCAGAACAAAATATGAAACATCATGAGTAGTCTAGGAAAGAGCAGTTCCCATAGGGCAGGGACGTCCGACTCCCAAGAGGCTGTTATCTACTCCGGGGGGGGGGGGTGTCTAGCAGTGATCTACACATTTGGGGGGACGAACCCAAAGTTGTTAAGCTTTTTCAGGGGAGCAGGCCAAAGCTGTTGAGTTTTTCGTTTAGTTTTCGCAATCGTGTGCCACTGAAGGGAAGAACAAGGGGGCTGGGCCAGATGCTCTTTTTCCCACGCGGAGGGAAGGGGCCCTGTGACCAACAGCAATCAACCGCAATCTACCACTATCATCTGGGGGTTGACCTGTCAATTGCGGTTGACCAGTTGGACATCCCTGCCATAGGGTAAGGGGACTTTCAGCATCGTGTTACCCTTTATTTGTTCATACTCTTCCCTCCACCACCCCAATCTCAAAATTCTGGATGAAATTTACATGCTATAACTACACAACTTGATTTTTTTATATTATCTACACCTCAGCCTCTCTACCATGGCACTCAAAAACGACTCAAAAATATATGCACTGCATAGAAACATTGACGGGACACTAGCTATGCTGTCCATTGGGTTTTGTGTTTTTGAACATCGGAGAAACTCACTGTTTCATTTGATGACCAAGTCATTTGATGACAAAATCTGATAGTTCTGAGCTCTGGAAATTAATGGAGACTAGTCCAAACATGGAATAAACACACAGAGCCACATTAACAATGAGACTCGATTATAGCTTTATTTAATTGGTACGAATTTTCCCTCCCAAGCAGAATCTTCCGGTTCCCTATTTGAAACAGAGCTGAACCTGGTTTTTCCAAGGATCTTGGCCCCATGAGCCAAGTATATTCTGCCACCATATTATGAATAAGTCAGCAGCACATCAGCAATTATTTCACCCTCTTATCAGATCAGAAATCACACACTTCTGGTCTTCTGTGACCCAACGGGAAGCAGAAAAGCAGCAACCTTTAGAATGCAGGAGATCAATATAATCTGGGAACTATCTAGCTCCCAGGGCAAACCTACCCACTTCTATCAAGACTGCTGAATTTCTCAAGACAATAGAGTTTAATATCAGCCTATGAAAAATATATAAAAAAACAGGCCCTAAACAGAGCACACTGTTACATTATACAGTACACAGATGCATTCCCTTAGCTCAATACAAGCTCAAGACGCCTGCATGATGCAAGCAGAACAAATCATAGACCCAATATAGTCCCACCCGCACCCCAAGTTTTCGTAGCAACATAACTGCTTGGGGAAAGGCTATAAAATTGGCTTGCCTGTCCCTCCATATGTCCAAAACCATAATCTGAAGTCTCCGCTGACCAGTTTGCTAAGTTACTCCCACATATTGCAAACAGCATGTTTCATAATTAAAAGGCTTGGGGATTTCCCATGAGGAGGCTATAGCAGTGAATAGGGAAGTTTGCAGAATGCCAGTTTTAAACCAGGAAAATGGGGGTGGGATTGGACTACATACACTTTAATAGAACTGGCATTGCAATTGTAATGCATCAGTGTCCAGCAAGTTTAGCAAATATAGAATAAACACTTCCCGGTTGTTGAACATCAAAATTGCTGCTACATCAAAATTGACATTATTACCATAGAACACTGTGTGACTACTTGGACCTAGGCTGAAAAAACAATCCTCCATCAATGATTTAGAAATCTATGGTTTTTGAGTTAATATATAGTTCACTTTACTCAACCATTAAATATATTTTGGAAAATTCATTTCATTTTTGGAGAGTGGCTGCCTAACAGGTGTAATTGATTGTGCAAGTCACTATCATGAAACAGTCAGGGTAAGATATTTGTATGAACATCTTAAGCCAACTGTTTTCTTCTTCTTCTTCTCCAGCTTGGGAAAGCACTGGCCCCCCTGCTGCCCACCCCCAGGGTGGCAGAAGTCAGTCATTCTAAATATAATCCAGCTCCCTTTCCAAAGCCTCTATAACCCAGCACTCTGGCTACCGCAGAATGTATAAAATCCCTTGTACACTGCTGAATAGGACACTTTCATCAGGGAGAGCTAAGCTCATGAGAAACCTGGCTCTTTCTTTAATTGGTGTCCCAGCAGCCCTGGTAGGAGATCCTTTTGCATGCCTTTCACCCACCTCAGCTATGAAAGACTTACACTTCCCTACAGTGTGAAAATATGCAGCATATATGCCGGGATGCACTCAAGAATTCAGACAGTGCAGGATTCAAGACCCACCCACCCCTGAAGTTTTAAAACACTGAATCTTCACCCCTGCCCCAAAGACATTGTAAAGACTGCAGCCAAGAGCCCTAATAACCTTCAGCAGAAGCACAACTAGAAAGCAGTTCTAAGTGCACAAGCCACAGAAATTATTTGGATTCAAAACAAAACAGGAGACCCACCACTTTCACATGGTTTGACAACACAGAAATCAGGGCCGGGGGGGGGGGGAGGAATGGCACCAACATATACAGTAACTCTCTCCGTTAGCACCAATGGAATGTTAGCGCAATGGATGCGTGCAGATGTGACGAGCGCGCTGGGGAAGCTCACTTGCCACACTTGTGCCACACACACACAGTCTGAGCTCAGGAGGATTCTGATTTTCCAGTTTGAGTAGAAGCTAGATTAGCACAGCATTAATTGGCCAGCCCTTGAGTCACTCATAAACGTTCCCCATCCACCCAAAGCATTGCTCTGTGCAGCACCAATTAGCTGACAGCCATGGCTGACTCATGAAACCTCTCCACTTTCTCAGAGCATGTTCCAAAGAGTAAACAAAAAACCAACCAAGACCAAGCAAATACTCGCACAGAAAAAGCCTTTTTGTCAAAATGCTAAACATCGCAAGAAGCAGGTTACGTATGAAGGCCGGGAGCGGTGGTGGTGCGGAATAAACGCAAAGCAGACAGCTCACCTGAAACATGGCGGCCGTGTGGTGAGAAAGGAGAGAGAGACTGCTTTGGATTGTGTGTCAGCAAAGGAGCAAAGGCAGGGGAAAGTGGCGCTCACCCTGAACAACCAACCCTCCCCACCCCAAAGGCCCACAAGCCCACTCCTGTTTTCAGGAACGTCTGTACACAGCCTATGTTTCTGGAGCCAATGCAGGGAAAAAAGAAAAGATTCAGAACATAATGCCAAAGAGACAAATAGCTGAGAAGGTGGCAAGTAAGATGGGCAGGCACAAAGTTGGGAGGGGGACTTATTAATGCCACATGTTTGGGTGAACACTGGATTCTGGGGGGGTTCAGAAGGGGAGAAGAGGGATTGTCTGGATACAGAAGATGGTTGCTTGCTTAGCAGGATACTTCCATAGTCTGAGGAGCGCCAGCTGCTCCAGGAATTCCAGTTGCTGCCTCCCCTGGGTTGCTGGCTTGAGACCGTGTTTGACTGCTCTCTCCAGAGCCAACGCTGGAGGACGACTGGGTCCGGGAGCGGATCAGTCTGGTCATACTTGCAGATGGCACTGGAAGGAGAGAGGCAGTGAAGACCAGAAATAAGCAAGTTTTGTTTTACCTTACTAGAAAATGCCTTCGAAATGGAAGAAGCATAAAGTGGAAGGGGGGGGGAGTGGTGCTGCAGGAAAACAAACAAAAAGACGCATCACCTTTTTGGAGCTGCCTCCAAGGCGATAGCGCAATGTTACACTGGCAAATGCAAGTTTCCCAAACCCATGTGTACCATGGTGAAACAAATGTGGGGGGGCATTGTAAAGGAGAAACAGCAGGTGGGAATAGGTGCTTAATCCTTCCAATCTCCCCTGCAGATACAATCCCACCCAGCTGCTCCACCCCCACATTCCCTTGTTGTGCTTTCATTTTGTACCCCTCCCACTTGCAAGTGCCCCCTCCACATCTGCTGTATGATAGGGTTGCCTTATTTCAAACAGTGACAACCCGGACAGAAAAGTTGTTGAGTTTTGCCCAACCCTGTTGGACAGACATTGCTAGAGACAGCGGTCTTCCGGAAATTCCAGACATATGGCAAACCTATGTATGAGGAAATTTCGGGGTTGAGAATTCTGTTTTATTTTAAGCATATGGTTCCATTCTCAGGTATGAAAATGAAATGCACGCATATGATTGAGGATGCTTAAGGCCTGATGTGCATACCTGCCAAAGGCTCATTGCAATGCAGTCACCTCTCTGTGTGTGCATAAGAGACTGCTCACATAGTAGTTTAAAAAAAGAAGAAGATGATGCGAGGAATAATAGAATTTACTCCTGGATCATCACTGAGCTGCAGAACCATGCAACAGTCAACCAAATGCAAATGAAACCATTAAGAAAATTGTAGCGCAAGAAGCGTACAGTGGGATGGCCTAAGAATGCAAAATGTCGCCCGGCCATGCTGGAAGCAGAGTAACGCGTCAGAAAAAAAAGTAACTCAGTCAAACCAGCCACACACTTGTAGATACCTGACTCAGTGCTCAAGTGACTGAGCTGCACGTAAGGGACTGGAAGCAAAGACAAGAGAGGGAATGGGAAATACAGGTTAGTGTAGACATGACATGCCTAGAAGAATATACGCTGCTTGAGCACCAAGCCTGAACACTCAGTCTTTCAGTATTTGCAACATGGTAGAACTTCAGGCAATGTGCTTAACACCGCACTAGATGACCTGCAAATATAGTTTCTACTTTCTTGGGCCTTTAAATGTCAAGTGATTCCCCCCCCCCAACCCTAAAATTAATTTCTGTCAATGTACCTTCTTTTTGCTACAGGCACACAGATCAGGAAGACAGGTGATGCAGGAATTTCCCCCCGATGAAGTTATCTGTAGCAAAAGGCTTGATCCTGTTTTGAATACAAGTACAGGGCTGCCAATCTAACCACAGGATAGACCTTGGCAATTAACATTTTCCTTTCTGGAACTCTCCCAATTTAACCCACTCACTGAGGAAGTTGGGAATCTGGACAAATATGCCTACAGTTCAGACAAGGCCTTCTTCCAAGTCCAGCAATATACATGGCCCATATTGGTCAATAGTGAAAAACACCAAGTCTCAATGGGGGGAAAAAATAGACCTATCAGCAGCCTGGTGGGGTCTGAATGACAGGTAATTCCCAATCCTGCCCTCTGTGAAATAAGACACTGTTGTTATAACTTACTGTAGCCCATTCCCTGCACGAAATACTTGAAGGCTTCAGTCAGTTTCCCAGGCTGAAAAAATAAATATAAATATAAGCATAAACATAAAAATAGCCATTATTTATACCCCTAAAAGCATACAAGATGCAGGAGACCCACTAAAATGAGAGCTCACCTGAACGACTTGAGGGAGCCCTCCACAGTCTGCCATCTGCAAGAAGAAATGGGGAAAGGAGAGAGTCAAAACCAAGATAAAATGACATTCAGCTGAAAATGCTGAGCAAACAAATGAAGCCTAAATTAGCCCAGCAAGTGGTGGATTATAGCATCAAGCTGAGACACAGTGTCTATTTCCAGCAAACATAGCTTTAAATTGAAGTTTCCTCAGGGAAAGAAAATGAATGGCATGCTGAGACGGGGAGCCTTCAGTGACATTAGTCACTGGGGAAGACGGCGAAAGGGAAGTATATTTAATAGGGTTGAGGTTAGCCCTCATTTCTGGATTTGGACTAAGAGGAAGCACAGCTGTTAACAAACCCATTCCCTGCTGCCATTGCAGCGCAGCCTCCAGAGTACACTTAAATGCAGGTATACAACTCCGATTTCTTCCTCTGTCATAACACTAGAACTCAGGGACCTCAAATGAAGACTCGAGGCAGGCAAAAGAAAATACTTCTTCATGCAGGGCATTGTTAAACTATGGCATTCACTCTCGCATGAGACTTGGATGGCTTTAAAAGAGTATCACACAAGTCAATGGAGAATAAGGCTATCAGGATGTCACAATTGCTATTGCCCTCTGGATCTGCTTACGTCCTTCCCATAGGCATCTGGTCAGCCATTGTGAGAACAGAGTTATGAACTAGATGGGGCCTTTGGTCCAATCCAGCAGACTGTTCTTATGTAGTGGAGAATGGCAAACCAGGAACCACAATGAACTCTAGAATGACAGCCCCCAAGACAGCCAGTCATAGTTGATGGTTACCTTCAAGAGTGTTGTATTCATTGGATCCAGCCGTGAATTGCATTCAACCTACAAAGCATGAAACAGCATTTATTTCCCCCTCTCCGTTATTTATCTAATTCATAGTTATTACCAAGGATCCAGCGAAGGTGGGGACTGGATACAGGAATATCATACTTCAGCAGCAGCACATTAAAGTAAGGGATTTGGTAGATAAGATACAATGTCCCTGTTCTTTCTCGGTAGTCGTGCCCATCCTGTGGAACACCTTTCCATCAGATGTCAAGGAAATAAACAACTATCTGACTTTTAGAAGACATCTGATTCAGGGAAATTTTTAATGTTTCATGTCGTATTGTGTTTTAATTTGTTGGAAGCCGCCCAGAGTGGCTTGGGGAAGATGAAGAAGAAGAAGAAGTAGTTAGGATTGAGAGTTTTTCCGGGTATCTGATGTGACTGATATACCAGGACCCATATGAAAGATGCATGAAAATGTAGACCAGAGGTACCCAATGTGGGGAACTCCAGATGTTGTTGGACTCCAATTCCCATAATCCTCAGACAGTACGGACAAAGATGATGGGAACTGTAGTCCCAAAACACAGAGTGCACAATGTTGGTTATATCTAATAAAGTCTAGCTATGACATCAAAAGCCAATACAATGGTACCTCGGTTTAAGTACTTAATTCGTTCTGGAGGTCCATTCTTAACCTGAAACTGTTCTTCACCTGAAGCACCACTTTAGCTAATGGGGCCTCCTGCTGCCGCCACGCTGCCGGAGCACGATTTCTGTTCTTATCCTGAAGCAAAGTTCTTAACCTGAAGCACTATTTCTGGATTAGCAGAGTCTGTAACCTGAAGCGTATGTAACCCGAGGTACCACTGTACAGTGAATAAAAAGTTGGACTTGGAAGTCCTGTGTTCAAATTTCTGCTCAGCCATTAAGCTTGCACAGCCTTATCTAACCTTAATGTTAACAGCAGAATAAAATGACATAAATGAAAAACTGAGGCAAGTCTCCAGAAAGCAAAAAGCAGAGACAGCACATACATTCTAAATTTCTCAACCTCCACCCTCAACCTCCAGTTGACACTGAAAGCAGAGATACAGATTCACTGTTAACTATAGCAGCCAGAGAAACTATGGTGCTGAAAACTCATTTGATTTGAGAACAGAGAATTTGAGAGGGAAGTGGCAACACCACTTCACACAACCACATCTCTTAGGGGTGGTGTTGATGTTATTTTACCCACTTGAATCTTTGTGAGAGCAGAAGGGAATGAACTGAGAGACAAAAAGAGTCACTCAATATACATTGCCTTCATAACATCAGAATGGGCTGCATGGATCTAGACACGTATCCAATCATCAGCACCCCAATCTATGCCTAACTGGTAGGATATGTGTGTTGAAATTTGGCCAGATATTAACTACAGTTCAGTGCTGAGATCCCCCACTCTCCCCTTGAACGTTAAGGCACCAGGAGGAGAAATTATACCTGTGTCAAAGAGCTTTGACAGCTCATCAGTAATTAAAAGTATTTCATAACTCAGCTTATGATAGCTGTCAGACTTACTGTTGCTAAATTTTAGAGTACTTTGAATGGCAATCTTTTTGAAATCTGATTTTTACAGATTTGGGACTCGGCTCTGATGGACAAGCTAACAGATAAAGTACGGCAATGATGGATTAATAACAAAAATCAGACTAAGTTTATAAAAAAATGGTTCCGCTTTCTTTCTTATGCCCTCACAAAAGAACATGAATACAGACCACCGGCAAATTCAAGGAGACCTGTGGAAGGACACTTTCATTTGCCCAGCGGAATACTTTTCAATAATTTCTTGACTATTCTGCTATCACAAAACTGTATTCTGGGAGGTGGGGAAATGGGAACTTTGTTATGATTGCATATTGTGATATATGAAAATCAGTAAGTGAATAGTTTAAAAAGCAATAGCCTGTATTTTATCCTCACACAAATTCAAGACTCATGGATAGAAGCAAACATCTCACTTGATACTACTTGAATGGATTGTGTGAAATTTGCAGAGTTCTATCTTCCAAGAAAGGAAAGAAGTGGAGAGTAAGGAGTATAATAACCAGGCATACTTACCACAGCTTCAACTGCTGGTGAGCTGTCCCCAACCACTAATAAGACAGGACACCTGTACAAAATCCACAGGATAAAGTTGTAGTCTGCACAATTTAAACAAGCATCAACTCCCGCTGTCATAAATTCTGCTGTTTTATTTTTTTTCTAAGAGTTGCTAGCATTTCTATAAAGCAACCCTAAACCAAGAAAATACCATCATTTGTATTACAGTTCCTGTTCATTTGAATACCCTACATTTCTGGTCTGCAATACATCTCCATTGCTTCGCAACAAAACATCCCACCATACTAGCTATTGCGAGTCTTGGGAGAACCCCCAGAGAAGATTTGGGGAGATGCAGGAGGTGTGTAGGGGAGGGAAAGGTTTGTTGTGCAAGCAGAAGACATTGCGTGCACACAGGGACTTCACCAGATACAACGTCATGTTCATGAATACTTCATTATGCTATATTTGTATAAAGGTAAAGGTCAAGGGACCCCTGACCATTAGGTCCAGTCGCTTTACTGGCCGAGGGAGCCGGCGTACAGCTTCCGGGTCATGTGGCCAGCAGGACTAAGCCGCTTCTGGCGAACCAGAGCAGCACACGGAAACGCCGTTTACCTTCCCGCCAGAGTGGTACCTATTTATCTACTTGCACTTTGACATGCTTTCGAACTGCTAGGTGGGTAGGAGCAGGGACCGAGCAACAGGAGCTCACCCTGTCGCGGGGATTTGAACCGCTGACCTTCTGATTGGTAAGTCCTAGGCTCTGTGGTTTAACCCACAGCGCCACCCACGTCCCACATATTTCTATACTAGATCACTATTTATTAATGTACTTAATGCCAGTGTACATTCATTCATTCACTCATTCATTTATTCAAACATGCATGTACCAACTGATAGAGCCACTGGGAAAGTGAACTCACCATATTTTGTTCACATGTACAACTTTTTCCGCACGATGGAGCTTGGGGAAATAATTATCTGTGCTTTAGGGCAGATACCCACTGTGCAGTGCAATGACTAGCTGAAGGCCTGTGACATGAAACATCCATCACCCCAGCAACAGTTTTTCAAACATCTGAAGGGCTATGAATAAATGGATCACATTTGGTTTTTGTTGTTCCAGAGGGTAGGACCAGAACCAATTGGTTTGAATTGCAAAAAAGGGGATTTCAACTGAACTTTAGGAAGAATCGCCACGGTGAAACAGAATGCCTAGAAGGCATTCCTTTGTTAGAGGTTTTTAAGCGGAGTCTGCACAGGCATGTATCTATCAATGGATTTCCTGCATTAGCAGCGGGTTGGGGTTTAACTGACTTGGAGGTCTTTTTCAACTTTAGGAGAGAGAAATGGATTAAATAAAAATATTTGGGATGCAGATAACTCAATTAAGCATCCAATTTGCAAGTTGTTCTACCAAAAGCACTGCAAAAGGAGATAAATCATGTACAATATTAATATTTTTAAAGGACGTGGAACTCTAGGTACACGGGCAATGGGGAAACAGAGGAAACAGAATATGGCTAAACTTAGAAAAGGAATTCCACATAATTTCAAGCACAGGTTCAAAGATGACCAAGATAAACTTACTTGAGTGTTTTTCCTGCCTCTTCAGTCACACCCAAGACGGGCCTCTCAATGTCCAGATCTCTACGGCTAGGAAGACAATAGGAGAGGACCAAGTCAAACAAGGCTGGGATGAAGGCAATGTGGGCATTGCCTAACTCAGGCATCCCCCAGTTTGGACCTCTGGAAGTTTTGGGTCTAGAACTCCCATCATCCCTAGCTAACAGGACCAGTGGTCAGGGATGATGGGAACTGTAGTACCAAAACTTCTGGAGGGCCAAGTTTGGGGGTGCCTGGCCTAACTACTCTACGAGGTGCACAATTTCCCTCTTGTTACCAACAAGAGGCACATGTGCTTTAGCCCCCATCCACCCCTCAGCTTGCCGCATGACTACTTTATCTCCTAGTTGGTTGCTCTATTCATAAGCTAGAAAGCATAAAAAGAATGAAGCAACCAGACTAAGATTTTGCTTAGATAAAAAAGCCCTGACAACTAGAACAACATTATAGGGTCACATGTTGATGGCACTGGATCTTAAACTGAAGAAGGGAGCCTCTTGAACGAGAGAGGCTCTTTGATTTTTTTAAAACAAAGGCTATTCCAATATACATGCTGTCAACTGCTGCAGAAGCACTATGTATGCACAATTATACTTTCAAGGTTGGGGTGGGGGGTGAAACAGGATTCTATACCAGTCTTGTACCTGTTATAGGAGGTGACAAAGAGCTGTAAGTTCTCCTGATTGATGTCCTGTGCAATATGAAGTCTGTAGGTCTGGATCAGCTCCAAGTTAGCTTGCAGTTCTTCCTAGTGAAGAATGACAAATATTCTAATCAGTTGTCTTGCTAACCATGCTATTAAAAAAAAAAAGGCAAATATACAAGGAATTTGTCAAATGAAACTACAAAAAACCCTTTCAATACAAGCTTTCAAACATGCCTTTTAGGACTCATTTGCTCTAGTTTGCCTTTTACAATGTTTTTAATGAAACTGATTCCTGAAACTTGGCACTTCTTTATAATTCTGATTATGTGGTTTTTGTAAACACTCTGATGTATTTCAAATTAAACTCCTTTAGTTGTACACTACATTGAGAGGCCTACGCCCTAAGAGACAGAATATAAATATTACAAATAAAACACTTGTATGAAGAGGTTGCTGTAAAGGAAGGAGAGTTAGTGGGAGGTCACATATACATGTACTTGCAGCATGAGTATACACATAAAGAATCAACACACAGGAAAAGGGGAGCAGAATGTCAACACACACTTTTTTTTACTCATTCAACAACTCAAAACTGAGACAGTAATAATGCTATTGTAAGCAGCTACTGAAGGTAGGATCAAAGCAGTTCATTTTTATTTAAAGTTCCTTATATTAATAGGCATTTTCGATATTGGATCCAGCAGTTGACTTACATGACCAAAATGGTGAGCCAGAACAATGTCCACAATGTTTGTTGTCCACCCAGAAAACTGGAAAAAAAGAAAAGTCAAATTATTTCAAGTGGGGGCACTACACGGTAGTCAAGCAACACAGAACAGGCTGCAGTCACAACTCCAACACCCATTTACTTTTGAAGAAACCACATTAAATCCAATGGGATTTTACTTCTGCGCAGACATGATGGGGCTAATGAAAGATGTAATTCAAGATCTGGAGGGGACCACACTGGCTACCCTGATGTGCATAAATCTGGCAAACAATTATACAACAGTGCATATGAAGGCAAAAGTAAGTATTTTTTTTTTCTTGTTTAAAAGTTCCATCCCACTGGCTCTTTTTTATTTATTTTTTAAACTGCCTGTTGTATTCCATATGCATTGCCATAGAAAAAGTACCATATTTTTCTGTTTATAAGACTAATTTTTTCCCCTGAAAAATTAGGGGGCGTCTTATACTCTGGGCCATGAGTAGGCAAACTAAGACCTGGGGGCCGGATCCGGCCCAATCGCCTTCTAAATCCAGCCCACGAACGGTCATGGAATGAGCGTGTTTTTACATGAGTAGAATGTGTGCTTTTATTTAAAATGCATCTCTGGTTTGTTTGTGGGGCATAGGAATTCGTTCATTTCCCCCCCAAAAAATATAGTCCGGCCCCCCACAATGTCTGAGGGACAGTGGACTGGCACCCTGCTGAAAAAATTTGCTGACCCCTGCTCTGGGCCATCCCTCCCCCCATTTTCTTAAATCTGAGTCCCCCAAAATAGGGGGCGACTTATAGATGGAAAAATACGGTATATTCTTTGGCTCTGTGTCAGCTACATGGCTGGGTATCTCTAGTGATACAACGTAAGTAATTAGAATAAAGAAGAGAAGAGTTTGACCTTTGCTTTAAAAAAGCAAACAAATGAAAGGCAAAGCAGTCATCAATAATATCAAAGCATTCACTAAAATCTAATTCCAGTAACTGAATAATGTAAATCAGCATTGGCATTCCAATTATGGAAGAACAATCCTACCTTGGATGCTGCCCAGTCCATCCATCCTTTTCCACATGGGTCAATGTTAACAAGTACCAGACCTTCCACCAAGTCAGGGTGATGCAACTAAAAAATAAAAAACCACTTGTAAATTGCAGGTAGAAAAAGATTTAATCCTCCCTTTCCCCCAAAGATTGGCATGAGAATCTGGGACACGGCTTATGTGACTCAGCTGTCTAATATGATAAGACTAAGGAAAGAGAGTTTTTTAACCTGAAAAACAGACCACTTTTGTTATATAATGTAATAATAGGGTTCAAGATATGGTACAACCTTACTCTTCATTAGCAGTAACTGAATTATTGATTTCAGTCTCGATTAGTAAAGCGTACTTGATTATATATAATTTTGTTCCTAAAAGCAAGATAACACGAGCCAGAAGGATGAAACTTTTATAAAATAACTTAATTGTTTTTCTTAAGTTCTGGTTAGATGAAAAAAAATGGAAATGGAAAATGAGGATTTAATACATTTCAATTCAAAATGAACTTCTTTTTTGAGGAACATGGCTAGTGTGTATGTTCCCAAATATTGTGCTTTAAAACGCAAAGGAGTATGAATGACTAGCCTAGACCACAGTAACTATAAGGCAACCATGTATGAGCAATGTATACCGCCTTGAGCTCCTTGAAAGGTGGTATATAAATGCAATACAATAAAACGAAATGAAATAGCCACAATATTAAGGGTGTATGCCAAAGAGCTCAGTTTAGCCTGGGAAATAATACATGAGAAGACTAGTAGACTTAACTGGCATTTAAGGGATGCGGCTGGCGCTGTGGGTTAAACCACAGAGCCTAGGACTTGCCAATCAGAAGGTCGGCAATTCGAATCCCCGCAACGGGGTGAGCTCCCGTTGCTCAGTCCCTGCTCCTGCCAACCTAGCAGTTTGAAAGCACGGCAAAGTGCAAGTAGATAAATAGGCACTGCTCCAGCGGGAAGGTAAATGGTGTTTCCGTGCGCTGCTCTGGTTTGCCAGAAGCAGCTTAGTCATGCTGGCCACATGACCCGGAAGCTGTACGCCGGCTCCCTCGGCCAATAAAGCAAGATGAGCGCAACAACCCCCGAGTCGGCCACGACTGGACCTAATGATCAGGGGTCCCTTTACCTTTAACAGTAAATTTACTGGTTTGTTGAGTGATCATCCTCCTGGAATTGAATAGCAGCCCACAAGGATCTATCCATCACTTTAAATTAACTGTCTCGCCTTTCATCAACTTTTTATGGAAGTCCTTCCTCCAGAGGGGTTGGGACATCCATGATTCAGGCCACTTGCTCTTACCAGTATTTCTCATTACTGCACTAATCTCTGCTATGTGTGTTTTTTATAAACAGGCAGCCCTATTCATGGAGCACAGAGAGACAGAATTTGTTCACACAGGGAAATCAACAGTCAGAGGCTACTTACTGCAAACTTGCTAAGGATATAAGCGCCAGCTCCAACGCCAATACCAATTACGCTTTTCAGACTGAAAGAGAGTTCAAAGTGAGAACATGCTTCAAAGCCCATAACATACCCAGCCATCGTCCTTTAGATCAGCAATGAGATGGGTGATCTGCTGGAAGGGAGCTACTGTGGTTCATGGTGAAGAACAATGGGGTGGTTACAAAAATACTGCATGTATAATTTAAATGAAACTGAGCAACTGCTTCATTTCTATGCATCCTAAACACATGTCTCTCCTCTATTCCTGGGGAAGGTTCTGGGGAATGGGGACATGCTATGTGGACATCCTGCAGTGAAGCAAATTATTAAAAGTCTGGGTGTCTTTGTATACTTGCCTCAGGTGCGTTAGAACAGCAGGGAGCATTTCAGCTAATTCATCAATAGAGGGATACTGGTATCTGAAACCATAAAAAGGGGGTGTTAGTTAACAAGAGAGGCTGCCAATAGCTGACATACATTAACTCAAACCCTAAAGATGTTATTTCAAGGCACATTGTCAAACACACAATTCTGCAAAGAGGTTCCAATAATAATAGATCCTGGGGCTGAAGCCTGACATCTGGGAATAGATATGTGTACTGACCAAAACCACACAATTTAAAAGTCGAAGTAGCTCACAAGAGACCTTCGTCTTGCAGGCAACACTCCCAATAGCATACATCTCTCCCAGCTCCTAAGGGAGACTCTACAGCTACCTCCACAGCAAAGACGCAAAAACACGCATGGCAAGTCTGGCTCTATTTGTTTGCCTTTGTATTCAAGCTCTCTCAACAATAGAGGTAGAATTCTGTACAGCAAAAGGAGAGCAAGGAACTAGGTACAGCCCTTGCCCAAAATCCTTCCAATCCATACATTATCACATCTACATACCGTAACTTCCACCTCATTAAGGAGTGCTACAACATTATATAGGGGACGCGGGTGGCGCTGTAGGTTAAACCACAGAGCCTGGGACTTGCCGATCAGAAGGTCGGCAGTTTGAATCCCCGTGATGGGGTGAGCTCCCATTGCTAGGTCCCTGCTCCTGCCAATCTAGCCGTTCGAAAGCACATCAAAGTGCAAGTAGATAAATAGGTACCACTCCGGCGGGAAGGTAAACGGCGTTTCTGTACGCTGCTCTGGCTCACCAGAAGTGGCTTAGTCATGCTGGCCACATGACCCAGAAGCTGTCTGCGGACAAACGCCAGCTCCCTCAGACAGTAAAGCAAGAGGAGCGCCGCAAGCCCAGAGTTGTCCGCGACTGGACCTAATGGTCAGGGGTACCTATACCACATTATATAGCAGAAGTACTATATAAAACTATATAAAAAAATGGAGACCACATAAAAAAACGAGAGTAGCAATTAAACTACAATGCAGCAGTTAATGAAATTTGGATTGAAGAATTCTCTTTAAAGCCAGGCTTTCTTTTTTCCCAGTGGAGAGAATTGCACAAATAGGGTGTCACCACTGAAAAAGCCTCGTCTCAATCTGTCTGATGTGTCTTATCAACATGCCATACAACAGGACCTCAGAGACTGGTCTTAAAACCTGGCATAGGCAGCCCCAGGGAAAGAGATCAGAGAGATGCTACTGCACTTACCCAGAGGGGAAAGGGGGAGCCCCTTCTTGCTGTCCTGGTGCATCAACATGGCACACAGCAAAGTGCTGAGTGATTTCCTGCATGTCTTCAAAGTTGAAAAAAGCATTGAAGCAGGACTTATCTGTAAGAAAAATGCTGGGAATGACCAAATGTGAAAGCACTGCTCTATTCTGACTTTAGGCTCATGTTTTCAACTGTGACCACACCAAACAAGAAAGAAAGAAAGAAAGAAAGAAAGAAAGAAAGAAAGACTGGAACCGAATGTGTGCCAAGGTTCTCTCTTGTCCTTAAAGTCACCAGTAAGAATATAGTTGCTGAACTTGCAAACCAAAAATTGCATAGGTCTGCTTACCTAGAAATAAAGGGGACTTACGGTTTAGGCCAATATCATGGTATGTGAGGATGGCGGGCCTGTTTCCTTTTGGGGTGCCCCGCATAGTGACATGAACAACTCCACAAGCTGTCTCGATGTCATGCTCCTACAGGAAAAAACAAACAACCCACCTGGCTATTAGAGAAAACAAGCCCCGAGGAGACATCTTGGCTGGGATGCAGTGAGCCCCCAGCAACAGGCTTATTAACCATTGAGGAAATGTGTTTCCTGTTTAGACATGGAGCACTCAAGGTGACTTACAGATAATAAAATAAGAGTTTATAAATGGTCACACTAAAACAAGTTGGAATACTGCTTTGTCAACTAAAATATAGATGATAACGAAACATACATATTACCATTAGCAAGTTGTGGAGGGGGAGGGTATATATGTTTTATTCTGTCCATGTTTCATTCTATCAATAAAAACCTTAAAAAAACACAGGCACAATTCAATAGATGCTTTTAAAAAAACAAACATTTCCAGTGGCTGGTAGAACTTGCATCGCAAAGGTGCCAGCTGGATCTCTCAAGGGAGAATTCCACATAGCCCGTGTCTCAATAGAAAAAGCCCAGCTGTATACCCTCTTATTTCTCACGAAGGGATGCAGAGCATATGTGTTCCCTATGGTATGGTAGATGTCCCATCCACAATATCATATACTTGCCACTTACATCAGCGGTTCAGGAACCTGACAACCAATCGGGTGCCTGATACACGAGATCTCAGGTTGCACACCAAAGCAGTCTGAGTGAAAGCAGCAATGGATGCACTGAACTGAAAGACACTGGCAGTTATTCTAATCTATCCCAAGCCCTAATCGGAACTCACGGGACTCTTGTAAAACAGATAGCAGATACAGTGGTACCTCTGGTTACGAACTTAATTCGTTCTGGAAGTCAGTTCTTAACCCGAGGTACCACTTTAGCTAATGGGGCCTGCCGCACCATTTACCCGAGGTACTACTTCCGGGTTAGTGGAGTCTGTAACCTGATGTGTTTTTAACCCAAGGTGTTTGTAACCCAAGGTACCACTGTATGGAGGAAAACACAAACATTGTCGACACACCGGCGCAGCAGCTTTTATGAAAGCAGATACTCTATGATGATTAGGAAACAAAAAGGGCCCCTTAAGATAGAAACATTAGCTTGAGTTATTGAAATTTAATGTGCCCAATAGTGCATTGTGAATTATGCCTGGCTCAAAACCTATTTAGCTGCATGTAAATTTCACTAATTTATATGGAAATTGCTTCTCCATATTAATACATGGTGTTTGCTTCTCTCTCTGAAAGCCACCTGGTCAGCCTTTCTCAGTCATTTAGTGACCCCTCCAAACTGTCCTCTGAAGAAGATGCAGACATGCAAAAAGGATGCCAAGCAATAATGAAAGCAAACTAGCAACTATGAAGTATATGAAGTTACCAGGGATGGAAGACCTCGGTTAGTGGTTTACATATAAATGGCAAAGGTGATAGCAAAGATGGAAGGAATTAAAACGAAAGTCAGAGCAGGATCTCGGCAACCCTCCTTGCAAAAGCAGAATGTAGAAGCGCAGTACGAGCCTCTAAGACAGCTTCCCCTGGCCTGAAATCCTCCAGTTGTGGATAGACCAGAATTCCCATCACCCCTGACCACTAGTCATGCTGGCTGGGACTGATAAGGAGTTGGAGTCCAAAATCATCTAGAGGGCACTAGATTTCAGTAAGATTGCTCTAGCCTACTAGATCTTAAGGCGATATTTCATTTTTATCAAGGTCATGGAATATTATCATAATATGGCTAAAGGTCAACTGTATTTCATAAACAGGAAAAAGGTTGTGACGTACACACTACAAAAGATCTGTGTTAAAAATAAACTGCGTATGTGAAAGTGTGCCCACCAGAAACTATTGTTGTGGCATCTGTCTGTCTCAACAGACAATGGAGTGCATATTCAGGGGTGAAGTCAAACTGCTATGTTAGTAGCACCCAAGTAACCTGCCTGAGGTGAAAGCCTGGGCAGTGTGTGTGGAAGTCCTGGGCTGCCCAGATGTTAAGAACCCCCTCTTGGCCTCGTTGATGTGGTCCAAAGGAAAGAAGAGCAATATGTTTGGCACCAGCCTGGAGTTGCCAGAAGGAAGCATAAAAGCTGCCATCCCATGGTCTTAGGAACTCCACTCTGGATTTGTATAAGGGTGTACTTATTTGTATAAAGGTGTACTCCTTTGTCTTTTCTTTTCCCAGGTCAACTGACAGTATGACCACAGCAGTCTGCTTTTATGGGATACAACTGTTGTTTCCTAGCAGCTGGGCACTGCAGCTAAGCAACTGCAGCTATGTTCAGAAAAATAATTTGGAGTGGGCAAAGCAATGTAGGCAGGGAAAGTAAGGCCTCAGCAAAAAACACATCTGAAAACAAATAAAAGGTAACAAAGGGCTTATCCACACTTTGACTTGTCCTGCTGTCCCCTGCCCCCGGAAAACTTCTCTTTAGAGCTCAGTCAGAGCAACCACCTCTTCCTCATGTTCTGATCTATTGTGGAAGTGTGGATGAGGCCAAAGAGTGTGAAAGAAGAAGAGCTGAGACATCTGATCTCCCAGTGGCTTGGGGAAAGATCCTTACAGCCTGGACAGAAGGTGTCATCTTTTGACAAGAACTCAGCATCCACTTGGAGCAACATGACACAGCTGATTCTACAGCTCAAATCCTTCCTTTTCGCCTTCACTCTGAACTCCTAAGCTAGCAATCAAGTGGTCAGTGTGCCGCTTCTGATTAGGAGTTGGTGTCAATATATGTGTGTGTGTATATATTATTTTTTTGGGGACACGGGTGGCGCTGTGGGTAAAACCTCAGCGCCTAGGACTTGCCGATCGTATGGTCGGCGGTTCGAATCCCCGCGGCGGGGTGAGCTCCCGTCGTTTGGTCCCAGCTCCTGCCTACCTAGCAGTTCGAAAGCACCCTTAAGTGCAAGTAGATAAATAGGTACCGCTTTATAGCGGGAAGGTAAACAGCGTTTCCGTGTGCTGCACTGGTGCAGGCTCGCCAGAGCAGCTTCGTCACGCTGGCCACGTGACCCGGAAGTGTCTTCGGACAGCGCTGGCCCCCGGCCTCTTAAGCGAGATGGGCGCACAACCCCAGAGTCGGTCACGACTGGCCCGTACGGGCAGGGGTACCTTTACCTTTTATATATTATTTTTTACATACAAATTAAAAGCTATTTGATGTTCTGAACTGCATTCAGTGGACATGGTGTTCTTACCTCCACCTCTCATTAAAAACTGAGGTTGGGTTTTATGCACAAAACCTTCTACAGACATGCCTTACTAAGTTTTACCCAGATGAAGATGAGTATTGCTCACTTTAGTCATATCAGTGCATGTAATGCAACAGGACAGCCTGTTATAAGGACTCTGAAACTTAAGCTCTGTTCATGTGCTACTTGCATGTAGAGCGAAAGCATGGGAAAAGTAGCCATGGAGTCATGCATTTAGTCCCACCCCCAGTAGTGAACTGCTCCTACATTTGCACCATGTAGAGCATAACATCTGCAGGGAGGAGCTTTCTCTGTGCAGGATTTTTAGTGTCCTGCATCGTAAATCAAAAGGGGAGCTCCATGCACAGAAAAGACTCCCTGCTGCAGACATTATGCTCAACAGGACAATGGCGGGAACTGGAAGAGCAGCAGCATGACTTCAGGGCTTGTGCTAAATGCGTGGCCTGAAGGTCCCCTTCGCCACACTTGCCCTTTACACATGAGTATTGCATGAAAAGGGCTTAAGTCACAACTGAAATAGACCAAGTTTCAGGTATAGGAACTGACATTGCCTGAAAATACTGAAATAATATTGATGTTACTCCCAAACATTTCCACGAAAGGCGGTGTGGGGTAACTAACAGGTTTGGATTGGATTTAAACAGCAGATGGCACTAGTTTGCAGTGCTTCCCGCCCACTTTGGGGAGACAGCAGCCCTGCCCTAGAAGATTCATTAGGTGAACATGGTGTGAAGTCTGATTGATTTCTCAAGATCAGCCTGCTGCTGGCATCCCACGTGAGGCTATCAAGAGCAGCTCTGACGTCTGCTTCCACATTTGAAGTGTGAGCAAGCTGGTGTATGTTATGTACAGGAAGGGTGAAGACACGAGTTGCACATTATCTGCAGGAGGCTGCACAGATTACAGTGACACATCTGCACCGTTGTTTTTAAAGACAAAGAGGTTTAATTAACAAGAGCAAAAGATTTAGCGAAAGGTATTTAAGAAGCAGATCAGCAGCACTTTCCTAACTTTGAGCACACATGCAGTAAGTCTCAGAGGATTACTATTTCTGGTAGGAAAAATATTAAGCAAGTTTGAGATGTATGCAAGAGAAACACAAGGTGTTAAAAAAACCCCACCCCTATGTGTTTTGCCTTGGTGACAATTATACAAAAAATACTGAAGAAATGGGTCATTTCAGGAACTAAAGTAGGAAACCTGCAGAGAGTTTTAGCCTATAAACTCTGCAAACACAGTTCAAAGTCCTGTCTTTCTGTTAGCTAGTGTGCATTCCATGATCTGGCCACACATGGATGTTTCAACTCTGCACTGTAAAATTAGCACATGTGACCTTATCAGCTTCATGAGCACAATAAAAGGGACAGCTCATGTCACTCTGTAATTGTAATTGTCTGGCATCTATTACAGAACCCAAGCTTACAATTTTAGGAAACTGAGTGCAGTGTTGCAGAATAAAGCCTAAAGACAGTTTGGCCAGTTCCGATGCAGAAATTAAAATCAGGATGGGATAATGGGTCTGGAAAGAATGCAAAACCTCATGTAAACTCAGAGCTTAACAATACCGTTTCACAAAGCAACTGGCAGCTTTAAAGCAAAGCAGTTTTAGCTAGAGAAAATGCTGTCAGGTTTGCAAAGGAGGCAGGAGGGAAAAAAGATATCCATGTATTCCATGATAAATGGGCCATGGGCATAATTAGGCCCAGCACAGGTCCCAATTTGGCCCACCGGGCTGTCTTCCCTAAACCACACCCACCTGTCTGAGGAGCAGGTAGAGATGCAGCTGCCAATGCCCAATTTAGTGCCTTAAAAGTATGCTCCTGATTGTGCATCAACAAGAGAGGCTTACTGACACCAATGATCAGCTGACAGGCAGGCAGAGCAAGCCCACCTTGGAGAACTCTCAGCAGCACAGCAGACTCCTACAGAAAGCACAGCTTGAAATCAGCGTCTATCAGCTGCCTGGCAGTAAATTCAAGTCCTGCTTGGCTGATCTTGGATTTTCCTTCCATGTGGCTTGCTGCACTACAAAGGAAAAATGGGTCACCTGGAGTCATAATGACTTCACGTGATTGACAGGTGGGCAGGCTCCACTCACCTATCAAAACTGCCAACTGATGAATACATTTACCCATCCCAGCATTTACCCAAACAAAAACAAAACTACCCCTTACCAGAGCTAATTGTTATGCCCTGCTTTGACCAAGGTACTTAAAAAGGCTTCACACCAAGTCTTCTTTCAGCATACACAATAACCCGAGCTTTTAAGAACAATCAATCAAAGCAAATAAATCTCTGTTACAGACACTCAGCACAATCCAGACTCAACTGATTTCAGTCCTCTTTGGCCCATTTGGATTTAAAAAGCATTTAGACAGAGAGAGTTCTGCAGATGACATCTTTGATTCCTGATCAGCAAAGGAAATGTTTACAGCGGAATGGAACCAACCACTATTCAAGTGAGAAAAGGGCAAACTAATAAATTTTACAATGCGCTCAAGAAGCCAGAGCAAGGGCAAGAGCAAGATTGCTTATGTTCCTCACAGCATATGATCTTAGTCCTCTTCACTTGTAGATTTTCCTTGGACGCTCAACTGATAAAAGGACAGAAGGGTAAGTTGCCAATTCATCCCCATCGTTCAGCCCGGACACTGAGATCCAGCTCTGAGGGCCTTCTGGCGGTTCCCTCATTGCGAGAAGTGAGGCTACAGGGAACCAGACAGAGGGCCTTCTTGGTAGTGGCGCCCACCTTGTGGAACACCCTCCCTTCAGATGTGAAGGAAATAAGCAGCTATCCTATCTTTAAAAGACATCTGAAGGCAGCCCTGTTCAGGGAAGTTTTTAATATTTAACGCTGTACTGTTTTTAACACCTGATTGGGAGCCGCCCAGAGTGGCTGGGGAAACTCAGCCAGATGGGCGGGGTATAAATAATAAATTATTGTTATTATTGTTGTTGTTATTATCCCAACTGCTTTTCTTTCTTAAAAATCTGTCCTCAGATTCAGTGTGTTGAAGTAGTGGATACAGCATCCGACTAGGACCTGAGACAACAGCGTTTGAATCCCCATGCAGGCAGCCATGAAGCTCAAGGGGTGACCTTGGGGCAGTCAACTTGTCTCAGCTTAAACTAGCTCATGGGATTGTTGTGAGGATAAAATAGGGAGGGGTAGAATGATGCATTCCATCTTGTGTTCCTTGGAGGAACGCAGAACATGGATGTAACAAGGAAACTAAAATATTCACATGACTATGATAGCCTACGTATTTACTGCTTTGTGGCCACAAAGTTATGTTTGTTCAGAAGAACTGTGGGAAGCTAGTTGCTCAGATTTTAAAACTAGCACACTGAACTAAATTATTCATACCCACACAGAGCTGAAATATTAATAGAAAAACAGCACAGTCTATGCAAGCAGGCACTGGTTTCTATGGTATTTTGTATAAATAGATCAAGGTGTAAATTAAGAGTGATGCTTTGTGAAATCCAAGCATTGTCGAGAGATAAAATATGCAATCTAATGATGTGAAGTCCTCAAACACAGCATGCACCCAAGGGCACAGTCCAGTCAGCAATTGTGTCTGCACACATCACATCCCTGTTAAAACTTTGCTTGGGCCCCATGCTGCCTTATACATCCGTTTTTAAATTACCACAGCAGAACGCTGAAAGAATGAGGTGAAGCCAAGACTTCCCCAGAACACACAATACTGTACAAGCTTGAAACCACTATGAAATCAGTAAACCACTTCTTAGGTGAAACAGCTTTGGGGGACTAGTCTTATAAAGATTGGACCAGAAGGCGTTCCTACACCAAGATTGTGTTGATTAATTTTTCCAACCCCTGCATCCCTTGTTCAGCAAAATATAGATTTCAAAATTATGAGCAATAAGCAAATTAGTCTGAACAAAACGCTGTTTTTAGAAAAATAAACTGGAACCAGGGCAATTTAGGAGGGAAGAATCTATTCCTTCATCAAAGTGAGGAATCTGCTTAATCTGGAAATGCGGCTGCTTGAAGACCAGAAAGGATAAGCCCTAGAAATATGTTTCTTTACAGCACAACCGTATGGACGTCTATTCAGAAGTAAGCACCTTCCCTGAATTCAATGGTTGGGATTACTGCAATAAGATCAGTGTGAGACTACAGCAGCTAGGTTGCTTGTAGGGCAAACTACTGTCAGCATACAGCACCTCACTTATGGGAGTTTCACTGGCTGCCAACGTGCTACTAGGCTGGTGTTGGTACTAACAAATCTCAGGAACAGGTTACTTGAGAGACTGCCTTCTCCCTTGTATACCAGTAGATCCCCGTGGTCTGTAGGAAAGTTTCTCCTGGACGTTTATCTGCAGTAACACTGAGCAGGGCTTTCAGAGTGGCTCCCTCATTCTGTGGAATAGCATTCCTTTTGATATAATAGGTACTCACTATCTACACTTTCTGGAAACAATTGAATACATTTTTGTTCTGATAGGCTTTTGCTACTGGTGTCTATTTTGCATTGTTTTAGCTATAAAATATGTTCCGGTAGTGCAGAATGCAGCAGCCAAACTGTTCACCAGAGCAGGCTGCTGGCAACTTGTTACTCCACTTTCTGAAAGAGCTGTACTGGTTACCAGTCTGCTACTGGACCAGGTTCAAGGGTCTTGTGCTAATTCAGAAAGCCCTAAATAACTTGGGCCCGAGGGACCTTGAGGATCTCCTGATTCCTCATGCTCTGGCTTGATCGCCGAGGTCTTCTGGTGGGGCCCTTCTGGTGGCCCCATGTGCCCCTGAGGTCTGGCTGGCCTTACTACTACTACTACTACTATATTTGTTACCTATCCTTCACCCTAAGGTCTTAGGGTGGGTTACAACATTAAAACACAACATAACAAGGCAATATTAAAAACAGCTTAGAGCAACTTACAAATACAGTGGATCCTAAAGATATACAGCACAAGCATCAAAAGCCAAGGAAAAGAGGTGCATCTTCAGCATTCGTCGGAATCTGTATAATAAAGTTGTCAGCTGCACCTTTGCAGGGTGCAAGTTCCACTGCTTAAGGGCTGCCACAGAGAATGCCCTTTCCAGGGTCACCACCCCTCAAAGCTTTTGAAGGTGGAAGAACATACCAATCACCTGAGAGGGTCTGTAGGGAAGAAAATGGTCTTTCAGGTATTTGGGGCCTGAGTCATTTAGGGCTTTGAACATTAATGTGAGCAAGCACCTTGAATTGAGCCCAGAAACAAACTGGCAACCAGTGTGGCTGTTTGAGCACAGGGGATATATGGGACCTAAACTGAACCCCAACCAGTAATCCAGCTGTTGCATTTTGGAACTGCACATTCCAATACAAGAGCAGATTGCAATTACTAGAGTCCAAGGCTTTAGTGTGGCTGGCCCTGCTCTGTGGAGCTCCTTGTCTATAGGGGTTCGGCAGGAGTTATCCCTCTTTTTAGATACCTTCTGAAAACCTTATTATTCAGACAAACCTTTTCAAATCTGAAATTCTTTGCCAACTAGCTCTCACTACTGTGTTTTTATTCCATATCCTGCTTTGTGATATATTATATAAAAGTGTGGCTTATAAATACTTTAAATAAATAAAGGGCACCTGGTTGGGGAAAGGGAAAACATCTTGATGTTCATTCACCTTGACAGATGAGAGACATAGAATATGTCTCTCCTATGGTTTCCTGCTGTTACAAGCAAACTACTACAGATGTTAACAGAAGGAAAGGAAGCAAAGGCATGGACAAGGTGTCCTTCACTTTCTGAAAATAGCAGCCAGTAGATCTCGTGAAACAATAAATGCATGAACTCCAAAGCAATTTGGAGTAAGCGGCCCCCACCCGCCCCGTTCCCCTGCAGCTTCATCTGTGCCTCTGAAATAATGGCTGTCACTGTTATCATCAAACACCCATGGCAACTACTCTGAAACATTGTTGGTGATGTTTCATAATGTAATCAATTAATATAGATAGGTTATATATATATTACACTGCTGGGGTTTTCACAGATTCTCTTTTTGCCTGCTGGAGTCACGAATTCCTCATGCAAAATCAATACCTGGCAAGGCAGGAGCATTGGACAGGGATATTTTAGTGTGGTCATAACTATCTCCATCCTTTCTCCCTCAATTCCCATGCATAACTACAATCTCTGGAAACAATGCTCTATCAAGCCCCCAAAGTTTTTTGTGGCTTCCACAAGCTGCACCCATAATGTTTAATTTTATTTAAATCTTTCAATTGAGTTGAGTTGGCTCGCCTACTGTGATGTTATGATGCCAAAACATTTTGGGAAGGCCGGGCCCACCAAATCTGTCAATTTAGAATTTAGCTTAAAAAAATAATTTTGTACCTCCAGGGACCTAGACAAAAGTTTTTAAAAGCTTTTTTTTTTTTTACTCAATTTAATACTGAATATTTCTTTTTCTTTTAAAGGAGAGCCTTTGTGAAGGCAGCCTTGGGAACTAAACTTCTCACTGCACATCCTTTTACACCTTGACCACACTATCTTTGACTTGCAGCCCCCATAGGGCTGACCATGTAACAGTACTGCCCTTGGACCAAAAACAGGTTTCTAAGGGGTTAGAAAAATAATATTCCAAATTAAAAGGACTACCAGTAGCATTACTTGCACCACATAAGAAGTGAACTAATCTCTACAGTTTCCGTGATGCCTCGAGAGCTCAGAGAGTTATTACGAACAGCTTTTAGAGGAGCAGTTTGGTGTGCTCACTCATGAGACAGTCACTCAACAAGACTGATGCACTTAGAGACACAGGCTTGGGGACTCTTCCAGCTGTCCAACCTCCCCCACTGTCTGACTGACACCCACCCTGTTGATAAGGAACCCCTCCACCCCATGAATAGGGACTGAGAGGCAGCCAGTAGGACTGCCTCCCCTTCCCCCTCTCTAAAGGAAACAGGAGTGGACTGGTGCGCCAGTCATTTTCTGCAATTTCCTCCTCCTCTGACTCTTTTTTCAGTAACTGCCCTGAACCAGTTGTGATCATGGGGCTCATGACAAGCACAAAGCATTTCACATTTTCAGGAGTAATCATCATGTTTTTAGACAGTAGCCATGGAAGGAACTCCTTGGCTGAAATTCCTCCACACCAGTGTGAAATCTCTCAGAACCTTGTTCTGTGGACAGTGTCAGAATATAAACATTTATTGCTCATCTTTATTCACTTATTCATTGCTCAGGGCTTCCTAGGTCCCTCATAATAAGGTTTGTTCCAAGTGTTAGCGATTGGGTCAGATTAAACATATGACTGGCAGCAACTGCAAAACAGAAACAGAGGCAGACTAAATGTAACACGGAACTCTTAAAGACAGGCACAATAATACAGATGCACCCATGACTTTACTAGCAGTGGAGGTCACAGACACCATCTGCTCACCCACAGACAACCCTTGCAGATCATTTAATCTATCATCTGCTCAAGAAGTAGGACAAGCTCCTACATTCTCATATTTCAATTGTACAAAGGGATAGAAATATATTTAAAAGTTTATATGGTCTGAGCAGGGTTTGGCTAATTGAAAACAAGTCTTAACCGCAAAAAGAAGAGTTTTAAACCCCGCTCTTTCCAATGGCAAGCTCAGGTGGTAAGTAGCAAAGTGACTGCAGGCAGAATGGAGCTGCTGGGAAAGATGAGCAAGGTATCCTCCCATTTTTTGAGAAGTCTAAAACAGGGCTGCTATATGTCCAGATTTTCCCAGACATAAGCCGGGATTCATCAGTTAAAAATGGCATCCGGGTGGAATTTTCGCAAATCAGTTAAAATGTCCAGGAAAACCATATCCAGGCAGCCCATATAGGAAGCTAAAAAATAGTTTAAAAACTTCAAAAAAAGCTCAACAACTTTTGTGTTGTTTTGGGCAGAACCCCAATGAGGACTGAGCATGCTTAGTTGCCATGAGTTGTAGAGTGACACTGGAAACAAAAAATGGAATTGCTAGGTGGAAGCAAAGAGAATACCCTGATTGGAGGGAATATTTGGGTAGAAACCTGAACAGGATAACTCCTTTTAGGAAGTAGGATACACTGGGACATTTTGCCGCAGGTTTCAGTCACAACATGATAACTTGTTTGATATAAGAATGGGAATTAGGTTGCACAAACCTGGAGATATCAAATTTTATATTTATTAGCAAAGCTACACCATATGATACAAATATGAGTCCATAGAGTCTTGACTTCATTCATAAAGAGCAGATCTAGGGGGAAACACAAACGGAGGCTATTTTCTTTTGTCCAATCAGGACAGAACACACCCCAGCAATTATTCAGTGCTGCTTCTAGTAAAGGAATAAGAACCAGGGTATACACATCATTACTTCTCATGAGACTGGGCGGGCCAGGAGAAACAGGTCTCAACCGGGCCCTTCACATGATATGAGCTGCTATTGTGGTTCTGCTTCCTCCCTATTCTACCCTCAGAGAATCAAGAGAAAGTGAAGTAGTCAGTCAAAACTCTTTTTGGTGCTCTTTCCTATCTGGAAAACCTTGACTGCATCCACAAAGCGGCTTTCGCACTTATCTATTCACCCACAAGAAATTGCCACTTGCCCCCAGATTATGGTTACTTGAACTATAATCTGTAAGCGAAGTCTAAGATGCAAATTATTTAAGAGCTGCCCAAGGAAAACAAAATTGAGCAGCTATTACACCAGTAACACAGGACTTTACATATAAAGAACATTCTTAATTAAGAACACATTATTTCAGGAACAAAGACAAACACTTTGGGGGGGGGGGTTCTGTTAGAGTGGCAATGAAAATGACCCCTTCAGTCAAGTGTTTGTAGCAGCCTTAAGTATTTTTTCCCAGGTTGAGTCCAATAATCTCTTGGTGAATAGATCAACAAAATCTCAATGGCTTTGTCTGACTGTAACACCCATCAGCCTCAGCCAGCAAAGCCAATAATGGGAGTCAGAACCTAGCAACATGTGGGGGGCATCACAGTGGCAACCCCTGTTTCTGATAGAGATAGATAGATAGATAGATAGATAGATAGATAGATGATTGATAGATAGATAGATATAGATATTATCTATCTATCTGGCATTCTTCCACGAACATAGAACTCAGATTCAAGGTTGCCATGTTGGCTCATAACCAGCCATCAACTAGACCCAGAACTGCTTAGTTTTTCACACAATTGCTGCCTCATGTGCCTTCAGAATGTTCCCTGGGACTGTGACCGGCTCCAAGGCACTTCCTGCAGGTCTCAACCTAGTAGAGGCTTCAAAGCATACATGTTCAACAGATGCACATTAACAGCTGTCTTGTGGAGTCGTTCAAATATAAGGAAGCAATATCCATTAAAGTTTTGACAGATGCTGCTGCCTGAGGTTTTGATGCTACAGAACTAAATTCTTTTCACAATTCTTGATGTGACTATTATCTATGAGAAAGAGTGTTAGCCATGCAGATTCAGTATTTGACAGCTGGAGTTAAGATGCTGTTCGAAGTCCTTGCTTGCTCAGCTGTCCATTTCCTTTCCCCCTCAAATTTCCTTTGAAGCTAAATGTGAGCCTGTCCCCCTTCCTTTTCCATTATCTAATTGCAGAGACCCTCTGCATCTATGCCTAAGCTTCTGGTGTGCCCACATGATTTCTAAAAATGGTGCCGCTCTAATTAACCCAGGTATGAGAGACCATTTGCACTGTCTTTGACTCAAAGGGACATCACCTAGGTTAAAATAGTGGAATGCCACTTGAACCTAATAAAGGATATGTGCATTTGTTTTTCCAGTGAGGTACATTATATCTTTGGCTTATCAAGAGCACCTTAGCCTGAAGCAGCTGAAGGCTATGGGAAATTTCAAGATTCAATCTTGCCCACGCAACCCTTCTTAAATATGTTGTAATTCATGCACAGTGTTTAACTTGTGTAAATAAAAGCCTGAAGCAGGCAGTCCTCAGAAGTTGTCATTCGTATCATATGAGGCAAAGAAGCTTTATCAACACACAAAGGCTGTACATAGCTCAATTTTAGGAGCAGCTAAAATTAATAAAGCGGCAGTAAGGAACATCCTGTTCAGTGGTTGCTATGGACACAAGTTCACTGTTCATCCACTCTAGAAGATTAAGAAAAAGAAGTGGCAAGCATCACCTGGTTTATGCTCAATTCGTGTCACACTCGCCAGTTTTGTTTTACATTAATTATAGTGCAATTGCCCTGGGTAATTTTCATAAACTCTCAAATGTGCATTTTCTCTATTTCTGTGCCTGCTTGTGTTGAGTTATGCTGGGGTGGCTGGGCAGTTTTGCGGTGTGTGTGTGTGTGTGTGTGTGTGTGTGAGAATGCTTGAGAGATTCTCTTAAATCCTTTTCAAACTGAAGTTTCTGGCCTTAAATTCACCTTTGCACAACACTGAACACCAAACTGGTCCAACAAATGAGGTAAGTGGAGGGAGCTTCAAGTCAAGCCAAAGGGCATAAAAGGATGTTCAATTTCACCGGTGTGTGATCTTAGCGCCCTGAAGCTGAGATTCTGGTTCCCTTTTAATTCAAAGTTATTCTAAGCATACGTCAGGTGTTAACAATTCCTAGCCATGCCTTGTACAGATGCCACATCAAGACTGTTGGTTAAAATTCACATCACACTCTGCTCATGTTTGGCAAGACATCTGTGAAGACAAGCTCTTAGGCCAGAAGTAGAGTGGCATTCCTACCTTCAGGACAGATGTGGCTAAGACCCAAAACAGGGTAGAAACATTTTTAAAATATAAATTGCTACCAAAATGTGTTAAAAAATAAAAATCAACTTTAATCTATGATGGTGAATAGCTGACATCGATAACCAGAAATCTGAAGGATGCCCTAAAACATGATCGTACACTAGTAGAAAGATATCACCTTTTTCAGATACATCTCAATGTTTACCATGTGCATACAAGAATATTATTGGCCAGCTCCCCTTATCTATGCAGATCAGCCAAAAGACTAATTTCGGGTGACAAAATTCTATGTTATACATTCATTGATCACTAAAGAAGATTCCTTGGGGATTCAAATGCATTTGGTCTTTAGAACTAATCAAATGCTGGATTTAAGGCATTGTCCTGTACTGTGTTACCTTGGTTTACAAACTAAATCCATTCCGGAAGTTTGTTCTTAAACCAAAGCGTTCTTAAACCAAGGTGTGCTTTCCCATAGCAGTGGGGGACTTGATTTACAAATGGAACACACTCAACAGGAAGCGAAACATGTTCTGCTTCCAAGGCAAAACTCACAAACCAAAACACCTACTTCCGGGTTTGCAGCGTTCTTAATCCAAGTTGTTCTTAAACCAAGGTACCACTGTATTTTTATGGTCATTAATATGTTTAATTTATATTCATACTTTTTGTACAAATTTTAGAAGCAATTTATATTGCATTTTTGGTCCTACCCAATTTTGTTCCTAATTCCACCTTTCGAGGCTGGCTTGGCATTTCCATTTTTCTGTATCTTGCCCATGTGGCTAAGACAAGATAGGACAACAGGCCAAGCCACAGAATGCAATAAACCGGCAACTTCATATAATAATTTTTTAAACAGTGAAAACACCACTTTATGATTTGAGGATTACAAGCCCTTCCTACTTCATTAATTTCTGAGATGTAGAGCTTCAACACAGATTTGCGTCTTACAAAAATTACACACACACCATTGCAGTAATTCAACTTTATGGTGCTTCAAAAGTCCATGGTGATCAACTCCAAAATCTGGCCCTTAAGATCTGGAAGCAGACAAGTCCTGTTCAACACATACTGCCGAACACACTGTTAAATGTACAGAAAACCAGCAAAAGGTATATGGGAGCCAATGGACTCTTAGGTTTCTCAAGTTCTTTTTTATTTTTAATTCGGGCAACTGTCTGATCAACAGAGATCCATTGTCGTTCTTCAAGGAAAGCCTGACAATGCATGCCCGTTTTGGTTTCAGGTACTTACCTGACAGTCAAAGTCCTGGAAGTTTCGAGCTGAATTCTGTCAAAATAAGAATAAGAGCCAATGAATAGCCCAGATTCCAGAACAGCCTCATAAACTTTGCTTTGCAGCCTAGTTTTCTGAAAACTCTGCTCCGGCATATCACTTTGCAGCAAACTATTGTCAGAATTGAAGCTTTTTGTACTTCATTAGTATGAATAAATGCAAATGTCATTACAATTAGCTTTCCTCCACCCCCAACAGCTGATGCCAGAAACAAAATTATTGTATGAACTGCCAAGGATAGAGGCAAGTGCCACAATTCCACATGAGTCGGTACACATTTATCAGTCCCAGAAATAATCATTTTCAAACACTTTCGTGCATAGACAAACCTGCTCATTTTTCAAATGTACTGTGAAAATACCATTCAAAAGTATTTCCATTCCAACATTTGGTCAATATATATTATGAAGTGGTGGCGCTGCTGCTCAGTTCATGCAAAAGGTTAGAACACATGTTTTGCATGCAAAGGGTTCCAGATTCAATCCCTGGCATCTTCATGAAGGGCTAGGAAATAATTAACTGAAAACCTGGGTGTTTTCTACCAGTAACTGAAGAAAATGCTGAGCTAGATGGACCGATCAGTGGTCTGACTTGGTAGTTTCTATACAGTCATACCTCAGGTTGAGAACGTGATCCATGCAGGAGGCGTGTTTGCAACCCGAAGCATTCGCAACCCGCAGCGCCGCTGCACACGCGTGACACGATTCGGCACTTCTGCGCATGCACGTGACACCATTTTGTGCTTCTGCGCATGCGTGAGCGCCGAAACCCGGAAGTAACCCATTCTGGAACTTCCAGTTTCGGCGTGGTCCATAACCCGAAAATGCGCAACCTGCAGCGTTCGTAACCCGAGGTATGACTGTATTCCTATATAACTTCTTAAACATGCATGGTCATTTAGACAAAACACTCAACCTCTGGCTACTATGTAATTTATTACTGGATCTGGCTATGGTTTTCTGTCTATATTGATATAAAACTCCTTTTAAAAAGAGGAAAGACTTTTTGTAGTCTGTGGGCTTGGTAAAACGAATATTTGTTACCGCCATTCGTTTCTTTAAAAAACCCAAGAGTGGTTTACAACAATTATATATAAAACCATACAATAAAAGCCACATACAAAGTTAAAACCAGAAACCAGCAATTATGGAAATATGTATTCTTAATTGCCCACATAAGCCTGATGGAATAAAAAGTTTTTTAGCAGGCATCTAAAAGTTGAAACAGAAATATGTTAAAATAGTAAGTGGATGAGACAGACACGGTAGCGAGAGGAAAAACCGGATGGCCCACAAGTGTTCAAGGCACACCACAAGCTAAAAAGAAAAGACCAGTGTAAGACTGGATTTTGCAGAAATAGCTGGGAAACATTGGCTCATCGCTGTAAATCACCATAGAAAAGTTAGTGATCACACTATTCACCCACACACTTGCACACCCTTGGAAAATGCTAAGAACTGAACCAAAGTAAGAACCAAAGTTAAAACTGAAATGAGAAAGATATCCTATGCATTCTTTGTGAAAGGTACCTCAAATTATGTACTAAAGAAAGGCTGAAATCACCAATTAATGGGAAATTAATCCTGAGAAGAGTGAATGCAACTCCTCTCATGCAACGGGCTTTCCTGTGCCCTCCCTGCACCAAGCCCCCCCCCAGCCACTCCTGAGGATCCAGGGATGGAGAAATCAAGAATCCTGAAGGTCTGCCTTTTGCAAGCAGTGCCCTTCCACTTACTCTTGCATAATGCATTCTTCTTATGCTACTTGTAGGGAAGGGCAAGAAACAATGCAGGGCACTGAAGTCCTCTGCCCTTCCCGACCAGTAACCCCACACCACCCCGGCTTTGGAGATTTCATCAGACGTTGGTCTGAAAGTATATGGTATTATCTTTACAGCTCATTCTTTACGTATTCCGTGCTATTATGGATTGATGCATTGGACTCTAGCCCAACAAACTTATTTATTTTAAAGTGTCATAGGTCTCTTTATCATCAATGTTCAAAGAGATGATGGAAGCTACAACAGAAGGAAGAGTACCCATCCCAGGGAGTTTGCAATCTATAATTTGCAACAGGGCGGGCAAAAGACAACAGAGATAATATTTAAGGGGCCGGGGTTGTGTTCAGTTATATTGAAGTGATGGACTTTACAAAAAAAATACATAGAGCTTCTCAGAACATTAAGTTCTGTTTCTTAATACCAAACAGTACAGAATTCTAAATTACACACAACCCTTATGTACCGCTCACAGATAACATAAAATGACTAGTGCTTTGCTAATGCTCAAACAAACCAGAATTACCTTATCATTCAGGAGAGGCTTGATCTCTGTCAATTGGACATCTTGCAATTCTTCCATGTTTACCGAGAACACAGAAGTTAGCTTTCAAACAGCAAAACACTCTAAGAGAGAGCAAGAGACAAGACCAGCGTTAAGATTGCAAACACTGAAAAAGATGCCAGGACCCCACAGAATGAATTGAAAGCATGGACTAGGTACTTGAACACGGCCACGGAATAGGTTTGTGCCTCCTGAACAGAAAGGCACCTGCTTTCTTCACAATGCAGCACTAAAGAAGGCATTATTTATGCCTGACTGAATCATAAACAAATGACCTCTCCTGCAAAGCATCCCTGCTAAAATATCAGTAGACCAGAGGTCTAATCTGACAAACTTCCTCCTTCAGAGGAAGTGCAACCCAATTTCACGAACATGCGAACCCTTCACCCAAAGAACCCACACCTTCCCGGGATCATTGGTCCTCATCCAGTCCACCACTGCATCCAGAAACTGGTCCAAAGCTCTCATGACCTCTCCCGATTCAGATGTTATGGAGAAGTAGAGCTGTGTATCATAAGCATACTGGAGACACCTTGCTCTAAAACTCCTAATAATCACACCCAATAGCTTCATACACGTTCTACCCGGTCACTGAGGTCCAGCGCTGAGGGCCTTCTGGCAGTTCCCTCGCTGCAAGAAGCCAAGTTACAGGGAACAAGGCAGAGGGCCTTCTCGGTAGTGGCGCCCGCCCTGTGGAATGCCCTCCCACCAGATGTCAAAGAGAAAAATAACTACCAAACTTTAAGAAGACATCTGAAGGGAAGCTTTTAGTGTTTAATAGGTTATTGTATTTTAGTGTTTTGTTGGAAGCCGCCCAGAGTGGCTGGGGAAACCCAGCCAGATGGGTGGGGTATAAATAATAAAATTATTATTATTATTATTATTAAATAGAACTGGGGAGAGAATAGTACCATGCAAAACCCCATAGCACAAATGTCGAGGGAGGGAGGTGAGAAACACGAACCCAGTGCTACTCGCTGGGTACAACCTTAAAGATACAAACAGAACTACTGTAATATAGTGCCTCCAACACCCATCTCACTAATTTGGTCCAGGAGGATATCATGGTTGATGGGTTTCAAAGGCCGCTAAGCAATCAAGCAGAAGTAATAAGGTTGCACTCCTCTTGTCCCTCTCATGATAAAGGTCACCCAACAGGGCACCCAATTCAGTTCAGGTCTGAACCCAGATTGTACTCAATCCAGATTACAGACGCTTCAGGTTACAGACTCCGCTAACCCAGAAATAGTACCTCAGGTTAAGAACTAATCAGTCTCTTCCAGGAATATCTGCAGTTGCTCTACAACCCCCTTTCTATCACCTTTGTCAATAAAGGGATGTTAGTAACTGGTCTAGGGTGGGCTTTTTGAGGAGTGAATCCACCACTGCCTCTTTAAGCACAAAATGTTTAAATTTGTCTATAGTTTTGAATAAGTAAAATAAGGCTACTGTTTCCTTGCATCCACCACTAGCTTGGTGTTAATCTCTTCAAAATGTGTGTTGGCACTGTTGAAAACCTGCTATTTCTTTAACAGGTTTTTTTCCTTGCTACTGTCTCCTCCTCTGGTGAAATGATTCACTAATGAAAATGGTGAGAGGCTTGTAATGGTAGCCTTGCAAGCATCTCAATCGGCAACTGCCTAAGAGTTTAAGAACACTGTTTAAAATTAAACTCTTTTCAATTTTATCTGCAAATAGCTAATTTAACACTAGCAAACAATGTAACCTGCTGATGCATCAGACAGGTGCCTGGGAAGGGGAGTAAAAATCTCTGTGTGTGTGTAAAATTAAGGAAGGTTTGAAGACAAGGAGGTCTTTGGTGGGGGCGTGCGGGAGAACAGAGGAGAGTAGGAAGGGAAAGAGAAGAGGAGTATTGTCTTGCAATCCCAGTAGTGAGCAAGAAGAAGGGAGGAGGCAGGGAAAGGACAAAGGTTTAGGAAAAGCCATTACAGTGCAATAACTATATTTAAAGGGACAGGATCCAGTGATTAAAAGTGTACCTAAACTTGCAGAGTACAGGTCCCATCAAATAGTGTCTGAATTGAAGACACACCCTGAAACTGAGTTTTAGTTGCAGGTAAATGTAGCACTAAAAATAAACTGCTGATAAATAAGTGGTACAATCTAGCACAAACTTGATGCACCGTTAAAAAACCAGCGGCTTCTTTACTGTTTGGATTATAAAATATCCAGGTGTCAATTAAGCGGGCAGTTCTCAAATGAGCACCTCTGTCATTCATCATCTTTTAGTTGATAGTGTTTGAGGGCAATAATGCCTTTTAAACAGTTAATAGAGAAGTTAACATTAAATTCCACATTAGGCAGGTGTAGCCATACGGACAGTCTCTCTGCTTTGACCAGAAATTATCACTGGAGTTCATAAGCACTTGTGAATTCTCCCAGAAAGGAATGAACAAAACCCTTCCCATTTCCTTAATGTGTACGCGGCTACTGATAATTAGATTCATGTCTCTAACACACTTTTTTCCAGAGTTGATACTATTACAGGTCTAACACCTGGAATGATTCAATATAACTCGTTATACATATGGTGCTGTGGAAAAACAGTGTCCAGGGGGAATTCAAGCCTTGTTCTCCACAACTGGTAAATATAGTCGGCTGACGTTTCCAAGGCAACTGTGTGTGCTCTCTGTGGATATGGAAGAGAAGACTGGCGTAAGGCTGGCCAAGAAGCTCTCCTGCATAAACCTTGCTAGCCCTTATTTTGGGACTGGTATTTAGGTTCTTAAGCCTTCAGTGCCTAAAGCACACAAACCTAATAGAGGGTGGTGAAGCCTCCAGATGGGTGCCCTTGAGGCTCCCAGCTTCTGTGTGTTTGTGTACACAAATATGCAAAAACTGGGTCCTGGCCCAGGTGAAATAAAGTCTTGTTTCGCCCCCACTAACTCTAGAACAGCATCCTCCTAGAACAAATTGTGCCTGGAGGCAGTAAACAGAGCAAGGAGACAAAAGGGGGCTCTGCTGCCATCTCTAGATCAAAATTGGAATTGCTTTTTGTCACTCAACTCATTTTGGACTAAGGAGAGTCGACATAAAAACAGACATGCCAGCTCTGTTAACCCCAACTGAGTAGGCAGTGGAGGACTTAAAAGAAAGATGATGGAAACTCCCACAGAGCCTAAACTTAGACTTCGAAATAACCACAGAAAAATGATTCCAAAGTTCTGCAGAACGACAAACTGAATGGTGCTGGGAACCATTCTAGAAGGTGAAACCTGCCTCTTTGCATATTTAAAGGAGCAAGTTACATCAGTGAAGGCTTTCCCAGCAAAAAGTCTTGCTGCTACATTTAATCTGGAGGTACGTCTCAGAGCAGCACCTAGCACTCCACAAGATTTAATTATAAAAATTTTGAACTATGAGGAAAAGTTAAAAAATAAAAATAAACAAAGTGGAAATCACATCTGAAACAACTGACTGCAATTTTCCTAGATCTGTCCTGGAAATGCTTCAATGACAAGATTTTTAAGTTGCTTGTTATCTCACAGGGACACGCTCTATTCACTAGAGATATGAGTGATGGATGACTACAGAGGTAACCAAGAGACACTAGACAATCAGCCAGCAGTGACACATAAAGGAGAAATACCCAATGAAGTAGCTCTATTAGCACAAGAACTTGCATTTGTGCATCAGAACTTCTCCTCTCTCTACTCCTCCTGCAATGGCCTCCCCAAATCTGGGTTGCAGAAAACCCCAGAATGAGGAGAGAATTATTCTATTATTATTGCACTAATGGAACTATTTTGTTGGATACCTCCCTAAATCTGGTGGAAACAAATGCAAACGTCAGAGTCATTAGCTCACAGAATTGTAGAATTGGAAGGGACCATGAGGGTCATCTAGTCCAACCCCCTGCAATGCAGGAATTTTTTTGCCCAATGTGGCGCTTGAACCCACGACCTTGAGATTAAGAGTCTCATGCTCTACCAGCTAAGCTATTCTGACACAGAAAGACAAGCAGATTAGTCCTGTTAACAGTTTACAGTTAATGTTTTCTGGAGTAATTACACCTACCCAATAGTTAAAGTTGTGTCACCAACTTTGCACCACTCTTGAAAAATGCACTGAATTATTTGGTATACTGCACAAAGAGGAAGATGTTCTAGTTTAGGAGGATAGCATAACAATAATAACAATAACAATAACAATAACAATAATAATAATAATAATAATGGTATTTTTTTACAAAAAGTCTCAGAGAAGTTAAACATAAAAAATTTGTTTTTTAAAAAACCAAAATAAAAACATACACAATACTGAAAGAATTTCTCTACCAACAAACAAGCCAGAGGTTTAGGAGCAGGGCTTTAAAAAGCAAAAACTAGAGTCCTTGATAAAAGAGACAAAATAATGATTGCATCATACAAATGATCAGGAATATTAAAGGGAATGTTGAACCACCAAGATTGTTCTGCCTGTTAGGAAAAAAGCTCTTACTCAGTTACACTAGCAGCTTGTAAACACCTGCAACCCCACAAGGGAGCAGAACATAGAGTGGAAAATTTCATTTGTCAACATAGTTCAGCTACAAATCAAAGGCCTGGTTCACGTGTATCACTAAGCCGAACCACATCCCAGCATGAATCCACAACCACACAGGTGGTCACAGCAAAATTTATGGCCACTTCGCTCCTCCCTCAGTTCTGCTCCTGCTGCTGCTGCTGCTACACAACCTGGAGCTAAGCCATAGTTTGGCTGAGTGTTATGTTCAAACCCAAGCTCCTAGTTTGCCTTGCTTCAGACCATGTAGCCAAAGTTTGTTCCTTATGTGTGGTCTGTGGTTTGTCTGAGGAAGACAAGTCATAAGTCCGAGTTTTGCTTTTTAAAAATACTTTTTTACTAAAGTTTTTCACAATACAATAACAGCTACAAAACAGCAACAAGAAACAGAACAAGTAAAATACGGAGTCCTCTCCTAGAGGCTGTTCTCAGTGCCCACCACCACAGAAGGTAGCAACCTCTCCCAGCTGTCACCTGTGGTCCCTCCTTTTTCCTCCCAGCCTCTCATCCTAGGAGACCAACATTTCCCTGTCTCCCACCCAGGGCCTTCCATCAACCATCAACCACCCACCAACCACATGAGTACACAATTCCTTTAACAAACGCCCAACACATAGGACTCCAAAGAACCCACAAGTCTGACTTCTGATGTACCTTGTACCCACCTTAAACTGTAAAACCTGAACAATACAAGGTATTGTTATAGAAGACAGGTACACATAATCCAGTCTGCAAAATACATTGTGTGTGGTTGTGTGATCAGACCAAATACCCGTCTTGTCCAGCATTCTGTTCCACCGTGGCCTATGACCTGTCAACACTCTTTCATGTACAACCAAAACCATACAATATATACATTTCATTAAACTGATGCAGACCTGGTAATAAAAACAACCCAATTCACTTTCTTGCTCCACTCTTGCTAGTTCTACTTCCTATCCCTTTATTTCATTTAACAGCCAGGTTCACGTCTGCTGAGTGAAAGCCCCCACCTTTTTTTTTTGCTTTAAGTGCTGGAGCTGCAATATAGAGGCACTGTGAGGTGGGCAGGCTTGTGAGGAACAGCTAAGGTTGATCACAATTCTATGATTACTGCCCTTGATCTTCACTGGACTACCTCTGTACAGTGGTACCTTGGCTGTCTAACTTAATCCATTCAAAAACCAAGGCATGGCTTTCGATTAGCTGCAGAATCTTCCTGCGCTCAATCAGAAGCCGCGGAAACCACCTCAGACGTTCAGCTTCCAAAAAAACGTTCACAAACCAGAACACTTACTTCCGGGTTTGCGGTGTTCAGGAGCCAAGCCGTTCTAGAACCAAGGTACCACTGTACTACTACAGAACTTGTTGGGAACAAGAAGCCACCTAGTGGCAAGTGATTAAATATAATTATTTTGAAGTAGGCATCCTTCTGCCTCAAGAGACAATGGAGTGTGTGGTGGTGCTGTGGGGTGTGTGTGTGTGTGTGTGTGTGTGTGTGTGTGAAGTTAAACTGCTGTGTTAGTAGCACTGAAATGACCTCCTGGGGCGCAAGCCTGGGCAGTGCGTTTGAAGGATGAATGAGTGTAAATTGAAATAAATGCCCACTATATAGGAAATGTAGGAAGGCAGTGGAAAAATGGTGCAGGCGATGCCAACAACTGAATACAAGGTCTCCAGAATGGAAAGGACAGGTGGTACTGGAGGAAGCACTACATTGTCTGTGCTAAAGATGACAGATTTCGATGAATTATTAGAGGGAGCATGTTCATCCCCTAGATTGCTGAAGGTAGCAATTCAAGAAAAATAACTAGGGATTTATTATAAACTAAAGTAAGTGGAAATATCGATGCAAATCAGGATGTCAGCAAGTATATTGGGAAAGTTGATTTCTTTAACCCTAGATGGATTGGATAAATGTAAACTCAAGTCACAGTCAAAGAAGCGTGCATCAATCATAACTCATTTGCTCCACCTGGAAGCTTATTTTTCAATATCTTTCACATAAGATACATTTACTGTTGCTTACAGTGCCTTCTGTTCAGAAAATCAAATGGCCAGCCGGGTCTTTTTCTTACCTAGTTGGGTGTTTTATAAATATCAAAAGACGTAGATTAAATATTTGGGGGGAAATGAATAGCTGCTCTTGAAATTAGAAGCAAGCTGTCTACCAGGATTATACAATGTTTGTGTATGTAGGTAAGAGACTACTATATATAGTTCTCTCTCCGTGGGAAAAACAATTATCCCTTTGTAATGCCATAATTATATATCCTTATGTTTCTCCTAGATTTTCATGTATCTTTTCAAACTTAAATTCACTACAAGAGCTTTCCTGAGAACATACAAAATCTTATACACACAGTTCAAAACCTGTTTTTAAAATGAAAATTAAGGATGCTAAATTCTGTTCCCACAACCAGATTCTGCACTTGGACAGAATAAAGGCACACACACAGCCCTGAATTTACCTCTTCGTATTACAATACACAGTATTTTGATTAGAGAGAATGGGCACTTGCAGGGGGGAAATATTATTAGAGCAGAACACAACATTTCTGTTGTCGACAACATTATTGTTGTCGTCATAACATTTTTTTCAGCGTAAATGCTTCTTCCAAAAGTGTGCAAACTCCCAGTTAGTTCTCCCTGCCTCCTTTAAGTCAGGGAACCACAGCCAATCGAACCAGGAGAGTCCTCAGAATATCCAGGCCAACGGCACAATGATCAGTGAATGCAGAGACCATCTAACAAATGAGATTTTCTATCATCTCTGTACATAATTCAGTGTGTGTGTGTGTGTGTGTGTGTGTACAAGACATTATGTCCATTTAAGTCACTGAGAACTTTTTAATGAACTGGCAACTATGGCTAGAAGCAGAGAAAGCTTATATGGCTGGCAGCCTAGAATTTTGAGGTTAGAATAAGATTTTTTGTATGGGTTTAATAGATTTTATATAATTCTGTCACTGTTTAATTGTTTTTTAATTATTGTTTACTTGTGCTGTTAGTGCTTGTTTTTATCTCTAAGCTACCTTGAGGTGGGATAGAAACGACAACAACAACAACAACAACAACAACACAGAGTACTGTCTATACTAGAGCTAGTGTGCGCATTTGGATATATTTACAGTAGCAGTTACTCATCTCATGTTGAGAAGTCTCTGAGCAGCACTGTCCATGAACCAGCTAGGTTTAGTGTCATCTCTAACCTGGAGCCCTCAGATGTTTTTGACTCCCATCAGCCCCACCCAGCATGGCCAGGTAAGATAGCCAAGGACCTGCAAATTCAACATGTTCAAAATTATGATGAGGCTTTGAGGTCTTGCAATGTAAACTACATTAATTCCAAAGGAATGGAGTCACCAATATACAGTTTAATCTCCACTCTCAAACTTATGGTGCTGGGGTATTCGCAGTACGGTCAACTGTGCAGGAGTTCTGCTCTCTGAGCACGTATAAGCTCGCTCCACCCCACCCCCTACCACGTTTTAGGGTCACTTCCAGGTTTGGCGCCGTGCACAATCGTGCATCTTTTGGACACGTGTTAATCTGTCACCACTGCCAGTACTAGTCATGTGTCATCAGAGTCTTTGTTTTAATATAAGCTCTTATTATTTTATACTTCTAACCTGTGCTTCATTTCATGGCAACAAGCTTCCTTTTTTCACACTTCTAGGCGACTATTTTTTCCATACATAATGTCTTATGAAGGTTTTTATAAATCTGTTTAAATATGGGTTCACTGGGTTTTTTATTTAGTATTAATATTAGTATTACTGGAATTTATATACCGCCCTATACCCGCAAGTCTCAGGGTGGTTTTAATACTATGTTTTTCTGCAACAAATGCATTCTTTAAGTGCCTGATGTAACAATTCTTAATGTGCTGAATATTCCTTCTTTGTAAATAAATCCAGATTTTTTATTAGATTAAGACTTCACAGGGACACAGCATAGCAGAACTAAATCTGAGAATCAGAATACTGGAGAGAAACACAACATGTTAAGCGGGATTGGCAGGCTGCTGCAACTATTTTAAATAGAAGTGGGGGCTGCCTTTTCTCTCTTCCCTCTCAGAAAGTAAGATGAGAGCAGAGGTTTAAGCCCTTTATAAGCTGACAAAAAGCACCAGCTTATAAAAAGGACTTACCGTATTTTTCGCTCTATAAGACGCACCAGACCACAAGACGCACCTAGTTTTTGGAGGAGGAAATTCTGAATCTCAGAAGCCAGAACAGCAAGAGGGATCGCTGCGCAGTGAAAGCAGCAATCCCTCTTGCTGTTCTGGCTTCTGTGATAGATGCGCAGCCTGCATTCGCTCCATAAGACGCACACAATTTTCCCCTTACTTTTTAGGAGGGGAAAAGTGAGTCTTATAGAGCAAAAAATACAGTACTTGGTGCCTCATGTGAAAGCTGACCGAGAAGGGCAAGGTAGCATGTTTGTTTCCCAGCTCAATACACTTACTGGTCAACGCCACATCTGGAATCCAATAATGGGAGACAGAAGAGAAAGGAGAAGCCTTCATCTCACTTATACTTTAAGAACAGCAGGATCCCAAAAATGCTTTACATGCAGGAAGAAAACAACCCATGGGAGTTGGTAGCTTTGAGAACTAGCCTGATACATTTGTCAGTTCAAGAGCAAGTGATTTCATTTTTTTGTAGGTTGAAAAATAATGAAGTGAGTATGGTGTTCTCCTCTTGCTAAGTGCTTTTATTATGGTTACTTCTGAAAACTCATTTAAGATCTCTATTTAAGAGTGAATATTATTCCTTATCTCAAAGTCACCAGAAGCTTAGCATGCCATGCTGAAAATACTTGCTGGTTACTGGAAGATAAAATAAGCCATTACTTGCAGTAGCTAAACATTATTGTGATCTGATTTTGGCTATTAACACCAGGAGCAGTAGCAAGAGGGTTGGCTACCAATTAGCATGAAATCCAATAAATGTGGTCAAGCTTACTCTGGAACGTGTAAACTAAAATGATGAGAAATGGGTAGAGAACACAAATATAAGGAAGGGAGACTTCTGGACTAGGGGAAAAAATAGGAGAAATGAGAGCTGTTAGTATGCTTTTACTGCAGTCAAGGTCATAAACCATGCAAGTGACCTGTAGAAATACCCTTCATGAGATTATCCTGCTTACAATGAAGAAAATGTACCATTGCCAACTTATTTATACTGAATCATCCCTGCAGCAAAGCTTCTGAACAGCAGTCTCCTATTTTCAGAGAATCAACAGCTACAAATTTGTAAACATATTTGAGCCTGTTTTAAATAATCACGTATGAAGAGATTACAGGACGTGGCTTTAAGTGTTCAGTTCAATTGTAATTATTATATTTTCATACCTCAACAGAGGTGAGAAGAGGTGATTAATTTCTACAGAGCCTAGGTCTGTTATCAATGTATGATTGCTTTAATTTCCCATCAAAATTATGTATGATGTACAATCAGGTTACACCATCCTCCACTGTTCAGAACTCCATCACTCTTTCTTGCTACTGAAGCACTGGCTGGAAATTTATCCACTAGGGAAGACACAAAGTAATAGAGCACAGAGCAACATGCATTATGAAAAGCCTTACCAATCCAAGGAATTGGGTTCTGCTGTCCAAAAAGTGCACCTCCATTCTCCTTTACCTAGTATCAACAAGTGTTTGTACGAAGCTCAGAAACACAACCTTAGATCAGCCTTTCTCAGTCTGGTGCTCTCAATATTTTTTCAGACTACAACTCCTATAGGCGTACATAGGCTCCTATGCACTCTTGGAAAGGAGCTGAATCGCCGCCCAGCCAACACCTTGTGCCCTTGGCAAGGAGCTCCACCAAGGTGCCTAGGGAGCATGTGGAACAGCGGGCTCCTAGCCACTCCAAGCCAGAGTGGAGAGGCACAATTTTTGCACCCTTGGTGAGGGCCAACCCTAGGTACACCCTTGTTACTCCCATGAGCTCCAGTCAGCTTGGCCAATGGCCAGGAATAATTAAGAATTGTAGTCCAAAAGCTATTGAGGGCACCAGATTGGGGAAGGCTGGCTTAGATAGTTATGAGAACTTTTCTCCAGCTCATTTCACATAGACTGCATACACACTTACACAGAAGTTAAGTTCCAGCAACTTCCACTGAACTAATCTGGACGCATTTCTGAATAGACATATTTAGGATTGACTGGGTTTTTTCCACCTTAGAAGCTCAGTGTGCCAATATCCAAACAATTTCTTACAGGGCGGGAAGACCTACTAGGTGCAAGAATCCACTTGTTTATAAAGTTCCATGTATATATCTATCATCGCACAAACAGTAACCTGTATGAACATTTCCATATCAGATTATTTTTGTAGAGTACAACTAGCATTTAACATTTCAGTAGCCAAGTAAACTATCTAGCTTTCCCCATCCATATAGGGCACTAGCCTTAAAGAAAATAAGCAGCATCTTGAGCCACAAAAGAACTCAGATATCCAGATCATTTTTGCAAAAAGTATTACATATAGGTGAGAGAGTGATTAAGAATATTAAAAGTAGTTGATGGCCTACTTTGAAACACTGTTTTTAGTTAATTATGTCTCATTTATTTCCATGGAATGTGTATGTATGCGTAGGATTACAAACAATTGATAGTGAAGCAGCATGAGGGCAATTAAAGGTGTGTCCCTAAAGGTAGCAGGGGAATCCAAAGGTGGTTTAATAGACCATCCTTTGTTTTGTCTGGATCACACTGGCAGGTAGAAGTTTACTTTACATTTACCCTCTCACTGGAAACAATGAAGGAAAAGGAGACCTGGTCTAAAATGTCTCTATGTCTGGGGGGGATACACACGAGGACTTTAGAGCCAGCTGATTTTCTGGTCCTCTCCTGACATGTCTCCGAACGAACAACCTTTAATATGTCCCTTTCAGCACTACCAATCTTGGGAATTTCAAAGTCACTTGGGACAAGGCATTGCTGGCTTTCTGTGGTGGTGGTATTACCAGAAAAGTGCTCATTGCCTTCGCTTGATTTCTGCCTCAGCTCATTCATCTTTGACAGGTAATGAACCTGGGGAGTTGGGCCATCAAAAGGAACCCCCTTATTTTCTGGTAACAGTAGAGGAACAGGATTGGACATCAAGCTCTATCTTCAACCATGGCCAAGAGGCTCCTATATTTCCTATGGCCCTTGGGACATCACAGAGCAGGCATCACAGAGATGCATGCTTAAATATCTGCACCAGTCAATTACTTATCATACATATGTTAGAGATGATTTAGTTACCACTTAAACCAACTTGTAACTGGTAATTGGCACAACGCAGCAATCAATCCCATGTGCAAATTTAGGATTTTAATTTAGCTTTAAAGCACAGCTGCTCTCCAAAGAGAAACATCTCTTGAATTAAGCAACATAGAAGCAATTTCCTCTACTATATGAAACATGTTTATTAACCAGCTTCAAAAAATATTTCCTCAGTGCCTTATTTAATCTGTTGAATAGGACAGTTACTTCAATTATGGGGAATTACCTTCAGTGAAATACACTAGCACCCCCCCACACACACATTTTAAACATATAACAATCCCTCACCTTCAAAAATAAAAATAAAAACAGTAACTAAGGAGGCCATCACAAAAGGCAAGGGGCTGCCTCCTTTTATGTACGTGTGGGAAAGATTACCCGCTAACAATACGGCTGCAGTGTGTGTTTTAACTAGTAACGAGCTTCCATCGGTTAAAATGACAATTTCTGAACCATGCGAAGACAGCCCAGTCTAGATACAATGGTAGTTAAATCTGAATGGAAAAACACTCAAAACTATTAATCCTCCCGGCAAGCAGGGAAGCCTAGCGCGGCTGCTCATTAACTCTCCTGGAATTGCCTGCAAACGCCACAAATGCTTCTGTTTATATGAATAGCCTTCGGCACATTTCCCTCTTTCTCCAAAGAAAAACAAGAACAGCACACGCACGCACACTGGAGAAAATGGAGGAAAGAGTGAAAACGGCCCGCGCAAGGCGCAAAACACACACCCTTTGCTGGAATTGCCTATGCTAGGGAGATTCACAGCTCGATCCCAAATGAACATTTAGCCGGAAGTTCAACGGGGCTTCCTATTTAGGATCGCAGCCTTAAACCGTTCACTCGATCCCCAGGCAGTTTCCCTTTCCCTACAGTGCTCGAGTTAAAGCAGCACCGTAGACCCTCCGTATCCTCTCCAAGTAACTCTCCCAGGGAGAGTCTACTACGACGCCGTTTACTCTAACTTAACTGGTGGTCGGATACGAGCAATCCGCTAGGTGTCCTTTCTCCTTTCCCTGCATTGCATTCCCCCCACCCTGCCCTCGGGCGGCGGGCTGAGCTCCCACAGCTGAGGCGGGCACGGTGCAAACCTGCATCACCCGAAGGGGCCCAGGATGCAGAGCCCCCAATAATGCATAGCAAGAGCAGGAAGCAAAGCGACAGGTAGCCCCCCGCTTAGGAGGACACCCGCACCCCTCCCTCCCCAAAGCGCGCCTCAATGCTGTCTCCGGGAGGACGGAGAGAAAGGGAGGACAAGGCCGAGACCTTCCCGCCAGCTTTCTCCGGGGACAGAGGCAGGGAAGCGAAGGGAGACTAGGGAGCGGAAGACGCGGAATACTCCGGCCGGAGGGGAAGAGGCGTCGCGCCTCAGCCGCTACCCGAGGAGTTCCGAAAGCACAACAAGCTCCGCCCCAGCGCCAAAGCACAAGGGAAGCAGCCACAGCAAGCAAAGCGGGCGCGGAGGCACCAGAGCGAGCAGCGCGAAACACAGCCTAGAAGCAGCCACCTACCTCCTCCTCCCAAGAAGACCCGGCCGCGCAGGTGAAACTGAGCCGCTGCAGCTGCCTCTCCCAGTAGCAGCAGCAATGCCAGCATGCGTGGGGAAGCGACTACGCAGGCGCGCTGCGCCTCGGTGCGAGTTCCCCAGCTCTCGCGCAAGCGCAGAGTCGCGTCAATGTTTAGGACCACAAAAGAATATTGCTCGTTCGGCTTGGAGGGAAATCGGGGAGGGGAAGGAGTTGGGTTGGCAGCGGCGTTTAGGGTGGGTTTTAGTACTTGCAAGAGGTACAGTTGCGCTTTGGTAGAAACGCAAGGTGTCAGGTGCATTTGGAGCATTTTAGAACATGTTTCTACTGAGCTCGGGGATTTGTTTATTTAGTAAAGTTCACCATCCTTCCATCCCCTGTTGCACTAATCTTTCTTCACTTAAGCAGTCTAATAGCATAGGGAAAGTAATTTTTGTTGTTCCTTTCAGAGGTGTTAACTTTGGGGGTGGGGCTCAAGATCCCTCTACCCCAGGGGCGCTACCCGCCCCCCCCACAGGCAACAGCCCCTGCCAAGCATATTGACAGGCTGACTTGGTCCGGTGCTGCAGTTACAACAGCAGCACCGGACCAACCCATCTCTCTGTTGTGTCATACAACAGTTTTCATGATTCTTTGAGGCTTTGTACCTGTCTGCCAGTATTTGTTTTTGTAGAGCTGACAGGCCTTTGGAGATGGGGGACATTTGCCCACCTCCAGTCTGCAGGGACCTCACCTGTTCTCCAAGAATCCTCATCGATTATAGGCAGAGGCTCTGAGATTGCACCAAGAAGCTCCTTTAGTACCCTTGGGTGCAGCTCATCAGGCCCTGGAGATTTGCATTCATTTAAAGTAGCTTGGTGTTCCCTTACTACTTTTCCTATCTTGGGCTGCAGCTCCCTCCCTGCGTCATTTATTCTGTTATCACCAGGTTGGGCACTGCTTTCCTTTTGAGTGAGGACAGAAATAAAGTAAGTGTTGAGCAGTTCTGTCACCCAACAGCATTTTTCTGTCTTCACATAGAGGACCTGCAACTTGCTTATTCTTCCTCTTGCTTTGAACATAGCAGAAGAAACCTTTTGATTTTTTAATTTTAATCTCTCTTTAATTTTAACCTCTAGAATAAGCCTAGGCTTATTCTGAGCTTTGACCCACCTGACCTCCCTTTAACTGTTGGGTACTCATGTATACTCTTCCTTCATGATTTCCCCTTTCTTTCATTTCTTATACATGCCCTTCTTAAATCTCAGCTCATCTGTAAGCTCATGCAACTACACTGGCTTCTTTAGGTGCCTCCCAGTTTTCTTTCTTGTTGGAATTGTCTGCATTTGGGCCTTCAATATTTCACCTTTAAGAAACTCCAATCCCATCGGCACTTCCGGGGTGGCGCCATCGGCAGTGGCGGACTCCCTCTGAATTGGAGGGACTAGCTCCGCGCGAAACGGGTCTTCTCCGCTACAGCGAAGCGGGGACCCTTTTAAAAATCACAGGCGGATGAAGCCTGTGACCATGGGACTCGGCGGGCACCCTTAGCGCCCCCCCAACCCGCAAAGGAACCCACTAACGGGCTCCGAAGCGAAGAGGGGGAAGTGGCGCGGTGCTGTGAGTCAACTGCTATTTCCGTGGAGCGAAGCCGCACAGCTGTTGCCGGAGAGCGCTGCCTTTTTCCTGGGACAAATTGGCTTCTAAAATAAGCACCCGTGAGTACTTAAACTTTGAACAATTGGACTTTAAATAAGGACTTGCGAGCAGAAAGGAATTGGACTTAAAAATTTTACTTCAATTTGGTACTGAAACAGGAAGGTCTAAACAGGAAGTCAGCCTTCCGTTTCTTTGTAGACAGAATAAAGCAAAGACAACGTAAACTAGAGCTCAGAAAATCGCCTCTAAAGGATTGGCTTTCATCATTTAAAATTGTTGAACCCCCCTTCGGCAGCAGGAGAAGAAGGGGGATCTTTTCTGGACTGTTTAAACCTGCAGAAGTGAGTTTAAAGTAAAGTAACTTTCCACCGTCCTGATCCTGGAGCGGGGTGTCAGGACTGACGTTTGAAGCTCATTGACCAGAAACAAGCGCTTTTGACAGATAGCTAAAAGAAGAGGAACATAGTGATTCCATTGTTTCCTTTCGCATCTTAAAGGAACAAATATTGACAAAATATCTGAAAAAAGGAAACTCTGTTGCTAGACTTGTCTTTAAAAGAAAGATTAAATAGAAGTTTTCCCCCTAGAGGGAGACTGTGAAACTGTAACCAACTCCTGGGAGCTGGCACCTGTTACAGATTACAATCGTGGGAATAGACATCTGACCTTCAGGACAATGTATTCAGAAGCTCTGTTGTGTGCTTTCTATAAAACAAATGCCCTACTGGAACAGTTACATGAGAAGACGAATTTGATGGCTGATTCGATTAGAAATTTTGAACAGGCAGTGGGAAATTTTGAACAGGCAGTGGGAAAATATGTGGAGCCCACCCAGGAATTAAATCAGGAGTGTGTCCTGACAGAACAGGCCCTACAGGAATATGAGCTTTGGATTTGACAAATGAACTTGGAAAAAGCCAGATTTGGAAAGAAAAAGTTTGGTTTGGTTTGGAAATGGGGGGTTGGATAGACCCTCCTATGCAGGGATGTTTGGACTTTTCAAGTCTGGCAATGGGCCGTGAGATGTTTGGGATTGTGGGGGCTCTTAATTTTGGAGGGATTCTGAAACATGTTTTTAAATACCACATGGAATTTAGTGTCGATTATGGAAAAGGGGCTGATCTGTCGAGAAGGGTCAAAAATATTGCTAAGTTGGAGTTCCCACAAGTGAAAGGAGCAGGAGACAAAGGAAAATACAGCTATAAATATGAAGAAGACATGGAAGGGACTTAAGGGCCTCGGATATAAGATTACCAGGTTAATGCGCCAGATCGATGGGATAATAAGGACTGACAAAACCCGGGACCAGGAGGAAGGGACGCTGGATGAAGATTGGATTTGTTTTTATTTCTCTTTTCACTACTAGGACTGTTTTATAAAATTGATGAATGTTAGAAAAATGTTGGAATGAAATTACTTGGCTTTAGTAAAAATGTTTAAAGAATTATGCAAGAATATTATGGTTATGAGAAGTTGGTAAAAATAAGATTTAAGTTTTAAGTCTCAAGGTTTTTTTATAGTAAGATAAGATTAAAATAGTTTAAGGTAATGTAATGACAGAATATTATGAAATATGGAAAGGATTTGCTGTGACAATTAACAAACAGGATACAAGGAAGGGGAGGAGGAGGAGGTCAAGGAAAGAGGGTAATGACAGTTGAGGAGTTGAGAATAATGGATTTGTTTTTAAATGTTTTTAAATGTTTGTGGTGTATTTTTGTTTTTTTCTTTCTTATTTTGAATTTGTATATGTATGGTTGGAAGTGGCTTGTTTTTCTCTTTTTCTACTTTGTGTTTCTTTTGTAACTTTAAAAAAAATTTTTTTCCCCAATAAATATCATTTTTTTTAAAAAAAAAAAACTCCAATCCCATCTTGGACCCCCTTCTCTTTGAGTATTTCTGACCATGGGATATCACCCAGTAGTTCCTTAAGCTTTTTGAAATCAGCCTTCTTAAAGTCAAGAGTACTTGTACACTCAGTTTTCTTTTGTCTCTGCACCCGGCTTTCTATTGTTAAACAATTGCATTTCAGAAATCCTTGCACCCCTGGGTAGATGGGAGAGAGTTTGCTGGGTGAGGCGTGCTAAAATGAAAGATGCAGCAGTGCTTTTCGGAATGCAGTTGGAATTAATGAATGCAATTGATGGGGTGGAAGGATGATAAAGGCTGCTGTGCTAGTAAGATGCAGTACAAAGGGGAAAGTATGGTTTAGCTGCCACTGCAAGGCTAGCAAAACAGGAGCCAACCAAGATTCCCTCAAATTACTCATTCATCTGGACCGTATAATGTTTACAAGGAAGTAAACCCCATGAGACTTATTCACAAGAAGCTAATCATATGATTGCAGCCTTCAAGGACAATGTCCTCTTCACGTATTTGGAAACATAGGCACCCTTCTTCATTATATTGTTTCGTAGATCCCTTTGTCAAACCTTGATGTTGATTTTTCAGGACTGAGTCATGGCTCAAACCGAGCCCTAAGGAATTTAATATTTCTTTTTAGTTGTTTGGGGCAGGGTAGAGAAGGTTTGCTTTAGAGAACAACAATTGAAGCAGGCGTTCATATAAAACAGGGAAATCAAATAAAGTATTAGATGATAAAATGGGCTGAGGATGAGCATGTGTCAAAGAACAAAAATGTATATTTTTGTGATGCATAGGAGTGGGAATATTCATTCTCAAAATAAGTTCTGTATTGAAGCTGATATGTAGCAAGTTTAAGACAAAGACAAATAAACAAAATGTTACCAGGAGATAGATATCATGATCATGTTCTGCTTGTGAACTTTTCGTAGGACCTGACTAGGTGCTGAAATTAAAAATGGTGTTCCCCCAACTTGGTGACTTCCAGATGTTATGGAACTACAAATCCCATCAGCCCCAGCCAAATACAACATTGGGAGGGCAGCCTGTTGGAGAAAGTTCCAGAATGGAAAGTCTAAATTTGAGGGGTGAGGAACAATTTCAGAACCAACACGGTATAATATGGATTTGCACATGTAGAGAGGGTTGTAGTTCTAGGATTTCATTTTCTCAAGTATTGCAGCCATTTCAGAGAATTTTCTCAGGACAGCCAGAATGCTCTCCATATTAGTGATCATCTGTAACACTAGGCTGAGGAAGCCTCATTTATTGCCTGACCTACAAACAGAACAGGATTGTTTAGAAAGGATTAAAGGGTCAATGGCTTTTTGCTGTCACCAGCTGAGCTGCAGCAGTATTATTTACAAGCTTATTTTACTCCAGAGTGATTACTATTGAAGATTTCTAAATTTAAAACTATGTACAGAATGTCATGGCTAGTGGAGTCCCCTTATACACAAGGCAAACACAGGAGAGTTGCCATACCATTATAAAAACACATAGCCCTAAACAGTGGTACCTCGGGTTAAGTACTTAATTCGTTCTGGAGGTCCGTTCTTAACCTGAAACTGTTCTTAACCTGAAGCACCACATTAGCTAATGGGGCCTCCTGCTGCTGCCGCGCCACCGGAGCACAATTTCTGTTCTCATCCTGAAGCAAAGTTCTTAACCTGAAGCACTATTTCTGGGTTAGCGGAGTCTGTAACCTGAAGCGTATGTAACCTGAGGTACCACTGTATATGTAGTGTAACTGTAATGAATGCAGGTCAGATGAGGACCAGGTGACCAAACAGTAACATTAACTTTATAGATCAGGCGGGATTCCCCCCACCCCCACAGCTCAACATAGTTGCAGTTGTAGAACAATAAAATGCACATAGCACTTTGAGTGAGTATGAAATAGTGTAATCCTTCCCAGATTTGAATGCACTGTTAAATTAGTGGGCAGAGGAGAAATCAACATACCCAACAGCAGTAAAGAACAAAGCTGCCAAACCACATGTTCCACTGTGAAAAATCATGGGAACCCAAACTCAACAAGGGCAGGCATTGCCCTAGGAGGTAAATTTGTTGGGTGAGTGATTACATTGGATTTGGAATCAGTCATGGTTTCAACAAATGTATTGAACGGTTACAGTACAATCCTATACGTGCCTAATCAGAAGTAATCCCTGTTGACTTCAATGCGACTCTAGCAAGTGTGGACTGCAGGTTTAATTAACCAGTAGAAAAGCTATGGTGCTATTCCTATGAAGTAAAAATTACTTAAAGGTAAAATCTTAAGGATTATTATTTTAGTTTTTAAAATGCAATGCAGGGACTCTGTAGAGATAGGAACAGCAATTTATTTCACACTAACTCCATGGCAATTTATAGCACAGGTGGCGTTCAATCATACTTTCCTTACTGTCAAAGCATGCAGATAAGTCATATGACTGTTGTCCTTTTCACTAGCGATGATGTATTGTTTAGCCATTGATTCGAAGGCATACCAAATCAACTATTCAAAAACTAAACCAAAATAATGTTCGGAGCTTCTCCCTACTCTGCAAAATAATAACAAAGCCTGTTTTTAGAAACTATAATGATAGTATGTGTGCTATCTGTAAGAATGAGAGTCTAAAGATAAGGGATGTGAATTAATTTGGTATGTTCTTTGGTCAGTTTTATTTTTCTGGATGCATAAGCGGTAAAACAAAGAGACTGTGAGTTCTAGGATTTCATTCTAGTTCAGGAGAACTATGAATATCCCCAACACAAGGCTGCCTGGATTTGGCTGAAGTGGAGAGTGTTTTTGCTGTCCGCATTAACCTAGTTTGTTAACCCTATGCCTAATTAAGCAAACTGCCTCCAGGAAAAGAGAATGGTAATTAATTTTAAAATAGATAAAAGGGAGGAGGGGAATGCAATGTAAGAAACAGCCATGTTGTGAGGGCTGCAAACCTACAACCAAGACTGGCAAAATAAATTTACAAAATCAAGGTTATGTAAAACAGGCTTCTATCGGTGCCAGTTCTAATGAGTTACACAGTATCATGTAAGCAAAAAAAGGAAGCTGTTGGACCTGTCCATACTGCACATAGATTAGAATTGTGGAGTTGGAAGGGACCCTGAGGGTCATCTAGTCCAACCCCCTGCAATGCAGGAATCCTGCGCACAGCCATCCTGGGTGGGCTCCAACCACCAGCCTGCTGGTTAGCAGCCAGATGCACTGACCCATTGCCAATAGGGAAGAAGTCTCAAGATTGGAAAGCTTTAATTGCTGGAATCCTGCATTGCTTCTTCCTCTACTGTATTTCAGTTTCTCCTTTGCCTTATATATGCTGCTGGTCAGGGAATTCAGAAGTGTTTTTAAGGGGGCCCTGTCAAGACAGGATGAATGCTACCTACTTTTTGGACACGTTTCTGTCTCCTTAATTTAGTGGACAAAAACGTTATATAAGCTCTTATATTCAACATTGATGAAATTAGTCATATGTATGACTATGAATAAATATTCATATTTGTACATCTGAATAAATAAATGTAATAACTAGCAGTTGATGCTCTGAATTTTTTATGTTAATCTGGCAGCAGTGAGACTAGCGCTTTCTGCTTTATCACCCCAGCACCACCTCTGGCCTCCATCGTATTGGTTCTGTACTGACAGGGTGGGGAAAACCCATAATGGGTTTTTACATTCATTTGGGGACTGTTTCATTTTTGTGTGGTAGGAATTGCCACCAACAGGAAACCCCGCCCCCACTTAAATTATATCAAGGCACCTCACTTCCACATAGCTGTGGTTCCTTCCACTGCATGCAGTGTTGCCAGATGCTGGAATTCCCTCTTCTACACAACTATGCAACTATTAAAGGTGAAGGGGCCCTGCTCTCTTTTAGGTACAGCCACCTGTTCGCATGCTACACTTTGGAAGGAATGGAGGAACTATTCTTCGAGGGAAAACCCTGATTTAATTTAAAATCAGAAGAAATCCTGATTTAAATTAAAATCATGATAGACATTCTTTTTAATTGGCTTGAAATTAAACTTGTCTCTTTGAGCTGTGCAGTATGCATGGCACAATCCTATGCATATCTACTCAGAAGTCCCCCATTGGATTCAATGAACTCACTCTCAGGAAGGTGTGCATCATATCCTACCCTCATGCTGCAGTCTGATAGCACTTAACTGGGAATAGGTCTTTTGTGGGACATACAAAGCAAACCAATCAGAAAAGAAAGAATGACATCTGTTGACATCAAAGAGACATGAAATGTAGAAGTTCCTTGATACGATATGCCCCTCAAGCTTGTTTGTGCAATGTCTGCATCCATAAGAAAATGTAGGCTGCTATCCTTAATTGACCCAGCCTTGCAAACTTTCAAGCTAAACAAAAATGTTGATCAAATTCCAGAGGAGCAGCCATATGGGCCAGAACTGGAGGCAGGCAGCATACACACATGTATACATCCTGAAGATGGTCCCATGCAGCAATGAGCCTTCTTTGAGCCTAATTGTGGCTCATTTTATTGTATGATTCCCTTAAGCTGAAGATCTCAAGGTGGTTCACAGCATAAAATAAAAACAAAAACACAAAATGCATAGTAAGAACAAAACAAAGACACATTTACAAAGAATGTTAAACAGCCAAAGGCCTGGTTGAACAGAAATATTTTTGCCTGGTGCTTAAAGATGTATAATGAAGGTGCCAAGCAAGCCTTCCAGGGGAGAGCATTCCACAAATGGGGAGCTACTGCAGAAAATATCCATTCTCATGTTGCCACCATCCAAACCTCTCGTGGAGGAGGCACCCGAAAAAGGGCCTCAGATGATGCTCACAAAGCCTGGGTCAGTTCATATGGGGAGAGGCAATCCTTGAGGTACTGCTGCAGTCCTTAGCCACTTCAAGGTTTTATGGGTCAAAATCAGCACTTTGAATTGGTCCCAGGAACTCAGTGGGAACTGGTGCAGTTGGGCTACTGATATGCTCAAACTGTCTTGCCCCAATGAGCAACTGTATTCGGCACCAACTGAAGTTCCCAAACCACCTTCAGAGGCAGCCCCACCTATAACACGTTGCAGTAATCTAACCTAGAGGTTACCAGAGCATAGGTGATGGATGTTTGGCTATCCCTGTCCAGATAAGGGAGCAGGTGGGCCACCAACGAAAGCTGATGGAAGGCACTCCACACCACTGAGGCTACCTGAGCCTCAAGCCACCTTCAAAGGGAGTGTAAAACCCCATTAAGAGCAGGCAACCTCCCAGCCATCTGGTAATGGGAACCACCCACTAGCAATGCCTCTGTCTTATATGGATTGAGCTTCAGTTTATTGGTTTTCATCCAGTCCATGACTGAGGCAAGACAACAGTCCAGCACATCTATTGCCATACCTGCAAATGTAAAGGAATAAGTAGAGCTGTGTGTCTTCAGCATATTGCTGACCACCTACTCCAAAACTCCAGATAACCCCACTTAACAGTTTAATGTAGCACAGGGGATAAAATTGAATCCTGAGGAACCCCACATTGAAGGCTCTACAGGGCCACAGAGCACTCCCCAAGCATCATTCTCTGGAAACGACCATCCAAGTAAGAACAGAACCACCACAAAGCGATGCTACCAACCTCTATCGTGGAAAGCTGCTCCAGAAAGATACCATGGGTAATAGTATTGAAAGCTGCTGAGAAGTCAAGGAGAATTAACAAGGGCACATTTCTTCTGTTTCTCTACTGACTGATGCTATCATACATGGCAGTTTCTGTGCCAAAACTGGGCCTAAATGCCAACTGAAATGGATCTAGAAGATCAGTTTCCTCCAAGATGGTCTGGATCTTTTCTGCAACCACCTGCTCAAGAACCTTGCCGAAGAAGGGGAGTTTAGCAACTGGCCAGTAGTTACTTGGATTTTCCAAGTGCAGGGAGTGTTTATTAAGGAATGGTTTTACTACTGCCTCCTTCAAACAGGCAGCGACAACTCCCTCTCGGAGGGAGGCATTAATAACCACCCTGGCCCAGCCAGCTGTCCCCTCCCTGATAGTTTCTTTCAACCAAGAGGGGCAAGGGTTCAGAGTGCAAGTGTTTGCCCTGACCGATCCAAGCACCTTGTCCACGTCCTCGAACCTTACCAACTGAAACCCATCCAACACAACAAGACTAGACCGTGCTCTGGATTCCCCTTGAAATTCATGTGCTGTAACAGTGGAGTCAAGATCCCTGTGGATGCAAGCAATTTTATCCTAAAAATGCTTTGCAAACAAGTCAGTGAGTCTCCAGTACTCTTTCCTTTCATGGAGACTGATCCTTTAAAAGTCTGAAATCTCTTACCCTTTGGATAAGTGTTTATATGTGTGAGGAGGAAGAGTTTGAAACACAATGTTTTTCATGTTTTGTGAGATCAACATAGCAGAAATAGCAGCTTACATTTATGTTACAAGTTCAGCATTTTTACCATTGCATTTTGCTTCCTGCTGATCATTTCCAAGTAAAATACCATGAAAAAGAAAGTAAACACACCTGCACACCCCTACACACATAAAAAGGCTAGCAGGAATCCAAATTCTGGTTCCTAACGCCATCTAGTGTCTGGCTTCTGTACTAAAATATAGGAGTAAATGGTCTACCAAGAGCTAATTCAATGCTTTTTTAATTAGGACTGTGTGGAACCCCCAGTCTGAAAGGTATCTCCAAGGGGTTCCACAACTTTTAAAATCTCTTCACCTTTCCTTCCTGCACCAGCCTGTCACTCACACTCTTAAGAGTGGGAATGTCTGTTTATAACATGTGGCCTAGTCTTAGTAAAAGCTAAAGGGACCCCTGACCATTAGGTCCAGTCGTGACCGACTCTGGGGTTGCAGCGCTCATCTCGCTTTATTGGCCGAGGGAGCCGTCGTTTGTCCGCAGACAGCTTCCGGGTCATGTGGCCAGCATGACTAAGCCGCTTCTGGTGAACCAGAGCAGCACACGGAAACGCCGTTTATCTTCCCACCAGAGTGGTACCTATTTATCTACTTACACTTTGATGTGCTTTCAAACTGCTAGGTTGGCAGGAGCTGGGACCGAACAACGGGAGCTCACCCCGTCATGGGGATTCGAACCATGACCTTCTGATCGGCAAGTCCTAGGCTCTGTGGTTTAACCCACAGCGCCACCCGCGTCCCCTCTAGTCTTAGTACTAACACCTTAAATCGGGTCTGGTAGTTCCCTGACAGTTAGTGCAGGGCTTTCAGAACAGGTGTGCTACTGGAATAGTTTTATTGAAATGTATTGTTTTATATGTCTTTTTTGTAGTTAAGTGAAGAGTAAGTCAAATAGATAATAATGATTTCTTAAATCAAATTTCCATCGCAGCTTCTAGTAGAAATTACCTTTCATATCTTGATATTCTCAGTGAGGTATCTTTTAACTCCTGGGCCCAGTTCTGTAATGGAAGGGAGAGTGAAGGAAGAGTGCAGCTCCAGACTTTTTTGTGCTGACTGATGGGAGTTGTAGTACATCTGAAGGGTATTGGGTTGGTGAAGGCTGTTCTGAACTTTCTTTTTGGTTTTTTTAGCCATCCAGTTTGGGCTTGTTAAAGTTATAACTAAATTCCACAACAGAATTGCTCTTAGGCTGAGGACAGCATAGTGCAGCAGTACTAACTATTCCTCCTTGATGGCTATAGTCATATGCCTTCTCAGACATTGCTTTTTATAATTGTGCAAATGGTTTGTGCATCCATTATGCATGTGTTTAAAACATTAGCAAACTTTGATTTATTGTTGTATTAAAGGCAAGCTTTCTAACCTCCTTAAAGTGTGATGTAACGGCAGTGTCAGCCCAATACATTTTGGTACCAGAGACAAACCACAGAATGCTTTCTCCCCTCCCATTAGGGAAGAAGGGGTGGGTTACGATTTACAATGTGACCAAGTGAGGGGGGTGGAATCAAATCAAGCTTGCCTGACGGTTGATGTGGGAATCAAAGCCCATCATGGGCATAGCTGTCAACTTACAGATTTGAAAATAAGGGACCAGCAGCCTTGAAAATAAGGGACCAGCAGCCAAAATAAGGGACCTGTAGCTTCGAGAACACTGTCCAACCAACTTTGTAACCAGAGGTTCAACTGAATAGAATCTGTATCACATGCACCACAAGGCCTATGCAGCCTCAACTTAAGATGGCTCCCCGGCCTGGCTTTGCACTGCAAAGTTTGCAGCAGCACGAGCAACAAAATGACGTCCAGCATTCAAAAAACCCCTCAGCTTGTATTAACTAGCCACACACAAGGCATTCAGGCTCCACCCCCCAGTCGTTCTTAGACTTCTTATTGGGTGAGCAGCACAGCCAAGCAACACAGTTGGAGCCTCCCTCCTCCCTGGCCGGCAGGGAGGGAGGGAGAGGAGCTGCTTCCTTTGAAATTTAAGGGACATCATTTAAGGGACATTTAAGGGACATCCATCAATAAGGGACAGCAGCGGGACATGGCGCTGGAATAAGGGACCTTCCCTTCAAATAAGGGACACTTGACAGCTATGCATGGGTGGGAAAGAGGCCCAGTCTAAATCATGACAGGAGGATGCAGAGCACAAGAGACTTCAGAGGGCAGCCCCATGGGCATAGCTATCAAGTAAATAAATAAAAATACTTAACTAAAAATAGAAATTGTAGAGACTTTGACAGATTTTCCTGAGCACTGGGAGTCAATATAAAGTAATCTAAAACAACTGCTGTTGAGACATTTCATTCCAAATCTAGAGCTGGACAGAGGTTAATGACAGGTAGATGTCTGGCCTCAGCTTAACAAAAATCCTGGCTTCCTGCCTTCCTAACATAAAACCTGTGGGGGGGACTATGTCTGGTCCTTCAAGGGGCAAACCTTTGCACTTGTGCTCCATCGCCACCTGCTTAGGACCCTTCTAGGAGCTGCTCCCTGCAAGGTCTCTAATTAAAGGCCTACTGTTCTAGGGGGTGCATGGGTGGTGGTGGGTCTTTGTCGTTAAGCTTGGATAGTATGGCTTTTGAGGGTTTTTTTACAAAAACCCTTGATATTTTGCTGACTTAAATTTTTGCAAGCTGCTTGTTATTGCTTGAATTCTGCACATTTGAAAACTTTTTGTGGGCTGTATTGGGGGCCTTATGCCTATACCACTAATAACACAGCGTGGCTTACCTCCGCGTAGACATGTACGCATAGGATTGCATTGTTAGGAATTTTAACAACAAGGACGCAACAGCAGGACAAATTAAAACGAAACCGGCCCCTTTAAAAGTGTCAACGAAAGGGATGAGCATAGAACGGCATTGCGCATGCGCACACCGCCCAAGCCCGCCTGAAAACTCTTCCCTTCACCTTACTCTCCCACCGCTTTTCAAGGGAAATATCACGCACGCACGCGTACTTCCGGTGGAGAACGACCGTAGGGGGAATATGAGGACTTATTTCGCGCGGCACGGAAGGTTCTCAAGGCGCGTGCGCGCCGCGTAGGGTAGAAACAGGGGCTCTAGGGTGTGAATTTTCTGGCGCGGCCGGAAGTGTCCGGAGAGACCTGAGCGCAGCGTCCGATTTCTCTCCCGCACCCCCCGCCCCTCACCCACTGCGGGCACTATGGAACCGGGAGCTTGAAGGAGGAGCTGCTTGCCTTTGCCCCAGACATGCTAGCCGGCCCCCTTGGTGCAGGTAAGCGCGGCCAGGCGACCCCCCCCTCCGCAAAAGAACCACGGCCCACGACGCGCTCTCCCTTCGCTGGGCCCGCTCCCTCACCCGCTCTGACCTCTGCGCTCCGGGCTGCCTCGCTCCTTTATTATTCCCGGGTTGGAGGCCTCGACGCCCGATGCTGCCGCCTCCTTTCCCGGGAGGGTGTAGCCGGAGCGGGGGGCTCTTCCTCGGGCTGCCTCCCACAACGGTGTGCGCGGTTGTCCCTGGCCGGGAAGCAGCTCCTCTTTCCCGGCAGACCGCTCCGGGTAGAAAGTGCTCCCTGCGGGAGAGGAGTTGCTCTTGTTTCCGGTGGATCCTGGAGCCCCCCATGGGGTGCTTAAGCAAAGCTAGGCCCTGCCGAGGCGAAGCAATATCCCTTTCCCCACTCCCACCCTCTCGAGGAAGAGCCCCTACAGCAGCTGCCTGAGTGAGTTAACGATTGCACTCCAGTTTGTAGTTGTTGTTGCTGCTGGGCAAGGTTGGCCAGCTGGCAAATTCTGGGTTCACTTCTTCTCCCAATTCGGAAATAGGTAGCAGGATTTAAATTTAAACAGCCAGAGACACATGTTTATTAGGCAAAGATGATGACACTGTTGGTCAAGCTCAGGTGGATGGAAACTATACTGATGGCATGTCATCAAGAGGGACTTGAGGTATAAATGGAGCTATGTGTTGTCATGAATTTGTTTGCGCCTGTTGCTGCTTTTACCTTTCGGCACTCCACAGCTTTCTGCAAAAAAGAGGGGTAGTTATAGTGCTTTGCGACAGAGGAGTTGTAAAAATCGGCAACACTGATGTGCGAGAAGCACTTTGAAAAAAGCGCTATGTATAAATGCTACGTATTAATGCTGTTTGTGGAAAGAGTTTATTCCCTTAAAGCAGGGGAGCAGAACCTGTGGGTCTCCTGTTATGGTTGGCTCCTCATGCCCATCAGGTCCAGCCAGCATAGCCACAGTCACAGATTATAGGAGTTATTGCTGAAAACATTTGGAGGGCGAGAGGCTGGGGACAGCTGTCTCATTCCATTTGGGGCAGCTGTAGTCTGTAATCCAGTCTGTGTATTTACTGCCTTTCATCCTAGTTGTTTGAAAACCTAACTTGAAATCCTGGCTTCTTTGAAGCTAGAAGTTATACTCTTACTGACAGGATTTTGCTGTTTTGCCTCATGCCTGAAGGCAAACAGCCAGTTACTCTACTCGCTGATTTCCTCAATTTAGTTGTTTTTTAAAGGTATTGCTATGAAGATCCTGTTTTTACTAAAAAAACAGGTTTGCAAAAGGACTGCTTTTCAAAACCTGGTAATGTAATACCTCGGACATATTCATAAAAAAGAATTCAGTGTTGCACTCTTCTGATTGTTCTATCTGTGCAAGTATTGTATTCCCCCCATGCAGTTCTGGGGGCTTTCCTGACCCCCCCCCCAAGCCAATTTCATAGGCAGGAGGAGAAAGCCTCATTGTGCAAGTAGAAGTCCTTATGAAAGTAGAAGTAGAATCCTGCCCACAATACCTATGAATTTGTATGTGGTTATATATTGGTTTATGTTTTGTTTTGAAGTTCTAAAAAATAAAAGTAAAAATGCAGCAATTAACCTAAGAACCTGGCAAATTATAGGCTCAGATCATGTGCACATATGCCATTTTCAGCCCTCAGCAACCCAATCGGAAAAAGTACTCAGAATAGTAACACTTCTTGAAAGACCATACATAAAATAACTTAAGATAATTATTGCGGATTAGCTGAATAGCATTTCTTCCCACTCTATATCCCTTCAGTGGTCTACATGCCATTCTGAATATATGTGTGAGCTGTGCCCAAAGCAGCTTACAACATTCAAAATATCAAAATTCAAAGCAATGGGGTGGGGTTGTTGCTCTTGCAAAAACATGCAGTTGTGGTATTTCTGCTGTGGCAAAGCAGTGTGGTTGTACATCTATGAACAAAAAACTCCACATGAAGCAGATCAAAAATAAGTATACCAGAGAGTATGTGTCATTGTTCTTGTTATGTGAAAATGCAGAAGAGCAAAAAGGAGATCTTTGTTTGGGAGCACAATATACCATAGTAAAATTTTGTAAGAGAGAATGGGGAAGGTGTCTACCTTTATGGTGTGGTGCTGCAGGGGCATTTTTGCATACTCCCTCCCCTCCCATAACAATACCATGCACTAAGAAAGGAATCCTCTGGAGCACTATTCTTTTGCAAGCGTAATGGTAGCAGACATAATGAACAAGAACAATAGAACAGTTATGCAAATATATAAGAAAAACTCAGCGTTTGAGAAAAATAATGCAACATGTGGATGCATTTCTTGTATTATAAACTTAAGACCCCAGATAAGCTGGAAGCCGGGAATGCTTTTTGTCAATTATGTTTAGCGCGTAGGCTGTGCATATTTGGAGGTCAGTTATCTTGCTTTATTTATCTGCTTTTTGTAACATGTAAGGTTTACTACTGTAATGCAATTATGTGAATCTGCCTGTTAGACTATTGTGCAGAATGCCACTACTAATTTCCTGACAGGGAAGTGGGAGCATATTCAACAGATGTGGCAAATACTTTGGCTTGTTGTTTGCATCTGTGTCCAGCTTAAGCTTCTGGCACTTGCCCTTTAAAGCCTTTCATTTTCTGAGACCTAAATACTTGAGAGACTCCCCCTCTTGTTTTGAACCTCCATACTGTCTGCATTCTGTAGATCCCATGCTCTTATGATCCTCTTCCCTTTGTGGGTAGACTAGAAGTAGTGTCCATACTGTAATGGCCCTAAGTATTACCCATTTCGTCCATACTGTAATGGCCTTAAGTATTACCCATTTCCAAGAGGTGCATTCTTAATCTCATTGCCTTCTTGAAGGTGTACGAAACCATTTATCTTGGTAGGCATTCACAAAAAAAGGTTGTGTTTCTGCTCTTACTACATTTTTGTTTTTATATTATACTTATGTAAATGTTTGGGTTGTGTGAAGTCTGTTGATTTCAAGCAGACAGACTGCTTGGTAAATATGTTTAGGATTGAAGTGAGTGGCTCTGTTTGGTCTTATATATGGAGATTTAAAAGCTTAGAAATACTATCCTGGCTCCAATATAATCAGAACAATAATAAACAAATAGTAGTAGTTAAAATGTTCCTTAGGTGAGTTCTATAGGAAAGGCTTACATTCAAAGCCCAAAGGAACCAACTCCGAAAAGAAAATACTTGGCTTGCCCTCAAGGCTCTACAAACTTTGTTTGGAAAAAGCCAGCAGATTTAATTAAATCTTTATTACTTTAAAAAAAAACCACACACACAACCAAAACTATTCTGTAGGACTAGGAGAAGCTTTGGGCATGGTCAAGTAAGTTACATATGTTGTTGCCTCCCTTCACATCAACTGCCCTGGGAACTCTCAGGTTGAAAGGAGGAATACAAATCAAATAATAACGGAGGAGCCTCTCCTACAGCTCTGTGTGCAAGATATGTCATCAACTTCTCCATAATGTACTGTCCCTCTTCACCAGCTTCCTGCTCTAAAGCTCCTCCTAGAACTGGGGAGTTAAGAATTTTAGGTGTTAGTACAGGGTCTGCTGGTGTTTGGGGTTTTTTAAACTCCATCCTCTTCTTTCTTCTTTCCTATCTTTTGGGTCCCAACCGTTCTGCTTCTCAAGCTCTTTTGGCTCTCTGATCGCCCTTCAGTACATAGCGCTAATTGTCCTTGGGCCTTCTGTGAAGTTCCCCCAAAGTGTGCAATGGGGAACCTGTGGAGTGTGGACCTTCATATGTTGTTTGAATACAACTACTGCCATCCCTGAACATTGGCCGTGCTGCTGGGACTGATGGGGTTGGAGTCAAACAATATCTATAGGACCATAGGTTCCCTATTCCATCCATGTTACGTGTTTGAAGAGGTTGCCAAAGAAGCAAGATGACACACAATATTTCAGTACATTATTAAATTCTCCATTAGGCTATAATTACTGATGTTTGGATTTTGGATGTTAGGGAACAAATTAACAGTGGCTGTGTTTGGACGATAATACCATGGCTCAATATGCACAGACCTTCTTGCCCCTGTACTTAGCCCCATGGCTCCCATTCTTGGTGTACCACAGTGAGCCAGGAAGTGCTCAATTGATCATAGTTGCCTGTTTCATATGAAATGGGAAACGTTGCCTAGTTTGGAATGAGGTGGTATTCTAGACTAACTTCAAAATACAGTTTTAGGTTCCTGGCTTATTTGAAATCTGCTAATGACCATTTCCTATTTCAGCCAAAACAGGCAACTATGTTCAGTTAACTTAATGTGGTACAGCAAGAGTGGGTGCCATGGGGACCAAACTACAGCACACTGAGAGACTGGACTACATGCATGTGCTTGGCCACTTCTCAGCTTAGCTAATAAAGATGAATTATGTTTCTATTTCTGCCTATTTCTAAAGTTGAATTAATGTGTAGTGTACAAACTTTAAAGTGAAGAAAAATCTGTTGGCATCCAATAGATCTTGTCTGCTTACACAAGTAGTACACCAATTGGGCATGGAGGGAAATAATTCCCTCCCTGCTTGCTGCAATGCCCCCTAAATTGGGTTTAAAGAGTCCCCCAACCCTTCAGAACAGATTTAGGTATGTGTGGTACTGCAGGGGGGGAGTATTGATACTTGCCTGCCTCCCTATTCTGCTGGTGTTTTCTTTCTGTCAGCCGACAGTTACAGTAAAACCTGTATAATAATTAGCCTAACAGTAAGAAGGATATAAAAATAGAATGACACCAGGGGGGAAATGCAACAGAGAAGAGATGAGCTTATATTAAAGGAGGACAAGAGGATGCTTGCTGAGAGGAGAGAATTTCATGCATCAAGGGCCAGGGGAGTGAAAGAGATGTCATCTGCACAGGAAATGGCACAAGGAAATGAAGGTTTAATAATAATAATATCATTTCATGAATGAAGGGAGAAAGGAAAAAGTAACTAAGACAGATAAGGGGTAAGAGCAGGAAAATACTTGTAAAGTGAAACTTAATTGGGTCAGTAAAGGAAGACCGTGAAGAGAAGCGTTGCATGTCATGCTAAGCCAAATACTGGTAAAGCATAAACCTAGTGGTTCCCACAGGGCAGATTCTGGCCACTTTGCTCCTTTCCAGTCATTTCACTGCTGTGCAGTGCTGTGCTAAGCCATAGTGTGGCTTATCGTGTCATCTGAAGGTTAAGCTCCCTCCAGACTAACCATGAACTATAACCAAGGTTTGTCCTATGGCTTAGCCGAATTATAATTAGCATATTTAAAGGACTACATGTTCTAATGATCCCACCCACTTATTGAGGTCCCTGGGGAGGTCCTGTTCTGTGTTCCACTATTGTGGCTGGGAAGTGCAGTTGGGAATGTGGAACAATGCCTTCTCAGTTGTAGCAACCAGACTCTGGAACTTCCTCCTTCCCCTATTAATTTTTCATCACTATTTTCTGTCCTTTAATATGTCCTTTAGTTGCCCCTCCTGTATTTGGTAGTTTTGATGCGGCTGACTTTTTCTGTGGCTGATTTTGCTTCATTCTGTGCTGCTCAAAATTTTATCTTGTCTGTCTTTTCTTAATAAAGCAACATGGTTTTTGAAAATTCTGCTACTTTGTTTTATTGTATGCTATTTTGAGGATACCTTAAACAGAAAAGCAGTTTTAAAACTTCAGTTTACACAGAGCAAAAACCAGATTGGGAAGTGTCAAAAGGGGAATTGGAGAAACAAAGCTGAGGCATTGGTTGTTGAAGTGTAGGAATGAAAGAGAGAACAGAAAAAGAATAACAGTTCTAGGGAGGAGGAGGATTCAGAAGGCTTTTTAAAGTATCAGGGGAAATAGCATAGCGTATATAAAAGCAAAGGGAACAACACCAGAAGAGAGAAAGAAATGGAGAAAAGGACAGGAAGGCGGGGACAGAACAAGAGATATACTGGATAAAGTAAAGAGGTAGTGGTGGGATTAACTAAAGAAGAATGTTGTCAGAAGCAGAATATAGAGAATAGCAAAAGGAGGATGAAGATTCGGCAAGAGTGACAGAGAATTATATCAGAATATTGCAACCCAACGAAGAAGAGCATAGTTAAAGAGAGCACTTTTACTGATAAAAATAAGGCGAGATGAGTAATATTGCTTAGAATTAAAGTACGTGAGCAGAATGAACGCATAAATTCATAATGAGTGGAGTTACTGAGATTTGCAGAGATGTTCAGCAGCTTTGATGTAGGAATAAAAATAAGATAAAAAGGGAGACTGCTAAAGCAGAATATTAGTTGTATGACGGAAACCAGAGCAAAATAGTCTAATGTGTGACCATTCAGAACACAAAATACACAACTGCAGAATAAGGAGATTGCAAGAGAAAAGACTGATGAGTTCCCACAGATATCCAAGTGTAGAAAATGAAGTTCTCAAAGGGTTCAGAAACTTTGGGACATGTCCAACACTGCAGTTCTGCTAGTGCAGCAAACTTCTGCTTGTGCAGCAGAACTTTCCCCACTCCCCAACTCTCAAATCCACTTCAGACAGCTGGAGCACTCTCTGGAGCATATTTTTAGGATGCACAGGGGGAGGAAGAGGAAAACGTGTTGCATTAGTGCACAGTATTGGATACAGCCCTAGAGGAAAAGTTAAATGGAAGTAATTAAAGCAAACAAAATGATTTGAGAGAGGAAAACGAGCAGAATGAAGACTAACAATCAATTCATTTCTTCATATTGCAAGATCTAAGACTGGGTGATGAACCTTTTTTGGTCCAAGGGTCACATTTCCTCATTGTCACACCCTCCACTCAGGGCTGTTTAGACCAAACATGGCATGATCACACTGCATATCCTCTGCCTTCTTGCAGCTCAGCTGATCTGTGAAGATCAACAGAGGAGCATGGAGTATTTTATTTCCCATTGTGGTGCTCAGCTGGGCGGAGAGGTTTAAACCACTCTACCCTGCCCAGCACTGTGATGCTACGCTCCAGCTCCCAGCCCAGTTTACCGTTGGTAATGATGCTGAACAAAGCTCCTTTCCTCTAGCCACCATTGGTCTGAGCAGATTGGAGTTCTTAGGAAATGTCTGAGCACTCTATGCAGTTTATGGAGCACTTGGCTCAATGGTGGCTGGTGGAGTGGCATTTCATTCTGTGCCACTGGTAAACTGACTTGGGGTCTAGCAGACATTAAAAACAAACGACTAGGCAGGCTGTAGTCTTGTTTTGCCAACGCAAAATAAATTGGTGTATAGAAGAGTGGGTGAAAGCAAAAGAACTTGTGTGAGGAAGGGCTGAACAAGATTCAGAATGTGAGTCAATATGGATATTGAAGTTGCTAAGAATAAGAGTGGGAGTGGAGAAGAATGAGGCAACTGTAGACTCAAGGATCACAGTAGCTGGCTTCAAAGAGAGAAGGTGATGACAGGCTTAGCTCTCCTGTCTACAACTGACTCCTCTCATCTGAGAAATGCATATGAAAACCAAAAGAAGTGGTTGCAAGTAGGACAGCAAGTACAAAGCAGAAGAAACTTTTTTTAAACCCCCCCCCCCAGTAAATGTCTTAATTTCCTCCCCCACCCTGGACCAAATGAATATTCTTGCTCTAAGTCTACTCCTGCTCCTTAGTGATCCTCTGGATGTGGGACTGCTCTCTCCTTGTCAGAAGGCGGCATTTTATACTTCATTATCCTGAACTAGTTGGAATGTCTACCATCCTAATGTACAGTCCTTCTGACAGAGAAGTGACAAGCATATGACCGTTTCCTATTCTTCCACACAGGAAATTTCTGGCTGTAAGCCATTTTCTTGTCCAGGAAATAAAAGTTGATTCCTTAGGAAGTGTGTGGGAGTGGAGGATATCCTTCTGAATGTATCAGCTTTGTTCTGAGTACAGTACTTTCTCTGTTTGTGACAAAGGTGAAATAATATATTTGTGGGAGGAGGTTATACTGCAAAAGGATTTTAGTTCAGCTTCCCCCCGCCCCTTTGGATAAATGTTATTTATATACATCTCCCAATTTTATGGCAGTCCTGTTTGAAAGGCCACTTTCTGCCAACTCTTTCCTTTTGGTGCTGAGTGGAAGATAGACATCTATTCAAAAGAGGAAGAAAATCTATTTCACTACTGCAGATTTTTCTTTTAGACTTGTAGGGGAAGTAGTACCTCTGATATGTTTCCTTCTCTAATATACATGGCCAAGCATAGTGAGCAGGCTTAGATACATTTGGGATTAGGGGCTGGCACTTCCAGATCGGAAGATGCAAGTTCCAAGGATTCCTGAGTTCTGCCAGTTCCATTTTTAGAAGTTAACCAGTTTTATGTCAACATAGTGACTGGCACTGAAGGGACACAGCTTATTAGTAGTTTTTGAGACAGGCTTTCTTAATGTGGCATGTATACACACTACTTAACTACCAGAATCACAGAGGTATCCTTTTGCATAAGCACATGAAATGCAAGATGACTAGTTGAGCTGTTTGTGAAGTTCCAGGTGTATAACCTACTGTAATACAATTGGTCACTCTGCTACATTTTCCATGGATACGATGCATCATTCATGAGGTTCTGCTGATCATTGCATAGACCATGTCTAGCATAGTGTAGGCCATGGGTCCTCAAACTTTTTAAACAGAGGGCCGGTTCACTGTCCCTCAGACACTGTTGGGGGCCGGACTATCGTTTGAAAAAAATATGAACAAATTCCTATGCACACTGCACATATTTTATTTGTAGTGCACAAAAAACAGGAAAAATGCAATATTTAAAAGGAAGAATGATTTTAATCAACATAAACTTATAAAAATTAAAAAATAATTTTATTTTATTTTTTTGACTGCATCAGACCAACACAGCTACCTACTTGAATCATAAACTTATAAGTATTTCAATGGGAAGTATGGGTCTGTTTTTGGCTAATGAGATGGTCAATATCCGGTTCCATATTTGTCACTGCTAGTCGTAGCAAGTGATGCAAGTGTTCATCAGTTAGTCTGGATCTGGTTGGAGATTTCAGATGTTTCATTCGGGAAAAAATCTGTTCACAGACATAGGTGCTGCCAAAGATGGTTGCAATTTTGAGTGCATGGTTCCTGAGATTAAGAAATGTCTCAGAGGGGAGAGATGCATTGAAATTATTAAGGCTGCTTGATTTGATTGTGTCTCATTGGGAGTTGCAAGGAATAAATGCGGAGGGCGAAAACCACAGACCTTGATCTCTGAGAGAAAAAATGTGGGATGGAAATTCAGTAACTGCTCAGTCCCGCTTTGGGGGGCGGGATTCGGATGAACCCATACCCATTTTTTTTCAAAGCCTGCCTCCGCCTGGGCTCCTCTTGGATGGCAGGCAGACGTTTACTCGTGAGCAACCTGATGCCGAGAGGGGATTCCTCGCAAGCAAACACGCCTTGGATCACAGCCCAGCCCCCGAGCACTTTTCCCAGGACAAAAACTTGCTAGGATGATGGTGGCCGTCTTTTTCCTTGGACATAATCCCCAGCGGCCCCAAGGGCGGCTTCCTCATGAGTAAGCGCCGGAGCCCTGCGTTCCTTGTGAGTGACCTTCTTCCCCCTCCGTGCGTAGCTCACCATCAGTGTGGAGGCCACCGCAGGTGCAGGAGACAGAGGGCGAGCTGCCTGGAGGAGGCGGTGGCTGGAGCCACTGAGCTGGACTGCAAGGACAACAGTGGCTGGCGCTGGATCGGGTGGCATGCTATGGCGGAGGGGGTGGTGGAGCACAGGGCGCAAGCAAGCAGCATGGTGGCTGGGGATCGAGGGAGGCGGACACACGTGGGGAGAGACAGGCTGGAAGGCAAGGCCAGGAGGGGGAAAATCCTGACCCGCCTCTTTCCCTCTCGCCTGCTCTGCTTAAAGGCACCATGGTGCAAGCTCTCCAAAGCGCGTTGAGTCTCCTCAACAGCTTCGCGGCGGGTTCTGCAATGGTTGGGCGGGCCGGATTTAGGACCCTGGCGGGCCATAGTTTGAGGACCCCTGGTGTACGCATTATAGCTTTTATATGCAGCACTCTATTAGAAACAATGTGCCTTTATTCCAGCATTGTCTGTATACAGCAAATTCACTGCCATATTATCCCATTTTAATATCTTTCCTGAACTATTAACTAGTGTTTCTTCTAAGGCTTAAAGCCAAAACAAAGCAGCTCTTTATTTATTTATGGCATTTATATGCCACACCTCATAAATATTCCAGGGTGGTTTACAATGCACTTCTATATCTACATTATACTAAAATTTCTATTTCATTTTCCCAGTCCAGTGGAGATGGCTTAAAGGGGCTAACGGTATATAGCAAACCACATCAAAAGCAAAAATAACCACAACCCTCTCAACTGAAATACTCAAATAACATATGTACTGTAGAGTGAAAACAGCACAAAAGAGCCTTCATTCATGTCTCAATATGGCAGCAACTGGATCTTCCCATATAGTCTCTCTGAAGTTACCATACTTCACTGTGGGCAACTAAACTGGGTGCACCTTCTAGCCTTTGAGAAGGGTTTACTTGTATAGACCTTTGTGGCTAGAAGGCGGAAACCCAGGGCAGCAGCAAGGGGGAGAAGAACCAAGGTAAATGTGGCAGGTCATGTGCAACTGCCTCCCCAAGTGCAATACTGACTTAACATACAGAATGAAGTCTCCTAACCCTAGCCTGCTCCTTAGCATGCACTTATTTTGTGTGGGGTGCTTGGAGCTGCCTCCCTGGGATACATGGTGCGCTGCTGTCTCTTTGAGGTTCAACTTCTTCCTTTTTCTGTGCTCCCTCTTCTGAATATTTTTCAGTAAGGTGAAGCTAAAATGTGTGATGAGACCCAGTCACCATGGCAAGCTTGTGGAAGTGCATGGCTTTTCTGCACGGAAGAGGTTTCAAGCAGCTTCTGTGTACTAGTCAGTTCATGAGAGGTGGCTCTTTGTTGGTCTGAGCGATAGTTGAGAAAGAAGTGCCAGTACACTCTGACACCACAATAATATTACTGCACTCCAGTGTTGTCAGTTGCTTGAGCTGTTTCCAGTGGCCATAATAGGAACCGAAGTTACATTCTGGATAAAAATGGAAAGTAACTATTAAAAGCACATTCTTAAGTGTCAGAGAGGCTTGCTGGTTCTGCTTTCCAGCTAAAGCAAACTGAATGGTAAACCATGGTGAGTGGAAGAGTTATGTCAGCTGATGGAAGTTCAAGGGGTGGCAAAATAACAGCAACTTCTGTACTGCAGGATATGCATCTCCACATGAAAAACTATACGTTTCATTAGGCTAAGGGTTGCACTTCTTAGTGCCAAGTGTTTGCAATATGCATGGCTATATTTTGTGGAAACAGTGTCCTTTGTAACCAAAGTAATATCAATTAAAATTAATCCTAAGTCTGTTTTCTCCTTTCCCCCCTTCCAGGTACAGTCTACTCTGCAGTATAGAGGCATTATGTACTCAGAGTGGAGGTCCCTACATCTTGTACTTCAAAATGATAAGGGTCACACCAGTGTACTTCACAGCTATCCTGACAATGTGGGGAGAGAAGTGGCAAATGCTGTTGTGCGTCCCCTTGGCCAAGTCTTAAATGCTCCATCAGCAGCTGGCAGTGAGAGTTTACTGAAAACAGACAAAGAAGTGAGTATACAAAACCTGTAGTTCCCCAGTTGAAGTACATATAGTCTCATCATTATAGGCATTTAAGAGGGCTATAAAGACCCATTTGTTTAGAACAACCTTCGCATTTATAGTTTCTATGATGTTCTGGTTTGATTCGGTGCTGAAATAATTTTAAAGCTTTCTTCTTTCTTTTGTAAGACTGTGTGTTGCTTATATGGCTGTGTTTGTTGGTATTTTATTGTTAATTGCACTGTTCTTTTATGGTAGGGATGGGGAACCTGTGGCTTTCCAGAGGTTGCTGGACTACTTTTTGTATCCCTGGCCGTTGGCCATACTGGCTGGTACTGAAGGGAGTCCAACACCATCTGAAGGACCACAGGTTTGCAAGCTGTGCTACATGGCAGTAATTTAGTTAGATGTAGTGCTCATTATGGGATGTGGGTGGTGCTGTGGGTTAAACCACAGAGCCTAGGACTTGCCGATCAGAAGGTAGGCGGTTCGAATCCCCGCGACGGGGTAAGCTCCTGTTGCTCAGACCCTGCTCCTGCTACCTAGCAGTTCGAAAGCACGTCAGAGTGCAAGTAGATAAATAGGTACCGCTCCGGCGGGAAGGTAAACGGCTTTTCCATGCGCTGCTCTGGTTTGCCAGAAGCGGCTTAGTCATGCTGGCCACATGACCCGGAAGCTGTACGCCAGCTCCCTCGGCCAATAAAGTGAGATGAGCACTACAACCCCAGAGTCGGTCACAAGTGGACCTAATGGTCAGGGGTCCCTTTACCTTTACCTAGTGCTCATTATATTTGATATGTTGGAAGTCGTTCTGTGAGGGTTTAAACATAAAAAGTGGCATAAAAGTATATCTGATAAGTAGATTGGCTCAGCATCCCCGTGTACGAGCACCTTATCTCTCGCACAACACAAAGTGTGATCTTGGCATGAGCAACCTGGCTTGAATGTCAAGGTAACTTAACTGAAGGAAGTCAATGGAATCTACCTGATATTGGGTGATTCTCCCAGCAGACTCCCATCTCATGTTATTTGGCAGAGTCCTACCTTCTTGAGAGGCTCTATGAGGTCCTCAAGTGTATGTGGGGCAAGAGGGTACAGGAAGCTTCCATTTAGACTACAATCCTGTACCCACTTAACTGTGAGCCCCCTTCAGCTGAGTGGGATTTACTCCTGAGTAGACATGTATAAGATCCAAAGTCAGGTGGATCTTAGAATCCAGGCCTACATGCTATGGTATTTCCAGATTTAAAATAATACAGTTGTTAGAGGATGAATTTTCTGTTATCTCTTACTGTGTATCCTTTGTCTATCTCATGTTAACAGTGCTACGCTGTGGTGCCGGTTTTCATTTGGAAGAATCTACCAAATGGGGACACGTTAAAAATATGGTCATGTAACTTTCCACTTCTTCTTCTCTTAGGTAAAATGGACCATGGAGGTAGTTTGTTATGGACTGACCCTCCCTTTAGACGGTGATACTGTAAAGCACTGCGTTGATGTGTACACAGACTGGATTATGGCTCTGGTCTTTCCTAAGGACTCAATTCCTCTACCTGTTATTAAAGAACCAAACCTTTATATTCAGAGCATTCTCAAACATCTACAAAATCTATTTGTACCAAGGTGAGAGCAGTGGAGAGTGAATTATTTCATGTAGGCAACATGATTACAAGCCAAGTTTAATTGTAACCAGCAGACATTTATTTAGAAGTGTAGTTAAAAGAATTGTTGTTGTATTAACATGGAGGGTAAAAGAGCCCCATAATCTACTGTTTTGGAGGTTGGATTTTAACACTTGTGTATTTAAGAAAGCATATGTCCATAATTTGCAGCTGCAAAAAAAAAAGAGGGGAAAAAAGGATTTGAGAGGGTGCATGCTCTCTCTGGTGAGGATGTCAAAGCTGGAATAAAAAGTTCATTTTGAAATTATCCAAATCTTATATGCGCATATCTCTGTTGCTGGATTTTGTGCTAATTGAAGTTGAAGCTTATTTGTCTTTCCTTTTTGTTTTTGTTAACATTTAAATTTGCTGAGCAACAAAAAAGCAAAATGTATGTCTCTACTGCAGCAGGAATCCACGAACAGAGAAAAGACAGCTATATGAGAATGTAAAATATTTATTCTAAAAATCTATACCCTACACATTTTGAAGTAGTGGGAACAGTCCCTGAAAAATAGTTGATCAACAACAATATTTTGTTACTCTCAAATATAATGGTCATCTACATTAATTCTTGCTTTGGGTATACTATAAGGCTGGAGGGAAGTGGGTTTTTATAGCCTTTCTGCTTTAAGTATGTGGATTAATCTCTGTCCTGAGCATTAGGCAATTTGAATACCATTGTCATGTGAACAGTATGAATGCACAGATGTACTTGTGGTATGCAGAAGCACAGACCCTGTATTTTCAGTGTCTTCTGTACAGACTGCATGGCAATTGGAATACCTAGGGCTGCCTAGTGGCTTGAACAAGAAGCAGAACAAGAATCTGTTTGCCATTCAGTTTTCCCTGTAGGGAAGGAGTGAATGTCGGGGCAATCCATTGCCTCTTGGCTCCAGTGAAGTCTGGTGGCCACTGGCCACCAAAGAGCAAACAAGCTGCAGGCAGCTTTCATATTGGCATTCAAACATCACAATTCATTTACTTAGATTTTGCTGCCCTTTGGGCTCCACTTCATCTGATGCAATTTACTATATTTGCAATAAGGCTATCTCAACTCAAGCCTGAACAAGCCTAATGCAAACCAACACTCGTGTGTTCTGGCCCACGGGAGTTCAGTAGCTCCTGCCTGTCCTGGACAGTGAAAACAGGAGATTTAGTGTTCTCCTGTTAGGCCTACTATATGGAATTGGTAGTTTGTGTTCAACCTGGTGGATTACAAACTATCCTGGTCTATTGTGAGTTTAGATGTTTTGCAAATCTTTTGAAGATGAGTGGCTTTTCTAAGATTGCGTGAAGATAGTTTAGCTCCAGCTTCATTTTAAAAACAATTCTTGTTAGAGGTGCAAAACATCTGTTGTAAGAATGCCTCCAATCTCTTGTCTAATTTATCTTTGGCGGGGGGGAGTACTCTGTTTATGCAGGCGTAAGTAATTTTTTTCTTCTTCTACAGGCAGGATCAGGGTACCAGTCAGATTAAACTATGTCTTCAAGTTTTGAAAGCTGTCCAGAAATTGGCTCGTGAATCAAGCACTATGTCTAGAGAAACATGGGAGGTTTTATTATTGTTTCTACTACAGATTAATGATATTCTGCTGGCAGCTCCAACAGTGCAAGGTTTGGGTCTTTACCTTTTTCCCCATAACTGTTTATAGTGTGTGGCTCTGGCCTGAGTGTGAAAATTTAAGAACCTCATCTTTTTTTCTTTCCTACCATTCAAAATTTAGAGGGACTATTGTCATGAAATGAATGGTGTTGAAATAATTATTGTCCAATTGTCCTGATTCTGTTTAATTTCTTAATTTGGAATTGCTACAGGAATTGAATGATACTTCCATTTCTATTACCATTTGAAGCAGATGCCGCTTTTACTGACATGTTGTTGCTAAGGCCCTTTTACTACCTCTCGTTTATTCATTCAGAGGTGCTCTAGGGCTAGGCAGTGATTTCTAGGCTTCAACACTGTCATGGGGAGTGGAGCTGCCCTCTGGCAAGCAGCCATCTTTTCTTGTAATGGTGAAGCTGAAGTAGCAGGCAGAGCTTGTGCCATCAGCTGTGCAATGGTGATGCAAAAATGGGAGGAAAGATGAAGGTTATTTGCTAGCTTCATAGCCAAGGCACCTGGAGAGCCTTGGCCATTCAGAGTCTAACGAGCAAAAAATCCCTCTTTCTGCTAAGTTGAATGTAGCCTAAAAGCTACTCAAGATGCCTTCAAACAACAGTGCACAGGCCTGGCATACTGCCTCTCTGCCTGCTTTCCCTTGAGAAAAGGCAGAAAGGGCTTGCTGGGAGAGAAGGGGCACAGGGCTTGACAGGCAGGAGGCTGGTGGCTGCAACTTCTGTCTTGTCCAGCAAGAGCCCTAGCACTGAGAAGCTGAGAAACTGCCCTGGCTGTGGATGCATCCACTTCTTACTGTTTTCTAATAAGTTTGCAATCTTTAGACATAAATTAAGGCTGCCATATACTGCATACCAGTGCTGCATTGTTTTGGAATTCATGCATAAATTAAGATAGGATATTTCCCCCCACATCCATTCCCATATTTCATCTGGTTAGATTGTTCTTTCCTGTCTCCCAATTCTTAAATTTGAAATTCTTACATTTTTAAGTGCATGAACATTCTAGAGTGTTCTTGATGTTCTCTATGATAGATCTTTAGCTGTGTTAACATTTGCCATCTAATAATACGTGAATTACTTATTTTAGATTAATATTTAAAAATAGCAATAGGATTTGAGGTAATTATTCTTTTTAATCATGGAAAGTCTACAAACCCAACATAATTTTAACTTTACTATCCCATTCAAATAATTTTACACTTTGCACATCAGCTTGTTTTGATAAGATCCCCAATATCCGATTGCTGTTTTTCTCCAAGGAATATTTGGAAATTTCTTCTTCAGTGATGATAAAAAGAAACCCCACAGGTAATTTTTTTAAAAGCCCTTTTCTCTGTTTTATTTCTTTTGTAGGCGGCATTGCTGAGAATTTGGCAGAGAAGCTGATTGGTGTGCTGTTTGAAGTCTGGTTACTAGCCTGTTCCCGGTGCTTCCCCACACCACCTTATTGGAAAACTGCCAAAGAGATGGTAGCAAACTGGAGGCATCATTCTGCAGTGGTGGAGCAATGGAGCAAAGTAATCTGTGCCCTTACAGCCAGGTACTGAAAACCTATTGCTTTTCCGTAACTTCAGGCGCACCTGCCCACCCCAGTGGCGCAGTCGGCTTGGCCGATGCCGTCCTTGCTTTTGTGGCCTGGGCAGCGCACTGCGTCCACAAGCCACTTTTACAAGGAGGGCTCCTTTGGGAGAAAGGGTGGGGTGGAAATGTAATTAATAAATAAATCAGCCTGGTGACATTACATCCTCTTTAATCACCCTGGGTTAGGCTCAGGGCTAGCAACTTGCCCAATTTCTTTATCTCTCCCCTACTCCGTCTCCCCTGCTTGAAGCTAATTCAAGTGAGCATTTAGTTTCATGACACCCCAGCAGGGCCAGGGAAGCCAAGCCTGAGGCTGCCTGAGGTGATTGCAGGCAGACCTGGATTTGCCCTGGGGATTTCCTGTGAGTTAAGCCTAGTGTTCTTCAGCCTCCATGTGCTCCCTCCTTCTCCCTGAGCAGCTTTATGAGGTGGATCAGGTAGACGATTATCTTGATTGATTGATTGATTGATTGATTGATTGACTGATTGATTGATTAAGGTCCTAGGGCAGGTTATAGCATTAAACACAACATTTAAAACCATGGAGAAGGCCCTCTCCCCTTGTCCCCCATCCCTGCAGGCAGAGGAACTCTGCTGGTTTCAGCACCCACCCAAAAGTACCTTTAAGGAAGGAGGTGGCCTCAGGTATTTGGGGTCTGGGTCATTTAGGGCTTTCAAACATTCACCTTGAAAACTTGGCAGGGGGTTGGACTTGATGGCCCTTGTGGTCTCTTCCAACTCTATGATTCTATGATTCTATGATTCTATGATTCCCCCCATATGTCAGCCTGCCACTGTACGCTAATAATGTAGTTATTTCCATTTTTATGTAGTGTGTTTTAGTAGCATCTCTCCCTTCACCCTCAAAAATCCATCATTTTGCTACAGAAAAAGGGGACTGCTTTTCACTCTCAGGTACCACACTTGACTGTGCCCCATGTATTAAAAATAAGTTTTAAACCTTGGACCTATTTCTTACTGAGGAGGCAAAAACCTGTGCCTGGGAAGTAATACAGTGGTACCTCCTCGAGTGTCCGGGATCCATTCCGGAGTCCCGAACGCTCGACGAAAGAGACGCTCAACAGAGCATCGCTTTGTGCGTGGAGCAGTTTTGTGCTTTTGCGCATGCGCGAAGCGGCAAACCCAGAAGTAACCTGTTCCGGTACTTCTGGGTTTGCCACGGACGTCCGCCGAAACGGACAATCGAGGCAGAGGTATGACTGTATTTCACAATATAGGTCAGAGCTCCTATGATGGAATGCTCCACCATATATTAAAAAAAAAATGCCTGCACATAGTAAATTGACATGTCAGGGAGAAGCCTGCATTCTGACTTCGGGATTACCAGCTCAATGAGAACTTGGCATCAGTGTCCTGTCCAGCCTGGAATGCATATCATTGTTGGTCAATGAACTGAGGTGGAGAGAAGGGGCTCTTTGCAGTGTGTGTTTTTGTTTTTATTTTTAAGGAAGACCTGAAATAGACCTAATCTATCTGATCTTATTTTAATGAAAGGCAGTGGCTGAGAGAACACTCTCAACATTTTTGTTCTCCTTTGTTTCTGTTTAACATCCTGATCCAAAGCGTGAACTCTTTGACAACTGACATAACCAGACAGTATTTGTTTCTGGTATAGCTTTTTCTTGTCTCTCTTGTATGTAGAAAATGGCAAGCTCTGTGTCTCCCTTGCACAAAACACTTCTTTGCACATATTTTGGTTTCTCTGTTGTCCCTATTTGTATCTGGAGTCAGCTTTTTTTTTTTTTGGATGCGGGAACTGCAGCATTAATTCAACTCTTTATTAGGTTGAAAATAGCATACTTTCTGGGCAAACCACATGTCAAAAATGATAGAAAGAGCACAATTATAATATCTCATGTTGATGGTTGGGGAATGGTTTGGATGACACATGGGCTTCTCTCCACTGGCCTCCACCAGTGAGGTGGATTCCAACCTGGAGGAAGCCCCATTACTTCACCATAGTGAGAGGGAAGCAGATATCTCCAATGAAATATGGATGCATCGTTTATAATTAGGCAGAGTGAAATCATGCAGAACTACAAACTCACCGATAGTCTGACTTTTCCTCCAGATTGCTACGTTTTACATACGGGCCGTCGTTCCCACCTTTTAAAATCCCTGATGAAGATGCCAGTCTGATTCCTCCTGAAATGGATAATGAGTGTGTTGCCCAGACTTGGTTTCGCTTTTTACATATGCTGAGGTACTGTACATAAGAAAAAGCATGCAATGTTACTAGTGTATTTATCAAAATTTGATACGTTATATATGTGAATGAGTTCTCTAGGGGGTGTGGTTTATTGGAATCAGATGCCCTAGTTGTGGAAGGGGTGTATAATATTGTGGCAGATAATGCCTCACAGGTGCCTGTGACAAGATCCAACTCATAGTAGGATCAGTTACTAGCTCTGTCTGTCTAGTTTGCATGTGATAGAGATACAGTAGTACCTCTACTTGCATTCACCTCCCGTTACGTATCTTTTGGGATATGTACGCGGCAAACCCAGAAGTGTTTTTCTGGTTTTCGTCCCACGCGCATGTGCAAAAGCGCTAAACCGCGCCATGCGCAGAAGCAGCACCTCCGGTTGCGAATTCCTCAGGATGCAACTAGAGCTCTGGAACGGATCCCGTTCGCAACCAGAGGTACCACTGTACAGTCATTCTGGAATTTAGTACCTGATACTTGTTTGTCTTCAACTATTCTCCTGAACACCATGTATAGTTTTGCCCTTCAACATTTCATTCATGGCTTCAAATACTTTTCGTTTGCAATTCTGTATACCCTTCATTTTGGTTCCCTTCAGATATTTAGCAGCTACAGACACTGAGTAGCCTATTTTTATGTACCTTAGTGCTTCCTTGTCTCTTCAGTTGCATGGGGTCTTGCAATACTGTCTCATTTCATACTCCTCAGCTGGAGGCAAAGATCATGTGCCCCAGGGTAACTGCTGCTTATAGCACTTTTAATTTGCAAAAGACTTCAGCATTTTTGTTTGCTGGGTGTAGTTGATCACTGTTCTTATAAACAGATGCTGTCAACTTCTTTAAAACTTCCATAAAAGTTAAAGCAACTTTGAAAAGTAGTGTGAGAGAAGGTAGGTAAATAATAATAGGAAGTGGATACATGTGAAATATTCGAAAGTGGCAAACATAGTACAATGATTTGTCTATCTTTTAATTGGTAGGTTTAATCTCAACTCGTATCAGAGCTTTTTTTTTTTTAAATGAACATTTTAAACTTTCAATATTTAGTGTATTTTACTTTTTACATCTGTTAAATGTATTATGATTAAACAGAGTCTTTTCTCTCCCTTGTAGTAATCCTGTGGATTTGAGTAATCCAGCAATTATAAGCTCAACTCCCAAATTTCAGGAACAGTTCCTGAATGTGAGTGGAATGGCTCAGGAATTGAATCAGTATCCCTGCCTTAAACATCTGCCTCAAATATTTTTTCGTGCTATGCGTGGAATCAGTTGCTTAGTGGATGCATTTTTAGGTAACATTTTCTACTCTTAATTTATAGGATGTTACATGCCTTTTGTAAGCAACTCAAATAGATGTTAATACTTTGTATTGGTACATCTAATATTTCAGATGTTTATCTGCGGGGCTGTTTGTGTTAATCATCATTTTCTCCTTGTCATCTGTGCAGCAACTGTATTCTATTTTCATCAGTTGGGGACCAGTGACATCTGGACCAAATTGAGCTCCCAGTTCTGGTATCATCTGCCCCTCTCACCTATCCAACCCCACAATCTCAAAATAGGTTTGGATGAACAGCTTTGGGGGCAATGAGGCCCTTGCAACAAGATATTGGGGTTTGATCTGCAACCTGCCCTATTCCCTTTTTGGAGTGGTCCCCAGCAAAACTAATTCCTAAATAGGGCTCCCATATCTTGCTTAGAGGTACTGAAAAGTAATTGATAATATGTTCAGCTAGATGCCTTAAAACCTGTCATGATTTCAACTTGTTACCTCCAATAGAATTTCATTCTCAGGACTTTCTCAGCAGTTGTGTTTGGTGTTAATTAAAACTGCCTCTTCTTGTGAAACCATAAATGATTTTATTAAATATTCATTTTCCTGAAAAACTGCTTTATGGAAATGTTTCCATTGCAGTACATAATATAGTAGCAATATAATTTCTTTTTTCTCCAGGAGTTGCTGTCTTTACAACCAGTGGGTGTGAAAGATTACCCAGATATGGTATTAAAACTTGTTGGACTCTCCTGGGTGACAAGAATCTGGGGCAGGGGTGATGATTTTAACAGTGGTTGGGGTTTGCATCAAATCCTGGAAAGCTGCAGTATTCTGTCATGATAGAAATTTTCTATTAAATTGATGTGGTTCTTCTTAAAGACAATGTTTCAAAAGTTTCTAGTTCTATTTTTAAAAATGGTTGGCATACAGATACTCTTGCAACAAAAAATCTGCTTGGTTGCAGCATTATGGGTTACGCATTTTAAATATGAACAGTAGGTTGGTCGTTTAAAAAATAACCACCACCCAAATTGTTTGTATCTCTTGCAATATGGTATAAGTCTCTCTCATTGTAACAAGCAGACGTGCTATTTTAAAAACATAACTTTAATACCTTGTCTATGATTAAATATGTGAGGTCTTGCAATTAAGGGGTTGAATCCAATGTAGTCCTAAGTAAGTCACTCGGTTAATGCAAGCATTTTGTGCAGATCTGGAGACAACCTGAGGGCAGTGGGTGGGGGAAGTCTGTTGTGTAAATCCTTGCGCTAATGGAACGTGTGCATTGGATACCACCCAACCTTTCTACTGAGATTCGTCTATATGCAGATTTATGACACAGCTGTGATAAAATGATCTCTGTCTTGAAGCTGGGCTGATGGATATTGGATTATGGAGAATTGATTATTTAATTTTTATACTGCTAAATATATTTAAAATATATCTATAAGCAGTGTACAAAAAACTGAAGGAATAACTGACAACTTAAAATACTACAAAAATACACAGTTACATATAAAAATGTTACATTCATATAAAGTTACATAAATCAATATCGGTTCTTTTCCTTCCTAACACACCCTCCCTCTCAGCCTCCAGGGTCCAAACAAACTCTCAGCTTACCCACAAAAGTCTCACAATAAGAACAGTTCTTGGAAACAGTGAACATTGTCCTAGTCTCTTATTCTAGACTTGCTCTTTATGGGCAGGCCCAAGGTGCATACCCACAGCTGTGTCCCATCTGCTGCATGCTCCACACCCACTTCCAGGCATAGCAGGCCCTGTTGAGTTTTCCAGAGGGTCCAAAGATAGGAAAAGCCCTCCCACCTCACTCACAGCTCTTTCTTTGTACTCTGTCCTCTCCTCCTCTTCCAGCTGCCAGAGAAAGTGAACTCTTTAAGAAAAGTACAGTAAACTGAACAGTGTGGTCCTTCTCCTTTGAGGAATGCTGTTTAAAGCCTGTTGCAGTATGAGAGAGAGAGCGCTTCTTCTTAATTATGAGGAAACCGTATAATTCATATTAACGTGGCCATTTAATTTAATTTTTATTTTTAATAACAAAGTCTGAATTCTTGGATGAATTGTTCCTCATAACAGAATACTGCTTCTTTGTTTATGAAATGTAGCACAGTTCCTTTTCAATTGTGCTAATCATTGTACCAAGGCAGATGGAAGAGTACTGCCAATCACACACTTGTAAATTGCCTCTGTCCTCTTATTATCCATTACTTAAGGTGGTTTTTTTTCTGATATTCTGCTTGTCAGTGAAGAACTGTTGTATGAATAGCATGCACTTGTGACCTGAAAATGTTATAGAACTGTGGGTATTTAACAAACCTGAGTCCTTCGTGCATCATGAATAGCGCTTACCTTGATGCAGATGCTTTATACTCCCCCATGAGTAATACTGAAATGTTGAAAACAGAACAAAGAGAATAATTTGCCTGAGAGGGAGATGCAAGAGAGCACTGAGGCCTTGTTATGTAATGTTGCAATGCTATTTACACTTAGCTGGGAGTGTAGGATAGTATAGGTTTGGGGAATGTCAGGTTGGCAGTGGGCCTGTGATGCATGAGAATTCACCAAAATGAGAGATATGAAACTGCAGGACCCTTTTTAGTAACTTTACCTTCTATACTAAGCTCTGCTACTACAAATATCTGTGTCACCATTCCCTGTATGTGTACTTTTCTTACAATAAACAAGTGTAGAGGGCCCTCCAAAATATTAATAAGATCAACATTTGCCTGCCTATTAATTATTGTGAAAGAACTGTTTGAACTAATTGCCTCTCAAAGATAAGTACTGTTTTTACTGTCATTTTGCTTTCCAAAGGATTAAATGAGATATCCGGTGTAACGGTGGCACAAAAGAAATTAGCATTTGTGTTGTTTCACTAGTGATTTCTGTTTGTGCAAGTGGTTGCACAAACGCTTCTTTACCGAGTAGCACACAATAACGTTATAAACAATGTGCACTAGCAGTTAGCAGTATCTTTCAGAAGTAGAAATCGGCCATTTGATACACCAATTGCAGAAGGTTGAAAACAGGGCTTCCACTAGGGGCAGACAAACCAGGAACAGGGCTTAGACAAAGAGCCGCTAAGCCAAACTGTGTGTTAGTTCACAGCAACACAGTGGCAGCAGGACCAAAGCTCCAGGAATGTACATGTTTGCTTGCTAGCACTAAGCTATGGTTTGGCTTAACATTATGCCTGACTCAAGCTGGAGGCTTGTCTGGGAGAGATAAGCTGCGAGCCTGGATTTAGACATCATGCTGAGCCAAACTTGCAGCAAGACTAGATGAGGAGCAAATCTGTTGTAGTCTGCTCCCGAGGAACCTGCGTGCTTGCTTGATAGCACTAAGCCACCATTTGGCTTAAGCTTATATTCCTTAGCTATCTTAGTTTAATGCAAAGAGATTTATCCTTTAAAAAAAAAGTCAATTGCAGCCTGTTTCTGCTAGATCAAAATGAACTGACAGTGGCAATAACATGGCTGGAAAGAAAGTGGCTTTCGGGCGGCCTTTGTTCCTCTTTGCTTCCTGTTGGTCTTCTTATTCTTCCCACTTTTTAGGTGCAAATGTGCATGTTTCTCCCTTATGAAAGGTAAGCAGCAGTCTTGTATGTAGTTACCTAAATCCTTTCCTCGATCACTTTCCAATCTTAACTAAAAACTAATTTCAAAACGAGATATTTTTTAACACTGGTGCTGGTATGGGAGGAATTAATGGTTATGTGTGTGTTACTACTTTGCTGTTTAAATGCCCAGTGCGTTGGATTTTAAAAGACCTTAATGCTGAGATTCCCCTTCTTCTTTCAGGTATTTCAAGGCCTCGGGCAGATAGTGCTCCGCCCACACCAGTAAACAGATTGAGCATGCCCCAGACCACAGCTGTCAACACAACTCCACCTCACAACCGAAGGCATCGAGCTGTAACTGTAAATAAGCCAATGCTGAAAAACAGCACAGTGAGTATTTACACTTACTAAAGCAATGGTTTTATATGGTTTATGTAAGGGAAGTTTGTGTTGTCAGACATGACTGAGTATATGACATTTCAAAAATTATTCTCTAATGGGATTATTCCCATCTCTCATTCCAATAGGCTAACACCGCTCACGCTTCCAAAGTACAACACCAGCCATCTTCCACTTCTCCACTATCGAGTCCAAACCAGACTAGTTCTGAGCCTCGACCGCTTCCTGCTCCCCACAGGCCAAAAGTCAACAGTATATTGAACCTCTTTGGATCGTGGCTTTTTGATGCAGCCTTTGTTCACTGTAAGCTTCATAATGGAATTAACAGAGACAGCAGTATGACTGGTAAATATTGCCTTTCCATTCTGTACACTCCCTTCCTCCTTTGCTGGCACTTCCTACCTGCAAGATTAACTCCTCTGGCTAACCAAAACAGAAATCTGACAAAGCAGCATGATTAACTGATGTCCAATATCATGTTAACCTCTTGCTTTTCTGCATAATGTAGGAGCTAAAGTAGCTAATTTGTGGTTGGGTCAAATGTTACTGCAGAAACGAAATTTAAGATTTGCCCACATGTTAGCCTGAAGAATATAATAAAGCCGAGGGAAGCCGAGAAAAGCATTAAAAAGCACCACTTTGGGAACAACTTCCCATACTTTGAATCACTTAAAGCAGTTGATTAGTACGGGTGGCAGGCAAGCATCATAACAGGACCTGCCTGCATTATTTAGTCTTTGTTTAACTTTACTTTTGAGAGATAATTAGTTTAGTTTTCATAAATGGCCCCACAGTGCATTCCAGTGGTTGGTCAAATACTTAAACTTCAAGGGTTCTGTAAGTTGTAGCTTTCAAATCTCCCTAACTACTGCACCAATTTCGTTTTTTGTTTTCTCATTGTTTTCCTAATTTCTGTTTTCGGAGCTATCCCTAGACACATGACAGAGGTGATCTCCAACTGAGATAAATGCGTTCATTGCAGCAAATGTATTGTGTTGGGGTTCTTTGCAGGAAACAAAAAGGCTTGTCGTCACGATCATATTATGCCAAAGTTGAATTCCTTGTTGCTCTGCCATGAAATGTGCTATCTGAATAAGACAATTCATAATAGCAAGGACTAGTGGTAAAAGTGGGGTTTCAAATCTAGCTAGTTTACATAACTTTCATTAACATCTTACAGCCTGTCTGTTCCCACGTGTGTAGAAAATATATGTCTGTCCTGGTGAATGGCATGTGTAGACCCAAGGAGCTTTAGTGGAGAATGAATTCCAGTAGTCCACAGGGCTTGCACAAGGGCAGCTCAATTGCCTTTAGGAAATCAAAGCAAAACCACATATTACATCCTCTAGATGTTGTCCGCTTTACCATATAGATTTAATAGAAATCATATACAACTGTGAATTACTAACTATTGGGTTGAAAGAAAAATTTTATCTCTAAAATTTCACACATTGATCTATTCTCTCTCTTTTGAGATCTTGAGGCTTATTTAAAAGTGTTATAAAACGCTTTTGCAAGTGTTTGATCCTATGATGAAAATATAAAACAATTACTGAGTGCAAATGTCAGCATTTCATTAGTCAATATCACTTTAGTTTGCTTTCCTAGCACTCAGATTATATTGAGAAATCTGGCTTTAGGGAGGCATGTTTACTAGAGTATTGAGAGCCATGTTGTCTTTTCTATGTATTGGCCATTTTTCATTACTTCATCTAAATCTGATTCGGTAATTACAGTTCTATTTTGATGTTGTCGAGGCAGTAGCAGTACCATCTTGTTTTTCACTCTCCAAAGAAATATGTGGTGCATAAGGAACTCTTGATAAATTGCCACACATCTTTCTCTGTCCTAGATTTATTGATATAACATGCCCATGGGGTATTGTGGAGCACGTGTCCATGATTCATAATTTTCACTTGTGTGTTATCTCCACTTTGTAGTCCTGTATCTCCTTAGTTCTTAATTAAGGGGTTCTGGTCCAGTGGTAGACCCCATGCTTTATTATTTGTTTGTTTCAATTCGTATGCCACTTTTCCATATAAATGTGCCCAGGGCCACTCACAATATGGCAACAAAAAACCTCCAAATAAATACATCATTCAGTAATACTTTAAATTCAAATTCACTTCAAAAAATAAAATAAAAAATATGACAGCCCAAATGATTCAGCTTGATAATATGGATATTATAATATTTTAACTTCATTATAGAATAAATTATAAATCATTAAAGCAAGTAAATTGATACCAGGAAGTTAAAACATATAAACCATAATGATGAACATTTCCAGTAGTTAGTACACGGCAGTGCTAGTAAATAAAGTGCATAATTTTTTTTCTATAGAGTGTACATCGTACCTAGCACCTTGGTCATATACTCTTAAAGAATCACCTCTCATTCATCCTTGCAGGGAGCCACAATTTTGTTGAGAACAGATGGCTTCAATCACCTCTTTCAGTCTGGCTTCTCACCCCAAACTGCCATTAAAGCTATCAGAAAAGCACAGAAATTTAGATTGTGTATATGAAACAAGCACACCTCTTACATGGGGAGGCCTCACCCAGCATTCCTCCCTTTCCTGTCCCAAAGAATGAGATCTGTAACTAACAAAACAATGAGAGTGCTCACCCACTGCCTTCTGAGGCTTCCCAAACTTCTGGCTTCATTTAAAACAAAACAACATAGGCGTATATACTGCTGTGATACCCAAAGGGAGACTTGTGACCTTCCAAGGCCCCCCTAAATTTGTCCATTAAAAAAGCTTTTAATAAAAAAATTAACAGACCAATTCCACAGTCCCCTGCTGTGATTCTGTAATGCCAATTTTGGGAGGAGAACTGCCCAAGACCACTTTAAATTTGTCAATAATAATAATAATAAATTGTCCACAGCCACTCCTACACTTTGGTCACACCCACTTTTGGACTTTGTCCATGCCATCTCCCTTTATCATTGAAACATTACTTTGTTCCAATATTTCGATCTAGTGAGAGTTGTGCGTCTTTCGCACCTGCCGAATTGTAGTGGAAAACTTAAATTGAGTGTTTCATCACTTTGCAGTGTTACCTGTCTACTCATTTTCACAATCACGTACTGTTTGGAATAAGCTTTCCCCCTTCAGTGTAGCCACTATTTTATTATTTTATTTTATTTTATTTTATTTTATTTTATTTTATTTTATTTTAATTGCTTCAAAGATTCTTTGTCATTTGACCCTTCAGCAGTAGACTAGAAAATGAATCATGCATTGATGAAAAAAATTCCCTGATGTTGATGTCTTTTTGTAACCCTTGCATCTGAATAGACAAGCAGTTGTGGCCAATGCAAAGCAAGCAGTTGCTTAAAAGAAGCATTGGACTTTTGCTGTAGGAGGTGTAGAAGTGCAGTTCAAAACACCTCTACAGTAGAATATGGAAGGTACCTGTTGACAGCAGCTACAGATTGCAGAACCCTTGAAGAAACAGAGGAAGAGCCCTCACTTTCTATCTGAATTATTCTCATATTCTTAAGGGTTGCAGGGAACCCTTTGATAGAACACAGAGAAACTAGATGGCCGTTCGTACAATATTTGAAGCCAGGTGGGATGGGGTGGGGTTTGGGGGAGAGAAGCTGTGACCCAGATGTTGAAATGTAATTCCCATCATCCCTGCCTGATAGACAGGCTGGCTGGGGGCTGATAGAAGTTAGAATCCAGCAATATCTGGAGGGCCACAGGTTTACCATCCATGTGGGAACTGCTTTGTACAAATAGTTATTTGGGATTCATTGAAAACAAGCAGTGGGTTGTAGCAGGCTAAGTTTTACTCATAGTAGAGCCATTGAAATTAATGGACCTAAATTAGCTATGTCTCTTAATTTCTGAACAGGGCTAACATTGAATTCAACTCAGCACCTCCCCACTCCCACATGAATCCCTTTTCATGATTGGTGACACTACAATGGGAAAAATCTTCCAATGCCATCTACAAAGCCAAGCAAGGCACTTGGCTGTTTTTATACTAAGAAACTAGCAGGCTGAAACAACGAGTTTCTAAGATTATTTGCAATCTTCTAGCTTTCCCTTTTCCACAAAGTGAGGATAAGCCTGAGTTCCATTCTACCCTGTACTTCTTTTGACTAAAAGGAAATGGTTGGGCCATCTTGTATGGAAATTTCATATAAGTAATGTGTGGGTGAGCTGGTTGCTTGTATTTTTTTCTCCTCCACCCCCAATGATTTCCTTCTAGTGCAGATTTTCAGCTGGTGGTATATGAAATAAAGCAAAATACTGCCTGAATTGTGAAGGGGCAATATTTCTACTACAAATATTGAATGTACATTAATATAGATACCTAACCCTTACAGCAGTATATTTTTTCTAACTTTTGTTCATTGTTCTGCATGAAATCATAATTTTAGACCCTAATGCTAATTTCCTGTGTGTTTAACAAGCCTACTAGACCATAAGCTTTGAATCAGTTTTTCAAAAACCTAAAAAGCTGCTTAACTTGTTGTTACAATTTCACCATCTTTAAAGTATTTTATAACTACTGCTGTCCTTTGATTTGTTTCCATTTTATTTCTATTATCTTGCAGCATCTTTTATCCAAATTCTTCTTTCTTATAAATCTTGTAAGTAGGAACTAGTAGCTTCTCTTTAATTGCAGTCATTTTTTTATTTTTTCCATAATCCCATTTTTTTTTAAAATTTTTATCATCATCATCCCTTGTAGCTTTTGCTCTTTACATGGGAAAGACAAATAACTGTGTGTGGCTTTTTAAATGGGGAAGATTGTTGGCAAAAGCAAATTAATCTGCCTGAATCAGTCCCATCATTTTCTGTACTCTAGTCTGTGATCATGTCATGAATTTAAGGACTTTGCACTAACCGTGTTCTTTTCTTAAAGCTTATTTTTATACAGAACTAGTATTTTGATTTGTATGCATTTTGCATGTAGTTCCCCCCCTAATTATAATAATTTGCTGGGTAGTTTATTCAGGACAAAAATGGCTCATGGGAAGACGCATAAAGATTTGGGCTTAGCTTTCTAAAAGATTTTTTATTTTAAAAAAATCAGTGAAGAATTTTTAAAAAAACAACAATACATCTGACCTTGGCATGCTTCTAAATTGTCAATCTGTAAAATTTGTAACATTCAACAAAATCATGAGCAGAGCTTCTGTTTGTAAGACTAGCTGATTTAGGCTGCAATCCTATGCACACTTACTTGCGAGCAAGTCTGATTTGAATTCAGCGAGACTTCCTTTTGAGTAAACATGCTTAGGATCAGACTGCAAATGACTTGTGCCCGGAGTTCCCTTAATAGCGTAGGCTTGTTCTTACTTAGTTGCTTTAGGATTGGTGGAATTAGACTTGTGAATGTCGATCCAATTTTATAATTGGATTATAAAATTCTCTAGAAATTTCAAAGCAGCTTTCAGAAATCGGGCAAACCACTATGGAAATGGCATTCTTCTTGACCACTTCCTCCTATCTGGCTGACAATGAGAATTTTTTTGTATAGGGCATCACTGACAATATAGGATTATAAATGTATGAAACTAGACTTTTGTTGAGGAAAAGATAGAGCTTCTGGGTGGATTTTAAAATAAATTGATTGAAGAGATTCAGGCACAGCTTCTACATATGCTCAGGAGCTTCCATCTTTGCTCTTAGCTTCTGAGGTCCCACCTTTCCACCATCACCCCTCGTGCTTCTCACAAAAAGGAATCCAGAAGGTGGTAGGGCTATGGGGCAGTCTCTGATAGAGCGTGAAGATCTGTAGACCAAAAGGGGGCATCTTTATATGAATGTGGAGGGCACCAGCATTTTCTGTAGGGCTGTGGATCCTAACCCTTCTTCCTGAATAGCACACCCTGCTCATTGGTGATCGTCCCTTTTAGGGTTTTTTTGTTTTTGTTTTAAGCAGCGTGAGAGGAGAAAGTTCTGAAGTCAACCACCCATTATTTTATTTTCCCAAACACGGTTTTCGTTATAATTTGGCCTATGTCTTAAACTCACGAAATTGCAGTCTTAGTTTCTGTAGCACAGATGGTACCTAGAGTAGATTCATGACGGTGTCAAAAGTTGAAGGGAGATCACTAGGGCATTAAGATCGATTTGTGCTATTGAAAGCGTAGAACTAGCTTTTTGAATGGCAAAGAATTTATGGAGCAGGCTAGGAAAATGAGTGGCCTAGACCTGAAAAAATTATTAGGGGCTCTATTGAGGGACCTCCTTGTTTAATGCATGTTGCTGGGAATGTGAATGGAGTCGAGGCTTCTGTGCTTGGCAGCATGGATTGTGCAGCATAGAATACTGTGGGAAGAGATGATTACACTTGTGCGTGGAGATTAAAGGGATATAATTTCTCACTTCTTACCGAAGTAGTCAAATGATCCCTAAATGCTTTATAAACAGAGGCAGCAACTCAAATGCAATGAACTAGTGGCTTTTATGATGACTACATTTTACTTGATCTTTGTGTCCCAGATCCCATGAGCCTATTGAGTATGTTGACAAATATAATGAAACTCTGTGCTTCTCATTTTGTTTTAGCTATAGCAACACAAGCTAGTGTGGAGTTTCGCCGGAAAGGATCACAAATGTCTGCAGACGCTATGACATCCAATCCCATGTTTGATGCAGGCGAGTTTTCAGACAACTATGAATCGGGCAGAGCAGAGGCATGTGGAACACTTTGTAGGATATTTTGTAGCAAAAAGACTGGGGAGGATATACTGCCAGCCTACTTATCCCGGTAATTATTTAATCTTAATTATCTTCTCAGAAGCCCTGTTCAGGGGAACTGTTCCCGCAGTCTGTCAGCGCATGACATCTGCCAATTAGCTCCGCCCTTGACATCACACACTTGAGGTAGCTTGGCTCCTGGCATTTGTGCATACAGGAAGTACATCTGCAGGGTGAGAGTGCTTGCCGAAGGCTCTCTCCTTGCAGAAGTTTGCATTGTACTTGCAGATGCCAGAGCACAAGGCTAGCAGGAATGTATGATGATGTGGGCAGAGCTAGTTTGCATGGCCCTCCATGCTCATGGATTGAACACATGAGCAGTTCACCTGAGTAGGGCTCGAATCTGCTGCTGAGTATCTGTGTTAGATAAGAAGGGGTTCTACAACTTTTGAAAGCTCCTTTATGCCCAAATGTTGAGGTTGTATCAATCCTAAGTAGGAGACCCATTGAAATTAATGAGTCTCCCCGGTTTAGAGTGAATAAATAAAACAAATCTGGCCAATTGTACGTTTGTAGGATAAGTGACTGTCCTTGCCATTTAGATATAATCAGTCAAAGGGGATGAATAGAAGAGGATACTTCACAGGTTCCATTTTCCCCCCAGGTGATGAAAATACAGTATTTCACCCACAATGCGCTTTTTTCCTACCTATGGTAGAACTTTAATATGCTGAATGCATACTTGGAAACTTTTAATATAAGGGAAATGGAGCAAATAGAAACACTTTGATCATTATGTTTCAACAGCTGTGTTGGACAGTGGAAGAGAGTGGGTACAGTGCAGCTCATCATTATAATTGCCTTTATATTTATATGCATTTAAATACAGAAGCCCATGTTCATTTTTTTTATGTCCCTTGGAGAGAATGTTCAACTAAAAGCAAGCAATGCATCCTTTATTTGAAACATTAAAATGTTGGGTACAGCTATGTTATGGGTGACAGTAGTAAGACAGAACTTCATATTGAGCTTTCTTCCTATTTTCCATGTAATTTTGAGCAAAATGCTGCGGCATCATATTGTGTATTTCCCCCCGTTCTGTATCGCATGGAATACTATGTTTGGGTAACTGTGTTTCAGAAAGAATATTGTAGAACTGGAAAAGGTGCAACCAAAATGATTAGAAGGCTGGAGCAACTCCCCTGTGAGGAAAGCTCAGAGTGTTTGGGCCTTTTCAATTAAGGAAATTTCTTCGATGTCTGAAGATTATTTACACTACTCCAAAATGTTAGAGAGATTCCCTTTATACCCCTGAGAACTGAATGACATTTTGGTACAGAATAAGTAATCAAAATGTCTAAAGGACATTTATTGTGCTGTTCAGCCTGTGCCTTTGCTTAAACAGACAAGGTGACAGATATTGTTATATCCACCTGAAAACGCTTCTGTGCTTCTGACCCAGTCCCAATAGCATTGGATTACAAATGTTTTCTTTCTTACAACTCATTAAGCCTGTCTTTCTCTGCCAGATTTTACATGCTTTTAATTCAGGGTTTGCAGATAGCGGATTCCGTTTGCCATCCGGTTCTGGCTAGTGTTATTCTAAACTCTCCTGCATTATTCTGCTGTGACCTGAAAGGGATTGATGTCTTAGTTCCATACTTTATTTCAGCCATGGAAACTATATTACCTGACAGGTAATTATATATATATATATATTCATTTTTCTGTTTTCTCTTAGTGAGAGAGAGTGAGAGAGCCTGTCTATGTGGCCTTAAGAAATTATCTAATGCCAGTTTGCTTTTATGTGTTCCCACTTTCTGCTTCATTGACCATGCTGTGAGCATTCCTATTTTCAAGAAATAGACAGGTAGCCTTGGGAACCAGATTAGCTTTAAGCCATACAAGTGCTTCAACAGACCACATGCATCTTGCCCATGTAACAGTGCAAAGCTTGAAACATATTCAGATTCTGAGGGAATGTTAACTGTTTTAATACCAAGTTGGGGATCTTGCTTTTTAGCTTTAGGCATAAGTACTGCAATCCCCTATGTTGCTTTCTGCTTACGAATTCTTACAATAAAGTGAACACACTGGGCTCTTATGCAAAGCCAGCACTACCAGGACATCAGAAAACCCTGATGCACACACTGACTGTTTATGACATAGGTGAAATTTGCGCAGCAGCTGCTGTCCTTTAAAGTAGGGTGGGTTTTGCTTTGAAATCAAATGTGTTGGTGGCAATTTTGTTTAAAAACTGTTTTTTAATTTCAGGGAACTCTCAAAATTTAAAACATACGTGAATCCTACAGAATTAAGAAGAGCCTCTATCAATATCTTACTCTCCTTGTTGCCACTTCCCCATCATTTTGGAACCATAAAATCAGAGGTAATGAATTAGTTTTTCAGTGACAATTTATAAAGATTTAACTTGGGCTTAATGTAGTATTGTACTTTCAAATCAACACTTAGGATGAATTACTTCTGCAATGATGTTGATTTTTAAAAACTTCACTGCTGTTGTATAGGGGAAAAAAGAAAGAAATTCACAGAATGGGTAATTATTTGTGGTCTTAACATAAGAGTTCTTGCAGCAGTGAACATATGCTTACAAAGGAACATTTCAGGATTCGAAAAAGTGTATATTACACTGTTACAGTCATTTCTAGTAGAGAGCAGATATGACTGGCAGTGACACTACAATAGGACTCAGGCTAAAATCTATGTTTGTTGGGCATAAATCAGGTTTGTTGAGTGAGAAAATTGTGTTATACTTCATTGATCTGCTGGTTTCATTTTGCTAGAGTTGAATCAAGTCCAATTTTGCAGTCTGTTTAAGGGCTTCGTTTAGCATTCTTCCTGTGTCAAGTTTTTCACTTTCTTTTTTGGGTGGGGCATATATTAGAAAAATTAGATGGGACTAAAATAGATTTGTGAACTTTGTAAAAGGTCACTAAGAATACATGGTAGTACTGCTAGTGCTAATTCATGCATATGACTACAGATTATAAAAACAATTTATTATTTTTCAGGTTGTTCTGGAAGGAAAATTCAGCAACGATGAGAGCTCATCCTATGATAAACCAGTAACTTTCCTTTCCTTGAAACTGAGGCTTGTGAATATACTAATAGGAGCACTGCAGACAGAAACTGATCCCAACAACACCCAGATGATACTAGGTTGGTATTTCTACTTGATCTGTGGGATGTGCATTTGAAAATGTGCATGCCCTTGGTAGTTTATAGTTTACAGTAGCCTTACCTGAGTGGTGTCACGTTCCAGTGGCAGGAGGCAGAATTTACGAGCACAGAGAGAAAAACCGCAGCCAGCCAAAGCTTCCATGGTTGAAGGAAACAGCAGCATCATAGTGGGGCAAGCCATGGAACTGATTAAGAGGCAGATAAAGTAACAAATGTCCAGGAAGCAGAGTGGGGAATGGCCTCGATGTGGCTTCACTCCCTGAGAATAATCCAGACCAAGAGAGTGCCACAAGTATTGGAGTTGGTACCAAACAGTGCTACACATTGGCTCTTCTGGATCGTGTTATTCCTGGGATCAGAAGAATATTCAAGGATTTTGCCCTTAACCTCCAAGGGGGTGCTCTTCATGTAAATGTTCTAGCCCTACAATAATTTAGCAAGTATTTTAGCAATGACTCCTGTCATTGTAAGGATCATTGCTATGTGAAAAAGAAGAAACAATCAAAGACGTGTGTAAAAGATATTGCATGTTTTGCAGGGGGGCGGCAGAACTCTCGGCACATTTGGACAATGGCTTTGCAAACATATTACTGAGCTGAAGGAATAATTTGGCTTATGGTATGGTATTGGTATGGTGGCCGGGGACAAGTTCTAGAACCGGTAGCATTCTAGTTCAGCCTTGTTTTAAGAGCCACACCTGTTTTGCCTTTAAAACTGAACACCATATTTTTCTGAGAACTCTCTACAGTTTTAGCTCTCGTTGATTACGTTCCTGTGTTAATGTATGCCATTCTCTGTCTCTTTTGTTTTATCTAGTTCTGTATTTCTGGGGAAATCTTCAAAGCTGCCTTTTGCTTTTGGCTTATAATGTTCATATAAATTATATCACTGGGTTAAATTCAAAGCATATACAGTAGATAGGTTTGCAACTTCTGCTGTAACATTCTGAATTATAATTTGCATTCTCCAGGTGCCATCCTTATATAGGCAGGAAGGCACCATCCATACACAAAAGGGAGGTATCAACAGGCTTATTTCAGAGCTGTTCACCCCTAAAAAAACAACAAAGGAGGAACTCCAAAACAGCCCAATGAAGACTGAACATGCTCAGAGCAAGCAGAAGTAAAATGTGGGGGTGGAATGGAGTATCTTAGAGGGCATGGGTGGATGACCGGAATACTAAACTGGTGCATCCCATTCTGCAACATTTCTGTTTTAGGACCCCTTTGTATCATTAGATATTTTTTTTTCCCTTATGCTCTAAATTTGTAGTAGCACATAAATGTCTGATCTTTTCAGAACATTCCGTCTGGGCTTTCACTGCAGTAACTTATTTTTAATGCAATCTGAATAAGAATTTTAGTGGAGTTTTTGCAGAACACTCTGGCCTTCATCTTTAAAGGTAGTGAGACCTCAGAGGAATTGAAGGGGTGATGACTGCAATAAGTCATACTCAGCGGGTTTATTCTAACACTGGATTTCATCCAAAAGTGTCTCTTCATCAGCTAAGGTGGAATTTAAGTAAGTGGAAAGGAAGTTTTATAGAAATTTAGTTGAAAGCAAGTTTGTTTAGGGCCAGATTCAACTACTTGGTTCCATAAGTGGAAGCCAGTACAGGGTCTCCTCCTCTCCTCGCCTGCAGCCCTCCCTCCCCCAAGCCTCTCCCAAATCCATTCTAGGAAGTTGGGAGAATGGAACCGATGAGACGATCTCCTTAGTGCTACATTTTATTCTACCCTTAGACTTGTATTATGACATAAAATTTGGATCATGATTGTTAGCTATCCTAGATCAGTATCCAGTTAATGCATCCTGTTAGCGGATGGATTTCCACTTGTGCAATGGGACCTTCCCCCTTCCTCTCTTGCCTGCAGCCTGTAGGATTGGGGGAAACTGTAGAACAGTTTTAGCTAAGGTTGGGGTGGGGTGGGGGGGTTCCACTACCCATGGAGAAATCCTTTTGCTGATGGACCATGACTTACTACTGCTTTGCATACAATCCCAAGTGTTAGGTATACCTATATTATTTTTAACTCACTTACAAAAATGCTAAGATGATAAAATGTGAAACAGTAGTAGCTTAGAAACAGCAAAATATAATTTGAAGGTGGGGGACCTGAGACTTTCTATTTTCCTAGCAGATTTCCACTGAGCTTCTCCTTGGAGTGGGATTCGTCAAACTTTGAAATTTCTTTCTAAGTTGTTATTTACTGTTTCCAAAAACAGGGAGCATATCCTTCCTTTTGCAGGGTGGGGATGGGTGTTACTTGATGGATTTTCACAAAAAGATGAGGTGGGTGTCCATCTGGCCAGTACTACTAAAATACCAATTTGCTAGATGAAACAGAATTTTACCAAAATTTGAGGTAATTCTCACAAAATTCAAAGCAGAGTGTTCGCACGTATATCATTGCCCTTGGATATATTGGTATAAGGGGTGTGTTTTTAAAAAATTGTACATACTTTAAATATAAAATTCTATCATTTTAAACTCTACAGGTGCAATGCTGAACATCGTGCAAGATTCTGCACTCCTAGAAGCCATCGGCTGCCAGATGGAGACGGTAAGATGGGTTGTTTTCCTTGTTTTGGAAAAGGGTGCCAGATTCCTTGTTGGTGTTACATCAGGTTATCGCATAGCCAGAGCACGAAGGATGCCTGACTCAGTTGTGGGAGGGTAATCTTCAGCCCTTCAACAGCCTGTTTTCTAACTTGACAGAACGGCGGCGAGAATACTGTCTTGAAGAGCCACAGTCGCACTAACAGCGGCATTAGCACGGCAAGTGGAGGAAGCACAGAGCCCACTACTCCTGACAGTGAGAGACCAGCGCAGGCTCTGTTAAGGGATTATGGTAAGGAATTGAACTTCTTAAACATTTGCATTCATGCCCTGGTATGCAGTTCCCATTTTTAAAATGATTTTTTTTTTAATGCTAAGGAGATTTCCATTTGAAATAATGTAGACAGCTTGTAGTCCTTAATAATATAAAAAGCAAGGGAAAGAGTGTAATAGATGCTTTATTATGAACTAGCAAAATCATTATGATGGGTTAGTGAGGAAGGATTATGGGTAGCAGTGAGAATGCTGGGAGCAGTCCAACTCTTTATTTAGTCAACCCACCAGTTCCCTTGCTGCAGCTTTTGTGTTCCTTCACCTCAATCCCAGGGACTGCCACCACTGCTTTCTCATTAGACTAAAAGCCTTCAAGATACTGCCTGATAACACAGGATGTAGTTTGGTTTCTCTGAGATGATGCCATTATCCGTGACCTCTTCTGCTCAGCTGCTCCTGTGTCGGAGCACTCTGACCCCATTGCAACTTCAGGGAAGATAAAACTGAATATATCGTGTGGTGTCCCAGTTCTTCATTGTTGCTTCAGTTTCATGCACTTTTGTATGTTTCCATCTATCGAAGGCTGATTATGGAGTGTCGGCTAATTGTTGTATGCCATGTTCTAGCGCTCCAGTTTTGTGCCTGCTACAAATGTGTTAAAAAGCAGTGTCCTGCAATTAAAAATTAAAAACTGCAGGAGAGCAGTACAGGATTTGTTTCATCTGCAGCAGTTTTATATGTCTTTCTTCAGCAGTTGAGTTTAACCTGAAATGTCTGTTTTGACAAGAAATGCTTCTGTTTCACATACTTAACCCAGTTTGCTGTGAGATGCTGTTGTTTTATGTGCCTGGGGTTCATAGTGACTACCCAGCTGTCTGGATTTATACATGTCTGAATTTGATAAACCAAAGAGCTCAGTCAAGTGAGGGTTTGAAGCAACCTAGGTGGGTGAAGGCAGGAGACCTCAGACAATCAACTTCCCAGAAAACACAATAGGAGCCTATATTCAAAGTTTAAAGGGATGAAATTGGCAAACAGGCAGTTCTCCTTCCTCTACACGGAAGATTCCCCACAATTTTACTGGGCAGAAACCTTGCCTTAGGGATACCACCTTTCTTAAGAGCAGCAACCTGTCTCAGCTACTTAAATATTTAAATGGCTCACTCGTGCCACTGCCTGTCCTTAACAGGCAGAAAACTTAGCACCCAGATAAAGTACCAGGTAGGTTATTGAAACACAGGCAGTTGAAGGTCCAGGTTGACTCTTCAGAGACTTTCCCACATTGTACCTTTCTTGAAGCAATGCAACATGTAAGCTGTTTTTGAACCCAGTTTGATTTTGAACCGGATGCTGTAATGAAGTGACAAAGCCAGTCCATTAATTAAAAACCATACAGGCTGCTTGAAACTGATTATTTGGCTTAGAAATATGGGGATAGTCATGATCAATTGACCCGGTTTTGGACATTCAGCTAAACTGTTGTTGTTGTTTACTACTACTACTACTACTACTACTACTACGTGGTTTTTCACCCAAAGGTCTCCAAGTGACTCACAGCAAAGAAAAATATATAATGCATAATGCAATAGGGAAAAGGAGGGGGGAGAATCAAATAATACATGATTTTCACATCACGAGCTAACTACATGTTAAATGGAAATGAATCCCAGCAGTGTTTTTAAAAAGCAGTGAAGCTTTAGGCAAGGGAAACTTCAGAGTAGAGAAACAGCAGGGTTCTTTCCTAGTCCTTTCCTTGCCCATAATTTATCCGTTGAGGAGGGCAGGGCTTAGCAAAGCCATTTCAGAGAACCGATTTGGAGCAGATAGACAGGATAAAGCTCACTCATTTCTGCTGTAGAGATCCCTCTCTCAGAATTGCTTGGCTTTGCATCAGAACCAGTTCTGTGGATATATAGTTAATGAATATTATTTGTATAGCCCCTTTTCTCTTCAGATCAATTAATACAACTAAACAACAACATTCATTTTGGAATTCAGTTCCATTGTGATCCTATTTTTTTATTTTTTATTTTTGAGCCTAAGCTTATCCTTCCAATAAATTTTTTGAAACACTTAATTCTAACTATGCAGTTTAGAAAGATCAGTTGTCTAGAATTTTATTGTTCTATCCTGAGGGCAGAATTCACATGCTGTAGCACCACATATTGAATGGACAAAGATAAAGATAATGAATTTCCCTTTCTAAATTTTCATGTAAGAAATTTCTGGCCGTAATTAATTGAAATTCTGTAACAAATTGGTTTCCACAAGAGATCTGATTTATTAACATTTATAAAGTGACATTTCCCAGCAGTATTTTACAGCATCAGATACTTTGTTTTCAATGAAGTTCACTCTGACATGTTTAAGTGTCTCTCTTACCAAATAGCCTTAAAGTGCATCTGCAGCTGGCAAAACCTGCTGGATTAACATAGGAAAAACAATGTTTTGGAGACATCAGCCTGAGATATGGAAAGCATTTGTGTTCCCAAAAATTTCTTTATTAATTTCTCAAAACAAAACAAAACCCACATACCTAAATCAGTAAATAACTTCTTTAGTTAACATTCATAGTCTAAAGAAGTTACTTAATCTGTGTGGATTGTGAATGTTTTGCTTCCCAAATGGATGTGTTTTCTGTGTGTACTGTGGCTGCTTGAGCTTCTGCCCGATGGACTGCTTTGCTGACTGTTACTAATGCTTAGTTGTTTTCCCTCCCTGTGGTGTGTGGTATTGGGGTTTATATCCTAGCTCTTCATACAGATACAGCTGCCGGACTCCTGATTCGCAGCATTCACCTGGTAACACAAAGACTCAATGCACAGTGGCGGCAGGAAATGAGCATCTCATTAGCTGCACTAGAGCTTCTTTCTGGTTTGGCAAAGGTGAGCATCAGGCAGTCTGTTGGGCTATGGGATTTGGGCTCAGGTTTTCTGTCTCTCCCAGCCACAAGTTCTTACCTGATGATAATTGTAGAGAGTTTTGCCACCTCTTTAGTGAAAAGAACATCTGGCAGAGCTGGCAAAAATAATTTGTTCTGCGCTGAGGAGCCAACTCCTCCCACACAGTGTGTGATTTTCGTTTTTCCTCTTGGAAAAGAAATTGCCCTGGATAAATAATTCAAGGTGAAGAGCATGTTTACTGAAATAAAATAAATGGCTAAAAGACAGCAGGGTTTTTTTCAATCCCGCTAGCTATAGAGGCACCAAATTCCAGCACTCCTATGTGTCTCTTCTTTCTATATCATCATTTAAGCTTTTCAGTTGTGCTTTTACTGCTTCAGAGAGTATTGATTTACATTGTTTCTTAGTTTTGTTGTTATCAACTGCAAGCCTAATTTGAGAGGTTTCCAGCTGAACATCTGCCTTTGCTGCTTGCTTCAGGTGAAGGTTGGTGTTGATTCTTCTGACAGGAAGAGAGCAATTAGCTCTGTGTGCTGTTACATTGTGTACCAGTGCAGTCGTCCAGCTCCTCTCCACTCCAGAGATCTGCACTCCATGATCGTAGCAGCATTTCAGTGTCTGTGTGTCTGGCTCACGGAACATCCAGACATGCTTGATGAAAAGGCGAGTGAAATTGCACTGTTTATCTATCTATTAATGTGCAAACCACATTATTTTTCTCTAAATGTTAAAAAAATGTCCAGAAGAGCCGCTCCTCCTTTCACCGGGTATAATAATGTGTTCCCATGTTTTGTTTCTAGTACCAGACTAGAGGCTGTACAACAGAAGTGTAAAATTCAAGTGGGCTAGAGGATCAGATTTCGCCACCCAGCCCCGTTGTTCCCCATCACTGTTCACTTGTAAAATATCAATTTTGACAACAGCTCATCTACCTTAATTAGACAGTAAAGTTGCAGGGGAAGGTGGGCATAGAAATGGTTCTTGTGGGTCTGTCAAGCTATCTGTTCTTAAATATTTATTAGAGTTAACAGATCACCAAAAAGTCTAACACACACACACACACACACACACACACACACCGTGCTATATCCTAGAAGCCACAGACGTAAGCATTTGTATACCCCCAAATCCAGCTATCGTACTTGTCAGTGGCTGCTACTGTGGCATAATGCAGTAGGCACTCTTTTGTTAGCAGAACAGTAGTGTGATAGGGTGCCAAATTGGGAGGCCTAGAGGGTCTAATTTTCTTTTTAAAATTTATATGCTGCCCTCCATCAGAGGACCATAGGGTGGTTTACAGTATAAAAGCACAAAATACATGACCTAATAAACAAAGCAATACACCCCCTGCAAAAAAAAAATGTGAGCACAAGTTCTCTGTTTGACACTTCTGGTGCACTCTGATCACTCTGATCTCTGCCTCTGCCCTCTCCCTCTTGGAGTTTGAGGCAACACTCCACAGACTTTCTGTTCCATCACTCTCTTCCCCAAATTCACCTACCAGGATGTGTCAAAGAAGGGGCGCGGACCAGCTTACAAAGTCCAGGAACCACGAGTGAAATCCTTTAACAACACAAGGGCTGCATTCCTATAAGCTAGTGTTGGATAGCATCTTGTAGATCGGGGTAGACAACATGGTGCCTTCCAGATGTCATAGAAGAACACTAAATTAAGAATACATGAAAGCAGTGTAAAGTTCTTCCAGAGATTTTAGTCCTCATAAGTACAGTGAATTTGCCAGACAGCTGAACATTATGGCTTTTCTCTATCCCCAGGACTGTTTAAAAGAAGTATTGGAGATTGTGGAACTGGGCATCTCAGGAAGTAAGTCCAGGAACAGTGAACAAGAATTCAAGAACAAAGGAGATAAGGAGCCCAATCCTGCTTCCATGAGGGTGAAGGATGCAGCTGAAGCCACTCTCACATGGTATGGAAAATAGTTCAGTCAGCTAGTGGTAGGAAATTGCTTAATTTAGAAGTGAGAGTCAGGAGTATTAGGAAATGATCTTTCGGAAAAGTGGTTTTCATTTATATAGGTTCTAGGAGTAGAAAATGTGTTTACGTTCTCTGTGTGTTAAACGTTGTTTTCTTTGCAGATGAGCAGGATTTTATCTGTTTCTGCAATCTTCTTTTGAATCTCACTTGTCTGTTTGTAGTTCTAGCTAACATTACACCATCAGTGTATCTGACGAGATGTCATAGCAATGTGTGAATGTATTTTTATGCGATACGTATTTTGACTGAGCCGTTTTCTTTGGTTTACAGCATCATGCAAATACTTGGAGCATTTCCTTCACCCAGTGGCCCTGCCTCACCTTGCAGCTTGGTGAATGAAATCACATTAATTAAATGCTCCCGTCTTCCTTCCATAAACAAATTCAGCTTCCGCTACTTCGTCTTGGACAACAGCGTCATCCTTGCAATGTTGGAGCAGCCTCTAGGGAATGAGCAAAGTGAGTCTCAGCTGACAGTAGGGTGATGGTAAAAATTTGTATGCCGTGTTATCAAGTGTCTACCTGTTTCATTACACTGGTGTCCTGCTCTACAGAACATTGTGGAGTATTATGCAAAGTATTAGGAAACTCTGGCACAGTAAAAATTCAGACAGCAAGAATGTTCACATAATCACTGGGTATACAATAATATTTTTTATAATCTATGCAAAATCCAGCCTTCCATTTTCTCCAGATATTTCTCCATTTCCAGTGTCTCACTTTCATAATACTATAAAATGTTATCCTCCCCACACACCCCAAAAAGCCCTCTTTTTTAAAAATCCTCCCTGGATAGATTTTTCCATGTAGTGAAGTCTCTGGTATGGAGCTTGGCAGATCAATACCTGAATCTATAGTTGCCTTTTTATTTAAAATATTTATGCTTTGACTTTCTGAAAGCCAGAAACATATCATAAATAAAACTGCAACAGACTAATCAGTAGCAGTCGGCACAGAACGAATAACCAACAAAACACTTGAAATTCAATAACCTGCCGCGAAAGCTATTGGACAGTACAAATTAATAAGTTTAACCCACCTCTGGAATAGAACAGATTTACCTTGCCACCTGAAAACTAATCTGGCAGAATAAAACAGCCCTCTCTGGAAAGCTTGTTCCAGTGTTACATATTCACACTTATTTCAACTAAAGTCTAGATGCATACAGTCAGTGTGCTACTGAGACAATCTAAATGATGATCACAGCAAACACTGGAAAAACTCCCTCGAGCCAAGCTCTCTGTTGAATATTCTGTCTCTGTTGTGCAATTTGAATAAATTATGCAATTGAGTCTGAATTTTCCATGTTTTGCTAACTCAGATTTTTATTCTCAAATAATAATACCCTTTGACCATCCTTGCACCAGGAGGTGGGCTATTCGTAATACTTTTGGGGCATCGAAAGGACTTTGCATACAGTGGCCTGGCTCACACATTGCACTAAGCCAAACAATGGCAGCACAACAGCAGAACCAACCAGGAAGGAGCAAAGTGGTCACATTCTCTTTGAGAGCCAGCATTCACACTAAGCTATTGCTTGGTTTAGCATGAAGTGCAAGCCAGGACATTATCTAGGTAATCTTTTCAACAATCCCATTAGATACATCAGTGCTCTTAACCCCACGATGCAGACGGGTGGGCGTTGAGATTGAGGGAAAGTGGACTAAGGTCAACTGTCATGCATGAATTCTTACAAGATCTGAATTGGCTTGATAAAATGAATCCACCCTTTTAGAGTTGTACTGTAGGCATTCAACCTAGTTAAACACAATTTTGGTCTGGCTTCTGTTGCTTTGACAGAGTAACAGCTTCAGCTGAGCTCTTGTAGCTTGGCTTTGAACACCTGAGATGCTCAATGCAGTTTTTACTGCATCAGGTCATTTTTATTGACCACATTATTGGCCAGCTTAATCTCAACCCCTCCATCCTTTCTTTCACCTGGTAAACTAGGAGAAACTTCCCATGGTGTTTTCAGTTCCGAACTGGTGGCGAAAGAGCCTTCCAATTCTTCTCGCCGGCAACGGCACATTTCTACCCACAGGGGGCAGGATTATTCTGCTGCTTACAGATTTGTTTGTTCAATTACCACAGGTAGTAGGGCTGACCGTTTTTCTTTGCTTGCTTACACATATGCACAGTTTCATGTTTAATTTCTCACTTCTGTCACTTCATGCGTGTGTGTTTCCTTCTTCAGATGACTTTTTCCCTTCGGTCACAATTTTGATCCGTGGGATGTCTGGAAGACACGCCTGGGCCCAACAACTCTGCCTTTTGCCTAGAGGAGCTAAGGCAAATCAAAAGGTCTTTATCAAAGCCATAGTGAAAACTATGCATAACGTTGCCTCCAAACTGCTGTGAGATATATCCAGAGAAAGTAGTAACGCTATACAATGGTACCTCAGGTTACATACACTTCAGGTTACAGACTCCACTAACCCAGAAATAGTGCTTCAGGTTAAGAACTTTGCTTCCGGATGAGAACAGAAATTGTGCTTCAGCGGCGCAGCAGCAGCAGGAGGCCCCATTAGCTAAAGTGGTGCTTCAGGTTAAGAACAGTTTCAGGTTAAGAGAGGACCTCTGGAATGAATTAAGTACTTAACCCAAGGTACCACTGTAGTATCCTTGATGAGTTACTAGCTTTTCCACCCTGTCACTTTTCACACCTCTGAGGTGCCTTCTAGAAGACTACAGTGGTACCTCAGGTTACATACGCTTCAGGTTACATACGCTTCAGGTTACAGACTCTGCTAACCCAGAAATAGTGCTTCAGGTTAAGAACTTTGCTTCAGGATGAGAACAGAAATTGTGCTTCAGCAGTGCGGCAGCAGAAGGAGGCCCCATTAGCTAATGTGGTGCTTCAGGTTAAGAACAGTTTCAGGTTAAGAGCGGACCTCCGGAACGAATTAAGTACTTAACCCGAGGTACCACTGTACAATATTATTCAGTCAAATGATCAGAGATGGGTACACATGGATGCATGTATATAAATGTACAGTATGCACATGGTGTGTGTTGAATGTCCCATTTAAATCAAACATAGATTCATCATCTCTAATGGTAGAAATCTACCCTTTGCATGCCTAGCTGTAGCTGGAACCATGCAGTGGGGTTTCGTTTTTGTAACTTGCGTTGCTTAATCGGGAGCTTGTGTGTGCCAAAAATATATCAGGCTGTGCAAAATATTGGCATTTATTGGCATTTAGTGTGTAAATATCTTCAGACATGAGTGGGACATGTTAATACATACTCTTGTTTCCTAAAAAGATGGTAAAAGCAGTATTCTTTCTACAACTGTAGCTTTCCATATTTTTCTGCTTTGAGTTTTGTATTCAGATTTGGGGCACATTCTTAGTTAAGGTCCAGGCAGAGACTACCAAAGTCAGATCAGGATCTCTAATTTTGGTATGGAAGAAACCATTCTGGAAGCTACTATAAGTGTTGCTTTAGTTATAACCTAAAAGTACAGCTCAGTCTAACCACCACCCCTGCCCCTTCTCCAAAACTCTTGACACCTGCTTCAGCAATAAACCATTGCTTCAGAAATATCATGCAATATTTGACACATTAAGAAAATTATGGCATTGTTCTGTTTCTTGAACAGATGTTTGTCCCAGAGCCTCGTCCTGCACCTAAGAATGATGTTGGACTCAAATACAGCGTGAAACATCGGCCATTTCCTGAGGAAGTGGACAAGATTCCTTTCGTGAAAGCAGACCTGAGCATTCCAGACTTGCATGAAATAGTTACAGAGGAAGTAAGAGACTTGCAGTATTTTGATTTCTTACCCCCTCCCTGTGTGTTTTGCTCCACAAAACGTGTTAGTCATTACCTCTCAAGTAGAAAATATTTTTTCTCAGCGACTTTTACTGCTTTACCTGTACTCAACGTTGGTGTTGCTGGCCAAAAGGGTGGGAGCCTGGCACAAAGTGTGCCTTTCCATAGCCCCATACATCAAAATGCTCCCTGCATGCTCATCTTATAAACCCGAGTAAAGCATTTCTGGAGCAGAAGCTTTTCATGAAACTGCTGCCAAAGTGAGCTAAAATGTCCTATTGTTCTTATCCCTGTGAAGGTGAAAAGTCAGCTTGTTGCTTCTGTTAACACTTCTTGCAGCTGTTCTTTGAAATCGGGCACTGATTTAGGAGTGTCACAGTGCACGTGCCGAACAGCAGGTGTATCCATCTCTCTTAACCCAGCAGCTGAAGAACATCAGCGGTCACAATTTTATTAGAAAGCTGGGGGGAAATTACAGCAGCTTTTTCAGGCACTCATTGTCGGTGCTGTTTGGCTTGGCAAACAGGTACCACCATTTGTTGTAGGCTGCTACTGCGCTCAGCAATTTTTGATGTCTAAAATGAGGGTGTTAAATATATGTTTCAGCTGGAGGAGCGGCATGAGAAGCTGAGAAACGGTATGGATCAGCAAGTTCTTTATGAGAAGTCTATAGATCAGCAGATGGAGGAAGACTGGAGAAAGAAGAATTTCCCTGACCCAGTCACAGAGTGTAAGCCGCCGCCTCCTGCACAGGAGTTCCAAACAGCACGCCTTTTCCTCTCTCACTTTGGATTTCTGTCACTAGAAGCACTGAAGGTGACTGGAGGCTTCCCTTAATTGCTTCAAATGCTGCCATTATTAGAGACTATTACTGTTTAATATTGGGTCCAACCGCTTATAGCCTACATTAGACAGAGCTGTGCAGGAAAGCAGAACAAATTTGGGTACAAATAACAAAGATGTTTGTGGCATCCTGAATATTATAAAATTGTTGGTCTTCAGGGTGCCACAAGACTCGTTGTAAGGTTTTCTTTTTCTTGCAACAGACTTAAAACAGCTTACTGCTCTGGATATTTATCTAAATTACTTTCAGAAAGTGTTAACCATTGTGATGCCATCAGTCTATGTGGGTGTAAGGCTGGCTATTGTATCTACATGGATTTTTTAAATTGGGTTTATGTGTATGGGCGGAGGGGCTCTTTTTCTTCAGATTTTAAAATAAGGTCCTTGTTTCATTGTTGTATGTAGAAGAAATGTGTCTGTCATTTTCATTACTTAGTACAATTTCTTTTTTGCATCTGCACAACTCTATGTGTTGCTATATAATAAAGCTGTAAGACTGTTGTCAAGTTGCAGTTAGTGTGGCTGCCAATAGATGGCCACAGCAATTCTAGCATCATTACAAAACAGCAGGTGGGAGATCAAGCAACATGGATGATAGATGGCACAGCGGTTTAAAGAAGGGCAAGAGGAACTTCAGAAAGCAGTTTGGCAAACTCTGAAGTGCCTTTCGCCCTTTTGTTAAATATCTCTCCCATGGTGTTTGAAGAGGGCAGGGTGTGCTTCAGAGAGCAATTTGGCAAACCATTCTTTGAACTAACTTCCCATCCTCCTTTAAAAGAGGGTTGGGGGTGAGCAGGAAGGGGTGGGGAGGTTTGGGTGAGCTGTGAAGCAATAGACAAAGACATGTGTACAAGACTACTAATGTGGGCTCTTCCTCTTGGATCTTCTTTAGCAAGCTGATTGCATATTAACAAATTTAAGTGACTGATCACAATTTATAGGTAACCACAAAAGGTGATTATGTAGAGGTATAAAATCTACGTTGCTTTTTGTTTGGTTAGGAACCTGCTAACAGCAGACTACCTCCTCACCTGATTGCACTTGATTCTACTATACCCGGGTTTTTTGATGACATTGGCTACCTGGATTTACTACCATGTCGTCCTTTTGATACAGTTTTCATTTTCTATATGAAGGCAGGTCAGAAAACAAGCCAAGAAGTAAGTGGCATGCTTCTAATTTAAACTCTATCAAAAAGTGTATTCAAAACATAAATATATATTCTCTTGAACTAGAGGAGTAGAAGAGTGTGTCTTTCACATCACTGGACGTGTATCATCACTAAAACCCCTTAGAACTGGGTAGCACGATGCTGTGATGGCACACGGTGCATATGCAGTTTCTTTGCACTGCCTAGTCCAAGCTTTCCCCAACCTGGTACCTTCGAGATGTCTTGGACTACATTCCCATCACCATTGGTCAGGGACAATGGGAGTTCTAGAATTGTGGAATACATACTGCCCTGGGGTAGATAACCAGTTAATAATCTGCTCCAATGTTGTTTACTCTGCTATCTAGATGGCTTGATACTTCAGGCCAGCACTTCTAAACACCTTAAAAATGTGCATATATAACTGCACTGCTGGCCTATTTTCTTCCAGATTTTGAAGAATGTAGAGTCTTCCAGAAATGTCCAGCCACACTTCCTAGAGTTCTTGCTCTCCCTTGGCTGGTCAGTTGATGTAGGGAAACACCCTGGATGGACGGGGCATGTCTCAACTAGCTGGTCCATTAACAGTTTCTGTGATGAGGAGGGATCTGAGCAAGGTGAGAGGTGTTTGTGGAGGTTTCTGTCTGCTTTAATACTTTGTGTCATCTTAGTGTTCTAGATGGTGCCTTCTTCCCCCTCTACCCCAAGACCTGGTAGATTGCATGCTCCTCCAGAAGACTACTGCAGATCTGCATTGGATTTGGAGAGGGGGTGACTACATATTCACCGCTATCATCCCATTGTGATTTCAGCACTGGGTTCATCACTGCCCCATTGTCTTTAGGATGCTTCCTTATGCATAGTTTTAGAAGGGGTGGCCAGAGAGCTGTTCTTATACTGCTTTTCTTACATCACTGCTGAGATTAGTATCCCCAGATCTTCTGGTCTAGCAGCAAGTGGTATGCAGAGAAGTGCCTGCAAGGATCTCTCCGTATTCATCCGTGGAACAGATTCATGTAAGGTTTGGGGTGGGTGTCCTAGAAAGTAGAATAAGTTGTACAATAGGTGCGGGGGGGGGTGACGAAGTGCATAACGAGACTGGAAGTCCTTCCCTTCAACCCCATCTTTTATTTGCTGTGTTCTCAGATGAAATAATTCCTTCAGAAGACATTGGGGCAAGTATCTTCAATGGGCAAAAGAAAGCACTATATTATGCAGATGCTCTTACAGAAATAGCTTTTGTGGTTCCCTCACCTGTGGAGTCCTTAAGTAAGTGTTCTCTGTGTGTATCTGTTGATTCCATAGCTAATTCCAAAGAGATTTCCTCGGTTGTGTCACAAGTGTATCAAATATTTGCAGTAGAAATGGGTGTGCATTGAAAATTCTAGAGTTGTGTCCAGTGGTGCACCAAGGAGTTCTCCTGGTGCAATGAGTGTTTGCTTTCCTCTCTTCCCCCTGTGTATTTGTTACATCTGAAGTGTAATTGCCACTCATGTGTTTGTGCCTAACTTATCCCTTTTGGCTTTCAGCTGATTCCTTGGAAAGCAATGCTTCAGACCAGGAAAGTGACTCCAATATGGATCTTCTGCCTGGAATACTAAAGCAGCCTGCACTGACACTTGAGCTCTTCCCCAATCATACAGACAATCTCAGTTCTTCGCAGAGGGCAAGTTTATGCAACATTGACCAATGAAGTGTACTTGATATGCAAGTGATAGTCTTAAAGTCGAATAGCCTCTTCCTGTATTAAATAATATGAACTGTTTCATGATACAATAATAATACTTGCAAAAAAATGTTAATTCAGAAATAGAATAATTTAGTAGGAGCGAGCTTCCCATTTAATAGTAATTAAGGTCATGTCTTCCCCACGAGTTGGGTTCGGTTGTTTTTTTAGGTCTATCACAGTTATCAGACACTTAAAGTACAGTATTTTGTACCTGAGGAAATCTTCCCCAGTAGGTGTTGCCATGGTGCATCAGAAACAAATAAAAAGGAATCTAAAATAATTGGAGATGTTTAGGCCTCAGCCTGACAACAGTACAATATTTATTGTCTTTTTAATGAAATGTTCACAATAGGTTGTATGCATTATAATTATTTTTCCCAAAACTTTTGAAAAGGACAGTCTGAATTGCACACCTGTAGCTTTGATTATTTGGTGACTGTCTTCTTTTTTTCTTTTCTCTTTTGTATTTCCAACAGCTCAGTCCAACTTCCAGATGCAAGAGGTTACCGCATGGTCGGGCTGTTCCACCAATGGGACCTGAAACCAAGGTTTATGTGGTCTGGGTTGAACGTTATGATGATATAGGTGGGTGAATCTTAGGCTTTTATTATGGAGTTTGCATGAGCAGGCAGGACATAAAAGCCTTAGGTTTCTACTCTCCCCCTTCCCTTCTTCTCCTCCTGGCTGGGAGAAGGACTCCACTAGTGTTTACACTTGGTAAACTGAGCTCAGCATTCTGTGCCAGCCACAGATTGTGGTTTAAAACAGCCCTTGTCAGTTTCTAAGCAAACCATCTTCATAACCCAGGCCCCCATGTCCAGTTCTTGTTTTATTAATTTGCTTGTTTCAGCCATTTGTGAGTAGTATAGAAAGTGTTTTACTTAAGATTATTACAAGAAGCATTGGTTTTAAAAATATAAAATGGGGGAAAATCCCAACTTGTTTGTTTAGAAGAGTCTGGTTCTGCTTCTTCTTGCTCCTCTCGGGGGCAAACTGGTTCTGCAGCAATCCCCATGGTGGCATTTGGAGGAGGGCTGGGTTGCTGTGGCAGCTTGATGGTGACAATTCCTCAAGCTCCTCCTTTCTCCACTCTGCTCAGGGCACGATGGTCCTTCAGACCAATTCTAGTTACGTGTTTTTAAATACCAGTCACTTAACATGATTTGGTTTCTCATTTTGTACTATCTCTTACAACATGAAAAGGGAATATTTAATCTATCGTGAATATGTTTATCTTGCAGAGAACTTCCCTCTCTCCGACTTGGTTTCAGAGACCAGCACTGGAGTAGAAACTACAACAAACAGCAGCACTTCATTGAGGTATGGCTTGAATTTATCCGCATTTCCACCTCTGCCATTTGCATAGAAGTTAATTCAGGTTAATGCATTGCTTCCTGCTATTTCTTTCACTCTTGGAAGTACTCTGCTCACATGCAAGCTGCGTGTTGAGTGTTCATGGATTTTAGTCCCAGCAGCCCTTAGAAAGCTGTGTTGGCACTTGAGAAATGTTGCAGAAATTCATGAGTCCAAAGGGTGTGGTTACATGGTCCTTCCCCTTCTTTCAAACACGTATTTTGTGCCCAGAAAACTGTCAGTCCAATGCCTTATATTCCTCCTATCACGCAATATTTTTATGGCATTGCCCAGATTTTGTTCCTTCAAGTAACATTCAAGGTGTACCCAATTTCTACACTTTTGTATATTTTTCAAGTTTTTATTTAATTTTGAAAAAAATGTTGGCTGGCCCAGCTGTTTCCATTTTGAAATGTTTGCTTACATTGGTAATGTTTATATGTTTAAGGTCCGCTACTCCTGAAAAAGAGGTTCCAGTGATTTTCATCCACCCCCTAAATACTGGATTATTCAGGGTTAAAGTGCAAGGAGCTACTGGGAAATTCAACTTGGTCATCCCACTGGTGGATGGAATGATAGTAAGCAGGAGAGCACTAGGTAGGTGCTTTTAGTTAACATTGGATGATTAAGCAACGCTGACACAAAACCCTACACATATTAAGTAAAATAGAAACATCGCCACCCAATCCCAACCCCCTTCTTCCCCCCACACCTCTTTCCTCCTTTTCTTCCTAATGTCTCAACAAATGAAACTGATTTGTAAAAATGTTACATGGTAAAAATATGAGAGAGAGAGAGAGACATTACACATACTTTTGTAAATCAAGAAAATCTTCAATAAAAATACATTAAAAAAACCAAAAACAAAACAGAGCTCCCCTTGGAGTAAGGGAGGAATAATGATAAAAAACATTGGATGATTAACGTAACTCTTCTCTTTGGGGCTATGAGTGCAATTTAATAATGCTATCCCTTGCCACATCACCAGACTATTTCTGATGTTGCAAATTGTTCTGCCTGGAAAGAAAAATGCCCCCATTTCTCCTTTTCCAATGAAGGAGATAACCTGGAGTGCTTGGCTGGGATTCTCAGCAACCATAGCCATGTCGAAAGGCATCGGTTTGTGGGTGGCTGAATGAATGACAAATGTTCAGATACTGTGTTCATATACCATCTTTGATCTTGTTGGGTAAGGTGTTTTCCAAGAAGGCAGGGAACTAGCCTTTTCATACTAAGGCAGAGTAGCACTTACGTTTCAAGACAGTCTCTTCGTCCAGATTTATTCCTAAGTAAAGTTGACAAGTATGAGAAGATTCCAAACCTCACAAGTGTCGCTGACTTGAGGATGCAGAGAACACTTTTTCCTTTTAGCCTCAGAAAGTCCTAAAAATAACTTTCCTGGGGGAAGAAGTAAGCGGCATTAACATGTTCTTTTTTCCATTTAAGGCTTCTTAGTGAGACAGACAGTAATAAATATTTGTCGAAGAAAACGGCTGGAAAGTGACTCGTACAATCCTCCACATGTCCGTCGAAAACAGAAAATAGCTGACATTGTCAATAAATACAGGAACAAACAGCTGGAGCCAGAGTTTTATACCTCTCTTTTCCAGGAGGCTGGGCTCAAAAACTGCAATCCTTAGACCAATATCCTCCCTGAACAATTAGATCAGAGCTTGGTGTCTACGGTAATGGGGGGGGGGCCCTTCCCCACCCTGCAAGTCCTGTATAAAGAAACCACAACCTGAGCATGACTTCTGCTTCTGCTGCAAGGAAGAAATGAGGACACAATATAGGCACTTTCCCTGAAAACCAGCTTCACTCCATCAGCTGCTGCAGAGGGACAAACTTTCACCATCAGTCACTATTTAGTAATATGTAGTGGATGTGTAGTAGAGAGAGGGGGGTTAACTGCACTTCTCATAGCTTTCTCTGTTGACCTAAAATGCCAGATTCTGAACATAAAGACCTAGCACCTGAAGTTTGCTACTTGGCTTCATAGCAGGTTGGGTTCAGGTGCATTTTTTCCCCAGACAGAGACCATGAAATTGCAATAAATTATTGTGCTATATCTTGTTTGGTTTGCTTTCCCACCTGCAAGCAGGCCTATTTATTTATTTTTAGCCCCACTCAGAGGCTCCATTTCTGATTCTGCTCCTCTAGATCCAAGATGCATGTACCCATGGGTCCATTGCTCAAAGTTTCTTTACCTTTGTAGGTTGCAAGCACCCTCTACCTACTGCTGGCCAGTCCAGGATAAAAGCTCTGGGGTATTGGTGAGGGATGGGGAAGCAAAGAACGTTGGCTCTTTGAGCTAAGGATGGTCCATTTAAGTCAGCTTTGAGAAAAAGAAAAGCCTGTATAGTGGTTCATCCCGATTGTATTTATGACCAATACATAATTTCACCTGTATCTTATGAATGCTAAAAATGTGATTTCTCATCTGACCAGTCCACCCTTATAGAAAGAAGTGAAATCCTTGTCCTGGAAAAAGGTGCAATCAGAATGTGTGTCCATCTCTGCATGTAAGAACTAGTTACAACCACCCTATTGTGAAATCTGATTTCTGAATTGCAAATGTTCTTTACAGAAAGGGATAGATGCTTCTTTTCATGTCCCACAGTTCGTTCATTCATTTTACTGAAAGAGGTGGGTTTCTTTTTTTAAAAAAGGAATTATTCAAACCTTGGCACACCATAGCTGTCCAATGTCATCGGAAGTGAAGACCCATGCAAGTTAAATGTAAGGTCATGAAAAAGTGTACTAGAAATTATCTGATAATTGTTACAAGTGTTTGAAATTAAATGGTTTCATCCTTGCTTTGCTCTGATATCAGTCTGGAACCATATATTACATGCATGGCTTCTGCCAAAAACAACCGGCAATGTTGTCCCCACCCTTAACATCTAGTAATACAAAGTCAAGCGGCTTCAAATTTCCCTGGTGTCCCTCCACTTCATTGGCTAATATGTGTTGTATTACTGGATGTTACTGGAGTGGAAAGAAATAGCTACCCTGTGCAGATTTAAAGAATAAATTATTACATCACTTGGTTTTCTTGTGCTTGATACTTGGATGCAAGGCAGGGTATCATTTTCTTAATAAAACCTTTTTTGAAGCTGATAAAACCTTTTAAAAATCTACCTGCACATTTTATAAATGGAGGCTGTGTTTTCCAAAAGGGAATCCAGAAAATAATGCTTTGCGCAAGAACTTTCTGGATAGCTATTAAAAAAAGTCAAATTGCATTTTCAGAAATAAGAGATACAAACCTAGTCCACATTTATTTGGAAACAAGTCCTATTGATTTGAATATATTTGATTCCTAGTAGGCATATAGTATGATATTTAAGCAAGCAAGAATTAAGTTCCTAAGTTCCCAACACGGTTTACCTTTGAGGTTTTTTAATGGTTCTCTTCTCTTTTTTTACCATCAGCCATAATAAAATGCATGCAGATTAGCACGTTTTGCTTTACTATTGCCTAATTGTAGGAAGTTGCTGGAACGTGTTCAAGGATAAAATGTGAAGAATACCTATTTAGAAGCAAACACTCCCAAGATCAAGGTGATTCACTTCATAGCAGCCCCTTAGTATTTAAGATTCATCATTGGGGAGCCAGTATAATATCCTTACAAGTCTTAACCTAGTACTGAAACAAGGCTGAGAAATTCTAGAGCAAAATTAACTCTTGATTCTTCAGAAGCATATATAATATTAATAATAATGCAAGTGGCTTACCATTGACAATACAATTTTTGTTTTGCTTTAATTTGTTCATTTTTTGCTTATGGAACACATGGCCTGTAGTCTTCTGAAGCAAGTGAACTACTCTCCCAGTGTTAGTGAAACACAAGTTGGTGGGCCTTTTCAATGTCTAAAATTAATATGGTCTGTTCAGTTTCTGTGCCCTTTTGCTTTTAAATACAACATTGGAATGTCCTTTGAAAAACAGTTGACTTCCACTTGTCTATTTATTTATTTTTTAAATACCCAGTGTTCCCAGTATGCATAGCATGGAACTTTGAAAACTTTTAACTGATGTGTTAGCCATAAGAAACATAGACATGAAAGCTTTCGTTTTGTTAAAACCTTTACCTTTCTCAATGTTGCTATGCAATCTGATACTTCAGGGCAGGAAGCAAACTGTCCATTAATAGAATGTGCAAAAGTAAGTTATATTTTGACTCTTTGAGATCCTGAAGAAAAGCTCTTTTGAAACTGGCCGACAGCAGCAGTATTCCCCTATATCTTTTGATGTAGTTGAATTATGACAAAGAAACCAGAGTAGCAAGGTCTGGAGCAATTGGCGAAGGGCTTAGCAAAAAGAAACTTGGTCGCTTTTGATGGATTTCCAGTGAGGCTATGTGTGTTAAAGCTACTCTTTGCGGCAGTACTTGCTTCATAATGGTTATAACAAAAATATTTTATTACACAGCACTCCTCTGAGAGGTGTACTTTTTGTTCATAAAAGCTGCCAGGGTGGTCATTTAAAAACCCTAAAGAGCTTCCTGGTTTCTTAGGGAAGATTAAACAATGGAGCCTGCTGCTTACATTGAATTAGCATGCTAGTGTCTTGTCAGCTTGTGGTGTAGGTCTACATATGAAAAATAAGGGCGCATCATAAAATCACTCTCAAAGTCTGGCATGTTTAGCTGTCCTGCTTAATTGATGCACAGATTGGAACAGCAAATAGCACTGCTAGTGGGGATGCAGGTTGTTCTGATACTTGCATAGCAGTTACTTAGTACTGAACATTTGCCAGTATTAACCTAGTGCACGAACACTAAACTTAATTGAACCCTCTTAGATACTGTTCTGATCTAGATGATGATCTGTCACATTTAGTCCATGGATTAAATGGCACAACCAATGCATGCGTACCACAAGAGCCGTGCAATAAAAGGTTGAGCAGTTGGGCAACTGCATATAAAAATCAATGGTTTGAACCATGTATGTACTTTGGGTGAAGCCATTAGTTTGTTTTAACTAATGACCTGCCAAAACCATCCTTTTGAGTTACACAGACAGGACAGAAATGTATTAAATCTACAACAGCTTTTGAACTGGGTTAGAGGCATGGCCCAGTTTGGTGTTCAAGAGTTTGAATAACTTGCTTTTAATTACAGCCTCTCATGTTTAAAAACCTTCTGTTTAGTAAAAGAAATTTCAGTTTGTTAAACTCTGCTGTGAAAATAAAGGTCCCCCCTCCCCCAGGAACTCCTTTCTATTAAGCCAGTGTATTCTTGCCCCCAGGAATTTACTTCTCCAAACTTTATAATTTGCTTGATGCAGCCTTAACTTAGACTGTATTTTATTTTATTTTTTAAAAAACCCTGCTCTTGAGCAGACATGCTGCCCTGGATCCACATTTGTGTTATACTTACTTTTTCTTCCATTGTGTACTTAACAGCACACAAGTGGACTTGAAGTTGTGGCCTAAATCTGCATGCAGGAATTCTTTTGATTCTGTTAATAAAAATACTACGGAGGGAAATAACAGCAGTGATTTCTCCAAACAGCACTGAGCAATTAATGGAAATGTGTAAGGGCTCACTTTCGCTGTATTATCCCAAATGTGTGTGATGTGGTCCTTTGGTACAGATGCTGGTTGTCTGTCTTTGTATGTGTGTAAATGAGAAGGCTTCCAAGTGCACTGATAGCTTCCTGTCCCCTGTGCAGAACTATTGACTGACCAATTAACTGCAATACAATGTTCTGTCTAGAGCTCTCTAAACATGACTGCCTTTGAAAAATTGGTTCTTTTTAGGTCAGGTTGAGGCATCAGGCTTGTAAAACTCAATATAACATTTAAATTTCCAACTTTTGTTTTGGATACCATTGCACAGGATAATCAAAAGAATCGAAGTTTGTAGACCAGGCTTGGTTCTTAACGTTTAGGTTGCTTGTTTCCTATTACCGTTTCCTTTAGGTATCTTAACTACCATGTATTATTTGTTTTCACTCTGGTCTCTTGAAGAGATAAAATATTAGGGCTGCAGTATTTACCACATAAACACATACAAGGGTTGTACTCAAGTCCTCTTAATAAAGCATCATACACTTGGAAGTTAGTCATCTTCACAACAATTTCAAATCAAAAATGTCAGTTTTAGTACCTTTTTGATAGTTTCCATTTAAGAAATATAAAGCACCTTTAAGCTGGTCCTTCAAATATATTTTAAATGTAAAGAAAAAATCAAATGGGGAGGGAGCTGAGTGGAATCATGTCTGAAAGAGTAGCTATTTTGTATGGAGAGCAGCTGTAAAGCAGCTATAGAAAACGCAGCTTGCTTCTGGTCCTCAGTACCAGCCCTATTTTCTTCAGTGGGTCATAAGCTGTTAGGAGTGCCTTGAGGATTGGACTGCCCATTATCTGTAGCCGCTTCCCAGGAGGGAAGTATACAATTGTCATGCAGTGTTCATAATATTTAGCCCAGGTGGATTATAGAACTATAATTCAACATGAATAGTGAACAGAAGTACAACACGGTGATAGTTACACAATTGATAGAGTGCATCTTTGAAAGACAACTGGGTTTTTGCAGGAGTACTTGGAAGGAGATGGCTAGATACCATGTGCTTAATCATGTACAATTGTGTATAAAGTTCTGTATGTTGCCAAGACATGATCTTTTTGTTCTTATTGTAATTTCTGTAAATATTCCTACCACTAAGTTGTAAAGGCAGACTGTAAATACAAAGATGTGAAGCTATGTTCCTCTGTCTCTAGTACTTTATCTCTCGTTTAGGGAAGGCACAAAGGCTTGTTTGTATTTATGCCAACTCTTTGTCTAGAAGAAACACATCAGATCTTGAATGTAACACAATTAGTCAAATAAATTTTAAAGATTATTCTTATGTATGAAGCTGATGGTCTTCAGTGTGTGAGCTCCTTCTCCTGTTATCCTTCATATACAAATGAGAATGGGGAATTGCTTAGTGTCTACGGTGCTTCCAGGTGTTGCTGTTGGCACCAGTGGCAGTAGCATAGAAATTATGGAAGACAAAGATATTTCATTTGGGAATTTAAACTTCCTAGCCCTTTTTTTTAATATGATACAAGAACATAGGGAAGACTTCAATGCCACTCTTCTGATCATCCTGTCGTCACAAGCAGTTCTGCTTGCCACATGGGACAACCCCCACACTCTTCCCCCCTCCCCAATTGTTCTCAAGCTTTTCCTGATCTTCCAGAATGGATTTGGGCGAGGTGGGGGAGGCAGAGAAGGGGGAGAAGCCCTCTTGCACTCTCAGGAGCCCTTGTGCTGGCTTCTGGTAGCACATTGAGTTAGCTGAATCTAGGCCAACAGAGCCCTGCTGGCTCAGACCAAAGGTTCATCTACTCTCGCGTCCTGTTCTCAGATCAGTCAACCAGATAACAATTTCTGTCCTGTCTGTGCTCGTAATAATATCCTATTATATGGTAGAGTTACATTAGTAATCTCTTTTTAAAAAACCTAAAAAGGAAGGTGTGTGCTGTCCCCTTAATAGGGCTGAGGCAGAAAGCTAGGGATTATCTAAGAAGTGATTTCATAGCAAAGACAAGATTCACAACAGGGACTTCCTCATTCATATTACACGTTACAACATAGGAAACTGCCTTATGCAGAGACAAACCATTTGGTCCATCTAGCTCAGGCATCTCCAACCTTCAGCCCTCCAGATGTTTTGGACTACAATTCCCTGACCACTGGTCCTGTTAGCTAGGGATCATGGGAGTTGTAGGCCAATACATCTGGAGGGCCGCAGGTTGGGGATGCCTGTTCTAGCTCATAACTGTCTACAGTAGCAGCTCTCCAGAGTTTCAGAGAGGAGTCTTTGCTGGCCCTGCCTGAAGATACCCAGGACTAGACCTGAGTCCTGAGTGCAAGACATATGTGCTGCCCACTGAGCTAAGGCAGTGATTCTCCATCCTTTGAAACCATCTGGACCAGCATCAATTTACACCATGAACATGTGGGTTTGTACGACTGATGTGCTATCCCTTGCCAAACGCTGCTGCTGGAGTTGCCCTAAATCACTATAAATCTGTGAATAATTAATCTGATCACAGCTCATGGATAATGCAGGTCTTGAGAATCTCTCAAAATAGAAATTGGGAGATGAGAAAAGTTTGTGGCAGTCCCACTTTGTTAAATTATCACTAATAATGCAGGGATGGTTTACAAGCAAGCTTAAGTGTACAGACACCTTTTTATTTTTACGGTTTTCAAGCTAATTGCTCTCAGAAGTGCAAATCAATGTAGCTCACAGTCTATCACATAACAGAGCTGAATACAGCTTCTCATTTCTAAAAGCACAACTGCAATGTTCTCAGAAATCTCTAAATAAAGCAGCTTCGCCTTCCATCTGAGTAGCTCAGCCTTGGACCTATAGTTTGCTTGCATGGCATGGACCAAAGAAGCCACATCTATATATTTTTTCTTGTAAAAGTATACACATCCAACTCCAGTGGGGCATTTCCCTCTCCTTAAATGCACCTCAAGGCTTCTATTTTCCAAGATCTGGATTTGACTTTGTATTCATACTGCGCTACCAAAATGCTCACCACTGTGGTTGGCTTTCCCGAAAAAGAACCACACACACAAGGAACAACAACTAATGAACAGCCCCAACATGGGAGGTCATGCACAAGTCAGGAGGAACATGTGCAGAACATGTTACAGAGCCTGCTTGATTGTACAAAGCAACAATTGTTAAAACGTCCTTGGCTGCTGTTGGCAGGTAGTATTGTACATTTGGTTTAGAGGTATACAAGATGAAGTCCTGCCATATGGCACTAAATGATTGTGGTTTTTCCTTGCCTTGCATCAAATGTATTCACCTTTAGATCACTCTTAAGGTCAACGTCACCCATTCCATACACTGGGAAAGCTACAGGTAAGAGAGGGTTTAGACTCAGCCTCTTGATGTCAATGTCCATGTCTCATTCCCCCCTCCCCCGCCTGCTTCCACAGCCGCTATTCCAGATTGTTGCTGCTTCAATGGATCTTCCCCTTTCCTTTCCTAGCCCCTCTATCTTTTATGTTGCTGCACATATGCGCACAGCTTAAATCATGGCAATTAAATGCCCATTAAATGCAGCCGCCGCAGCAACAGCACAACACAGAGAAGGAGTGCTATAATGGTGATATGAATTCAAGAGCTTTGTCAAAAGGAGTGTGGTTGTGGTGCTTGAATCCATAGATCTCACATGCCTGGCCATCTGTACATTTGTGTTCCAAGTGTTTTTCCTCATGCAAGCCAGGTGCCTTAAATATGGCTATTAAATATTGACAACGTATTACAAGATTCAAAAGACCATGGGTGGTTCTTTCAGCCTTGCTTTCATATAGCACACTCTTTTCCTGCAATGCACACTACACCAAAGTGGTTCTTGTGCAAGGGGAAAGTCTGTAACAAGGCAGATATCTGTATACTGCAAGCGTTACTCTTATCACACCTATATTGCTACACCAGGAATAAAAAATGTCCCATATGGTTACCTTCGCTGCTATCCTTTTTTCACTGAAACCTTTCACAGATTTGCTTGTCTTGCTTGACTAGGAAGAAGGATGCTACAACTCACACAAATGCTTCAGTGCATATCTGTGCTAGTTTCTGGGTTAGGTTTGCCAGGAAATTTTAAACTGCTGTTTTATAAAAACCTCCGTCAATGAACCTAGCCTGACTTGCGTATAACACTGCAAATGTTCTATGCAGCTTTGCAGCCCCTTGGCTGTCAATGGTTATCAATGGCTGCTTTGCTAATGTTTTATTTTGAAATAGGTACAACCCGCTCTGTGAAGAGGCAGGTGCAATTAAATTCTATTAGGTGTTAGAAACAAGAACAAGATAATTGGGATATGCTTATTGTGTGGATTTTTTTAAAGTTACTTTGCACAAAGACATTAAGAATGTATCTCTGTAGTTTACACCACTGTTTTCTCTTTGCAGATGAATACCGAGGCATTAAGTGGCATTAATCTTAGTGCCCAAATGCATTCAAATTCTGCGTGTGTTCTCAAAAGCAGTCTTTCAGATTTCAGAATAACCATTTGTATGCAAGCACCTATATTGCAGAGCACTGAAGTTCCCTGTTTTCTATAAATCAGCATCTAATGCTGTGCATAAATGCAATTTGTCCCAATGGAGTTTTGCTGCTGTGCAAGAGCTGTGGCACTCTCAGCTATGCCCAAATTGTACCCAAACTCACCAGCACAATCCAATGGTCAGAAGGTTGGAGGGATCTACTGGTAGGTCTCTTGCTGACATGTAGACTTTCCTCATGCAGATAGACAATGGCAACACATGGGCATGTGTGATGCCTAATGCCAAGGCAGTGCCAGCAGCATCGCCCCATTGCTGGTAACCAGATGAGGCCTCCCATGGCCATTACTCCATCCATAAGAAATTCCATCTAGGCAGAAGGGGGAGTTAAGATGCCCTTTTTAAAAAGGACTTTGACTAGTTTGGCACAGCTGAAGGTTAGTTGTTGTTGTTGTTGTTGTTATTAGCTTTGTTGGCTGGTTGTTTGGTTTGAGGATTTATACCCCGTCTTTCCACAAGGCAGTGCTCAAGGTGACCTACATAACCATAAAACTAATTAACAATGTTTAGAAATCAAACTACAAAGAGAATTAAGCGAAACCAATTAAAAAGAAAAGTAGCAGATAACAGCACAGAGGAGACAACAGTAAAACGATGAACGCCAGGCAGAATAAACACTTGCTACTCACCAGCGGGACACTAGCAAAGAACGTTTCAAATGAACTTCCTGAGGCAGGGGGTTTCACATTCTGGATGCCACTGCAGAAAAGACCCTCTCGCACATCCCTATCTCTGGAAACCTGGTAGTCAAAAAGGCCTCACCAGATGTGGTTGTTCTTGTCATGTTGCTGCATCTGTTTTGAATGGAATTTTATTATTTACAAGTTGTTGCTTTTTATTCTAAGTTGGGGACACAGAAGAAGGTGATTGTTCTGAGGGTGTCCTCTGAAAGCAATTTCATCCCATCAGTCCTCCAAAGTGCATGGGCAGATCCTTTCACCTTGAAGTGCCCTAAGACCAATCCTCCCATATTTCCCAGGCTGAAGGTTATCAGGTGACAAGTCCCTTACTTGCCGTCAGCTCGACTCTCAGTGTATGTTAGCTGAGGGTTCAGTTACATACTGTTGTCAGCTGTATGGCCTAGAAGTATTAGTCTTTGTTTGAGGGCCTCTCCTACCCTGCACCCTCTCCTTTTTCTTTTGTTCTTTTTACTCCCAGTGCATCTGTAGTCTACTCATATATGGTTGACGTTTCCAACCCTATGTTTGGTATTCTGCCTAGGGAACAAATTTAGCTGCAAGGCACTGCACAGATAGACACATTGATTAATGGTCTGACTCCATATAATATGGCCCACAAGAAAGAATCGAGCTATCTAATCCAAATCTAGGAAGCTGCCTTGTACCAAGTAACGCCCTTAGTCCATCTAACTCAGCATGGACCAGCAGATGCTCTCCAAGGATGAAGATGAGGCCTTTCCCAGTCCTACCTGGAGATACCAGGAATTAAACTTGAGTTTATGTTCTACCACTGACCTACAGGGCACTTGTGATGGGGCCTTGCTCTGCAGCATGGTTAATCAAGCTCTATACCAAAGCAGCTTAATTTATTTCATTCAGAAAACCTGGGAGAACAGAAGTTTTCTGTACTTCTGTTAAGCTTTCTCTCCAGGGTAGTTTCCTGGGCTCTAGAAGCTGCATGACTGCTTGCAGCAGGTACCATCTGGCTCCTCTGAATAATATTTAATATAAATTTAGACACAGCCAATGTGCCGGTGGTTTAATTGTGTGGTTTAATTGAGCAAGACTTACACTAATTTACTTAATAACATTTTAGC